TCGTTTTTCTTGTCTGTTGGGATCTTGTGTGAGGCTACAAATACCCACTTGCTCTCATCTAGCCTTGCATGGATAAAGTGTTCCTCAGTATCTCTCACCCAGGGTCCAACAGCAATTGCCACCTTCTCTGCATTGTTCTCGTCTGGTGCCAGTGTCAGGCTGAGTCTCATTGCCGATTCATATGGTGACATTCCAGTCATGGTTACTGTTTTTTATATATATTTTAACCAGTTTGTCTGTCAGTCAGTCGGTCATTGATGAGGAGGCACAGATTGTCGAATTTGAGGTGCTACCAAATATAATGAGGAATTGTGCTGATTATAATAAATATAAATCTAAATGAGACTACGGAAAAAGCTGAAGACCTCACTATTCAGAATTCGCCGTACGCGTAAAATATCATAAACATATTTTATGCGTCTGCGCTGTCACGTGACTCGGCCCCCATTTCTGATGTCACAGTGACAGCAAGTTGGAACACATGATGGAAACAATTAGCAGTGGCAAAGAACTGACATCCAGAGCTGCATGCGAGATTGCTGACAAATTCCACACACAAGGTGGCATCCTGTTCAAGAAAGGACACTGTTGCATCAGCTCAAAACAAGACAGATCCTTGCTGCTGGCTGAGTTTCATGACACTGCAATGCATCCAGGAATCCGACCAACATACGACAAGCTGAGCGAGCTGTTTTACTGGCCTGGTATTTACCAGGATTGTGAGAAGTATGTCACAACGTGTGACCTGTGCCAGCGAGTCAAGGGCAGCAACAGGCCAAGTGATGGACCACTGCAGCCACTACAGATCCCATGATGCAACTGGTCAAGCGTGAGCATGGATTTCATAGTGAGCTTACCTAAGACAAAGGATGGATATGATGCAATCATGGTCGTCGTAGACCGCCTGTCCAAAATGGCACACTTTGTACCAACACACAATGCTGCGACCGCCCAGAAGACTGCTGACCTGTACTTCGAGACCATCTACCGCCTGCACGGCCTGCTGGAATCCATTGTCTCTGACTGCGACCCGAAATTCTGCTCATCGTTCTGGACTACACTGTGGAAACGGACGGGAATGCAACTTAATATGTCCACTGCCGGCCATGCACAGACAGATGGACAGACAGAGTGCGTAAACCAGATACTCGAGACAATGCTGCGCGCAATGTGCAACAACAAACAGAACGACTGGAACAAGTTCATTGTGACATCAGAAATGGGGGCCGAGTCACGTGACAGCGCAGACGTGTAAAATATGTTTATGATATTTTACGCGTACGGCGAATTCTGAATAGTGAGCTCTTCAGCTCTTTCCGTAGTCTCATTTCTATTAATATATATTATAGCTAGTCCAAATCGCATTACAACAATGATGTGTTTGCACCTGTGGTGACCTACAAGTCTATTCGTATAGTCATAGCACTTGCAGCCCACCATGGCTGGCTGCTGCACTCCATGGACGTCAAGACTGCCTTCCTGCATGGTGACCTGGAAGAAGACATATATGTCGAGATTCCTGATGGCATGACTGGTGACTGGACCAAGAGTGTTCTCAAGCTACGCCGCTCCCTATATGGTTTGAAGCAGGCACCACGCACTTGGAATCGTTACCTGAATACCTCTCTTTGTGGCAGCCTTGGATTCCAGTGCAGCAATGACGATCCAGGTGTCTACTGGCTTAAAAGTGGCTCTGCAACATGCATTTTGACAACCTATGTTGACGACTTGCTGCTGGCTGCATCTGATGACAACATCCTGGCCAAGGTCAAAACTGGCCTGTCTGCTGAGTTCTCAATGAAGGATCTGAGTCTGTGCAGCACAATCCTGAGCATCAATGTGCATCACATGTCTGATGGCATCAAGATCAACCAGGTTACTGCCATCCAGAACCTGGTCAGCAAGTATGGCCTTGAGGAAGCCAATGATGTTGATCTGCCCATTGCTGCTTCTGCCAAGTTTGGAGAGACTGCTCCACACCTTGCCAAGTGCAATGCCACTGAATACCGCTCAATTGTTGGCTCCCTGCAGTACCTGGCCATGGTCACTCGGCCTGACATTGCTCTGGTCACCTCTGTGCTTGCATCATTCAACCAAGAACCACTGATGAAACACATGGGTGCTGCCAAGCGAGTACTCAAGTATCTGAAGACCACCTGCAACATGGCCATTCACTATCGTCGGTCTGAACACCTCAACCTAGTTGGGTACAGTGATGCTTCATTTGGACTGCGTACTGTGGAAGCCATGGTAATTGGCTATGTATTCACTCTGGCAGGAGGAGCAGTTGCTTGGAAGTCAAAGAAACGTGCTCTTGGCTTGCCACCTCAATCCACAGTTGAAGCTGAGACCATTGCCCTGACCTCTGCTATCCATAAGCTCATGTGGCTACAAGACCTGCTGTGTGACATCCATGTACATGTTAACCCTGCCACCATCTTCTGTGACAATGAGGGCACTATCAACAATACACGGACTGGTGCTGTGACTGATGCCAACAAGCACTACAAGTGTGACATCAAAAATGGGGGCCGAGTCACGTGACAGAGTAGACGCGTAAAATATGTTTATGATATTTTACGTGTACGGCGAATTCTGAATAATGAGCTCTTTAGCTCTTTCCGTAGTCTCATTTTTATTAATATATATTATAGCTAGTCCAAATCTCATTACAATGACAGCCCGTCGGCTAGCTGGTTGTCCTTGCCAGGCTTGTAAACAATGTCCAGATCATGTTCATTGATGGCATTGAGCCAGCGCAGCTGTGTGGGCGACAAACGACTCTGCGTTTTAATGTACTTGAGTGGGTGATGATCAGTCTTGAGTGTAATAAGAATACTTTATATAAAATATATTTATGATTAAAAATCCACTATAAGAGAGCTTAAAGAGTTTTGCTTATCTATTCAAAGCTATCGACAGTGAAAATAAAAATTGCGATCGTAAACAATTGCAATTGTCACGTGGCATTGCAATAATTGATGTCACACCTGTGCTGTCATGGGACCCAGCTTCATTTCTGATGTCAGTTATTCTCAACTACAAATACATAATTTATGTTAATAATTTTACCCAAAAAATCATCATCCTTGTACTTTTTAGCCAGTTGACTTGTGCTATTTTTTTTTTTTAAACTTTTATTATCAGCAGGTAAATTTTTAGTTCTTATTAATTCCATGATATCACTCCTCACCTTGCTCATTTTCCAGTCATACCTTGCAGTAATTTTATAATTAAGAAACTTGTATTGAAAAGTTAGCTCTGTGGTTATATAGTATTCGCCCTTAATTTTACTCATTTTTTTTGATAATGAGTCTTCTATTTTCGATGCTTTGTCAATATTGGATATTTTATTTCCATTGTCTAGTGTTATTGTGATAACGCCGCTTTTATAAACTTCATTTAGCATAATATGATCAAATATCTCATTCCATGTAGTGTTATCATCCATCGTGCTTTGATATTTGGCCCCATATGCGCCTTTATACTTTAAATCGACAGAAATCATTATAACAATCTTGGTTTACAGTATAGACGAGGCTTGTGTGTTTGCAAAAATAATTATTTAAAGTGTATAAATTAAATTCTTGTAGGAGTGTGGTTGATAATACAAATGTAGTTTTTTGCTGAAAATATAACAGTTTATATAGGTATTTAAAAACCAGTTGAAGATGAGAGAGAGGGGTATATAGCAAGTTTCATTTTTAATAAATATTTTTTTGCACAACTAAAAACTAATTAATGTGTACTCTCAATAGAAAACAAAAAAGTGCATGTATCATTGCGGACAACCCAAAGGAAACTGGATTATATCTTTATAAAAACTATTCACATGCTGAGCACGTTGTATGCAGTCTTTAAAAGTAAGTAATATAGGGAATAGTTCTTTGTATAATAAATTCATTTAATAGATTTAATTTTTAGCAATACTCCCCCAAAAAAATGGCCATGTATTCACCATAGCACTGCAAATTAATGAGTGGGTTTTAAGTCAAGCAATTAATTAAACCAACTCTTGTAATAATGTGGGTGTTTATTAGGTTTAAAATTGCTATTGATGGTGACTTTGGACAAATATTTTTGGTTAAATTAAATAACAACTGTTAACTTACAGATAGCAGTCTTTATTATGCAGTTTTTTGTCTTATCGATGAATATGGCCAATGCATTCATGTGCACACTTATAATTAGTTGATTTAATCAGCTAATTTCTTCTCATCTTAAATAAAAAATGTTAAATCTTTTTATTAAGTGATAGAAAAATGTGAATGAAATATATTTTCAAATAGCTAGAAAAAATGAAGACAAGGAAAGTAGTCATCAATTATTGTTGTTATTTAACGCCTTTGTAGTTGGCCATTCATCCAACAACCAGGTTAGCAGCAATAAAAACATGTGTGAGAGCGTTGCAGAGGCTGTTAGACATTGACATTCATTCTTCTGATGCGTGGTGACTGCACATAATCCACATCTATAAAATGCTGATTACATGGAGCCAACACAGCAGCATAAAAAACGCACTAGATTGGGTTGACATCGTGTAATCAGTGTCTCAATAAGCGCAGCCCTGCGCATGGCGTCAAAATACCAGCACACGGCGGTCAATTACCGCCAAATATATGTTTCCATGCATCGTCTGAAGTGGGGACGCTTGTTAGTGTCAGTCATGTCCCTAATGCGTGCTACCAAATTCTGGAAACCTTTAGTCTGCGAAGTGCACTCAGGCTCAGTGTGACACCTACAGATTTACGTATGTTGATCTTGTGATTACTGGGGTTGGTGATATTATGACTGTTTTGTATTACTATTGTATATGTAGTCATTGTCTAATCCCATTTTATGTGATTATTATATTTTGTTTGTTAAACCCATTTCAATACTATCATATAAATATACTTTGGGAATGGCTTGCTTGCAGTGAAGACATGCTTGGGTGCATATACATAGATGAATTGATAAAACGTATCATTATCATATTTATTTATAATATTGTAATTATGCTATATGATATCCGTTGATACTGATTCTTTGACAGAATCCAGAAGCTTCTGAGCATCAGTGCGGGCTGCTTCCCATTGCTGATGTAACGAGTTCTTAAGCTTGGTCTCTTTGCTAACTGCGCATTCGACAGCAAGTCTGTACGTGTTGATCATGCCCTCCATATCTCTACATTGCCATTTGTATAATTAAAAGTGTAATTAAGTAAAAGTGGTAAGTTGTGGAAGCATGCTTGCATGTTTTTCTTGGGGGGGCACCCTCAGTGTTTACCTAATTAGATGTACACCCAGTTGTGCGAGTTGGCTGAGTGATTCTTGGATGTCTACATGCAGTAAATAATTATGGTTGGTAGGTTAGCAATTATAAATTTGTAAAAAATTGAGTATACATGAATAAAGCGTGGTAGGGATGTATAGTACACATGCCTTTAATTGCCGCTATAGCAGCTTCCGGGTCCAAGCTGCTGTCAAATGGGAGAAATTGAGAAATGGACTCGTTGCTATTGTGAACGTTGATTCTATTGCCTGCTTTGTTAGATTCGAGAATATTGGCTGGTTGCGGCGCATGCAGCAGTATATCGTCAGGCAGGGTCAAATCTGTCTCCGAGTCATTGTCACTAGAATCTTGAATGACCACGCTATGACCATCCATTGCCCGCGTGCCCGCAAATTTCATTGGCATTGGAGATGATGGATGCGACAATGAAATTTTCACAATTTGTTGCGCTGCATCTTGGTTAACTGGGTGATAGGCTGAGTGCAAATTGGCTACATATACAAAAACTTTAGATTTGAATTTTAGAATAAAGTTACATCACTTGTGCATATTTAGCTTGGATGGAGCTTGAATGTCATTTTGTAAATACTTGCCACTATGGTGTTGAGTTTGTGACGAATGCATTTTATGAAGCTCGCTATTATTTCTGGTTTCTGTACCCTTGGGTTGGTTGAGGGGAGCAGCTGCCGGGGCTTTTGGAATTCGTGGAGACAGGGCAAAATGCGGCGGCTGAAGGTCAGCATGCTTATTAAGGCCATTTTCCAAATGAAAGTCAGTTTGTGGCTTGTGGAAAGAGTCAATTCGCAATTGCTTTGGGCAGTTTTGCTGTTGGCCCAGTGACAATTGCTGTTGGTATGGCTGTTTGTAATCATTTTTTGCTGGAATCCGGTTCAGGTTAAGCGGTCGTATGCTTCTTGGTGGCTGCATGTTGTTTGGGTTAAAAACAAACGGGCGTATTCTTGATGTTGGCTGATTGTTGTTCATTTTAAAAAAGGAGAGCTGTACGAGTATTGGAGTAGCTATACTATTAATTGATTTTTTATGGAGAACAAAAAAGTTGATTTTATACCATTCAATACCATAAAAGTCATTACAATAAAAATGAAGGGATAATTAGTTACGTATAATGAATGCTTAATGCTAGAGTATAAAGCATTGTATGTCGCATATAATAACAAAGTTTATTGGAAATTTCAGCGTGCATTTCGAAGAGATAATATATGCGCTTTGTCCAAGTAGCACTTTGGTACTCATTATATATGCACTCTGCAGCCAACGCGTTAAAGCGAGCTTGATATTTCTTTATTATTATTCTTCGTTTTAGTCTGAGCAAAGAGCAGAAATTCTGCTAGGTAATAGAAGCTGAATCAATATTAAGGTCTATTGATGGGCCCAAGAGAGAAAATAGATACATTATGCGATACATAAAACAAATAAATAACAAAAACTAAAGTTTGTGAATAAGATTAAGCGTCTACCGCGCCCCCTATTGATGAGCACATGGTAGGATGCACGCGCATGCCCATACTTGGCTTCAATACCGATCAGGGTTAACCACAATATTTTCAGTTACTTTGGAAAATAGCAAACATACCAATTGTTTATTTAATATATACTCGTTTTGTGCCGATAACAGATTGCCGTTTTGTTACCTATTTTGAATATACCCAAGTATAATTAATTGTATTCATATTGCACCATGGACGACAAGATCAAGGCGGCTGCACGGCACGTGTTGAATGAGGGCGACGACGCGTTGTCAGATGACGAGCTGCTTGCTGAGCTTGAGAACGACCCGGCACTGGAGAAGCTGCGCGAGGCACGTTTGGAACAGATGAGGTGGGAAATGAACCACGTGCGCGACTTGCGGTCGCGCGGCCACGGGGAGTACCAGGATATCCAGAAGGAGGAGTCGATGGTCAAGCTGATTGGCAGCACAGCCAGGGGCATAGTCCATTTTACTCACCCACAGTTTGCACGCTGTAAGATCCTGGACAAGCATTTGCGCGCGCTGGCACTGTACCATTTTGACACACGGTTTGCTTCGATCAGTGTCGAAAGGTGCCCCTTCTTGGCGCAAAAGTTCCAAATCCGCATGCTTCCATGCTTACTAGTTATCGCTAATGGGCGAGTCGTCGACAGGCTTGTGGGATTTGAAGAGTTTGGCAACAATGATGGATTTTCGACGGAGACACTTGAACGACGCCTGTGCAAGTCTGGCGTGATTAAAATGCCCAAAGGAAAGATATCCCACATACCAGTGGAACAACGGCCAATTGCATATAAGATCGGCCAAGCAGGATCCGAGGCAGCGGGTGACAGTGGCAGCGAGGTTGAGCTGGACTATTGACTGTGGCGATTCGATCATCAGAACGCATGCACACACACACGCACGCGCATTGATGAGTTAGCATGTGTGTGCACGCGTGTTGCGAAGCTTTGCTGAACTGGCGGCTGATATGCAGTGTTATGCAAAAATAAACTATAGATTGTTTTCATATATTGGCTTTTTGCCAGCAAGATCAGCTTTGATAGTTTATTATTTTTGAACGTTATATATTTGCGTATCTTAATGTTCGCTAGTTCGCCCGGGCTAGCAGAGTGCCTCCGAGGCCAATCTTGACAGCCTCCTGGATCTCCAAAATGCCCTTGGTGGTTGACACAACCATGATCTCCCCGGGGATAATACCCTTGATAATCCCCCATGGCTGTCCCGAAGCCAGGATCTGCAGCTGGTTGGCATTGCAGTTGACCTTCCGCGAGGGCTTGGTTATGCATTTCATGGCGCGCAGCACCGGCTGATCCTGGTAGTACTTAAGCGATAGCCACAAGCGACGCTCAGCAACGTTGAGGTTGGTTGTTGGCGTATAGGTGTCGTCGGGGCCCAGGTGAGTGCCGCGAGTGACGGACGAGACAAATCCTTGGCTGTACAGAACCCGCGAGACCGACAAATTCAGCTTTGTCTCGGGAATGGCGATACGGCCGAGTCGTGCGCGGAAGCCGTTTTGGACGCGTGCACAGATATCGTAAACGCCAACCATTTTAGAATGTACGGGAGCGAGTGAAAAAGTGTATGGGTGTGTGCGTATGTGTGTGTTGTCTCTGGGACCAGAAGACAAGTGGATTCAGTATTACTGAAAAAAAAGTAGAAACACGTTGATTGACCAGGCAAATGTAAAATAAAAAATTGTTCAAGGGAGGAGATAAAGTGTGCGCTTAACGAGTCAGAAAATTACTAAGTCGATTTGCCGCTGCTGCTGCTGCCACTGCTGCTGCTAAAGCTGCCATTCCGATTTTTGTATCAAGTTGATTTGATCAGCGTGATCGCTTTGGCACTGCTCGCAGTGCATGCAGTGCTTGCAGTGAGGGCCGAAGCCACCATCAACGTCAGATGCAAGAGGAGGCATGAATTCGAGCACTTTTTTTGGTTATAATAGCTTTTCTTTTCTTTTCCGCGCAAGTATAGCAAAGTGCAAAATAGTGAATCTGACTTTATTGTTATACAATCTCAACAGAGGCAAAATGAACGAAATTTACTTCAATATCGATGCGGGGTACTTGGAGGGTATAGTGCGCGGGTACCGCGATGGGCTCCTCACAAGGCTGCAATATTCGAATCTCACACAATGCGAGACGATGGACGATCTTAAGTTGCAGCTGGCAACTACCGACTACGCCTCTTTTTTGCAGAATGAACCGTCACCACTGGCAACATCGACCTTGTCTACTCGCTGCACAGAGGCGCTCGTGGCCGAGTTTCAGTACATGCAGCAGAATGCGGCGGAGCCCATCTCAAAGTTTTTGGAGTACATCACATACGGCTATATGATCGACAACGTGATACTGCTCATCACCGGGACGCTCCACGAGCGCGACACGCACGATCTGCTGGAGAAGTGCCATCCACTGGGGTTCTTTGACACGATGCCGGCGCTGTGCGTGGCTACAACAGTGCAGGACCTGTACAGCACGGTGCTGGTCGACTCGCCGCTGGCGGGGTATTTCCGCGAGTGCCTTTCCGCAGAGGACCTGAATGAGCTCAACATTGAGATTATCCGCAACACGCTGCACAAGGCATATCTCGAGGACTTTTACGCGTACTGTCAGAGGCTTGGCGAGCCGACGGCGTCAGTCATGGCGGAGATGCTGAAATTTGAGGCGGATCGCCGAACGGTCAATATCACGATCAACTCTTTTGGCACGGAGCTGTCAAAGGATGACCGGTTCAAGCTGTACCCGCGGCTGGGCAACATGTACCCCGAGGCGCAGACCAAGCTGGCGCGCGTCGACGACATGGACCAGGTCAAGGCTATCCTAGAGCAGTACAGCGAATACAAGACGTTGCTTGCCGGAGTGAACCTGAGCAACTCGGCGGGTGTGGTGGCGGGCGCAGGCGAGGTGTCGCTCGAGGACCGGTTCTTCACCAACGAGGTGAAGCTGAACAAGGACTCGTTCGAGCAGCAGTTCCACTTTGGGGTGTTTTACTCATGGCTCAGGATGAAGGAGCAGGAGATCCGCAACATTGTCTGGATTGCCGAGTGCATCTCGCAGCAGCAGAAGGACAAGATCAATAACTACACGGTCATCTACTAGGAGCCGGCAAACGCATTCATAGTATTTTCTATTTTTTATACATCTTCAAGCCAACGCAGGCACAGACACAAATACATCATGCACAGGCATTTGAATCAAGAAGCCTTTGCAAAACCAAATGCGATGTTTAAACACGAATTGACAGAAACAATTAAAACTACCGATCCACACGGCTGAGCCAGCGCTGCCCGAGTCTCTAGAAGCCGGGCGGTGGGCGAGCGCCTGGGTGCGGCGGGCGGAAGCCTGGCGGCGGCTGGGCTGGGTAGCCGGGAGGGGCGCCCATCATGCCTGGTGGCGGAGGTCGGAAGCCCGGCGGAGGCGCCATGCCGTGGGGGGGCGGGCGGAAGCCTGGCGGCGGCATTCCGGGCATTCCGGGCATCGGCGGACGCGCAAACGAGACGGGCCCAGCTGCGATGGCGGCGCGTGGCTGCATCATGGCCGCGGAGGGGCCGCCGACGCCGCGCACAGGGCCTGCCAGGCCAGCCGGGGCAGCGCCTGGCCGCGGCGGCGGAATGCCACGGCCGGCTGGGCGGCCTACGCCGGGGCCAGCGGCCAGCCCAGCACCTCTTGTCTGGCGGAGCCCTGCAGCCGACGCTGGCGGCGGCCCGTCAACGCTTATGCTAATGACGATCTCGCCGCGCAGAATGACCAGGCCCAGGGCGCGTTTGATCTGTTGTGTCTTTGGCTTTGCGTCCGGGCCCTTCGCCTTGATGGTGCGGAACTCCTCGCAGTCAGCCAGCACCAAGTTCATGTGCTTATCAAAGGCAAGCATCTGGCCAGTCATGACGCGCGTGTCGAGGAGCGTCAGCCTCAGCCGGTGGTTCAAAATACCCATCATTTTGGAGTTTTTTGAAATCGTCATTGTTGAGAGACTGTGGTGTTTGTCGCCGACCAAAGCCCTGTCTGCTAGAAGTAATACGGCGTGTGTCCGAAAGCTCTCGCGTTGGGTACAATTGCAAAACAAATATAAAGAAATAAAGAAAAGCGAGATGAAGCAAACATGATGCGCGAGAAAAGAGGAAGAAAAACGAAAAAATAAAGATGAGGCGGTGTGGTTGGCGAGCAGCGCGTTGATCGGCGGCTCGGTGCGGCTCGGCGCCGTGGCGGTTCAGCGACGGCTACGGTGACAACGTCATGACACGATGCCGAGAAGCTGGCGCCAGAAAAATGGGTGGGAAAGGCATCAGGTGCCATGGGCAGGGCAGTTCTTGCGCCAACGACGCCGTCTTTTAATTTGGCATCAATTGCATTCGCATTCACATTTACATTCGCACTTGGCTTCGCTCTTGGCTTCGAACTTGGCTTCGCTCTTGCATTCACTCTTGGCTTCGCTCCCACATTTGAATTCGCCGCATTCCCTCCATAGAATCCACCTTGCTGCCCATGGAGCTGCTCGAGGTCAAGAACAGCCTGGCCCGGCACTGGCTGGCGGCGCTGTGCATCTGCAGCGGACGATGCGTCATGGCGGCCGGCGGCGGCGCCGAGAGCCGCGCGTGGAGCGAGCAGTTTGCACAGAGCGTGCTGGAGTGGCTGCACGTGCCCGAGGCGGACTGGGCCGACCTGCGGGCCATGCCGCACGGGGACGCAGCTAACGACATGGCGCTGCTGATGCTGCGGTGCATGCGTTCCGACGAGGAGGCGGCCGAGGCAGGCGCTGGCGCCAGCGTGTCGCTGGAGGTGGCCAGCGATCCGGACCGGCTGGCCGCAGGGCTGGTGCTGGCGTGCCTTGGACTCGGCTCGGTCCAGGCGGCCGGGGACATCAAGGCGCTGGCGCCGGCCCGGGCCGGGACGCTGCCTCCGCTCAAGTACGACGCCCGCTCGCGCGCTGCGGCATTTGCAGTGTGTGCGTGGCTGGATCTGCCGAGCCAGCTCGTGGGCGCGCACGAGGCCCTCGTCGCCGGCAGGCTCGAGCGCGCGGCCGGCAGCGGCCAGCTGGGCGACGCCAGTGCGCGCGCGCTGAACGACGACCGGCGTCGCAAGTGGGGCTGGGGCAAGCGCCTGGCGGCCGGCGCCGGCGTGGTTGTCGCCGGCACCCTGGTGGGCGTGACGGCCGGGCTGGCCGCGCCGCTGATGGCGGCCGGGCTGGGCGCCGTCGGCATCGGCGGGCTTGGGTTCCTGGCAACCGGCGGCGGCGCCGCGATGGTCGGCTCGCTGCTGGGCGTGGCAGGCGGCGGCGTCGCCGGGCAGCGGTTCAACACGCGGCTGCGCGGGCTGCGCAGTTCTACTTCACGCAGCTGGCGCGTGGCCACACGCTGCACGCGACGGTGCTGGTGCCCGGGTTTCTCGCCGCCGCCGCCGCAGCGAGCCCGTTTGCGCCGGTGCGCGACGTCATGGGCCTGGATCTGGGCGATGCGTACACGCTGTACTTCGAGCCGGCCGAGCTGGCCGCGCTGCAGGGCGCCGTGTCGCGCTTTGTCTCGTCGTCGGCCCGCAGCGCCGCCGTGTCGGCCGTGGTTGCGCAGACCGCTCTGGCCGGGCTGCTGGGCGCCTTCACGTGGCCGCTGGCCGTCCTCAAGCTCGGCCAGCTCATCGACTCGCCGTGGGCCGTCGGCATTGAGCGCGCGCGCCGAGCCGGCCGCCTTCTGGCCGACGTGCTGGAGAGCCACGCGCACGGCACGCGGCCTGTGACGCTGGTGGGCTACTCGCTGGGCGCGCTGGCGGTCGTCACGTGCCTGCAGGAGCTGCACAGCCGTGGGGCCTTTGGCGTTGTCGAGACCGCCGTGCTGCTGGGCGTGCCGGCCGACAGCACCGCCGCCGCCGCCTGGGCCGCCTGCTGCCACTGCGTCTCGCGCCGCCTTATCATTGGCCACTCGCGCAGCGACTGGGTGCTGGCTTTTCTCTTCCGCGCGTCGTCGCTGTGCGCCCGCCTCGCCGGGCTCGAGGGCCTGGCGCCTGCCGCGCTGTTTCCCGACAGCCCGCTCATGCGCCGCAAGATCGTCAACGTGGACCTGGGCGACATTGTCTCTCAGCACGCCGACTACCTGGACCGGCTGGACGACATTATGCTCGAGGTGTCTCGCCACCTCTAAGCAGACGAGGGCGGCCCGTGTGCTGGTCGGCGTTGGCTGTCACGTGCTCTGTCCCAATCCTCTCTGCTGGGCAGCCTCAGCAGCTGGCCGACCGGCTATTTCGGCAGCGCGCTTTTTCGCCCTTTTCTTTTTGGCCAGCCGCAGCGCGTGCACATAACAGCATAATACAACTCCTACTTTAACTAAACACCTGGACCAACGCAAACCAACCCGGCGCCCGATATTTTATTGTACCAACCATGAGCACCGATCACAATAAGCACGCCGAGCAAACGCAGCTGAACGAGCAAGCGCAGCCGAGCGGACAAGCGCAGCCGAGCGGACAAGCGCAGCCGAGCGAGCAAGCACAGCTGGACGAGCTTGACGCCCTGCAGCGCTTCATGGAGTCGCTGCCCGAAAAGGTAACAGCACACTTGCACTGCAACGCCCTTTTTATACTTCAACTTGAAAAGTGTACCTGAGCTGTGGCTAATCTGCCGGCTGTGCTTGTTTTTGTTGCGCTGTAGCTGGAGAAGAGCCCTTACGACTACACCACGTACCTGCAGTGGATTGATCTTCTGCGCCCCGTTGCCGACATTGCGTCCCTGCGCGCGGCCCGGGAACACATGTGGCAGAACTTGGCTGTCCCAGAGGACCTCTGGGCCAAATGGGTCGCTGACGAGAGAACACAGCCCGACGCGCTCCACGACCCTACGGCAATTGCATACATAAGGGACCTTCTGGAGCGCGCCGCCAAAGAATATTTGTCTGTTTCTGCATGGCAAAGCTACATCGACTTTGTTCGGGAGGTTGAGCACAGCGAAGATGAGAAGACGCGCGTGGCAGCTGCGTCCAGCTTTGGGTCTGAGAACTACCTGTTCTCCGCCTTGCAAGAGGCTGCCGCCGCAACCTACGCCCACTTCAAACACAGCAACCAAATATGGTCCCAGTACAGGGAGTGCGTTGAGCAGGAAATTGAAAAATCGGAGGGCTCACAGCGCGAGGCGCTGATCGACCTGTTGCAGGCTGTGTATTTGCAGAGGCTCGGCTGCCCCCACGCGGAGCTAGAGGATACCTTTTCAATGTATTCGAGCTTTATCACAAAGTTTATGAACGCCAGCTACGAGCAGCATATGGTTGAGGCAAACGCCATTGTCAGCGCCACGCGCCAGGCGTGCGCAAAGCGAGAGGGCTACGAGGCCGAGCTGGCAGCATCGGGCACTGACTGGGCCGCATTTAAGCTGTACATAGACAAGCTGACGCGCGACAAAGCAGCGGATCCTGCCGAGATATCAGTGCTTTACGAGCGTGCGGTCGCACTCAACTACTACACACCGGCCATCTGGGACGAATATATTGCGTTCGCTGTTGCCAACACCACAGAGTTGGGCGCAGAGGTTGTGCTGTGCCTGTCCAGTCGAGCAGTTCGAAATTGCCCGTGGTCGGGCAGGCTATGGGCGCAGCTCCTGCGCGCCATCTACGAGCAGCAGGGCTATGCCGCGGCCGCTGGGATCTACGACCGAGCACTGGCCACTTACGCAGTCGAGTATAGCATGTGCGAGTTTTCCCAGCTAGCTGTGGCTTTTGTCACTGTCGCGCGCCTGGAGTACTCGGATCAGCAGCGCGGTGGCGAGCGCGCCGCCTCTACCATCGCCGTCGCCACGCTGCAGGATCCGAATCTGGATCTGCTTGCAGTGTGCGAGGGTTGCCTGGCGACTGCACACACGCTGCAGCCAGAGACAGCAGACCCGCTATTGCATCTAGAGCGCTGCTGCACTTCGGTGGCAGTGCATGTTCTGGCTGATGCAGAGGCAGCACGCAGAATGTGGACCAGTATCTGCAAGAGCCGCAAGGTGTGCGCGGAGGCCTGGGTGCTCTCGGCCGATTTTGAAAGGACGAGTGGCACCGAAGACAGCACTCGCAGCGTCTTCCGTCACGCATCGCAGCGAAGGCTCGATAACCCAGAGCGCCTGTTTGACGCGTGGCTCGCGTTTGAACACTCATTTGGCACTCTCGAGTCATTGCGCTATGCCGAGGTGTTTATCCAAACGCAGCGTCATTTGATATGGCGCAGGATTGAGCGCGAGGCCCAGGCCCAGGCCCAGATGCCGGAGCATCCGCAGTCTATGCCGGCTGCTACGGTTGCCAGTTCTGCAGCGGAGGATGCCGCTCAGCCAGGCCATGCAGAACATGACCAGCCCAACAAAAAGACCAAGAGAAAGCACGACGACGACATTTCTTCCTCCTTGTCTCTCGTTCCGTCCAAAGGCGACGGCGATGGGAACAACCAACGCAGTACAAACTCTGTGTTTGTTAGTGGCCTGCCATTGACATTTAGAGCAGAGAATGTCGAGGCGCTTCTGGGCGGCTCCAGCAGCGTCAGTCGGGTGACAATGCTCACAAACAAGGAGGGCGGGTTCCGCGGCCAGGCACGGGCAGACCTGCTGTCCAACGAGGCCATGATCGCGGCATTGGACAAAAACGGGGTCAAAGTTGATGGCCAATTTGTCTCTGTGCACGTATTCAAGCAGCACAGCCAGCACCCGCACCCGCACCCGGCCCGCTCTCGTGCGGCGGCATCCGAGGTGGCTGTCAAGGTGACCGGGTTCTCGCCAGAGACGGGGAACAAGCAGCTCGAGGGCATAGCGAAGCAGGCGGGGGCGGTTGTAAGAGTGCGCAGGAACCAGCAGGGCGATGCGGCGTTTGTAACTATGAAGTCGATGGACGATGCCAAAAGGGCGCTTGGCGCTCTGGATGGCTGCTCTATCGATGGAAGAGTACTATCGGCAAACATCGATGAGTCCGGTGCCAGCAATGTCACGGGTGAGGGCGTCAAGGGCCAAGGCGCAGACGCTGGGAATAGCGCTGCGACAAAGACGGACGCGCCTCTCAGCCTGGTTCCGCGACGCGCAGCGGGCAGCAGCCGGCCGGCAAAGCGCTTGGCCCTGGCGAAAAAAAGGCTGCCCAAACCCGACGAGGCCGCAGATCGCAGCCCGGCACCTGCCGCATCTGAGGGTGCGCGGTCCAACGCCGACTTTCGCAATCTTTTCCTGACAACGCAGCAGGGCGCCGACAAGCAAGAGAACAGCGGCTGCTAGCAGCGCGCGTCACGATATGGTGCGTTTTTTTATTATAAACATTTTGCGAGAATAAAAAAAACCAGCGAAAGAGATGCCTCACCATACGCGGCATTCGCCGACCAGCGTAGCGACTGCGTCAATCAGGGGCATGTATGCGCGCATGTCTGCTGATGCCGAGCCGTTGTCAGCAGCGTGCAGCGGGAGACTCAGCTCGCGCGGAAGGCGCAGGGCCACTCCGAGCAGCAGGGGCCGCGAGTCGCCAGGGTTTTGGCTGTGCTTGAGCTGCGAGGCGTGGATGGCCAGGATTTGGTAGAGCGACGACGCCGGCGAGGCGCTGGGATTTCCCAGCAAAAACTTTACGTCAACAGGGATGTCTGGGCTGGTGGCCAGGCGCTCGGCGTCGGCGTCGGCGAAGGGGTCGCTGTTCGCGGCCGCGGCGTTGCTAGCGACGACGGCCTGGATGAGGCTGCCCACAGAGGCGAGCTGGGTGACAAGGGCTACGACGCAGTTGGAAAATCCGAGGACCGCAACATCGGTGTGCACGCCGTCGATGGTGGCGGCAGAGACATTGGCCGAGACGGGCTGCATTGCAAAGGATAAAGAAAATGGCTGCGAATGGGAAGAGTGCTTTGAAACGCAGTCACAATCAATGCGTGCATGCGCGTATGCGTGCATGCGTGCGTGTATTTTTCAAGTTGCTTTATTAACCCCCTTATGAGGACAGTGTAGATATGGGCGAAGCTGCCTACCACCTGGGCGAAGCTCGGTCCGGACCAAAGTCAGACTACACAGCCTGCGTGGATGCGTGTATGCGTAACGCAAGGACCCAGCATTTCTTGAGCGGCAGAACGTATGGTTGCGGATGGGGTGGATTTGGCTGGCGCCGCCTGGTTTTATCTGTTTGCTGATCGCGAGTTGACTGCGCATATAGTTTCGACTTATAGGCTCACGGTGGCAGAGAGCGCGCCAGAGTGCTGTGCGTGGTTGGCTTCCTTTTTTGTTCTCTTTTCCAACTCATTCTGCAAAATTAGACGCCTTTTAATTTTAATTTACAAAACATACAAGCAAAAAAAAGCGAATCCAGTCCAGAAATGGCGGTAGACACAGTATACAGCGTGAAAGAGGGCAAAGAAACGGCACTGAGCATCACACTGCACAATGAGCACAGTGTGGCAGAGCCAAACGCAGGCTGCGGAAGGCATCCGTGGCACAGCATTCTGGGCGCAGTTGCTGAGACGCAGTCTTCTTGCCAGCAGGACTCGAGGCAGGGCTTGGGTAGCGGGCAAGCGGCCAATGCGCAGTCAAACACAAGTGCTCTGATGGGCATGGAGGATATTACAACACAAGGGCTGCTTGATGGGCTGGAAGAGCTCTACGACCAGCCGAGTGAATCGATCTTTCTGCTGCCCGGACCGAGCAAAGCTGGCTCATTGTTGCCGGCGGCGGCTGGCAAAGATGCTGTAGAGACTGTAAATAAGAGCGATGCGGCCGATTGCAGAGACAGCGCTGCCGATAAGCAGCTGGCAGACATGGATTCTCAGGAGACTGAGAGAATTGTTGAGCAGTTTGGCAGGTTCTCCAGCGCACGGCTCGGCGCGACATCCGAGCCCAATGCTGGCGGGCGGCAACGTGCGGGGCTTGTTGCTGGCCACAGCGTGCGAGCAGGCAAGGCACCCGACCCAGGGCCAGAACCCGACCCCGGACTTGAATCTGAACCTGGACCTGTAGCTGGACCTGGACCTGAAAATAGATCCGAGACTGCGGCCGACTCCAAGCTGGGGAGAGTTGACGAGCCCACGCCAGAGGAATCCCCCGCCAACACCATGGAATTCGATGGCATGAGCGAGTCGGAGGCCCTGGGCATCATTGACTCAATGGACGAGTTTGCGCGCGCGAACGCAGGCGACAGCTGCAGCGCCAAGCCAGAGCTTTCCAGCACTGGCGGCGACGCAGAGATAAAAGACATGGTTGACGAAGAGGCACAGGAGATCATATCGCAGTACGGCGGGTTCTTAAAAGCGCGATCTGTGGCAAGGGCTGGCGAGACCGCAGGCCCTGCAGTGCGCAGTCGAGCCTCGCTGCACCCGCACCCGCGAGCGCTCACGCCTTTGAATTCGCCGGCGGCAGCGCGGGTTTTGTCACGGGCGGCTCAGCCTACGGCGCCGGTGGCCGCGCCTGCAACGCCCCGCAGCGCTGTGCCAGGAAGCGCGGGGGTGCCGCCAAAGATGGCCAGCCCATTCCCGTCGCGTCAGGAGGTTCTCTCGGCAAGGCGCGCCCTCAAGGGCGACGCGGGCAGGCCGCCTGCGCTGTCGTTCAGCACGCCGCTAGGAAAGCCCAGGTTGCGCCTGGCTCTCAGTGCTCTTCCCCCTCTCACAGCAGCAGCGGCACCAGCAGCGGCAGCAGAATCGACACAATCAGCGGCTGCGGACACACCGCCAGCAGCACCGCCAATGCTGGCATTCAAATCGCCAGGCCTCAAGCGCCAGGCGCCGCGCATGGGCTTTACGCCACCAGCCAAGCGCGCGTCGTTTGCGCAGCCGTTTCGCTCACCAGCAAGATCGGCCGACCACAGCCCAGCGCCGCTGCCAGGGCGCGTCAAGCCGCCGCCGAAGCTGCCGCCGGTTACAGTGCGGCGGCAAGCAGCTGCGGGTGCTCGCGCGCAGCTAGAGGCCAGGGCGGCAGCGGCTCCAAGGGACACCCGCGGCGAGCGCTGCGGGTTGCAAGCGGTGGCAGACGAGATTGCGACCACAGCCGAGCAGGCGACGGCGCACGGCGTTCCCGGCGACGTGCTGGCGATGACGGCGGCAGCGGCCGGCGCGTACGCGTTCGCAATAGGCACGGGCCGGTGGGGGTGGGCTGAGGCGCGGCAGACGCTGCTGGCGCGCGGCTGTGAGCCGAAGGTTGTGGCCGAGGCGTGGGTGCGCAACCACTTTCGGTGGAGCGTGTGGGCAGCGGCCAGCTACGCGCGGCGGCTGCCGGCGCGGTGGCGCACGCTGTGGTGCGTCGAGGCCGTGCTGGCGCGGCTGGTGCAGCGCTATGAGTGCGAGTATTTGCGCGGGCAGCGGTCGGCGCTGCGGCGCGTGCTGGAGGGCGACGCGTCTGCGCAGCAGCTTATGGTGCTGGCCGTGGCGGCCGTTGGCTGGCAGGGCGCAGCGCCGCGCCTCGAGGTCACCGATGGGTGGTACGGCGTCGCGGCCTCGGCCGATCCGGTTCTGGTGCAGGCGCTACGCAGCGGCCGGCTACGCGTCGGTGACAAGGTCGCGTGCGTGGGGCTGCGCCTGAGCGGCGTGTCCGACGGCATCGATCCGTTGTCGCCGGCGGCGCGCAGCGCAGCGCTGGTGCTGAGCGCCAACTGCGTGCGACGCGCGCGCTGGGATGCGCGACTGGGCTTCCAGCGACGCGGCGCCATGTTCATGTCCCTGTCGGCCGTCTACGCGCTGGGCGGCGCCGTCGGCGCGGCGCTGGACGTCGTCGTCGTGCGCAGCTACCCGATGGTCTTTCGCGAGGCGCTGGCCGGTGGCGCTCACGTCACACGCTGCGAGCGCGAAGAGCTGCGGCTGCACGCTGCCCACGACACGCGCCGCACCGCGCGCCTTCAGGAGCTGGCCGAGGCCCGCTTTGCGCCCGGCATCGGCACCGGCACCGAGGCCGCCTCCGACGCGCTGCTGCAAATTGTCGACGCCGAGATGCCGCCGCGTGCGGTGCGCGCGCTGTTCCGCCTGCTGGTCTGCGACTACCCGGCGCACACGTACCGCACGCCCGAGAGCAGCGGCTCGCGGCTCGCACTCGTCACGTTCTGGGCACCGCGCGGGCTCGGTCCCGCTGACTTTCCTGAGGGCCGGCGTTTTCTGATGACCGGGCTGACCGTCTCGCCGCAAAACCTTGCCGCCGCGTCCGCCGCGCCGCCGCCGCCGCTGCGCCTCAACTTCAACGCCTCCGGCAGCCGCTCGCGCCCGATGCCCGCCGACGCCGCTCTCGTCGACCTCTCCGAGTACCGCGAGCGCGGCGCGCTGCATGTGGACGAGCTGTGCCATGTTGACGTGTGCCAGGAGGTCGACCTTATTGGGCGCGTCGAGGCCTGCAGCCACCCTGGCACTGGCGCCGGCGACCGCGACGGTGACGGCGACGGCGACGGCGGCGGCGACAGCAGCGCCAGCGCCAGCAACCGCCGCCGGACGCAGTCTATCCTGCGCCTGAGCAGCCCCGACGAGCACGGGCACGCCTTCTATGCAGAAATAGCCTTCGACGCCCCCGCATTCGGCTTCATCAGCCCGGCGCCCGGCTCGCTGGTGACTGTGCGCAACTGCATCTGCCTGGCACAGTCAAGCGCCGAGCCACGCACCTTTCTGCTGCGCGCCGAGGACTCGACCGAGTTTGCGCTGTGATTTCAAGAGAAGCAAATATATTTTTTAAAGTAGCGAATAAAGAAGTACAAGCTGGCAGCCCCGCCGCCGCCGCCGCCTTCAATCCCAACTTGGCCGGGCTTAGCCCAGGAAGTTGGCCACGATGAAGTGCAGCACAATGTGGCAGAAGACAAACTCGGCAAACGCGCCCTCGGCCGACCCCGACGGGAACTGCGCCCGGTTCTTGGGGTTCGTCTTCATGCGCAGGTTCGCTGCAAACACAAAGCACGCCACTGCCGACCCAAACCCCGCCAGGAACGCGTTGTACGGGAAAGTGCCCACCAGCCCGCAGTACACGAACTGCACGATGCCCACTGCCACGCAGAACACCATGTATGTGTCGATGACCTTCAGCCGCTGCGGCGTGTTGGCTGTGTATTCCCGCGCCAGAGAGCTGACGATCCCTGGCACGCTGGCCGACGTGTTGAATGCCGCCGCTGTTGTTGTTTCTGCTGCTGCTGATTCGCGCGCCATTCTGCTGTTGTAGTCTGATTTGCCTTTGGCTTTGCTTTTGCCTTTTGCTTTTTGCTTTACCCGACGATTGGCCTGTCGATGTTGTCGAATTGCAGAGTCAATGTGGGAATGGGAGAAAGGATGCAAAGATTGAGCTACAGGTTGACGGGCCTCTGTCGGAGTATTAGAAGGCCAAAAGAGGATGGGAAGCAAGCATGATTGAACATATCACAGGCATAGCATGAATCGAGAGATTTCAACTGGATTTTCAGAAGCAGCTCGGCGTCCCTTTTTTTGGGCACCTAAAAACAACAACACTGTTTTTTCTTTTCCCTTTCTTCTTTGGCCACAGCCTGCGCTGCTCTTCTTCGTTGTACCTCTTCTAACACACCTACGCATCCCCTTAATTCTACTACTTCTCTGAAAACCGTGCTTGCCTCCCTCCAAATTTCCAATTTCCAGCTTCCAGTTTCCAGCACTACTCACTCTCACTCTCCCCGTTTTCCGACTCCGCCCTACACAGCCCGCTTCCGTTAGACATTCAGCCTTTCCCCAAATGGCCGAATCCATAATCACCTCGGTCACCAACCAGGCGGCCTACGCCCGGCCCCACGGCGACTCCTCCAGTGACTTTCTGCCGTCGCAGATAGCGCTGAATGTGCGCGGCCGCCGCTTTGTCATCGACCGCGAGACGCTCAGCCACCTGCCCGACTCGCTGCTCAACACGATGTTCCCGAACGGCCTGGCGCATATCGGCCGCTCGTATGGCGGCTACGGCTACGGCTCCTCGGACTACGCCTACTACCGCGGGGGAGGCGACGCCGGCGAGCAGACGTGGGTCGACTTTGACCCCGACATGCTCGAGTACATGCTGCACGCATACAGCGACACGCTCGAGTTCGACCTGCTGGCCCTCAACCGCACCTCTCAGGGCGGCGCCGCCGCCCGCGGAATGGCGCACGGTGAGGGCGAGGGCGAGGGCGAGGACACGCAGGGATGGCCCAACTACACCAACGACGGCAAGGCGAACATCTCCGGCAGCTCGGCCGCCGGTGAGCCGCCCAAGAAGGTTGCTCCCGCTGCCGGCGCCTCGAAGAACGACAGCATATCCACATTCACCGATACGGGCTCGCACCTCAACAGCAGCAGCGGCGCCGCCACACAGAGCACGTCGTCATCGGCCGTGCTTAACTACATCCGCTTCGTATCGGACGGCTCGTCCCCCGCTAACGGCGGCCAGGCCGCCGGCCCCGAGGTGGTCCCGCGGATGCCAGTCGAGACGCCCGTCGTCTACTACGACCGCAACCCGCTGGTGGTGCTGCGTGAGGAGCTGGACTACTTTGTTGTGCCATCGTCTGGCCGCACCAGAGGCGACGTCAGCGATGTCCCCGGATTCACGCTGGACATGGCCAAGACCCGCTGCGGCGAGCTGCTGGCCGAGGACGACAGCGTCTTCGAGCCACTCGAGCGGACCATGCAGCGCAACCTGGAGAAATGGCGTGTCAAGATGAGCACCGAGGGTGCGTCCGACGAGGCCCATGCCCTGCAGTCTGCCACCGTCATCGAGCAGCAGCTCATCGACATGCTCTGCCTCGCCGGCTTCCCGCGCGACGCCAGATGGGGCTGCCGCCGCGTCGAGCCCTCAAAGACCGCCGTCACCAGCCTCCTCACCGTTCCGCTCGACGAGTCGGCCGACCAGGCACGCATGATCGCCGCGCAGAAGCTGCTTCTGTTCTACAAGAAGCCCGCACGCAAGTGCTGGTGGGAGGGCGAGGACGTCAATGCTGGCGACAACGAGCACAAGATCGACCTCAAACTGTGGTGCAGGCGCACCTGGACACTTGAGCTGGTTCTCATCTAGCCGCCAGCCTCTCACTGTTACCGCCGCTCGGAACCAAGGCGCAGCAGGCCTCCGCGTCTCGTCATCCAGCCACGCTTCCCCCTCCTTCTTTCTCTATTAATCCCCTCTCTCTCTCTGTTTCTTTTCATTTCTGTGCCTTTTGCTTTCTTCAATACACACAATTGCTTTTTCTGGCATTGATCTTTTTGTTGGATATAGGCCCAATCCTCACGTCGTTTCTGCGCTTATGCACATCAATTCGTAACTATAAAAATAAATGAAAAGCGTGCTCTGGCCAAGTAGCCGTTCTGCTTTTACCCCCACTGTCTGTCGCACCGGTGGTCTAGTCAGAGTCCTCGTCCTCGTCGGAGCCAGAATCTTCGCCCTCCTCGTCCTCGGAGCTGGACTCCTCCAGCCACTCGACAAATGTTGCGATCTTTTGCACCAGATCCTGGCTGACGTCGTCGCCGTCGGCCTTTTCAGACGCCTTGTTGTACCAGTAGACAATGGCCATGTCCTCGACAATGTCAAGCTCGTACATAAAGCGCAACACAAGCAAAAAGAGACGGCTGCGCACGCTCTCCTCGAGGGACCTGTCGAGAGCACAGAACCGCTCGACAATGTCAACCACATTGACCTGCTCGAGGTTGCTGCTTACCGTCCTTTTGATCAGCTCGCCCCACCTGGAGACCACGTGCTCGGCCGAGCCAGGCAGCGCGCTCACGTCGATGGACTTGAGAATCTCCTGGGTGACAATTCGCCGAATGTCCTCCTGCGACCCATTGAATGTGAACCGCAGATTGTTGATTTCAAAGCCCGCGACGCCAACGTCATAGTCCCTTTCAAACGAGCATTTGATCGACTGCCGGAGCTCATGCTCGAACGACTCGTCTGACACCTTGGCCGATGCACTGACTACCTGCTCATTGGACAGATCTTCCTCGGCGGTTGCAATGTCGCCAAGGACAGAGCCTACGGTGCGCAGCCGTCTGAGCCACGCTCTCGTGTTGGCAGACACGCCATCACGATCATGTCCGCCTATCACGTTGCTCCACACATATCCAACTCCAGATGTTCCCACGAGATTCAGGTCGAAGGACTCGAGCTCCAAAGCGTTGCCAGTAGTGCCGGGCGCCGCTGCCGAAGCTGCGGTGGGTCTCTCGTCGGCCGAGCCGCTGGTGCGCGTGTTGCGAGTGCCTTTACCGTTGCCTTCGTCCGAGTCCGAGTCGGAGTCCAAGCCAGACTCGTCATCGGACGACGCATAGTTCTCTGAATCGGAAGAGTCGTCGCCGTTTTCCTGGGGCAGCCAGCGTGCAATACGAGTAAACTCGGGGACCCGGACATTGGGCCCAATTGTCACGTCATCTCCAATGATGCACCCGCGCTCGACAAACACATTATCCAGGATATTCACGCGCTCGCCGATGATCGACCGCTCAACCACCGAGCCCTTGCCGATCTTGGCCTCGTTAAACAGGTGCGAGCCGCGCACCGTAGCAAACTCGCCGATACGGCAGCTTGTGCCCAGAACCGAGTCCGAAACCTGTGCAAAGTCAGCCACGTGCGAGTTGGAGCCGAGCATCACATGATGCTCCACGCGGCTTTCGCGCCCAAGAACCACCGAGTCTGCCTTGTAGACGGCCCCGCGGTTGTAGCTATACGCGGTTTCGTCAGCTGGATTGCTGTCGGGGCACAGCGGATATGCCCATCTTGCGATCAGGTCGCGGCTAATGGCGTCGTATGATGACGTGTCAATAACGCCTGCCGTATAGCCACTGTGGCTCACGTACGCGAGATCATGGTTCAAAATACCGCCTTCGTCCTTGCTTCCAACAGACCCCGCACCCCGGCTGCTGACACCGCGGCGGCCACTAGCGCTGCGATTGATCGTGGTCCGGCCGTCGGCGCCAATGCTGCTGGTTCCAGCCAAAATATGCGCGTAAAAGGTCGCACTCTCCAGGGGCGAGGTCGAGATGGAGTGGATAAAGTCGCGCCGCACAGTTTGGTAATCGCTGTTATCTCTGAACATCGAAAACACGAGGGGAGAGCAAATGTAAACGTTGGTGTCGATAAGGTCGGCGCGGATTTCGACCTCGGGGTTATCCGTGATAACGCTGATTGGGATATCTAGTTCATTGGTCTTGGGCAGCGAGGAGACGGAGTCGAGCGAAAACAGCCTGTTTGTTCTGGGGTTGATGACGTACACGGACTCCTCGCTCTTGTCACGGAGGCGGTGGGACGGCGTAGCCTCTTGTAACAGCATAGTCATGACTTGTTCAGGGTCCTTATGCTTGTTGGCCATGTGCGCTTTCACCAGCTGCGACAAGTCCATGTTAGAGATGACAACGCCTGTGCACAAGATAAAGTCAGAGACAAAAGGCGTGTCATCGATTTCGCACAGGGCCTCGCCGAGCGAGTTGGGCTTTCGCACGATGGTGATTTTGATTTTCATCGGAGAGTGGGCGCGCATCCACTTTGATTGCTTGATATACGCCTCGATGGCCTGAGAGTGCGATTTGCAAACGACCACTGTTTCCTTGACACCCGAGGAGGCCAAGAAGTCGAGTGTGTACTCGATCATCGGGACATTGCACAGGGGCAGCAAACAGCGCGGCTTGTTGAACGACAAGGGCTGGAACAAGTCATCGAATGAGTCGGCCAGAACGATGGCCACTAGAACATTGCTTTGGGCGGCGGCGGCCTTTTCTTGTTTGTTTCCCTTCCCAGGCGCCATTGATTCTCGTGGAATAGAGTGTAATGTAGTTGTGCTAGCTAGATATATTTTATGTGCCTCTCGATATAATCAAGAGAGCGAAATTGATTGAGTACTTGAATAAATGAAAACAAAAAGTAAAAAAGAAGAGATAAACAATGCGAATAAAAAATAATTTGATTGAATTCACAAGGGAAGAAAGACAAATGCCAAAGGCGCGGTTGACCCTTGACATGAAAAGAAAAAAATGAGTCGATTGGAGTCACGTGAATTGTATTTTTTGGACTTGATTTGTAATGAAAAAATCTAAAGCTTGGATACGCGGGGCCCGCGCTTGGCCTGCACAGGCTTGTCAGTCTTGTTAACCCGCTGGCGGCGCAGCTTGCCCTACACTTGCAGACATGAAAAATGTTTATCACATTGATATATTCGGGGAGAAACTGTAATTAGTATACAACAGCTTGACTAAAGCTAAGGACCAGATACACCTGGCACAGTAGGCACACATAGTGACAGTCGAATACGAGTAAGCAAATAAAAAACGTACCTTCTCCTTTGACTTTAGCGCATTCGTCTTTGGCTTGTGTGACGAGTAAAAGCACTGCTGGAGCGCAGCTGGGGCCGAAACTCGCAGTTGTGAAATGCTGGTCGCTGTGAAGATCCCCGACACGGCCTTTGATATCGCGAACATTGTATTCGTGTGTGTTTAAAAAGGAAGGGGAATTGAAGCGCAAAAAATAAACGAAATTCAAATTTCAAAAGGCAGAATTGCAAGTGTCACAGAACTCGATCGCGGTCAATGATGTTTGGCAATCAAGCAGAGGAAAATTTTCACGGTCAAGTCGAGTCGCATGTGGCTTAGGAAATAAAGCTACGATAGGCTCGCTGGGGTTTTAAAACCGTGGCAAGTTCGCTAGGTTTTTATAGTATTTCTTTGACTAAATTTATTATATATCAGTCATCTTTTTAGTTATTATAATCCGCAGCGCCAAATACGCCAGCAAAACTGCAGAGAAACGCGTGTGGTTACACAAACTTTTCACTTTTATCTATTTTTTGGTGATTGCCCGTACACTATAAGAAAATAATGAGGTTACAAATATACTTCAAACCGACATCCTTCCCCAGATATAAGGTGTTTAGAAGTTAGTGGCAATAGACCACTATGGTTAACAACATTAATCAGTTTGCTGCTTCTTTTGAAGAGAAGAAGCAAGGGAAGAAGGGTTCTTGCGCACACGCTTGGGCTTGGGCTTGGGCTTGGGCTTGAGCAGAGTCGGGTCTCGCTGTAGACTCTGGTTCAGCCGACTCTGACGATGCCTTTTCGCACAATAAATGGGGAGGACGCTCGCCTGTAAGCAGAGCATTAAGGATGATGCGAAAGTTTAGCACCGCAGCCATGCCACGATTATTCCACTTCCGTCTGCCTGATGGCACTTTTTCGCTATTCTTGGTCTTGGTTCCGTCGGCCCTGAAGGTTTGCAGGCAGTCTTCCATTGTATACTGGAGAAAGCTGTGGCATATAATTTGACAAGGTTCTTCTACCACCGGAATTATATTACCGCCTGTTGCAGTTGGCTGCTGCTACTGCTGCTGCTACTGCCGACCATTCTGCTGCCGCGCGGCCAACGCATCGCGTATCCCCTGTCTGATTTTGCGCTTAATTTTGCCCTGCGACCAGCCGCTCAGCCTGACAATGCGCTTGGGATTATCAGCAGGCTGGATATTAACGCATTGCTTCCGATTTCGCTCAGCCTTCTCATCCTGCACCTGCTGCCTAATTTTGCTGTCAATTTTGTCCTTAGGCCAGCCCTTTTTATCTCCTATCCACCGGATGATATCAGCAGACTGTGGGTGAATAGGCATTCATTGGTTGCGACTCTGCTGTACACTTTCTGTAATAGATGCGGCGTTGGCGGCAGTTTTAGTTGCAACAAAAACGGCAGTGGTTACTGCTGCGACAGATACAGCAGCTGAAGTGGTTGAAGCTGTGATAGAATCAGATGCTGCTGCTGCCATTGCGATATGGTCCTTGTGCTTGGGATTCTTCAGAGGAGGATTATCAATTTTGCGGAATTTTTCCATCCTGCTCCCACATGCCGGGCAAAACGTTGAGGTGCAATACTCGTGAATGTGCTGTCAGAGCATCATATGAGCTTGTCTAAGCCGAAAGGCCACAAGCTACTGCATTAATTCCGAATAGGCATTTATACAGTGGAATTTGAGAAGTTTTACATTGCCTATAAAAGGGAAATTAGGGAATATTTAATAGGAGGCTTCTCGGAAGGAATTTTGGGAATTTAGTATAATACAAGATTTATTGATGTTAAAAATAGTTTTTTTTCACAGATGTTGGAAATATACGTGGGGAACAACGCATTTCTGAATACTCAGGTATCCTGTTTTGGGTAGTCTAGATACAGGTGATCAATAACAGAGAAGCCCATCTGAAAGCCATGACTACATTCAGAATCAACGTGGTTTTCTGATGCGCATAAGGTAAAACAAAGTCAACATGCAGCCTCTTCAGTCGGCCAAAGTTGATAAGTCCAGGAGTTTGGCTGTCAGCTAGAAGTCCAGTTCCCAGAAGGTTAGCAGGAGAGTTACGCAAATTTAGGATTTCAAGCGTGCTGGAGTGTATTCTTAGCAGACAATTGACAATGTGCTTTGCAATATATAGCCTGAGATAAACGAGCTTATCCAAAAATGCTGATGCAGAAATCGAACAGACAGGAGTATGTGTGAGGCTTGTTGTTGTGTTAAAAAGTATATATATATTCGAAAAATGAACTAAAAAAAGCTAAGGGATGAACAGCCTCCATTGTTCATATTCATTGATATTTATATATGCATACGAATTCCCGCATATCCAAGTAGGAAACTAACTAGTGATTGATTAATGAATCACTCACTGGGGGCAAGCCGCAATTTCTTGTATCACACTTGTCAGCCTGGCTGCATACTCGTCAACAAATGGCTTGGCAAACACATTGTCACTTTTATAGGAGTTGTGGGTGTCAGTGTGGAGTTGCGATACGCTTGGGAATATATCGGCCAAATTAGCAATATTTTCAAATAGATGTCATTTGCATTTCCATTAAAAATCATGGGTTCATAGTCGCCTATAATCTACCTACTCTGGTAAAACCTAAAGTGTAGTTTTAACGCTAGTCCACAAAACACCTGCCTGTTGCAGCTCGCAAACCAAAGCCGCCAGCATATCCGAGACTTACTTGTAAGTATCAATGCTGATTAACATTGTTTTAACGTGGCTTTGGCCGCCAAAAACCAAGATCCCGGTAATATCCATTGTTATAACTGCATGCAAACTTGGCTTGTTGGCATGTCTGCATACGTCGGTGTACTTTATTTTTGCGCTTGAGCAGATAATCGGCAGTGCAAGCCATTCCCATTACTGGCACACGCCCACCAGCACGGCAAATTTGTGTAACAGCTGCTGCGTATTAGAATTTTAACTGCTGTATTGAGGACCATTATAATAATGTTGTCGGGGAGGTAGACGCTTGTCATACTGGTTTAAAAATAAAATATTAAATGAAATGTGTAAATATAGAAAGCAGCAAGTTTGGATTTAAACTAAACAAAAAATAAAGGAAAAATAAATGACAAAAAATAAACACGCTAAAATATGGCAAGCAAATAAATATAGTCAGGCATTGCTGAAAAATATTAATGCTGATTTATTTTATAGACAAATTTCATTTATTGTTTCTCATTCATGCATGCAGATAAATTAGCATCTATAGTGCAGAAATCCATTCAATCGTTTAAAAATTCAAATCTAAATAACTGGCTGCAGTTTATAGATTGTAGATAAAATAAAATAATTTTGTTAACAAAAAAATTATTGCTTACCAACACCATTTTTGACACTTGCAAGATACTTCAGCGTGCCTCCCAGGGTGTCAAAAGAATTTTTGCGCATAGCGTCAATGGCATGCGGGATCTGGATAATGGGGAATTGGATATGTCCGAAATGACTAAAAAAAGAGAAATGCAACTCAAAACAATGTTTGTTCTGGATGCTAGTCAATTTGGTAACGGGGGAAAGCAGAAGGCCTAAGGGCAGTAAATTACGCGGTATTGACGCAGGCGCAGGCATGTATGATGCTTTATCAAATATTCTGTCTAGGCAGAGGTTGGAGCGCAAGTGTTTGGATACCCTATGGGCTGCCACTAGCAATTTCAGCAAAGTAAACATTACTTTTCAATTAAAATATTATGTATTATTTGTAGATACATACAATTTGTTAGCCAGCATTAAAATAACAAATGGTTAACTCATGTCTTCTAAATGAGGTTTCAACATATATTTATTTATAATCAAATACAAAAAAGTATAATTTGTGGTCGTTAAATGATAATAAAAAGCAATATGATAATGTTATTGTTGCACAGACTGAAGATATGGAAGTGGATGTTGAGGTTGAGAATCGTGAAACAGGTTTCCACCTACATGCCGATTGATAGGGCACTAATTAAATCATGTAGGCATAAATTAGGGAGACATTACACTGATGCCCAAACATGCTCCCCATTTTGCAATGCACACGCGTGAGTGCACACACACAAAAACCACATTAACTTGCCAAGATACCGGTGTGCCACAGAAGATCCAGTTCTTATCAACGGAGCACACAATTGGCAATTTGCACAACAAAGGCAACGAGGCACATATATAAGATGAGGCCGGTCCTAGTAGCATTTTAGAAACATCAGTAATAAAGCCTTTTATAAATTAAACACCATTTTTTTAACAGTAAACAACTAGTGCTCTCCACACCCCCTCTCATTATAACATTATTACGGTATAAATATTTTTTGTACATCAAGTATTGTTGTAAACAAATCAAATTACATAAATTTTTAAAAAAATATGAAGTACTTGCATAGAAGCTGCTGCTAATAATCAACGGCATTCATTATCCAACTATCATACCATGCATTAACACTGTAATAACAATAAATAGTCTATTAAATATAACCACTAAAAATCCACTATAAGGAGCTAAAGAAGCTCCCTTATCAATTGAAAACTGCAAGTAGAAAACTAGCGATGAATAATCGCAGAAAAAACCACAATTAAAGGTAATCGCAATTGTCACGTGTCATTGCTCTAATTGATATCATACCTACCACCATGCTTTGGTCTTCCCTTCATTAAGATGCGCAGTTTTAAGGTGGTATTTCATTTCTGTTCAGTTCAAAAGTATTTGAACATCCTTATTTGGTGCATTCTATTTTGGCCATCTTTTAAGATTGCTTTATAATCGTTAATATATGTCTTATTTTAATAATGCTGGCTTAGGCAATAATACTCAAGATATAATGCTCCTATATGGTCACATTCTGTTGAAATGGCGATAAGAAATAAAAAATACGTTCACATGTAATAATACACATGTCTTTTATACTATAGAAATTGAGAGTATTTTAATGAACACAGGTAAAAATGAAGTATTTCTGTGGTGCCCAACACACATTTCAAGCCACTATCTTCCTTTCCAACCATCAAGACCCCTCATGGCTGCTATACACATTTCTGTTATTGCTGGCTGACATCAAGGAGCAACATCATATCCACAGCGCTGTCCACACAGCGCTGCCCCTTTTTTAGTTCCCGAAGTAATTTATGATACTTAAAATATATTAGTTTAGACCCACATTTCCTAGAGCATAACATTTTTTGTGAGGTGTAAAACAATTTATTCTCTTTATATTTTTAAAACTTGATGAGTGGGCACGTCTGCCAAAATATAAACTTGCGTGTTAACGAGTGAATTCAGTCAATGTACTCATAAATATATATTCAAAACCCAGGAAAAGAGAAGAGAGAACTAATAAATGTTGTTTTGCCCTTTTTATGACTGTCTTTGTAGCCCAATGCCCATCAGTTGCCATTTTATTTGTGAGCACTAAGTAAATGTATGCCCAACATAAACAGTAAATCCCTGGTCTATTAGCATTTCTCGCAGCCCCTTGCCATGAATTGGCTCATGGTAACTGTGATACAAGGAAATGAGGCTTGTTCCCAGTGATTAATTAATCAAACACCCGTTAATTCCTGACTCAGACATGCGAGAATATTGCATCTGAGCAATATAAATAGTAGAGTAACACAAATGATTGATGCCATTACTCATTAGCTTTTTTAGTTCATGTTAAATAATACTTTTTATTGTAACAGTAACGGGTCATGCCTGGGGTCAATTGCCAAGAATTAGGACCAGATCTGGCCCATATTTTGCACGTAAATATTTTGCAAGTTTGTCGTCGGTATGATTTCTGTTAATAAAGGAAAGATAGCGGAGCTTGCAGTGGAGGGATCAGTTGAGCTGCTGCCGTTGTATTTCCGACTCTTGCCAAGGGTCTGTGTGTTGTGATAATTCTCTGTCAAATCAAAACATCCCTTTCGGCGCTCAAGTAGGTATTCGACATACAACTTGCAATTAAGTGTGCTGGAGCCAGGGTGGTTAAGCGCGCGCTCAGCATCCTCAACAGACGTATACCAACCATTTGTTTCCGCCTTGGAAAGCTTTGCAGGGTCAAGCTGGAATACATTTTTTGCATTTTTGCGGATCCGACGAAACATGGATTCATGACGCTTATTAGCCTGAAATTTATGTTATGGCAGAAAGTCTTCCTCACCCTTTTTGTAATTGCTGTCATATCCCAGACAATAAAGTATATCCCGTCGACTGTATCACAAATAACTGATTTACCAAAAATATCATTAATGCCATTTTTTGGCAAAGTACTAATGTATTCGAGAGAAGCCTTCTTACTGTGGGGCATACCACTGGCAAGTTCACCGTCATTACTGCTGCTGTTGTTGTCAGCATCGCCAGAACTTTTCCAAGACTGTAAAATGCTCTTATCCTTGATCCTCTCAGTCCTGATATGCTTTTTCTGTGTATTTGCAGGCGAGTCGAGTAATACGATTATTGCAATGCTATCCGCATGAATGATCCCTCCAAACTTGTGTGATTTGGCTACCTCTCGAGTATGTCACAGTTTAGACACATGGCGTTGCATGTTGCCTTACTGAGATTAATTGATTACGCGCGTGGCAATTAAGAAATGATGTTTTTATTATAGCTTATTTATATGCCAAGAACATATAAAAGGTGTGGCTATCGGGAAGCCAGTAATTGTTCTCCTTGGAAGGTATAAATATCCCTTTTGATTTATACCCCTTTGTAACAAATATCGAGCGAGAATGACCAACAAGATATATCACAAAAGAGTGACCAAATTTCCTCTGGCAACTTGACTAAAAGCTCCCTCATAGGCGGAATCTTGGGGAACTCAATATCCAGGCAAAGACTGTCCTTGTGCAGTGCTCTGAGTCGGCTCATAGTGACAGACAGAATACTCCGTGAAAAAATGGTCTTATCGATTGTAGTAGACCCTGGTACAATAGACGTCCTCATCAGGAAGAGGGAAATTGTCTTCATTTCCTTGAGATTTAAAAACCGGAAAATTTCAACAAAAGTCCCAATGTAGTTCACTGTATTGGCCACAGTGTCATACTGGAACCCCTTGTTGCTAAAGCTGTAGCCCTTGGGGTAGGTGCCAAAGAAGCTCTCAATTAGGCGCGCTATTCTGTCGCGAAGCACAGAGTCTAAAATCTGCTTAGTGTTGATCTACTTCCCGGCTTTGCTAGTTGTAGCAGACAGTAGATCTCTCTTCATTGTGCCTGCTGGAATTCTGATATCCTTGCTTATGTACTGTTGTATTTGTTTTTCAGTATGGCCACCCTCACTCTCAAGAATCTAGTACTGTTGTTTAGTCCTTTTCTTTACGTCAAGTGTTATGTCAACCGTATGTTTCAATTGCCTGTTAAAGCGCTGAGATATATGAGATTTATACGCCACCAGAATTGTCGGTCCCTCATAATTAGCAATATTGGGCGTACCAGTGAGATGTGGGCACTCAAACTTGATATCCTTGACGAATGTGTGCCTGTGCTTGTTGACGAGTTTGCCGTTTTCAGTTTTAAGGTTGTTTCTGCATGGTTTATTTCTGGCGTCGAGGCAAAGGGCGATGAAACACTCCTTAAAGAAAACTGGATTTAGATGGTTGACGATATTAAAGCCCTCGTTATCCAGCTCTTGTAAAAAGATATACTGTGCGAGCTCGTATGTGGCTGCTGTAACATGGTGGATAATGACGACATGTTCGCGCAGAACTGTCAAAAAGTAGGAACAGTGCATCTTGCAGAGGCCGAGGAGCGCCTCTACGCTAATGGGCATAAAAATAAAAATAAAAAGTCGAATGGTAAGACTATTTTCCAAAGAGTATATAAATATATTTTCCTAAACTAAAACTAACTAAAAAAGGCTCATCGACTTCATTGCATTCGCAGGGGATTATTATATCCAACACATCCAAAACAATAACAAGCACCAGCACTGGAATTGGCATTGGAATTGGTATTGGCACCAGTACTGGTTTAAGTGCCTAAAATCCCAAAAGCCAGCGCCCTGATTCCCTGTTTTCCCAACCCGCAATGGTACTGAAAATAGGCGTTGGTACAGGGCGCGCTGAATACCAGCCATTTTATAGTGTTTTATAGTATTTTCTAATAAATAAAACTCCAAAAACCCCAATCTAAAATATCTGAACCCCGAAATTTTGTATGGAATCGCTCTACAGAATCGCTCTATGGAGTTGCTCAATGGAAAATTCATTTTTTTAATTCAGGAATGTCGATAAACTTCATGTTTTAGGCGCTAAAACCAAATTATTTATTCATTTCCTCCAACAAAGAAGTATTTTTATTTTAGGCAGGCAAAAAATGGAGAAATGAAGTATTTCTTCACCCCGCATTTTTCATCGCGTATCACGCAAAATTAAATCTTAATTTTTCAGCGCTTGGCTCCCTTCTTGCCCTTCTTTCCCTTGGCGGTAGACCTCTCCTGTACGATTTGCTCCGCCAAGTGCCGAGGAAGGTTGTTGGCCAGGGCATGGCCGGTGTCCTTGATGTGGTTGAATAGATGGTTGCGTGTCTCGAATTCCCGGCCGCACACGTTGCACCGCAGATCGCTGCCGCCTTCTTTTTGTTCCTTAATTTTTTGCCGCTCGCGACGCAGCTCCTTCTTCGACACGCGCTGCGCACTGCCGGCAGTGTCAGGCTTGGAGGGGGGGTCGCTGGAATTTGATAGACGCGCACCTTCAATGTCCGCTAAGTCTAAGTCTAAGTCCACTGGCTCGAGGCTTTGCGAGATCGCAACATCTTGTGCCAGCAGCATGTTTGCCTGTTGGCGCCGCTTCTTCTTACTCTTCTTACTCTTGCTCTTGGCCTCCTGCGCCAGACTCACGCTTCCAACCATCTGGGCCAGGATAGAGTCCTCGTCGTCCGTGCAATCATCCTCAATGTCGGTGATGTGGCTGTCTGATGCAGCTTCGGTGAGGTCGCTATGTTCGTCGAGGATGGGGTCACTACATGCTGGCTGCGTCGAATTGCCGCGAGTCCCAGACAACTTTGCCATGCGGCGCTCCTCACGCATCATTTCGCGCCGGATCTCGCGCACGGCCTTTTGGTGCTTCTTACTCTTCTCGTGGTTCTCTTTTTGCGCAGCCGTTTTAAATAGCTTGTCGCATGTGAAGCACACAAGCTCGTTTTCCGGATCGAGCTCATCCCCGGACACAACCTCGAGCTCGATTCCACTTGCAAAATCATCCTTGCCTCCAACGATATCGGTATTGTCGCTGGCGCTATCGCTGTGCTCCTCTGGGGAGTAGTCAAGGTGCTCGTCCAAAAACTTTGAGTAGTCGACCTCCTCCCACGCCTGGCGCACATACGTGCTGGCGTCTTCAACAACTGCGGCGCGTTGTTCGGCCATGCGGCGCTTGCGCTCGCTTTCCCGCTCCAGCTGCAGGGCCTGCTGCTCATCTGTGTAGCGCTTGTAACGTGGGTCGCGCTTCTTGAGCCAGGAAGCTAGGTTCTGGACAGTTTCAGTGAATTCCCGCTTCGCCTTGTCGCGCAGGACCTTGTTTTCCTTCTCCATCAGCCGTCTGATCTGGCGGTTCTCTGCATCTGCCAGCCGAAATCTGTCAAACCAGCCAAACGACTTGCGCGACGAAAAGCTCGTCCAAAAGTTGTAAAAGTCGCGCAGTGTAGACCCGGTGCCCTCGCTTCGACGCGGCTGGCGGTTCGACCGGTTCTGGGATCTCGCATAGGCGGCGTCCTCATCGAACAGAGTAAAAGACGTACCAAAGTCAAGATTTTGTAGGTAGTCCATTTGGCTTTCCGTTTCGGGGTCATACACGTCGAGCTCTTCATCGCGGAGCCGTGCAAATAGGCCGCGATAGACCGTGTAGAATCCTGACGGCGAGTCGTCGAATCCACGAAAGGACGACAGGCTAAAAAATTTCATTAGATAATCTGTCGAAACAAAGCTGACATTCGCGCTCTGGCCACCCTGGCCGTGGCCCGATCCCGTCCCACTGGCTGAAGCAGCGGCCATGTAGTCGTCGCCGCGTAGAATCTGTTCGCGGTGGTTATCATACCATGCGCGCTCCTGGGGGTCGCTCAGCGTCTCGTATGCCTCCTTGATCTCGGCAAATATGCGAGTGGACTCGTCAGTGTTCCCGTGGTTCTTGTCTAGTTGCCAGAGAGTGTGTGTTTGCAGCAGCAGCAGCCGAGGCATGCAGGGCTGCGCATATACATACAGAAAAGATGGCCTGCGGTATTAGTATGTAGCAGGTGTGCAAGTGTGCAGCACGCAGGCTTTTTTCAGTATGCCTGGCAACAGCAGCGGGGTTCGACTCTTACCTGGATGCCAGATGAGCGCCTGCTTGCGGTATGCGCGCTTAAGGTCAGAATCACTAGCGCCGTGCTCAACTTCAAGCAACTCGTAGTAACATGTCCTCGCCATTTCTGTGTTCTATTTCTGTGCACTGTGAATCGAAATAGTAAATTTTTCGGACGAGTATATTAGACAAAGTGAGAAATAAAAACAAAGTGAATTTAAGTAAGCAAAGGAGAGGATAAAAAGGGGGAGGCGAACACATACAAAAGTTTATGACGTGCGGGCGCTCATTTTTTATTTGCTTAATTCTATTAAATCCAGATCACCAAGAGGCTTTGGATGGAGGAATATGTGTATCATGGTCATGTTGTTATTAAAGTTTTGGAGCGTAAAACTCCATTCATATTTTTTTGGTCAACCGCTCGTATATTTTGGTTGTCTGTCAATTTTTCATACTCTTTTTGGCGATTTTTCTTGAAAGTTTTTTATTGAGTTCGTTGGCTGCAATATTTGTTTTTTACTTGTAAAAAGTGAAAATATGTCACGGGGAATGACATATTTATACATTTGTTTTGCACCATTTCCCTCTAACCTAAGTCTTCTCTACTATGTTTGATACACAAAAAAGCACACGAATGCGCGATTTGGTCTGATTAATCAGTTCAGATATAAAAGGAAAGGGAGCCAAGCGATGCTGTATGTTTTTTAGCAGCTGAATGTTTGAGCTTTGTCGAGGTTGTCGGATCGAAGGCAGAAGTTTAAAGAAATATTGTACTAATAGCGATTTTCAAAATTATTGCAACTATGAAGCTATAGTTTGCCTGGTTGCTTGCTTGCGTTTGTTGTTTCTGCTGCTGCTGCTTCTTTTTTACTTTGTCTACGAAAAGCCGATATTTGGTTGGTATTATAAAATAAACTAAAAGTCAACATAGTAAAAATGGAAGAATCACTCACTGGAGTGGGTGTCATGTCACTTATCTTTTCGGGATCCATAGATACTAGATAATTACTAGCCATTTTAAGCTGCGCTTCTAATGTGTTGCAAGTTAGTTCAGATAATGTAACTATAAAAGAAGTGCACTCAGGAATAGTTAGCAGCACTATTTCAACTATTCGAGCAAAAAATGTAATTTCCAAAGTTTACAAATGTGTTTTGTAAACCACTCGACTAGTGTTGTAAATAATTGGCTTACAATTTTATTACTGAATTATTGTTTCGCAGCTCACTCAAAAAACAGTATTCACAATCACACGATTGATTTATAACCCCAGAAAGCTCATAAAACGAGGTACGATACTTCACAGAATTCAGAGCCAGCGCTCAAGGGCAAGACCAAGGCCGCTATCCAGTCCAGCACCAAGTTCAGGTGTTGGAACCGTGGCATTGCATTGGTGTGCAACCTCATTATGATATTTCTATATCATCGCGCATTTTTAGAGTGCCACCCAGCTTTCAAACACCCTGCTAGACTGCCAATTGATCCGAATGCCACGCCCAAGACAGACGCTGCTACAAAGCGCAACAATAATAGATAGTGTTCATCGTTTTCCTCAACATCAAGGGAGCTGTTACTATACTACCTGAAGGCTCGATCCTCATTGGGTAAAACCAGTGACTACGAAATGGATGGAGGGCTTCTTTCCAAAACTCACCAATAATAATAAAAACCATTATTTTCTCAATTGTGATGTTTTCAAATCCCTAACGCTGCGGATTTAGTGCAGGAAGAGATTTTAAGTTCTTCTGCGCTCGGAAGCTGTTTCAAAGCTTTGCTTTTTTTGCTTCCCCACATCCCCTTTGGCCTTTAACCTTTTGGTTTGGCTTTAGCTATTTCTTTTTTCTTTTTCTTTTCTTGAGTTTTGAAACATATTCTAACAGCTCACCTTGTATTTTTTCCCAATCAATTTTTCTATATACACAAAAAATACTTCTCAATTTGTGTACACGAGTATTTTGCCCAGCCACCTTTTACTAAAAAATGTACGACTATACTTCAGACGGGTTCATGGACGAGGACGATGAGGACGAATTTGTCTACTCCGAAGAGGAGTCTGACGTCGATTCCGGCTCTCTGGCAAATGACGGCAATGCCGGCCACACACAGCAATCGCAGAGCCAGGTCAGGTACTCAGAAGACGCCAGCTACGACGACGACGACTACTATGGGGGCGAGACCGGCGATTTTGATTCTATTTTGGCAGCGCACAGGGGAAAAAAGTCGTGGGAGGTTGACTTTAAGGTGCATAACGAAGCCGAGCTTAGCGCCAAGCAGGACGCCATCGTTGCGCGCCTGGAGCCCGTGCTGGCAACGTCGAAGGACACGACCACGCTGCTGCTGCGCTGCTACTTTTGGAAGGAAGACCCCCTGGTCGAGGACTATCTCATGGATCCCGATCGCATGATGAGCAAGGCTGGCGTATCGATCAACCAAGAGGACGTGTGCATTAGGTCGGGCGACGCTGACTTTGTCTGCGAGATTTGCTACAATGAGGGCTCCAACGAGGAGTTTCTCGTGCCATCGTGCGGGCACCGCTACTGCACGACATGTTACCGGACGTACCTCGCCGGCAAGGTGCATGAGGGCGGCTCGTGGAGGATCAGGTGCCCAGCGCCAAAGTGTGGCATGCTGGTTGGCACCAAGGCCGCACGGCTGCTGTTGGAGTCCAACAAAGACGACCTTGCGCGCTACAACCACAACCTTACGCGTAGCTTTGTTAACGACCGCGACTCGTTTGTATGGTGCCCAGCGCCCAACTGCGAGTTCGCTATCGAGTGCCAAGTTCCGCGGTCGGCGATGACTATGGTCGTCCCGACAGTGGTGTGCAAGTGCGGTAACCGCTTCTGCTTTGGGTGCCAGCTGCCCGATCACATGCCGGCGCCGTGCCATCTGGCGTCCACATGGTTGGACAAGTGTAAAGACGATTCGGAGACGGCCAGCTGGATTAAGGTCAACACGAAGGAGTGCACCAAGTGCAAGGCGACCATCGAAAAGAACGGGGGCTGCAACCACATGTCATGCCGTGAGTGCCGCTATGAGTTCTGCTGGGTGTGCATGGGCCCATGGGCTGAGCACGGCCAGCATTTTTACAACTGTAACCGTTTCAACGAGAGCTCCAGTAAGGACGCGCGCGACTCAATTTCTGAGACACGCGCGCAGCTTGAGCGCTACATACATTACTTCACGCGCTACAACAACCACGAGCAGAGCGCTAAGCTCGCGCGCAAGCTGCTGGCCACCACCGAGAAGAATATGGATCAGCTGCAGCGCGAGCTCACGCTTTCGTGGATCGAGGTGCAGTTTCTCAGCGACGCCGTCGACATTCTCAGCATCTGCCGCTCGACGCTCAAGTGGACGTACGTGCTGGCCTTTTTCATGAAGCCCGACAATCAGAACCAGATGGTTATATTCGAGAACAACCAGTCAGATCTGGAGATGGCCACCGAGCAGCTCAACGACCTCGTCGAGAACCCAACCTCCCACGGCTCCATCGAGGACATCAAGCGCAAGATCATTGACAAGTCAACCTACGTCAAGTCCCGGCGGGAGACTCTGCTCTCCGACACGGCCGCTGGGCTCCAGGAGAACCGGTGGACGTTCTCTATCTAAATTTCCTTAGTGTGCTTGATCTGGCCAGCGCCCTTTTATGTTTTATTGACACAAAAATACACAACCTTGTTATATTAATCAAGTTTGAAGAGTTGTTTTGTTTTCAAAACTCCCAATAGCAACATATACGTTTGAATGTAACTAGCAACGTGCCACACATGCTGCTGATGTGCTGTCTAAAAATGCAGCAAGCGCGCCCTCACCATTTATCGGCTGGCCGTCTCTGGCTCAGATCTCGAGGTCGTCATCGGGGTCATCCTCGTCCCAATCGTCCTCGTCGTCCAGCTGGTAAAAGATATCGCCTGCAACGGCCCCCACAGAGTCGGAAGGGGGCTCTCCGGATGCTGATGCCATCTGTGCGTCCATATATGGCATCTCCACGCTGGCTTTATCGCGGCGCTGCCTGTCGGTCAGGTTAAGATTGAACGACAGGTTTGCGGCTGGGTCCGAAGAGGGCTGCAGTGAAGCATGCTGCGTCTGACTCACGACTGCGGAGTTAAAATTATTGGCCGCCACTGCTGCTGCAGCTGTGGCAGCGGTGTTTGCTTGGGGTGGCGCCGACGAAGATCCTGCCTGGGGAGCCAAAGCCAAGCCTGAGGCTGGGGCTACATGCTGAGGCAGCTGCGAGCCGGCAGAGACATCCACGGCCAGGAACTTTGGCAGTCGAGTCTGCGGGTCAATCTCAAACGTTGCAACCTCAAATCCAATCTTTCCAGACTGCCTCTTGTGCTCCAGGCGGACAAGGCCGCGCCGGGGATCGTTGTCGCGCAGAGAAATAAAGGGTAGCTGGTTACCGTCCGAGTACCATCCGGGCATCCATGTTTTCAAATCGTCCAGCGGATGCACGTCCACCATGACATCTGCCAGGTCGCACAGAGCGTTGGCCGTGTAGAGTGAGTCCGTAACGCCGGGGCTTTTGGACTGGCTGCTGTCGTAGCGGACAGACGCATCGCATGAAAACCGAATCAGAAAGCGAGACTTTATCGAATTGCCCACCGATCCGCGGATGCTGCGCAGCAGGGCCAGCGTGGATGCGCGCGAGGACCGCAGCAGCCGGTCGATGCTGTCAACAAAAACCAGAACACCGGTCCGGCTGTCGCCACCGCTGCCGCCGTTCGCCGCTACGCCCCCCTCTTGTGCCCGCCGTATATGGCCCTCGATCTCGCTCTGCAGGCGCGCAAAGTCGGTCCGTTTGAGCAGGCCCGGCAACAAATAAGAGGATGATGAAGGCGACGACTCTTGCACGCTGAGAATGCTCTCCACTGTTGGGCGCTGGTCGACCAGCCTGAAGAGCGGGGAGGCCCTAATGTCAGAGCTCGGCAGGCCCTCTAAGCACACTGCAATCACGTACATTCCGCGCACCAGGCTCTCCCGCACCATTGCCTCTTGTAGCGGCAATGCTGTCTGCCGCACTGTTTCTGAGAGGATAACCAGCGGCGCCGTGTACTGCTGGTACGCAGCCAAGCGCCTAATTGAAAGACCAGTTGCGCTCATCAAGGGGAGTAAATAATGAAAGTATGGAAAATACAAATTGCTGGTTAGCGAGCGAAAAAAGGAAACAGGGCAAATTATAAGCACCATGACTTGTTGACCACCCCGGTCGATCGCGTGCGCGTTCACGACAGTAATCAAGTGATCACGGGATAATTAGGCATGGCCCAGAATGCACAAAGGCAAAAAGGGATTGGATTTTGCATAGCAAAAGCAGAGAAAGGGCTACAAGCCCACTCTTTCTGCTATTTGCCTCAGAAAAGCCCGCCTGACAAGAAAAGAACAAAATGCCGATATTATTATTTTCCTGCGAAGAGTGCCAAACAAAGCTTCTGGATATTCCATCGTTTTCAATTGCTTTTTTTCCTCTTTTTCTTTTCTCTATTTTTTAAAATTTACTTTGACATTACAATTCTGTCTTTTATTGTAGAGTACTGCATTCTATATTCTATATTACTTTAAACCAATGGCTCTTAAGCGTATTAACAAGGTACGTTGGCTGAATTGAGTGGAAATGCAATAACCCATCCATCATCTTGTCAGATTTAGATTTGTCATTTGACTGGATGCAGCCCGCTGGCTGCGCATACTGCGTTAGCTATGCTATTCTCGGAAACATGCCTGTTTGCTACTACTGCCCTCAGCTGTTATTAATATTTTTATTTTTTTGCATTTCTCGTCGATTCTGTAGGAACTCAAGGATCTCGAGAGGGACCCTCCATCGAGCTGCAGTGCCGGTCCGATTGGAGACGATTTGTTCCACTGGCAGGCTACCATCATGGGCCCGGTAAGTATTTTATGCCGCTCGCTGCTAGCATATTTGATACATTTCTATCATTGGCATTTGCACATAAAATCCAGCCTCGGTGTGCCGCAACTTGGTAGTGCGCCGACTGGCTAGCAACAATGCTGCGGTCACGCATTGACCTCACTCGTACACACTATTGTTTGCTGTGTGTTTTGTTCTCATTTACATACAATTTCTTGCAATTTGCCAACTAATAACAAAACCACTTGTACCAACTTTGCCCTCTCTTCTGCTATATAGGAAGATAGTCCCTACCAGGGTGGCGTGTTCTTTTTGAACATTCACTTCCCTACGGACTACCCATTTAAGCCGCCAAAGGTGTGCTTCACCACCAAAATCTACCACCCCAACATCAACAGCAACGGCAGCATCTGCCTAGATATTCTCAAGGACCAATGGTCGCCGGCGTTGACCATCTCCAAAGTCTTGCTGTCAGTCTGCTCGCTGCTGACTGACCCGAACCCTGATGATCCCTTGGTGCCCGAGATTGCCCACTTGTACAAGACCGACCGTGATAGATATGAGGATACGTCCAAGGATTGGACCCGTAAATATGCTAGTAAGTACCTTCCAGCTGCTGATCTGCTGTAATGCTAGAAATGCGTGCCAGGCAGAACATGAGGCACATTGCATCCTGCATTGCATCCTGTAACCCAATTTTTTGTATTGTATCGTGCTGCACTGTTTTATTGCAGAATCCTTTAAATATTGTTTTTGCTAACCGTTATTTGACCGCGCTTTTCCGCTCTGTTTTTTTGTGTGAATAGTGTAAACTCAGCCGACAACCGCCGCACTGGCACGACTACGCTGAATCTTCGAATTAGTGTGTTGATATTGGAGCGATGTATTTCGGTCTATGGAGCTAATTTGTTTCTTTTTTCTTCTACTCATCTTTTAATAAACACTTGGCTTTATTCGAATTTTGTTGGTACTGTTGTTTTTGTTGGCATGTTAGATAGTTTAGCTGGATAACTGACTGGCCTGCAAAGCATCGGCATCGGCATCGGCATCGGCAGTTATTTTTGTTTGTTTGCATGTATGTATGTTTGTTTGAATGTTTGGTGGTTTATTGGTATTGTCGCGATCTGCCAGATGCTGCTGTATGTGTCGAATTTAGCTTTGGATTTAGATCTGGATCTGGATCCATCGCTTTATCCGCTCCCCCAGCTGATTCTCGCAGTACAATTGACACAATAAGTGAGAATCAGGGACAAGTAAGCAGCCACTGACAAAAAAGACAGCTTTTTCATTAAAATTTCACATGTGAGTGTTGTTTGCAGTGGCCATCTCCTTGTCACATGGGCCAGTCAAGCCAGGCTGGTGGGCCAAGTCAAATCAAGTCAAGCCAGGAAATTCTCCATGCGTGCATCCAAAATGCAAGATGTGAAAATAGGCCCAGCAACCAGACATCCGCCTATATTACCTGCCCTCCATTTGACTTTTTGCCATGAAATATACGCTTTCTTCTCTTGGACCCCACCCCCTTTTTCTTGTATTATTATTTTTGCTTTTATTGTCTGTCCATATCTGCTATCGTATTACTGTATCTGCTGCACTGCCAAGCACCCCATCATCTACCGTCCGCCTTAAGCAGCTCTGTGCGGTATCACTTTTTCCCCTTTGTCTCGCAGCCCTGCTAGCGCTAATATATATACACACATGGACGCACTCAACAGCATTGTTCTTAGCCCGCATTACCACGACATCCTGTCTCTTGTAAAGGGCTTTCGAAATGGTGTCGTTTACGGAACCAAAATTCGGTTCCCACATGCGCTCGTAATGACCCTGCTTTTCCGGACCGGCAGGTAAGTCCAACACCTGCTATTGTAAGCAGCAGCACACATATTACGGGGACTCCGCGCAGCAGCTACTGCGCCGAGTATCTGCCCCAGCTATATGCATAGGACGCTGGTCAATAGGGATGGCGCCGGCTGGCATGGCATGGCATGCATGGCACACAGTACATTTTTCTGTTGCAGTGTCTGTCGAACGTCCATTGAAAAGGCATGCACGGACGATTCGTGGCATATTGACATAAGAGTGCGCGCATTGGCTGATCCCGCTATTTTGTTCTAATTGTGACTGCTCGTTGCTCTCATGTATTCTGTTGAGCTTACTTTGTGCGATCGTTTTGTGTGAGTGTAGCCCCCAGGACAAGATCAAGGCGGTCTTAAAGGCGACCAAGGCGCACGCGCGCGGGTTGGCATTTTTTGTCACATCGTACAAGTCGCTCATGCTTCTGCAGCGGCACTTGTCATCAAGCGGCAAGAACACAGACCTGCACACATTCATCGCCGGCTTTGTTGGCGGGTACTTTGTCTTTGGGGAGAAGACTAGCGTCAACCAGCAAATCATTCTGTACCTATTTTCGCGCATTGCGATGGGGCTTGTCAACACAGCGATGAAGGCTGGCAGCTTTGAGGCGCCTCCAAATTCGTTTGCTCTGTTTGCCGCCGTTTGCTGGGGACTAGTAATGGTGCTTTTTCGCAGGGACAAGTCAATGCTCCAGGACTCTCTGAAGAACTCCATGACGTACCTGTACGAGGACTCCGACCACTGGTCGTCACTGAAGACGCTTTTGTGGCACAACAAATAACCAGTGGAGGATCCGCCTGCTAGCTTCTGATATCGCGGCGTGCCACAGCGGAGGGCCCAAACATGTTTTGTTAGGTAGGCCTTATACCCACGTGATGTGGCCCCTCAAGTCGCGACAGTGCGAGATCGATGGGTGCATTTTTCCCTGGCTGTGCGTTTTATTGGCGCGGTGAGGGAAAATTTTTCTATTGTTTTTTTTCTTCTGCACTTCGCATTTGCTCCTTTTTATTATTTTTGTACACTTTATTATATCATAGCTCTATAACACCTTTGCTGTCGCCGTCACTGCTATTATCACCATGAGACTCATCACACACAATATGCTCAAGTGCCACGTGAAGAACTGCACTGATCCCAACCAGCAGTTCCCCTTACGGTTCAAGGAGGTCCAGCTGGAGCAGATCGAGGCCGAACGCAACGACGAGTTCCTGGTGCGCATGCTTCCGCGCCTCGACTGGCCTGCGCTGCTAACGTCGACCAAGGAGTTGGGCATTGCCCTTCCTGAATCTGTGCCAGCCAGCCCCGAAAAGGACGACGAGTTCCTACAGGCTCTGCACACGGCCATTCTCGAGACCCACGTGAAGGAGGGCAACATGGTGTGCAACGGGTGCAGCCACGAGTACAAGATCACAAACGGCATTCCCAACATGCTGCTGGCCGAGCATGAGATCTAGGTTTGTGTGTTTGTCCGGTCTTTGCACAGTCTTTGGGTTCACCATTTTGGGCTTTTTTTTATCAGATTAGATTAATTAGTACAATGCAATACGATAAATAACAATTCAGTTAAAACACAAAGCACATCAATACAAGCGAGAACGGCTAATTATCGCACAATTCGACTGCTGCCACATATATTTATATTTATATTTTGCTGACAAGCAACATAAATGTAATCAGGCGCACACATCGTCGCCCCTTGTATTAGATTACAGACCAAGGTCTTTTTCAACCATGCGCGCGCAAATGGGGTGATAGAACCCGCGCAGCTCCTCGAAGAGCTGCTCGGCAAACTCTTTGTAGCCGGGGCATGCGTGCAGCAAGCGGTAGAGCGGGCGCGTGTACTTCATCCGGCCCTGTGTCGACAGCATATTAGTGACAGTGTCGATGACAGCCATGTGGTTGGACTTTAGCGCGAGTGACAGCCAGCTAAACTTGACCTCGCAGTTGCGGTAGCCGGTCAGCTTGTATGTGTTGTCAAGCGCAGCCAGCGTGTCCTCCTTCAATGGTGAGCTTTCGGCAAGGCGTGTCAAGAAGATTACTGACTGCATTGTCGAAAACACCTCCATGTCCTTGGGCGAGAACTGGCTGTAGTCAGCGGTCTCTGCGGCCTTGATCCAGCGGTCGGCCAGGTCCAGGCACACCTTCTGCGGGCTTTCGTCATACTTGTTTCCAACAGGCGGCATGCCGGGAGCGCTAAACCACGAGTCCCACGCTACCTGGTTCAAGAGCTCCAGCTTGGCTGGGTCGTGGCTGGCAAAGTAGGACAGCAAAAAGTCCTTCCAATCCTGCGTGTCGATTGACTTGCCCTGGAACTCGTTGATGTAGGCACGCATGTAGGGCTCAAACACGTTGGGGCCACCCAAAATCAGCTCGAGGTAATACAGCAGATGCGCACCCTTGTCATACGGGACAGTCGAGTAGGCATCATCGGGATCCACGCCGTCCAACTTGGGCACCAGCGCTGTGAGCGGGCTATCCTTGCCATAGAACTCAACAGACTCTAGTAGGTCGGCCTCACCAATAACGCAGCTGAGCTGGCGTGCGTCTTCGCCACTGAGGCGGGCCACGATCTTGCGCTCAAAGTACGTAGTCCAGCCCTCATTCAGCCAGAAGTGCTCCCAGTTCTTGGCTGTGACCAAATTGCCCGACCAGCTGTGCGCAATCTCGTGCGCAATGACGTCGGTCAGTGAGCGGTCGCCGGCCAGCAGGGTAGGCGTGACAAACGTCAGGCAGGGGTTCTCCATGCCGCCGAACGGGAACGAAGGGGGCAACACAAGAAGGTCATAGCGGCCCCATACGTACGGCGTGATGAGGTCCTCGGCGGTCTGCAGAATGTTCTCCATCTCGGCAAACTCCCACGCGCAGGCGTCCAGGTTCTCGGGCTCGGACCACACGGCGCACCGATCGCTGACCTTGGCCATCGCCAGGTTACCCACGACCAGGGCCACCAGGTACGATGGGATTGTAATCTTCTGCTCAAAGCTGAACACCCTCGCGTCGCCGACATCGCGGCTGCCACTAGAAATGGCACTCATCAGCGCCGTCAGCGGCTTGGGGACCTGCACCTCGGCCGAGTAGGCAATCTTGACTGACGGGCTATCCTGGCAGGGGAACATGCTGCGCGCGTGGATCTCCTCGCACTGCGTGAATAGGTAGGGATATGACTTGCCCAGTGTTTGCTCGGGCGTCAAAAACTGGATGGCACCTCCCTTGGACGTCGTCTCGTATTCAATAACAATACGGAACTTGTCGCCCGCGGCCACCGGCTCCGGCAGTGCCATGCGCAGTGCAGTGCCGTATATTTTGTGCTTCGTGCTCGTGTCAAAGCTGAGCGCTGTTGTCTGGCCCGCAGCATCAACCAGGCTGGCGCTCTTGACCACCAGGTGCGCACTGTCCAGGACGACCTCCTGAGTGTGCTTCAGTGCCTGCATGTTGAGCGCCGCGGAGCCTCGCAGCACCTTGCCTCCAAAATCAACCGCGACATCCAGGTGCACATGCGAGGTTGTCACCTCATCGAGGTTGGACTGCGAATTGGGATCGATTTCAAACATTTAGTGGCTATGAAATTTAGCGGTGAGAATAATAATAAAAAAGTGGTTGTGAAGAGAGCTTTGTGCTTCAAAATTATCAAAAATCGCTTTCCCACGATAATTTACAATTTTGCAATGCATTTTTAACAGGCGCGTGAGAATGTCAGCGAGCCATGCATGATCGTCAGAGCCAGTCTGCTACAGTGAGTATGGACCGACTGACCGCCCGAGCCACGAGCTGTGTTTGGCAGAGGCCAAGCTGGACAGTCCGGCTCAAACGCAAATTTGCTTTCAGCTTTGGCCGCCTTTCTGGCCTTTGAAAGCAAAAGAAAAATTTGGCGTACCCTTTGCCATGCTGCTCATTCGGGCGCGCATGGCGAGAGTATTTTTTGGCAAAACCTTTTTTGAATTTAATTCCAATTCTCTTTTTTAATTTTTCATTCTTGCAAATTATTTTATATATACATAAAAGATCGATCAACGCATTTAAAAATGAGCGCCGCTACCACTGCCACAAAGACTCCCACCACCATCGAGGACAACTCCGTCCTCACCAAGTACAAGGCCGCCGCTGATGTCACCAACAGCGCAATCCGCAAGGTCATTTCGGCGTGCAAGGAGGGTTCCAAGATCATTGACCTGTGCAAGCTCGGTGACGCCGCCATCGAGGTTGGCCTGAGCACTCAGTATACCAAGGACAAGAAGCTGAGCAAGGGCATCTCCTACCCGACGAGTGTCTCGGTTAACAACATTGTCTGCCACTTTGCGCCCAGCGCCACCGACGTCAACGCCGACCAGGCCCTCAAGAACGGCGATGTTGTCCGCATCCAGCTTGGCGCCCACATCGACGGCTTCGCCGCTGTTGCCGGTAACACCGTTGTTGTCGGTGCCTCCGAGACAAGTCCTGTCACTGGCAAGACTGCCGATGCCATTGCCGCCGCGCACTACGCCGCCGAGGCTATCCAGCGTCTGATCAAGCCCGGAAACAAGAACATGACCGTTACCGACAAGGTCCAGAAGGTCATCAGCGCTTTTGACTGCAAGCACATCGAGAACATCCTCAGCTACGAGCAGTGCCAGAACGACCTCGACGGCGGCAAGCACATCATCTTCAACCCGGCCCCCGCCCAGCGCCAGTCGTTCGCCGTCTGCGAGTTTGCTCCCTACGAGGTGTACATGATCGACATCTTTGTCACCACCGGTGAGGGCCGCACCAAGAAGTCTGAGCTGCGCACCAACATCTACAAGAAGACCGGCAGCACATACCAGCTCAAGATGAAGGCCGCTCGCGCCGCCTTCAGCGAGATCTCGGGCAAGCCGGGCAAGTTCCCCTTCGCCCTCCGCTCGTGCGAGGACGAGCGTGGCATGCGCATGGGTCTTATCGAGTGCATCAAGGCCAACGTTGTGCAGGCATTCGAGGTACAGGAGGAGAAGCAGGGCGAGGTTGTTGCCCAGGTCACCTTCACCGCTCTTGTCACCCCCAGCGGCGTCGACCGCATCACCCAGGGCCTGGTGTTTGACGAGAAGGTCATCAAGACCGAGAAGAAGATCGAGGATGCCGAGATCAAGGAACTTCTTGCCACCAGCACCCGGATCAAGAAGAAGTCCGCCAAGAAGTAAATAGTCCCACTTGAGGTCTCGCGGCCATGGCATGTCTCGGAATAGCGTTTTTTGAATACTCTTTTGTGAAAATATATTTGCAAAGTGGCCACGGCAGTTTGTAAAAGCAATGCTTTTTTTATTGTTTTATAAAATTTGAGGGAAAAGTATGCCCACGTCTAGGCAGGCAAGCTGCGTATCAATAAGGCCAAAAATGCGTCGATCTAGCAATAACGGTTCTTTATTTTTTTTACAGTTCAGCACACGCTAATATGGTGTTGGGCTTAGGCGTCAATGAAGCTCTTAAAGTTCTTGAGCCAGTGCAGATACTCGCCCTGCTCCTTGTACTCAATAAAGTCCTGCATGAACAGGGTCAGCGCAGTGTCGACGTTGCGCTCCACCAAGAACTCGTCAATGTTCTCCTTGAGGTCGTCGCTGAGCTGGCCATAGATGGGGCCGCAGTACACCTGCTTGCGGACCCAGTCCTTCTCCAGGGTCTTTGCAATCGCCGACTCCTCGTCGGGCAGGAACTTCATGTGGTCGACGCCAATCTCGCCCTCCTCGCACTCGAGCTCCATGTGCAGCACTGGTGCTCCGGGCTTGGCAAACGTAGCGGTGAAGTAGATGGGGAAGTCCTCGGGGGCGTCCTCGGCCTTCTTCTCGGCCTCCTTGACGGCGTCACCCTGCTCATTCTCGCGGTAAACGGAAATGTCAGCAATGGGGTCGTCGATGTTGAGAATCTCGCTCACATCAAACGACACGGTAATGGTCTCGTTGCCAAACTGCTTGGTCATCACGACCTGGCTGTCGCCGAGCTTGGTCTTGAGCTTGAACCCAGTCTTGTTGGTGAAGGCCTGGATGAACTCGGGCTCGCCCTCCTCAGCAGCCTGCTTGGCCTCGTACTCAATCTCCTCGCCCAGGGTGTGTGCCAGATCGCTGTCGATCGCCCCATTGGCGCGCATCGGCGTCGACGTGCTCAGGGCGCGAATAGACAGAGCGGAGCCAGCGGTCATGCGCGAGCTGGAGGCAACAGCGCAGGCGGCCACGCTGCGGCCAGCGAGGACAGACGAGCGGGCAACACCACGCGATGCGGAGGTTGTGAGCAGACGGGCGACGCTTTTCATCATTGTTGTGAGCTTTATAGAAATATGAATTTAAAGACAAGCGTAAAAAAAAGAATATTTTTTCTATTTGATCGAAACAAAAAGATAAGACGATGGAGGGAATACAGTTTAAAGCACAGCAAGTTCACACGCTGGATATTTTTTTCATTCATCTTTATTCTGTCTGTCATTTTTTATTTTGTCACGCTTGCTTACGACAAGCCTCAAGTTGGCAATTCAATTTCTTGATCACGAAAAAATTAAAATTTTATCTACGCAAACTGGGACTACATGCTGCTGTATCACATATAGTCATCAACAGTGCGGGTCTTTTTGTTCAGACTCGAGTTTTCAAACACAGAAACCTTGGCGCCGATCTCGCAGTTAATGATCTGAAATCCATCCGGGATCGTTGCCTCTTTACAGAGGATAGATGATTCAATGACCGCGTTGTCGCCAATGGTTACGTGGTCCATGATGACTGAGTTGGTGATCTTAACATTATGGCCGATTATGCAATGCGGGCCGATGACCGAGCGCTTAACCAAGCACCGCTCGCCTAGCTTTGACGACTGTCCAACCATCGAGTCTGCACTAACTTGCACATTCTTAAGCAGCTCGGCGCTCTCCTCAACGCGTGGGTCGATCGAAAGCTTGGTGGCAATGTAGTTCAGATCGCAGTACTGTGGGATCTGGTCGGCGCGGCCGGCAATGCCCCCGCGGCGGATGTAGACAAACACCTGCAACGAGTCAGAGCTAGTGGGGTCGGTGGGTTTGGCTGCAGACTCTGACAGTTCAAACTGCAGGGCGGCTGCATCGTGGTCATCAGTGACATCTTGCTCTGAGGATGCCTTCAGCATGTACTTTTCAAGCTTACTGGACTCAAAAAGCTCCGGGTCGCTCTGCGCGCTGACAAGCAGGGGAAGCAGGTCGTCCTGCAGAGACTCAATGTCAGTGTTGTTCACAATGTAATCAAGCAACCACTTTTGCAGGACGTACACGTGCGAATCCTGCATCTTGTCCGACACGGCCATCGAGGGAAACCGGCGAATGAGCGACATTGGCAACTGCAGCTCCTCGTCTGACTCAACATCCTCGAGGAGCACCAGCCGCGACGTGGGCTGGTCAATGCCGACCACAGGTAGCGGCACCCTGGCCTTGGATGAGCCGCCGCCGCCCTCAGACCGCATGACCTCGTAAAACATTGTCGCCATGGCTGGGCGGCGGATACGGAAGAGATCCAAAAAGTGAACGGCGGGTACGTCGATAAGCAAGTCACACGGAACGACAATAACGTCGCCTTTGATCTGTGGGGCCAGCTGGCGCAGTGCGTCGGCAGACCCACTGACTTCGCTGAGGCCCTTGACAGTGATGTTTGACATGCCCTTGTACACCTCGATGTAGTTGGAGATGTCGGCCTCCGACTCACGCGTAGTGACAATCTTAATGTCCAAAATGCCGCCCTGCTCAAGCCACTGCAGGATGTACCACAGCATGGGCTTATTAGCAATAGGAAGCAGCGCCTTGGTCATGTTGTTGCGCTCGGTCAGCGGGTACATGTCATTGTCGGACATTGTGAGCACAACTGCCTTGAATTCAGGCTCCCGCGCATCGTACAGCTGCGACGTGGCTCCAAACATTTTGAATGTGGTGGATATATTTAAAAAAAATAGAATTTGCGACGGTATGCTGGCGTCGAGATAAAAAAAATGAGTGGCAGCAGAAATATCTAAAAAATATAAAGTTTGTTTTGGGAAGAGAAATGAGCATGGCCACGGCGTCGCGCAATGTTCGGACAATATAGGTTCAGCAGCTGTGATGCAGCAAGGAAGCAGATTTTGTGGGCCGCCAACATGTGACCGAACAAGCAGGTGCAGGGTGAGCTGAGTTTTGTGCTGGCGCACCAAATACAAAATACACGGGCGGCGCTGGGCATCCACAGCCTTTAGGTTCCAATTATAATTGTGCCACTATGTAAAGGTACAAAGAGCGAACGAGCGAGCGAGACGCTCTGGTTTTTGCGTTTGCGCCAGGGTCTGCTTGTAAGCACTGTGGGGGGAGGGGGTGCAACACAGACTTGAAAAGGTTAAAAAGGGCTCGGCATTGAGACAAATAATGGCTGTAGTGGCCACTTAACATAACCGCCCACCCTGGCAGTGCAAAGAGTAAGGGGCTGCTCGAGCTATGGTGTGATTGAATCAGGACCCCAACCCAGATCCAAATCTGGAGTCAAAAACTATGAGCCGGAATGCACTGCAGAACAAGCGCAAACAAAATATGTGGGGGGGGAGGGGGGAGAAGCCACCAAAATGGCGGGAAAGAACAAGCAAAACTGCGCGCGCCGTCAATCCCCCAATTACAGCCAAACGCTGGGCTTTTCCCGCTTGAGGTTTTGGCGTGGGGGACGCCCACTTTATTTTTTATTTTTGTAGTTTTGACCCGTTCCTTTTTTTTGCTTTAATTTTTCTGTCAACTTATTTTGTTTTTTATTTTGCCAATCCGTTTCATTTCAACTTGCTTTCTGGCAGTGTTTTTATATTCCTTTTCATATCCCTATTTTTTTTATACTACAGCCCCCACCTAATTCGCCGTTATATTCTTTTATTTCCCTTATTTCGATTCGCCGCCTTGTCGCTTGTAATTTATCCGCAAAATTTACGCCTTTCCGCTGCTCGCCCTGCTTTCTACGAACGCAACACAGCCTCACTCGCGCCGTTTTGACAGAAGCAACAGAGGCCGAGTGCTTGACCTGCAGTTCTTACGCCGTTTAACCAGCCAACCATTCCGTATTATTGATCATTGTCAGACCTCCTGCTCGCTCTCGAGCCCAGCGTTTGCACAAAACACACCCAAGCACCAGCACTACGCCTTTCTCTTGCACCAAGCATCCAGGCCTCTTACCACACGCCTCTTTTAACAGAGCTGGTGGAAGGGCTGGACTTTTGGACACCGGCAAGCAAAATATGGTATTGCTTGCACACCAGGACGCTGCGTATTTATTGCAGTTTAACAGCAACAGGGCACGACAGTTAGAGCCAGAGCTAGAGCTAGAGCCAGAGCCAGAACACCAGCTGAAGGAAACTCGGACCAGCTTTTCTCGAAGAGATACGTCATTCGAGGCCGGCTATCACGCAACTTTGCCCTCACAGTCGCATCTCGACTCCAAACAAGTGGACGCGAGCGTCACGCCAATCAGCAGCGGCAGCTTCGACGACTCGTCATTTATTGTATCCGGCCCGCTTCTGCCCATACGCCAGTCCAGACGCGGCACAAACCCCAACCGCAACTACCGAGTGGTCAACTCGCAGACCTACATCGCCACTGATATGCAACATAATCCAGAATTTATGAGCACGCTGGTCGCCCCACCGACGCCCATTTCGGCATCGGTCTCTTCGGCATCCTACTCCTCACATGCGGCCGAGCGCGCAATAGCGCTGGGCTCGCCAGCCACCAGCAGCGCCACCAGCAGCATTATCAGCACCAACTCCGCGACATCATCCACGGCCATCCCCGCCAGCAACATCAATGCTGGCGATATGCCACTGGCCTTGGAGGGCACATTTACCACCCGGGGCTACCGCACCCGCATGTACGACAAGTACCAAATGCAGACCGTGCAGGAGCTCCTGATGGACCCGGTGGTGCTGCCGTACCAGTCCAGCTCATCTGTGTCGACGCACGCGCTGCCCAGCATGAGCACCCGCACAACACACTCCTATGGTCACGAGCACGAGGGGCGCAGCAGCGCCGTGCGCGTCAGTTCTCTACTGCCCGGCGCACGGACGACGCCGATGGGCTCTTCGCGGGGCGTGCGCAAGTCGGTGTCCCCCAGCGAGTCCTACGCGGCGGCCGGCAGCGCGGGCATGGCCGTGCAGCACCAGTACCTCGTACAGCGCGTACCCAACCGGTCTTTAGGCGAGGGCATCGGGCAGACGTCGAACGAATCCATAGCACACTCATCGTCACAAATCCGGCTGGCCAGCCCGCAGGTCAGGCTCTCCGGCCAGTTGCATCGCGCTCTATCTCCAGGTAAGCTTTTTTAATCCCAATGCCAGTGCTTGTTGTTTGTTCCGCCGAGCAACGCTGATCTCGCTTGATCTGCTCTGCGATTTGAATTATTGCGGAGCTCATGCCAGCTGTTAAAGACATGCTGGCTAAAATAGGGCATCCTGCTGTATGGCACTACTGCTTTTTCAACTGCGCCGCGGTCTACTGCACGCCAGCAGCAGCAAGAGCACGCACTTGCTCGTTATGCAGCAGAGTACGTGCCGTTTCTCCTGCAGGCAGCTTTGTTTATCCCTTTCTTGCACGCACGAGTCTCTTATCCTTTTATATGTCACACCTACACGCAGCATTGCTAGCTAATCCACTTGTCCATACTTTCTGGTGCGTTGTTTCTTGGAAAGCAATATCTGTTTATATTCTGCCATTGCTATTAGAAGATCCTGATACGCCGTCGGGACTATCGGCCCGGGACAAAGTGGCCATCGCCAATGGGATCGCCCCGTCGTACTTTGCAGACACCGAGATGGACCCCAGCCACTCGGACACCAAGGCTGGCGCCGATACGTGGGCCAGCTCCAACGACAAGGCCCAGGGCCAGGAGCAGAGCGCAATCCGCAGAGAGGCCCGCGACTCGTGGAACATACCGAGCGACGACAATGGCGCCAGGCAAACTGACCGCCAAAAGAGGCGGCAGGCGCTGCAATCGTTGGTCGTCTCAGAGCGCTTCCACGTGCAGACGCTGCCCCTCCAGCCCACCAGTCTGCTTGCCGGCGCGCTCCGCGAAAAGCCGTCTATGTCGACGGTCATGGCCGACAGCCCCATTGACGGGCAATATCATACCAACAGCCCGCTGTCCGCGTCGATATCAACGAAGAGCTACTACCCTGGGCTGAACGACTACTTGTACGGCGTGTCGTCTGCCGATGACGAGCCTGCCGCGCAGCCCAACGGCCTGCCGCTCCAGGCGTCGGGCGCTTCTATAGATGGCGGCGTTGCGGGCAAGGCGCGCATTCCCTCCCACCAGCGGCTGCAGCTTGACCACCGGGCCACGTCGTTCGATCTGGGCCGCATTGGCCGCTCTGCCAGCAGCGTTGGCGGCGGTGCAACAACCAACCGACACGCGTCTGGACCCCCGTCGCGGCACTCGCCGGCTGCGTGGGTGCCGTCGCCTGCATCTTTTGGGGCGGGGCGCGTCGAGGCGCTGGCTCGGCTCGGCACGCGCAGCAGCGAGCGGCTTGCGCCAACGTCGCCGCGCGCGGACAAAGCGCCGACGGAGCGCGTCGAGGAGGGGTACGAGGGCGACTCGGAGGTAATGCTGGGCGGCGGGCTGCGGCTGCCCGTGCAGCGGCGCAACACGGTCGCCGGCGAAAAGATTGACGAGATGGCAGCGCTCAGCCAACGGCCGCCTCGCATGAAGATGACGCGCAACACCAGCGACTTTGTAGGCATGGCGTATGGCAAGGACGAGCGGCGGACGATGCGCGGCTCGCGGCGGCGGTCGATGACACAGGCGCAGTCGCAGGCGCTGATGCCAATCGGCACACAGATTGCGCCAGGGCACGCCAACTACGTGCTGATGTACAACATGCTGACCGGCATCCGCGTATCAGTGTCGCGCTGTGAGGCCAAGGATCCGCGGCCGGTGCGCGACGATGACTACGAGGCGACCCATAAGTACTCATTCGACGTCGTAGGTGACGAGATGACGCCGTCGTCGCGGTACGACTTTAAGTTCAAGGACTACGCGCCGTGGGTCTTCCGCTGCATCCGCGAGGCGTTCCACCTGTCGACCGAGGACTATCTAGTGTCACTGACCGACAAGTACATCCTTAGTGAGGTCGGGTCGTCGGGCAAGTCAGGGTCGTTCTTCTACTACTCGCAGGACTACCGCTTCATCATCAAGACCGTGCACCACACCGAGCACAAGTTCATGCGCGACATCTTGCCGCAGTACTACGAGTTTGTGCGCGACCACCCGCACACGCTGCTCTCGCGCATCTACGGGCTGCACCGCATCAAGCTTCCGCACGGCCGCAAGGTGCACTTCATTGTCATGAGCAACATCATGCCGCCCAACAGGGACATCCACGCGCAGTTCGATCTCAAGGGTTCGATGCTGGGCCGCGAGCTCAGCGCTGAGCTGGCCGCTAAGCCGCGCGCCTGCATGAAGGACAAGAACTGGGTCAAGATGCGCCAGACGCTGCACCTGGGCCCGGCCAAGCGCCACGCCTTCACCAAGCAGCTGATTGAGGATGTGACGCTGCTGATCCGTCTCAACATTATGGACTACAGCCTGCTCGTTGGCATCCACGACCTGACCCAGGGAAATGCCGCCAAGCTGCGCGACACCACACTGGCCATGTTCGACCCGCAGACCACCGATGTCACGCAGATCAACCGCCTCACGCGCGCGTACACCATCCGCAAGAAGGTCGTCCACACTGATCCCGTGACGCTGGACGCGCTGCCGCTGGGCACCGCACCGCCGCTGCCCGAGGCCATGTTCCAGGAGCTGAGCCACTCGGCCTTTTACCGCGAGGATGGCGGTATCATGGCGACCGACCGCAACGACAACCCGGCGCAGCTGATCTACTACCTGGGCGTCATCGACATCCTCACACCGTACAACATGTTTAAGCGCACCGAGCACTTTGTCAAGGCCATTGTCCACGACGGCTCGCAGATCTCGGCCATCAACCCACGCAAGTACGGCCTGCGCTTTCTGCGCTTCATGATCCAGTCGCTGGATGGTTATGAGGACGTCATGCCCATGCTGGAGGAGTTTGAGCGCACAACATACGATTCGATATGCCGCGAGCACCGCCTGTTCTAGCGCCCGGTTTCCGGCTTGGAAGGCTTTGATCTAGCACCGTAATATTCCCTTTTTTCTTCTTCCTCTGTGTAATATTCTAGTGAAAATAGATTTTGGAATTTCCAGACGTTTATAGCAAAGGTCCAGATTTTTAAGCGGGGGATTTTCAAAACCCGTTTCTCGCGCAAAAAGGCATCGTCAGAGTCTGCTGAACCCAAGTCTACAGCAACACTTGAGACTCTGCTCAAACCAAAGTCCAAGCCAAAGCCAAAGCCCAAGCGTGTGCGTAATAATCAACCTCCCCCTGCTTCTCTTCAAAAGATGCAGCAAACTGATTAATATCGTCAACCATAGTGGTCTATTGCCACTAGTTTCTAAACACTATGGGGAAGGATGCCGGTTTATAGCATATTTGTAGCCTCATTCTTTTCTTATAGTGTAATCTAATTTCATCCAAACACATTTCTTAGTTTCTTTTGTTTCTCTGTCAAATATATAAACAGCTTTTCTTTCTCATTTGCCCTCACATAGCATTTCCGCACAACGTGCCAATTTGCAAAAGTAAAAGAACACACTCTTCGCTGCCAGCACGAGATTCCGAACCTGCCAGCCAAATGCCAAAGAACAAGAAGGGGAATGCGACAAAGGATGCCGTCATCGATGGCTCTGGCTCCAACTCTCAAGCCGTCAAACAGCGCCAACGTCGTCCCCACCAAAACAATGATACTTCTTCCAAATACCTCAACACGTCAAAGGACAAGGGCAACAATGAGAGTAGCAGCAGTAGCAGCAGCGACGAACAAACATCTGCCTTCAAGCTTGACAGCGCAGCCAGCACGGCCAACAAACCCCAAATTCCCGGCAATGTCATACGTAACCTTGTGGTGTTCTCACTTTTGCTGTTGATAGTGCCGATCCTGGTGTACTTTGCGTCGCTCAGATACGTGTTTGTGGGCGCCACCGCGGCGTCGGCGATTGTCGCTGTTGTGGCTGCCAACCTTGTCCTTGGTGTCTTTGTGTATGTCGCTTGGAACGAAGAATTGGATGATGTGCGTGCGCCTGCGGATAAGAGAAAAGGCGAAAAGGCAAGATCTGTTGCAGTGAAGCGCAAGGCAAAGACCAACTAAGGGATGAATGGCCAAGTCGGAATGTGTGCTGGGCCTAAACATTAAGGTCTTGGTGCTCTGTACTCCTGGCTCACAATATGACGTCGCGAAAAAATGTATTTAAAATATTTTTTATTGCAAAAACATTGGACAAGTGTTGAATGTTGCCACGAGTTTGAATAGACGACTGAGAAAGAAAAAGAAAAATATGTGTGCGCTCGTGTTGCGCAAGGCGGAAAACCCAATAAAAAAGGTGTCTGCTTAGAGGTCCTCGTCCATGGCATCCATGTCCGACTCATCATCATAATCCTCATTTTCTAGCTCCTGGGCCAACTCGCGCTCACGCTTGATCCCTTCGTCAGCGTATGCCAGCTCCTTGCGGTGGTCGCCGCCCGGGTAGCGCATCGACTTGACAGACTCGTTGTAGAGGTTGAGGCAGAATGTAATTCGCTTGTCAAAGGCCTGCTGGGGATCGCTCGTGCCATACACATTGTGCACCTCGGCGCTCTTGACAAACCCCTTCTCGTGGTTGATTGTGGCATCAACGACGCCATCGCGGATGGCCTTTGCGACAATATACTCGGCATCCTCCTCGCTGTCCAGGTGGAGCTTGAGGCAGATGTCGCGCAGCGAGATGCGTGAGTACGCAATGCTGATGCTGCGAATGCCCGCCTTGATGACGTTGTGCCGTAGGCGCTGGATGAGAACCAACATCTGGTCCTGCAGAAACTTGTCCTGGTAGCGCTGCACGACGTCTTGGAACTGGCTCAAATCTCCAATGCGCACGGCCTGAGTCAGCTCGAGGTAGGGCTGCAGGGGCTTTTTGAGCACGGGCGTGCGGAACAGCGAGCGCTCGGGGATGTTGCCCATCAGCAGCTCGACGATCACATAGACCTTGTGGACCGTCTGCTGGAAGCCGGCCGTGGTGCTGTTCGACGGCGCCTTGCGCGTGGCTTCCAAAAGATGCAGCTGCGCCTGGGAATAGTTAAGCTGGATCGCCTCGATGCGGCCCATGTAGTAGAGGTAGCGTGCAAGCAGGTTGTTCGGCGCCTCGCTTGGGAAAGTCGACTTGGCGGCCAGTCTCTCTGCCTGGTCGTACAGCTTGTAGTGGAGGTAGTTGCGCAGCAGGAGGGTCAACAGCATGGCCTTGGTCTCCTTCATATTTGTCAGGGTGGCCGTTTGCAGGGCTCCCAGGAGCGTTGGGCGAGCATCGGACAGACAGTCTGCCACCTCAAAGAACCGCGAGTAGTAGAAAAACACGCGCGACACGACTGAATCAAGCGTCCGTCTCTGTGTGCTCGACATCATGGCCACCAACACATTTGACAGCTGCGCTCCACGCTCATACGCCTTGCTGTCTAGCAAGTGCAGCTGGGCCAACAGCCCAAAGAACAGGCACACCTCGGGCTCGCACGATCTGGCGGCAGGGTTTTCTGCTGGGCGCTGCCCCAGAGACTCCAGAATAGACTTTAGGCAGTCGGCTACAATCTGCTGGTTGACAGGCGACGTATGCGCGGCAATAATCTCGGCGAGGACCTCTGGCTGAAGGCGCTTCCGAAGCGCAGACACGGTGCGCAGTGCGCGGTGAATGTAGTGGACCTCTGATGCAGTAATTCCCCGCTCCAAAAACTTGACATTGCGATTAAGATCTATAACTTGTAATTGCAAAGACAGCCAGGACGAGCTTTGTAAATGGTTTAGCGACAATTCGTAGTGATACTTTTTTTACTTTGCAATCAGCAATAGGCGCTGGACATTCGACAGGCAATGTTGGCACCTCTTCTTTTCATGGCGCAATTTATGTGCTGAAAAGAATGTTGTTGTTGCTATACGTGCCTTCGACAAGAATTCTGCGCTCCTCAGCCTGCTTCTGTTCCGGGGTCAACTCGACCTCCATAGTCACATTCTCTTTATTCGGGGTGTCTGCCATTAGAAGTATTTCGCTGCTGCCGATTTCGGTTTGAAAGACAAAAAATGTGATGTAAATGTATGAATGAGTATGTGTGAAAGTGTTTAATCTGGCTGCCGTGAAAATGGAGAATGAGATGGGGGGAAAGGACGGCGTTTGGTACAGGAGGTATTGCTCCTTACGGTTGCTGTCGTTGCCTCTTTGCGCGGGGCCTCTGTTGCATTAGGCTCGGGCAACGTCATTAATTCTTTGATCCAATCAACAGATTATCTTGGAATTTGATTTGGTATTTTGATCGACAATTCGGGCAAAATGATGTGAGCAACTTATTTTCCGGTGTGATTATCGACAAAACGCAGCAGTAAAAGCGCGCTTAGACAGGGGGCGCACCGGCCGCTATCTCTTTCTTTTCTCCGCTTTACCAATTTTATAGATTTCTTTTTCAGCCAGGAACAACTTGCAAACTAACGCTGCCTTTTGCTGTCCAATTTTCTCCATACATTTAGCTCCATCCGTAGCCAAGCAACTTTTTCCTGTTTTTTTTAGCTAGCTCTTAATAACAATGCACTCAGAAGTTCCTCTCGGCGAATGCGTGCCACCAAGCACGCGCTATGCTGTCTCTGTTTCGCTGCCAAAGTGGGAGGACAATGTTGATTATGAAAAGGGCGAGTCGCGCGTGGTGGACCGCATGGTCAGTGGATATCCCAGGTTCTTCATTGCCAAGCCCATCCAGGCGCTGGTAACCGCGTTAAAGGATCGCTTTGCGCTTCCCAACGAAACGGCGATGCTTTTCCCGTCGATAGCATGTGCCAAGAGGTGTGTGGCCTTTATTTACGACCAAGCGCCCAAGCAGCACAGTGGCGACGCGGACTATGTGCTGCCGCGGCCACGACAGGTGCGCATTGTGCAGCACGTCGTCGAGCCCATCAACAAGAAGGCCGCAGCGAAGGATGCTGTGAGTAATGCATTGCGCGAGCCGGTATCGATCTATTGTGTGTTGTTCCCTGAATATCTTTTCCCGCTGGCCAAGCAGTACTGGCAGCACACCGGCGACGGCATCACTGCGCGCCTGGCCGACCATTGTCTGCACATCGCGCGCATCAACGAGGAGGTTGAGCAAGATGTAAAGCCCTATTCGCCCTTTGGCTCCGGAGGATCCTCTAGGCGCAAGCAAGGCAGCGGATACCACCGTGCCTCGCCGAATGTGCTGACGCCGTCCTCGTCTGTGGCCTCGACGCCAATTCCAGAGGCATTCCCGCCTGGCGCATACGCAACTCAGTCACCAGTAGATGAGGGCGTGTTGTCTGAAATTGGGCTGGAAGCAGACGCCTATGTTGAGGAGCGCTTCGGAAGAAACCTCAATCTCAAATATGCAACCGAAATGAAGGCGGCGCTGCGGCGTCGCATTGCAGGCGCACTTTCGGATGAAGAGCAGAAGCAGGGTGCGCAGGTTGAGCGTGGTGTGGCGGGACTAAGCCCCGACGATGTTTACCTTGTGTCCACCGGAATGGGTGCCGTGTTCCAGACGCACCAGGCGCTCCTTGCCATCAATCGCAGAAAGAGCGTGTGTTTTGGCTTCCCGTACACGGACACCCTCAAGATCCTCAAAAAGTTTGGACCGGGAGTTTACTTCTTAGGACAGGGCGAGGGTGGCGACTACGAAGAGCTCGAGCGCATCCTCGAGCGCCATTCGCAGGACGCTGATGAGGAGCCGATTTTGGCTATTTTTACTGAGTGCCCGAGCAACCCGCTGCTCAAGACAGCAGACCTGCCGCGCCTGCGCGAGCTGGCAGACCGGTATGGCGCGGCACTGGTTGTTGACGAAACCATTGGCAGCTTTGCTAATGTCGATGTGCTGACCTGGGCAGACGTCGTGGTATCGAGCCTGACCAAGGTGTTCAGCGGCGACAGCAACGTCATGGGCGGCAGCATCGTGCTCAACCCCACGCGCTCGCACTACAGCAGCCTGCGCGCTGCCTTTGGCGCGCAGTTTGAGGACCTGCTTTGGTGCGAGGATGCCGTCTTCCTGGAGCGCAACTCGCGCGACTTCATGAGCCGCGTGCCACGCATCAACGCCAACGCGCTGGTAGTGGCCGAGCTGCTAGCGGCGAGCCCCAAGGTCTTGCGCATCAACTATCCGAAATTCACCACTGCAGCAAACTATGAGCGCATCAAGCGCCCCACAGCCGATGCTGGCTACGGCGGCCTGCTTTCAGTTGACTTTGTCGGCGGCGAGGACGCGTCCCGCGAGTTCTACGACAACCTGGCATGTTGTAAGGGCCCATCTCTGGGTACAAACTTTACCCTGGCATCACCATACACTATCCTTGCGCACTATGCTGAGTTAGACTGGGCCGCTCAGTTTGGTGTTAGTCCCAGCCTTGTGCGCATCAGCATCGGCCTTGAGCCGCGCGACGAGCTGCTGGCCATGATCCAGACCGCATTGGATGCCATTCCGGCCTAGTCTGCAGCCACACCCAAACTACACCAATTTTTTATTTTTATTTTTGGCTCAGCCATCTGGCATTATGTTCCAATGCAAGCCAAGACAAGGCAAGATCACTTTTGGCAACAATCAAAATGATTACAGATTTCTAATCGAAGGTTAATCACGTGTGAATGCACATGTTTGCGTGGTAGAAAATTTTCACTAACTACTCGGTCGCCTGCACACTTTGCTCGTATGCTTTTTTATTTGAATTTGACCTTTCCAAATTTTTCAAACATTTTTTTTTTGATTTTTTCCTTTCTCTCTTTCTCTTTCTTGACTTTTTTTTATTTAATTTTCTTCAAATTCTTCTACTTTTTTATATCAACAAATTTTCAAACACACACTTTTTCTCTGTCTGTCTGTGTCTACCTTTTTTGCATACTTTCTTGTGCTCAATTTCTGTTTTTTTATTATCCACCACGCATTTGGTTCAACTTTTGTCTGCGCGAATCCACCACTCAATTCGGCTTTGGTCATTTCTAACATCTTTTTTGTCAATCTCTTTTTTTCAGACACATACACACACTCTCCAAAAATAACACCCAGCAAACCTCGCACGTCCATTACTCCTCTCTTTATCGCTTTCAAGGATATTTTTACTGAGGAGCTCATCTGTTCAGAATTAAAGTTTTGCCAGCGGCGATTTCAATTTTTATCCTGCGATTTAAGCAATTTATATTTTTTGTCAAATCTATATTATTATTTTTTTTTATTCTTTTTTATTCTTTTCTCTCTCGTTGTACTATAGCCCTCGCTAAAAAAACTCTTTTTTCTTTTTTATTTCACGATGGCCAACACGCATCTGCCAAACAACTCTGAAGATTGGAAGAAGGCTCTGAACCTTCCAACCAAGGACATGCGTCCTCAGACCGAAGACGTCACCGCGACGAAGGGCAACGAATTCGAGGACTACTATCTTAAGCGCGAGCTGTTGATGGGTATTTTTGAGGCCGGCTTTGAGCGCCCCTCACCAATTCAAGAGGAGTCAATTCCCATTGCCGTCGCTGGTCGCGACATTCTCGCGCGCGCGAAAAACGGAACCGGAAAGACAGCCGCGTTTGTCATCCCCGCGCTTGAGAAGGTCAACACCGCCGTGTCCACAATCCAGTGCCTTATACTTGTGCCCACCCGCGAGCTGGCGCTGCAGACATCCCAGGTGTGCAAGACGCTTGGCAAGCACATGGGCGTCAACGTGATGGTTACTACCGGCGGAACCACGCTTAAGGACGACATCATTCGGCTATCCGAGACCGTCCACATTCTCGTTGGAACTCCCGGCCGCGTGCTGGATCTCGCCGGCAAGGGCGTCGCCGACTTTAGCCAGGCCGAGACATTCATCATGGACGAAGCCGACAAGCTGCTCAGCCCCGAGTTTACTCCTGTTATTGAGCAACTGCTGGCGTTCTTCCCAGCCGGGCGCCAGATCCTGCTGTACTCGGCCACGTTCCCACTGGTCGTCAAGAGCTTCAAGGACAAGCACATGAACAAGCCGTATGAGATCAACCTGATGGAGGAGCTGACCCTGCGCGGTGTGACGCAGTACTACGCCTTTGTCGAGGAGCGCCAGAAGGTGCACTGTCTTAACACGCTTTTTTCGAAGCTGCAAATCAACCAGTCGATTATTTTCTGCAACTCCACCAACCGTGTCGAGCTCCTGGCCAAGAAGATCACCGAGCTTGGCTATTCATGCTTCTACAGTCACGCGCGCATGATCCAGTCCCACCGCAACCGAGTCTTCCACGATTTCCGTAACGGCGCTTGCCGCAATCTCGTGTGCTCGGATCTGCTCACCCGCGGTATTGACATCCAGGCCGTCAATGTTGTCATTAACTTTGACTTCCCCAAGAACGCCGAGACGTACCTCCACCGCATTGGTCGCTCGGGCCGCTTCGGCCACCTTGGCCTGGCCATCAACCTGATCACCTACGAGGACCGCTTCAACCTCTACAAGATTGAGCAGGAGCTTGGCACTGAGATCCAGCCCATTCCCCCTGTCATTGACAAACGCCTATACGTTGCCCCCAGCGCCATGGACGAGCCCCCCCAGCAGCGCCAGCAGACCACTGCTGCTCCTAGCAACGTCCACGGCCCTCCCCCGCCCCCGGGCCTTCAGCAGCACCAGCACCAGCACCAGCACCAGCACCAGCACCAGAATCACCACTACAACCAGCGTCAGAGAAACATTGGTGGCGGCCTCCCCCAGTAATTCCCATCCGTGCCCTCTTCCGCACACAGTTTGCTCTTCGCCACTGCAAACTCTTTTAACACGGCGGCATCTGTAAACAACCGATGCCCACTGTTTTTTGTTTGCGTGTTTGAAGGCCCAGCAATCGGACCTTTCGCCACAACTGACCGACCTGCGTTTTCCTTTTCAATGGCTTTTTGCTCGCACTTGCTGAAAACTGGTTGCGTTTCACCCTGTGTGTATCTCGCGTTGCGTCTCTTGCGACTTTAATTTTTTTGGACAGTTTTCTTTTTTATATTTTTTTAGCTGATCTACGGCTTTTTTTCAGTAAAAAAAAATAACTGCTTTCAAAAAAATAATACATTTATGGCGATATTTGCATTTGAACACCGCTAAGCGCAGTTGACCGTGGCAGTGCTGCCTGCTGCCAGTCGTTTAGAAATAGGCCGTCTTTGGACAGAGCCTGGCTTGACGTTGCGTTGTCGCGTATAAACTTATTGGCCAGTGAGTTCTGCAGCCAGTAGTAGTACCGGGAGTACTCTTGCGTGATGGGCGGCACCAGACCGTATGCGTGCCCGTGCGTATGCAAGGGCCCAGTGTAGACAATGCCAACGATCTCGGCAACTCCGATTTTGTTTGCGCCGCCAAAAAAAGGGCCGCAATTCCCCTCGTCTGAGCGCACAAGGATGTCGTTGATGATCTGCAGCCAGCGCCACAACCGGCAGCGCAAGTGCTCGTATCGATCGCCTGCGACCTTATCTGTGATGCACATCGACAACAGATTGAGCGAATAGCAATGCATTGCACCCAGACAGAACGTCAACATGTTGTGAGCCGCGCATGACTCGTCGCTCTGCGGCACTGGAAGCTGGCCGGTTACCAGGTGCAGGTACTGAAGAATGGGAATGGTGCCGGCGACAAGCTGCGACGTACTGGATGAGTCAATCGGCGGTATGTACGTGCATGGAAAGGTGTTTGGCGGTAAACTCTTCCAGATGTGCGCTTGCATCCAGCTGGGAGGCCTGAAGGGTGATACTTCAATTTCTATGTATGGAAGGTCGAGCAGTTTCAGCGCGACTATGGCGCTCTTGGACGGCGGGTAGTACATGTTGGTGAACACTGTGAGCCGGTCGCTCATAAACATGCCTGGAAGCGGGAAGGGCAGATTGCTAGCTAGTTCCATTTGTAGACAAATATAAAGTTTTCAGTTGGTTTTTTTTATAGAGGAAGTAAAAGTCGAACCACTTCTCGATCTTTTTAAATAAAATACCACTTTAAGAGCCTTTCACATCTTGTTTTTATTGCGCTTACGAGCTTAAAACCTTAAGTACAGTTTAAACTGCAGTTTTATTTTTACATTTACCTTTGGTGCATGCTTCCTACTGATATATTGCGAATATCTTGCCAAAGGTTATTTCGTTGGATGTGTTTGAAATTGTAATTTGTCAAAGCCAAAGTTACGGCTGCGACTCGGGGAAGGGGGGAATTGCGGCTCGCTACTGATATTTCTCGTGCTAGTGGCTCGGCAAAATCACGTGAATTGGTCCTCACTGTTGGCAAATATTCTGTGGCCGAAAAAAAGCAACAAAAAGGTACAGTTTTCCATTCACATTGCCTGCGCAACATTTGCTCAGCTGCTCATCTTTTCATTTATTTTCTCATTCATTTTCCACACTTCAATTTATACATTCATACCCACGCTTAACACCCCCAAAGACAACAACAAGCTGCAATGGGCAAGCCTAAGAACAACACGCAGGCCAAGGTGGTCGTTAACACGTCCAGCGTCTACGAGCTGAAGACAGCGTGCGACACGGGGCTCAAGGAGTTCCTCAGGTCGCGGGGATATGAGGAGATGCATACACACACAGACGTTAAGCTGATTCTGGGGTACATCGGTGTTGTCTTCTGCGCCATCGACTTTGCGTACAGCTGGAAGTATCCGTTTGAGCAGACCAAGTGGTTCTCATACATCAGCGTCGCCATATACGCGCTGACATCGGCCCTTGCACTTGTGTATTCGTATGCCGTGCAGCGTGACACCTTCTTTGTTGGCTACAACAAGGCAAAGGGCCACGTTGTGTCGGCCGGCTCGCGCACAAAGTCCGGCGAGGACACCTACAGGCTGACGCTGACTACACGCCCCATCCGTGGGCGCCAGGACCCGCCTGTATTTAATTCGAAGCCTGTCGAGCTCAAGCAGTCGTTTGCGTCCTGGTTCCACGAGGACGGTGAGTTTGCCAGCGCCAAGTTCAATGCCGACGTCGAGTCCGCCATCGATGCGCTGCTTGCCAAGAAGAGCGAGTGAACACGCTAGCTAGCTGGCTGGCTGGTGGAGAGTGGCTGCTGTAGTTGTCTTTTTGGTGCCGCTGTTCTGAGTAACTGCGACTGCGACTGCTTCCGTACAACTAGCTAGGGTCGTGGTATTTTATTTTCGTTTTCATCTTATTCCGCGCTCTGCTATGCCTGAATCTAGCAGCCTCTTGTTAAGCATGATTGCAACCAATGGGATGGACTCGACTGTTCAGATAAATAAAAAATGATATATTGGCGCTTCTCATTTGTCAGCAGCTGGCTCTCCGTCCATCATTCTTAATGGACGGATGCAATCGCCCTCTTTTATCTTCTCTTCTCATACAGAAAAATATTTAAACACTATTTCTCAACTCCACACCAAACTAAAAGCAAAGCAAGTCAATCAATCCCGAACAATGCCTCCCGTATCCAGACTTTTCGACTTTATCGTTATCGGCGGCGGCAGCGGTGGCCTAGCGTGTGCACGCCGCGCTGCATCATATGGCGCCAAGGTCGCGCTTGTTGAGGGTAGCGGGCGTCTGGGTGGCACGTGCGTCAATGTCGGGTGTGTGCCCAAGAAGGTGATGTTCAACGGAGGCAGCATCATGGAGGCCATCGAAGACGCCACGCACTACGGCATCAACGTCGAGGTGCGGTCGTTCGACTGGGGTGCACTGAAGGCATCGCGCGACGCATACATCAAGCGTTTGAACGGTATCTACGAGAGAAACATGGCCAAGGACAACGTTGAGTACGTCGACGGCATGGCCAGCTTTATCAGCAACACAGAGGTCAAAGTCAATGATGCCGTGCTCCAGGCCGGCCATATTCTGATCGCCAGCGGCGGCCACCCAATCATCCCCAAGGTTGACGGCGCCGAGCACGGCATTGACAGCGACGGCTTCTTTGATCTGGAGGTGCAGCCCAAGCGCGTGGCTGTTGTTGGCTCCGGGTACATTGGCGTCGAAATTGCGGGTATCTTCAAGACCCTTGGCTCGGAGGTGACCGTGTTCACGCGCACAGAGCACATTCTGCGCCACCATGATAGCATCATCGGCGACACCATGCTGGCCGAGATGAAGCGCCTGGGCCTCAAATTTGAGCACAACAGCAACGTGCATGGCATCAAGAAGCATGATGGCGCCGAGTTCCCCCTCGAGCTCAGCTGGTCGACTGAGGGCAAGGAGTCCAGCGAGTCGTATGACTGCGTGCTGTGGGCTGTGGGCCGCGCGCCGAACACCAGGCCGCTCAATCTGAGCGCGGTTCCGGGAGTCAAGCTGAACAATACCGGCCACATCATTGCCGATGAGTACCAGAACACCGGTGTCTCGGGCATCTACAGTCTCGGTGATGTCTTTGGCAAGTCTGAGCTCACGCCCGTGGCCATTGCGGCCGGGCGGCACCTCGCGGACCGGCTGTTTGGGGGCGAGCAGTTTGCGGACTCCAAGCTGGACTACGTCAACATCCCGACCGTGATCTTTGGACACCCAACCGCCGGCACGATCGGCCTCACTGAGGAGCAGGCCAAGTCTGAGCATGGGGCGGACAACATCAAGATCTACCAGACGCGCTTCACCAACATGTACAACTCGCTTACGCCGTACAAGCCGCCCACGGCCATGAAGCTGATTGTCGCTGGCCCCGAGGAGAAGGTTGTTGGTCTGCACATCATTGGCCGCGGCTGCGACGAGATCCTGCAGGGCTTTGGCGTTGCCATCAAGATGGGTGCGACAAAGAAGGACTTTGACAACTGCGTTGCCATCCACCCCACCAGCGCCGAGGAGATTGTCACCATGCGCTAAGACGCAAGAATAAATCTACGGCAAGTAGCAATTTTTTTGTTTTTTTGCGCAAGCATGACTGTTCAACTTTTGACTGCCTCTCTTTTGCTTTCTTTTTCTCTCTTTATTCTATCAACAAGCTCATTTTATATTACAATCAAATACATTTTCCAGTTCTTTGTCGCACCTCCCCTTCGCATCCATTTCGCCGACATTTGCTGAAATTCAGGTCGGACTACCTTATTCAAATCAGTTCAAGGACAACGCTTACAGCCCGCATACAGAGAAAAAACCATCATGCCGATTCGCGCCATTGACGGTACGCACACAATCACAATCACAAGTCAGCAAGCGGACAGGTTATTATCGCCTTGCCGCCCAGCGAGCAGCAATTTGCGCAACTAGCACAGCGTGCAATCTGACTAAATTCTCACCCTTCCCTTGCTCCTGTAGTATACGTGCGTGAGCTCCGGCTAATGCAAGACACGCGTGTCAGCGCACTCGGGGACACGCGGCTGGGGATTGAGGGCCACAGCTGGCTCCGGCAGCTCATGAGCAACACGCGCGACGGCGACAACGTCGCGATGGATGGACTACCGCATGCGCTCGAGGCAGCAATTGTGAGCGAATTGCAATTCTTCTGCAAGCACAACATCACGCCGATATTCGTGTTTAACGGGTTGTCGGTCGCGCGCAAGGACATGCGGCCGTTTGCAAAGGATGACCACAGGCCAGCGTTTCGCAACTCGGCGTGGGAGGCGTACAGTAAGAAGCACACCGAGCAGGCGCAGCGCGGGTGGTCGACATCATCGCCGCACGCGCAGTCAGACATGATCCCGTTCGTCATGCAAGTCCTCCAGGCCAATGGCGCCGAGTTCATGCGCGCACCGTACTCGTCTTGGGGCCAGCTGGCCTACCTGTACAAGCATGAGTCGCAGCCGATTCACGCTGTGTACTCGTCGTTGGACATGCTTATGTTTGACGTTGATCGCATCATCACTGCGTTCAACCACAGCAAGGCAACGTTTACGTGGATCCAGCGCGAGCACCTTCTTAATAAGTGCGGCGTCACGTCGGAGCAGGTCCTTGACATGTGCATTCTGGCGGGTTTTGACTGGTGCCAGACATTCCCGGCCCTGGTCACCGACATTGGCTTCTCGTTCAAGTCGGCTGTCGATGCCACGCGCGCGTACCGCACTGGCTTCAATGCCATTCAGATGATTGGCGACCACACCAACGGCAGGTTGTCTAGCTACAACGACAGCTTCTTGCGCGCATACTGCACTGTCAAGTACCACATTGTCATGTACCTCGACGGCACAGTCGGCCCTCTCAACGCTGAGTATGCACCCAACGACCTGCACGATATCATTGGCTACCGGCTGCCCACTGCTGCCTACCAGCTCTTGGCGCAGGGCATTGTTAATCCGCCGGTGCTCAACATGCTCGTGTCCGGGTCGTGGCTCGAGTTTGCACCCGCCGACAACGGCGAGTCTGCAGAGTACCGCAAGCTAATAACCGAGTGGGAGCGCAGCATATACCGGCAGCAGTGCGCAGCGCTCTGCGGCTGCATGGGCCCGTTCTACAAGCAGCGCAAGATTACCATGCTCTCGTGGTTTGATCCGCAGTCGGAGCTGGTGCTGAACGAGGCCAAGGCTGCCAAATACTCGGGCCAGAATGCACAGCAGGCGGCCAGCCAGCCGCTGCAGCTGTTGCTGCAGGCGGGCCAGGCGGCCGGCAGCGCAAGCATAAGCATTGAAGGGGTGCTCGCAAGCAGCAAGGAGCTTCTTTTGCCGCCCGCCAACAAGGCTTCTAGCGCGGACACCGATGCTGATCGGGGCACAGCCGGCATACTCTTGTCTGTGCTCGCCGACATGGGCTTTGTCGCGCGCAACGGGCAGCACACCCCACTGGGCAGCGCGCTCGGGGTTGGGCTTCGTGCGCTGAACGCCAAAGCGCCACTCAAGCAGTGGGCGGTGGTTGAAGCAGCCGTACTGCTGAGCCAAGGCCTACTCACAGGCGACAAGTGGAGCGTCGCTTACGAGGACGAGCAGTCACCGATGGGCAAGGACGCGCAGCAGCAAAAGTTTGTGCGCATCATTTCGCGGATAGCCACGCTCGTGCCTTGCTGCGAACGCAAGGGCCCGTGGCGGCTTGCGTATAACCGAGACCTGCTTGCATTTGGCAGCGCCGTACGCCTGGTGCAGAAGGTGGCAGCGAACTGCATGGACTCGGCATGCCTGATCCAGGCGATTGCTGCCACGGGGGAGGCTCCCCGAGAGCGGACTGCATGGCTTCTCAAGCTGAAGGCCGAGGCGCCTGTGGAGTGCGCGTCTAGTGCTGCCAGCGGCCTGCTGGTGCACGCGCTGCTCGCCGACTATGTGCGCAGTGGCCCAGGCAGCTGGGCCCGCATTCAGGAGTGCGCTGGCGATAGCATTGTCGCTGCGCAGCAGGTGGTGCGTGATGCATCGAGCCTGGTCGATGCGGTGCTGGCAATGGCCAAGGAGCAGGGTAGCGGTGTGGGCAAGGGCTTTGCTGCTGACCTGAAGGCTGCTCGCGACTGGGTCCAGCCTGTATTTAACGAGGTGGTCGGCTAGCCTTTTCCTTTTGACTTAATTTAATAAAGCCAGCTGCCGATTAATTGGTAAGCCGCCGACTATTAGGGCAGTTATTGCTCAACCTTGGACTGCGCTGATCTCTCTCCCGGAATTCCAATCTCCTGGTACCAAGCTTGCTTCCAGCAAAATCAGGTGTTTTTTGTGTTGTGTGAGAAAAAAATGAATTTAAATTAGCAGTTAACTTTGGTTTCCTGCTTGTTTTTTATTTTCTTATTTGTTTGTTTTTGTCTGGCCAAGCGATTGGCTGTGCAAGTTCATCTACAGTTCGGCTAATATTTTTTATTGCATTCTACTCAGAACGCACGGAAACAAAAATATTGTGAGGTGTGGTGCCCAAGCTTTAGAAATATGATGAGCGTATGGATTGGGCGGTGCCAAACGCTCACTGGGATATCCCTTGGCGCCATTGAATGCTAGCTGAACACCCCCCCAATGGTGGCAGTCCTAGAGTGGGCTGGACCGAGTGGTCACGGTCTGGTCGAGGCTGCAAAAAAAAATAACAACGACTCCTAGGTTCTGCAACGAGCAAACTGGCACCAGGTGCATGCAGGTCAGGAATATAAAAGGCAGCCGTTATTCGGCCCGCATGCATGTCGTAAAACAACACATATCAGCATCAGTATCAGTATCAAATAGCGGAAGATCCCAAAGTGCAACAGAACAAGGCGACATGTGCTGTGCTGTGTTGTAGCCAAACAGCACTCAGCCTAAGCGTTAGAACAAGTAATAAAAAGATCCAGCAGCAGGGCCAGGAAGAATGAAGCGCAGAGTCAAGATTCTCAAATCTTTGTTTGTCCTGAAGAAAAAATGCTCATATATAAACAAACCACCATTTGGGATTGGTTTCGAATAAGAAATATGTACAAGGTGCGCCTATTTTTCTTGTCTTTCATTTTTTGCAAAAAATATTGTCGCCTATTTTTCGTCTTTTTGCACCCAAACACAAACTCCCTTTTTTATTTTTATTTTTCCTTTCTTTTCGCACCTCTTTAATTTCCCAATATCCAATATTCTATCTATTTTAATTTCTCACTCTTTATCATTTTCCCCCTGTTGTTTATACAAATACAAACACCAACAACCAAGCGACAATTCACTAGGAACGAGGTTGACAGAAACGCGAAAAAAGGATACGTTTTTCTAGTGTAAGGGGTCAAACTTTGCGCAACACCTTTTTCCTCTTCTTATTTTTCTTTTTCTCTTTCCCTTATATAAAGTTTGTTGTGGTTTCACTGCTTGTCAGCAAGAGACTAGTTACCAAAGAATACAAACTCCTTTTACGTTAAAAGGACTGAGACATGGCTGAGGTAAGACCAAATTTCAATTTGTCGACTCGTTAATACACATTTTGCTCCTCTCCTTGTCATAGCTGCTGCAGCTACCTTGACCAATACAGGCTCGCTGAGCGCTGCTCTACTGCTTCTGGTCCTGTGCGTGGTAGCAAACAAGAGCTGTTGACTGGGTTCATGCAGCAGGCATATTCAAGCTGCATTGTTTCCTCTCATCGCTCCTTCCCTCATTGTGAAGCCCAAGTTTCCCTGTGTTTTTTCTTTTTGCATGCATGGCAGTTCCTGTCCCGCCCCCCCCCCCCAGCTGATATGTTTACTTGCTTTGGCTGATTGATTGCAGTGCCTACACACAGCTATACTCCCTCTTCTCTTCGACAGCAGATACCAATGTCTGCAGCATTCGGTCGGCGACCAACAAATGGCCCGCGCAACGCGACTTGTGGAAGCCACTGGTGGACTTGGCGCCTCCAATTTATTTCTCAAAGATAATGTGGCTTTTTTCAAAAGGAAAACAAACCAATTTTACAGAATGCTCTGCCGATATTGCTCCCAAAAAAATTGCGCCGCGTCTGCATGTTTTTGCCGGACATCTTGCTTTATTATTTTTATTTTATTTTTCCGCGAGATATCTTGCCTGTCAGTGCCAAAAGAGAGCCTGCCATATGTAGCCCTTGCTCGCTGCAGCTATATTCGCTGCTATGACCCGCACAGAAATGCTCGGCGGATTGTGAGTTTGTTGGCATTGCTTATTTTTTTTCCTCCTCCATATTTGCGGCGGCGGTAGCGGAGGCAATGACTTGGCGATCGTCCATCACAGCAATTATATGGAGATCCCCCCTTCTCATTTTTTCTTTTGTTTTATTTTGCCTTTCCAAGGATAGAAAAATAATGTATTGGGATTGCTGGGATTCTCGCTTAATTGCCAGCAACAGGAATGAAAACGGCAATAGCAAAAGAACATGCGGTTTGGCTAGACTGTATTTAGCCCCTCCCCCATTCGCCCCCTTTATCGCTTTGCCTGTGTTGTCGTGTCGTGCCGTGTCGTGTCCTGCCCTGTCTGGCTGTTCACACGGCTGAGCGACAAATGCTCGCGTTGATTTTACGCGCGCCCTCCCCCCCTTTCCTTGACAAGTCTCATACGATGCCGAGCGGGAAGGAAGACGGCAATGCAATGCGATGTGAAGCAATGCTGTCGCAATATCCAATGCACAATATGTTTTGTTAACCTTGCGTTCACTTTGATTGTCTCGCACAGACGCAATTGATTTCGCTCTTTGGGTTATCTATCCAGAAGACTGACTGAACCGGGCCACCATCATCTACAAAACCTCATCCCGACTTATGCATTATTTTTATGTTGAGCCTGCCTCCAGCTAAAACTCACACTACTTATTTTGATGATATAGCAAATCGGAGCGCTCCCATTTTTTGTGCGGGCCTTATATCCGTTCAAAAGTAGCGAGGCCAGCGGACTCACATTTGACCGCGGAGAAATCATCGAGGTGCTTGCATGCCTGGAGTCAGGGTGGTGGAATGGACTGTGCGGCAGCAACCGCGGCTGGTTCCCGTCGAACTACGTGGAGCACGTGTCTGCAGAGCAAGTATCCATTCTTCGACAGGGCCAGCATCTGCAGCACCAACAGCTGCCCAGCACGCCGACGACACCGATGGATGATATGGCCACAATGGATCAGACGCTGCTAACAGCAGCTGCAAATGAGAGCATCATTCGGCGTGGGTCAATCGCGGTAGGCGATGCTCAGGCTGGCAGCGTGGCTTCTGCGGTGCCGTCGCGACTGCGCATGGGCCGTCGCGCTTCAACGCCTTTCAATGCTGTGGCAGAAGGGATCAGTGATGCTGGGCAACAGCAACAGCAGCAACCACAAACTCAGCAGCAGCAACCGGCGCATCAACCAGTACAACAGCAGCAGCAACATGCACAGGCACAGATACAGGCACAGGTGCATCAGCAGCAAGTGCAGGTCCAGCCGCAGACCCAGATGCAAGCTCAGCCGCAGGCGGAGGTGCAGTCACAGACGCGGTCGGATTCAGTAGACCTGGGCAGCACCACGAGTATAGCACAGTGGGAGAGCCGAGTGACTCTGGATGGGCGCACGTACTTCTGCAACATCTTCACTGACCGCACAGCGTGGAGCATTGGCGGCGGAGACGAAAATGATGGCGCTGAGGCTGCACGCTCACTGGAGCTGATTGGTGACCAGGCAACGCTTGTATACGTGTCGCTGGTTCTGGGCGCACAGATCCAATCGCAGATGCAGTCGCAATCGCTGCTGCAGACACAGGCGCTGGTAGACGAAGCAGACTCGGCATGGGAGCAGCTGGCCAGCGGCGTTGCGCTGGCGGCCTTCAACTTGGCTGCAGCTGTTAGCACTCGTGCCAAGCACGAATGCATGGCGCTGCTGGCAGTAGTAGTTAGCGGCGTCAAGCGGCTGCTGCTGGCTTCGGCTGCTGGCGGTGCAATGGCAGACGGGCCAATTTTCCGCACTCATCGCGTGCTGCGCGACAACCACCGTGAGATTGTGCAGCACATGTGCGCGTTGACCTTGTCAGCCAAGGTTGCTTCCACTGTGTGGCCGCCACCTGACGCTGCCGATGCTGTGCACGCTGATGTCGCTGGGCTTGTGCGCGCCGTCCGTTCCTTTGCTGCCGAGGCCGGCGCTGCGGGCATCACGCCCCATGCTGCGCCGGTGGGCGACGAGAGCGTCACCCTGCTGCCAGGCGTAGATTTGGGAACTGGTCTGCGGCTGCGCGCTGCATCGTTTGGTGCCGGCGCCGGGCGGGGCACTGTGGCCGTGGCCAAGGCGGCCGGGTCAAGCAACAGCGCCAAGCGCCTCAGCATGCTGCAGCGCAATGAGTACACGGGAGCAACTGTGCTGGTGCGCGGCGACAGCGCCACGGTTTCGTCCACAACCACGGACGTGGCCGGTGCCGGTGAGTCGCTGTTTGCGCGCGATCGCACGGGCATCCGCCAGCGCCTGCGCCAGCACCTGGCTGAACACCACCAGCGCACGAGCGCCAAGGCAACTGCCGCCGCGAGGAAGCCCGACGAAGCTGAGCAGCAAATGACGGCGACATCGGCTGACGTGCTGCTACAGCTTGACGAGAGCACGCACGAGCTGGCACGCGTCATCCTGGCGCTGGACCGCTTCATGCACAAGATCGAGCGCGCGCACGCTGAAAACGCTGAATCTAGCATTGTGGCCAGTGCGCCACGCCTTGTTGGCTACGCCAAACACCTGGTGGCTGCACTTGCCGTGCTGCTGCAGGTGCTCGACGACTTCGACGCCTTCAGCAGTGCAGTTGTCACAGCCGCTGAGAATGACGACCCTGATGCCGCGCTGACCGGCCCAGCCACGCTGATTGCGACCACGATGGACGCGCTGCGTATCAGCCGTGCCCGCGTCAACGATAGCGTCGGCTTCCTGGTGGCCGCCGCGCAGGACTTTTCTGAGAGCGTATATGTATGCCACATGGATGTTGATGCCGACGCTGAAGACGAAGAAGAGGATGTCGAGATTCCGGCCGACGACAGTGCTATGGCCCACGTTCCGCCGGCCGACCGCGTGCTCAGCGCGCTGACAAACGTCGAAGAAGCGCTACAGGCGCTCAACCACAATGCCATGGCGCTGCACATTTCTGCCAAGCGCGTCATTGAGGCCTGCGACGTGTGCGACCTGCGTGTACTGTGGCTGCGCGTCGCCAAGTACCATGCTGCGCCAAACACCCTAGCCAGCGTGCCTGGCGGCCCTGGCGCCACGCTCTCCGGGACGGCCACGTCGAAGCAGCCAGCCAGCCGGTACGGGTACCGCCGCTCGTCGTCGCTGCCGCAACTGCGCCGCCAAAATCTGCTACCCCCACCTCCCGGATCGGCGCTTCCGATTGGCAAGCACAATCTGCTAGCTTTGGCTGCCGCCGCCGCCAGCTCGCGCCCGCGCGCGGACACCATCGACACGTCTGACGCGATGCCCGTGCATCTTGCGCGCCGCACCGACTCCGATGCCCTCGCAGACGACGACTCTGACGGCGCGTACTCGCAGGCCTTCCGCGACGCGCGCGTCAAGGACAAGCTCAACCGCTTCTTTGGAGACGACCCCGCGACCTTTGCCTCGCCGGGTTCTCAGTCGCGCCGTCCCGCGCACCTCGAGGACCTCAGTATCACGCCTGTCGGCTCCCACCAGCCCGACTCATCGCGCACACCCACGCGCACTATGTCGGGCTACGGCGACGAGCCATCATCCGCCCGCGCTGGCTCTATCATGTCTAGCCGCTCGTCCACCGCGCCTTCCACCAAGGGCATTGCCGCCGCGAACGGCTCGACGGCGTCGCCCGCCCCCAACGAATCACAGCAGCACCAGACGCCGTGGTACCTCGGCTATGACTACACGCCTGAGGAGATGATTCTGACCGCTGATGGCCAAGTCAAGGGCAGCACGCTGACCGCGCTGATCGAGCGCCTTGTCGCTCATGATGTGTCGGACAGCAACTTTGTCACTACTTTCTTGCTGACCTACCACTCGTTCACAACCACGCCCGAGCTTTTTGACGGCCTTTTCCGCCGCTTCCTGATCCAGCCGCCGCTCGGCCTCACGGAAATCGAGCTGGCCGACTGGACTGACCGCAAGCTTAAGCCCGTCCGCCTGCGTGTCTACAACTTTTTCAAGACCTGGCTTGAGCAGCACTACATCGAGCAGGTCGAGGGCGATCCTGTTGCCCTCGAGATGCTGCGCGAGTTTGCGTGCACCACAATGGCCGAGCACATGTCCAAGGCTGCCGAGCAGCTGGTGCGCCTTATCGATAAGCGTCGTGCCTCGCAGGGGGGTCTGCGCAAGATGGTGCCAAACATGCCCAACGCCGCTCCGGCGCCCATCCTGCCGCGCTCGCTCTCGCGCCTGCGCCTGATGGACATCAACCCCCAGGAGCTGGCCCGCCAGTTTACTCTTATCGACTCAAACCTCTTCAACAAGGTGCGCCCGATCGAGTGCCTGAAGACCGCCTGGTCGCGCAAACCCGGAGACCCCAAAGCCTTCAACGGCCTCAACACTGAGATTGCTGTCAATGTCAAAGCCATGAGCACGCTCAGCACGCAGACCACCCTGTGGGTCACTGCCAACATTCTGCTTGAGCACGAGATCAAGCGCCGCGCTGCTGTCATCAAGTACTTTATCAGCTTTGCCGAGCACTGCCGCAACCTGAACAATTTCAATACGCTGATGAGTGTGCTTGGCGCCCTAACGTCAGTCCCCGTTGAGCGCCTTACCCGCACGTGGCAGGCTGTTCACCAAAAGTCGCTCGTCGCCTACAACACGCTTAAGCAGATAATGCGCACGGACCGCAATTTTGCCGAGTACCGCGACTCGCTGCACTCTTGCAATCCTCCTGCAATTCCCTTTGTTGGTGTCTACCTGCAGGATCTGACTTTTATCGAAGACGGCAATGATGATATGATTCCCAGCTCCCGCCTGATCAACTTTGCCAAACGTCAGCGCACTTCCAAGACTATTCGTGATCTGCAGCAGTTTCAGAACATCCCTTACAACCTCACCCCTGTCGCTGAGATCCAGGACTGGCTGCTCAAGCGCCTTGAGGAGCTGTGCCCCAATGGCCAGAGCTCTGACCGCCTCGTTGAGGAGTTCTGGAAGATGAGTACCACGCTGGAGCCGAAGGAAAAGGACAGTGAGCGCGTATTGCGTCTGCTCAAGGAGTCGGGTTTCCTCTAATCAAAACAAACATTCAAACAAACATAATCCTCCTTTCCCTTTTTTGGGGGTTTTGGAGTGCAAAACTCCATTCATATTTTTTTGGTCAACCGCTCGTATATTTTGGTTGTCTGTCAATTTTTCATACTCTTTTTGGCGATTTTTCTTGAAAGTTTTTTATTGAGTTCGTTGGCTGCAATATTTGTTTTTTACTTGTAAAAAGTGAAAATATGTCACGGGGAATGACATATTTATACATTTGTTTTGCACCATTTCCCTCTAACCTAAGTCTTCTCTACTATGTTTGATACACAAAGAAGCACACGAATGCGCGATTTGGTCTAATTAATCAGTTCAGATATAAAAGGAAAGGGAGCCAAGCGATGCTGTATGTTTTTTAGCAGCTGAATGTTTGAGCTTTGTCGAGGTTGTCGGATCGAAGGCAGAAGTTTAAAGAAATATTGTACTAATAGCGATTTTCAAAATTATTGCAACTATGAAGCTATAGTTTGCCTGGTTGCTTGCTTGCGTTTGTTGTTTCTGCTGCTGCTGCTTCTTTTTTACTTTGTCTACGAAAAGCCGATATTTGGTTGGTATTATAAAATAAACTAAAAGTCAACATAGTAAAAATGGAAGAATCACTCACTGGAGTGGGTGTCATGTCACTTATCTTTTCGGGATCCATAGATACTAGATAATTACTAGCCATTTTAAGCTGCGCTTCTAATGTGTTGCAAGTTAGTTCAGATAATGTAACTATAAAAGAAGTGCACTCAGGAATAGTTAGCAGCACTATTTCAACTATTCGAGCAAAAAATGTAATTTCCAAAGTTTACAAATGTGTTTTGTAAACCACTCGACTAGTGTTGTAAATAATTGGCTTACAATTTTATTACTGAATTATTGTTTCGCAGCTCACTCAAAAAACAGTATTCACAATCACACGATTGATTTATAACCCCAGAAAGCTCATAAAACGAGGTACGATACTTCACAGAATTCAGAGCCAGCGCTCAAGGGCAAGACCAAGGCCGCTATCCAGTCCAGCACCAAGTTCAGGTGTTGGAACCGTGGCATTGCATTGGTGTGCAACCTCATTATGATATTTCTATATCATCGCGCATTTTTAGAGTGCCACCCAGCTTTCAAACACCCTGCTAGACTGCCAATTGATCCGAATGCCACGCCCAAGACAGACGCTGCTACAAAGCGCAACAATAATAGATAGTGTTCATCGTTTTCCTCAACATCAAGGGAGCTGTTACTATACTTACTACCTGAAGGCTCGATCCTCATTGGGTAAAACCAGTGACTACGAAATGGATGGAGGGCTTCTTTCCAAAACTCACCAATAATAATAAAAACTATTATTTTCTCGATTTCTCCATCCTCCCTAAATTTAAACAAAAATCATTTTAATTTGTTGATTTTTATTTGGCAGATCATGCCACACCAATCTGCCGGATCAACAAAAAAACATTTCTTTTTTTTTGTGCAGTTTTCAACTTGGCAGCGGCAGAAGCACCCTTTTTTTTGCAAGTTTGCAAAGAGCGCTGGATTCTTGTCAAGACCAAAGTAAAAAATATTTTTTCTTTTCAACTGGCCGACTGTTTCTCTCTTTGTTTTATGCCGTTTTTGTTTTCATTACTCTCTCTATATTTTTTTTTGCTCTCTTGAATCGATCATCACCTTTATAATCCCCGTCTGCGACCGTATTACTCGTAGCAGTTGTTATTTAGAACAAACAAGCAAATACTTGCAAAGGCCTGGTCTCTTTTTATTTTTTTATTTTTTTGTGTACACACACGCTCTTGCCGTCATCCACAGAGCTTGGTTTTACAATATATATATATATAAAGGTACAGTATCTCTGTCATTGGACCTGAATCAGACGCTCATATGCCCAGTTGGAGGATCATTCGCGTACTTCAACGATTTCACTACTAATACATATACATTATCTGCTATTCACACAATCTAGATCCACATCAGCAACAATGGCCGGAAAGAAAAGCGATACGAATAACCAAAAGCACGAAAAGGCTGACGCCTCTGTGTCTGCAGCAGCCCCGAGCAAGGCATCCACCAAAAATAAGCAACAGTCTTCTGCTGAAGTCATCACTGACTTTCCCCGCGGTGGCTCGAGCGGCCTGACACCCCTTGAGTTCCGCGAAGTCTCTCGGCAGGCCGAACGCGAGGTTCTTTTTACTGATGGCGTTATCAGCAGCCAGGCCGACAAAAAGAAGCGCCGTCACGACATTGGCAGCGACAACGAATCTGCGGCGACCACCACCGGTGATAAGAAAAAGTCAAAAAAGAAGAGCAAGAAGCTCGCTGACGCAGGTGCCGACGCCGATATTGATAAGGTCAACCCAGTTGAGCATCTGTCTTTTAAAAAGCTTGCAAAGGGCGCTCTGATTTTGGGCTGCGTCGCTGCTGTCCAGGATCTTCAGCTGCGCATATCGCTGCCCAACGGCCTGATCGGCAGTGTGCCCATCACATCCATATCTCCCGAGCTCACCGCACTGGTCGAAAAGGCAGCCGAGGACGATGAGGATTCTATGGATGTCGACTCGGAAGAGGGAGAGGAGAACGATCCGCTCAATCTGAGATCTCGGTTCTTTGTTGGGCAGCTTGTAAAGTGTGTCATCACTGAGCTCGGTGACTCCACCCCAGCCAGCAAGAAGAAGCCCAAGTCCAAAGCAGCCACTACTCGCATTGAGTTGACGCTGATGCCGGAGGAGATCAACAACCGCATCGACATTGAGGACATGTGCGAAGGATTGATCCTGACTGCCAGCGTCAAGAGCGTCGAGGACCGCGGCTACGTCCTCAACACTGGTCTTCCCGGAGACAACATTACCGCTTTTCTGCCGACAGAGGCTGCCCAAGCCTGGCTGGACCGCTGGATGCCTCAATCCACCGAGCTCAAGGTTGGCCAGCTGGTCGAAGCCTCTATCACCAATGTCACCGACAACCACCGCACTCTGCGTGTCACCCTTGATCCCGCCGTCGTGGGCCAGTCGCTTGTCAAGGACACCTACAGGACCATGGCTTCGGTGCAGCCCGGTCAGCTTGTCTCAGCAAACATCATGAAGATCTGGGACCGCGGCCTGTCTATGCGCTTCATGGGCTTCTACGACTGTACTGCGGATTTGACCGGAATTGGCATGCTCGATGCGCGCGACAGCAAGGATGTTGAGAAGAGTTTCAAGCTTGGCCAAACTATCTCTGTGCGTGTGGTCTACGTCTCGCTGACCGCAGCTGCGAAGATAATTATTGTGTCCGCCCTGCCGCACATTACCGCGTTCACCCCGCGCCCCGCCCTCACCTGCTTTGAGCTCCCCGAAGCTGCGCGCCTGGCCACAGGCATCAGCGATACGGAGTTTGTCCCCGGCACAGACGAAAAGCTCTGGCCTATCCCCTACGGCACGATCATCAATGACTGTGTTGTCGCCAATATTGTCTCTAACCTTGGTCTCGTTTTGCAAATCCCCGGCGCCCTGTCGGTTCGCGCGTTTGTGCCTGCCGCGTATCTTGTCGAAGATGGCGACGCAGCGCCCACGCTTAACCGCCACATTGGTCGCTTCCGCATTGAAACTCGCCATCGCGCGCGTGTTATCGGCTACGACGCCATGGACGCTGTCATCCGCGTCTCGCTGCGGCCGTCTGTTGTCGACGAAAAGTATTTTACTATTAACGACGTGTTCCCCGGCGCCATTATCAACGGCACTGTCAAGCGTCTTTTGGACAAGGGTGCTGAGGTTGTTATTTCGTCGAACCTGATTGGATTTGCACACAAGCAGGAGCTGTCTGACACCAAGCTCAAGCACCCCGAGCTCCAGTTTAAGGCCGAGAAGAAGGTGACTTGCCGCGTGCTCAAGATCTTGCATGAGAAGCGCAGCGTTCTACTGACCTGCCGCAAGAGCTTGGTCCAGTCCAAGCTGCCCACTGTCTTTGGCTATACCGAGGCCGAGGGCGCCGTGCCCGGCACAATCACTATGGCCACCGTTGATCGCCTTGTTGCCGGCGGCGCCGTTATCAACTTTTACCAGGGTGCCCACGGCTTTGTGCCCACTGGCACTAAGCAGCTGGCGGTTGGCCAGGCGGTCAAATGCCGCATTCTGTCAGCCAACGCCGAGAAGCGTCGCATTTCAGCCACCCTCGACGTCGATGAGAATTCCGAGCTGTCCGAGCTGGTGGATAGGTCGAAGATCAGGGCAAATAATGAGTTTAGCACCGACCTATCGCAAGTGACTACGGGCCAGGTTGTCGGTGGCTCAGTCACCCGCGTTGCCGATGGCTATGTTACCGTCCGTCTTGATGGCAGCAACCTGCGCGCCTCGATGTCTGTGGCCCACCTCAGCGACCACCGCGGCACTATTTTGGATAAGATTGTTGCGCGCACGATCGAAGGCACCCGCCTGCCTGAGCTTGTCATCACGAGCATCGTTGAGAAGAGGGGCCGCATTGCTGTCAGCGCCAAGCCTGCCCTGATTAAGGCCGCTAAGGCTGGTAACCTGCCTGCCACTGCCAATGATATCACTGTCGGCCAGACGATGGTGGGCTGGATCAGCAACACCGCCACGTTTGGCGTCTTTGTCAACTTCCCCGGGATGATCACCGCTCTGGCCCCGCTCGACATGCTGGCTGACCGCTACGTCGCGGCTCCTAGCGATCTGTTCTTTAAGGACCAGACCGTCATTGCCTCGGTGGTCGGCATCGATGAGTCTGAAGACGGAAACAAGGTGCGCGTTGCGCTCAAGAGCTCAGTTGTCGACACGGCGGCCACTGGCTTCCTCGGCGCTGCTGACTACTTGCTCGGCTATTTCAACGAGATCGAGAGCGCTGCGGGCTCGTCGGCCTTCGATTGCATCGGTGCCCAGGCTCTGGTCACTGTCAAGCAGAAGCACCCCTACGGACTGGTTGTTTCTCCCGCCAGCGGCGGCAAGCTCTCGGAGTCGTCGTCGGGCTTTATTACCATCAACCAGGCTAAGGATCGCATTGATGAGTGCTCCGAAGGCACGACCGTTGCGGCCTGCGTGCTGGACGTTGACGCCGAGAAGAACATTGTCGATTTTTCACTGCGCAGCGTCCTTGTGTCCGAGGCATCCGGCCTTGAGGACGCGTCAAAGGCCAACGGCAGCGTCTCCGCGGACAAGAAGATGGCCAAGTTGCAGGCCAAGATTGACGCCAAGATCGACACCAGCCGCAAGGGCCTGCGGGAGGCGGTGAAGAAGAGCCAGGAGACCCAGCTTGTCATTGAGATCGTCAAGGAGGACTACTTGGTCCTTTCGATGCCTCTGTTTGGTAACACCATTGCCTTTGCAGCCACAAAGTCCTACAACGACTGCTCCAAGCCCTTCATGCGCTTCAAGGTTGGCCAGCGCCTGAACGGCACTCCTGTGCGCGCTGCGGCCGAGGGCAAGCGCACGCTGGTTCTGCTGCAGCGCGGATCCGACAGACTGTCTGAAGAGGGCTCGGGCAATGGCGACAAGGCCAAGCGCGCGGCTGTCAAGCCTGTTGACTCAGCAATCAACTTCTTTGAGGACTACCAGCCCGGCGTCATGACAAAGGCTATTGTCAGCGGCATCAAGGGCGGACAGGCCAACCTGAACCTTGCCTCGAATGTCAAGGGCCGTCTGCACATCACTGAGCTCCTGGACGACTATGCCGCGGTTGCTGATGCCAAGTCTCCTGCCGATGTGTTCGCTGCTGCCGGCGTTCGCGTGGGTATGACCATCGATGTCAAGGTTCTTGGCTGGCACGATGCCAAGGTTTATAAGTTCCTGCCGATCACGCATCGCGCATCGCCCATGAAGACGGTAATTGAGACCACGGTCAAGCCCTCTGAGATGGCCACTGAGTCGGGCAAAGTGCTCACAAACGACATTCGTCTCGCCACCCCGAAGACCATCGCGGCTGGACAGGTTATCCACGGATTTGTCAAGGGCATTTTGGAGGCTAGCGGCTCGCGCACCGCCTCAGTGATGGTCATGCTTGGCCTGTCGCTCATCGGATATATGCCCATTCTGGCCGCAACCAGCAGCTACAAGGTTGCGACGCACCCCGGTCGCTTCTTTATCCCTGGCATGCCCATCAAGGTCCAGGTCGCAGCTGTGGACTCCAACGGCAAGTCAGTCACTGTTGTCCCCCACGGCAACTACATTGCCAATGTCGAAAAGCCCCTGTCTTCGATCAAGCAGCTTGTGCCTGGAGCCCACGTTGTCACATCGGTGACTGCCATCAACCCATCGGCCATCTTCACCGGGTTCAGCCTGGTGCTCACTGAAGGCGAGGACAACCTGCCCCGCGTTGTGCATGTCCATGGCAACATTAGCCAGTTTGACGTCTCTGACAAGCTCACGGCTACGCCATTCAAGGATTTCACTAAGGGTAAACTTCTCGACGCCGTTGTCGTCAGCGTGGAGAATAGCGAAACTCCCGAAAACATGAGGGCCATCCTGTCGCTGCGCCAGTCGGCCCTCACCCCTGAAAAATACACGCCTAGTGATATTGCGGACCCTGTCATCGGTTCTGCCGCTGATGTGTCTCATGGACAGATTGTTCATGGGTTTATCAAACAGACCAGCGAGATCGGGTGCTTCATTGTTATTGGTCGCAACATGTCTGGTCGCGCCATCATTAGTGAGCTCTCTGACGAGTACGTTCGCGATGTCAAGGCCGCCTTCCCTCCTGGAAAGTTTGTCACCGCCGCGGTTATTGACAGCAACCACTCTGCAAACAAGATCTCCCTATCCCTCCGCGCCTCGCGTGTTGGCGGCATCGCCGGCACCGATGGTGACAAGCTGCGCCGTCTGGATCAGATCAACATTGGCGAGACCCTCAAGGGCACGATCACTCGCATTGAGGACTACGGTGTCTTCATCAAGCCCGACAACTCCTTTGTCACCGGCCTATGCTACTTGCGCGAGATTGCTGACAGCGATGTGCCGGTCAACCCTAAGACGCTGTACGAGCTGGGCGACCGCGTTCTCGCCAAGGTTCTCAAGGTCGATGCTTCTGCCAACCGTCTTGCGCTGGGCCTCAAGGCCTCGTATTTTGCCAAGGAGGATGGCGACGACAGCGACGACGAGGATGATGAGATTGAGGAGTCGGATGATGAGAATGAGACGAGCAACGCCGAGTCTGCTGACGAGGACACTGAGAGCGACGAGGACGAGGAGTCGGATGACGATGAGAATGTGAACGACAGCGATGTTATCGTGCCTGATTCTGACTCTGATGCTGAGTCTGGCTCGGACTCTGACTCTGACTCTGACGTTGAGATGGAGGATGTTTCGAAGCCCGCGTTGGCCGTCTCCGGCGGATTCCAGTGGGAGGAGGACAGCAACGATGAGGCCGAGCGCGACTCTGCTGCCGGCAGCGACTCTGACAGTGACGACTCTTCCGACGACGAGAACGACGAGGCCCAGCAGCAAAAGAAGAAGACCAAGCGCTCCAAGTTGCAAAAGATCTCCCAGGACATCACCGCTGAACTCTCCGAGCAGGCTCCCACTAGCTCCTCGCACTTTGAGCGCTTGATCGTCGGGTCGCCCAACTCGTCGTTTGTGTGGCTGCAGTTCATGGCCTACTATCTGGGACTGTCCGAGGTCGACCAGGCACGCGCGGTCGCTGAGCGCGCGTTGAAGACCATTTTGCCGAGCGAGGAGCAAGAGAAGATGAACGTGTGGGTGGCCCTTTTGAACCTCGAGCACCGGTTCGGCACTAAGAGCACGCTCGATGAGGTGCTGAAGCGCACTGTTCAGTTCATGAACCCCAAGCACGTGTACTTGCAGATGGCCAAGATTTACGAGAGGGCGGACCAGTTTGCTGAGGCTGAGAGCATGCATAGGGTTGCCATCACCAAGTTCGCGGGATCCTGCAAGGTGTGGGTTCTGTTTGGTCTGTTTTATCTCAAGAACAACAAGGTCGCCGAGTCCCGCGACCTGCTGGCTCGCGCCCTCAAGTCGCTGCCTAAACGCAAGCACATCAAGGCCATCACACAGTTTGGTCAGATGGAGTTCAAGCACGGCGAGCCCGAGCGCGGAAGAACCGTGTTTGAGGGCATTCTGGGCACGTACCCCAAGCGCGTCGATCTGTGGTCAGTCTACCTGGACATGGAGGTCAAGGCGGTGACCATCCACGGCCTGGACGAGTCGGACAAGAGTGGCCGCTGCTGGGACGCCACGCGCAACCTATTTGCGCGCGTCACCTCGATGAAGCACTCTTCGAAGAAGATGAAGTTCTTCTTTAAGAAGTGGCTGGCCTTTGAGAAGATGCACGGCTCGGACGACACTATCGAACATGTGAAGGAAAAGGCTCTCGAGTATGTCAACTCACTGAGCTCGTAATATGTTCAGATATTTTGGTATTATGTTTTTTCGTTTCATTCTATTTGTTTTAATTTAGCTTAGCTTAGCTTTAAACCTCTCATTTTGGCTTCAACTTTATCGTGTGCAACCCTCGCTTGCAAGTTTACAACTGGCCGTGCATTTTAATCTACTAAATGTTGTGCAGCACAACAGAATATTTGAGCGGATGGGGGAGCTGGAGCTATTCTGTTTGCGTGGGCGCCACATGAAAAACCACTGCTGAAACTGACTTCAGTTGCAGCCAACCGAGATAAAAAAACCTCTCCCTCCTTTGTTTGTTTTCTCATTCACAGAAATGAAAGTGCACTCGGTTTTGGCTGTTTCTGTCTATGCTGCTTGTCCTGGATGCAGCCTTGTTTTTGGTAGTCCGCTATTTGTCATTATTTTTCATTTTTCATTTCTCTTCACAGCTTTTGTATTTTTAAGACATCTTTACGTTCACGTTCACTTCATCCTTGATCATCTGCATTTATATATATATATCAATTTTTGTCTTCTTTTTCCTCATCTAAAATCAAACTCTGCGCTTAAACATACAAACAAATTGATTCGTCCGTCAACCGCATGCTGGGCGAATCGCAACAAAAGCCCCAAAGGCTTGCTCCCGGGATAGGACCCAGGAATCTAGACATCAGACAAGCGCTGGCAACAGACCTAGTGGCCAATCGAATGTCTATGGCCAGCCAGCAGCATAGACGAAAGGCAGTGCAATATACTCCTGCGCGCGTGTCTGCTCAGCAAGGTAAACTTGATAATTGTTGTTAGCGTGCTCCGAATATACACCCTGCGCACATGTTTACAACACGTGGTCTGACCCTGGAACAGGAATGCCTCGGACCGCGGGCTGGCTTCCAGCCTGTGTGCCAATCCCAAAATGAAAATTTAAACCAAGACAAGAATAGACGGAGACTAAATTAATCGAGAGTACACCAAATTGCGTAAAGCCTATGTTGATCACCCACCAATCCTTTTCGCGCCAGGGAAGCCCTAAAAAAGATCGCCGATGTTTTCTTTTTCCCCCACTCTGTTTTTCTATGTCAAAAAAAGCAAACATGAAAAGCAGGTGGGGGGAAACTGAGCTTTGGTTGGAACTCAAGCTTGGAGGATATGAGCATCCGAGGCATTTATTTTCCCTGATTTTTCTGCATTGGCTTAAACCTTTGCAATGGTTTCATTTGCTGGCCAATTTTTCTTCTTTTTTCTAACACCGTACGGCCATGCTGCCACATTTTAATCATATTGACTGGGTTTTCAAAACAATTAGGCACACCAAACAACACAGCCGCGACACACGCCGCATTATATTCGCAGATGCCCGTCTCTGGGGATTACACCCAGCCAAATTATCATCAACCACATCCGTCCATGCAGCGGCATCAGCAGCATCAAACACAACCCCAACTACAACCATTGCACACATACAGTGTGTCACCTGGGGCCACACCACCGCAGAGGGTCGCATCAGACAAACTACACGAATCAGATAATGTTGAAGAGGAGCTGTACCTGAGACGTGTTTCTGTTCTCTACCATGAGCTGTGGAACGGCGACTGGATCGACAGACAGCTATTTGGCAGTGGACCGTTGTCTCTTGGTATCGACGCTACAACTGGCTACATTGGGACTGGGGATTCGTTTCTTGGAGAGCTGGGGGCCACAACAACCACACAAACAATCGGTATTATCGACACTATCGACGCAGACACAACAATGCCGCAGACCGCAGACAACAGCGCCAGCACGAGCATTAAAGCTGTAGATAATGAACAGGAGCTGCCATCAAAAGTATCGACGGATGCCCAAACAATAGTCGGAACAACCGCTCAGTCTGCCAATTGCCTCCCTCAAACGAGCTCTAGAATCCCAAGCGGCGACATCCATGCAGAAAAGCAGCGCGTGCGTTTTCCGGAACTCCAGACCTCGTGGTGCTCGCTTGGCGACGAGACATGTGCTGAGCAGGATAGCCCTGTGCTGGCACCTATCCGCGATTCCGCGCCTGTCTCTATATTTTCCTCGTCGGATTTGGTGGACGCCCTTGTAGGGACTGTCCACCGACTAGAGGACGATAAGCAACTTTTGCAGCGCAAGAGGTGGAGCGTGATAAAGGAGCTGGCAATCACTGAAGCGCACTATCTGCGTGACCTCCTGCTTTTGCGGGCTGTATTTTATGAGCCACTGGCCGGACCGTCGGGAAATGGGCTGCTGCGCTCAGAGGACATACGCGTTGTATTTGGCAATCTCGATGAGGTGATCGACTGCACGCGGTCGTTTATTGAATACCTGACAGTTGCGGTTGTGTACGAGGCAAACCGATGCTGTGCCCTGAGCGATGGCGAGATCCAGAGCAGCGGCCCCAGTTACGAGTACGAGGACAAGCCAGAGAGGCGCTCGGCCATGCAGATGCAGTGGAACCCGCCCAAACACGCAGCAGGCCATACTGAATTGGCTCATCCACCAGCAGGTTTTGGTACCAAAGCCAACGAAGTTGGGCTGAGGAGCAGCGCGTGGGCCGAAATATCCATTGCGCAGGCGTTTTTGCTCACGTCTCAGCGGATGGAACGTGTGTACTCCGAGTACTGCCACACATTTGAAGCTGCGACCCAGAGGCTCGTTGAAATTAAGCATGTGGCCTCGACGGTCTCTATCAATGCCCTGATGTCAAGCACCATGCCGACGATGCCAATCACTACGTATCACCAAGTACCACTGGTAAACTCGCCGTTCGCTGAACCGTCCAAGGGCTTGCGCCTGACGAACGGCGTTTTTCCTAATTTTTCTGGCAGTGGTGCCAGCGCCAGAGGCAGCGGGAATGTTGCCAACAGCGGCATTGCTTCGGGAAACAGCAATTTGAACGTTCAACTGGAGCGATGGGACCCGGAGGATGTGTACTCGGCCATGGTCTATCAGTTTTTGGTCGAACAGGCCCAGCTTCTGGCTGGGAAAACGACCAGCTGGGACCTGTCCTCGCTGCTTATCAAGCCAGTTCAGCGAATCCTTAAATACCCGCTGCTCATTCGGAGCCTGCTTAGTTTGACCAGGGTTCACACGTCCGACCATGGCCAACTTGAGAAGGCGGCCCAGACGATTGAGGGCATTGCCGAGAACATCAATTCAGTCAACAGTACAGCTGGCTTGCGCATCTCGACAGCGACCAGCGCGTCAGTAGGCTCAGCGCCCAATGACGACAACCAGAACCGCATTACGCGCGAGCTGCGTCGTGTGCTTCGCCGCCGGCCGGGAAATCTCGGACATCCGCATTCAAAATCAATCCCAGACAACGTCACATCGGCTCGGCAGCGCCTAACCATGCGGCCGAAGAGCCGCAGTAAGGACTCTGCAGAGCCACCCATGGGGGTAGGTGGAGTAAGCGGCAACACGTCTTCCAGCGTGGTTGAGACGCTGGTTGAGCAGCACGAGCTTCGCATATCCGAGCTTATTCGCAGCCTGCGGCAGTGGGAGAGCAACCTGGGCTCAATGCTGTCCCAACAGGTAGCACTAGCTGGGCGCTGGCGTGACTTCTACACCCTATCGGCCAGGGACACTGGGAGCATAACTGCAGCAGAAACGCATTTTAATATCCTGTCGACAGAAGGTTGTGTTCAGTCCGGTGGTAAGCCGCTTGATGCCGATGGGATGGTCTACCGAGAGTACAGTTTGCACCAGCAGCAGCCGACGCAGAATGTACGTTACTCCTACACCGGGTGCCTGTATAACGACCAGCTTGGGCCGCGGGCGAGCAAGTCATACAACATGCTACGCGCGCACTCGAGCTTTGTGGAATTGGACATCAACTTGCCGGAGACCACACCAGCAACTCAAACCCCGGATAACTATAACACTGCCAGCAGCAATATATGTACCAGCAAATCGGAATGGCAATCGCTCAAGAGGGGTCGTGTTGTTCAGTACCATGCAGCCCTGGAGAAAGTATACAAGTCCGTGTACCCCAGGCTGATATGCAATGCGCTACTCTCTAATATCTACCCGGTGCTGAACTCCCTGCTTCAGGTGTACAGTGACGGACCGCGCAGAATTCTAAGTGAAATAACGCGGATATCCAATTTGAGCGACCTGTATCAACATCCTTCTTCGGACTGCGGCGAGGATCGGGTAGTCGTTCTTCACAATGCGCTGGCCGCCGATCTTCCAAAGCTCTTTGAGCATGAGCGAACTATTGTGCGCTTGTTGGCCGAGCGCATAGTCACACTGAAGCACGAATTTTACCTTGAGACAAGCGATATTTTGTCTGCTGCACGCGGCGACATTGACTTTAATATTAGCCTCACAGATAGCGTCCCTTTTGCCGACGTGACCAGCAGGATTTCAAGCTTGGCAGATCTTTCCACCCGTGCGCAGACACCCGGGCTTCTGACATCCTTGAAGCAGTCCCCGGGAACCACGAGCCATAGCGAGCGTATGAAGGCCATATTCGAAAAGCAAATTTACGAGCCAATCGACCTTGGACTGGGCCAAAGCTTGCCTTCTGCTGCGGACCATACTAGTCAAATACAGTCTGGCATATGTCTGCTGGCGCAGGACGTCGGTAGCCGCAGCTCGGCTCACTATCCGTTGAAAGACCGCTGGCGCGAGAGCACTGCAGAGTCCACGTTCAGCCTTGACTCGCTGTCCGACAGCAGCATTGTCCTTAACGAATGCCCAAATGTGTCTATGTTTGAGGCGACGCCCCCTGGTGTAGCTCGCGCAAAGCAAATCCTGCCAGGGTACGGTGGCGGTAGCTACCCGACACTCTTAATATCTGCTAGCCGAAACGCCACTACGTTCCAGTCAGAAGGCAGCGACGCATTGGATAACGACGGCATGTCAAGACCCCTGACGGCCAAGCCCCGTCGCAAAAAGTCAAGCGGCTTTATCGACCGGATTTCCAATTTTAAACCAGGTCGAGCGGTGCGCACCCACTTGGGACTTTCCCAGACTAATAGCCAGTTTACAGACAAAGATTATGGCAGCGCGGATCAAGTCAAGTCGCGTGCGCAGCCTGGATCGAATAGTATTGTTTCGGAGTATAACGAAGGCCTGTTCATTTCCAACAGTCATCGCGTGATGAGTGATATCGGTCTGTGTGGCAGAGATGGTAAGGGGGGCTGGTCTAATGACACTACAAAATACGAGCCGCTGCCATTGGTAAACCACACTCGGTTCAGCAAGGGCTTTGTTGACGAGACATTTCGGTTTTTAACTTTGCGCCAGGACTCAGTGACTGGCACGAGTGACCCTAACGGCGTCTATGCTGTAGAAGAAGGCGTCGACATCTAAATATATTTTTTATGAAATATCAGCCCACCTTTTGTGTGGGCTGGAACTGTGTGGTATACTTTTTCTTTATGGTCTTGTGTAAATTTCAACAAGCTGACTGTCAATTGTTCTGTAAATCATGGGTATCATGGGAGTGTTTGCCAATCACGTCTGGAATATCAAACATGGATCGGCTGTTTAAATATATTAAATATTGGGCGTGGGTGAAACAAAATGTAATTTAACTTCCAAGGAATGTGGTTCCATTTTTTTTTCTAAATTCTACTTTGAAAAAAATGAGGGAAAAACGCATTCACATCCGAAAGAATGGTGTTTCCATGTACTGCTGCTGTGTGGGCAGTACATGGTGGCGCCATAGGCTATGCGCACAACATGTATACAGGCGAACAAAAGCAGTCATGATACATTTCTTGCATTTAAATATGCGTGGCCAATTTCGCACTCGGCATATATTTTTTTGCATACTTACCACTGTTGATTATAATTGGTTTGGAACAGACGAAGTCTCGGCTGAAAGACATCTAAAGGACTCGTTTGACCACGAGCAAGGTTCTTGGGTGGCTTTTGCAAATTAAATGAGAACGGGTGAATGGCGTCATTGATTTGAGAAAAAGGGTTAAAGCAATGTGTTTGGAGATTTTCATATTTAGCGAGTCCAAAATACTGAGTGTTCTGCGTGTTGGCGTGGGGGGGTATCGCTGCTGTGTGATGAAAAATATGCATAACAGGCACTAGCAGCGAGTATCTTAGCATACAAGGTACACGAAAAGTTTGCACAACCCGCAAACCCTCACTGAATAAAAAGATGTAAAAGGCCATTCATTGTCAGCACTGATTTAACAATCACGAATAAAAGACGCATGCGGTCTGTGAGCTCCGAAATTGATTGCAAATAACTTACAATTGCGCCCTTGGCTATATAGCACCTCATGGGTAATATCCATCCGCTTGCCAAGACCGGCCACCAAAACTGATATTGTATTATTTAGAACAGCAAGGCGATGGGGCGGGTGAAACTGACGAGCAGTTCCAGACAATTATTTGCTCAAACACAGATTCCATCACTGCACCTCAAAATTATTTTAGATTTTTCCAGACACAGCCTCCTTTTAAGTCCTTTTTCTTTTTTCTAGCCTTCCGCCTTCAAGAAGAGTAATCCATTTACAAAATATTGCTGGCGCCTTGTCTCAAGGCATCCTTATATTAAACCCCCTGCTTCCTCCCTTTTTCCATTCAGACCTGTACTGGTTTTTTTATTATTATACTATTATTATATCTGTTTTCCTTATCATCACAACTTGACACGCTTGCCATTTCTACAGTCGGACATCACTTTATTTTGTTTTCCTGATTTGCAGTCATATTTTATATTTTACACCACACTTGCTCATTCCATGCCAGTGCCAGACATTAGCAACGTCATTCAGATTTATAGCATTATATTTTTTATTTGAAGCTCATCCATATTACATTTTACATATTTCGCAACATCTCATATTCTAAGCAATACTGGTCATTCCGCTTGCACACATTTGCTGATAATTTCTGTGCGTCATAAAAGCTCGAGGTGCCATTTTCCATTCCCACCGACTCCCTCTTCTTGTTCTGTTTGAGTAAAAACATACGGCGAGCGGAAACAAATTGAAAATAACAGTTGCAGTTGCACTCTCAGTCCCAGGACGAACGCCATCGCACGCAGTAACTCGCAAATATTTTGTTGTTCGGTGTGCTAAGCCTGAATTATCTCTACTCTTCTGCCCTCCCATTTTCATTATTTACTTTTCCTATTTGAGGACAGAATCAAACAGTCTATTTTGTCCTTTATTTTCATTGTTTCTTGTGTACTAGCTGCATTATTTTGCTAACGCACCTCCTCGCCCATTTTTAATTTTACCCTCATTTAGTTCATTCGAATCTTTTCATCTTTTCTCCTATCTTTTTTGTTTCTTCTCTTTTAGTCACATACTTTACGCTTTTCTACTCCCGGCGCTTTCGACTGCAATAGCTGTGCAATGTCTGCTATTGACACGGCACTCCTGCCCCCTGCTTTGTTTGAGCAAAGGGAAAAGGCTAACCACCAGCAGCAGCCACATTCTCAAACACAGCCTCAGCCACATCACCAGCATAAACAGCTCCAGCGCCAGTGGCTGGAAAGCCAAATTTCCCTTACACACGAGACACCTTTTGCAGACTCGCAGCCGTGCAGATACCTCTTCCCACCTATCTTCCCTTGCCACTACAAGCTCCAGCGGGCCGGGTTTATGGGCGTCTGGGTTGGGCTGCATGCGGCGCTTCTGGCGTACTTTCTGGCAAAGAACGCGACCAAGGACTGGACGGATGGCCTCAACTTGGCTTCGCAATATGGCATTCTTGCGTCGGTAATGGGAATACTCCTGGCCATGTCGCCAACGTTCATTGGCCTCTTGCGCTCCACGCCCCTCGACCGAATTTTCACCTTTGAAAAACGCACACACGCGCACAAATTCATGTCCTACATTCTCTTTGTGTGGACCATCGTTCACTCGTCACTGCACTACTGGACTGGCGTCAGGTATGCTGACTCAGTCCATACCTCTCACCTGTGGGTCTTCTGGCAGGACCAGCTAGGTATCACCGGCCAGCTGATGTGGATATTTTTCATGTTCATCGGACTGGCTGCCCTGCCCGTCGTGAGGCGGCTTTACTACGAGGTGTTTTACTACATCCACCATCTTTATTTGGTAAACATTGTCATGTTGTACTTGCACTCGCAAAACGGCAAGGCAACTCGCTACATCACGGGACCGCTGGTCATCTTCGTTTGTGACTATGTGTACCGCAGCTTGCGCAGCTATCCCCTGATCTGGAGCCGCCGTGCGCGTATCCGGTACATCAAGTTCCATTCAAGTGACGTCGTGGAGATTGGGTTTGATCGCCGCGAGTTACTGCAGCACACGCGTATCGGGCAGTACGTCAAGATCTGCGTCCCAGAACTTGGGATATTCCAGTGGCACCCGTTTACGCTGACTGCAACGCCAAATGAGACAAGGGTCATGGCTGACGGAAAGGCCCGCGGCATCTGGCGAATCCACTTCAAAGTCACTGGAGATTGGACCCGCAAGTTTTCACAGCGCCTTCAAAAGGTTGCGGCCGGCGGTGATGCCTACACCAACAACTTCAACCAGGAGGCGCGCATCGGCAGGGTAGTCAATGACGCCATTGTACCAGAGATTGTGCCAATGTCAACCCAAGGCGAGTACGAGGAAGACTATATCATGGCCATTGCCAACATAATTGACTCTGGGGACCCAGTCGCTGCTGCTGTTGAGCAGGACCCATATACTGCCAATAGGGCTGTTCTACAGAGGGCCGATGGATCGGTGCGGGTGCACGCTGTCGGGGTCGCAATGGCCAACATTACTGCATTGACGCTTGGAAACAGCGACAACGCACACGATATTACGAGCCCTCTGGGAAGTAACCAGGGGTGCCGCATGGTGCTCGCGCCAAAGAAGAGCGAGTTTGACGACAAATCGGTGATAAGCAGCAACAACAGCATTTTCGACGATGCTTGGTTTGATCCTGATGTTGGTGGCGCTCAGAGGCAGGCCATGCTGCCGACTATCCTCGTGGATGGGCCCTATAACGCGCCAATGGAGTCCTTCTTCGACCACCAGGCAAGCATTATATTCGCAGCTGGAATCGGTATCACGCCCTACATTTCAGCACTTGACCGTGTTCTGGAGATGTGCGCCGACAACATACCGACGCGCACGACGCACTCGTCTCGTGAAGACTTGCTTCCGCAGTCGGTCTATCTGGTGTGGGTCTTCCGCGACATATCGCTGCTCAGCCTTATACTGCCTACGCTGGAGCGGCTGCGTTCGGACGCACGTGCCCGCAATATCGTCGTACCTTGCCTGTACCTCACTGGCCCGGTGGACGCCGATCACGAGAGTACGACCAGCGATGTTTTTGGCAGGCAGATGGTCAAGCTCTCCAACGGCATCCGCATCTCGCAGGGCCGGCCGCCAATCGCGCGCATGGTTTCGTTCATGGCCGGGAAACACCCCAACACCCGGATCGGCGTGTTCTGCTGTGCGTCAAAGAACATGACCTCGCTGGTGCGCTCCTCAGTGCATGATACGAACGCAGCAGTTGCGCCGCGGGGCACACACATGGAGATGCGCGCCGAGTGCTTTTCAATGTGAAGCATGTGCACTGCGTTTACAATGTCCTTTACGTCCGCCGTACAGTTATGCTCATAGAACCTGTGTTTTATGCATGCCAACATGCAGACTTTTGTGTATGCCTTGGCATGTGCCTTTATCTTCAATGTTATCAATTCATGTTGTTACTATCTCCGAGTTATGTCAAAAGTATTATTCCGAGCAATATGCATGTGTTTTCCATCGTGACAGATCATTTCTAACTGCATCAGAAGCGATACTGCAACGATGTCAATCCATAGTAACAAAAATACGAGTACAAAAAATGTCGCCTGGTAAGCAAATATAATTTGATGCGCTGAACAAAAAAACGTTCACACTTTGCCCAGAGAAAATAGATCCATAGATACACTTGCTCATTTGATGAAGCACTGTCCTGTAATAAGCAACTGGCGGCTATAATCGCCATGGTATGTGGATAAATAAATCTGTGCGATGTCTGCGGGGATTAGTGGCTGCAGCAGAGGATGACTCATTGGCTTTGCGCTTGGATGCGGCCTTGGACTTAGATTTGGGCTTGGGTGTGGTATACCGCTGCGTGGGAGGAGGTGGGTGCGTAAAGCGAGGAGGGAGTATGCCATGCGCAATCAGTTGCCTAAAAACAATGCGGAAATTAAGTACTGCAGCCATATACCTGTTCTACAGCCGCCATTTGCCCTGTTTGACCTTTGGATCGACTTCATTTTTGTCTGCATACGAACGAAGGCATTCCTTATTGACGCACGTCAAAATATCATGGTACCTAATATCATGTAGAGTCTCTGTGGGGGTGGCAATTGGTTCTGCCTTTGCGCATGGCTGCTGCGGCTGCTCCGTTAGAAGGAAAAAACGATGTGGTTTGATTATGCTGTGAATAAACTCTCTGGTTTAGCAGTGCGCTGGTTTAGCTTTGCTGTGAGATAAATGCTTATGAATGGTTCACATATATGCTACCTTTTCCCTACATTTTTTAAAAGGTGTTAATGCGCATTATCTTTTAACGAAATGTAAAGGTGAGTGCGTAAACACAATCACCAGGGTTACCCCGCAGGCTGGGGTTTTGTTTGATACCATGTATTTGATTGTGATTTGCGCTTATACCTAATTTGGTAACTTCAAAATTTTAGATGATCCCCCAACAAACTCGAGACGAATGTGCCAAATTTGGTCTGGTATGTTCAATTTATCCGCCGACAAGCCTGATCATGACAAAATGGTCTCTTGCGACTGTTATCTGAAGCTAGCTCATCGCTGGGTTTTTTTTTAAAATTAAATTGTAATGTCGGATAATTCATTCTCTGCTCGGGGTCGAGCTAAGTTAGTTGTCACTTTTTGAAAGCATTGGAAGTATAAAGAGACACTGTTTCAAGTTCACTCCCGGCTGAAATTGCGTATATTTATTTATTTTCATCTTTGTATCTTTCCACATATTCACATTAACCGCTGCAGTGGCCATTGCCCGCATTCAACACACACACACACACAAATCACGCATAACTATGGCCGATAGCGCAGGCGATGTTGGCCCAAAGGTGTCATCGCCAGCGGCCAACGCGCTTATCTACGTAACGCTTATCGCGTTTTTAGCTCTGGGTCTGTTTGCGGGATGGCGGTCGCATCGCAACGCCGGTCTGTTTCTCAAGGCAATCAAGTCGCAATCAGTATGGTCGCTGTCGTTCAACTTTCTCGCAATAAATGTCGGATCAAGCATATTCTTCTCGCTGCCCGAAGTTGGCACCATTGCCGGCATAACCGGCGTGTTTGCATATGCGTTTGCCGCAGGCGCGCCTTTGTTCCTGTTTGCAATTGTCGGACCGCTCTTCCGAAAGCACAATTCAAAGCAGTGGTCGATGACCGCGTTTGTCATGGAACGCTACGGCCGGCCACTGCACATTGTGTACGGGATTATTTGCACGCTGTTTGTTGGCATGTACTTGGTCAGCGAGCTGACCACAATTTATAGTGTGTTTCAGCTGCTGACTCCGGTGAAACCGTTGGTGCCCATGATCATCGTGTGCATAGTGACCACGATATACACGTCCTTTGGTGGTGTGTTTGCCTCGTTGATGACCGACGCAATCCAATGTGTCTTAGTGTTTGTGCTGATTATAGTTGCCACCATTGCGGTTGGCGTCAGCGTGCGCCCATCCAAAGAAGATATCGAGCGAGTCGGACTCGTCAAGCCGACAAAAATGGGTGGTGAGTTGTTTGTGATCCTCACACTCGCCATTGCCTTCTCCGACATGTACCACCAGGGCTTTTGGCAGCGCACATTTGCGTCACGCAACGACAAGGATTTGCGGTGGGCGACATTTTACGGGTTCTGGCTGGTTTTCATTATATACGCGCTTGTTGGCATGGCTGGTCCATTGGCCGCTTGGGCCGGAACGTGGTCCCCTGACTCTGGCGTGCCCGGGGCCAGCGCATTCTTTACGATTATCGCCTCAATGTCCGGATGGGTTTCAGGTCTGACACTCGTTCTGACCACATCGCTCAGCTGCTGCGCCATCGACACATGTCAGACAGCAATGTTTGCGTCGCTCTACGATCTCGTTGAAGAAAAAGTCAGTATATCGGTCGTGCGCATCGTCGTCATTCTTTTAAATGTGCCGGTTATATTTATTGCCATGCGTGCACCCGACATTCTGCAAGTGTATTTGCTGGCCGACCTTCTGGCAAGCGCTACCATTATGCCGGTATTGTTTGGGTTGATTCGGCAGCTAAACTTTATCCATTGGACCGATGTGATGGCCGGATGCTTTGGCGGCGTCATCAGCGTTGGCGCCTTTGGGCAGGCGTACCTTGGAAACCGCCACGACGGCTGGCGTCTTCTGCTGCTCGACGGCGGCCTGTATGTGAACGACGAGCGTGTCCTGGGTGCTTTCTGCTTTGCGCCGCTGGGATCCGTTGTGTTTACGTTCTTTTTTGCTGGCTTGCGGATGGGCGTCACCAGGCTTCTCGGCTGTCGCCAATATTGGTATGTCAACACGATATCATACTCAGACGAAGAGGAAAAGCGTGCCGTGGTTTCGGGCTTTGAAAAGCCAACCGGGCGCTTTCAGGACGACGAGGCAGACAAAAAGCTACCAGTGATGGACAATGTCTCACGATTGAGCCAAATCTGATGCAAATTGCCTGCGGATTCTGTACTATATAACCCCTATTATTATACACCAGCAAAAAAACAATAACACAAGAACTTTTAGAAACATTGTTGTTTTTGTTGTGGTTTCAATGTTCCGTGGAAAAAGAAAAAGAAGGGGATGCAAGCGTGTTTTGGCTCATTGTTTGGCACGGATCGAAATAATGATTGGGAGTCGATCCTTGAGCCGAACGAATCGCCCAAGTATTCCTGACCGCATTGTATTTTTAGGCACTGCACCTGTGCACCTGTGCAACTGCATGTCTGCTTTCCCTTGGCAGTCTCGCTCACACTCGTCTTTGCGGGATGCAAAGCATCACGCATAATTTTTTTGACAAAAGGCTGCTCTCGGCACACCCAACGGCGCCAAGTATAAAAAAGGCATAAGAGAATATTGCTGCGCTTGCTCACGCTGCCCACTGGTCGCTTGATGCAGTGGTGGGTACGTGTGCTTATTTTTCCTCAGTGCTGGAAGAGAGGGTTCGAAATTGGATTTCCCTAAAATAGAGCGCTTGTTTTCATCGCCACTGTCATTGTCAAGCATGGAAATGTTCGACTCGTTTTTCTTTTCAGTGGAAACACAGCCGCTGCTGCTTATTTTGGGGGGATGAAAAAAAAACAAGGTGTGGTGTCTACGATCGATGCCCCAGTTTGCAGAGATGGGGCTCAGCCAAGACTCGGCTAGTTTTTTTTTTCCACTGCCACCTGTGCGGTTCCCTGAAAAAGCTTTTAAAAGAAACTGAATCGTTACATTCGAGTTTTTTATCAACTTGTTTCTCTTTGCTCTTCACATTTTCATCCTTGGCTTTTTTACACATCAACAGCATATCTATTCTTGCATATACTGCCAAATCCACATATTAAATGAAGTTCTCTCTTCTTGCCGCTGTAGCTGCATTTACTTTGGCCAGTGTCCACGCACAGGATGCCAGCAATGACTCCTCTGCCTCAACCAGTGCCGCAGTCACTGACTCCTTTGCCTCAACCAGCGCCGCAGTCACTGACACCACTGCTGCTGACAGCAGTACGGCGTCTGACAGCCCGGTCTCCAGCAGTGATCCAACCTTGCCAGAGAACCCGAGTTTAACTGCGTCTTCTAGCAGCACACCCGATGAAAACAAAAACACAGGTATGTTTTTGGCACTTTGATATACTTTCATGACAAATGTTGAAACGCACTTGCTAGCGTGCACAGTCGATTGTCTTACCTTCTCGCTTGTTTTTTTTCTTTACATTGCTTTTATTGCCAGTGTGTGAAATCCTACCCGGACATTGCTTGCACGTCTTTTGACACAAGTCTCCGCCATCGCAGAAGCATGCCCTCCCTTATTGTAATCGGCTCTTTACAGCAAAAAAAGTACCCTTAATATTGTTGAATCCATCGCGGTCATTAAAAGCAGGGTACAGCCTGTTTTATTGTCGCTCCTTGCAAATTTCAGCTCGCCTGCTCAAATAAAGGCAATCCCGTTTTAATGCGCAAAGTGTGTAGTAAATACAATACGAATCATGAAAATGACATCTATTGAGATGTACAACCTCACAATTTTTGTTTTGGCCAACAAAAAAATACAATAGCCTTTGGGCATACATTATTGACCACCCACAGTGATATTTATGATATCCGAACTCGCATTGTCGCATATTGTGCATGCGCAAATTTTACCTTTTTTGCCTTTTTGTGACTTGATGGATTCTGTAGCAAGAGAAGCTTCAAGCGCAGAGGCTACTAGCGACTCTATGACAATCCCCCTCAGCTCTACAGAGAACAACGGAATCAATGATAATACTGAACAGTCTGTTGTAGATGTAGCTTCCAACTCTGCCTCAACTGATGACCAATCTTCCCCTTCATCGAAACCTTTCACGGATGCTTCTGAATTATCAACTGAGACTTCAGTAGGTGACAGCACATCTCAGTCGAGCAGCGATCCGGCGTCTTCAACCTCGTCCTTGGAGACTAATAGCACTCATGAATCGAACGAGAATACGCATGAGGACACACATAAGGACGACCCCAAAACTACACCCACGCACCTAGAATCCCAGTCCACTTCAACTCGCAAGGAGTTGCAGACACCTACAGACCATAGTCAAACACCCCCGACTACGGCGCCATCCCCAACACAAAATCCTGACAAGCCCAAGGCGTCGTCTTCCTCCAGCAAGCGCACAGTTGTCGCTTTGGTGACAGTTGTAGTTGACGGAAAGACTAGCGTGTCATCAAGGACGACTGTTATTGACAATTATGCTCAAACTAATGACGCCGATGACAACAATGACGATGACAACGAGGACAATGGCAAGCCATTTACGTCGACGCTGATTGAGGATGGAAGCACGGTTATTGTCACTGGATTTTTGCGCGATGGAGGCTCGAAATCATCCAACGCCATGCAGCTGATCGCCGGTAGCACCCAGTCGATGGCCTTGATGGGCTCGGTGGCAGTTATTGCCATTGCGGCGCTGTTTTAGTAATGAGTCAACTTTGCTGTTTTTTGCTTTCATTACAAAAATGGGCTTGTTTAAAATGTTTATAAATTAAGTTGTTGCGCAGCCCGAGGATATGGAAGTGGTTATCGAGGTTGAGAACCGTGAAATAGGTTTCCATCTCCATGCCAATTGATAGGGTAGTAACTGGATCATGCAGGAGTAAATTAGGGTGGGATAATAAAGATGGCCAGATATGCTCCCTATTTTGCAATGCACACGCGTGAGTGCACACACACGAAAACCACAACATTGACTTGTCAAGATACCGGTCTGCTCACAGAAGAACCAGTTCTTGCCAACGGAGTACACAACTGGCGAAGTGCACAACAAGGGCAATGAGATACATATATAAGATGTGGCTGGCCCTAGTTCTACTTTTGATTCCCTTGATAATAAAAACTATAACAAAACCCAAACATACTTTTAACATTAGGCGACTAGTGTTCCACTCAAATCACGACACCCTTAACACTAGACAACTAGTGCTACCCTAAAATCATAATAAAGTATTGCAAGATACGGCATATGAGCATTCAAAAGCGATTTACAAGTGCTGGCCTTTATAGATTAAATTTATTTTGCCACGACGCCTGACCCTTTTGCATTTATACCTCGTTATCTACTCACTCCGGCTGTTGGCAGCATGTGTGAGTATACACACATATGCCGCAATTTATACCGGCGAGCAAAATATTTGGCTGGCGCCCTCGGAGGAAGCAAATGAAGACAGGCGCTTGTGGCGCACCTTTTGCAAATAGGACATGTTATGCCAAACCTTTGAAATACAAATAGCTTGGAAATATGGTTATGATATTATGCCAGATTGTATATATATCTACCGCTGGATACTAAAAATTAAAATATAAATGTCAAAACAATACCAACATCCTATATTATCGCCATCACCACAATAATAATAATAATAATAATAATAACAAAATATAAACATCATTTTCAATACAAAAAACACTTTAGTAACTACTATGCTCACGTTTTCATACACCAAGACGCTGCTTTTTGTATCAGCGGCCATTCTAACCTATGCGTCTACACTAGCGGCACCGGCTCCGGCTCCAAATAGCATATACCCCTACGATCTACATGTCGAACTACCACAACCAAGATGAAGCGTGCTGTTCGCGTTGCGCGTGCATGCTTGTGTTTCTTGTAGCAACATCTGTATTTCACAATTTTTAATACATATATAGTGGGGAATAATATTCAAAACGTAATAATAAATTTAAAGAAAATCAAGGCATAAAACTATCACTCAGTCGCATCGTCACATAGGCGGAACGTGGCCAACACGTACGGATACCCCCGCTGGTACCAGTTTCTGAAAGTCTGACGGTGGGCCATACGGCGGTGTGTCGCATATGATGCGCCCTTGACGACGTAGTGTGTACAATCGGCGCCAGATGTGCTGGGCGGATCAAAGAAATCAGCAGAGTATCCGGGATACATTTCTGAGGGACTAAAATTGTCAAACGGGTGAAACTGCGTCGACGTCCACTCCCACCCGTTACCGATAAACCTGGCTTCAGGCAGGTCATTTCCCTTTTCATCTCCCGTATAGGCACCCGGTGGGTGAGCTGTAGCCTCAGGGACCGGGTGCCAGTGGGCAAAGCCAATGTTGGCGTCGGCGGGCACAAACAAATCAAATGCAGCATGCGTGTACTCACTGGCATTGATACCCTGTGTGGCTAAAAGATTGGACAAGTAGGCATCCACGCTCTGAGAAGGCTGGAAGCCAAATGAGTTTTGGGCAGTTGATGTTGATTTACCCAGCGCGCGCGCAAGATGGTATGTCCTGGAGGCGTGAGTCCACTCGGCCTCGCTTGGAAGCCGCTTGCCGCACCAGCTGGCGTATGCTGTTGCCTGCTTCTGGCTGACAAATACTGGCCACAGCGACGCCTCGGTGCTGGTTATTGAGGGGTTGCCGACGACAGTGCGCACTGTATAGTCTCCACATTCGTCAAGCCGAACCCAGGACTTTGGCACAAGGTTGTCGTAATTGTCCTGGCCAGCGCTGAGCCTTGCTTTGAGAAACTTCAGGTACTCGCCATTAGTAATGGGCTGCGTGCGGACACTGAATGGCTTGACCGAGACTGCCATCGATGGGCCCTCGTTGTCCCAGCCAAACACATGTCCTGAAGGCAGCATTTGACTCTTGAGTGCGCCCTCGCTATCATTGTGCAGTCCAAGGAGAATGTTAGAGCCACCTGTGTAGCTAATCCAGGACTCCCGCGGCTGAGCACCGTGGTATGCCGCAAAAGTAGTGACAATGGGCGAGCATATCTCGGCCGGGTTCATCTGGACCGCCATGTACAGCATGGTCTCGATATGCATGGCCTCGTGCTCAAACGCCATCCACACATGACGCGCAGCATCGGCTGTTGGCACCACACCACTGGTCTCATTGTGGACGCTTATCCAGTTGGTGATCCGGGCGCGCACGCGGTCACGGTATGCCAAAATGGCATTGACCTCAGGCCACTCTGCAGGGATTTCCGAGTGGCTGTGGCAAATAGTGGGATCCACCATGTTCGGGTCGATTCCCCGCTCGAACCACTGCGCAAAACTCTCAGGCTGGGTCAGCGGCGCACATTCGGCTGCAGCCATGTGTATGTCGGCAAACGCGGACAGATGGCCGAGGTAGAAGATGAAGGGGTGGCGGAGATCAATTGGACGGTCGATCAGCTTGCTTCTCGGAATGATGTGCAGCGAGAGCGTGTCCCAAACAGACCACAGGTGTTCCCACTCGTTTTTGCGAGGAATGGTTGACGGCTGCTCCCGGGCCATAAAATTGGGCGGCAGGTGCAGCGGATTTTGCGCGTGTGACTCAGCCGAGCTCCAAAAATTGCTGCTTGCGCCCTTGGCGGCAGTGACGTCGGCGCGGGGCGACATGGTCGAGCGGGGCTTGCGGAACAGGTTCAGCGAGTAGTAGCTGCGAGAGTCGTTCCACTCGGCGCTGTGCACTAGACCACTGCCTTGAGCCAGGATCTCAAAGTCCTCCTTTCCATACTTGTATGACGATTCAATGTAGATGCGCTCTCCGCGTTTGATCGCAATGTCGCTGGAATTGCCGCAAATATGCTCGACAGCGGGGGCCAGGTCGCGGGGCCAGCTAATCATGGTGTCCTCGCGAGCCTCCAAGTATGCTGAATGCCTGCCAACAACTTCGTCGTAGTCGCCCGTATAGCAAAACTTCTCAACGTCAAATATGCCGTCGGCAACACTGTCAGCGGAAATAAGGCCTTTCAGGGTGGCAGTGTACTCGGAGATAAGGTTGTTGACGTGGGAGAGTGCGTTGAGCTCAAACTGGTTGGTCAGCCCCTCGGAGTCGTGGTAGGCGGCCATGATAACATCCGGATCCTTCTTTCTGTCCATGCCGATGATAATGCCGTCGTTGGCGACGAGCGCGTTGTCCGTAATGCTCGACAAAAACTCAATGGACTCAGCCCTGGAGTTGTTGCCAATGGACGACCCGAGCCACAGTAGTGTCTTGCGACGGGTGGCTTTCTTGAAGTGCGTCAGCACCTCATCATACGTGCCGCACAATGCAACAAATGTGATGTTCTTGTATTTTTCCGCCAGAGTACCCAAGGCGCTATGCAGCGGCATCGGCATGACATCAATGGCATAATAGGTGATGCCCGAGCGCATCTGATCGAGTGCAGCGAGCAGCAGCTGAGTTTTGCGCAGAGAGCCACAGCCGAGCTCAATGACGTCAGAGTCGTTGGGAATCTCGCCGACGATTTCGCGCGTGCTGGTCTTGAGCACGTCTATCTCGCACTCGGCCAGGTAGTACTCGGGCACGTATGTGATGCGGTCAAATAGGTTGAGGCCCTTGTCGTCATAGAGCAGCACAGTTGGCAGCGACCGGTTCTCAGAGTTTCCATCCGTGGGAAGCAGCCTGCGCTTGGTCAGGCCGTCGATGATCTGAGTGACCATGGGCGGTACATTTTTGTGGTGGTTGGGCAAGGCAGCGGCGCGGTAGTCTATAAACTGGTACTTGTGCTCAGAAGACTCATCGGCAACAGCCACAATGGCCTTGCCGGAATCCGGGGATGGCGAGTGGGTCGCAAAGCTAGATGCAATATCGTAGTCAGCAGTGGCAACCATTCTGTCGTCTTTGAATATAAAAAAGTTGTAAACTAATCTCGTAAAAAAATATTTTTTGCGCAATGATGATGTAGTATAGTGTAGTGAAGTGTATAAATAGCCAAATATGTGGGCGATACTAGGTGTTTAGGCAGAAAACAAAGAGATGATGAAGAAAGAGAAGAAAGAAAGAAATGATGTTGAGAGTTCCTATGCAGAGCAAAGCGCTTTTAAAGGTGTTGTGTTCAGGGCCCTAACTTGAGTCATGCAATGGCGCTCAAACCCAAAATTTGAGTGAAATTAAAGTTCTGGGCCACAAAGAGGATACCCCTTTTTTGCTCATCTATTTTTTTTTTTCAAATTTACTCACCTATTCCACCCCCTATCTTGCGCTTTGAGGCGCCTGTTCTCGGCTAGCTTCTCCGCCTCCTCAATTTTTTATTACAGCTAACTTTGCAGGAACAATGCATCATTGTGTGCCGGCAATTGAATAAAAAATACCCCCAATACTTTGCCTTGCAATACTTACGGTCGCCGCCAAAAGGGACGAATTATCAACCTGTTTGCGCAAAGTTGTTGATTGATCGTACGACATTTTGGTCTAATCTGATGCCAACACTGACGATGTAAACATTGCAAGAAGGGCCAACTGCGCATTAATGCGACAGGGCATTATGCATTGGATCTGTGAAAACAAGTTAACTCAAATAGCGATGCACGCACACCTGCGCTTATCTGCCGGCCAGTCGACCCTCCCGTCTGCCTTTTTGTTCGAATTGCGGTGTTTTAAAAAATACAAACTGCGTAAATTTGCGCTCCCCATTTTTATGCCCCTGACATGAGCGCATCAAAATACGCTCTCGCATTGCATTGCACCCGCACAAGCTGGGGGCAACGCCAAAATAAAAAAATGGCCGAATGCGGAATTTGTGACCCGGCGAAACAGGGTCGAGCCGAGCCGAGCCGAGCTGCATTGCAGAGCAAAAGGTCTCGGCTCAAAAAAGCGGCTTGGTGTTTGAAGCGAGCATTGGTGATGAGGTCATCGTCAGAATTGGGGGGGTTGTCCAATTTAACACTTTTTTGTCTGAAAAGCATGCGAGCCAAGCCAAACAAAGCCAAGCCCCTCCCCGCCTCCTCGCGCGGCCTTTTTTGCTTTGCGGATACTTGCCATTGGCAGAAAGAAAGTAAAGTGGAAACACGAGAGGGGGGAGAGCGAGAGAAAGGAGACCCAGGCAGGCAGACACAGATGCCAAATTCAACCACCAACCTTTATCCCCCCACTCCTTGCTTTAATTCTGGTGCATTCCATGGTGGTGTGGCACACGCTTTTCAATACTTTTCCTCTTGACCCTTTTACATTTCTCTCTCTCTCTCTTTCTTTATTTCTCGACACACCGCCGCTACGCTATTTAGAAATATAAAATACTTGCTTTTTTGTTTTCTTTTAGTATCGTAAAAAAAGTTTTGCTCGACACTTTGCGAACAATAACGTATTAAATACTTTTTACGTTTTTTTAGCCATCCGCACAAAAGAGGTCATCATTGGACCGCTGCTCAAATAGTGCCAATCTCCAACGTGCTGCCTTTTTAATTAATACAAAAATGGGACGTGCCGCAAAAGGAACCTCTAAGCGTGGGAAGCAAGCCAGTTCGCCATACAGCCTGTTTTTCAACCGCGAGCTCAAGCGTCTAAAGGAAGAAGACCCCGAAATCTCGCACAAGGACGCGTTCAAGCAAGCCGGTCTCAACTGGAGAAATAGCACCGAAAACCCAAAGAATCAGGCGGGAGGTGCTCCCGAGACCAAGGCCAAACCTACTGCTGCTCCTGTCTCTGCTTCAATTGCTGATCCTATTGCCGCCCTTGCCGCTGTGCCCACGGCTACTGTCGCTGTCGTATCTGCTCCCGCCGCTGCCACTGAGCCCGTTGCGGCCACCGAAGCTGCTGCTATCGTCGCGGCCGTTATCGACCCTCTGCCAGTTGTTGCAGATGCTGCTCCTGTCGTCACCGACGTTGCCCCTGCTGAGGGTGACACGCTGAACAGCGGTGTTGTCAGAAGGGACTCTGCTTCAGCCGGAAAAAATGGCGACGACAAGTCTCATATTGAAGGCACTGCCGCCCCTGCGCCATCCATCATGACGATGGCCAGCCACACTGTAAATGCCACTCTGACTGCCGCAAAGTAAAAGTATATCCTTTTCCCCCTTTTTTCTATTTCGATGTATATTTTTTCTTTTCATTTTCTATTTAAATGAATCACAGCAACAATTAAAAAGTATTGACCATGTGCTGTTTCAGTTAGGCGCGAAAGACGCCAAAGAAGCCACTAACTAATTTGGCTGGCCCATGCATGCGAGACAACGCGTAACTTTTGTCAATCAAACAGCTAATTTTTTGCTTTATTTAATTTTACAGGCTAGCGAAAAAAATAGAGTGATAGGATAGACATACAAAAGTACAGGAGGTGGGAGTAGAGGCAAGAGAAGAAAAATATAGATGGAAAGGTTGGCTTGCCATTTGCTTTTAATATTCAAGCGGATGGATTTTGGATGTCGCTGATAAATTTCTTTGAGCTGGTCCCCAGTGCGTGCGCAGTTTGCTTTGCGTGTTTCTTTATGAGGTGGATGTCCTCGCGCGACGGAGTGCCATTCCTTACAACCCAGTCGTTGGCCGTCAGATCGATGTCGCCCATGGGCTTGGCTGACAAGGGGCCTGTGATGTCATGCTTGTCGACCATGTTAGGGTGGACAAAGTCTGAGGCCAGGGTATAGATGACGCCGCGGTCATCCCGCAGCAGTTCCTGCTGCCGCTGCTGCTTTGAGTGGTTTTGGTGGTGATGAAAGTGGTCCAGCAGTGGCGTGCCGTGCCGATGGTGGCCGTCATTGCTCTTGCCATCCGATGACTGGTTTTGCTGCTCCTGGTTGACTGGAGTATGGGCGGGAGATCCGGTGAGTTTGCTGTGCCAGGCCATCGGGATAGTTTGGAATATACGGGTAGAGAAAATATTTTGGTGTTCTTTTTGGGTTGGAAAATCAATTTACTTTTGTAAATATCGATAAAGTGGTGGAAGTGGAAATAAGACTAAATTGGTAATATAATTTTTATTTTCGCCTTTTCTCAAAGGAAAACTTTCCACGGAGATATTGATCTTATCGTTATCACTGCTTTCACCTTTGTGATTAAGGCACAATTAACGATGGCAGGGCGATTGCAATCAAAAGAAAAAATATAAGCGGTGCTCCGATTTCCGCAGCATAAAGCTTGCATTTTACAGTTGGCACCGCAATCCGTCATTTGTTTTGTATGCCGCACAATTTTAGCAGCAATTGGTTGGTATGCGCAATGTCACAAGCGAATTACGTAGTTTTGCGCCCCGAATGAATGGTCACACAGCAAAACGGCCCTGTGCCGAAATACTGTGTAGGCCGGCTCTCCTTGTGGCCACAGACCAGGCAAATAGAGGCCACCGGACAATGCGGATGCAGTATCTGAAATAGCGCGTGTTCTCATCGATGACTGCCAAATAATATGATCGACTCTTGCTTCGGCTCGCTTTTGCCAACAAAGCTTGGCGATCATCGAGCCGGGATTGTGACTCGTAAAAATTGAACGATATCTAAAATATTGATGGTAATCCTTTTCTTTTGCTGACAAAAAACAAAACGAAAGTACACCCACGCACGCAATTAACTGCTCCATTAGTGAAAACAGAATTCTATAATAGAATATTTCTATAGAAGGAAGGTGTCAAAGGTAGTGGTTTGTTTTGCCTTTAACACCCGCACGTGTGGATAGTTTAAACAGAAATAAATTCGGAAATATTCGGGCAATATTATTTTGACGCTTGTGTCCTTCTTAGAAGAACCCGCCTCGCACATTGTGCTGACCTTATTATATTCTGCGCGGGCGTGTTTGGCAGTAGTGCCGCCGCTCTATGAACAAAGTAAGTGTTTTATTCTAGAAGGTAAAAAAGGCATCAATATTATTGCCACATTGACAGATGCTAACAAAAAACCAAAAAAGATGGTGCAAACAATGCATAAAATAAACAGTTACAATCGCGCGCGCATTAATCTTGAAGCCTCGTGGAATCTTCACTTTTTCCATGGATGTTAAATTGCGCAATTGTGCAGTTGTTTGGCATTATGTGTAGAATTACTTTACAAAAAATGCTTAAAATAGGAAAACAAAATTATCAGCTCAGCGCCAATGCCAGTACCACAAGGGCTTTGTGGTTGGCTTGAGCTCGAAATATGAAGTCCAAAATTTGAAATTTTGAAAAGAAAAAAAACCCAGCATATGCGCATGCATTTGGCGTCAGTGTGACCAGATCGACGGTGAATGTAGAGCCAGTGAAATGGCATCGATACGCCGTGGATTTGTTGCTATTGCCGAAGGCCAAATTGGGGAATGGGAGAGAAAAAACAGTGGTTTTGTTAAGGGCAGCTCTTCTTCCACCAGCCATTGTTTGTAACAGTGCATTCATAGGCTGCGTTGAATGCTGTGCAATGGGAGGTTTTGAAAAAATCCAAAAATGGAAGGACATGAAGCAAATGTGTTTTGGGGGAGCAGTACACACACTTGCAAGTTTGCTCTGTTATCGATCAAAACAGCCTTTTCTTTCACATTGTTTGATGTTGTCACTCAGATTACAGGCCAAAAAAATAATAAAAAATAGGGCGCGAGGGAATCCGGACTTTATCATTGCCGCCATTTTCGGGGTTGTTATTAACATCCGCCCCCCCTTTTTCTTTTTCTTTCTTTTACTCTTTATGCCTTATCCACGGGGTTCGCAGGCGGACAGGCCTATGGGGGATCCAGCTGCCTGGGGAGGAGGATTTTTCAGCGCCCACTTTTTATTTTATTTTTGCCAGTCACAATATTTCGAGTATCAATATAAAAGGTACCTCGCCCGCTGCTATAATTTATTTTGGTCAAACTAAACAACACCCAGCTTCCAAACCTTACTTTTCGCTTCTGCTCCAGACCCAACCTCCAAAATTTCCTTTCGGCCTAGTTCTGCAGTCATACAGTTCTACAATTGCTCTTTTTCACACACACTTGTACTTTTTTTTTTATAATGTTCTTCTCAAAACCCAAATACACTTGCGTCAGTGCTGAAAGCACTTTGTACATCAACGCATCCGAGTTCATTAACGTTATTAGCAAGGACCAGATCTCCAGTCCAATTTCAGCGCGTCCCATGGGTGCCATGGATATCACTGCCTGCGACGTCATCTGCCGCGGTATCCCGTCCGCGTCTGAGCTTAAGCTTCTGCGCCGGTACGTCCGCAAGACTGCCTCGGCCCTGGGAATCCGGGCCAACCGCAACATTGAACAGAGCATTTCTCTATAAAAACCGGTTTTTTGCCCTTTGCTCCTTTCTATTTCTTGGATGCTGAGCAATGGGGGCAGGGATGATAAACCTGGGCCAATCATTGGAGTTGCGGTGAAAAAGCGATTCAACTCTGAAACACTGTTCGTAGTTTAAAAGTTGAAAGTCGGATATATTCTGCACTAAACTTGCTTTTTTTATCATCGCACTCTACATCCATCACACGCTCACTTTTTTCTCTCCCACTTGTTTTTTTCCATCTTGCATTGTTCACTTGCACATATTGTCATTTTTCTTTTTTACCTATTTACCCCACATATCCCTTTCTATTTTTTACGTATTTTATTTGACGTCATCAATCAGGCTTGCGGTCATACGCACCTGCCACGACCGACCGGCTCTCTCTCGCTCCTGTTTTTACAGCCCTCCTTTTTATTCACCCCTCCAAAACTAATTACACTTTTTATCAAATAAATAAATACAAATAAATTATCATTCACATACCAACAAATGGTACGAACATTTAAAATGCTGATCACATGCCGTGTCATTCGATTGCTTTGCTCAAGCAACCGAATAGCACAGCGAGCAAGCCTCAGCAAATATTACACGCAAATGTTTTAATGTGAAAATGGGAGAGCCGAGCGCGCCTTTTTCATACTCAGCGATGCTCAAACTATTTAAAAATAACAGCTGATGGCTTGCGATGTTGCAACATATAACAAGTGCGTTTTGTCGTTGAGAAGACACATGGCCAGAGTGATTGAAATGATTTTCTTGGGCTCTCAGGGAAGGAGGCGCTCTGTCATATACACTCCGATTCACCGGGGCCTGGGTATCGGTGGCTCTCAAGGGGACACGTTTATAATTCAAGGGAAGGCGGGCATTGGCGGCAAGGAGTGTAGATGGCTGACCACCCATCAAACCTGGGCGGTCCTGCATTGCAAAACACCCATTCAGAGTTCGGGCTGATCAAGCTAATGAGGTTGTTGTCTGACGAGAAAAGGCAGAGAATGAGCTCACTGTAGAAAGCATCTAGTTTTGCATGAATAATTTATTTTTCTATTAAAGAACAGCTGTGTTTCTTCAGACCAATGTTGCCGAAAAAACGCCAAAGACGGATGCGATCAGCGCGATTGCAAAAGACGTGCCAGACATCCTTGCACAGCACGATGAGTCAGACGAAGCGGGTTCATTGGATGAAATGGTCTTGATAATGACCTTGATCTCTCCGTCTTCTGTAATCGTCGATGTGATTATGCCATCGTTATCGTCATCGTTGTCCTCGTCGATGTCATTTCTGATTGTCGTGCTAGGCTTAGCATCATTGGTTTTAGTAACCTTGCTAACGCTCAGCGTTCCATCGACAAAGGTGGTGACAAATTCAACGACTGTGTGCTTGGTCCGCGACTGCGTGGTTGATGAGGGCTGCGCAGGCGACGAGATAGATGTCGGTGTTGGGCTAAAAGTGCTGCTGCTCGTGCTAGTGGTGCTTATTATGAAAGTTGGTGGTGACGAAGATACCGAGGATGAAGGCAAAAATGATGACAATGATGACAATGGAGATGAGGACGATGACGGCAATGTGGTTGGATCATCAGTTGTTGTTGTAGAGCCAGCTGAGCTGGAGGTATCACTGGTCACAACTACTGATTCGCTCTCTGTGGTATCTTCCTCGATTTCATCTGCTTCGGTCGTTTCGGTTGCTGATATTTCAGTTTCAGAAAAATCCGTCATTGCTGCTGCTGTTGTTGCTGTTGAATCGGTATCCGAATCATGATCCAAATCTGAATCTGAAGCTGTGTCTGCCACGGTGCTGATGCTAGCTTGGGGTGATTCTGTGTTGGTTTCGCTCGAAAAATCCGATGATACCGTCTCAGTTTTGACAGTTGAAACCACTCCTGTCTCTTGCGTGCGCTCCGTCACAACAGTCTCTATTGAGGACCGATCTGCAGGCAAAGTCTGGCTGAGCAGTGATGTTGCCTCTGTTCCTTCTGTTCCTTCTGTTGCCTCGGAAGCTTCCTGGGCAATAGGTGACACGGATTCTTTAGAGAACAATGGTGTTACAGCAGTAGATTCTGCGGGGAAATTAGTGGCGTCTGCTCCAGCTGATTGTGGCGCTACTATGAAAATTACAATAAAAAAGTACCAGTATTAGCTGAGCGAGTTATTTTCCTAGAATAATGGAATCCAAATACGGGTTTAAAATGTTTGTGAAAGGTCATCCGGGCATATTAACATGTGTCCATGGGATGATAAACAATACTAGGCTGAGCGTGCAAGTGATATAGTGACCAATGCAACAAAAAAATATATGTGTCACGCGTACATGTTTCTGTCTGTAGTCGGGTTATCCCCACCCCCAATTCAGTTGCTGTGTGCTCAATATTTAACAACACCAAAGTGATACTTACCACTTGGCGACAGGACTGATGTTCCTGTATTTACTCCCTCGATTGTGGTGGACAGTGTCTGCACTAGCGAGTTCACCGCGTCGGAAGCTGTGTCTACAGCGCTGACAGCCGATATAAAGTCTTCCAGGACAACAGTATCGTTGGGCTGTGCACTATCAATCTGAGCGGAGATGGCGGCGGCAAATACAGCGCCAATATAAACCCTTTTAAATAGTCTCATCATAAAAATATTGGTAAATGAAATAATGTGTAAAACAATTAATAAATAAAAAAAACAGGAATTGAAGGGTAGTATTCTGATACCTCTTGTTTGGTGGGCAATTTGACTGCTATATATATTTTTTAATTAAAAAGAGAATAGTGTGCTTTATTCTTTGCATCATGACCAATATCAAAAAAGTCTCGCCTTTAAAAATTTTCTATTCGAAAAATAGAATATAATTTTTTTGTCGTGCGGACATTTTGCTCATTTTCGCTACACTCAGCTCATTAATTTCCTCATTTAGAATTTGCAAATAGCGGCTATCTAACACAAGAAAAAACAAGGATGGGGGTAGGCTTAAAACAGAAAAAAAGGATATTGTACACGTCCTTTCGTTTTGAATCTCACTTCCAATACAATATTTTCGGACGCTAAAAAAGGCCAATCTAATAACGGGGAAAGGCCTCGCAAGACTTTAGTTCCGAAGCGTATTGTACTTATATTCCTAGCCACCACAAAATCAAAAAAAATTGGGGAGAAAGAACTGGACATTTGTTGCACACAATAAGACCGCATGTTCCTTTTCCTCAACTCGTCTTTAATTCATGCAGACAATGCCCACATGATCAGGAACTAAAAAAAGAACAAATAAATAATTGAGCATGTTGTTTTTCAGAAACTGAAATTAAAAAGAAGCAAATGCGTTTATAATAACCCAGTAACAAAACGAAATTATTGACTAAACAGCAATGTAGCCATACTGAAGATAATAATGAGACTACAAATGTCAAATAAAAATTTTCAAGAGTCATCTGCTGCTGCTGAGTCTCTGCCAAATGATTGCGCTTAATTCCCTACCTCTGGTGAAAGATGTTAACGCATTATCTTTAACAAAATGTAAAGGTAAACGCGAAAACAGTCTCCAAGGTTACCCCACAGGTTGGGAATTTGTTATAGTGTGGTCTGCTGCATCCAGGCCTTGTATGTGAATATAAAAGTGGGATTTTCACATGTGCTTGTGATTACCCGATAACTAAAAGTCCTTATAAACGAAAGTAAATTCATATGGTTGAGAGCGTATTATTTCTCTTGCGATTAAAAAGCAATTATATCAAACCTGCCCTGGCTGAAGTTGTGCATGTAACCGTGGCAATCGCAACAACCAGTTGAGAAAACCCTGAAAACGCGTATAGAGCAGTGCTAATTGGTGGGAAGGCAATTGAAGACACTGACCAAGGAATGATAGATAGCGAATAGCATTATGCCATTAAATTCACCTTTGCGTAGTTGACCAGGTCTCCGTAGACGCTTTTTGCGGGAATTAGCATGGTCAAACGGGCCAAACCAAAAATAACATATCCAGCCATCATCCCTGCATATGTGCTGGCCAGCGCCATCGCCAAAATGGTCAAGGTAGTGATTATTGAGCCGGAAGCCATGGTATAATAGTGTACCTGCTCTCCGTAGCGTCCAATTAGCCAGTCGTTGGCCTTTCCAACTATTGGCACTAATATAAAGAATGCCAAGCCGTGAATGACAAACGTAATGCTGCCGATATCAGTGCGATGAAAATTATTGATCAGGTACAGGCAAATTATTGTGTCGGGTGTGGACTGGAGTTGCATGGACACAATAACTGTAATGGTCGATATGATTACAGGGGGCGCTGCATAAAACTAAATTCGAACCTTGCTGCTGCTGTCTTTGCCACAGTCGGTAGTATTCGATTTGGGCGCTTCAACTAAGCATTTAGAAAAAACCAGATTACTTGTGTAATCACCATCGGGAATACAGACTCCAATTTCGGAAGTTTGCGGGAAAAGAGCAATTGAACCGATTGAATAAACTTTGAAGGTTTTTGTTTCAAAAGATACTATGCGCTGTCTAATCTTTAAAGGATTATCAACGATTTTAAACAGAAACAACAGCTCAAAAACCCCTAGTGCTATGACCACAGGTGCCGTGCCAGGAATCCCGTCAAGGCCAAAAAACCTTTGCCCGCAAATTGGCCCGACCGTGTACCCAACATTATTGAAAAAGTATATAATGGCCACCTTGAATCCTAAAATACCCGTTGGGTAAACGTCGCCCACCGTTGTGTATAACATTGTTCCTGCCACAATATATATAAATGCAGCCAGAATCTGCAGAGGGCGGCATGTGTGGAAAAGATTGCCGACAAAGCCAGCTATTAGTGCGCCCAAAACGCCGCCAACACCAAACATTGTTATCATGGTACTGTTAGACGACGCAGATACATTTATCATGTTTTGAAGAATATCTGACAAATTGGCCATTGTCAGAGCGTAGATGAATGTGTCAATGAAAATAAACAGCGACAACGTGGCCCAAATGGTTGCTGGTGAGCTGCAGATCTTTGTTATAACCGGAATGCCATCCATCATGGAGTCCAAAAACATTATAAGCATGGCTTATAAAAGGATATTAAGTTTAGTAAACAGCATAAATATATTAGAGGCGTGCAAAAACAATTTGTAAAATTTATTCTAGCAAACGACAACCAGAGTATAACACCCTTACATTTATTGTCAAATTACTGAGAGTATTTGGAACTGCAATTAAATATTTTCTATATTATCAAAATTTGGTAGCAACATGCAAGATTGTAGTTAATCACACACGCCAACACATCAATTGTTATTATTTTTTGTTATAAGGGATTTTTTTAAGTCAGCTTGTCGTATGCGATTGGTCGAATAAAAGCTTGGATGTGCTTTTAAATATAGTTACCATGCCACGTTATATGTTCATTCGCTTGAAGCAATTTACAAGTACAAGTGTAATCGCGATTGCGACTGGGCGTTGAATGAAAACATAAGCAAAGTCATTCCAGTCAATTTATTTTTCTGTTATACATACATGCATATATATATGTATGCATGCCCCATTTTGTACATGTGCCGTTGAAAAGGGAATGTATGTGCCGTGTGGGTAGCTAGTGAGTGGTGTGTTGCTATTGTTTTTCAATAATAATTATAGCACCGATAAAATATTAAATAAAATGCATCCTGAATATAATTAACATTGAGTATTCTGTAGCTACCTGCGCGTAATTTTTTGTTTTCCAGTCGCTTGGAGATACTTTAACTTGGATGCTGCTGATAATCAGATTAAATTGTATTTTAATCATATTCATGTAGTGGCTTGTTTTGTCCATACTGGCTTGGTTGAATTTCGTAATTGACCCAAGAAACCAACGGCAGAATTTCCTCCTTCTCTCTTTCCCTTTTATGCACACTCAAAAATTCCCTTCATCAACATTCCGAACAAAATAAAATTCCTCATTCTCTTGTCATCTTACACTTCCACTCCCAATTGAACATTTTAACCAAATGAACCGTGCGGACCATCAACTCATTGACCAAGACGACGGTTTTAGTCTAGACAGCCCGTTCAACACAGCGCTTCCAGAGGTCAACAAACGGGCAGACCTGAGCGGAAGCATAGGGGGACGCATGGGCAGCAGCAACCCGCCACCTGCCACAGGCAATCCTGCAGCAGCGGCCGTTGGGCCTCAGTCTGTATACACGTCAAATGCACTGCCGGGCGGCTACCACACAAACACTCTGGACGAACCCATCCTGACAACCATCGGGAGAGATTTTAGCAAAGTGGGGCGCAAAACCGTTCAGGTGCTCTACCCTAAGGGCCGCACCGACGCCCTGCACGAGTGGGATCTTTGGGGTCCCCTGTTCTTCTGTCTCTCCTTGGCTATCACCATGAGTCTCCTGTCTACCGATCAACAGGCATCGGCGGTGTTTACCGGCGTGTTTGCCCTGGTCTGTATTGGCTCATGCGTGGTCACTTTTAATTGCAAGTTGCTTGGCGGGCATGTGTCGTTTTTCCAGAGCGTGTGCACTTTGGGATACTGCATTTCTCCCATGACCATTGCCTCGTTGATTTCGCTTCTGGTGAAGAGCATCATTGTGACACTTCCCGTGGTTGTCGTGGCTGTCGGGTGGAGCATATCAGCAGCCGTCGGGTTTTTGGCTGGCGCGCAGCTTGCCAATCGTCGCTTGTTGGCAGTGTACCCGATTTGTCTGTTCTACATTTGCATCGGCTGGATCATCATCATTTCGTGAATCGTTGGAGCGAATAAATATATTTATGAAAAATTCAATTATAACAAGCCGACAAAATGGAAGATAAAAGCGAGCAAAAGCAATACATGCGTGATGTATTGTCAATATTCTATTTCTAGCTTTGGCTTGCAGGCAAAAGCTCGGGCTGCTGTGTCCTCAAAAACTCGGTCAACCGCTGCTCGTGCAGATCCAAACGCTTGAGCAGGTTCGGCGACGCCCGCTGGACAAACGGCATGTCAGCTGGCTCAATATTGTCGCCGAGCAAGCACTGGGAGCGCACAGCTGCAATCGTTCCATACATGGTGTCTACAGTGCTCCGGCAAAGCGGAATGCGCAATGAAAAGTCGTCCATAAAAGTGGCCATGCCTCTCTTGCCATCATCCTCTTCGCCCTTGGCTTGCTTGATCAGCGAGAACAGGCCGGCAAAAAACACCTCGCCTGTTGGCTTGAGCAGCTCACGAGCGTCAACCATACACCCCTCCCTTGTTGCAGGGTCCTCGTGCTCGCCCAGAAGCATATCCATTGCATCCTCCAAAAAGCCAGCCCTGACCAGGGCCTCCAGCAGATGGCGGTGGTTGGCCAGCGAAAAAACTAGGCCAGCCTGCTGCAGCTGCTCCAGAGCGTTGGCCAGGTAATGCATGTGGAAGAATGGCATGCCCGTATAGACCTGGTCTTCGGGCACATTGCGCTCGACAAAGGGCGCGTCAGGCTCCATGTCCTCATCCCAGTGCACGCGCTCGTTCCAGGCACACGTGTCGATGAGCAGCGTAGCTGTGAGGTTGTTCGGCGCGACAGCACGCTGCCGCATCAGTTCCCAGACCTGAAATGCCTTGATGGGCTCGGCAACGCGGCCGTACGCCTCGATCAGCCCATTGTAGTAGTCTGTGGACAGGGGAAGCGCCGAAGCCATCTCTGGCGAGGTATTGTCCAGCGGAACCATATTGTAGTCGACGTCAGCCAGCGCAACAATCAGCTTCAGCCCATCGTAGCTCCGCAGGGAACTCATGGTCTGCACCAAAATGGTGTACGTCTCGGAAGTGGCGTGCAGCCCGCAGCCGCGCATCTCCTCGAGCACGCGCATGGCCTCAGTGATCTGATTGGCCTCGCAGTACGCACGGATCATGCTGTTGTATACGACATGGGTGGGCTTGGCCTGCTGCGGCACAGTAGGTTCGCGCACCATGGCGCGGATGCGCTTGCTCACCGACACGGCCTCGTCGTAGTCGCCAGCGAGCACGTAGACACGGAGTACAGCACCCAGAATGTCCGCTGAAATATCCTCGGCCGCAGCCTCCTGCACCCGCGCAAACAGCTCCAGCGCCTGCGTGTAATCGCCCGACTGCCCTAGCGCTAGCACCAGGTCGGTAATGCTCTGGCTGGTGATCAGGTCCGGCCGGGTCGTGGTCCAGATCTCGCCCAGATGGCGCGCACGCGCGATCTGCGCGTTAGAGATCAGCGCCGCAACGATTGCGCGCGCTGTGTCGTCGGAAACTACGGATTTGTCTTCAGCATCCGTCGTCGGCAGCTCCGAAACCAAAAGCGCCTGCTCAATGCGCGCCGCCATATTTGGCGAGTTCGGACGAACAAGCGCGCGCACAAGGGAGTCGGCGCTGACGGTGGGAGTGGCTGCGCGAATGGCCGCCACAGCCAAAACCAGCGCCTCGTCACTCGTGTCCTCCATAGTGTCAAGGCACCGCGTGTACATGCTCTCTGTTGGCGCCCAGCCATCGGCTGCCATGTCGCCCAGCACGCGCGTGGCCAGCCATAACTGCTGTGTCTCGCAGACAGCGTCCAAAACGCATGTCCACAGACGCGCGTCGGCCTTGTGCTCCGACGTGATCTCCTCACAGCCAGAAGCGGGCTCCAAGCCCTCAACAGGTTTCTGCTGTTCGAGAGTTGCCACCAGCGTGTCGTAGAGAATGATGGAATGGTCGATACTGCCTGCCTCGCTGTGGATGCGCAGCAGCGTAGCCAGCATATGCGCCGACGGCATATCAGATCCCTGCAGCGCCGGCCGCTTTGAACCATCGGGAGCTGAGACTTCAGCCATGCCCGCCGACACAAACGCTCGGTACACGCGCTCGGCTGTGTCGACGCGCCATTGACAAACAGCCGCCAGCGCTGCATCCTCAAAAGGAGCTTCCTTGTTGAGAGAGCTCAGATCGTCAAGCTGCCCGTCGGCCTCTTCCTGCGATGCAGTCGCGTGCAAGTCAACTTCAGCCGGATTTTGGCCAACACTGATGGCCTCCAGCACCATCTCGACAATCGACTGTGGTGCATCAGCTATGGTGTGGCCGATCTGCGACTGTCCTCTGCTGTTGTTTGCCAGTGTGGGGTCAATAAGCATAGCCAGGTCCGCGTTAAACAGCTGCAGGATGTCGCGCGCCGCCGCCGTATCTTTTGTAAATATTGCCGTCTGTAGTGCCAAGCTGGCCATAGCCGGTGTGATTTGCAAGCCGTCCCGAATCGCCGCGAGCAAAACAAGATGCGCCAGGCGGCCAACCGGCGCGTCCTCAATATCCTCTGGCTGCGCGCAAGCCGAATTTCCTGAAACCACCGCGTCAGGGCCCTGGCCAACCACAAGGAGCCCTAGAATGCCTTCGTACTCTGCCGCCTCCAGCAGCCCCCACGCAGAAACATCGCCCTCAGAACCTACGCTGTTGGCAAATATACGGCGCAGAATTGTCGCTATTCTGAATCCAGCCGACCTGCGCCGTTGATCAACAATGCTAGAAGCATCCGCGTTATCGTTGCCGAACAGACCGGCGGTCTGCGGCACCTCCGACGTGTGCACAAGTAGAACCACAAGATCAACCAGCTCTTTCAATGCAGCGCCAGATTCGCTCGTGCACAGCTGTGTGGACCAAATCTCCCACGCCTTCTCGACGTTCCGCGCCTTGATGGGTACGTACAAGTGCATGCCGGGCCCGCGAGTGACACCGCCCTGCCGCTGACTGATAGTCATTTTTGATTTTGTTCCTGGCTGTGCAGCTGCCTCTGGCTTTGGTTCTGTCTGCGGATCCGACTGGATCAGCTGCTTGAGATGCTCGGCAAAGAGCTTCGACTGTGCGCTGCTGGTGTGTATGGCCGCGGCAGCCGTGGTGCGCGGACGAGATGCCCTGGCCAAGGTTTTGGACCGTAGAAAGAGTATGCGGCAGTTCATAGTGAACTTATGTTGCGAAATTAAAGGAAAAGACAAGCTGAATTACAAAAAATAAAAAGATAAGACAGGCAAAAATAAAAATCATCAAAATTCTGGCGGTGAGGGGGGGTTTTTTACGTGTCATTTTTTTCAGTTTGCACCCAAAAAATACTAAGGCCTTGCGGTTCGATCAATAGCAGTTCGAGCCGACCCTGATCAGTTTTTGGTGACGACACTAGCGCGGCACTCGCTGGCGGCCTCACGCTCGCTTGGCACAAAGCGGGCAATCTGCTTAAAGAAGCCGTCAAGGGTGCAGACACCTGATCCCATCTGCGTGTGGTGGGCTCCGGGATCTTTGCATGTGGGCAGGACCAGCACCCGGTCATTGTACCATACGCGAACGTAGTAGTCGCGCGTCGCCCGCGGATTGCGTCTGCCATCTTTCGGCCACTGGTACAGTGCGTCAGGCACATTGGTGGGCCGCACACGTTTATCAAAGGGAATCATCTCTGCTTTATCCGCATATATCCGGCGCTCGTCCTCCCATGCCGGCCGCACGGTCGGGTAGGGCGACTCGCTGTCTTTGAGCAACTCAAACCGCAGGCTGGACGCGAATTGTGGCCACGACAAATCAGCCGGCACAGTCAGTTTGGCGGGATCTGAGCCTAGAACGGCCATAAGTGGGCCTATGGTAGTGTCATGACCCGAGTAAATTGACATCTGTCTCTGTGCCGGCCTTCCTGCACGATCGCTCTCGACAGCGTCAACCACCTCGTCGACAAGCTCGCGCACAAATGGTCCGATCTGCATACGGGCCAATGCCGGCATGCTCCATGACGAGTGAAACCACTCAATAACCCCCCCGCTTGTCAGCCGCTTTACCAATGCGTCGTCAAATATTGCCGGCACAGCCAGGCCATGAATTCTCATGCTGCCAACAACATCCAGAACTTCAATGGCAACGGGAGTCTTTTGGACCTGCACCTCCGAAGCAAAGTAGTCCTTGAGCTCTGGAATAGCCCTCAACTCGGCATCCAACTTCTGATACTCCTCACAATTCTTTCTATTAGCCAGCGCACCGACACCTTCAAACAAACGTGACATGGCTGCATATCCAAGGCTAGGGAACATTGTTTCATGGGATACCGGCCTTATATTGATGCGAAATGACTGCTTTCCAGGCTCTTGATCTGGATATAGTCCGCCCAGCGTGTGCTGCAGCGACTCGATGGCGCGTACATACATTGACGAGCGCAGATATAGCTTGCCTTGAGGGTTTTCTGGCAGAAATCCCAGAGCATCGACGTAGAGTGCCCTCAGATGCGCGCCCAGTTTAGTCATACTCGCACGCCCCACGTCTGTTAGCTGCCCCCAGTCGCACCGGCCCTTTGCATTCTGCGACTTGCTTTCTGGCGTCTCTAGCGTCGAAGCCCCAAAAATAGCGCCGAGGTTGCGCTGCCCCTGGGGAAACACGTGAGCATGGCTTGGCAGTGTCGCTGGCAAACCCGCGGCTTGCGCAAAGGCCGCGTGTAAGGAAGCGCCGCGGCTGCAGAGGTTCCAGTTTTCCGGTGAGATGTTTGGAAGTCGGTGGCATCCTGGTGTGCGCTCACCGTGTCGGTGCACCACCCCGACATGCACCACCGATGCCTGCTTGGGGTAGTGTTTTGCCAGGAATTCTGCCGAAAGACGCGGCAGCCGTGCTTGCAGCACGCTAGCTGGAGTCGACTCGCTGCTCAACGGCGTGAGAGAAGCGTTGGAAGACATACGAGAATTAATAGGTGTATAATAATTTGAGAGAAGAAAGATGGTGAGGAAAAATCATAGCATGGCTGCATGGTCAAATAATTACCAGCGGAAACATTTTCATTTAAACCCTTCACCTGCATCAGCTGACGCTCGCCGCGACGATGCAATATCATGTCGGATGATAGTATGAGTTCTTGTGCCCAACTTTACAAAGCCAATCACTGCCATGTCATGAGAATACTACACATCCTTTAGTAGCAATGATCTGCGCCAAATCCATAAATATACACCTTATTTTTTATTATCTGCCTTGCGCTGTGGCCACCCTATTTCCTTTTTTGTCGAAATGCTCCGTAGCAAAATAAGATACATTTTTGGCAATCCCTTGTGAGAATAAAATTTTAGATCTTTGTCAGCCAGCTGGAAATTTTACACGTTATCTCGACACTGATAACAAATGCAATCGTGCTGCTGCTTCTGGATGTTAGCTTCTCCTCCATTGTGCTCCCATGCACACATGGATCCCACTTTGCACCATTGGAGTTGCATCTGTCTATTCAACCATTCTAAAATGACAACCTAAAATCCCATTTGGTTCCAGAAAAAACACATTCGTTTGTTTATTTCTCGAGTAGAGATTTAAATATCTGATATTTACCGTAAAATTTCCATCTTGTATGTATTGAGCTTCTAAACGCGCATGTCGCAGTTCAGCAAAAATCTGATCAAAATTGAATTTACTGGATGTGCTGGTGCTCCTCCCGGAACCGCTCCACAAGTACAGCAATCTTTTCGACATTCGTCTCCATATCATCCACTGTGTTGCTGTCCAGCACTAGCACAACATCCTCTTGGTACGACTCCAAGGCCTCGTCCAAAACGACCCGCATGATCTCGCTTTCAACATTCTCATTGATCTTATTAGCCTTGTATCCACGGCCCTCCAGCCGGTCGTACACGTTCTTGGTATCTGCTCTCAGTACAACGACGAGATCAAACCACCTCTCGGGGAAGAACCCGCATGTGTGGAAGTCAACGCATATGCCGCCTGCAGCCATCATGCTCTCCATCTCGTCAACCACCTTGTCTTCGTTCAGCCAGTATGTGTCAAAGTCTTCGTTGTATCCGTCGTGTAGGTTGCGCTCCTTGACAAGGTCTCCGACAGTTACCTTTTCGAGTCCCGCTGCCAGCGCTACCATCTCGGAGGTCGTTGTCTTTCCCGTGCCCGGTGTCCCGGTTATCAGGATGTTTGGGCTTCTGCGGGGAGGGCTGGTCGGTATGACGTTGCTGTTCATTTTTATTTTGCAAGTAGTATTTACAGATAGCTAAAAAAAGGGGTGTGAATTCAATTGAGTTTGAAGGAAACAAAAAGAATTTCGGTAATTCGTCAACCTGAAAGCAAACAGCCGCATGAGCAAAATCTAAAAAAAAAATTGGTCCTGATCGATCAAGTTTCTGAATTCGATCAGTATTATCAAACCGTCTCTTCAGCAAATTACGCTAATTTTTCATGCATTGTTCGCGTGGGCGATGGTTCTCCGCAATGGGAAAACAGCGAAATATCTTATCTTAAATGTTCTGACTTTTTCTTCTTCTTGATCATCCACAACACACATTGGTCAACCTGCTCTCCTATTTCTTAACCTCTAAAAGTCATGCAGTCGGTTCTTCGCATTTCAGGCCGTCGACTGACACGGTCTGCCTTTTCCAGCAGAAATATTGCTACAAAGCTGCAAACCGATCGCAGACTGTCAAGCATAGCGGCGACAGCCATTGGAAGCAGCATCCTGTCACCCAAGCTGAGCAAGGCACGGGTGGTCCCTGATCTCCCGCGGACACTGTCGTCCGCTGCCCGCGCTTACTCGACGCCCGCAGCGGCCACATCACGGTCTTCCGCGTCAGAATTGGTTGACTCTATTGATCTGGGCGACATGATCCCCATGGATCGGATTCGCAACGTCGGCATTATTGCGCACGTCGACCACGGAAAGACCACCCTCGTTGACTGTCTCCTCAAGCAGTCGGGCGCCCTGTCAGGCTCCACTGCCATGCAGGAGACTCGCGTCATGGACTCCAACGTCATAGAAAAAGAGCGCGGAATCACCATTCTATCAAAGGTCACGTCGCTCGTCTACAAGGACCACCGCATCAACATTATTGATACACCCGGGCATGCCGACTTTGGCGGTGAGGTTGAGCGTATCCTGTCCATGGTCGACAGCGTTGTCTTGGTTGTTGATGCCACAGAGGGCGCTATGGCCCAGACCAAGTTTGTGCTAACCAAAGCCCTGTCGCGCGGCCTCAACCCACTTGTAGTGCTCAACAAGGTTGATCGTCCGACTAGTCGCCCTGACGAGGTCGACTCTGAGCTTCTGGAGCTCTTCATGGCCCTGGGCGCCTCAGACGAGCAGACCGCATACGAGATCTTGTATGCATCGGCAAAAGAGGGCTGGTGCACAGACAGCCTTGACAAGGTGGCTGACTTTGTCGCCGCCACAAACAAGGGACAAAAGGCCGATGGAAACATGGTTCCGCTTTTTGACGCCATTGTCGCCCGTGTGCCGCCGCCAACGGGCCAGCGCGAAGCGGCGCCCTTCTCGATGCTTGTCACGCAGCTCGAGGCCAACCCGTATCTCGGCAAGTGCGCGCTGGGCCGCATCACCAGCGGTATTGTGCGCGTGGGCGACCGTATCCGCGTTTTGGAGCCCGGCACTAGCGTGGTTAAGGAGGAGGGCAAGGTCACCAAGCTGTTCCTCCGCAGCGGCGTGCAGCAGGTCGAGATGGCGCAGGCCGGCGCCGGCGATGTCGTCTCTATCAGCGGCGTCCCCAGCGTCAGCGTCAACTCGACAATCGGCGGTCCCGAGATCACTGAAGCCCTGGAGTTTATCCCTGTTGATCCGCCAACTATCTCTGTGACTTTCTCCGTCAACGACTCGCCCCTGGCCGGCCGGGAGGGCAGCCAATTGACCTCCGGCATGATCCGCGAGCGCCTGCGCCGCGAGGCCGAGACCAACGTCGCTCTTCAAATTGTTGACGACGGAAAGTCTGAGGCTCTGGAGGTCCGGGGCCGCGGTGAGCTCCAGTTGTCCGTTCTCATTGAGACCATGCGCCGCGAGGGCTTTGAGCTTTCTGTAACCCCTCCACGCGTCCTCTTCAAGCGTGATCCAGAGAATAAGCGCTCTATCCTCGAGCCCTTTGAGGAAATCACCATTGACGTCGACCACCAGACCTCGGGCATTGTCATTGAGAAGCTAACCAAGCGCAAGGGCGAGCTCAAGTCGTTTACAGATGTTGCTGATAAGGCGCGCTTGGTCTTCCATATCCCGACACGCGGTCTTCTGGGATACGCCTCGGAGTTCAAGAACGATACCCACGGTACGGGTGTCATGAACCACGCGTTCCTGCGCTACGGTGAGTATGTCGGTGCTTTTGAGAAGACTCGCAAGTCCAGTATGGTCTGCTTGTCGGCCGGTACCGCCACGTCGTACGCCCTCAACATGATCGAGGCGCGTGGCCGCCTGTTTGTCCGCAATGGCGACGATGTCTACCCGGGAATGGTTGTCGGTGAGCTTAGCAAGGATGGCACTGATTTGGAGGTCAATCCAACCAAGGCCAAGCAGCTGACTAATATCCGTGCAGCCGGAAAGGACGAAGCCATCCGCTTGACCCCCGTCAAGTCGTGGACCCTGGAGGAGGCCATTGCATACATTAACCCTGACGAGGCTATCGAGGTTACGCCCACGCAGATCCGCCTTCGCAAGCAGATCATGGATCCCACCAAGCGCAAGCAGCTTTCGCGGAAACGTGTGAGTGACATTGACGAGCTGCTGGACTAGAGAAACATGCCTAGACTTAACACATTTTGCACTATATTTGACGAGTGTCCGACCCTGTTTTTCATACATGTATAATGCGTCAATATTTTAAAACTGGCTGGTGCCTTCAGAGCCCATGATAATCAATGCAATATAATGTCATTCCGTATACACACTTTCACTCTTTTCCAGAAATAATTTTTTTAAAAAGATTCGACCACTGTAAAAAAAATCCTCAAACATTGAGAATTTTAAAGTTAGGAGGTAGTAAAACACAATTTCAGATATTTGCAGTCTCATTTTTTCAATGTCCCAAAATACTCGAGCCAGTGCGCGCCGATCGAGGCACAGCACTGAAGCCAAAGAAAAACGTTGGTTGACTATCAAATCGTCTCTTCTCACGACTTTGTTTTAAAATTTTAGAAATATGAGTACATCGCCCAGTGCACATCATCAGCATCAGCATCAGCCCAAGCGCGCAAAAGCGGGTACTACCGACAAGCAGACTGCCGCGGCGATAGGCAAAGCAGCTGCTCCCAGGATTACTGCGCAGCCTCCAGTTAAGGGCGACAACCGCTGTCATTTTTTTGTGGTAAATAAAGGCCGATATTGCCCGTTCATGACAAAAAACAACAGCAAGTATTGCGGCGAGCACATGGTGGTCAGCGATTCAAAGAGCGCCAGCATCCCCGAACGCGTCCCCTGTCCCTATGATCCATCCCACTCCGTTGATCTGCACAAATTGAAGAAACACATGAGCTCCTTGTGCAACGCTCGTCCGCCAGATGAGCGCCCAGCTTATACACTGCCGGACTGCAACATTACACTTTTGCCGTCAGGATACGCCGAGGGATTGTTTAGCAAGTGTGGGCAGATGTGGAGCGAGGAGGGACTGGCAAAGGCTGATGCCCGGCTGATGGTCAAGCCAGGTGAGCAGATCTACATGGGCGGGGTTTCGAGAACCTTTGGTGAATTGGCATCTTTGTCGGAAAATCCCAAAGCAAAGCCTGGAAACACCCTCGATGAGCAAACTGTCAGCCGGCTGCTCAAGCCTGTGGTGCTCTCATATTTGCGCTCGGTCGGTGCGCTGCAGCTAACTGAAAACAATATCGCCACAGAACAGTCGCTCAAGGATCTGCTCGAGCTTGTCCGTCCGTCGCAGGAGTTCCCTATGGAAATTTGCACTCACCCGTCGGTCGATGAGCGCAAGCACAGAAAGATCAACCCCAAGCACACGCTGCAGCAGTCGTCCCTAATTGGTCACTTGGAACAACACAATCTTTTGGATCCCAAGTACGCGTTTGTGGAGTTTGGTGCTGGAAAGGGCGAGCTTTCTGTATACGTGCACGCAGCGCTGGCTAAGAAGCAAGCTGAGGCTGAATTGGAAAGCAGCAGCATATTTCTTGTGGACCGAAAAAACTTTCGCCAAAAATTCAACATTGACGAGCCGGACCGTGCGCCCAGTGGCACCACTGATGCGACATCTGATTGCGACAAGCACCAAAGCCATGCCCGCCGCCAATTCCAGCGAATTTACATTGATATCCGGGACCTCAACCTGGCCAGCGTCGAGGGGCTGCAAATCACTGACCCATCGACTGGCAAGGTCACCTTGCGCCCAATTGTTGCCTACTCAAAGCACCTGTGCGGTGCAGCGACGGATCTGACCATCAAGTGCATTGAGCGGTACCAGCAGGCCGGAGGTCACGTAGCTGGTGTTGCCATTGCCCTGTGCTGCCACCATGTGTGCAAGTACTCAATGTTCGTCGACCACACGTACCTTTCCAAGGCGACAACCTCGCATTCCGCAGCCGATTTAGGCCAATGGTGCGACACCCAGAGGGACGAGTTCAGGCATCTGGCCACCATGTCGAGCTGGGCGATAAACTCGCCAGCTCCTCCTGCATCCTCTGCGCCAAACTCGGAATTAGATAAAGCGGTCGCCGCCGCGCACTACTCTGGGCTCACGCATAGCCAGCGTGTTTGTGCTGGACATGCAGTGAAGCGCTTCTTGGACATTGGGCGAGCAGAGTACATGCGCTACCAGTTGCGTATGGATAGCGTTGGGCTTGTTTATTACACAACGCGCATTGCGTCGCCAGAAAACCTTGCTCTTCTAGCGACCAAGCTGGAAGCGTAAACGGTTTATTTGTATTCTATTTATAAGTGAAGCTCAAGTTTCAAAATACGCTAATATGCAAAGTAAAAAATACAAATACAAATACAGAATATGCAACCCTGAGCTTGAGTGTATCGAGCTTGGGGTTAGAATGCGCGTGCGTGTACATATGCATATTTGGATACATGTGCAGATTGGCTGGCTGTGGATGGGATCGGCTGTGTTGGCACATGCACCTGTTACTAGGCGCACCATGCTTCGAAATAACAAAAAACGAAAGTGACAAGTTCTATTTTAAACGCTTTGTTTTGCTTTGTAGTCTGTCTCTGCAGCGTGCATGCATGTTTCCTTTTGAGGGGTTCAAATAAGTGTCGACAAAAATGGCACCAGAGGTACGAAAATAAACATGTGCAAATCCTTCATTTCCACATTGCAAGCGGTTTGTTGAGCGAGACCGTTTTCTATGAAGAAATCCAGTGCTGGAGCATTGCTGCAATACCTGTAAGATTCTTATAATACAAAACAGCAACCACGCCATCAATACAATTCATTTATTTTCTCTTCTCTTCTCCCCTCTTAACCCTACGTCTTCCCTTCCCAAAAAACTTTCTTTTTCACGCAAACACACCTACACACTCTCTTTTACGTACCTCCCTGACGCCACTTACACAATAATGAAGTTCTCTGTTTCTACTTTCGCTCTGTGCGCTGTGCTGGCCGCCGCTGCCGTCAAGGCCCAGGATGCTGGCGTCATTGATGATGGTTCTGGCTCGCTCGATAACGGTGAACTCGACGATGGCCTTCTTGGTGGTGACTTGATCGGCGATGCTCTGGTCATTGTCAACACCAAAGCCCCAGTTGTCGCCCCCACCTCTACTCAGGCAGCCGTTTTGGCCCCGTCCACCATTCCTGACAGCAATGACAACAGTGTTGTCAACATCAAGCCCAAGGCTAATGAGGCAACCATCTCTACCACTATTTCTGCTCCTGCTGTCGTGGACACCGCAAAATCCACACCTATCTCCGACAATGTCCCTGCTGTCGCTGATACCGCTAGCTCCAATAGCTCTAGCTTGAGCGAGGACGCCGAGGTCGGTGTTATCAACGACAGCGCCATTGTTATCTCTGCCGAAGCCAGTGCCTCGGAGAGCAGCACCGCTGTCAAGGATACCACTACTGTTGTCGAGGATACCACTGCTGCCGTCGAGGATACCACTGCCGTTATCGAGAATACCACTGCCGCTGTTGAGGACACCACTGCTACTGTCAAGGCCACCACTGCTGAAGTTCCTGATATCGCCTCTGAAGCCTCTGAGGAGGAGCTTGACTCTGGCCTTCCCGACAACGAGGTGAGCGATGCCAGCGAGGAAAAGTCTAGCAGCAGCATCAAGGCCAGCTCTAGCAAGAAGCCTGCTTCTTCCTCCCATGACGAGGATGATGAGTCCAGCAGCAGCAGCACTGGAACCATTATCCCTGCTCTGTCACTTACAACCCTGCTTATTGCCGGTGTGTCCAGCATGCTTTTTTAAACAGTCAAACCATGCTCTTGGTAGTGCCAATTCTATTTGAGTTAATATATCAAAAGCGTTCTTTATTGTTATCCAACGCCAAAGCGCGAAAAAGTGAACTCCAATTGTTTTTTTGTAATTCGGCAAAGTGTAGCTTTTGTTACTGCAGTTGCAACTGACAGAGCCGTAGTAGAGAATGGTCTGAGCTCAAAGTACTATCTGGGTATCAAACATTAATACTTAAAACCCTGTACGGCTAAAGTTTAATGCTTGGGGTTTTTTATTTAATTAAAAAAGCGTTTAACAATTCAAAGCACAAAGCAACTCAATTGCCTCAACAAATAGCTTATGAATTTATACTAAGGGAATTTACTTCAGATTAAACATTGCTAATTAGCTCTAAAAATCCAAGCTCAGCAGTGGTTCGATGTAAAAAGCCTGCTTGGCCAAGTGGTAAGGCGTCAGTCTTGTACTTGTTATGCTCACGTGTAACTGCAAAAAAACTGAAGAGCGCTGGTTCGATCCCGGCAGTAGGCATACTATTTTTGCAACATAATTTTTATTTATTTTTTGTTACGCTAAATTTTAAATGCTTTTCGTTTCTTCGTCGTCGTATGCAGGCATGTCGACCAGCAAAAACTGCGCCCGGTCGAATCCCGAGCTCTTGATAATAATCTCGGAACCGGGTATTACGTTTTGCAGGTGGATGCTGTCCCCACCACTGAGCTGGATGGATCCAGGCAGCATCAGGCATGCGCCGCTATCCTTGGCTGTTCCGATTTTGTTAAAGTCGCTGAGCAAATGGATAAATACACTGCGCGTCTTGCCCGGCTTGAGAACATTCGGCTGTGGCACTTGCTTGTTTTGATTTTGGCAGTGGCGGTACCCATGCTTTTTACCCTTGTGACTACAGCGACTCTTCTGGTTGTTATCGTCAGCGGCGTAGCTGGGCGCCTTGTGTGCTGTCGATATGGTGGCCACGCGGCGGATGTTTGGAAACTCAAATATGGGCGGCTCCTTGGCGCTTTTGGCAGCCGACTGCGCAGTGTAGCACACGCTAGCACATGGTATAAGGCGACAGACATAGACGTAGACATCGCTGTCGAGCTCGAACACCGGGTTGCCCTGGCCCGCAGAGAGCATGGGCAGCTCTGCCAGCTCATTACCGCCATTATGAAACGTGGTGAAGTCAGGACTGGGTGCAGCGAGCAGACACATGCGATTGAGGCGCTCTGTCGGCGGAATGTGCATTGACTGCACCCATGCCTGCGTCAGCGGCATGCTGGCCTTAATCCACAGTTCGGCACCCATGCATCCTGCACTCTTGTCGTCAATATGAGCTTTGCGCCTAACTCCCGTACCCGCATAAAGGCACTGCACGTAATGCTTTGCCGTCGTCCTGTTGACATCCGAGCCGCCGCAGGATATAGTGCCTGATATCATGTTGGCGTTGACAAAACTAAAAACAAAGATGCCGCTGATTTTGTCCCTGGATAGCGACCCATGTTTGGAAAACCACGCCTCATATATGGCCTTGATTCTGCCCAGCCCTTTGTCCTCCAGCGGCAGCATGGCGTCCTCAGAAAGCGCGGTTTTGTAAATGTGCACAGCTCCGGTGTTCAAAAACATCCTCGTGTTGCTGTTGTAGGACTCATAGCTGGCGTATGGTAGGGGCGGGGCAAATATCGAGCACTGTTGCATTGCCGAGCGTCTTCTGGCACAGTCTGCATCGCACCGCGACTTTTGTATGAGCGCTTTGTTGGATTTTTCGAGATTTTTGGTCGATGTGGGGTTTTTGTTTTTAGTTTTAAAAACTGAAGAATTGCTGCCAATGCTGCTGCCGCTGTTATCAATGTTGAAAAGCGACCGAATATAACACATTAACCGTCCCATAGGTAAGGTCTACTGCTGCTTGGTAAAAAATTAAGGTAAAGTTGGTAACTAGAAAATACAGAAAGTCTTCAAAATGCGCGAATACAAAAAAATATATATGTACAACCGGAACGACAATAAAATTGTCGAAATAAAGTTTAAAATATATATGAACCGTAAGAGTTTGTTAGCTAGAAGCTTAGAGAGACAAAGAAAGCAAGAGAAAGAGGTAGAGAGAATAAATGTAAAAGCGAGAGCAGAAGGGTCTCCTGAAATATAGTTCGTTTGATCACTTGTGTTCCAGGCACAGTCAAATATTTTTTATTTTATTTTATTTTATTGCTATGGCCGTGTGATTGGTAATAATCTAAGCAAACAAAAAATAGTGTGGTTTGCTTGCAGCACAAATTGCAAATCCAAAGTTTTTGCAGCAGGTGATATTCGTGATATTTTTCTTTTTTTCCGCTGTTGCCACCAAAATAACTAAATAGTGGAAGAAAAATAAAACATATCGCAATTACCTCAATACCAGCAAACAAAACAAAAAAGATTTATGCAGGGCGCACGGTTCGACTTTTTTTTTTTTGGGATGGCCGAGACTACACAATCCGATTAGCTGACACAAATTCAATTCACTTAAAATAAAGGCGGGAAGTAAAAAAAATGAAATATGATTCGAAGGTTTTTAAGTGTTAAAGATCCAGAACTCTGGGAGGTTTTTTTTGCCGCGTGCGGCCAACTTTTTTTGTTTTGTTTAGGCTATCACTTCCCCCCAATCCATAAAACTACAATAGGTTTTATGTTGTTATTTTGCGATCCAAGAGTGCACGTTTCTCGGGTAAAATGTATTTGTGGACACCCAAAGCTTTTATATTAGTGGTTGTCATCACAATATATCCCAAAAAAAAAGAAACAAAGAAACAGCGTTTTTTTTACTTGACTGCCCGGTCATGGGCAAAAGTAGAGACAAACTCCATCGTGTCTGTCGAAATAGTGTCATGCGATGGATCAGCGGGTGCCCCAGCAGAGCTGGCGTGATCAGCCTGGTGGTGGTGGCCATGCCGTGTTAGGCGCTTGGGGTTGAGCTTGCGGCAGGCAGACTTTAGCTTGGATGAAAGCTCCCGCACAGGCGATGTCTGACCGACTGCTGCTCCTGCTGCTGACAAGGACGAGCCACCACCATTGCTGCTTCCATCATTGCGATATGTATTGGATCCTATCAGCGTGCGCTGCCTCCGCATTTGATATCGACTAAGCGTCCCAGAAGGCAGAAGCCCGTGTTTGCTGCCTCTCAATGAGCTCCCGACCATTGTGGCGCTACGCGGATGCTTGCCGGACACTTCCTCCATCCGGTTCTGGGTATCGTCTTCCTCGTCGTCGTGGATATCATAGTTCTTGTATACCATCGAGTATTGGCTTTGCCTATTGCTGTGCTTCCCCAGCTGCTGCGACAGCCGATCGGGGTCAATCCGGCACGCTGCGCCTTGGCCCATGGGCAGGAGAGGCGACTCGCACCTGCTGGGATACGACTCTGCAGTGTCGGCTATGGATGTGACCTCAGCTGTGTGGTCCTTTCCTTGGCTGCAAGAGCTGGCTGATGCTACTGTGTGCAAATCAACGTTGTTGCCGCGGCTGGCATCGGAAGCCTCGCTGTGTCTGTGCATGGTTTGGGGGTGGGGGGTATATGGCGTTGAAAGTGTAGAAAAGATATAGGAATATTGAAATAGTAAAGCGCCCAAAAGTGGAAAATAATAATGAACAAGAATACTAGACGAAATTAAAGTGAGACGAGATGTAGTGCAGACGAAATGATGTGTATTTTTTGTCACTCGTGGCGAATGCACATATTTGTTAGGTTAATCCCAAAAAAAGAACAATACAAGGGGGAAAATGGCTGAGCTGCGCAGATTATAAACTCATGTGTGGAGTAAAATAAAAAAATGATGAAACAACAAGCGGGCAGACAAAAAGAAATAAAAATTCGATATGTCGCGTGGTCAAATTTGGGAGGGGATAGGAGAAAAGACAAGGAGAGTGATGAAAATAAGCTAAATATTTTTCAAGCAAATAAAAAACTGAAGAGAAAAAAGAAAGAAGCATGTCTTAAACATGCCAAGCCTTATATACGGAAGTAGTGATAACGCATTGCAAGAAGAAGCAAACATAAACGAACAGCTAACAGGAGGGGAAAGAAAAATAGGAAGCAAAATATAACATTATCTAGCTTGCTTCTTTCTGAAAGGTCCCAGTGGTCATCCAACACTTCCCACTCACAAAAAGAGCATAAAAACAGGAATGAATGGACAAAAAGCATCGCATTTGCCATGCAATCATCTCGCTCACTCCTTGCGCAAAAAGAATAGAAAATATATGGCACCCAATTAAACTCATTGAAATCCCCATCATTTTAATGCGCATTGCCTCCGCCACCAAATAACAAAAAGACAACAGTCAATATCAAAAACCCCAAATAATGGAAAATTAAAAAGAGCAACAATTTTTTTTGTGAAAACAAAAATATGACAAACTTTGTTTTCACAGATCTTCATTCTTTGTGCCAAATGAAAACCACTTTGCACTGCATTTCTGGCGGAGCTGAATTTCAAATCAGCCTTTGTATTGCATTTTATTGAGTGGCATGCAGCAAAAAATAAATAGTGTCATCTTGACTCGCCAACAATAAGGAAGGACATAATAATAACAAGTCCGCAACAAAAAAGTATATATTGTTTTATTAATTGGGTTGTTGAATTCTAAAAATAAAACCAATTAATTAATTAATAGGGTGCGGTGCCCAAAATATCTTCAACCACCTTGCATCCTGCATCTGTACAGCTATTCATGCGGCACTCAAGGAAACTCGTTTGCAAGCTCAGCAGAAATATCGGTCGAAACCGGATCCTCGCCGCGCCAGGGACCATACACCGACATGTTGCGGAGCTTGCGTGCGCACAGCACAAAGTAGTCCACTTTCATCCAGTGCTTTTGCGACAGCCGCAGCGCCGTCATAACAATCTCCAGCCGATCCTGCATACGGCGAACATCGGCCAGCGTGCGCAACTGCGGCGCCGGAGAAAGGTCATCTGTGAAATCTGGAAGCAGCGACGTGTCCGCGCTCGGATCACCGCCGGTATCCGCGCCGTCATTAGCTGCCCCTGCTGCCCCTGCTGCCCCTGCTGCCCCTGCTGCTGCTGCTTCGTTTTGTACGGAGATTGACGAGCTGGGCAGGATAAAGTCGCCGCTCTCGCTGCCGCCCGTTTTCTTGCGCCGCGCCAGTATGTATGCTGACATTTTCGAGTGGTGCAGATACATGATCATCGTCTTAGCGGCCAGAAAGATAAAATACGATGTGTCTGGCAGCTGCATGCGGAACGGGTCTAAGGCACCCCCTGCGTCGCCACCATCCCCACCGGCGGCCTCATTGGAGGACTCAAAGTCAACCTCGCCCGCGCTGTCAGTGTCGATCTTAGGTGCACGCCTGCCGCCGCTGCCGCTCTTCGTGCTGCTAGTGCCCTTGTGTTTCCCTCGCTGTTGGCGCAATCCACCAGAACCCGCCGCGTGCTCATCCATGTCGCGGGCATTGGCGTTGGTCTCGATATGAATATTCGTATTCATGCTCGACGCGAGCGTGAGCTCGGCGCCCACCTGCTTCCTCGCACTGCTGGCCGACCTGACCACGGCCTCCAACAGGCGATGATTGGCAACCAGCAGCGGGTACGGCGGCGTCTCGTGCGAAAAGAATACCCTGACATCCTCGCCAACACTACGCTGCTGTATTTCAACCTGGTCCTCGGGGAACCGGCGCAGGTTAGACTCCGCATTGATCTTGGCCTTGATGGCATTAGGCGCATGCCAATCGGGCTTAATCATCGTGCGCAGGCCTGGGTTGCGGTGAGGACGCACCTGCCAGTGCGACTCAAGCAGGGACTCGATCTCGCACGCCTGCTGCACAACAACCGCCCAGCACTCCTGACCGTACGCATGCAGCGCCTGCATTACTTGGTCGCCGGGCTGGTTGGGCAAAAAGTGGCTGGTCATGGTCTGGCGCACAGCATCTCCGACCGCAGGGCTCCCGTCGGCATGCTTGATTTTGCGCTCGCGACGCGCCAGAGTTGCCTGCAGCTGCAGGACTGTCGACCGGTTCTGGATGAGCAGCGCGGCAAGCATAAACCGGTAGTTGGCGTACTCGACACGCTCGCAGCGGATCGCCTGATTCTCCTCGGTCGTGCGGTTGGAGCCCTCCTCGTGTTCGCGCAGCGGGAACATGACCTCGAGGTAGACGCGCCATTGCATCAGCTTGGCCTCGATGTCGGCAATTGTGATGCGCATCCGCTGGAAGCGCTCATCCCAGCCCAGCACCATGGGGCCGGGGGCGCCGCCGCCACCGCCGAGATCGACATAGTCATCGTAGCCAGGCCCAAACAGACTGTTGGGCATTAGCTGGCTCGGCCAGCGGCACGGGAAAAACAGCCGAAACAACGCCAGCCGTGCCTGCGTCATTTGCCCAATGACAATTGCTGTGTGTGCCTTCAGGTGAATGCGGTTCTTGCGCTGCCGTACGCTGACGAGCATGCTGGCAGCGCGGTTAGATGCCAGCGGCATATTCAACCTGCGTTGCGCCTCTGGTAGGGTTTCGCCGGCAGCTGGCGCAGCAGCACTGTCAAGCAGCTTTCCTTGTGATGCCTGGGTGCTTTGCTTTCTGCTCACTGGCTGGCTTGATGGCACGCTAGAGCTGGCGGCCATGTCGACGCGCAGACTGCCGCCGGCGTCAATATAGTACCGGCCCATATGCAGCAGCAGCCGCTCGTACTCGCCAGCGCGGCGCGGATCGGGCATCTCCCAAATAGCGTCACTGCAGGGCATATCTACCCAGCCTGCCTCGAGCGTGACCAGTGGCGGTGTGCCGCCAGCCAGCGTGTGCATGCGTTCAGACTCGAAAAGCACCCACCGCATGCGGCGCTCCAACTCGCGCTTAATCCACGACTCGCTGTTTAGCGCCGGCTTGCGCATCTCGCTGGCGTAGTTTGCCGGGCTCTGCATTGCTGTCAGTGAGGATATTGCTGATTCGTGGAGACCCAGATGTGATGTGTACGCGGGGAACTGGAATGCCTCGTCAGTCATATGCAGTTGCAGCTGGTTGAGCATGCGCACGGCTGTGCCCCAGTATGTTGTGCCTTCGAGCCAGTCGCCCGTGCCGAATTGATGCTCGGAGAGGAGATAGAGGGCCTGGATGATCTCGATTGTCGGCGCTCGTGTGGCCTCGGGAAGCATGACGCGGACGAGTTTTGCGTATCGCTTGCCGTACTCATATGGCCGCAGCCGTTGCTGGATACCCCTCAGTGGCTCGGCGGCCAAAAACGAGTAGTCGCTCGTGCTGGTCGCTAAATTGTTCGGCGCTGGCCCGTACCGAGCAGCGATTGCCTGCACTGCATGCCACAGCACTTTGTTGACGGTACCCTCGCGCACAGCTTTCTCAAAAGTGTGCCGGTGCAAGACCGGGTGCTGCGGGTGAAAAAACGTAAAGTACAACCGCATATGCTGCTCGACCAACAATAAAGACGTGTTACCTGCCAATGCATCATTACCTACTACTACTGCTGATTTTTTGTGCGGATTCGTCGCGCCTGCTTCATATTTCAAGTCGCTGTTGCCCCTGGGCGCGCCAGTTATGCCGGCCAGCAAAGCAGTGGCAGTATTTGCGAGCCCTACATCGGCACAGCCATTGGTGATGTCCCGGAGACCAATCGCCGGTGCAACATTCGCTGGCAAGGCAATCTGGTGGTTAGACAGGGCCTCGAGATATCCATGCCCGGCGCGACCCTCGCCTGACAACGACAACTCATCAGCACTGTCAGAATCCAACATATCCTGGTCGCTCACATGCGTGTCTTCAAAGGAGGCAGTGGCAAACTCACTGAGTCGCCGCCGCTTGCTGCGTTTTGGGAATCCAAGCTCATCATAGTTAGCAGCATCGCCGTGTCTGGTCCTAGTGTCATGATGGAATAATACGTAGTTGGCGTGTGGCCCGGATACTTTGCTGCCAGAGTTGCTAGACTGCACTGAGCCGGGCTCGGATGGTATTGACTGGCGGCCCCGCTTGCGGCTGCCCGAGGTGATGGGCTCGTATATGCACTCGAATTTTTTTGTCTGGCAGAAGCCGCACAACGGGCGCAGACCGTCACAACGGACCTTGCGGCGGCGGCACATTTTGCATGCCTGGTTGACCCTGGCCGGCGCAGCACTGCTGTGCTGAGAGTCGATTGCTGGGGCTGATGCTGGTGCCAATGTTGGCACTGCAAATTTGGTTGTATTAAGGCCACTACTGTTGCTGCCATTGCCACTGCCGCTGTTGTTGTTAGTGGCAAACAAGTGATTGGCTGAAAAGATCGGTGAGACTATCGGGTACGCTGGCTGAGGAATCGCGCCCAGCGTGGGAAACGCCAGCGGCAGATCAGCAAAGTTAGCCAGGCACCCAATCGCAGAAACGTCAAGCGTACCAGACATGGTGGTGTCTGGAATAAACCGATTAACGCTCGAGTAGTTTGGCACGCCCACCGTTGTGGCATCCATTTTGGCTAATGGCATGGCAATGCCTCCGCTGTACACTCCGTCTAGGTTCTGGATACCACCTATGCTCATATTATGCAGCACATTGTTGAAGATCCGTGTCCGCGCTGCACGCATATGTGCTGCCATCTGGCCCTGTGTATCCTGAGGAGAGGAATTCAAAGGTGCAGCCTGCTGTTCCTGCTGCTGCTGCTGCTGTTGTTGTGACGAATGGGGCGTCCCGATAAGGGATTGCAGAGGCCATTGTAAGTACGAATGATTGCTGGCCGAAATCCCTTGGATTGCGCTCGTCATGTGTGAAGGCGCAAGCGTGGCCTGGCTGCATACCAGCGAGGGTGCAGCCGTGTATGCCAATGGGTTGTTCCCCGTCATGCCATTGAGCAGAGCCATGTCCATGGGCAAGTCAAATGCCCCGGCGCTAGGGTTGTCTGCAGACACGGGTGTTGGTGCGGGCAGATCGAATGCGCAGCCTTTCATGCCCTGGGCTGCGTTTGGGTAGAACGAGTCAAACCTCGGACCCATCCCCAGCCCCATCCCCAGTCCCAGCGGTGTGTGGAAGTTGAATAGTGATGCCTGGTCGGTGAGCGGGAATGGGAAGTCCCCGCTAGTGGCAGTAAACGAGGTGCCGGACAAGGGCATATCAAATAGCCCAAGCTGCTGAAGTGACTGCTGCTGCTGCTGCTGCTGCTGTGGTTGTTGCTGCTGCTGCTGCTGCTCCCGCTGTTCATCCGCTGCGCCCATCGGAGCACGGGTACTGTACTGACCGTCTGGCCTTGACATAAAACAATAGGTTTTAAGAAAAAATGAAAAATAGATGTCTATTAATTAAAAGATATGCTGGGCTTTGACTTTTTGTTAAAAAGGCAAAGATAAAAAGAATGAAAAGGAAAAGGGGATGTTTGTCCTTTTTTGTTTGCTTTGTCTTTTTTTGCTATATTCTGCTTATCGGCCGAGTTCCACACATGCACGAATAGTATGTCGATTTTTTCGATTAAAAAGAGAGAACGAGTCACTTCACTTGACTTCGTTGTTCTCAGAGTTTTTTATTTTTTATTTTTAAGTTAGGGTGGGGGCAAATAAAAAATGGGCGACAATATAATATAATAGTTTATTTATCCAAATAGCTCTGGTTAGATATTTGCAACGCTATGAAAGCTTTTACCATGGGGTGGTGAATGGCCAGGGGCACATTAATTTGGGTATTCCTTGTCTCCCCCCCCTTTTTTTTACCAGGCTCAATGCAGACTCAATTTTAAATAAAAGAGAAACGAACCCGAGCAGTTAAGGAGTTTTTGGGGGTTTATTTTGCAGCTTTACCCCTCATGAAAGTCAACAATGGAGTGGATATACCTCCTGACCAAAAATGTAATTCTTAAACAAAGAGTGCATTTAATTTTGTGTTCTGGGAATAAAAAAGTAAACAGAATCTTTTTTGTGCTAATTTTTTTGCCTTCATAACATCATCCAGATAAATAAAAAAAACAAGTAGCAGCAAGCCAGCAAACATTCAGAGATGTTTTGGAGATCGATCGGTAAACTGGTTCATCAAAACTTGATGGCTGCGACAAAGTAAAAAAATATATATACTTTTGGTATATGCTCCAGTCAAGCCAAACCTAGCATGAAGAATAAAAAAATCGTTTTAATGGTGCGAAAATATGCCGGCGATTCATACTGACCCCAGCGATCAAATTTGGTCAATTGATGGAAAGGGACATGCTGATTGGTCAAATGGCCCGCATCCGCCAGACACCAAAAAAATTAAAATGAAGCTTGTCAAAATATTTATTCATCCAAGTCCCACTTTGGTTTTTATTTTTTTAACGCTTCATTGTGCGCGATTTTTTTTATTTCTTTATAAACTAGAATATATTTTCTCTTTGAATTCAACGGTCGTTCATTTGCAGCACAAGCCATATGTTTTTTTGTTGAAGAATACTCCCCTTTTTTCTTTGCTTTTTTCTGCTACTGTGTATTTTTTATCACCAGCGAGCGGCTTGCTACTTCCTCAGTGCTCTGTGCCTTTTATCATTTTAATTTATTTACTCTCTCAATACAACCCAGACACTTTTATTGTTTTATATTTCTCTCAAATCTCATTTCATTTGTAAAATGCCAGAGACCAGCGACAGTGGCGACCAAATGGACACAAACGACGCAAACGGTAGTGGAACTACCGTAACGACACAGCAAACCACGGCAACAAAAAAGACGCCGATAAAGTGCCAAGCATGCACAAGCTGTCGGCAGAAAAAAATACGCTGCGACGGGAACAAGCCAACATGCTCAGCGTGCCTGCGCAGTGTCGGCGAGTGCCTTTATGTGCCGTCGAGACGGCGGGGCCGCCCGGCGCGCGCCCACAGGGAGTATGAGCGCCCATACGCTAATCCACTGCCAATTCTACCAAGACAACAGCTGAGGCTTGCTCCAGCGCCGACGTCCACAGGCGAGCACCACCACCACCACCACCACCAGCAGCAGCAGCCAGCGCGGGTTCTTCCGACACTGCCACATTTGCAGCCGTCACAGGCCGGGCAGGGCACAATGCCGCCACCGGCGCCTACAGCGCCCACTACGAGAACAGCAGCTGTTGCAATCAGAGCACCTCTGCCGCCCATTCTCCCCCCACCACCACTACACCCACATGGCCATAGCCAGCAGCACGAGCGGCTCAAAAGGCAGGGCCAAACTCAGAGCATTGCACCTCTCGGCAGTATCCTTGCTGCGGCGTTATTCCCTGGCAGCCCGCACTCAGTCTCCGAGGACGACGTCGGCCATTCGGGGCATCGGTCTTCGGGGAGCGAAAGCCCTTTGCCTCTGCATGTGCGGCCACCGGCGTTTCTCGTTCCAGGCGGTGATCGCGGCGGCCACCAGACAATGGCGCAGGCCACGCCGCTGGTAATTCCGAGACCCAACCAGATGATCTCGTCGGGAATTATCGGTAGCAGCAGCTACATGGACCCGAATATAGTCGAGTTCTTCCACTACTTTAACGCCTTGTTCCCCATTGTGCACTGGCCGTCGTTCAAGGAGGCCTATGATGACGGGACGGTGCCGAATTACCTCATTCTGGCTATCAGAGCACTGTCCAAGCGCTATTCGAAGCAGCCGTCGGTGGTACTGTCTGGTCAGTTGTATGCTGCTGGCCAGGACTTGGCTGCTATTGCTACGTCGCTGGCGGAGGTGGCTACAAGGGAGGATCCCAACACGTATTTGATTCAGACGTGGACTATTCTGTCAATGTTTGAGTTTGGCATGGGCCGGATGAAGCAGGCTGCAGATCGCCGTGAACTGGCTGTAAGGTAAGCGCAACACAGATATATGAAATATGTGTGTATGGAAAACTTGATGAGTTTTTGGCATTGAAACATGTCTGGCGCTATGTGTGCTCTGTGCGTGTGAATTTTTAATTTCCTTTTGTTTGCTTAGTGACACATTGGAAAATGCAGGGTGTTTTTTTGTTTTCTGGTGATAAGCCGTATTAAGCAAGGTGGGGGATGCTCGTCATCTGCGCAACTGACCCCAGCATTCCAACTTAAATGCGATTATCGGTTGATCTTGCAAGCCATCAAGATGAATATTAACTCACGTTATCTTCGTTCAATGAACAAAAACAAACCTATAGGCTCGCGTACCAGTTGGAACTAAGTCACATCGAGGTCCGCGCAGGACAACGGCGCGCGCGATCCCTCATAGTAGCAGAGAACTGCCGGCGTGTCTGGTGGACGCTCTTTTACGCCGACCGCTACTTTTCGCTGGTTTCAAGCGACCCTGAAATCAGCCCAGCTATCCACGAGTCCACCTATCGAGTGGGTTTCCCGCGCGCCATGCGCGAGGCATCGCCGCCGCCATTCCAACAGCAGCAGCCGTTGCCAGGCGGGTCCAACCGAGACGTTGAGTTTCCGCGGTACATGGACCACGACGTAATTCTCTGGTTCCAATCAGCCATCCCGCTGTCCCTTCTCATGGGCCATTTGGCACACCAATGTCGGGCAGCCGAGCAGCTGTTCCGCAATGGCCTAGCGGAGCGGCCGGCCGACCGCCTATGGGAGGACGGCGAGTGGCTTGCAGCACTGGGCGAGTTCACCAAGAGCTTCCTGGTAATCGACGCCGAGATATCACAGTGGCGTCAACAGCTCAACGCTGCCACGGCCATGTCTCTGTCGCCGCCGGACAGCCCCGTGGACAATGGCTCCGGCCTTGACCAGTCCCATAGCACGCGCGACGTCACGTTATTCCACCGCGAACTGCAGTACCACGGGCTGGTGATCATCCACCAATGCCTTGCACTCTACGCCTACGAGAAACTGCGCGCCAGCCTCAGCACCCTGGCATCCGCCTGTACCTCGCTGCTGTGGCTGGAGAGTACGGCGACACAGGCGTGGAAAAAAGTCGTGAGGTCGGCGGATATTATTCGCGTCAGAACGAATGCCCGCGCCACCGAGCTTGCCAACGCCAGGGCGTCGGCCTCCGGAACTATGGCCAATGGGGCTGCGCCTGAGCCCGAATGGGAGCTTTGCGCCCCGCATATGCCCTTTTTGCTCTACTTGTCTGCCAAAGTGCATGTGTGCCAGTATCATTGGCAGAAGATTGCGTTGGCACGCACGAGGGCGGATTCCTTGGAGAGGAAGCAGATGCAGAGGTCGAGGGTGAATGGAGGCAATACTATGGTGGAGCCGCAGCTGACCCCGGCTTTTGTGCGGCCATTTAGCCAGCCGCCTTCAGCCACGGACACGCCGGGGGCTTTAGCGCGTGCTGACTACTGGTCCACCAACGCCAATGCGCCTTCCCCATCCAAGCACCAGCAGCAGCAGCAGCAGCGGCAGTCAGTGGTGCCTGGTAATGGATCTGGGCACTCTGCAGGGTCCATCAATGTCAATCTGTCTGAAGCCACAGGCCATGTGGTTGCCGCGGGTACCCCTGTGATGACCACCTCGGGTGCCGCCGCTCTGGCTGCTGCCCAAGCGGCAGCAGCAGCAGGCAGCAATAAGAGCAACAGCAGCCGGCACACCACACCCCAGCGCAGCCGCGGGGGCTCCACAACCCACCTCCACACACTAAGTGACTCTGACGGCATGGACGAAACAACACTATCAGCAACAATACCAAAGACCCACATAGAAAACGTATCCGGTAAAAAAACATCGGATACTAATAACAAGAGCAACAACAGCAGCAACCCGATGTCACCGAGACGGACAACTGGGGACTATACAGATGGTGGGTTCCGTATGAACATTGATGGTATTGATGATGGTGAGGGCAATGATAGTGTGGATGAAGAGAGTATTGAGGTCAAGCTGGCGCGCAGAGTGGCTAGTTCGCAGGAGCGATTGGAGCTGTTGTTGCGTTTACTGAGTGTCTGTCAGGAGTATTGGGCGGACCATGATTATGTACAGATGCTCCGTGATATGCTCAGTTGGCCGGATGAATGGACCACATCGATGCAGATGCTTGAGCGGCTGCTTTTGGAACTTCGCATAGACTGAGCCTAAAAAAATTCTTAAATTAAAAATAAAAGGACACAAAATCAACATATATATTCTAGAAAAAAATGAAAACGCTTTTTTTTCTTCTTTCTTACGGATTGACGTTGGTTGTCGTCCATGAGTTATCACTGCGACGCGTATATATTCTGCGTGTTGACTGGCCCAAATTCACAATATCAACATGGTCAATGTCGATGAAAACCAGGGCATAATTGCGCCTTGCAGTCTCCTCGCATCTATCGCGCACCAGGGAATCCTCAATCCTCTCCAGGTTCTTTGGATAAAGGGAGTCATCCAGCGCCCTCGCCCTCCCAGGCGCCGGCCATGAGTACCAAGCCTGTATACCGGGCGAATGGTGCAAGAACGCCTGCTCACGCACAAACTCCGGATCAACAACCACAGGAGGAACAGGATCCCCCGCCACATCCTTGCGGTTGTCTTGTCTGCTGGGCCACACTCGATGCTCCAGGTCCAGAGTCAGGGTTGAATACAGGGGGTTCTCTGGATGAAACAACAGATGCGCCCTGCCGCTACACCTAATCTGCGCCTGTGCGCGCGGCAGCCAGCAGACTAATTGCGTATCGGGCGTGTTTAGGAATTCTTGGACTTTATTGCTTTGTGCGTGGGTGCAGAGGGTCAGGATATCTGAGGTCCAGGTGTTCTGCTGGTCTGTTGCTGAGGTTTTAAGGAACCCGTCGCCGAGGAAGCCCCTAGGGGAGACCATACGAACGGATGGGCGGCCGTTGAGATCGACCGTAGAGAGCGCGATGGGAGGGAAATGCTCGGTCGCCGGAGGGTTTTCAATATTGAGGTTGCGCACAAACTCCTTTTTCCATTCAGGGTCGCGACTGCAAGACAAGTAAACCATTGTTATTTAGCACTGTACTTGACAGAATTATAAAAACAAAAGGTGAATAAGTAAAAAAGAAAAAGAAAAAGAAAGAAATGGCATGCAAAAGTCGGAGAATTAAATTGTCTCTTCATCGAGGATTTCTCCAATTGGTCTCGGGTCAGCATGCGGGTAAGGTGCCAAGCCAGCAAACCCGCCCTCCTCCACCACCTTATGTAATAATTCAACCTCAGTGACCAACAAATACCCGCCGTGTGCCAGCTCCTCAGCGATCTCCGCCTGGTGTGCGTCCATCAGGTCATGATTGGGCACAACAATAGTTGGTTTACCAGCATGCAGCGCCTCGAGAATACACCCAGTGCCCGCATGGCTAATGATCAAGTCAGCATTGTCCACGTATTGTTGCGGCCACCGGGTGTAGTCGAAATGTTCGATGCTCAGGCCTAATGTCTCGGGCACGCGTGATGGTGGGTTGAAGGATTTGGAGCTGCTGCCGTATTGCACTACGAGCCGCCGGAACCCGCGCGAGGAGAGGGCGCGCAGGAAGGCGGGTGTGCTGATGACGCCGATGAGCTGGTCAAACCCGGTGGATCCCACTGTCACGTAGGCCAGCATTGAGTGTATTGAAAGAACTGGAATGCAACTGTGAGGTGGCAAAATTCAAAATTCAAAATGGACAAAAAAGAATAAAAAAGAAGTGAAAGCAACAATTCAATGTTTATTTTCCATTATTTTCCTGGTCATCAGATGCTGCCCAGCTCGACAGTGTCCATCAGCGATCTGGTGGCAGAGCCCAGGCCAATCTCTGCACGCTCTAGCTGCAGGCATGCAACCTGCGCCTGGCTCTCAGCCTTCAACACCGCCCACCCGGCATGCACCAGGTCAAAGGCTGAGCGCCTCGCAGTCGCCGAAGCTTCCAGAATGCGCCTGCTTTGCTCACGCACCTGGCCGCGCATCGCCAGCCACTCGGCAGCCTCAGGCATGCGCGAGATGAACAGATCAGTGCCATGCGCAAACAGCGGCAGTTCCAGCTCAGGCAGGTGCATTTGTTGCTGCTGCTGCTGAATGGGAGGCGGCGGAGGCTGCTGCTGCAGAGACTGCTGCTGGGCTGGCCCCACATGGCTGGCATCTGGAGACAGTGTCCGTGACGCATGGCCCGTGTCGTACCGTGATCCGCTCTTGGGCGTGCGCGACAACCGGCGGTACCCGCGCGACGAGTACCCGGCGCTGCGATACGGCGACTCCGGAAGCTGCAGTGGCGGCGGCGGTGGTGGCGGCGGATTGGTCGAATCGGTCACATCCAAGCCAGTGCGCGGCGACCGCGACGCATACCGCGGCGAGTGCGCATAATGGCGGCGGCGCTCTTCCTCGTCGCGCGGCTGCACAACTGCTGCTCGTGAGCGTGACCGTGACCGCGACCGCGACCGGCGCCTCGGCGTAGGGCTGCGCGCCCGGTCGCCATGGTACCGGTCGGACCGGCCCGCGTAGTGCCGCCTGTCCGAGCGGTATGCATCGCGCGGTGGCTCGGGGCTGCGCGCCGCGTACCTGCCCTCCGAGTATCGCGACGCGTACGCTGTCGAGCGGCTGTAGGGCTCGCGCGTGCGGCGGTCTGCGTAGTCGTCGCGATGGTCCCTGCGGTCCGTGTAGTCGTCGCGGTGGTCTCGGCGGTCCGCGTAGTCATTGCGGTGGTCGCGGTACGTTGCGCGTCGCGGCTCGGGATCGTGCGTGGCTGTGGACGCAGCACGGTACAAGCGGCTGCGGCTGCAACTGCGGGTGCGTTCCCTGGCACTGCGTCGCTGCGGCACTTCCAGGGCAGCGGGCTTTTCCATTCCCTCAATGTGCTCGCCCTCCTCAATGTCATCCATATCAACGTTAGTTGTTGTTGTGCCACCGACGCTCTCAGCCACTACCACCGCCGTAGCAGGAGCAAAAGTAGGAGCAGGAGCAGGAGCAGGAGCAGAACCAGAACCAGATATCGTCAGGCGTGCGGCCGAGCGGCTCCTCTCGCGCGCACCATCGGCTGCGCCGCGCACTCGCAAGCGCAGCTCCTCAATGGCGCGCTCCTTATCGACATCCCGACGCCCAGGCTGATCATCCAGTCTCTCCTCTGCGCGGCGCCGATACCGGGGCTCGCGCTCATACCTGCGGTCATACCGCGGCCGCGACGGCTCCGCATACCGTCCAGGCCGATATGACGTACTCCCGCGGTACTCGGGCTCGTCCCCGCCACTGCGATACCGCAAATCTGTGTACCCACCCGCCCGCCGGCTATACTCGCGGGACCGTGATCGTGACCGCGATCGTGCAGTACGTCGGGCACTTTGTGCTTGATCCCCACCACCATTATCGCCGTTGTCTGAGCCGCCGCCACGACGGCTGCCGGCCCAACCAGGGGAGCGCCCGCGACTTGGGCGCCGTTCGCTTGAAGGTTCAGATGCTTTTGATGTTGCTTCTTGTGCTGCGGCGCTCCATTCAGTGCCTATGGGTGATTCTGCGCGTGGCTGTCGCTCACACCGAGGCGTCTTGCTGGTGCTGTTGCGTGTTGTGTTGCTATTGTCTTCTGCAGCTACAGCTGTGGATTTAACCTCGAGCGAGATCTCCTCGCCCACCTGACCAACGTCAAAATCCGCTTCACCTTCTTCGCTCATTATAAACCTTTTCAGTTGCTTTTTAATAGTACAAGACAAAATTATTATTTATTTTTATTCCAAAATTGAGAAAAGCAAAAATTAAAGTTCAAATTGCAAATAGCAAATAGCAAATAAAATCAAATATGCAAAAGTGCAATAATTCAAATACACGTGATATCCATAGGCTACAAATCATTCTTTTCCAAGCCATTTCACATTTCGCACACGAAACAAGCACTTGCCCTCTCGAATCGAAAAAAACACTTTGATATTCGTGCCAATGCGCATCCTGTTCCCTCTTTCCCACATTTTCTGATAAGTCTTATTAACAGAGTACGGTACAGGTAAAGAAAAATACATGGATACATAAAATCAAACTGAATCCATTCCGTGCGTTTATGTTTTCGGGCAGAGGCAGAGCATTAGTAGCGTAGGAACAGATAGGAGGGGTGGAATATACACAGCAGGAATAAAGGCGCGCATTTTGCATCCATTGCCTGGGGTCCAACATTGGCAGAATCCATTAGAGCAGAGGGAAGGGGTTGCGTACAGTGATAAGTGGCCGTTTGTGCGAATTTTGAATCTCAATTCACAAGCCGAAAATTTGAATTTCCATTTTTAAAATGGGCCCAGATTGGACACATTGGTGCGAATTCAGGCAGCTATACGCTTGTGCTCTCTTATCCTCTGGTATAGAGGACATGCGGAGAGAGGATTTTTACCTGTTTTCTGTTGGCCAGAGACTGGGATTAAGCACAACAATAATAGGGTTATTGCTTTGCGAGCCTCGCTTTCAATTGGCAAGAAAAACAGCAAAATACGCAGGGCAGCAGCAGAAACATACAGCAACCTCAATACTATAGCGTACACAGAACAATGCCAGCGCGCAGGTTGACTTATGAGAGGCCAGGTCTTGGTTCTTAATCGCCGCAATCTTGAAGGAGTCAATTCATCTTTCCCCTCTCCTTTTTATCCAAGCTCGACACGCGCTTTCCAGCCACAGCCAAAGAGACCTTTCCCACAGCAGTCTATACATATCATCAGATCGCGATTTCCTTCAACAGAACACTAACAAACCACCAACTGTCGTAACTATTTTAACATTTTTGTAGTCGAAATGTCGAAGTCCAAGAACCACACGAACCACAACCAGAACAAGAAGGCTCACCGTAACGGTATCAAGAAGCCTAAGACTCACCGTCACCCTTCCCTTAAGGGCGTTGACTCTAAGTTCCTGCGCAACCAGCGTTTCGCCAAGCGCGGTACTTTCCTGGCTGTTGCCAAGAAGAGAGCCGCTGCCGCCGCCGCTGCCAAGGCCAAGACCGAGTAAATAAATAACCCAATATATTTATAACCCAGTTTTTGTCTTTTGCTTATTTTTAAAAAGCGCAAAATGGAATAATACAGTTTTCTTGTGGTTCCAAAAAAAGTGATTTTGAAATTATTATTATCCAGTTTCGATCTTCTATCTTAAATTTCAGATCTCAGATCAGATCCCGGACCACCACATAACATCACATTACACCAATTGAAAAGCATCATTTATTCTATCAATGTTTTGCATGTTATTTTTGTATTTTGGCTTTTAACTGTCTACCACGCGCATCATGCCCTTAACCAAGGACACATAGTCGGTGCTGGAGAACGCGGTCTGGTGCGTCTCCAAGAACCGCACAATATCCGCCAGATCAAGATACGCCCGCGCCATATTGTCGTCCTGCCGCTCATCAGTCCACCACTCAATGTTGTCCACATGCACCTTGGCCGCCATGATGAGCGCGTACGGCAATGTGCGCCGGAACGATGAGAACACCGACAATGTGACTCCATGAAACTTGGCCTCTTGCGCCTTGATCCGCTCCTGAAATACATTGCGCAGGCGTCTTGCTGCCTGCTGCTGCTGTGTTGGCCGCTCCGCCCCATTGCCATTGCCACCACCACTATTCTTCCCACCACTCTCCTCCCCCCGCGCGGGATCACTATCGGCACCACCATCCACATCCATCATATTCGAAGGCGAGGACAAGGACGAGGACCTCTCTGGCAAAGTATTGCTGTCAGCCAGAGGCCGGTGCTCGCGGATCAGAGGATTGGGACCTGTCGTCGACAAGCTGCCTATTCCCGAATGCGCCTGCTGCTGCTGCTGCGAGCAGTCTGCGACTCTTTTGATCCCAGCAAGCGTCAATACCCAGTGCGGCACACCAGGAAACTCGCCACGCAAGATCCTAGACACCTGCTGCGCCGCTGTCGTCGTGCGCAGCCACAATTCCTTAACATATTGATCAAAAGCCGCAAGCAGCTGATTGTCCTCCTGTCGCCGCTTATCTGGCTCCGACAGGGAGCTGGAAAACTCATAATGGATCTGGAAAACCATGCGGTACAGGTGGATGTTTAGCACGGAGTAGAGTACCAGCATGTTGAGCTGGTGCAAATGCGGGATCTCGATTCCGGGCACATAGGCTTCGCGGTCCAAGACTGGATCAGTGCTGTGCTTGAGTTTTTGTGGCGACGCCGCGGACTCGGAATTAATGCCCGCTTTTGTTGTGTGTAGAGGGGAGGAGGGCGCCCGCCGTCCATTCGCTGTGTTGGTAGTGTCATTGGTAGCGGCAGCGGCAGCCGGGTTCTGCGGCGGGGCGGCAGCCAGGCGCTGCAGGATATTCTGGCGCACCATTTCGAAAATGCGCTCGACACGCTCGACGTTTGCCTGCAGTGTCTTCATTTTATGCGGCCATGAGATCTGCATGAACATTGGTATGTAGTCGTTGCCGTAGGGCGACCGCGGACGAAACAAGCTCCCCATGTCTGCCAAAAACGCCACCAGATGGCTCATCGAGAATCCATACTCGATTTCGCACATCAAGTATAGGTTGTCCGCCTTCCGCGCTACCATCTCCTGGCCCAGCGACAGCTTATTCAGATCGTCGCCGAGCTCCGCCCGCGTGTATCCCTCGCGTAGATACCGCGGCACGCGCGCCGGTGCCTGGTACGTGAACTCGGGCTGGTCCCAGTCGCGGGCACTGCATGGGAAGTGGACAAACATCCGCGCCTCATTGACCATCGTCGGCAGCCGCTCGGCAATCGAGCAAAACCGCTCATTCGTGAATAAGGTCCACCATAACCGGCGCCGCAGCTCGGCCTCCAGGGGGCTCAGTGCCTGAGCCAGGGGCATGTGCTGGCCCGAAAAGTCACCTGGAATCAGCGCCAGGTCATCACGATGGGTGGTCCCGCACTTGGTCGGCTCAAAAATACCAAAATGCATTTTAGTGGCGATAGTACGGGACGGCGCGTCAATAACGTGGTACTCCATTAGTTGTGCTAGCCGCGTCGCCTTGCACCAATACATGGATGCTTCCTGCCACCGCGGCGTACCGAAAATATACAACGACAGCAGCGCCAGCCCCTGCACAACCTCGGCGCTCGGCCGGTTCAATGCAGAAGACAAGGTCATATGCGCTTTGCTCGCAAAGTACTCCTCCTCGATCAGCACTTCGGACTCTGAAAGCACGTGTGTATGCAGCAATGTGCGCGCTGCCAGTGCGCGCAGCGCAAACCATACAAAGTGGTTGATAGAGCCATCGGAGATCTGCCGCAGAAACGTCGGCTTGTGGATTATTGGGCATTGCGGGTGGATGTAGCTAAAATAGTTGTGCACAGCTTTGTCTGCAAGCTCGACGCAACGCTCGATGCGCAATAGGGTCTCATGGATAAAAGACCCATTCAGTGTACCATCGCTGATACTGTTGCTGCCATTACTGCCGTTTATACCATTTCTGTTGCTGTTGCTGTCCGCGGAAATATCACCTTGGTTCGAATCTATTGATGCCACGGCCTCGGCAGCAGCCTCCCTGGCATGCTCCAGTGCTTCCTGGCTCGCATACGAAATGCTCTTGGTTACATACGACAGGTGATCCAATGAGCTTTGCACGCTGGCAGAGTCAGAGTCATGTTTGGTCATCGCAATGGCAACGTTGCCGAGCGTAAAAGACAGCGCGTCCTTCTCTGTAGCCAGCGGCAGCCGCCCGGAGTTGCCGCCGCTGGTGGCCGGGGGTGCTGCTGCCGACTGGCTCTGGCCTTGGCGTTGTGGCTGGTTTGAGCCCTGCTGAAACTGACTCTGGAATTGTGCCTGGCGCTGCCTGTGGTTCGCGCCCTGAGAAACATCATCCTGGCTATCGTTCTGCACGTTGCTGGGAATTTGTTGGTTCTGACTCTGGTACTGTTGCAACAGCGGCGGCACCGGTGGCGGCACAGTCAGCGGCATAAAATGCTGCACAAACTCTGTGAAGAACAGCCCATCGGCAGGCGCGCCAGCGGACAGCAAGTTTGGCGGTCTGGGCGACAAACCCTGGCGCACGCCCTGGTAGTCTGTTTCGACACCGGGTGTCGTCGTCATGTCAGGTTGGCTAAGACCCAAGACCCCACTGGTGCCATAGTTGTTTGGCACAGAGAGCAGTGGTGCTGCAGCCATTGTTGGTGTCATCGAGAAGGACATGGCGTGCATGCGCGCATCGTCCATGCTGGTCCGCTGCGGAGGAGGCTGCTGCTGCTGCATCGGGTCATGCAAAAGTACATTCGAGACCGGCTCGCGCGTCGATACCGGGAATGTGCCAAAATAGTCGTTCCCGTGTGTTTCTGTCGCCGCCGACCGCACATATCCAGAGAACAGCGCCCGTTGTGTATTGTCAATGACCCCGAGATCCAAAAACGAGGAGGTTCCGGCAGACTGTAGGGGCTGCTGAGAGTAGCTGTACATGCCGACTGGGCGCATTCCCTGTAACGGCAAGGCCGCTGTCGGCGAGGATAACGAGTGGCTGTGGTCGGCCGTCGGCGTAGCCTGTGAGATTCCAGAATTGAGCGGCGCCAAAGTCACATTCACAGCGGACCCGGCCTGTGGCGCAGAGCTCCCGGCAGAGAGGTTGACTGCTGGCAGCCCCGACTGCCACTGGCCAAAGTACGCGTGCATCGAGTGCTGCTGCTGCTGCTGACTCCCCGAGAAAACGACGCCAGGCGACAGGTACGGATCCTTTAACTGGCTTTGTGTGGCCGATGATGGCGTAAAGTAGGGCATTGTCGACTGCTGAATTGTCACCTTGGGTGGTCGGCCGCGCTTCTTTTGTGCCAGGTAAGTGCACCCCATCCCACGGCTGGTGCAGTTCCCACAGGCTGGCTGCACGCCGTCACAGCGCACCTTTTTGCGCCGGCAGCTCGCACACGCCTGGTTAACTCGCGCTGCCGCTGCGGCTGATACTGCTGATACTGCTGACGTCCGCGGTGACATTGACACCTCAGGCGAAGCCTCGACCTCACCATAGTCCATTGCAAACGACTCTAGCGCGGTGTTGCCCATTGTTGGAGTCAGTGGCAAGTCGATCTGTGCGTCAAAGTACATCTGGTGCTGCTGCTGCTGCTGCTGTTGCTGAGGGTTCTCGTTCTGCCGGTGCGAGCGAGGCGACCCACCAAAAGAACCTACCTCTGCTGAGGGCTCGGGTCTGCTCATTTTCTTGTATGACTGGGCGTGGTTATTTTTTGGACGCCTGTCGGTAACACAAAAAACTGTGCAATTGCTTTTTGTTGAAATAAGTCCTGAATGGGCAATTCCACTTTTGTGCTGATTCGAAGGTACTCTAATGTCAGAGCTGTGGGTGTCAGGTGCTACTGCCTCGGTATTCGTAGTCGCCTTTGTCGTTATTGTTGTCGTCGCTGTTGCTATTGTTGTCGGTATGCGTTGAGAAGTGTTGAGGCGACAGGCGTGTAGAGGCGGGGTACCCGCGATAGCGGTTTGGAGTTGGTATAAAGAAGAAAAATATGTGTTGTAAGAAGAAGAGTGACCGAAGGAGTAAGGAAATCTTTGAAAAAGCAGTGAAGGGGGATTAAAAGTGGATGAAGGCGGTTGGAAGAATAAAGAAGAAAAGCCGTGCTGATGGCAATTTGCTCTAGTGGCCACTGCAAAATCCAAATCTGAGCGCGGTGCCACTAGTGAGAGCGGTGGTGGTGGTGGTGGTGGTTGCAAGCATACCAACGGTGGCTGTAGCGGTGGTAGAGGTAGCGACGAGGGAGTAGACGCGTGCCAAAACCCACTAATGCGACAGTTATCATCAGCTCTATGGGAATTGCTCCCTGAAGAAAAAAATGATGTTTCTTCCAAGTGCTCGCTGCAGTTGCCAATCCTGTTTTCAAAAAGTACGCTGGGGAAAACAATGGCTGATTTTGCTGCTCCTGTTGGGCTGTTTCGATAAATGAGCCCGCCGTTGCCATTATTGGTGCCATCCATAAGTGTGGCCGTCAGAATCTGACTCTGCTGCTGCCGGTTTTCCTTAGTCCTAGAATCAAGATATGGCGTTTTCGCCTCTGATTTTGCGTCTATCACTAATAATGGTTTGCCGAAATTCATTGTATTTGGGGAGTGTATGATTTTGTTTGTCCCTTGACTGGTTGTGCTTATTCTTGTTCGCTTGCTTGCCATCTTTTTTAATTTTTTTTTGGAAAATCCTGATGTTCTATTCTTATTCTTTTGATTGACTGCGCTAAAGGCACGGTAGAATGGACAATGAGGGACTAGATGTATTGTGCGCTGCAGCCGATTATTATTGTTTGGACCTATTGTGACTAAATCTGGCCAAGGTCAATTAAAAAATATAATAATTGAGAGATTCGGAAAGTAAAATGATAGACAAAAAAGGCGACTAAGAAAAAGAGAAATTTTGTATGTAAAAAGAATATGAGTGTGAAATTAAGTGAAATATTGGCAGACTGACAGACAAGCAAGCGACGGAGCTACAATATGTATAAATGAACGCACTGCCACCAAAAACCCTATTATTTAAGTTGAATGTAAGGCTGTTATTAATGTGTGTAAGCTATATGCTATAAGTGGGGTTGACTTTGAACCAGACAAAACAGAGAGAAGTCACATCAAATAAAGGGTCAAGATATAACAATTACCAACAATATCTATCCAATCCGATAAAAATTATATTAAAAAAAGACGAATAGCAAAAAACTCTAAAATTTTCTATTACAAAGTGAAAACTACAGAATAAAGAAGGTTGAAAGTTTTTCGGCTTTAGATATACGGTCAACGCCGCCCAGCCTTTCTTTAGACTACATTCATTCCTCTTATCGAAAGGATTTGACTATGCAAGAGCATTTTCTCCGGCTAAAATATAAATATTTACCGGCTAAAGTCTCAAAAGAAACATGCCATTTTCTTATTTGACGTTCCAAACAGAATATTTCTTAAAATGTTTATATTTGAAGGGCTTAACAAGGCTTTTTTTACACACATGGAAATTTATACGTGTAGCTTTATTTGGCAAATACATGTGCGTACTTGTAAACACACGTCCTTATTTGTGTATGCAAATTATATACTTTGTTTGTTTGTGAGTTTTAATTTGTTATCCGGCGGAGTATACAGTTGCCGGATGAATAACCCGCGTTGTTTACATTCAAATTAAACATCTTCCGGATCATAAAGCCATTGTTCTCCCCCGAAATATACCCAACATGATAATATCTAACTTGATTTCTCATTTTATCTCCGGCATGCCAAAGTAGAAAAGAAAAAAGAAAACAAACTATATACTCCGGGCCAATTGCGGGTATCGTTGAAAAATTAATATCTATGAAAAAGCCAACTATTCCAACTATTCCATTCCAAAAAAGCATCATTGCATTTCTTGTTACAAAACCTGCTTCCATATGCAAGCCTCAACTGACAAAAAACAAAATAAATACAATTAAAAATGAATGAAACTGGGTCTTATCAAGCATCTACACAGCAAAAGGAAAAGCAAAAAAAAATTCCCCCACTGAATTTTGCTGCTGCTGCTACTAGTGGACTCATTTGCTAAGTCACATGTATTAATGCATGTGTATATGAGAAATCAATGCATAGTTGCTTAAAACTTGTAAATTTAATAAGGCAAATCATTAAAAAAAAGCATTTATGTTGAGCGTGATATTTATTTCTTTTACATTTTCGCCACTTTTTTCTTGCTGTTGTCGATCGCATTTCCAACAAGCCAAATTGTTCTTATCAGAATACTCCATCTATTCCAGTTTATTAATTCATAACCTGTTTTATTTTTCTGGATTGAGCACAATGTATTTTTTTTGAAAATAAAAACCGGGTGGAAAAATATTTTTCTATTGTGAAATAACTCGTTATTACTGTCGTTGTCCCCCTGTCAAAAAAAACCAACCAATTTTTTTCTTACAGGATTTCTTATTGAAGCATGGTCCCAATCTAAAAATAAACAAAAATGATTTATGGAAAAAATGTAAATAGAAAATAGAAAATACTGAAAACACGTGAAAGAAAATTTAAACTGAGAAACGGCGCAAGTTCGATATTTTTAAAGCAAGGTCCTCACAAGAGAGAACTTATTTACTTGTTGTTCTCGGGGCGGAGGCTGCGGACAGTCTCACCGGCGCGCCAGATCTCGGACTCGCGGATTTCCTTGAGCTCAACCTCGAGGGACTCACGGTAGTCAGCCTGGGAGTTCTTATCCAGAGCGCGCTTGCACTCGGAGCCGTTACGGACGGACTCGTACAGGTCCTTGAAAACGGGGAGGGAGGCGTCGTAGAACTTCTGGTGCCAGTCAAGGGCACCGCGCTGGGCGGTAACCGAGCAGTTAGCGTACATCCAGTCCATGCCCTTGGCGCCGATCAGGGGGATCAGCGACTGGGTGGCCTCCTCGACGGTCTCGTTGAAAGCCTCCGAGGGAGAGTGACCGGCAGCGCGCAGCACGTCGTACTGGGCACGGAACAGGCCGTTGATGGCACCCATGAGGACACCGCGCTCACCGAAGAGATCGGAGTTGACCTCCTTCTCGAAAGTAGTCTCGTACAGGTAGCCGGAGCCGATGGCAACACCAAGGGCAACGACGCGCTCGTGGGCATGGCCGGAGACGTCCTGGAAGACGGCGATCGAGGAGTTCAGGCCCTTGCCCTCGAGGAAGAGGGTGCGCAGGGTGGCGCCAGAGCCCTTGGGGGCGCACAGGACAACGTCAACGCCCTCGGGGGCGGTGACGTGAGTCTGGTCCTTGTATGTGATGGCAAAGCCGTGGCTGAAGTACAGAGTCTTGCCAGGGGTGATGAAGGGCTTGACAGTGGGCCACAGGTCGCGCTGGGCGGCATCAGAAAGCAGGTTGAAGACAATGTTACCCTTGTCGGCGGCCTCCTCAATAGTGAAGAGGTTCTTGCCGGGAACCCAACCCTCGGCGACGGCCTTCTCCCATGAGCGGCCACCCTTGCGAACACCGACAATGACATTCAGGCCGTTGTCACGGAGGTTGAGGCCCTGGCCGTGGCCCTGAGGACCGTAGCCGAGGACGGCGATGGTGTCGTTCTTGAAGTAGTCAAGGAGCTTGTCCTTGGGCCAGTCGGAGCGTTCGTAGACCTTCTCTTCGCTGCCGCCAAAGTTCAGGGTCTTGACACCACGGGTCTGCTGGAAGCCCTATTGATTAAAATGGATCAGATCAGATTGGGAAAATGATTAGTTGCATAATCACGGGAATTGTTTTTTTGCGGCTGCACGCGCGATCGCATTACCATTTTTGGGCAGATCAAAGTTGCATGTGCCCACACTGTTATAGATTTGCAAAAAGCGAGAAGAAAAGCCCCAGCACCCAAAAAAGGAAAGGGCGAAGGCGAAAGTGGAAATCCAGGCTCAGGACCAGCAGCCAGTAGCTGTTTGACAGCTGCAATATCCTTTTTGCGGGTGGAAAAATGGCGGCGAGAACAATGATAATAGAAAAAGTAAACATTTCTTGTTTCCGTCGCCAGAAAAACAAAAAATAAACTTACCGAGATCGAGACAGCGGGAGCAGCGGCGCGGGAAGCGAAACGAGGGGCAGCGCCCAGGATGCGGGAGGCAAGGGGAGTGCGGACGGCCGAAGAGGCAGAGCGAGCAAGAGCGCGGACAGCAGTGCGAGAAGCCATGTTTAGCAAGTCTTGTGTGTGTTGTGTGTGGAAAAAAGAAAAAAAGTAAACTTTATGTGTACAGAGAGAAAAGAAAAAGAGGGGTTTTGTTGAAGTTTTGTTATTCAAAATGTTGTGCAGAAGCAGAATTGAGAGGGAAAGGTTTAGAGGCAGGATGGTCTGGGCTTTATTTATACCAGTGGCGGTGGGGTTGTGGATAATTATTTAGCCACCATTTTCAGAGAGGCACGGAAAAATCGTTTCGCCGGACTAGCAATAAAAAAGAAGATTGATTGGACATTGCGCATTTTACGCACTACACTTTTTTATTAGAAATTGGTTTCTGCCTCGGCCAACTTTTTTTTTTTCCTTTGCCCCCTGCTCTGGGGGCAGAAGATCGCGGGCAGCGGAAGAAAAGTGTGACAGCAGCGATGAGTGTGATACGAAAAAGCAAGGCGAAAAAACAGTCCCTCACACATAATTGCTGTTGACTCACTTTTGTTGTCCTGTTCGCAATGCAGGTTGTGATTGGCTGGCAACCTTCCGAATACGCAAGCAAGCAAGAAAGCAAGCTTTTTTCCTGCGCCTAAATTTGCTGGCTCTCCAGCGGAGAGGTAGAAAAAAGCACAGAGCAGAGCAGAGCCGATTTTTTTGCTTTCTGGCTTGGATTTCAGGGCACAGGCCAGAACAGTAGCAGCAGCGAGCACTACTGCTTGCGTGCCCCGCGTAGCGTGTTCTTCCGAAAAGAGAGCAAAGAGCTTTCCGCCCGCGATATCTCAAGTGGAATTGGGCATTTTTATCTGCACCTGCGCTGCACGTAGTGCAGGGGGATTAGTGATTAGTGGGCACGGCCGTTTGTCTAGTCAGCTATCTTGATTTTATTTTTGCTTTTTTTTGTTGCTGTCGCACGCATTTCCCTCTTCCTGCTCTTCCTTGCACATGCAACCCTGCCTCGTCTTTTTCGCAATCATTTTTCTTGTTCGGCCCCACTAAAACAAACTACATAAATAAATTCTCTTCTGTATTATCTTCTTAACAACCGCTTTCAACATGCTTATTGCTCGTCGCATTCTCCTTGCCAAGGCGGCAGCAGCAGCATCGGCAATGACACCGTTGCGCCTGGCGTCGCAGGCCAGAGCCAGCATTGCAGGCACAGGCGCGGCCAGGCACTACGGCCGGCAGCCGAACACATCGACGGCGGACGCAGTGAGCAACATCATCTACAAGACGCCGACAGCGCAAAAGACATCCCGCCACTGCCACGTCCTCAACTGCTTTATGGAAGACGAGCCCGGAATCCTGACGCGGGCAACCGGAATCATGGCGGCACGCGGCTACAACATTGACAGCGTGGTGGTCAGCCGTACGGAGATCCCAGGGCTGAGCCGGATGACCATTGTGGTTAAGGGCGAGCAGGCGGTGGTTCAGCAGGCGCGCAAGCAGCTGGAGGACCTGCCACAGGTCTGGGCGGTGGTTGATCTCAGCGAGGCCAAGGCTGTTGAGCGCGAGATCCTGCTGATCAAGCTGTCCACCTTGGGCGCCGATCATGCGGTGAACAGCGAGAACACCCGCACGCCGCGCCAGCCGCTGTCGCCCCAGGTTGTGCACCGCCGCGAGCGCGAGCTCATCGTCGACCAGAATGCCGAGACCGACCCGGCCGCTAACGCAGCGTGGGCGCCCCACGTCAAGGTCGTTGAGAGCAGCCGCCGTCTGGCGTATATCCGCAATCTGGCGAATATGTTTGGCGCCAAGGTCGTTGATGTTGGCGCTGATTGCTGCATCGTTGAGCTGTGCGCAAAGTCGGAGCGCGTCGATGCCTTTATGAAGCTTGCAGAGCCGTTTGGTATCCTTGAGGCTGCGCGGTCGGGCCGCATGGCTATGTCGCGCACGGCCAAGCTGTCGCTGTACGAAGAGCAGGCCGCCGATGAGGCCGAGGCTGAAAGTGATGCCGCGCCCGATCTCTCTCACCTGCCGCCAGGCTAATCTCCCCCCTTTCTCGCCCAGCTTGCCTGGTGCTTACCCACCACCCTCACGTGAATCATTTCGATGTTACAGCTTTTGGTCCTCAATAAAAAATGAAAAAGCGATATTTTTGCACAGACCAGCATTATTGATTGCATCGCAAGCCCTTTTCAAACAGGCGGGAAAACCATTTACCGGCTGCGTTGGGTGAGTCATCGACAAAAAAATATGAATTTTTATTGTTGGCCTAGAATTGTTTTTGCGGACATGAGGGCAGGGACGCGTAAAAGAAGGGAAAACGGGTGCGCGAGACTGGGCGCTTGGAGAGAATCGAGGTTAGGTGTGTGCCCAAGGCATGAGCAGCTTGACAGCTGGCATTATTTTTTTGATGCCAGAATTTGGCTGGCAACAATGAATGCATTTATTTCGCCAGTCAGTCTAATTATGCCTCTCCTCTTCTGTTTTGCCAGAAGCCAAGGTGAAGATTTTTGATCCGACATTTCGTTTCCGCGGCCTTTTCCTCTTCTTCTCTTTCTGTTTTCTGCTTTCGATCCTGTCTATTTTTATTTGTAAATTTTATTTCAAGCATTCTTCTCCAACGCCCCCCGCTACTACTAGTTACAAAAAGAAAAACACACCTTGCTATTTTTTTCTCCTTGACAATGTTTGAGCGCATTCTAGTCCAAAACAGAGCCTTAGTTAGGGCCTCCTCCTCGCTAGTTTCCCGGGCCATGAGCTCGACCGCCGGCAGCACCGCAGCAAAGGACGGCGGCGCCAACTGTGGCAAGGTCAACGAGAGCTCGACCACGGCAATGGAGTACAAGCAACAGCACCCCCGCCAGCTGCGTCGCCTGCCCCGGGTGGACGCCGGGCCATCCGCAGCCGAACAGGCCGTAAGCAACATCCTGTACAACACACCCATTGCGCCCAAGCTGCAGACCGAGAGGCATATTCTGGACTGCCTGGCACAAGACGAGCCCGGAGTGCTCTCTCGGGTCACGGGAGTTATGGCGGCGCGTGGATTCAACATTGACACTTTGGTGGCCAGCAAAACCGAGGTTCCGGGGCTCAGCCGCATGACCCTGGTGCTCAAGGGCCCAGCGATCGTCATGGAGCAGGCAAAGAAGCAGCTCGAGGACCTGGTCCCCATTTGGGCTGTCCTGGACTACAGCCATACTCGGATTATCGAGCGCGAGTCACTATTGGTCAAGGTCAGCATTGTTACGCCCGAGGATATTGAGATGGGTGGTACCCTGAGCGACCGCGCCTTCTTGGACTCGCAGGATAGGCTGTCTGCTCTGCGGCAGTACGCTGATTTGTTCAAGGGCGAGATTCTGGATGTCGCGCAGAACACCGCGGTGGTTTCGCTAAACGCCAAGGGCGACCGCATCGACGCCTTCCTGAAGCTAGTCAGGCCGTTTGGTATCCTGGAGGCTGTGAGATCCGGCATCATGGCTATGCCGCGCTCGGGCGACGTCACTATGTTTGAGAGCGAGCAGAGCGCCCCTCAGGTTTCTATCAACCACGATAACGCCCCTGATCTCTCCAACCTTCCTCCCAGCTAAGCTCGGAAAGTAAAGTTCATTTAGCTCTTTTTTTTAAAAAAAAATGAAGTGAATGGAGTGGCTAAGGCACACTGGCTTCGAGCAGGAAAAATGGCTGCCCTCCACGCAGCAATGACTACAATTATGTGTGTGCATTTATGCTACAGCGCTCTCTTTTTCTTTCTTTTTTGCTTGCTTTCCACCCGGCCAGTACAAATGAAGTACAAATAGGACTGCTATTTTTTATACAGTAGGCACAATTTCCCGCACTGTCCACCTTCGCAAAAAGAAAGAGAAATTGATACTGCTCAGTGAGTCACCTCAAAATGAGTCAAAAAAGACGGAGCACGGAACCAAGAAGCATATCCCACTAATGAAAAAAAGAAAAAGTTATCGCCCTCCCTCACACACCAACCAGTGCACATGCCTTCTGTTTATTTTTATTCACGCAAAAGGAGAAAGGAAGGATTACCACTGCAGTTTCTAAGACTGCGAAAATATCTCCCGATTTCCGCCCTGCCCTTTTGTCCACACAAGGAAAGGGGATTAAAAAATGCACCATCTCCAAGTGTGTGTGATTTGGCTGGCCTGCCTGCCTTCAGCAAATCCAATCCAATCCGACCGGCGGGCGGGAAATGCCAGTGATTCAATTTGACAGGCCGAGACTCCCCGCACTCGCTCGCTCGCAAAATCTGGCCTGAACGAGGCGGAATAACGTTATCCCATTTGGCCAGAGCAAAAAGAGAGAGAGAAAGAGAGAGGGAGAAGGGTAGGAGCGGGAGCAGCGGAGAGTGTGCCTGTGCAGAATAAAGCAAAACGACTTGAAGCGATTAACTTTTTTCATCCATTTTTTTGGGGAGGAAGCGCATATAAAATTGCCCATTTCTGGCTTATCCTTTTTTCTCTCCTTTTTTCACTTGGCCGTATATTTCTTGCTCTTCTGCTTGCCTTTTTCTATTATATTTTATCTTCTCTTTATTTTACCTTCAAACTGCAAACCTAAAATAGGAGCTTGTTTGTTGCTCAGACCTTCAGGAGAAAACATCATTTTATTTTGCACATCTAGCAGCGATTCATATCCCTCACCGCTAAAAACAAAAAAACCACGCACCAACTGACAAAGAATAAATATCATGGCCCTTGCTACAAGATCCAAGTCGTCGATGGCAGCGCTTGCCAACACCGCCATCGCCGTTGGTATTACTCGGCAGCAGACAGGAGCCATTGCCTCCTCGGCCCTCAAAGCCATTCCCCGCCAGCAGCGGCGGTTTAAGGCCACCATTCCGTAAGTACTATTTGCCATTCTGTTGTAAGAAAAAGCCCCTTTTTAGATCGCCATTTAAAATCCCAAAAAAAGCTGTCACTTTTTCCCCTTACAAATCATGACTCACAAATACCGCGCAAGGATGCAATTTCCTTTTTGGCCTGCACTTTTGCACATGTTTTGCAGCAGTGCTATGGTACCAAGCCAAACCCAGAACTTGCGCTGTGCATATAGTCCTCTTTTCCCTCTAAAATTTCCTCGCTGCATTTTTGGTCACTTGGATTCTATATTGCTGCGACATATAAAGTGTTCTATTATCTGTGCATATCAGTGCATTTTGGCTTGTGACTTTTGTTCAAGATAAAAGTCGCCGAGCACGTCTTTTTTTAGTTATTGTAGCATGCAGCATGCAACTTGCATCTGCTGCGCTTGCAATTGGTGCACATCCTTCTTTTCCTAAGGGATTCCGTAAACTCACAGCTCGAGTGCAAACAAATTTTTTTCTGTGCGCGCAACTGCATTGCATTAATCTGATATGAAAATTTTTACTTTTGGAATTTACCAACTGACAGCTTGCGCGTGCGTGATTGTGCTTCCTGCATATTGCTCACACGCTCAAACAAAAAATATTATCGCTCACGCTCACACACACACTCATTCACATTAACCATGCATGACATATGTGCTTGTTATTCCGCCATGTAGTGCCCAGGAGAGCGCCCAGGCATCGGCTGCCGCCCCTGGAACCAGCAACAGCACCGGAGCTGCCCAGAACTGGCCCGCCCAGCCCCTGGCACAGCGCGGAGAGAAGGAGTTTGACGACAGCTTTGTGGGCATGACTGGTGGTGAGATCTTCCACGAGATGATGCTCCGCCACGGCGTCGAGAAGATCTTTGGCTACCCTGGAGGCGCCATTCTGCCCGTCTTTGATGCTATCCACAACTCGACCTACTTTGACTTTATCCTGCCGCGGCACGAGCAGGGTGCCGGCCACATGGCCGAGGCCTACGCGCGTGTCACCGGCAAGCCCGGCGTTGTCATTGTCACATCTGGTCCCGGCGCCACCAACATCATCACGCCCCTGCAGGATGCCCTGTCCGACGGCGTGCCGCTGATTGTTTTTAGCGGACAGGTGCCCACCGCTGCCATCGGATCTGACGCCTTCCAGGAGGCCGATATTGTCGGAATTTCGCGCTCGTGCACAAAGTGGAACGTCATGGTGCGCGATATCGCTGAACTGCCGCGCCGCATCAACGAGGCCTTTGAGATTGCCATGTCGGGTCGCCGCGGACCCGTGCTCGTCGACCTCCCCAAGGACATCACCGGTGGTATCCTCAACCGTGCCATTGCCAACGCACGCCCCTTCCTTCCCTCGCGCCCGATGCCCGAGAGCATTGGCCGGTCTGGTGTCCACGACGCCGCGCGCATGCACAACGACACCCTCATGCGCGTAGCCGAGCTGTGCAACGGTGCCAAGAAGCCCGTCATCTATGCCGGCCACGGCATCCTGTCGTCGCCCAACGGCTGGCAGCTGCTTCGCGAGTTTGCTGATAAGGCTAACATCCCCGTCACCACGACGCTCCTGGGCCTCGGCGCCTTTGACGAGCTCGACCCGAAGAGTCTGCACATGCTGGGCATGCACGGCAGCGTGTACGCCAACCTGGCTATCCAGAGCTCCGACCTTGTCATTGCCCTGGGCGCGCGCTTCGATGACCGCGTCACCGGAAACCTGCGCCACTTTGCCCCAGAGGCCAAGAAGGCCGCTCTGGAGGGCCGCGGCGGCATCGTGCACTTTGACATTCTGCCCAAGAACATCAACAAGACCGTCAACGCCGACATTGCTGTCGAGGGCGACGTCGGCCAGAACCTGGCTTCGCTGCTGCCCCACATCGAGCACCGGTCTCGCGACCTGTGGTTTGACAAGATCCAGACGTGGAAGGCCAAGTATCCGTTCTCGTATGCCGCCGAGGTTGATCCGTCGCGCGACCTCAAGCCGCAGTCGGTCATCGTCGAGCTCGACCGCCAGCTCCAGCACGAGAAGCACAACACTATTTTGACCACTGGTGTCGGCCAGCATCAGATGTTTACCGCGCAGTACTACCGCTGGCGCTCACCGCACTCGTTCATTTCATCCGGCGGTCTCGGTACCATGGGCTTCGGCGTGCCCGCAGCCATCGGCGCCAAGGTTGGTGCTCCCGAGAAGACTGTCATCAACATTGACGGTGACGGCTCATTCTCCATGTCTGCCATGGAAATGGCCACCTCGGCACAGTACGGCATTGCTGCCAAGCAGCTTGTGTTGAATAACAACTTCCAGGGCATGGTCAAGCAGTGGCAGGACCTGTTCTACGACAAGCGGTACTCGCACACTCCCATGCGCAACCCGGACTTTGTCAAGCTCGCCGAGGCTATGGGCGTGCGCGGCATGAAGGTTACCAACCTCAACGACTTGCCCGCAGCCATCGAGGAGTTCTTGAAGGAGCCCGGACCAGTCATGCTCGAGGCCGTCGTTGATGCCTCAGAGCACGTCTACCCGATGGCTCCCGGCGGCAAGCCCCTGCACGAAATGGTGCTTGGAAATGGCCAGAAGGTCGAGTTCTAACATAAAAAAGTATAGGACTTTTTAGTTTTAATTCAATTTAATATGCAACATCTTCATTCAAAACACACGGCTCAAATTGACCTATTGCCATGTTGAACGCGGGGCACTACATGACCATGGAGACGATAGCCGCCGACATGCACGTGGCTATGCTTCCGGTGATGCACGCGCTCAGTGCCAAACGCGAAAAGTCCGCGTTGCGGCTCGGCGCCAGCGTGCCCAACGCGCCGATCTGCTGCGCGATGCTGCTAATGTTGCCGTACCCGCAAAGAGAAAACTCTGCGATATTCCGGCCACGCATCGAAAGCAGCGAGCTGATCGACGCGCCGCGCGAGGCGTCATTTAGCCTCTGATACGCGACAAATTCGTTAGTCACAAACTTGAGCCCCAAAAGCTGCGACACCTTCATGACATCCGCCGAAGGCACGCCCAGGAGCCAGGTATACGGATAAAGGATGTACCCGAGGATGAGCTCCAGTGTCAGATCCGAGATACCAATGAATTGACCAAACCAAGTGAGCATAAAGTCCGCCAGGCCAACCAGCGATATGATTGCAACCAAGTTGGCAAATATAATCAGACTCAGGTTTATCCCAATGGCCGCCCCATTGCCGAGCGCATGCAGGACGTTGACATCGTCGGTGCTTTTTGGGGGATCAACCATTTTCCCGCGTGTCAACGACTCTTCGGTCTCCGGGTACCTAATCTTGCTCAGCGCCAGGGAGCATGGTATGGACATGATACATGCAGTGATGATATTCTTGGCATCGACGCCCAGGGCAATGTAGCCCTGCAATGTCGAGCCGCTGATCGTGGCGAACCCAGCTGTCATGCATGCGTGGATCTCGGAGTTGGTCATATGTGGTATATAATCCTTGACCAAAAGAACATTCTCGGCTTGTCCGATAAACGGCGACGCCGCAGCCACAATGGACTCGGCCCCGGAGACACCCAGGGTTTTGTAGAAAAACCACCCCAGACGTTTCAACATCCACTGGATACCGCCCAAATAGCAAACCGCTTGCACCAGAGACGCAAAGAATATAATGGCAGGAAAAACTGAGATGGAAAATACCGAGGTCATGCTGCCGAAATCGTCACCAAGGAGAAAGCGCGTGCCGAGATTGGAAAACTCCAGCAGACTCGAGGCCATTCTGGCCAGCCACGAAAAAAACTCCTCACCCCATTGCGTTTTAATAACAATACATCCGAGGCAGAACTGCATTAGGTAGCCTGCAATTACCGTACGCCATTGTATGTTCCGCGGGTGTTTTGACATGGCAACCATTAGAAGTGAAATAATGAGAATGCCTAGGAACGATTGCATGCGGTCGATCCGCCTGCCTGTACTGTTATCGGGTGCTGACAAAGAAACCGACAGGACAATCGCCAGAATCGAAATGGCGCCGACCAGGTACCGCATCCACAGGGGCAGTTTTATCGCATTATTTGTAACTATCTGAGAAGCAGCGGTCATGTATTTAGTTACCGTGCGCGTGCTGACAAATGCGAATAGCATTTTGAGCGATATAAATACGTAGAGAAACGTAAATGGAAGAACATCGGATAGTTGCGTTTTCTTTTTTAATACGAGCGAGACGATAAAATAGGATGTTATCAGTAACCAGATGGCCAGGTAGCAGAGAAAATTGTGCCTGTGCCAGATATAGCGCAGATTGTTGGCAATATGCCACCAGGTCTTGCGCTCTGTAGTAGGCATATGGATGTGGGCTGTGTTGCTTTGAATTCTCGGGGATATTTCCTTGACTCCTCCCTCACCTATCTGCGGTGCTCTCACTTGTTTTACCTCGTCAGGTTTAGAGAGGTTGATCATGGTGCATAAAAATAGATGAAAATAAAATAGATGTGTCAAATGCAGCAGAATAAAATTAAAAAAAACTTGAGCAGATAAAGGAGGGAAATAATAAACATGGCGCGCCAAATAAATGGAAAATATTTAGAAATGAGGGAGATAAAGGGAGGAATAAAATAACCGTGTGTAACACTGACAACATTACGGCGTTTTATTTAGTTGTTAAAGATGTAGCCTGATAAGGTATTATTCCCCATTTTGTTAAACAATGGTTTACTAGCAGCAACTAGCCTAAACAAACGACAGCAGTTCAGTTTGCTGCATCCCACGGGTTCAAAAGAAATATAACATTTGAATCTCAGGTTGCACTAATCAAAGTAGTTTTTTGCTTAATAATTTCAAAAGTTGAATTAAATTTTGTGGTGGCGCAAATTTAATGACAACAAATAATACATTATAACACTATATTACATAAACCAAATATGCAATATTGATTGATTTGATTCACACTAATCGACAGTTTCGCACTAGCTGCAAAAAAAACAAAAGGTTTATTTGCCGTTTTTATAATATCACAAATCTAAATATATATTAATGGTTGATTAAAAAATAAAAACGAATATGCAAAGAAAATAATTAAATAAAGACTAGAATATCATGGATACAATGGCAGCAGACATGGCTGTGGCAAGAGCACCTGTAAGGCACGAGCTCAGGGCCAAACGAGAAATATCACCTTTGCGCGAGGGTGCAAGCGAACCGACCGCCGCAATAACTTGAGCGACCGATCCAGTGTTGGCAAAGCCCGCAAGCGAAAAATGGGCAATAAGCAGGGCACGCTCCGACAGACTATCCTGCAGGGGAACGCCGCCAGTAGCACCAGTGAGCTTTGCATAAGCCACAAACTCGTTGCTAATAAGCTTAAGACCCAAAAGCTGCGACACCTTCATCACATCTTTGCGCGGCACGCCCAGAAGCCAGGTCAGAGGGTAGAAGAGGTAGCCGAGAATCAGCTCGAGCGTGAGATTGGGGATGCTGATGAAATTGCCGAGCCAGGTGAGCATATAGTTGATGGCGTAGATCAGTGACACCATGCCGATGATGGTCGCCAGGATGATCAGCGACAAATGGATACCTGTGGCTGCTCCGTTGCCGAGCGCATGCAGAACGTTGGCTTCGCGCTCATTCTTGGAAATTTTGGCAACGGTGCCGCGAGTGAGGGGCACGTCGCGCTCGGGGTACCGAATCTTGCTCAGTGCCAGGGAGCATGGAATGGACATAATGCACGCGGTAATCAGGTTCTTGGCGTCGACACCCAGAGCCACGTACGACTGGAACACGGATCCACTGATCGTGGCGAATCCGGCTGTCATACATGCATGAAGCTCGGAGTTTGTCATGTGCTCAAGGTAATCCTTAACCAAAAGAGTGTTCTCGCTCTGTCCAATAAACGGCGACGCCGACGCCACGATAGATTCTGCGTTGGATGTTCCAAGGGCCTTGTAGAAGAACCAACCCATGCGCTGGAGAACCCATTGCACTCCGCCCAGATATACCATGACCTGGACAAACGAAGCAAAGAAGATGATGACCGGAAACATGGTGATTGCAATCGCACCGCTATCTATGGCGCTCTGGCCAAACAGAAGGCTGGCTCCATAGCGTGAAAACGACAGGAAACCCGAGGCAATGCCCGCCAGCCAAGTGAAAAAGTCGCTTCCCCACTTACTCTTCATGACAATGCACCCCAAGCAGAACTGCATCAGGTAACCGACAATGACTGTGCGCCAGTTGATGTGCTTGCGGTGCTTCGATGTCGCAATTAAAAAAAGCGTGAGCACAATAATACCCAGGAGCGACTGCATCCGGGCGAGTCGGCTCTCCCCCTCGGGAACCGCAAGACCCAACGATACTGACAGGGCCAGAGCCAGCAGCGCTGCACCACCCAGGGTATACTGTGCCCAACTGGGGATGCGCCCGAACAGTAGCCTGTTGCCTGTCTCCCACACATGCTCGATGCGGCTGGTCAGTGGCTTTGTCGGGAAGAAGTAAAATGCAATTCGCCCTGTTATGAATACATACAGGAATATGAATGGCAGTATGTCCGACAACTGTGTTTTGAGCTTGAGCGCCAAACCAACGATAAAGTATGCGGTAACGAGTATCCAAATAAAGCCAATTACCCATTTCTTGTACTTGACAAGCAGCTCCTTGGTACTAGCATAAATTCCAGGAGGACCGACGTCCTTGCCGTTGTCGGACGCAGAGCTTTCAACAATGTAAGTAGGCTTGTCGGTGTTTTCATTCTCAGAGCCCTTGTTGAGAGAACCCGGGGTTTCGGACATGCCAAAGTCAAAAGACATTGTTTGTCTGTTAATATATTAACAACAGAATATAACAGTGGGAGGGAAGTACAAATAAAACAAATATTTTTGATAGCGCGTGTAAAAAACAATAGGAAATTACAATGTCGGTAAACTAAAGAAGCCGTCAATGTGTTTCCGGCCCACAGACCAACTAATGCTTTTTATATTAGCACATTTCCCTTGTTTGGAAAAACACATGTGTGGCTTCTGCTGGTATTTTTTTAGAGAGCACGCAATACCTTCCCAAAATATTGAAAGAGGATTTGCATGCAAGTAAATGTAGTCGCATTAGTATCACATGTATGCCTTTTTAGATATTAATGTATTTAAAAATCCCTGTCGATCGGGTACCATGTAGAGATGAAAAGATGGTATCATCTGGGTTAAATATGTTGCTAACACGGAACAAGTGAGTCACTAATATCTAAAATAGGATTAAAAAAGTGACGGGAATCAAGTTAACAGGTTGACGATTCGCCGAAGACAACCGCTTAATCGATAGCTTTAGGATTGCTGCTCGAGGCTCGCTTTGACAGAGTGTGCGAGCTCGACGGCAACATCGCGAGTCAACAAATCCTTCGCAGCGTGAGGCAAGCTGGCCTCGTAGGCGAATATAATCGACGTGTCGGTGATCTTGATATACAAGCGGTTAAGCAGCTGTATGCAGTTGGCGACACGGGCAATGGCCTCGCGCTCTTCGTCCGAAATAAACTCGTTCTTGTCCGAGTAAATAAGCTCGGCGTTGGCCTCAACCTTGGATGCCGGCACATGCTTGCTGACCCAGATGTAGCCATTGACGCCCAAAACAACATCCACACCGCAGGGCAGGCTGTGGAAATGGCTGCGGCTGCGGGGCACGAGCTGCGGAAACACACTGACCATTTGGCCATTGCGCAGCTTGCCGTACTGAATCGACCGCGTGTGCAGCGACAGGGCGCCGTCGGCAAAGTACGACTGCACCTCGGCAAACACCAGATCGCCCTCAGCAAAAAATGTGCGCATCTGAAGCTCGTCAGACTCGGACTTTCTCCGCTGAATGCCTCCGGGCAGGTTGATCGACGACAAAAGAAGCACGCCATCCTGTCGCGAATTGACGTCCACGCGCCAGCGCTTCGACGCGACCTCGGTTATACGGCCGACCACGATGTCTCCAATCTCGCCGCTGTAGCGCTGCTTCAGAGGCCGCACTGAAACAAGCTTGTTGATCCGCTCGATCACACCGGCCACAGACGAGTAGATTGTGTCGCGCTCGGCAAACGTGCCGTGTCCGCGCATGTACGCCGAATCGCTGGTGATTGCGCTGCCCGGGGTGACAATTCTCGATGTCAGGTCCGCACTACCCGTATAATCCTCATCTACCTGCATGCTAGTCATTGTGGATATTGTATATATGTGTTATTTAAAAGCTATTTCAATAAGAAGACAAGTCGCTACTATGAAGCATCGACATTCAGCGGTGTTGTTGCAAAAAAATCTCACTGCTGCGAATATAAACATGGATCGTGCATTCATCACAAAAGAAAATTTATGGTCAGGTAATCACGTGTAATCTGATCAGCAGTAATAATTTGGGTGGATTAAAGTTTGAAAGCTCTGGGCAATTTAGTCCAGCCACTCCAGCAGCTCGGGTGTGAAGTATGTGAGAATGAGGTTGCAGCCGGCACGCTGGAGACTGGTCATGGACTCGAGCACGGCCGTCTTCAGATCAAAAACACCGGCGGTGGCCGCGTGGTGAATCATGGCATACTCGCCAGAGACCTGGTACGCAGCAATTGGATGATCAGGGGCCAGCTCCTTTGCGTCACGGATAATATCCAGGTAGAACATGGCAGGCTTCACCATGATTATGTCAGCACCCTCGCGCATATCGCGCTCAATCGCACGCCGACCAAGGCCGCGCGAGCCAGGTGGCAGCTGGTAAGCCGATCGGTCGCCAAACTGGGCGCCTGAGCACGCGGCGTCGCGGAATGGGCCATAGAGCGCCGACGCGTATTTTGCGCTGTACGCCATCAGCGAAACACGATGGCTGAGACCGGCGTCCAGGAGACCCTGCTTGATGGCGCGCATGCGGCCGTCCATCATGTCTGACGGCGCAACGTTGTCGGCGCCGGCTTTGGCGTAGTTGACTGCAACCTCGGCAATGCGCTTGACGCTGGCGGTGTTGTCAATGGTGTGGTCGGCGTTCAGGTACCCGCAGTGCCCGTGGGAGGTGTATTCGCACAGGCATACATCGCAGGAGACCAGCAGCCCAGAAAACTTGCTCTTAAGCAGCTTGATTGCCTGGATGACAGGCCCATTTGGGGAATCGGCAGCGGTGCCGAACTCGTCCTTGACGGAGTCGTTGGGCACACCGAACAGCATGACTGCGCGCAGCCCCTTGGCAAACAGCGGCACGATGAACGCCTCGAGCTGGTTGATGCCGATGCGGTACTGGTTCGGCATAGATGCAATGGGGATGAGCGCATCATCTTCGTCGGTAATAAAAATCGGGTACATGAATGTGCCCTTGGTCAGCGTGCGCTCGACCTGCCACGGCCGCTGGACCGGGTTGTGGTAGCCGGCGTGCAGAAGCGAGTCAATTTCGACCATTGTTGCGAGCGTGTGTGCGTGTAGAAAAAATAAAAAGGGCGAGCGTGTGTGAACAGAGAAAAAGAGGGATCCGCCAGCATTCGCAAGGTTAAGTCAAGTATGTTGAGCGTGATGACAAAATCGGCTTGCTGACCAGGTGGCCTTGCTCGCGGCTCACATCGAGCCGCATAAAAGGCAAGCTGCATTCCCAAATTGCAGGACAGGTCTTTGGCCACAGCAGAGGGGAAAAGCTCAACGTGGCCGCTTTTGCGTGGGCTGGAACCAAGCAATGCAAAAGCAGAAACACAAATCCCAATGGGACTGCCCGGGCAAGCCGCAATGGCGAAACCAGGGCGAGGGGGGTTTTTCGAAATGCATTATCAGCTCAGAAGCGCCAATGGGCTGGCGCTGAGCGGATAGGGAATGGGGGCCGTCGAAGTGAGGAATGCCGATCGACCAAAATAGCCGTTTGAATTTCTTGTTTGCGTGTTTGTCACGGTCCGCTCAGCAACAAAGACAACAGGCTCTGGCGAAATTGGTCTAAAAACAAATTATGTGGATTTTTGGCACATTTCGCTCGGTTTCTGGATGTGTGTGAGAATGGAAGGCGCGCTTCCATTGTGCTCGCTTTGGCTCGCCTGTCCCCCGAAAAACGCGCTGCCCTCACTGTGAGGCGGATGCGGTGCGCCGCATGCTCACGTCACGCCCGAATTCTGTTTGCTTGGCCCAACCTGGTTTGGAAATGCAACCAAGTTTGCCAAACCCAAAAATGCACCTTCTCTGCTTCGACTTGTTTTTTCTGTCTTTTTTGTGTTTTCAAAGCTCTTGTTAAAAATAAAATCGACAGGCTAGCGGATTGCTTGCCCCCCACTCTCTGCATTCTGCTTCTTTCACAGCTGACTGTTTATAGCTCCGCCTCTTTGCCTTTCTGTCCTATTTATATCCTATTTTTCTCAATTTGTAGTTGCAATTGTCATATACTTTTATTTGGAATTAACCCACAGTCTCTTACTCGTTCGCTCGCTCTACTTGGTCCTGCTGGGCGTTTCTTTTATTTTGGTCTCGAGTCCATTTACAGCTCTGCTTTTGTTTTCCCAGCCCTGCCCGGTCCTCTGTCTGCTTGCATTCATCCTGCCCCGTCGTTCGCCAGCTGTTGATTCTTTGGGGATAACTACCGTCCACTCATCACTTTTAGTTACTTGACAACGTTTGTGGATTGCGCGCAGCCCATATCCAATTTATCACATTCGTTATCCGTCACCCACATCAATCACTGCTTGTCCGAAATGAGTGATGTCTACTCGATGCTGGAAACCATGGAGAGGGATGGCCTTTCGGGCCCTCCGCCGATGGACGGCTCCTTGAGGCTAGACACCAATGCGCTTGACAAATTCATCGACGACTCGGAGAACCCAAGGTTTGTAGTTATTTATGTGATCGCCGCACAAACACAAACATAAACACAAACACCATCAAAAGCGAATGGCACACCCTGTGCCAAAGCCTATTTGCGTTTTATTTTGTTGTAGTGTGGTGCGATGCGCTGCGATGAAGGGGAGGTGCAAACATGGCAAACATGGCAAACATGACAAACACCCAGTCTCCTCTATTGCGATGTTATTGTTTTGTTGTTTTTATTTTTGCTTCAAGAGTCAGTTTTGGATATTTCGGCCGATTATCGTTCTAATATCCTCGTTTGTGTCTTGAACAATTGCGTGCTTAGGTGGAACTCGCTTTTTCTTCAGTACTTTGTCGAGAGCGAGGATGCCAATCATGACGATATGTTGTTTTTTGTGCGCCAAATCGAAGACCTTGCCGACGCAGCCAACGGCGGGCGCGCAGCTAACGAAGAGCAGGACCCAGTGTTTGTGCTTCGGAAACAGTCGCCGCCCAACATTCTGCCTCCCATTGCAGAGGTGATAATGTGGAAGGAGACCTTTTTACTCAACCTGATTGTGCAAATGCCCTGTAAGCTGACTGTCGCCGTGTGCCGCCGGAGATCAAAGCAGGGCAGTCAGCGCGGCGGCATGAGCGTCGTGCGCAAGCACGTCAGCAAGCGCGTCTATGCGCTGCCAAACAAGTCGCGCATGGACAGACCCAAAGACAATACCACCCCGCCAGAGTGCTCGTGGCCGTACATATACTACGTGATTGACGACTACGAGGACATGTTTGAAGACATGTTCATTAAAAAAGGCGAGTACTTGTGCGTCGAGCTTTCCGCGCGCATCCCAGTGCCCGAGGACCCGCTGGCGACAGCCCCAAAGCCAATGTCAAAGGGCGTGCCAAGCAGCAGCGAGAAGCCTGTTAGCATGGCAAGCCAGGACGGTAATGTTTTCAACTCGGTGCGCAGCCGCCTGACCTCGGCCGCCTCGGGCACCGGTACTTGCAAAATTGTTCTATTCCAGGGCGCGGCGTCCTTTAGCGCGCTCATCGACAACTACGTCCTCCGACTGTCGTCGAAGAACATGCTGCACCGCTTGCGGAAACCTACATACACCCCCGAATTTATAATGATGCGCGGGCCAGGCGGCAAGGGCCACGCACAGGTTGCCATCACCGGCCGCTCAAACGTCGACGAGGCCGAGTTTGCGTCGCGCAGCGCGAGCATCGTATCATCACCAGTCATGCAGCCGCACATGAGCGTCCCTGCAGCGCCAGCGTCCATGATCAATGGCATGTGGCCCAAGATGCCTGCTGTGGCATCGCCACACTTGCAGCCGATGTCGACAGTCAACTCGACCCCCGCGTCACCGTCGCTTTCGGCCTGGCTCAAGCGCATCTCTCTGCCCTCCATTGCTGAGAACCTCTCGCAGGCCACTAGCCCACCGCCGCCGCCAAAGTCCCTGCAGGCCAGCATGACGTTCATCAGCATCCCTTGGAACAGCATCATTGACGACCTGCTCAACTTCAAGCGCCAGCTCGATTGAGCAGAGAGCTGCCACCCAAAGGATGCCTTCATCCCCACTGTACATCGAACAACTCTCTCTCTCTATTACCTTTGTTATCAAACCCCAAACACCCACCATCCTATTTAGTTCATACATACAAACATAAATATTTTCACCTCATTTGCCCCCAGCCCGTTTTTTCTGCTCCTTTCAGGTTTAGACTAATATGCTTTTATTATATTTGGGTTTAATACAAATACATGTGTTTTATATAATACTGCTGCCTCCGCAATAAATAGCCGTTATATTGCACTTTGATACATGCGAAAATATATTCACACACAATGTTTTTTTCGCACGCATGCTTCTAAATACTGTGGGTGTATCTCTTTTTTTGGCTGCACACTTCAATGGACATCAATAGATTCTGCCAGTTGTAATCAATTGCAAATAATGCAGTTTTTTTACTGCTGCCCAGGACCCCCATGCGTAAGATACAACGGACACGTCGCGCCAACACGTGTTTTGCAACACACAGCTTGTGCAAGGCACATTCTTTTTATTTTGATGCTTTTTTAGAGCTATTTGAGCTTTGTAGGAAATGCAAGCAGGCAGTGTCTTTGCTTGAATGATTATATTAATAGTTTGGTCGCCTTTCCACTTATCCCTCATTTACTATATCACGCCTTATTGTGCAAAAAGCAACGTAAAAAGGGCGTAAATGGTACATCAAAGGCGGGTGGCGCCTTTGATGCGCCTATTTTTATTTGGTCATAAACCCCTTCATTTTGCCTTTATTCCTGACGACGTTCAAAAGGCATGAGCAAAAGAAAAAATACATGCTTTGTTTTATCGTTAGTTTTCCCACTTTTTTTAGCGCAGCCAGATAAACCTTGCAAACATGTGCTTATAAGAACGGCACACGCAAACACCTTTTTCCTCGCAAAACTTTTGTTCCGCTTTTTAAAAATTTCATATTATTTCACTTTTTCATTTACCCTGCATTGCATACATATTACAACTTGATATATCCTTTTATACACAAACACAAACACAAACACACATACCATTTCATTATTTATGCCCGCATTCGAGAAAAAGTCTGTACCCAGCCACATCACTAACATACGCACAGAACCCAAAAAAATAATACCACCCGCAATGAGCCTATCGCAAATTAACGCTTGGTCAAATGTCCTCGTTCGCAGCCAGGCCACGGGCCAGCCGCAGTTATTTAGCATCATGTCCGTTGGCAGCTACTGTGTACGGTGCAGAAAGTGCCAGCACCAAAGCCTGGTGACTCCAAACATCCATAACGCCCTTCTCTGTACTCACTGTGAGGAAGAGCTGCGCATACCGCTGGATGCGCACTTTGCATGCCCGGCAGTGCTAAAAAGCCAATTTGCTGTCATGCAACCGTTCAACATCGAGCAATTCCTCGCTAGCCAGGCTCACGGATTATGTACAGGAAAGAGCAATAACAGCAGTGTGCGCGCCTTCGTCGGGGTTATGGACATGTCAATCACAAAGGTTGCACACTGTATTGTTTGTCGTGAGACTTATCCCGCCAACTACGTTCCCAGCGAAAAACATATCTGCGCGTGCGGTGCCCGGAACAGCGTAATCGGGTTAGAAAATCCAACTCACAGTGAATCTGGGGCTATGAGTCGCAAATTGTCATTGTGTTTGGCAAATCTTTTCCCGTTTATTCGAAACTCGCAAGCAGAGAGCTCATACGGCCTGGTGCCCGTCAACAAAAAGCATGTTCTGGCTGTCGTGTCAGGGGGAACTTTGAGGTGCTATGCGACCAACGTGAGTACACAGCAACACATATTGGTATGCCAGGTTGAGCTCAACGATGCGTATTTTGCGTCAATAGATCCGAATGCAAATATCATTGGAACAGCTGCTGGCCTGCGCATTGTCATGGATCTGGGATCGCGGGATGTCGCAAACTTGTGGCACGGCATTTTGGTCGGCCAGGCGCAGGCTGTTGACAGCTCACAGCAAGGAAATATTGAGAGCGACATTTCCTCTGCTGCTGCTGCCACCACTGATATCAACACCAACGCCGATATAGATGCTTCTGCCACAGCACTGCGCCTCGTACAAATGTAAAATATACGGTTCTCTAAAAAAATGGACGCCGAGTAAAAACAGACATACCAAATTAGTATATATTCGATATTTTATCACGAATCAATATTGTTTATAAATAAATTTTGTTTATAACTATCTTTTTTGGCAAAACATATTTCACTTGTGTTGTCAATTAAAACGTGTATGTTGTTTAAAACATCTATGCGTACCTTCAATATAAAATTCTTTTTCTGCGAAAGACCGGACTAGCAAATTAAAATTTTATTTTGAACGTAATGATCTGGCGTCGCTCACAATTGGCTGGAAGCGGGGATGGATGAATTTTCCTTTTCTTAAGTCCAAATCGCATAGAGCCGCGATATACCCAGATTGGATTCAACAAAACGCGAACGTTCAGGCTCAACGCTTGATTTTTTCTCTTCTCCCCATCGCCTCTATTTTTTATTTCTTGCTAACGGACCTTTTTTTTTACACTCTTTTTTTGTTATTTTCTTTATTTATTTATCGCTAGGCTGCCGATTCATTTGTGCGCAGTTGCTGAAAACACACGTGCACTTTCAACCTTTTAAAAAAAGTCACAACCAAACCAAATACGCAAAACCACCCGAGCAAGTAGTCAGCCGGCGAAGGAGAACAAACAGTACACAACGTAATCTTCAATTTCCCAATTCCGGGTCATTTTGGCAGCTCTTCTCACAATCGCGCTCAGATATACTCACAGACGCAAAAACCACTTGCGTTTTCTCCCTGCTAGTCGTATCGGATAGTCACTCTAATGTACGTTTATCATGCGAATTCTGCGATGCATTTAAAATCAAAGAGTTACCAATTCCTAATTGCATTTCACGCGTATATAAACATAACTTATGTTTCTGCTGCTGCCGCCGCTGCTAGTGCGCGTGAAATTGCAAATTGTTAGCTGAATCGTGACCAAACCACACTGCCAATTCTACACAAATTATAGCTTGTCACTGGAGTGACCTTGTTCTTTTTAACTACCATCGGATTATAAGCTGCAGCCTTTTTGAGCACTGTTTATTTTTCGCACTCAGTGTCATTTATTCTTGCTTGCTTGCAGCACTTGGTGGGTTTTTTTCACCTACCGGCGTGTTCAATGTTTTGTACTTGATTACTTCCAGCTACTGTTGGCAGAGCCAACAATTTGGAAGGCGATGTGGATGGCGACAGTGCCAATACTTGTGCTAGTGTGCGAACAAGCATGGTCTTGGTACCTGTGGGCCCTCTGCTCGAAAGTTCCGAGGCATGAAAATTTTTTATATTTTTATATTTTTGTTTTCAGTTTTCGTTATTTCACCCGTATTTTTTCGTTACCTGTTCCTTGTCAGCGTAAACCCTTTGTATATCGAAATTACTGTTATAACGTGCCGCCGCAAAAAGACCTTTTCAATACCACTTTGTCGCCCTATCACCCTTCTGGCCACACTTCTTATAAATCTGACGTTGTTTACTTCTTTCGGAGGAAATACCTAATGTCGTGTGCCACCAGGTTTGCTTCAATGTGCACTAATTATTTTATTTGCTCAATATATTTTCTTATGCACCCAGTGTAGTCCTGTGCTCGCCTTACACCACCCCCATTTTTGCCAGGTACTAGTAGTTAATGAATAGCGGTATCCAATGCAAGCAAACGGTATAAGCAACGAAAGCACAATCGGTGGAGGCCTTGCTGCCCCAGAGACGAGCAGGCAGGTCTCGCAACATGGCGGTGCAGATCGGCAAATCAGCGGTGAACAGGAGCAGCAGCAGCCGCAGAGGAGGCGGCTAGTCCAGGGCCGACCATCACATGCACGCGTCGTTAGCGACACCAACAGCGAGCTGTCATCGGCAGACGATATCGAAAACGACGATGACAAAGACGCGTTTGACGGTGATTTTGGGGCTTACGGCAACACAGGGGCAAATGCCAACCGGCCGCAGGTGGCAATGAAGGCCCCGCGCACAAACCCGGCGGCAGTGGCTGTTCCTCGGCAGAGTCTGGAGGCACCCGCCAAGCGGCCAAACTATGCGGAAGACTCTTCTACCTCGGAAATGTCAGTAGTGTCTGATGACGCCGATTTCTCCATGTCCGAGCTGGAGGAAGTCGACAATGAAGAGCCCGACAACTCGTCCGATTCTGCAGCGCAAGAGGAGGACTCGAGCGATGGCAACTGGGGCTCGAAGCCACGCAAGCGCAAATCGAAAAAGGTCATGCCCGCAAAAACCACTAAGCGCGCCAAGGGCGGGCTTGTCAAGGGATCCAGAGCTCGCGGGGCGAACGCCAGGGCGGCTCAAAGCGCGACCCCAAAATCCACGATTAAGCAGCGCGAGGCTGAGTACTCAGACAGCGGCGACTCAGACTTTTACGTTAGCAGCAAGAAGGCCAAGCGGGGCGGTCGTAACCAGCCGAAGAAGCCCAAGGCGGTGCCAGCATATATGGGCGGCAGCGACTCGGACTACGGGTCTTCGGATTATCGCTCCGTGCGCCAGTCGTCGCGCGGCAACGGCGTTAAAAACTACGCCGAGGACGAGGCCGAGTACCCAGGAGTTGACTTTGAGGACGAGGTGGGCCCGTCAGAGCACACGTCAAAGACAAAGTCCAAGGGCAAGGACACGCTGGCGCTGCTGGACGAGGACGGCGGCGAGGACATCATCGAGCAGGTACGGGACTTTAGGATCAGCGAAACGGCCGAGAGCAAGCGACTCGACGTCATAGGCAACCTCGAATTCTTCATCAAGTGGAAGGGGTGGTCATATCGGCACGCCACCTGGGACTCGGCAGCATTCCTCAAGGATTACAAGGGCTACAAGAAGGTTGAAAACTACTTTAAAAACACGGTCTTGTTGGACAGCGCCATTCGCAACGACCCCGATGCCACGCGCGAGGACATTGAGCAGTTGGACATCAACCGCGAGATGGAGCGGGACACGCTGCGCGACTACACCAAGATTGAGCGAATTGTGGCGACACGACCCCTCACTTCGGCAAGACGCGCACGCGACGGCGAGGGCGCTGCAGCCGCACCGGCATCCAAGAACGCGCTGCAGGCTGACGACAGCGTCGAATACCTGGTGAAATGGAAGCGGCTCCCGTACAGCGCGTGCTCGTGGATCACTGCCGACGAGATTGGCGACGAGTCGCAGGCCGAGCTTGACTCGTTCCTGGATCGTGAGCAGTCATTGTGCCTGCCCTTCCGCAACGCGCCGATAAGCAGAGCCAAGCGGCCAAAATTCCAGCGGCTGACGAAGCAGCCCGATTACCTGACAGGCGGTCAGCTGCGTGACTACCAACTTACGAGCCTGAACTGGATGGCGCATCTGTGGTGCAACGACGAAAATGGGATTCTTGCCGATGAGATGGGCCTTGGAAAGACAATCCAGACGATTTCGTTCCTGTCGTATTTGTTCCACACGCAGGATATATACGGCCCGTTCTTAGTCGTGGTTCCGCTGTCCACTATCAGCGCCTGGCAGCGCGAGTTTGTCCGCTGGGCGCCTGACATGAACGTGCTGTGCTACATCGACGACAACCGCAGCCGAGCGATCATGCGCGAGTACGAGTTTTACAAGGGCAGCGGGAATCCCTCGCGGGTCAAGCTCAACGTGCTGCTGACCACGTACGAGCTGGTGCTCAAGGACCGCGATGTGCTGGGCGGCATCAAATGGAGCTTTTTGGCTGTTGATGAGGCCCATCGTTTGAAGAACAGCGAGTCGCAGTTGCACGACGCGTTGACATCGTTCCACACTACGAACCGTCTGCTTGTGACTGGCACACCATTGCAAAACACGGTCAAGGAGCTGGTGACTCTGTGTCGTTTCCTTAACCCCGAGCGCTTCGACGACCTCGACGGCGACTTTGACATCCGCGTTAACGCCGGCGACGCCGAGCAGGAGGGCAAGATTGCCGACCTGCACCGCCGCCTCAAGCCGTACATGCTGCGCCGCCTCAAAAAGGACGTCGAAAAGTCGCTGCCTAACCGCACTGAGCGTATCCTGCGCGTCGAGCTTTCGGGAATGCAGGTGCACTTTTACAAGAACATCCTGACGCGCAACTACGCCGTGCTCAACCGCAACGCGACAGGGTCTGGGCAGATGTCACTGCTTAACATCATGGTCGAGCTCAAGAAGGCGAGTAACCATCCATATCTGTTCCCAAACGCCGAGACACCGGCAGACGCCAAGGATGAAGTTTTACGCGGCCTGGTTAACCACAGCGGAAAGATGATGCTACTTGACAAGCTGCTTGCCAAGCTCAAGAACGGCGGCCACCGCGTGCTCATCTTTTCGCAAATGGTACGGATGCTGGATATCTTGGCCGACTATATGGCCTTGCGCGGCTACGCATACCAGCGGCTGGATGGGTCGGTGCCCTCCGAAGTGCGCAAACGCTCCATCGAGCACTACAACGCGCCAGGCTCGCCCGACTTTGTATTCTTGCTGAGTACGCGTGCCGGTGGCCTGGGAATCAACCTGGAGACAGCCGACACGGTTATCTTATACGACTCGGACTTTAACCCGCAGGCAGACATGCAGGCGATGGCGCGCGCGCACCGTATCGGCCAGAAAAAGCAGGTGGCTGTGTATCGCTTTGTGTCCAAGAACACAATTGAGGAGGACATCCTCGAGCGCGCCAAGCGCAAGATGGTGCTCGAGTACTGCATCATCAAGGGCATGGACACGTCTGGCCTGCACATATCCGACAACGAGCGCAAGCAGATTGAGCGCACCAAGCAGGGCAAAGGCGGCGGTGTTTCTGGCGGCAGCTCTGGGGGGTCGACGTTTTCGCGTGACGAGCTAGCGGCCATTCTCAAGTTTGGCGCTAGCAGCATGTTTGCCGACGACAGCGTGACGATGCAGCAGCACAAGCTCGACGACATGGACCTTGACAAGATGCTCGAGGACGCCGAGCAGGCTGAGACATCGGAGGCCGGCGTGGCTGACGACTTCCTCAGCCAGTTCAAAGTTGCCGATTATGGCGGCTCTGGCATGTCGTGGGACGACATTATCCCCGAGGATGAGCGCCAGCAAATAGAGCTCGAGGAACAGCAAAAGCAGGAGGAGCTTCTCTATCGCCGTCGGCGTGCTCGCGTGTCATATGCCGAAGATAACTCACTTACAGGCAACAAGGCTGGCAGTGGGAGCACTGGGAGTGGGCGTGGCGGTGGTGGCGGCGACGAAGACGACGGTGACCACTCATCTGACGGGTCGACTGCGAGTAGCCTGCAGGCGCGGCGCAAGGGCACGGGTGGCATGTCGCGCAGACGCGCCGAGGGCCGCTCCAACGACCCCAAGGCGCTGGCTGAAAAGGAGGTACGTGCGCTGATTCGTGGCGTGCAAAAGTTTGGCAGCCCCGAGCACCGCTTCTCGCAGGTCGTGGCCGAGGCCGAGCTCGAGGGCAAGAACCCTGAGGCAGTCAAGGCCATGGGACTGGAGCTGATCAAGTGTTGCGAGGACGCGCTGCGCAGCCATTTGCAACCTAATGCTGGCAACAGCGCTGTTGGCGAGGCTGAATCGACGGTCGGGGCTGGCGCCGGGGCCGACGACGAGGACTTGGTCAGTGGCTTCAAGCGCAATGCCAAGGCCATTCTGGTGACGTTCCATGGCGTGCAAAGCGTCAATGCCGGCGTGGTTATGCAGAGGGTCACTGATTTGGCCGTGCTCAGCCGCCGCATGGATGAGCCGGCTCTGCGCGAGGACCCGACCAAGTTCCGTATTGGTGTCCCCTTAAAGCCTGTGCACCACTGGTCGTGTTTGTGGGGCCAGCGCGAGGATGCCATGCTGCTTGTGGGCATCTACCGCCATGGCTTCGGAAACTGGGACAAGATCCAGACCGATATGGATCTGGGGCTGCAGAAGAAGCTGTTCTTGACACCCGCTGACGAGAAAGCGGCCAGCGTGCAGGCGATTGGCGGAGGCACAGTTGGCACTGGCACTGGTTCTGCTGCTGGCGGCGGCGCTGGCGGTGCCGGTGGCTCGGGCGGAAAGCGCATTGTTGCTCCCAAGGCCACGCATCTGGTGCGTCGTGGTGAGTACCTGCTCAAGGTATTGCGCGATGGCGAGGAGAACAAAAACAGGCCGATGTCCACCACGCTGACTCCGTCTGGAACCCCGCTTCGCTCTGCAGGCAGCCGCAAGCGGCGTGTGCGCAGTGGAGAGGAGTCCGATACCAACAGTGCCAGTCTCGGCTACGACAATGAGCGCGGGTTCGGGGCTGCTGGGCGTGTGCCGGGTGACGTTGAGGATGGTGAGCTGTCGGAGCCTGAGTCGATGGACGAGCGCACATGCAAGGACATGATGCGGCCAGTCAAGCGATACCTGCAGCGGCTGCGTGACGAGGCCGAGCACACAAAGTCGGCCAACAGCAAGGTCAAGCTGATCAGCGAGTGCCTGCTGCCCATCGGCCGCCACATCCGGTCGGTCATAGAGCGCAAGCAACCTCGTGGACCTGGATCTAGCGATGGCAGCGAAGATACGGACAAGCTTTACCGCCACCTGTGGGTGTTTGTCACCTATTTCTGGCGCAGCCCCGTGGAGTACACCAAGCTGGTGCGGCTGTTTGAGCGGCTGGAGGAGAACAATCAGTCATCGCCACAGGTCAACAATGCCCCTACTAGCGTCGCCCCCGTGGGCTCATCCCCTAGGATGCACTTCGATTCTGCGCCTCCGGGCGGCAGCCCCGTCGCACGCCATCACTCGCGTGGGCGGAGCCATAGCGCCGGGCGGAGCGCGAGCCGCAGTCGTAGCCGCAGCAGGAGCCGTGATGGGGACAGGCACCGCCAGCGGTTGTCCAGCAAGGTCGAGGCTCCCGACGGTCTGCCAGCGGCAACGTCGGCGCTAACAGTATCGTCAGCAATTGGGAACGGCGGCGCGATGTACCAGGATGTGTCATCCGGCTCAAGCCGGCATCGTAGCAATGGCTCGACGGCCACTGGCGACCACCACCACCACCATCATAGCAGCGGCAGCGCACACCGGACGCAGAAATCGTCTTCGGGAACCAGCAATGGCAACATCATTGGTACCAACAATGGGCGCAGCCAGTCAAAGTCCAATAATAGTGGTGGCGTGCGTCCGTCTCGTCGCGAGAGCAGGCGGCAATAGTGACATATCGGACAGCTTTTTTAATTTGCTTACCTTTTTCCACGTTAATCATTTTCGTTATATAAACATCTTTCTTTCATATTTGCTGTTGTATTTTTTTTTGCTTTCACAAAACTGTATTTTTAAAATTGAGTTTTATTGATTTATTTTTCAAATGGATGCTGTATAAAAAAAGTATTTCCATGCAAATGACAACGCACGATCCACTGGACGGCTCGTCTATTTAAAGGTGAAGGTCAATGTCAAGACCGAGACCAAGGCCAGTACCAACCCTGGTGACGATCTGAACGGGAACAACTTCGTTGGAGATAACAGCGTAGCCGGGAACCAGTTTGCGGTTGGGGACGGCAGCGACGATGGTGGCAACGATAGCAAAGACGGCGAGGTAAGAGAACTGCATTTTTATTTGAGTGATAGTGTATATTTTACGAAGATGAAGATAGTGTTTAATTCAACTGTACAAGTTTTATCATTTTGGCCCTTCAAATTTATATTCGTCAGATCTAAACAAAAACTGCAATGTTGTAAAAAGATGATATTCAATATTTAATATGCATGTGCTAAATTTAACCACACTGAATCGTAAAGCCCAAATCTCATTTGAAACTACTTCTCCAAATAAAGATCAAATATTCGATGATTTATGGATAACCGTAGCACGCATCAAATCAGCCACAAATAACACACCCCTTTTCACGCAGTAACTAGATTTTGTTTCTTCAAATTTTAAAAGTAACAAATAACAAATCAAGATTAGAACAAATCTTCGTCCAAAATAGCAGGTTTCTTGGCATTACCGCCCAGCTTCATCGCGCCCAGACCCTTGCGCCGGGGAAGCCCGGTTGTGGTGGAAGCTGCAGGAGAGACATTGGGCTTATTTGGCGCTGCCATCCTTAGATTGGGCGGTTTCGTGGTGATCTTTGCAATAGGCGCGGCAGTAGAGCCGAATGACGCGGAGGTTAATGTGTTGGCCATAGTCATGCCTCCAGAAATTTTGCTGATGTTGCTCATGGTTGTAGCAGGCGGTGGCAGCGGAGGTGATGGTGCTGCTGCTACCGTAGTTGTCTGGCCATTGTCCCAGGCGTCATCGTCGTTGTTGCCCCATGCATCGTCAGCATCGTCCATGCCGTCGCCCCATCCGTCGTCGTCGAACCCCCACCCAGTCGCATCGTTGCCACTGCTGCTATTGGGTGCTTCCTGAGCCGCCGGGACTCCAGATAACTTACGAGCCGCAGCCGCCGGCACTCCAGCAGCAGGGCTACTCGCTGTTGTAGGATTAACCACAGGCGGGTTTCCTATCCTCAAAGGATTTTTGATATCCGGCGGCGCAGACATGGCCTGTTGATGCGCTGCCGTCGTAGCCACTGACGGGGAAGTGGCAGATGAGGAGGCAAGGGAGATTGCACCACTGAGTGTGCTCGAAAGAGACGACACAGCCCATCCGCCCCACCCGGATGCCGCAGCCATGCTTGCTGCAGCCATATCTGCTGCAGCAACCGGCACTTTACTCCCAGCTGCACTCGAAAGATCCGTAGTTGGGGTGGTCTTGGGCGCAGCCGACGTCGTTGGCATTGTTTGCGAATGTGCCTCGACGCGGGCAATCATCGCCTGCATGGCTCTGAGCGCAGCCACACGCACGGGCTTCTCGCCGTCAACGAGTAGTGGTGCCAGAATGGGAATGACCCGGCGAGCAATATCCACGGCCTCCCAGCGCGGCGCACACGCACTTGCCACGGCCAGTGCTGCAGATCTGACAGGCGGGAACGGATCGCGCAATGCATGGAGAAGTGCGGGGCAAATAATGTACCGATGCGAGGATTCGTTGATGCCGCCAGCATCCAGGTCCAAAACACCCTCCTTGGCTGTGCACAGCTTGCCAATGCAGATCAGCGTGTTTGTCCGGATCCCTGGCTCGGGGTCTCCAACTAGTCGGACGAGCTGGCGGATCAGGTCACCGTTGAGTGTTTTGTTGGCAAGTTTGGGCGCAACCGCCAAAGATGCCTTGACAGTGGCCTCGCGGATAGCCGGCGCGGCGTCGAGAAACCCGGTGGCAAAATTAGGGAACACCTGCTTGCCGACCACAGCCGCCGGCACCGCCGGAATAAAGCTATCCATGTGTTCCAGTAGACTGAACCTAAGAGCGCGGTCATTAGAGCCAAACAACTGCACTATCGACGGAATAACGAGCTCAGCGTACTCTGCTTCATCCAGTGCTTTTCCTATATTGATAATACCGCTGAGCACTTTGGCGTCACCGCCGCCAAATTCCATGACCTTGAGCAGCTCGGGCAAAATCTTGTATTTCGCAAATGTCTGCGGAAACTCTGCAATCAGCGAATGCAAACCGGAGAAAAACTCGATTTTCTCGTCCTCCTCCTTGACGGAGATGTTTTCGAGGAACAAGCTGGTGCGCACAAAGTCTGAGTCCAGGAAGGCGCCGGGCTGTGTGGCCGCCTGCAGAAACTCGCCAGGAGTCATGCGTCGGCGCAAATCCGCCGGCAAGAGCCGCTGATACAGCGGCCACAGGGTCTGTGGAATCCGACCCTGCGAGGACATCTGCGAGGACGACCGCAGCTCGCCGTTGAACACCTGGTACACAAGGCAGGCCAGGGACCAGCCATCCACGGCACCAAGCTTGCCCCTTTCCACAGCGTCCCACTTTTGGCTCTCAAACTCTGGCGCCATGCGCAGGGAGTATCCCGGAATAACACTCGTATAGTGCCTGTACACCTGCCGCCCATCACCAGCTGCCGCAGCATCAACCAACTCGAGTCCGCCCAGCTTCCACTCGCCCGCACGCGTGACGAAAACCGATGCCACGCAGAGATTAGCGTGTATCAGCTTGCAGTCCTCGTTGACGAACTTGAGCGTCTCTGCAATTTTGTAAAACCCCCAGCGTCTCAGCCCATCGTCATTGCTGGACTCCAGCGACAAGGGGGTTACTGGCTCTGTGGCAATGTAGATTGTATCGGATGTTTCCGCTCCCTCGAGGTAGCGCAGGATCCCGGGGTGTCTGAGCGTCCGCATGCGCTTGAGTCCGTTTTGCGCTACAGCTGTGTAGCTGCTTCCACGGGTCTTGTCGAACACAAAGATGGACGCTTCTTGCTTACTGCTGTCATTCTTTTGTCCGCGATGTAATTGCCAAATGCTCTGGCCTGCGTACTCCTCAACTTTGTCACCAACTGTGTAATGAAAGTCGGGAATGCTGCCACCGCCAATTCCACCGACTTTTGAAAGTGTCGAAAACAAGTAGCTCGAGAGCCCTGACATTGATTGTTGATGTATGTATGTATGAATGAAAAATATATAAGCGTTTGTTGAATTCAAAGCGCGAAAATAAAAATAAAAATAATAAATAGAGAAAAAGAAGTTGCACGTGGGAGAGAAAAAAATGTCAAGCATTTTTTATATAGTCAATTTATTTGTTTAATCAATTTAAAATATTTAGTAACTTGTTATCGGAAAGGACCGGGTGGCCTTGGGTGTTGCGACTGCAGCGGTGTTTGCCATGTCCAAATACATCATGCCCACCAGCGTGCCGACTCCAAATCCAACAATTGCGTATCCGGTGTACTTTGCCCAACCCGAAGATATGTGCGCACCAATGCCACTGCTGTCACCGCCTTTTGCCGCCGAAAAGGAGGACTCGTCATCCTGGCGGCAACCAGCGGCAGCAGCAGTAGAGGAGGCATCAGTAGCGCTGTCGTCAGGGTTTGCTAACAATCTATCGTAGTATCCAGAGGACTCTCGGAGCAACTTCATCGGACACAAAATAGTGTGCTCGAGCACTGACTCGGCCTGCGCGCGGCTCACGCCCTCCTTTCGAGATTCAATCATATGCAAGGCCGAGTTTCTGTCGCCCATGATAATAGTGGGCGTGACTGTGCGGATTGATGCAAACGGCGAGCGCGACCGCGAAGCCATTACCGAAATAGACAATGTCGCTGCTGCAGCTGTGGTTACTGTGGCCGGGTTTCTTTCAATATGGTCGTCGAGCAGCGGGTGTGCAACGGAGTACTGCGTATTGCCGGGCGTGTTGGTATCGCCTGCTGCGGAACTGTTTATTGTGTTCATGGTGCCCGCGCGCCGACGAATAACTGCAGAATCGACATTAACGTTGCCCTCCCTAGGATCATTGGTCAGGGGCACATGCTGCATCTGCATCTGCTGCTGTTTATACTCCTCGTATGTCGGAAACTGTGTTGTCACCATGTGGCTCCTGGCATTGCCTCCACGCGGGGGCAAAAATGGCGGCGAGGTATTTGACGACAACGCGATATCCGAGAAATAATCAAAATCCGCAGCAAATCTTCTGTGTGGTGCTGATGGAGGATAGCAGGGTTCGCTGATCTTAGAAAGGCTACTCGGCGACCGTGGCTGTCTGTAGGTTTGGCGCAGAGATGCACGCACATGCCGCGAATTATTGGCGCTGGAATTAGCCGAGGCAGCCAACGAGGAGCCGCTGGACCCTCCGGCAGCAGATGACAAAAGGCTGGCCACGCTTTCGCGCAGAAGGTGCACGGCTTGCTCGGACTCTTTATCGGCTTTTTCATTTACACGGCGCGTGCTAATGCCGCTTGACAAGCGATGGGGCGTTGTGCCACTATGCTGCAATGGCAGCTGCGCCGGCCATTGTATCTCTCGATTGATATTGCGTTGGGAGGAGTTCAGCAGTGGTGTGGCCTCTGAGGAACAACCAGTAGTCTGGGTAAAGCTTGGTTCTATGCGCTTGTCCTTATCTTTACCCTTGTCAGCAGTCTCCTGCTCGCTTTCAATGTTGTTGCGAGTAGGCACAGGAATTGTAGACTCTGGACATTCGTCGTCATCTTCGTAGTCGCTAGATGTCAGAGATATGACGCCACTGCTTTCGCTGTCGACAGCAACCCATTGGTCTACAACAAAAATATGCAATTTTTTTGTATTTCGCTTGGGAGTGACGTTGAGCAAATGAAAGCAGTCGGCAGTAAAAAAAGATGCGCATAATTTATAAATGGGGGGGGAATAATTCGTGTGTATGCCTCAGGGTCTCTGCTGACATGTAAGGTATTGTGGATGCTCTCTCAGAGAGATCACTGAGACATTGCGCAAAGACACGGCACATAGAAGATAAATGGCCACATTTAGAGCAGCAGGCGTGCGGGAGAAGAGCAAGGGTCGCATAAGCAAAGCAAAACAAGCAAAACAAGAAAACCAAAAAAATGCAATGCAAACGAGGGCACGTGCGATATGCAAAAAAAACCCAGGTCAGCTGTCGTTAATTGCGTACAGAACATTGCTAAATAATTTTTTTGTGGTATATTGTTTCGACTAGTAAATCTCCGCACATACACAAAATAAGAGCCAATAGAAGCAAAACTATTAAAAATATGTCTATGCCGTCTCATTAAATATTAGGTTTACTTACCACTGGGCGTCAAATGTCCGCTCACATATGCAGATCCAGTGAGTGAATCCACAGGAGTAGAGACAAACACTGTACGTATATCCTTATTATTTTGGGTATGAAGCTGGTTAAGATCAGCTAGAACGCTGGTTTGTGTTTGCACTTGTGTTTGTCTTTGGCGTAAAAGTTGCTCGCGAGCAGCGGTGCGCGAATGAGCGTTCACTTGGCTGCTGGTGCCGTTGTTGTTGCTAGCTCTACCGCGTTGTTGAAAATCAAAACGACTATTGCTGCTACTGCTGTCACCACCTGTTTGTTGAGTGGAAGAAGAAGTAATATGAGGGTTGCGAGAAGTCATCTTTGTATGAAATAAAAGAAAGGTGTGCAAAAAAATGAAAAGACTAATAAAAGTGAATAAAAATAAGAGGGGTTTTTTTTAATAATATTGCTTGAAGTGAAGGAGAAAAAGAGGGTGGCAAAAGGCTCAATGCAAATGCAGGAAAAAAAGGCAACGAAGAGTTTTAACTTTTTGAATGTGCGGCGTGCTTGCTTTCTGTTGTTCTTCTCCCGCAGCCATCCGAGCTAAAAAAAATAACCAACGCATGAAAAATCTACGCTTCTCTTGCATTTTTGCATCATTGCCATCCGTCCATGTCAGATGTCGTGAGAGCAAATAAAAAAGATGCAAAATGCAAAAAGGTAAACGTCAGCTGAGCATCTTTCCGTTGTATTTTCTATTTAATTCCACACTTTTCTCTTCTTGCTGCGTGTTTGGCCAATTAAAAGCAAAAAAACAACCAATTAATCTGTTTTGTTCATAAGAATGAGCTTAAAAATAAAGTGTAAACAAAAAATAAAGAGCAGAAGAATAAGCCGGAAAAAAACTATTTATTCTACAAAATAGGCAAAAAGTTGCCAATAATAGCCATTGGGATTCCAAACAAGTCGCGTTTAATAGTGAAAGAAAAAGCACATGGCACCGCAACCCCATCAGGCCTGACCAACCGGCACTCCGACATAACAGCGTGCTCGGAGTTTTCAAAAGCATGCACAGCAAACTGCTCCCAATAAACTACCGCCGACGTGGTATCCATCAACTCAAAAATAAATTTGTTTCCCGAGACCAACTGCTGGCGGTCCCACTGCGTCAATATGGAGAATTCCTTGCCAACAAGGGCAATCTCGCCTGATCGCCGCCAAACCACGGTCGGGGTTCCAATAAAGCCAATTAGTTTCTCGTACTCCATCAGCGCGCGCTGGAACGACTTTTCCATGAATATCAGGTCGTCATGGGTCAGATTGCGCAGCAGGGCTACAAGGGAAGGCCGGAAGTGGGCAATGGCGCGACTGACCCGGATGATGTTTTTCTTATCCATGCGGCCGCAGATATGCCGGAAGAAGTAGTGGAAGCCGTTGTAGTACTTGTATGGCTCAGTCACAGAGGAGTACACTTCGGCAGGGCTCTGCGGATAAACCGGGTTGAGGCCATAGACTGCTGGGCCTGTTGTTGGCGGCCGGCTCAGCGGGTAGTGGGTGTCGTCGGTGACTATCTGCGCATGTGGCGGCGGCGAGGCCTTTGCCAGTGTCGACATGGCATGCTGATGCGGGTAAATGTTGGCGGGTGCTGCATGCATATTGTTGTTATTGTCATGGTGCATCAGCGGCTGGTGGTTCTGCCACGACTCTTGTCGGTGCATCATATGGGCGACAGAACCCAACTGGTGATTATTGTGGTGATTCTGTGGTTGAACCAAGTGCGATTGGGATGGGATAAGCGGAGGCAACTGTGTCTGCTGTGGTGGCGGTGGCGGCGCGGCCCAAAGAGAATTTGGTATGGAAATAGTGCTGCCTGCGCCGAACCCCGCATTTTCAGTAGATGTGCTCAATCCCGAAGGATTTGCAAGCATCGGGTACGACAGCATACTCGAGAGAAACGCATACTCAAGGTTGATAGCTTCAGACTCAAAGCTGGCTGACGTAGGCGTCATACGCAAGGCATTGGCTGGGCCTCCCAGAGATGCAGCCGGTGGGAGGCCGCCGCTGGCGATGGTGTCTGCATTTGATATCGGGGTATCTATGGTAATGCCGTTGCTGCTGCTGCTGTTGTTGTTATTGTTGTTGTTGCTACTGGTGTTTTTGCTGTTGGAGGAGGAGGATGCTGCTGCTTGATTCACAACAGAGTTGCCCTGAATCGTAGCTCCTGGTCCTGATGTCAGCGCGGGTACTGCTAATGTTAATCCTTGCGATTGTGTCGACTGCGAGAATGGAGCCATATGAGACATGGTCTGCATCCTTTGGTTCTGGTAATTTTGTTGCTGTTGCTGTTGCTGTTGCTGCTGGTGGTCTAATAATGGTTGAAGATAATTCATGGAAAAAGATAATTAATTATTTAATAAGGAATGAATACAAATTAAACCGGGCAAGGATGCAAATAGAGTAATAGGAAAACAAAAAATTTAATCAAAGAGAGAAGAGGAAATGAAAGGGAAAAATAAACAAGTGAGAGAAAGAGAAGGCAGCAAGGATGAATTTTTTTTGGTGGCCAAACTTTTGTGTTATGATCAAAAGATGAGAAGAAAAAAAAACAATTTAACAAAAAAAAAAGTCGTGTGGAAAAAGAAATAAACAAAAAAAATAAAGCTACTCTTGTGCAGTTCTTTTTTTTTTTTTTGTTGGTCAAATGCAAAACAAGAGAAAATATGATTTTTATTATACTTTGTGAGATTGCTTTGCTGCTACCAAATATAATGGTGACTGGGCAAAACCCAAGACCATGGGATACAAGTTGAAAAATAAAAAGGATGGGAGTGAAGTGAGTGAGCGTGAAAACGCAGAGAGAAAGAAGTTCCTGAATGGAAGCACTGGTTTCCAAAATTGGACAAGCACAAGGATAGTTTATTCTTTTAAAAAGTGTTGGTTTTATAGTCATTCAAGAGATTTAATCGGCCAACCAAGTATTAAAAAAGAAATAAAAAGGAACAGATGTGATTGTGATTGTGAATGTATGTGCTCGTGACTTCATATTTGTTGTACACTTTTTTATTTTCATTTACGCTCGGGGAAATGTTTCTTCCATATATTTATACTTGTTTTTTGTTATTGTTGATGATGTTGTAATTACATTTTTAGTACACAATGCAAAAATGCCAAGGGGATGGAGGAAGGGGAATTGTGTGCATAACACATATGTGAATAAAAAACAAACAACTAATATACATTTTTTCCTGGCAGATAAAAAAAGAGCCGAGAAACAAAGACGGAACAATCCAATCCAATGCAAATAAATATCCTATAGAATGTTCAAAAACTATTTTTTCTCTCGAGCCTTAACACATGTGAGAAAGTTATTTTCCTCAGGTAGGCATGTGCCGATGATTTTAGGAAGGAGAGGGGGGGGAGTGTGTATGTGTGCGCATGTGTGGCAACAGGGATTGGCAAATTATGTTTCATATTTGCATAAGAAAAAAGAGCGAGGTGGTATCCGTATATGTGAGGAGAGAAAGATATCCTCCTCCCCCTCCCTTTTCTTGAGGTCAATCGTTTTAAAAAACAAATAAAAATAAAGGAAATGTGCTGGGAAAAAAAGCGCGCACACAGGATACTGAACAAGCAGGGTCAACATACAGACACAAAAAATAACTTTTTTTTTAAAGCTTGAGATGAATTTGTGGTAGGGGGGGGGAGCTTACCTTTTGAAAAATCAGGAAAAACCTGCCCCTCATCACCAATCATCGAGGCGATGATTAACGGCTTCGGCCCTGCAGTAACCACCACCCCTCCGGGCTCTTCGGTTTCCTCCCCATGCTCTCCTCCAGCATTCTCCTCAGGTTCCTCCTTAATATCAAGCAGATACTTTGCCTTCTTCCGCACTCCATCAATACAAGTGGACGCCAGGCCGCGCTTAATACATCGCGTACAAGGTCGGTTTTCGTCACAAGTTAGGTGGGATTTCTGGCAATGGTTGCAAGCGCGGATGGTTTTGCGCTTCCTGTTCTTGTTCCGGTCCTTTGTCTGATCAAAAGTTAGAGAAAGGGCGGGAGCAGGGGGAGCAGAGTCAGAGGTGGGGGCAGAGGCAGATGCAGGGGTGAGAGGAGTGGTTGGAGTTGCGGTTGTATCGTGATCTGGTGTGTCGTTGGTTTGTGAGCTGAGGAATGCAATTGATGTGCGCAGTTGGTGCGGGGGTCTCTGTTGCTGTTGCTGCTGCTGGTGCTGGTAATTTTGGATATAGTTGTGGTGAAGCGACATTAAGTGTTGGAATTGAATTTGTGAAAGGTTTAAAAAAGGTTAAAAAAGGTTAAGAAAAGGCTAAGAAAAGGTTAAGAAAAAACAAGAAAAAAAAACGGAATGACGCATGAAAAAAACAGATAAAGAATTCAAAAAGATAGAAAAAAAGAGGAAGAGATTGGGTTTAGATTGGACTAGATTGGGTGGGGAGGAAGGAGGAAAATCACTTTTCAATTTTTTGTTCTATTTTAGAATCAAAGCGCTGCTGCCTCCATTCTCTCTCTCTCTCTCTCTCTATCTGTTTGTGTGAAATAATGTTGGACAGAACATGAAATAAAATAACAAAATGTACATGTATTGACCCTGAGTAAGAAAAAAAGATGAATTGTTCATAATCATATAACATTATTCCAATTGTACTATACAAAAATTGCTGACGCACGGGTATAACTTGATAGATAAAATATAAAAAAAAAGTGAAGATAACTTTGTAAATTTTTTTTGAAAAAAAAGTGAAAGCAATGCTTCCGATTTGTTCCGCACTCGGGGGTGTGGGGGTTTTTTTTGTTTGGTTGAAGAAGGAAGATGTAGAAAGATGGGAAATTAAACGGAAACAAATGTTTTTGTTTTGCATATACGTGACCGTCTTTTTTTATTTTTTATAATTGTAAGAGATATGGTCACATGAAGATGAACCACAACAGGTTTAAAGCAGATAACACCGATTTAAGCAAAATTTTAAACCAATTTGTTTTATTTATAATATCAAATATCTTTAGGCATTCATTCATTCGTTTATTTTCACAAATCAATTTATTTTCTTCTTTTTAAGCAACCATAAATATAAAAAAGGATTATGCCAGCGTATAAACGAGGAGCCAACAAAAAGATTAAATTCAACATAGACTCCTCCGAAAGCCCCAACCACCATGCGTTCGACAGTAAAGAGAGCGGCAGCGAATACCCTCTGGAGGACTTTAGGACCAGCGGCATAACAAACCTCAATCTCGTCAGCAAACCATTCAAATCAGCCAAATACAAAAGCAACAACACAAACAGACGGTGGAAAAACCTTAAGCAGATAATAGTGCAGGAGGAGCAGCAGGGAAGTGGCTTGGGTGGCGATGGCAGGTGGCCAGTGGATTTCCCTACATATTGGTTGGTGGATGCGGTGCCGTCGCTGAAGCCGCAGAAAAAATACTGCGATATTACCGGGTTGCCGGCGAAATATGTGGACCCGAAGACCAATGTGAGGTACTGCTCGGCCGAGGTGTACCGGGTGGTGAAGAGCTTGCCGCCTGGTGGGGAGCAGCAGTATTTGGCGCTGCGGAATGCCAGTGTCGTGCTGAAGTAAAAAAAGAGGGGGAAGGAAGGATCCCGTTGGGGGGGGGGGGGATTTGCAAGAAAGAAAAAAAGGGCTCATCTTTCTCCTTTTTTCATTATCGTTTTTCTTTCTGTTCCTTTCCACAATAAAGATCAACTATTTATTTTCTATTCATGCTGGCCAGAGTAATCGCACCCCTGCGCACCAGCGTTGCGCCCATGATCGATGTCACCGACCCCTGCTTCCTGCGCCTTCTCCGGCTAATCTCGCCGCACGGCAACCACGAGCTGTGGAGCGAAATGGTCCATGCGCGCACGTTCTCTCACGGCAAAATGCACCTCGACGCACAAAAGCTCGCGCAGCACATCCCGACCCACGAGCTCCCAAGCTTCGCGCACGGCACCGTGGTCCAAATCGGCGCGTCCTCGCCGGCGGACGCGGCCGTTGCCGTGGCGGAGCTCGGGCGACTCGGCGTCCGCCACGTCAACCTGAACTGCGGCTGCCCCTCGCGCAACGTGCAAATGGGGTCCTTCGGCGCCGTGCTTATGACGCGGCCGCAGGCGGCCGGCGACATTGTCCAGGCAATGGTGGACGCAGCCAGCGATTGCAGCGTGCATGTCAGCGTCAAATGCCGCATCGGCATTGACGCCGACGAGTCGCCCGAGTTTCTCCGCCGCTTTATCGACAGCGTGCTTGGGCCTGGGCGGCCGGTCTCGCTGGTCCTGCATGCGCGGCGCGCGTGGCTCAGCGGGCTTTCGCCCGAGCAGAACCGCATTGTGCCGCAGCTCAACCACGTGCGCGGCCGCGAAATGGCAGCCGCATACCCACAGACGCGCATCACGGCCAACGGCGGCATTGGCACTGCCGCGGCCGTGCACGAGCACCTGCTGTGGGCGCACGGCGCCATGGTTGGCCGCAAGGTGCGCGAGGACCCGTGGTTCCTGGCGCTGCTCGACCGCCAAGTCTACGGGGTGCCCGATGCGCTGGTGCCGACGCCCGAGCGCGTCCTGCAAGAGTACGTGGCGTACGGCGACCAGGTGCAGCGGGACCTGGGCGTGCGCCACACGGTGCTGGCGCGCCCGCTGTATGCGCTGTTCCAGGGCCGTAAGGCACGCGCGCTGCGCCGCAGCCTGGCCAGCAGCATTGCGCGCGCAAAGGCGGCTGGCGGCGGCGCAGCGCGCGTGGCGTTCAGCGAGGTGGTCGCCGACGCCGTGCGCCAGGCCGAGGCCGACCACGCCGAGGGGTCATTGCACTCTGCGGGCTGCTGACTCGTCGGCCCATGCGAAGATCGCCGGCGTGATGCGGAAGACCAGCAGCCGGGCGCGCTCCAGGGCGTCGGCCATTGCGTGCTCAAAGCCGCCGTGGGCCTCAGCCATCTTGAGCACCTTGCGCGCGCCAGCCAGCGACACGGCGTACGCCAGGTTGTCGCAGGCGCCAGCGTCCACGCGGCGATAGGCCAGGACGCCGGCGGCGGCGCCGGGAATGGCAATGTCGTCGTGGCGGCCCGGGTCGGTGCTGTTGGCCGGCGGGCCAAGATGCAGCACGTCCCAGTCGGCCGGCACCCCGCGCAGCGCCCCGTATAGCCGCAGCCGGGCGCTGGGCCCGGCCACAACGCGGTCCTCGATAATGAGCGCGTCCATGTGGCCGCTGGCGACAATGTCGCGGTAGATCCCGCGGTGCGCGTGCCAGCATGCGTGCTGCACCAGCAGCGTGCTGCGTGCGTCTGTGGCTGTGGGCGCGGATTCTGCCACTGGCCACGGCTGCAGTTCGATCTCCATGCGTGCGGCGTCCTCCGCCCACTGCCGCCCACCGCCATCTGCATGCTGCACCACGTATATGTGGTCGAAGCCCAGGTGGTGTCGCCGGCGGCTCAGCTCCTCGTGCGAGAACCGGTGCATGAAGGCGTTGTGTGAGTGCCGGAAATACAGCAGCGCAAGGGCGATGAGGATGAACGTGCCGATGGATGCTGCTGTGAGCGCCCAGAAGAGGTCGATGGACCGGAGCCCGGCTAGGCACCGCTGCTTGAGCCCCCCGCGCCGCCCCGGCTGCCGCATGTGGGGAGGCTGTTTGCGTGCCCGGCTCTTGTCTGCGTCGCTGAGGTTGTCGTATTTGATCGAGTCCTCAAGCGACCGCGCCACGAGCTCGTATGAGGTAATGAGGCTGGGGTCGTCGGCGGAGAGCATTTGGAATTTGGGAATTTGGGAATTTGGGAATCTAGTAAAGATAAAGATAGCCTGTATTGAGTAAAAAATACATAAATAGGAAAAGAGAAGGCGAGCAGAAAGGAAACAAGTGGAAAGAAAAAAAAGACAGGCTTTGAAAAATCAGCATTCATTGACAAGAAAAGCCCCCTCCCCTTGGGATTCTGCATCCAAAACATCACAAAATGCACAAAGGAACAAAAAGAACACAAAAAAGAAGGGATTCTTCTTCAGAATCATTCCCTTGTTGGCATCGCCTCGACACTGGCATCGCCTCGGCGCCGTCATCACCTCGGCGCCGTCATCACCTCGACGCCGTCCTGCGTGATCAGCAGCGTGTGCTCATACTGCGCCGACCGGCCGCCGTCCTCGGTGGCGACCGTCCAGCCATCCGGCCACATGACGCCGCGTGCCGAGCCCTGGCACAAAATCGGCTCCACGGTGAATGCCATTCCGGGCAGCATGACACCGGGCTCCTCGTTGAAGTGGTGGTAGACCAGCGGGTTCTGGTGGAAGCAGCGGCCGACGCCGTGGCCGGTCAGTTCCTCGGAAACGCCGAGCCCAGCCTCCACAGCACACGTCGCAATGGCGTCGCCGATGCACCGCAGGGGCACGCCAGGCCCGCACAGCTCAATGGCCAAAGCTAGCGCCTCCCTGGTTACCCGCATCAGCTTCTCCCCCGCCTGGTCCACCTGTCCAACAGCAAACATGGCCGAATTGTCCCCATGGAACCCGTCCTTAAACACGGTGACGTCCAGATTAACCATATCGCCGTCTATGAGCGGCCGGGCATCGGGGATGCCGTGTGCAATAATGTTATTGACGCTCGTGCAGATCGACCGCGGAAACCCCATGTAGTTGAGGCACGACGGGTACGCGTCCTGCGAGACAATAAACTGGTGCACGCGCCGGTCAATCTCGGCCGTCGTCATCCCGGGCGCCACCAGCCGGCCGCCAAGAGCTAGGGCGTCGCGCGCGATCCGCGATGCCTCGCGCAACAGTGGGATTTCGGCCGCCGCCAGAATTGGAGTCTCTGTTGGCCACGAGGGCGGCTCGCCGGTGCGTGCGTAGCTGGGCCGCAGGATGCGCCGCGGCACGAGCAGCGGGGAGGGCTCCTTGGGCGCTGGCTTGCGCGGCACGAGGGTCGTGGGTACAATGCGCTGGTAGTTTCCGAAGCTTGGCTGGGCTGCACGTCGTTGCCGCGGATTATGCGCTGCTGCTGTTGATGCCAGCCACCGCCTTGCCTGATGCAGCTGCTGAAAGGCCGACGGCAATTGCCGCGCTGATTTCGCGAGCATTTGCCTGTGAGTATATAAAAAAATGTTTGTGTGGAAAAAATATAAAATAAAATAAAAAATAAATGGATCGAGCAGACTACCATTTTTTTCTTCTTGTTTCTTGTTTTTTTGGCTGCCTTTAATCGCATTCAAGATAAAAAAATATCCGGCCTGTCCCAATCCCAAGCTCCGTTGATCGGCTGATTTTCTGACGATGACGGACGACGACACCAATAGGCACATATCCTGACAACCACCTTTTCCCACTTTGTTTTCCTTTTCCTACTCCTACTCCTACTCCTATTATTTCAATTTCATTTCATTTCATTTCATTTTCAACACATGCCTGACGCTGGCGCCCAACTCACAGACACAAAGCTGCTGCAGCACTTCGCCACGCTTGCGCAGTACCAGCACACGCGCGAGCGCAGCAGTGCAGCACTCAAGCAGGCTTTTTTTGTGCTCGCTCAGGCCAGGCGATCGGCCGGGTACAGTCGCATATCACCTGACCAGTATAGTGGCCACGCACAGCCCATAGCCACGGTCAACATCAATGCTATGGAACCAGATTCTTCGAGTATTACTATGACTGTGGCCCGTCGCAATGAGGACAGTAGTGGTGTGGATCCGCTTTTGTGGTTCGGCATGTTGGTGCCGCCGACGCTGAGGGAGGCCCAGAGCGGCTTTGTCGACGCACTAGACGGGCTTGTTGCGCTGGCACAGATGAAGCATGAGCTGGAGCTACAGGCCGAGGCAATCACAAAGTTGACTCAAGAAAACTCTATAAAGGATTGAAAAAAGGGAGGATATGAGAGGTTTTGGAAAGCAAAGCTCTTTTTATATTTGCTTGTTCAAACGCTAGTATAGCTTGGTTGTTATTAAAAGATAAGCTGAGAGAAAATTAACATTTAGGAAAATAAAAGAACCACGCGCTGGAGTGGATGTCATGTCATTTATCCGATCGGTATCTATAGATGCGACGAGATTGATAGTCTTTTTAAGTTGCGCCTAGAACACCAGGACACCACTCTGAGAGGCACTACTGGTGTTTACCTAGGTTTTAAAAAGCCGTGCGGGATGGTCTCACAACTGGACAATACAAAAGCCAAGAGCCCCCGGTCCTGCTGATGTTGCCGAGCTCAAAAGGGTGACATGCCATGACACTCTGCACTGTACAAACCCTGCGTGCATGCGACTTCCCCAAAGCTTCATGTTCTCAAGCATAATGCGCAGAGAGGTGCGACATTTCACAGAATTTAAGGCCGCGCCCAAGCACAACAAGATTGAATGATTTTTGTCCATTCCTCGCATCAAGGCAGCGGCTATTACTGCCTGGCATCTCAATCCCCCCCCACTGGCCTTACTTACCCCATTGGCTATGAGGTGGATGGAGGGCTTTTCGTCCAAAAACTCATAATAATATTTATTTTAATAATTTTCAGGATTATTGACACAATTCTTCCACGTCAGACCTTTATTTTTTTATTTTTTTATTATTTTCCCTCTTCCTTGTTCTTTTTCCTTTCATCCTCTTTTTTTTCCATTATTTTATCTTCAATTCTAAAACAAAATCAAAACTATTATTTGTAATCACTCAATCGCGTTCTTAATTCCCCATTAACAATGTCCCAGCTCGACGCTCGGGCAGCCGCGCAGGTATGTCGTATAGCCGACGACCTATGTGCACATGAAGGCCACATTCTTTTTGACGCGCCCCTCCGACGACCACCACCAGCCGCCACCGCCACTGCCAGGGCAGCCACCTCACTTCTGACTAGCGCGCTCACATCACTCTGGCAGCGGCCGACGCAGGCGCTCACCCAAACGCTTTTTGGAACCAGCTCTACCTCCCCGACATCACCATCAGCAACAGCAACAGCAGAATCAACATCAGAGATGCCCGGTGATCATTTGCATAGAATAGAGTCCAGACTGCTGACATTTTCCGAGACCACCCCTGGAAAGGGGATGGTTTGGCTGGCATGGGACGAGTGCCGCAGCCTCTACCAGGTGTTCCGCAGCTTCGAATGCGTGGATATCACGGGCAAGCCCACATCTTTGGTAGACACATTTGTGTCGCGGTTGACTTCCGGCGAAGCCACCCGGGCGCCCAGCGCCCTGCGGCAGTGGACGCTGTGGAGGAGGGAGAAGCCGCATGCGGAGGAAATGTGCGATGAGGCGCGGGTGCGTGCTGCTGCTTGGGTGCTGATTTCCAGCGTGTTTGCGCGCGCCACAGCGCTAAGGATCTCGGCAGAGGCAGAGGAGGTGGAGGAGCGCGATGCCCAGGCAGTGCTGACGTGGTTCCCGCAGCTGCAGTGCTTAGAAATACAAAGCATTCCGCAGCCAGCGTTAAGGTTCTGGAGCGCCTGGTTGCCGAGTCGCTTGACGTGTCTGCACCTGCGACATGCCGGGCTTGATCTGCAAAAGGCGCTTGGGCTCGAGGACGCAGAAAAAGAGGGGGATGAGGGGGAGGAGAGCAATGGTGAGAGTCAGCAGCAGGGGCGGCAGTGGAACCGCTTGGTTTTGCTGGATCTCTCGGGGAACCCCGGCATTGATCTGACGCCGTTGCGCGGGGCGCTGGCGCAGCAGACAGCGCGCATCGAGCGGCTCTCCTTGGCACAGTGCGAGCTGGACGCGGTGCCAGACTCCCTCAGCCTCCTGTACGCGCTCAGCTGGCTGGACCTTCAGGCCAACGCGATTACAGATCTCGCGGACATTTCGCTGAAGCTCGGCAGCATCGTCCGACTCAACCTGGCGCACAACGCCATCGCAGACGTCTCCGGCTTGCGTCGGCTCTGGGCGCTCGAATCATTGGATCTCTCCGGGAATCTGATTGACCGGTGGGAAGCCCTGCTTGTTCTGCGTAATTTGCCGTCGTTGGCGGATCTGCGTGTTGCTGGGAATCCGTTTGTGGAGGCAGATGCAATGGGGGAGTATCGCGCCCAGGTGTTTTCGGCCTTTGATCATCGCGATGTCGCACTGGAGCTGGATGCCAGTGGGCCGACGGCGCAGGAGCGCAGGGCGATGGCGAAAATTCCACGCGTGGCCACAGGCCATTGCACCGCAGTGGCGACAACCACAGCCGCTGATGCCGAGGCAGCAGGGGTGAAGGTTACGTCGCCGCGCACTATGCAAGCGGCAGCGGCCGTGGCCGTGGCCGTGGCCAAGCTACGGCGTCCCAAAGTGGCCTTCATCGAAGAATCGCAGGACGATTACCCGAGCGACACCTCATCCGTAGCCAAGAGCCCTCGGGCATCCATGGCCATTGCATCTCCGGCGCCGCTGTTGTCATTGGCGGATAAGACGCCGCACGTTATGCGCGCGACAGAGCTCCAAGAGGCTGTTACCATGGCGGCAGGGCATCGACGCAGCAGTATGGTTGGTGCACTGCCGGCTACTTCACCGGTGGCCATGCACCAGGGGACTGCGCTGAAGCGCCGCGCTACAGCCACTACTGCCACGGGTCTGCGCATGTCGCCGTTGGCAATACAGCGCCAGGGTCAGACTTCTTTGACACCGCCGATGCCGCCGCCAGCGTCCGCCCAGAGCTACACACCGGGGAGGCCTGAGGGTAGGGATCCTGAGAGGTACCGCAGGCGCGTCGAGATGATGCGTGCTGAGGCTGGGTCATCGTGGTTGCGCGCGTTTGCTGAGCTGCAGTCACAGTCACCGGCGCCAGCACCTGGCACCGGAGCTGTGCATTGTGAGTCGGATTGGGGGTCGGAACGCACTGTGGAGAGTCCTGCGGCAGTGTCGCGGTCGTCGTCGTCGTCGCCGGAGCGTGTGAGTGTTGGTGCGAATCCGAATGCGAATGCGTTGGACACACAGTTGCCGAGCTTTTTGTTTCCGCGCAGGCGCAATGCGGCGGCTGGAGCTGCAGCTGGGGCATCGAGGAGGAAGGATGTGGCGAGATTGCCGCATTATACGGAGCCCGAGCCTGAGTGTGCGTCTGCAGCTGGGTCTGTGGCTGGGTCGGTGCCGGCGGAGGTGATTATAGAGCGCGTGGTGGCGGATACAGCAGAAGCAGATGCAGAGGCGCTGTCTGGCAAAGAAGAAGATAATGATAATGGCAAAATTGGCAAGGAAGGTGCTTTGCCGGCCATTAGCGAGCTGCAGCGTATCTTGAAGAGTGACGCGACCGCGCGTGTCGTTGCTGAGGAAATTTCTGTTGTGCGGTACCAGTGTGTGCCGCTGGCGATGGCATCGGATAGTGGGGGTGCGGTGCAGCGTGTCGAATGTGGGGTGCGCACGGTCATTGTGACTTCCACTGAAGTGATCGAACTCGACGTGTCTGGTGACCGCACAGCAGCCACGACGCCCCTGAAGGCTATCGTACGGGTCGCTGCCTCTGCTGAAGAGGCCGTGATGCTCGTCGAGGCCAAGGGTGACCGCTTTGACTCGCCCGCGTGGACCGAGTATGCATTCACTGACGATCTCTTTTCGGCCATCGATTCGGCGGCCAAGGGCAACGCGGAGAGAGGGCTGGAGGCGCACCTGTATAAGCAAGCCGAGTGTCTGCGCTGCAGTTGGCGCGGGTTTATTGACCGCGAGTACTGGATTTTCGACAAGCTCCTTGGCTGCGTCTGTTCGGCCTCGACTTTGGCGGATGAGTTTGTTGCTGTGGAGTCCGGCCCTACTGCTGAGCTGCAGTGCCCTGAGTGTGGGCGCAGTTATTTGCGCGAGTTTTATGCTGCCGACGAAGACCCAGCAGTGACTCCTATTGCGGCCAACGATAGCAGTTGCGGAGATGGAGGCGGTGGCGGTAGCAATGGTAGCGATGATGTGTGGCGGCAGGCGTTGCGCTCACGGCGTCCCAAGGCGGCGGCAGTGTCGGACAAGCCTACCGATCGCGATCATATGGCTGCTGCAGTGGCTGCAGCTGCTGAACACCGTGCGCAGTGTATGCGTGAGGCTCGCCGCTTGGCTGCTGCGGACGTTGGGCGTATGGGCGCGGCTGCCCAGCCTGGTAGCTTGGCATTTGGCGAGGCCACTAATGCTGTGCGGCTGTTTTTGGAGCTTAGCGTTTTTGGCGCCGAGGGTGAGCGGCTGATGCGCTGGGTGCCTGCTGGTTTGGTGCGCCAGATGCAGCCGCTTGTTCCTGCTTCTTTTTCTTCTTCGGGTTCTGCAAATGCTAATGCTGGTGCTGCTAGTGCCAGTGCGTTGGCTCCTGGGTTGGCGGAGAAGAGCGCGGTGCCGAGTAAGTGGGGGCTGGCATCGTTCCTCGGAGGTGGCGGCGGAAGTTCAGCCTCACCCTCGGATTCCAGGACGCTTGCATCGGCGGTTTCTTCCAAGACACAGAAGGATAAGAACCTCGCAGCAGCACAGCAATCTGCTGCTGATGCCGCTGCATTGGAGCCGGCGTTGTGTGAGCAGGCCGTGTTCCTGGCACTGAGCTCACACGCACTCTATGTGTTCTCACCCACGTGGGCAGCCCTGGATTCCACATCCCTGCCCCTGCGTTCCGAAATCGAGCTTCAGCCTGAACGCTATCTGGCCCTGGTCTTTACCTTGCCGTTGACCGAGCTTGGGCGCATAGATATTGGACCTAATCGCCAGTACTTGGCCCTGCATTCCGCTCTTCTTTCTATTTCCGAAGATTCGCCAGTGCTGATCCATTGGGTTTCGGCGCCTTTGCAGAAGCTTTTAACGCCGGCTCTGCACCCTGCGTATCCGCGCAAAGGGTTTATTGAGTCGTCTTCTTTATCCCAGGAGTTTGTCTCTGCGCAGCATCGCGCGAGAAGCCCGTTTCCCGGTAGTGCGGGCGGGGACAAGGGTGGCAGCACGGCTGCGGGGGGGTCGGCATTGGCGGCTTCGTCCTGTGTGTTGATGATTCGCGATCGCTTGGCATGCTCGGATCTGCTGGATGCGCTGGTGGAGATTGGGTACGAGACCAGGGTGCTGGATTCCGGCGCTGGTGCAGGTAGCGGGCGTCTGCGGGCGATCAACCACGATGTTGAGTGGGCTATGCATAATCTCGTGCAGCAGGTGTTTTTGCGGCCTGACACCTTTTCCGACCTTGATGATGAGCATAAAGATATGGCGCCGGTACCGGCACCTGCAGCAGCAGGTGCGGAGCTTGTTTGCCAGGACCGCTTGCGCACACTGCACACGTTACACCACGAGCTCTTGCGCTCGCCTAACAGTCAGCAGCCCGGATCCCTGGTGGACGCAGCCAGCGGGGACAACGTCATTATCGACAAGGTCACGTACGAGTTCCTGCAGCTCTACTTTTGTGTCGGTCTCTCCCCTGTTAATCCAAGCTTTTCTTCTCTTCAGGGCATCCAGCCGGTGACACTGGTGGGGTCACCGCAGTTCGTGTATCTTGTGCGCGAGCGTGTTGACGTATGGCCACCGCCGGTGCCCGATATGAATCTTGTGTATCGGCATTTGCAGCGCGTGGAGCCTCCGACTATTGTTACTTCGGATCCCGACACGTATGATCCTAAGGTTTTGGCGAAGGAGCTGTTGGCGCGGAAATCCAACGCTACGAGTGCGGGAAGTGCGATGAGTGCTAGGAGTGCGTTGAATGGATGTGCAGGGATGGAAGAAGCGACAACAGCGGCAGTTATGGTGGATCCATTGTTGAATCAGTTGGTTGCGTCTGGCGTTTCTCAATATGATCGCGTTTTGCGGGCACGCCCGGTTGCTGATCTGCGCCGTATTGTGCTTGTCAATTATCCTGTCGCTGTGCTGCCGCGGCCATTGGGACAGCAGCAGCAGAAACAGCAACAGAAGCAGCAGCGCTTGCCTGTAGATCCACCTAATGTTTCTGCTGCGGCTGCGGTTGCTGCTGGTCAGGGCGATTATGATGGGGAGGTGCTTGGTTGTGTTGGCACTAGCTGGCACGCTATGCTGCGGATCGAATTTGCCACAGTCGAGCGGACAGGAGACACGAATGTTTCTGATGCTGCGGAGAATCTCGAGGAGCAGGATGTGTCTGGGTGGTGTGTTTGGTTTGCCACATTGGCGAGTGCACAGGAGTGTGCAGAGTCGCTACAGGTGTTGGCTGCGTCTTCTAAGGTGACCGGCCTTGAATTCTACGAGGCATGAGTTTTTTTCTTTCATGCAATGAAGTATAGTTGCGGTTTGTCGCTTGTGTGTATTTTTATATTTCCAAATATTCAATATTAAAGTTTAGAACATTTCTATTGTTTTATTTCTTCAAAGCTTTGTGTTCGCCAGGTTGTCAGCCAGCTTCTTGTCTTCGTTGTCTTCCTCCTCGGACTCGGACTTGGACTCGGACTCCTTTTTCTCATTCTCATTTTTGTCTTCGTCATTCTTTATGTATGTGATGTTGCCGAATCGGTCGGTCTCAGTGCGGTACAGGCCCTGGCGGACCAGCTTGGCCATCTGTCTTTCGCTGATTTCATCCTCGTCAGACGCATTCTCATCGTCCGACCCATCCTCCTCCTCGTCGTCATCGTCAGAAATCCCGTATCCATCGGGCGCAGCTCCAGGCGCGCGATTCGGATTAAAGTCCTCATCCTCATCTTCCTCGCCCGACCCGCTGTCCATCTCTGCGCCGATATCAGCGTAATCTCTGAATTTAGACTGTTCCCTCATCAAATTCTCCCTGTCAATCATCGCCATCCACTCATTCTGCACCTCCAAAACCGCCTGGTTATCCTCGCAAGCGGCATATTTCTTGAGCAGTACACTGTTCATTTCCTTGAACCCATGTCCCCACTTGAACTTGCTCATCAGGATGTCTCCGATCTCGTCCCACCCGACAATGTAAAACGAAGCAGCCAGCGCCTCGACGCAATTAAGCTTCCAGGGCTTCCCGTAGTTCACCGGGTTAGCAGCCACAAGATATGGCAGGAGCCTATTATGATGTGCCTTTATCTTTCCAAACGGCACTTCGTCGAGTCTTGCCCAGGAGCAATCTATCATTGCAGCGCCATACTGCTGCATTATCGGGAGGTCCGCGCGGGAAACCACCTGTTTGCCCTCGGGGCTCATCACTATGCCCTTGAATACCTGGCCCAGACGAAATTCCTTCACCAGTCCCATGCGTGCAAGCTTGCGCCCGGAGCACCGCTTGGGGTCGCAGTGGTCAAAGTCCCACATGCCTAGGGGAACGGCAATCTGCATGGTTTCGTCACCGTCGTATGCATCGTCGGAATCATTGCCGGTTCCAGTGGTGGGATCGGCAGATAGAGTGTTGAGGTATCGGTTGGCACGGCCTGTGGGTGCGGCCTTTTCGTAACGATGCTTGGCTTGGTGGTGCGGTGTCCTTCCGGGCCCACTGTTGCTGCTGGTATCTCCTTTTCTGCCGCCCTTGGCCATTGTTATTTTACAAATAAAAAATTAGAGAGGGGGCTATTGAAAAAATAATGAACAATGAATTTTGATTGCATTGGTAATTAAAAAAGCGCAAATTTTAATTAACTGTTGCATTTTTGTTTACATATAAACGCAAAGTAATGGGTTGCATCATTTTTTTGGTTAAATGCGCTGTTGCGTTTTTTATACTTCCGAAAAGCGGGAAAAAAATTGAAGCAGAAAAGAGACATTAAAGCAATCACCTGCTTGCCGTCTCTTTTCTATTTTAATGCCTTCCGATGCATTTGTCGTTTCATTAATTCTATTTCTATTTCTAATTCAATTTTATTTTATTTTCCTTTCCTTTCCTTTTTTCTTTATACATTCTCCTCTTTGCTTATTAATTTTAACATGAGCAGCGGCAGCCCCTACTACTCAATCGCCGGCCAGACACCAGATGCACTGTCACCACGCAAGGAGATTTGCAATTACTTTTCTGCTTACCCGCTCTACTCGCTCGCATGGTCACGGCGAGAAGACCGCAACAGTATGTTCCGCATGGCTCTGAGCAGCTGCATGGAGAAGCCAACAAACAAAGTACAGGTGATCCAGCTGTCTCCGCAGCACGACCCGTCGCACACGCCCGAGAAACCCGATTTTGGCCTAGTCGCCGAGACTACTGTAGACTACCCATTGACCAAAGTAATGTGGCAGCCGGCGAACAACGGCTATGCGCAGCCGGACCTGCTGGCTGGCACAGGCGATTCCTTGCGTCTGTGGGAGTGCGAGCAAACAGGAGAGGTGGGTGAAATGGGGCTGTACAAGTCCAAGCTGCGGCAACGCGCGAAGCTGACCACACGGGCGGACTACTCCGCGCCCATCACATCGTTTGACTGGAATCAGGTGGATCCACGGCTGATCATTACGTCGAGCATAGATACAACGTGTACGGTGTGGGATATTGAGACACAGCAGGCCAAGACGCAGCTGATCGCGCATGATCGCGAGGTCTTTGACGTCTCGTTTGTGTCCGGCAGCCAGGACGTGTTTGCGTCTGCGGGCGCTGACGGGTCGATTCGAATGTTTGATTTGCGGTCCCTGGAGCACTCGACCATATTGTACGAAGCACCAGCGGCAGTCGCGCCGTCTTCGTCAGACGCCGGACTGGGCGACCCCTCGTATTACGCGGATACACCGACAGGACTCCCCAACGCACGCATATCCTCGTTCATCCCACCGTTACTCCGCCTAAGCTGTAACGCCCTGGACCCCAACTACATTGCGACGTTTGCCCTGGACTCGACCAAAATCACCATCATCGACGTGCGCAACCCCGGGTTTGCGGTTGTGCAGCTTGTCGGCCACCACGCCCCGATCAACTCCATCGCTTGGAGCCCCGTGTCCTCCAGCCAGCTGTGCTCGGCGGGCGCTGACTCCCGCGTGCTCGTGTGGGATATCCAGCAAACTTTGAGTGCCAGGCAGCAGCAGCAGAGGCAAGCTGCGAGTGTCGCGGCGCAGGCCAAGCAGCTGAGCAGGCTGTCGTCATCTGGAGATCATAAGATGGGGAGCGACTTCGGCGACGACGAGGGGATGAAGCCGCCCATGTCGAATGCTGTACAGGCGGCGGCGCAGGCAGCGGCAGCGCAGGCGTTGACACAGCAGCCGAGTAATGTTGCACCATCGTTGACGTATGCTGCCAGGCTGCCGGTCAACTCGCTGGCCTGGCACCAGAATTCGCCAGAGTGGATCTCGATTGGCTTTGGAAACACTGTGCAGACGCTGCGACTGTAGTGAAAATTTTAATTATCTTGTGCGCTTGATCAAGTAAACGTTTACACTGAAGAAAATAATGAGACTGCAAATATCTAAAATAGAAAATTCATGTTTTACATGTGTGTACTGCCTTTATCTTACCTCCAGCAAAATGTGTTACCTTTACATTTTGTTAAAAGGTAGTGCGTTAAGTGCGTAAACACAATCTCCAAGGTTACCCCGCAGGCTGGGGTTTTGTTTACAGTACAGTCTCGACTTTTTTTCCCGCAGTAAACTAAAAAAATTGAAGTGACCTTTGATCAATGTTCATATTTTTTGCTCTTCTTTTTTCCCGCCTCTTTGCCTTTTTCATTAATTCAAATTTTTGAAATTCGAATTCTTTTTAAATTTTCAAATGAGTGAGTGCAATGAGAGCAGCACAGGTGAGCTTCATGAGCTTTCCGAGCTTGGTGTCCAGGTCATGGACCAAAGTGCACTCGAGCAGACCGTGCAGAACCAGGCCAGGCGCGACATGGCCTCAAACGAACTAGAAGTACAGCAAAAGCGCTTACTACGCTCACAAATAGCTCTGGACAAGAAAAATGAGATGTTACGAAGAACCCGCGACACAATATCCAAAACAGCACCGACAACCGTGCGGTACCAGAGCGCCATGGACAAGGCAGGGCGGCTAGAGGATGAGATATCTCAGGTTAAAGCCGACGTGGCGGAAATCGAGGAGCACATTCGGCAGATACAAACAGGGGCGGAGGAGCTGGCGGTCTGTGGTGGTGTCAGTATTGGACATGGGCTGTTGGACGATGAGCGCGCGTCTGGGCAACCCAGCGTTACACATGATGGCCTGGTGAGGTTGCTTGTTCCCAAGCGGAGGGCGGCTATTGCCGCTGAGCAAAAGCGACAGGTCAGTTTCCAAGAAGACATTGATGTCGAGTCGGATACTGAGTCGGATTCATACATGCCGCCGCCACTGCCGCCTCCTCCTCCTCCTGCATCTTCTGGAGACACCAAGAAGAGTGGAGGGCGCGATGATCAGCGCGGCAAAGCCAAGCGCAAATTATTGGACTCAGAATCTGAGGACGCGAGCTATAACGAAGGGTCGGATGATCAAGACGACGTAGTGGATATAGAAGAATTGGCCACAGACGACGAGCTGGGAACCACAGGCAGTATTGTGATCGGGAGACCACGGCCCAACGAAGCAGACACCTTTGACGATGGAAACGAGCTATTGTACCAACAGCGCATCCTTGGCTGGTGTGTTTCGCGCTGGCGTGCGCGGCAGGTGGCCGAAGGCAATGTCATGGCATCCACGGCGGACATCCCAGAAGATCTGGCAGCATACATTGAGGTTGACGGTCAGCACATTCCGCGAGCACAGATGTTGGAGGAGCCATTTCTTGATGATCCTGACACACCCGACTACAAAATAAAAGCACACGATCGGGGAAAGCCCTCGCTGCGAGTGCCGCGGCAAATCTGGGACAAGCTCCTCGAGTACCAAAAGGCCGCCCTGCGATGGATGTTCACTCTACACCAGCAGAATGCCGGTGGCATTCTTGGTGACGAGATGGGTTTGGGAAAGACTGTCCAGGTAGCTGCATTTCTGGCCTCGATGTACCACTCACACTTACTCAGCCAGCCGTCCATCGTCGTGTGCCCGGCCACTCTCATGCGGCAGTGGGTGCGCGAGTTCCACACGTGGTGGCCGATGCTGCGTGTGGTCATCCTGCATAGCACCGGGTATGCCATGCGGGTTGGCGGGTTGGCGGCAGACGAGGGGATCTTTGGCCAAGAGGGCGACAACCCCGGGGATCTGGGCCACAGTCTAACCAGCAATCTGCCAGCCAACACAGAGACCGCGATCTGGGACGCCGCACGGGAGGCCAATCCGCGGTTTGCCAGCAGAATCGTCGATGACTCTGACGAGTTTCAGTTAAACTACGATAGCACGGACGATTACGAGTATGATGCATATGGATCGCGCATCCGTCGCAAACGCCGTCCGCGCGGGTACGTCGATTGGAAGAAGAAGCAGCAGCAGCAGGGGAAAAAGAAAAAAGTCAGGCATACGGGCATGAGCCAGGCATCGACAGCGAGTTTGCGACATGCTGGGGCGCTAGTCGACCACGTGCAGCGACACGGCCACATTGTGATTGTGACATATTCGGGCTTACAGGTATACCAGAAGGCACTGCTCGGGCGCCAGTGGGGGTACGCAGTGCTCGACGAGGGCCATATGATTCGCAACCCAGACGCAGAGGCCACGTTAGCGTGCAAGAGGCTGGACACCAGACACCGGATTCTGGTTACTGGCACGCCCATCCAAAATGGGCTTACAGAGCTGTGGTCGCTTTTTGACTTTATATTCCCGGGCCGCCTGGGCACTCTGCCCGTATTCAACAACCAGTTCACTGTGCCCATTACTGTCGGCGGCTACGCCAGCGCCAGCGCTCTACAGGTGCGGGCCGCTTACCGCTGCGCCTGCATCCTGCGCGACCTCATCGATCCGTACCTTCTACGCCGTCTCAAGGCTGATGTTGCTCGGGACCTGCCGCACAAGACAGAGCAGGTTTTGTTCTGCCGGCTGACGCCCATGCAGCGCAGCGCGTACAAGTCATTCTTGACCAGCGGAGACATGGAGCGCATTTTGTTGGGAAAGCTGCAAATGCTCTTTGGCGTCGACGTGGCTCGCAAGATTTGTGATCACCCCGATCTGCTTCTGCTGTCGACTATGCCGAGCGCGCACAGGACGCACAATATGGCCAGTGCCGTCCACGCGGCGCCCCAGACAGCAATATCCAGCAACGGAAATGAGGCTGACAATGGCGCTGATGCTAGTGGAACCACGGGGGCTCTCCCACCGGACTATGGAGACTGGAGGAAGAGCGGCAAGCTTACCATTGTGCGGGCGCTGCTGCAGATGTGGAAGCCCCGCGGGCACAAGGTGCTGATTTTCTGCCAGACCCGCCAGATGCTCGACATTATCGAGCGCATGGTTTCGGCGATGCCCAACATAAATTATCGCCGGATGGACGGGAAAACACCTGTACAGAACCGCACGGCCCTTGTCGACGAGTATAACCGCGACAAGCACATTTTTGTTTTCTTGCTAACCACCCGCGTTGGCGGTCTGGGCATCAACCTGACGGGTGCAGACCGCGTGATTCTTTACTCACCCGATTGGAACCCGAGCAGTGATATGCAGGCCCGAGAGCGCGCCTGGCGCCTGGGACAGACCAGAGACGTTGCGATTTACCGACTGATGACCGCCGGCACCATCGAGGAAAAGATTTATAATCGCCAGATATACAAGCAGTTTTTGTCTAACAAGATTCTGTCGGACCCGAAGCAGAAGCGCTTTTTCCATTCGCAGACCCTGCAGGATCTGTTCTCACTCGCAGGCTTTAATGATGGTGGTCCAGATGAAGACGAAAATCAGGATGCAGGAAATCCCGCTTTGTCGTCTGCTGTCAGTGCCTCCGGGACGACAGGTAGTGCCCGGATTAACAGCACAATGACGGGTCGGATGTTTGCCGATGCGCAACTGTTTCCAAAACCTGACAGCGACGACGACGAAGCCGGCAACAACAATGCTGATCCTTCTGCTTCTGCTTCCAAAGAGAGCATTTCTGTCGATGGTGATGGCGCCAATGCCATCGACTCAATTGTCGGCGTGGAGCGCCTGGAGGAGTACAGGCCTGCCAGTGAAACCGATGCTGAGGATAATGCTACCAGTGCGGCTGATGGTACGAGTGGTAGAGGTAGCGGAGAATCGAGTAAACGGACTCCAGAGAAAGATAAGACTTATGCGACCAGTGGTGAGGACCGCGTTTTGCAAAGCTTGTTTAAAATGTCCGGCGTTGTGCACAGCGCCCTGAAGCATGACGCCATCGTCAATAGCAGCAGCAGGGACGACGAGGACGTTCATGCTATTGAGCAGCAGGCTGATCGTATTGCTCATGAAGCGCGCATGGCGCTGCGTGAGTCTCAGCGCTCGCGACGCCAGGTGGATGTCCGTGTGCCAACATGGACGGGATCTTCGGGCCAGGCCGGCATCCCGACAGCGAACGATCAAACTCCCGGCGCTGGTCGCGTGGCGCCTCCGCCAAGTGCAATCCTCGGAACCAGGCTACCGCCAAAGGCCCAGGAGCTGCAGAGGCAGCAAGAGCAGGGGCGGCTGTTGGGACTTCATGCCTTAGGAAAATCACGTTATGGTCCGCCGCCACCACCAGCGGCTTCTTCTTCGCGAGCGAACTTAACTCAAGACAGTCTAATTTACAACTCTGACTTGACGCGCAGGGCGGTGCTTGATCGAGCACTACCATCATCCAATATTGTAGCTTCCCTGAGCATGAGTCACTCGCAGACTCCAAAGTTTGGCAGCCATCTGGTTGCTGGCATGCATCGCGCAAACGGAAGTAGCAGCAGCTCTGTAATGTCGTCAGCGGGCTTGCTGGCAGGGCTGAAGGCCAGATCGGTGGGCGCCGTGGGCGCAACGACTGCAACGACATCCAGCCCACAATTCCTGAGCGGTCGAATCTCGCGCCCGACTGATTCCACGGATGGCTCACGCAATTTTGGCGCAGCGGCCAGATCACCGAATCTGAGCAATGTTCAATCACGGCCACACGGCACCCGCCCACTTTTACCTCCTGGTAACACTGGCAGTGGCCGTGGCTTGCTCGCTGACTCTGCTGTTGCTGCCACCTCATCAACTGCGCCGCGGATGGCCCGACCAGCTGCGTTGAGCGACAGCGACAAGGCTATTGTCGAGCGCATCCGTAGCACATTAATTCAAAGTGGAGGCGAAATGACCAACAAGTCGCTTGTTGATGCCTTCCGGTCAGAGTTTTCTCTTACGGGGCTTCCAAAGCTGAGACAGCTTGCAGAGACAATAGCTGATTTAGAGTCACGCCAGCCGACCACCAGCAGTAAGGCTAGCCAAATTGGAATCGGGCGCGTTGTACAAAAGATGTGGAAGCTCAGAGACAAGCGATAGATTTTATATTATTTATTCTAGAATATTTTGGATACATTTTCGTTGTCATAAATTGGGCGTCACAAGCAGCAGCATGTTGGCACAACACATGCAATGCTGCAAGCCATATACTGTCAAGCAAATCACACACGCAATGGCCGGCGAGCGTGACATATGAAGCTTAATTGCAATAATCTACTACTTATTTCTCAAATATTTTATTTCATGACCGAGCTACACTATGTTATTATTGTCCAAATATTATATATTTTTATCCACAAATATCTAGTCAGAGCTCGCGCATCCTCGGCATCCACAATGCACACATTCAACCGTCCGCCCTTCCTCAAGATTGTTCTTTGGCACCCTGCAAATGCAGGTTGTTCCGTAGTTCGAATCGAGGGGTTGTATGCACTGCAGGCAGCACAGCTTTTCAAATCCCTGCGCTTTCCACTTGGCAATGAGGTTTGCATCTCCGTAACCGTTCTTTAAGCAGTATCTATACAACTTGCGGGAGATGGCCTCCCGCTTGTAATAAAGATCGAATAAGTATTTGGATCGCTGGTGGTGGACTCGCATTACGGACCATGTTGATTCGACTTTGCGCATTCCCTCTGTGGACTCGTTTTCGGCTACAGTACAGAAATAAAAAACAGCCACACAAAAACCCAGGGGCTCTTGCCATGCCCAAACGAACCAGGATGAAAATAAGACAGATTTGTGAGAAGCGCAGCTTAAATAAAACAGAGAATTTACATAGGACAATGATGATTGTGGCATGTGAACAGCATTCGAAGAAATGACAATACCAATAACACAACCCGGCTTCCAGCAGTGTGGATTAAATACATCGTCGCAAATAGACAAGTCCTGACATGTGTCTTGTTATCAGAATATTGACAAATAAAATATTTGGCTGTGTGGTATAAACAGCGTGTAAAATAGAATAATACTTGTAGAAACTTGGCAAAAACAAGCTAGGGCGAGCAAAAAAAATGAAAAAATATTTTTTCACTCGAGTTAATTATTTTTTAACCATGTGTTGTTCCAAAATATAAATATTGGAAAACAAAGAATAAGCAGCATGTCGTATATCATGCGATACCAAACATATTTTGGCAAGTCACAATAATGCATTGCAAAAAAAAGTGAAATGGACGTTGTTGGAAAATGATGGAGAATGAAACACATGATACGTGTGTGTCATCCAACGGCTCTTCTTTGGTTGTTTATTATGAAATATACAGGCGATGCCTGGCCCAGTTATAAAAAAAGCATGACATCAGTACTGCTTTTCAACCATTTATTTTTCAACACGTCGCTAATAAGCAACAATTTACAGTTTGAGCATCTCAGGGCCTTGACATTCGCATGACTACCATTCAGTTAAAAAAATAGACAAAATATGGACTGCTTACCTTCACGCATTTCTTGCTCAAATTCCTTCAGCGTCGGCTCAATGTCATCCCAGCCCTCTGGGCACTTCTGCTTGCGTTTGCTGAGCATCTTGATCTTTGGCATTATTGGGTAATTATAATAAAAATGTGGACGATAAAATTATACAACTGGTTTGCTACTGGCGCTTGAAAATAAATAAGCACCCTCGGAATTTTTTGACACGTTTTATTTATAAACTTGCACGCGCTCGGCACAGTGTTTTGGGATCCAATCACCTTAACTTCAGGCCAGCCCAATATAGCAGCAATGCCGGCAGCATAAACAGTAGCGTGTAGCAACCCAGAATAAGGTATGCCTGCATCGAGTCGCAAAGCAGAGTCTCAATGAGCATGTTTACCGAGCCAGTGAGCAGATTGGCCACAAGGAACGTTGTTAAGCTGTTCATGTTGACCGCCTCCAAAATAATCGGCACAGCATAGCCTGCTGGACGCCCTGAGCGTGAGAGTTGCGGCGGCAATTTGGAATCAACATCCTCCTCGACTAGCATAAACAGCCATATTGTGAAGGAGTTAAATCCGGCGACCCAGAAGCAGTAGGGCGCATTGGCAAATCGGCGAGACGGCTCGATGCCACAAACAAAGCTCGCCAGCATGAAGCTGATGCAGGCCGTCGTCCACACGCCCAGAACTGAGACCAGGCGCATTCGGCGCTCTTTGAACGTCCGCACATCCGAAAGGATTTCGCTGCCGAGACTCATTCCCATCAAGAACATGGCCAGATATCCAATAAATGAAAAAATACCCTCGCGGTTAGCAGAGACGAGGCCAGTGCGATCAGCATTTTCAAGCCAGTCGCCAAAAGGCGTCAAACTGTATACAGCCTGGTAAACCACGACCAGTACAGTGGAGGTGACACGCAAATCGCTGTACACATGGAGTCCCAGGGGCACAAATATCGGCAGAAAACCGAGTGTGAAGAAGAAGTTCCAGTGCGTGCCGTATTCAGAGACGTGCTTTTGATAGTCGACCGATTCAGTGAGCACCAGGCGAGCAAAGCCCAAAATGAGTATCGGAAACGCAGTCCACAGTCCGGCCTTGAGCTGATGCGCCAGAGTGGCAGTGACCAGTTTTCCCTTGACGAGGCGCGGCAGAAACGGCTTTACTCCAACCACCCCGGCAGAAAACACAAACGATCCGACACCCAGATCCATTATCGATGTTCCAAATGTCTCAACTTTAGCAAATTTCAATGGGAACACGTTAAAGTCCACAGCAAGGATGCAGAAGCAAGTGAGGAGCATCATCTCAGCACGATATATGCTCAGGTAGGCCTTTGGTGAGACTTTGCCGAGAATATGGCTCTTTTCGAAAGCTTCAGCGCGCGGGTCAGGGGCCCATTTGTCGTGGCGATATGGCGGGTCGGGAATCTTCCACCGAAAATACACACTGCCGCCTATCAAAACTGCCAATGTCAGGTAGACAAATCGGTCAGTCAGAGTGAGGAACATGGGCACAAAGAACACCGCGCATTCAAACAAAACCCGTGACCACTGGCTCTCAGTGAATCGCGTCGGATTGCGGTGGTAGTCGGCAGCTGTTTTGCACTTCCACAGCCAGTATGAAAGCACGACAGTGGAGATAACAAGGTGGATCTCAGTCAGGCCGCTGCCATCCAAGTTGGACACCCGCCACTCCTTGTACTCCTTCGACGTCACATCGATGGGAGGCTGCGAATTCATTGCTTTGTTGCGGCTATGCACAGCCTCTTCAAATGGAGGTGGTTTCGAATTGAAGTTTGAGATGAGGAGAAATAAAGAAATAACTAAAAAAATGCACAAACGATCGAAAGTTGAAAAGAAAAGCTATGCCCCCTTTGATTTTGTCATCGCTTCGCGTTTTTATATTCCGCGTTGTTGCTCGCACATTGTTTTATTATGTTATATTCTTGCCTTTTTCTCTATTTATTTTTGCGCACTCGTTTGATTTGAATTATGTGTATTTGGTATTGAAAGTGTCCAAAAATGGTGTGCCCTACTTGCTCTCGGCATACGCCTCGGCCCACGACTTCTTGGCTTTAATTGTAAGATCAACCTTGTCCTGCGAGGCAATGGCAAGGTAAATTGTCGCTGCTGGCACAACCAGGCCCATCATTAGCAGAGCGGGAGCTGTGCGCCGGTTGATTTTGAAGTATCTGTGAGTATTCTGACGCATCCAAATCCACTCCTCGATTGCGGGGTCCTTCAGTAGGTTATCGTGATGTCCGGCCATGTTTATGCTGTTTGTCTGGTGAATTTCGTGTGTTTTGTAATTGAAGCGCGTCTGACGACCGATTGGGGGTGTGTCTAAATTTCGAGTGAAAACAAAACTAAAAAAGAATTTGAATTTCGCTTCACATAAAATTAAACCAGCTGAACCACACAGCGAGGAAACCATGAATCAAGCGATCAGCATATAAAAAGTCGAGATAAGATTATTGGTGATTCTGTGATCACTCATAATATGGTAGTCACGGTGATTTCGCTATTTACGACGCGTATGAGGATTCTTGGGACGGCAAATGAAAGACAATAGAAAAGGGTGGCGAATCCCTACATTGAAGATATCAGGTTGAGGATACAGGATAAGTGAGATTGTATGTGGGCTAGTTATTTTTAGCATGTGTGTGTACTCCTCCATCGTCAGGGTGATTGTGGTTGCTGTTTTGGATTTTCTGTTTGCTTGCTGTTGTGGTCGTTTATAGGGTGTTTGCAGGCGTCAAACCTGGCCCTGTGCTCACATAGCACAGATCGTTCTATTTCAAATTGGGTTTCTGGAATCCAAACAAGAAACGGTAAACAATGATATATAATCGGTCCAGATATGCCGATTGTGTGTTTATGGGCTCACCCGAGATACGTTATTCAGATACGCGCAGCTTTTTTATGACATCCGCAATATTGATATTCTATTCAACGCAATATTGACAACACATTAGATTGAAAAAAGGACAGCGTTTAAGCAATTAAATCGTGATACACATAATACTGTTTAATGCCCAATTATTGTGTCGCACGAGCTTATATCTGGTTAAAACGAAAGTTTGGTTTCTTAATACTCAAGTAATTCGGAAATCACCGACGCAGCTGTACATTTCGATTAAACATGTGTTTGTAGTTTTTTGTTATTGTTCGTTAGTTTTACTACTAAACGCGACTACATGCGCGTAATTAGTTTTATATCGCCATACAGAAAAATACGCACGCCTTCTTTATTTTTTGTTAGCAGTAATGATATGTACCAATTTCTATATTTTTATTTTCTCCAGCCGGAAGGCTCGCCAAAGCGTGCATCGCACGACCTTGGAATATCGGATTTTGCGTCTATGCGTACGGCGCTTGCATTTAATTTGGGTCGCATATCTGGTGTGTGCACTTCAAGCCGAACGGAACTGTGGATTTTCCAAGTAAATAATGGATAAAGACCATTGTGAACCATCATGGATAGTAGCTGAATAATTGTTGAACATGTTTTGAATACACGCGGGGCAACATAATGCAACACAACACAGCATAATGTAGCTGTATTTTTCTTGGTTTGGATACACATTGGTGTAGATGATGTTAATAACGGCAGTGGTTAGCAGAAAAATGATGTTCATTTTGTATTGAATCGACTGTAATGGTTTTACCAGTTTTACATAGCAGCCACCAGATCGGCTGTTTTACAGCCTGACTAAATAGCTTAAATTATATATGGCCAATAGGTGGAAATTCTTTATTATTTGCGATTGGAGTGTACCCTGATTTAACCAGTCGGACAAAAAGTGTTTTGTAATCCAACATTGTTAGCTGCAACAATCCATTAAAAGTAGCTCAACAATAACCCGATAGGCGTTATTGAAAACTAAAAAATAATTGTTGATGGGTTATGCAAAATCTAAAAGTTTGAGCTCATACACTCGCTCTGTGGATGTGCGCGCAATCGCTTCAGGTTGTACCGAAAACTGTGCTTCGAGCTGGAAACAACGTATTGACACGATCACATTGGAACATATCAACGCGCCTGTTTAATATATGTACTACGATATGGAGATTTCCTGCTCTAGCCATATCATATGCCTTTGAAAAAGCTTGGCAATTTAAAATATCAACAATAGCTTAACAACCCAATTGTGTATTCTATAAACCTGGAGGGAGTGGTTCAAACCACCCCACGACCCCTCTTGGCTAATGGCAAATCCAGCACCCCCCTTTCTCTTCAGCAGAAGCCATGCCTTTAGATGCGGACATGTACATAATAGCCTTGCGCGTGTGTAAGGCGGCAACAAGCAAAGCGGCTACCCCCTCCCTTTGGCCCCCATTTTCCCATCCACCTCGAAGAGTTGAAAAATAATCGTGGGTCATCTGTTTTTCATAAAAGGGCCTTACTCTTCCAAACAACTCGTACAGATGCTTCAATACAATTCTATCCTGGTTATTTCGATTTTTTCCTGCATTACTCTTAACCTCTTTTTACACGATTTAGCTCTACCTCCTGAAATATACCACCCCGCGCTTTAAATTAGCATTATCTTTATTTCCATTGCCTAAACTATTTTCCACGAACAGTATTTCCCATCAACCGCTTTTTAATGTTCCTGACTCTGAAGTGGATTGACGAAATAGTTAGTTCTTGTCTTTTCGTTTAGTTTAATCCATTTTATTTTTATTCTTCTTTATTTATCACTTTTTTCTTCTGAGCTCTAACATCCCTTTATCAATTTTAACGCTTTACTTTTTCCTTCAGCAGGTAGTCTACTATCCTGCTATCGTTTCGTGACCGCTTTTTTATATAATCCCTGTTGGCTCCATATATTACACAATTTATATTCGTTGAAGGATTGGTGGCTTATACTTGCACCCTCTCATCACCCGTGGCTACTAGCTCATCAACGCAGCTTCCACTTTTTTAAAGGTAAGAAGCAAAGTAACGGATGATTTTCTGTTCAAGCGGCCCATTCTGAGTTTCAAATATCAATGCAAAACTTATGATGCCAATGCATAAATAAATCTTTGAGAGCATATTATGCATACTTTTTTGTTAGAGGCTGAATAACAAGCTGTTATCCAGTGGTTGTAACTGTTACGCTATTTTTATTTGCCCTTTAATTGCTAAATTTTAAAAAGTAATTCCCAGTGTAAGTTTTTGCAGGTGCAGACATTTAGCTGGAGATAACGTGTTGTGCACCCTATCCGCACGCAATCGACTATCACCTACGCCTGTCTGTGTACCTTGACCATGCTTGATTTTTCTCTTCTTCCCTTGTCCTGGCCGTGTAATAATTATACGCTGGATCTAGTGTTTTCTTAATCAACTTCCCCGCGTGCTTCCATGCTTCCCATTGCCACGTTGTCAGCTTTGCCCTTGCTTGGCCTCGCTTGACCTCATTGACACTCACACTGAAAATTACACGCTCAAAAACCTACCCCACACCACTTGAACGCACACGCACACACTCCACCTTCTGCATTGCTTTCCCACACCCTCGAATTCGCATGCAGTGACTGGCTATACTTTTTTCGCATATGATTATTATTCTTTCCCCGCTTGCTCCCACCCCGCTCACATTCATTATGCTCTGTATTGCCTGTCCAGTTCCCTTCTAGATGTTAGTTACTCGTACCCCAGAAGTAAATTTGTCTCCTGTTGCGCACACACACATGCGGGTATCCACACTTATATTTTTCTTTGTTTTTTACCCATGCTATTCAATCATTATTATTTGCTGGAATTTCGATTTCACTTACACTCGCTCCTATACTCGTTCAAAACCCCCAACTCCGCCTACCTTCTCATTTGTCAACACTTCTTTCTTTTCCGACTTTCCTTATTGATTTTATAAAAAAATACTTTGCTTGCTGTATAGGTATTGTTCATTTACAGTCAGCTTGCGACAGTATCATTCCACATCGTGTATGTGGTCTACAATCAATACTCTCGTTGTTTAAAATACAATCCATTTTTGATATTTTATATTACAAAAGACGATATCACTAAATGTAATTGCGCTTTCTACAATGTTTATGTACATATAGTTTGAATTCATCCGTCTGATCCACGGGTCCGAATTCGCGCACATTCAAGCAAGTGGCTGAGCAGTATGGATTCCCTTCCTCCACAGCTAATGGGCAATTTGCTCTGGCAATCCCCACAGATGCAGCAACAGCAAGCCCAGCAGCTGGCATCTATGGGCCAAAATCTCCACCCTGGCCAGTATCAACAACAATTCCATCAGCACCAACACCAACAACAAAATCACCAACATCACCACCAACACCAGCATCAGATAGGGATAAGTCTGGAAAATCATTTGTTTGGAGGCTCAAACATCTCTACCAGCGCATCCAGCATCAATCCATCAATCCATAACCATCACGCAAGTGGAGTTGACGAGCTCCCACTTTGTGCCACAGCCTCTACCTCGCAGTTTATCCCAATACCCACACAGTGCACCGATTTGGCCGCACCGTACACCGGTGCTAATCTGCATCTAAAAAGCTCGCCTGGACTGGTGGCCTCTATTCCTAGAAACCTCAATGCTCCCGACTCGCTGCAAGAACATTCTGACGACAAGCAACTGATGTCTTCCGCGGATATGGATGAGGATGATGGCCAATTTGCTCACGAGTTCGGCGAGAGATCAGGGTCATCTGAGCCCAACGATGACCCCTCCAACAAGAAACGCCATCGCCTTCGCCCAGACCAGACCCGCCGCCTGATGGAGGTCTTTCAAAAAACAACAAAGCCTGATTCTGAGATGCGCAAGGTCCTGGGGAAGCAGCTGGATATGACACCGCGCACAGTGCAGATATGGTTTCAAAACCGTCGCGCCAAAATCAAGCGCGAGAGCAATGCAACCAGCCCTCTGAGATTGCCCGGGTTTTTCGGCTCTCCCACGTACGCCAACCGCGGACGTCTTGCCTTCAATCGCGAATTTGTGAACCACCGCCCGATCAACCGAGTTGCATCTGAGGGATTCGGGCATCTGCGAGGCAGTCGCGGGTTTGAGCCCTACCCGCGGCAGGATCTGGGCCACAGTCTGACACTACAAAATCCGTCGCAAGTTTCAATACCCATGGACGTCCAAACAAACTTTTCGCTCCAGACCTTGCGCAACAGAGGTGGGCTGTCTATCGGGCAGAGCGCCATTGGCGTGCCCGCAGCCCCAGAGCGCAGCAGAACATTTTCTGGGTTTATGCCTGGAAGACCAGACATCTCCTCGGCCAGCATGGACCACATTCTCGGAAACATATTCACCATGGGCACCTCTGAGCACATGGGTTTCCCAAATATAAACCATGCAGCCATGGGTGACTTTTCGGGCCTGTCGTCTGCAATCCCCATGTCGTCGCAAAGCGGGGTCGATTCGACGATGGCCCTGCAGCTGCAAAATTCACAAAACGAACACGTCTTCTGGCAAAACCATACCAACCAAGAGCCTGTAGGCAGACTGATGGCCGAAAATAACGCATATGTGCCCACACCCGCTGCTGGAAGCAGCGATAGTCTTGATTCAAGTCACATGTCAGGTCAAGCTGCAGGCTCTCAGCAGGGCCATCAGCTTTCTCAGCCTCGCACCTCATGTCTTCCCTTAACCTCGTCATCGGATGTGCCCACTGCTGGGGCGCTTCTCGAGTCGCGGCGGCGCCATTTGCAAGATCTGATGATTATTAACCAGACACACGCAGCGCGCAGCCTCTGCGCCGGCAGCCTGCCGCCCGGGCATGTCAGCATGCAAAACAATATCTCTGATACCAGTCACAGCACGTGCAGGGCGCTACCATTCTCTGATCTTGCCAACCACCCCGATCACAGCGCTGACGCACTGGCCTCTCCTATGAACTCCTTTGGTGGCCGTGGCCCTGGCGGAGACTATTCGTGCCAGATTGTTAGCATGCAAGGATCCACCCAGTACAGTGCGACAAGCAGCTCTGCACCAGTTTCTCAGAGATTTACAAGCAATATAAGCAGCACGGACAACGATAACGGCAGCATCGATGGCGCTTTAGCGGGCAGTGCACCTAGCAATGCATCAGAGTCAAACGATATGGTTACCGGTAGCCATCAAGGGACTCAACATGCTTTAGCTGCCGCCGCCGATCGCCAGCGCCAGCCGGCCTCGCTCACCCTGGGTCTAGGCTGCTCCACCGACCAAGTTGAGAATTCACAGTATCAGATATTGAACGACTTGCTGATGCAGTGCAACGCATTTGAGCTTTTGGCAGGGAATGACAAGCTTTGCCAAAGTGAGGATCATCCTTTAAGCGACTCCAGCGAGCAGCCACTTTCGTCGTCAATCCAGTTAAACGCGACGCCAATGGGCATTAGCACGGACCGCATGGACTTGCAGAGCAACATTGGCGCTGCATCTCTGCAGCCGGGCTGCTTTAACGAATCATTCTTCACAGGAAACAATATGATTGCCAATACTGTAGCCACAGTGTACATGAATGCCAGCTGCGCTGGTTCAACTGCGCCGACGGGTTATTCTTCAAGCACCAAAGACAATGACAATTACCCTTTGGGAAACAGCTCATTTATGACCGCCTCTGCCAGCCCAGCAACTTCGCCCGAACACTACGCACACGACATGGGAGGATCTGCGCCTGTCGCTTTCCATGCTCCAATTTCTGATATGGATTCGCTTCAATCCAAGCAAGACTCCGCCAACCAAGTATCTGTTGCTCCCAGCACACTTGCAGGACAGCGCGATTATACTATCGAGCAGATCTATTACTCATCCGCACAATTCTAGTGTGAATTGAAATAAATACATCAATGTGTACAATTAGTATTTTTCATCCAACTTGGGCATATAATTTCTCATTTTATTATTTAATGTGTTTTTGGCGTAAATCGCGAACTTGCGTATTCTAATTATATTTTTTATTAAACCTTACAAATTTATGCAAATGGCTTTTTTGCAATATATCGTGTATATTTCTGGATCCACTTGCTTTCATGCACAATTCACAATATACAACACGCTCGTTTAACGTTGTTGCAACATTGAAATAGCCGAATCTAATGTAGCGGAAATTTGAACTCGTTTATTTACATTTATTTGAAATAGTTGCAAAATTATTGCGCCGCAATCGCACAGCAAAGCATGGCATGGCATAAAAAAGCAAACCAAAACAAAGGACCACAATATAAAATGCCGATTTCTGTATTCAGAAGTATTTATTTCATTAAGTAAAATGCAGCTCAGCGGCTTTAGAAGCCATGGGCTGCAGCGCAGACAAAGTCATTACTGCAGCAGGATATAGCAGGAGAAGCAGTTGTTTTATTGATGGCGATAGAACCCACTGTATCGCCTGTCTTGCCCATCCCTGGAATACAGAACGGCGGGTAACCCATCAGCTTGTTGGTCGTTGAGAACAGCTCGTATATAGAGTCTGTCGAGCTAAATGACATGGAGTCCGTGGGTGCCGGTCTATGCTGTTTATGGTGCTGATACTGATGCAGCCGCATCTGTAGAGAAGGGCTAGTGATTTGCTGACATTGCTGCGCCACTCCGGCAGACATCATCCCATTGTTGGTATTGGGCAACGCTGCTGCAATTCCGGCGACTGTCTGTTGCACATGATATTCCCTTTTCCGAGTGACAGCAAAATGCTCATCATTCGCCAGATGGACCACATAAGCTGGGGAGGCTTGTTGCGCGTGATTGTTGGCTGGGGCCTCGACAAATCGCGGGCAACTTTGCACAAGTTGGCGCAACTCTTGCAATGTGCAGCGCGCGATGGGGTTGATGTCCAAAACACGATGAATAATGTGTTCGAAATGGGGTGTCGCGCGGATTGCCTGGCACAAGAACGACTTTTCTGTGAGGTAGCGGCGGAAGAGAGCATCTGAAGTGTGCGCGCGGTTCCACGGGTTTCGCCCAGTGGTCAGATTGATCAGTATAATCCCGAGTGCCCACACATCGTTGGGTGCAGCGGCATAGCAGTCAAGATTGTTGTTGATTCCACCCTGGCACTCAGGGCTCATGTAGTATGCCGAGCCGCAGCCAATCTCGCCACACCACTGGTTACTTGTGGAAAGGCCAAAGTCGATGAGCTTGACGTTGAGAAAGTCCTGCGTGACTAGTACGTTCTCGGGCTTGATGTCGCGGTGGTAGACACCATGAGTGTGACAGTGCTCGACGGCAGATACTAGCTGTAGAAACAAGCGTCGGATGAGCGCGTCGTTTCCTGGAAGGTGGAAATATGGATTGTTCGATATGTTGTTGTACAGATCGCCGCCAGGGCAATTCTCCATGACCATAAAAAGCTGATCAGGTGTGTGTAACATGCGCTCTAGCCTGACAATATTGTTGTGAGGCGGAATGCGTGAGTAGAGAGATACCTCGCGCGAGAGAAGCCGAGCTTCAATAATTGGCTCTTCTGATATTGGCGCACCCTGCTGCTGCGTTTGCAAGGTTTCTGGCGTGTGCTTACGAGGAAGCACTTTGACTGCGTAGACCTCTTTGGTGCGCCGATCGATTGTACGGTACACCTCGCCGTATGTCCCCACGCCAATGAGTTTGACAAACTGCAGGTTGCCGTTGTCTATGGATTGGTTGAGCATTGCTCCGGACTTTTGCCGCGGGGAAACAGGGGTTGTTTGTGTATTGGCGGTGATAGGCATATGCGGCATGGCGTATTTCCTTTTTTTGAAGCTGCAGTGAGTGTGAGAGCGAGAGCGAGTTGTTGATGACGATAGTGATGATAAATATAAATATAAAAGTACTGATGGGGGCGTTGAGAATAATACAATAAAATGCCAATGAAGGGTTCAAAATAAGAGAAAGTACAAAATATAAAAGTTGGTGTGCGCATGTATAGACAAGCGAGCAACCCTTGTTTATATAAGTAACTTTTGGAGGAATAGCGGTGTGCTGGGGACAGGGGTGGTCACTGCGGCTTTTTTTTGGTTAATATCTTTATATTCTATAAATGGCTTTTGCCGAAAAAAAATATACACAAAGCATGCAACACGGGTGAGGATGTGTATTGTTGTTATTGCATGAACAGGAATATTCGGGTGCGTAAGTATTGCAATAATTTAGAACTCAAAGAACAATAGAGAAATGAAATAATGACAAACCGGCTTTGAAGCTTTGCTGCGGGTCTGTTATTATGTTTTCTGTTCATTGTATTTACTGTATCTATGCAGAAAGGCAAAAAAACACAAAAAACCAGCCCAGAATAGACGAGTGGGGATGCTCATGCAGGTGGTGCTGCAAACAGCATCCCGAGTCTGAATTCCAGAAACAGCTGAACAGCTCCCCCAGGCCATATTTCAACAGCAACACTGATGATTTTTTGTTACAACTGGCTACAGTCCCACTTAGTGTATTTGTGCCTAAATTTGCGACTGGTTTAAATTATTTCTACCCGAGTCAGATATAACGCCTGGTAAGTATCCAGAAAAAAGTGTGCGCATTCGTTTCTACCTATATGATGCACAAAATTCTCAATAAATATAGGACAAGAAGCACATGCTACACAAGTGTAGTCACTAGTTTATGCCAGTAGCCCAGCGTAACAGGTCACTGTCCAGGCATTATATTTTCTCTTACCCTTATTTCCGGATAAAGTCCAGCGGCCGCAGACTTTTCACCATTGTTTTTCTGGGCTGGCACAAGTATATGTGTTCCCGTCTAATTTATTTTGGTATTTATCCGAGGGAGCAATACAAATACTTTTACTACTGTTGGAGGTCATTTTATCGATATTTTATACTTGGTTAATTTTTAATTGGATAGCCTGCCGCAAGACCACAGCCATCGCGTGTGGGTAATCAACTTATTTGAATTTAATCACGCGTGCTAAAAACATTGGTTTATTAATAAAAAAATTACTTCAAGTACCACCCGCTCTACTTGTAAAGTATATACACATTTAGGTGTTTGAGCGTACGCCCAAACAGCATGATACAAAAAACAATGTTTCGCGTAAACACGCAACCACTTCATATTTCAAGCTCAAAAAGAGCGCATCACAAACAAAGAAGGTTGATCACATAAGAAAAGAATAAGGCTACAAATCTCCTGGAAATCGACATCCTTCCCTCCAGATTGACTAACAACCTAACGTGCTTAAAAATCAGTGGCAATAGACCATTATGGTTGACGATATTAATCAGTTCGCTGTTTCTTTTAAAGAGAAGAAGCAGGGACAGATGGGTTCTTGCGCACACGCTTGGTCTTGGGCTTTGACTTGAGGGTCGATGTGGACTCGGTTTCAGCCGACTCTGATAATATATTTTTGCGCAAGAGACGGGGAGGGCGCTCGCCTGTAAGCAGGGCATTAATGATGATGCGAAAGTTTAGCACCGCAGCCATGTCAGGATTCCACTTCCGTCTACCTGATGGCACTTTTCGCCACCCTTGACCTTAGTTCCGTTGGTCCCGAAGGTTTGTAGGCAGTCTTCTATTGTGCACTGGAGCAAGCCGTGGCATACATTTTGGCAAAAATTTTCTACCCTCGGAATTGTATTCATGCCTGTTGCGGCTACCTGCTGCTGCTGCCGATCCTGCACCTGTAATGCGAATAGACTGGTTATAATAGATATTACTTAAAAGAGACTACGAAAAGAGTTAAAGAGCTCACTATTCAGAAATCGCTGTGCGCATGAAATATCATAAACATATTTCACGCGTCTACGCTGGCACGTGCCTCACCCCCCATTTCTGATGTCATAGCACCTGCTGCGTGGCCAACTCATCGCGTATCCTCTGTCTGATTTTGCGCTCAATTTTGCCCCGCGACCAGCCGCTCAGCCTGACAATGCGCTTGAGATTATCAGCAGGCTGAAGATTAACGAATTGCTCCCGATTTCGCTCAGCAAGCTCATTCCGCAGCTGCTGCTTAATTTTGCGGGAAATATTTCGCTTAGACCAGCCCTTTTCCCTCCCCCATTCACCAGATAATATCAGCAGACTGTGGGCGAATAGACATCCACTGGTTGCAAATCTGCTGCGCACTATCAATAATAGATGCGGCGTCGGCGGCAGTTTTAGTTGCAACAGAAATGGCGGTGGTTGCACCTGCGACAGAATTGTATGAATATAATTACATCGTTAAGCGTCACGATTAACCCATAAACAAAACACCAGTTGGACACAAACATTAAATACCCCTGCATTTTTAAAAATCTAGACTTTCTTGTATTTTAGTCTAAAAACCTGGGGAACACGGGCTTTGAAAACCCCCCGCTTAAAAATCTAGAATTTCGCTATAAATGTGGAAATTCTAAAATACATTTCCACTAGTGCATTGCACCCAACTTATTACATAACAGGAATTTTCCTGCATATCATTTCAGCATGATATTTTGTTTTAAAGAACTTCATCTGCTGATTCCCGTTGCCATGAACACGTCAAGCCATGACAATGTAGGTTTCAGTAAGTACATATAAAGTGAGTATTTTTTGCAAAAGTCTTGGTCACTCGGCTTTTAATGTAACCAGCGCACCATTGCAAAACACATGGCCTACCACAAATTGCAGGCACACTGTCTGTGATACAAGGAATTGCGGCTTGTCTCCGGCGATTGATTAATAAATCAATCGCTAGTTAATTCCCTACTTGGATATGCGGGAATTCATACGCACACATAAATACTAATGAATATGACCAGTGGAGGCTGTTCATCCCTTAACTTTCTTTTAGTTTATTTTGTTCAATATATATATATATATATATATTTAACACAACACTGTCTCTGGCTGACAATATTAAGTACAGTCACAAAATATTAGCTTTGCAACCGCATATAAAAATAGGATGTGTGCTGGTTGTGATTTATATGGCTTGCCCAGCATGGTTAGTTGCCAACCCATCTTTTATTTAATAGTCAAAATTGCTGGTAGCACTCCTGGCTCACATATTGCTTTGGAATACGCTTGGTACGTGGCTTTTCCTGCGCCATATACACTTTACTACACATATCCACCATACACACCATGTTATACTTACTGGTAGATGCAGAAATCGGAAATTTCATAAAGTTTAGCCACTTTACCCGCGGCGCTAAGCAAAAAAAAGCATTGCAAAAATTTAATAGTATAAAAAACGTGTGTATTGGCATTTGCATTTGCATATGTGTGGAAACGGCATAAATGTAACATCAAGAGTAGTTTAGTTATAATATTTACTGCTAACGCCTCGTTGCCAACAAAAATCTGCCACAAAAAGCTTTTGACATTTTCAGTGGCCAGAGAGCAATGGTCAGCTGCACCAATCAATGACTTTACAATATATTAATATAACGGTAGTCGCAAAGAAATGGCAAGCTTCTATTCAGTCTATCCTTTCCTTTCCTTTCCTTTATGCATATTTACAATTCAATAATAACAATTTTAATATCCAAGAATCTTATTTTGTAGTAGTAACTTTGCAACAATGAAGCTTTTGCGCGGATTAACAGTATTATCAATCAGCATTTTGTCAGTGGTTGCCCTGGGTGGCTCCAAAGAAAGTTCACTGGATCACATCGAGGTTGAGCGTGTCAGAAGATTGGCTAATGCGTTGAACGTATCTGACTCGGGCACACAGGGCATGCTCAAGGTGGCCGGGGATGCTAAGCGGGAGTTTCCACATCTTTTGCGGCTAGTGGATGACGTTCTCGAGCACAACATAGTTAAGCGTGTGGTTGACCCCGTAGTTGACCGGCTCCTTCCAACCGTAGCGCATGTGGTTAATCCTGAACATGTGTACAGGTTTGCCGATAATGCCGTTAATGCCGGTTTCGAGGTTACAGACGGCTTGCTGCGCGCAGTATTTGGGAGGGAATCTGGGCTGGGAGACATCTTGCATCGCCCGCGTCCAAAGAAACCAGCTATGGCTATACCTACAGCATCCAGTCTGAGGCAAATGATGCAAACAATGTAAAGCTTGTACTGCCGTAGTAGTACTTATTTGTTATATGTCTTTAAGGTAATTTAAGTTTTCAACATTTACCGAACTCTCACAATGACTCTTGTAGCAATTTTCTAATTTTACAAAAGTGTATATCAATATACGTCATTTCTCATAAGCACTCTGCAGCTGCATTTTTAGGTTGACTATGTCACATACTATTTCCAGCGATTTTGGCGAATTTTATCATCAAAAAATCAATACCCAGCTTTTAATAACATAAAATTTCGTACACTCGACAAAATGGCAAGCAATGCAACTGCAGTAGTGGTATGCATGGCCTGCATACCAAATATTGATGAGGGGTTTGGTATTGCTGGCAATAAAATATTATTGCGGAACATGCTTCATTTTAGGCAGAAGATAATGTGCGAAATGTTTGCAAAAAAACTGATTATGGATAAAATATTTCACTTTGACAATTAAACTTTAGCGCCTTTACCAATCAATATTTTCTAGTGCACCCATTCGCAATATAAAGACACAAATACTATGAGAATCGCATTAAAAAGATCATTATGCACTACACACTTGCTGTTAGTGTTGACGTCTGTAATTGTCTTGAAAAGTGTCAATGCAGATGATCAGCAAACTGAGCCCAGGTCTCCCTTGGTATCACCCCCACCATCTGCAACCACAGGCACCCAGGATTTTAATGTGCACCCCGAGAGCATCGTTCAGAGGCTGGCCGAGCTAGAGGATGTTGAGTTAAATGACAAACAGGGCGTGGATTTGAAGTCAGAGCTGGTGGGTGAGCTCAATCGCCTCGTAAGTGATACGGCAAATATAATAGGCCGACCACGCGAAGATGTTTACAACGGTATTGACGCCCTTATTAGGGCTAGAACCAGAGGCAGGCCCAGGCCCAAGGGCGAGCCACGGATGCACGTCAACCCAAAAGACCTTATAGGATTAATGTATAACGATGGGAGTCGCAAATTTTTTGGGCGGATGTTTAGTTTATTCCACCAGCTCGCCAGCGCGTACGTTAAATCGGTTTCGGCAAATGGTTTTGATACCAGCACCAGTACAACCAGCACCACCATGGGCGCCAGTGTACAATTGACATCAGAAGAAAGCTCAGAGCCAAAACCAACACCGACACCAACGCCCATACCGACAAGCTCTGAAAATACGACTAGCACAAGTGCCACTGCCAGTTCAAGTACCAGCAAGAGTAGTATTTCGACGACCAGCAGCAAAAAGAATAGCAGCGCAAAAAGCACCAGTAGCGATGTCGACTATGATGATGACGACGATGAGGACGACGACGAATATTATGATGAGGATGATGAAGGTGATAGCGAAAATGGCAGCGAACACAGCGACAAGAAGCCTCGAAATGGAAATGGAAACAGCACAGGCAAAAGCCAAGGGGCAAAGTATTGACATGGCTCGAGCGCATGCTGCTATTTAGGCTTTAATTTATGTTTATGTTATCACTTGCGCTGAGGAAAAAAATAAAGGAAGCCTGGGTGGCGGGATTAAAATTAATGAAAAAGCGGGTATGAAAAAGGGGGAGCCGAGTACGGAACCAAAAAGCACGCACGAGTACCGCGCCGGTTTTATCAGTGGTTTCCAGCGGACTGTTGTGGCACCAGCCGCGGGGACATGCTGATAATCCCTGGATCTAGGTAAAAGTAGTTGGGTTTGACGGCTTGGTCCGATGAAGTTCCTGAGGCCAGAGCGGAATCGTGCCATTTGCCCATGCGCCGCAAAGACTCAACCATGCGTGTGCTATCCTTAAGCTGGGGCACTCGTTCATTTCGGCGCTGCTGCTGGCTCTTTTTCATAACTCGTTGAGGATATTCGGCGGTTGACGAGCAGCGGACGCAGCGAGGAATGGGGGACGGAGACACGAGCAGGCGCTCTTGAGACCGCAGGCCTGTATTGGCGGCAGGCCGCGTCGCATCAGCATTGCTTTGGCGTCGCTGTGCCGCATTGGCGAGTGTCGACATCATGAAGCTACCAGAACCGCGCTCCTGCTTGGGATTGAATTTCCCAACAAACAAGACAGTGTCCTGCTGACCAGTGCCGCCGATCTCCGCATCGCTGTCGCCATCCTCAGCATCACTACTGCTGTCGTTGTCGCCGTTACTGGTATACGCAGCGTCGGTTTCCGCTAGCCTGCAATCCAATCTGGACATGGCGCTGATCTCAAGACCAGTATCAGATTCAGTGCCAGAATCGGAATTACTCGCAGACCCAATCTGACTTTCGTACTCGCGGGCATCGGCGCCGTCCGCTGCGTCATCGTCAGATGGCTGGCTGGATGCTGAGGAATAAGCGGACAGCTGGTTCATATCGAGGCGGCCCAAAAAGCTCGTGGCACTCACCAGCTCGCCAGGAGTTAGCGCGCCCTGGTGCTCGGCCTGATCTTCCTGGGATATGACGGTACCAGTATCAAGATCATCATCGACATCATAGTCGTCCTCAGATCCCCAGTCCTCGGACGCCCGACCGTTATCCTTGTCCTCTTCACGAAACTCGATGTAGTCCAGATCGGAGCTCACGTACCCACTTGTAATGAACGCCGAATCGCTGCTGCTGCCACCTACACCCAGCAAAACTTCCCGGCTGAACTTGGCAAACTGAGGCAGTTGGTAGATCATTTCCCCAACATTGATCGAGCCGCGGTGCATGCCATTCAATCCACCCTGGAAGTTCAGGCTTGCCAGGCTTTCACCGCCGGCTGCTAATGGCGGCAATGATGAGGTGCCAGAAAACTCGCAGCCGCCACTCCTGTCATCGGATCGCATGCTGGACACATCATCATCCCAATTTTTGTCGTCGAAAGTCTCGTCCGCATTTGAGATATTGACTGAGGAGACATAGCTGCCATGTCCACTTGTAGCGCTGTACATGCTGAGCGACTGCTCAGAACCAACCGCTTGAGTCATCGGTTTGGAGATCGCAGACTCGTCGCTATACCTGCTGCCGTCCAGCTCGCTGCCGCTTTCGTCGTCCTCCAGATTGTCGTCCACCAAGTCATCATCCGCCAAATCGTTGTCCTCGACGTCAGTGATGGCTTCTGTTGGCTGCAGATTACAGTTCGACGATCCGGGCGTCGAGGGCAGAGTCAGTGGCGAAAAGTTGCTCACAAGATGGGTACTAGCACTGCCCTGAAGCCCCGGCGACGGCCGCACACGCATAGATGAGGCCCCACCACTCAGCCGTTGGCCGCCAGCCATAGAAGACGCCGCAGAGGAGTTGGTGGTAGCAACGTTTATAAAATTACCATCAGCCATTGCACCGGCACTAGTACCAGCTTCAGTCCTACCTCCAAATATGCTGGCCACGGGTGTGCCGCCGAGCAGCGCATCGGAAAAGACACCGCAGTCGTACACATCTTGGTCAGTGCTCGTGTTTCCCTTGGTGCCGGCAAGCATACCGCCGCGGCCATAGTTGCCGCCGATGCGCGGCAGCGGGATATGCTCGCCGCTCTCATTGCTGTCCGAGTGCTGGATGGAATTATCGCTGCCAAACTCGCTTCTATGGAGCTGCCGCTGCTGAATCATCCGCTGTTGTTGACGCTCGTTAAGCATAACGTGGCGCGGCGGAAGTTGCTGCTGCTGTTGCTGCTGCAGCTGCATTGTCGACAATGACAATGCGCCCAGAGCAGCAGCTGTAGTTGGCAACGCGTACTCGTACAAACCCCCAGTGCGCGTGCTAAAGCTGCCTGAAACACTCGGGGCTTTGTTAAAGTTAGTCTCTGAACGGATAGCCCAGCCATAGCTACTACCATCAGCGGAATACTCGCTGTCACTCTGAGAGACATGAAGACGACCCGGCATATCTCGCGACTCGCTGTTGGCTGTCAGCAAGTTGCTTGTAAGAGAAGTGCGCGGGTCAACGCCTAAAAAATTGTTCTGCTGCTGCTGGAGCTGGAAATGCTGCTGGTCTTGATGCAGAGGCGCACCTTGAGCTGCAGCCAAGCTTGGCGCCTGACATCCAGTGGTCGCACCTCCTATTCCAGTGTACGAAGACTGCAAGTTCTGGGAGTTTCCTGCGTCGTTGGCCGGAAATGCGCCCGAAATGCTAAGGTTATTGTCATACATCACTGTACCGTAGCCATTAACACTAGGACCAGCAGCGCCCTGGTACCCACCAGAGCGGCCTATCGTCCCATGTGTTGTGCCAAAGCCCCCGCCGCCGCTGCTGTTTCCGCTGACGTTGCCACCCTGCGTCGAATAGCCACCCGAGCCCGAGTAGCCATAGCTGCCGCCACTGGGTGCACTGCCGCCATTACCGCCACTGCCACCACTACCGTCATGGGGAACCGATGCGTTTCCGGGGCCGTGGATGCCGCTGGTCAAATATCCGGATGGCACATACGGCGCATTGAAGGGCTCGCCAGTGATAAAGGGGTGCATGATAGCCTGCTGTGGCGACCAGCGCTTCTCGGGATCGAGGTGGAGCAGGCCGCGCAAAAAATCGGTAAGCGCAATACGCGACTGGTACTCGCGCTGCTGCTCGGTGTCGTTCATCTTGCGGCGGACCGGGTACGTGGCAACCAGCTCCTCGAGCGTGCGGGCTGCAAAGTAGCGCTTCGATTGCTTTTCTTCAATATTGCGCTCGCTGGCGAACTGGGCCATGGTCTTGATATCCCAAGATCCGTTATTAAGGCGGTTGAAAAACTCCTCAGTCCGCCGGCCCTTCTCCAACATGTTGATCGGTGGCATGCCCAGCAGGTCGACGATGCGCCACAGCTGGTTGTATTCGGAAGAGCCTGGGAACACCGGTAAACCCAAGTAGAGCTCGGCCACAATGCACCCGAGTGACCACATGTCGATGCGCGACGAGTAAGGCAGGCCCAGTAAGATCTCGGGCGCCCGATAGAACCGCGACTGTATGTAGGTAAACGTGGTTTGCCACTCAAAGCAAGCCGAGCCAAAGTCAATGACCTTCACTACGGGCTTCTCTGTACCCTCGAGCAGAATGTTCTCGGGCTTGAGATCCGCGTGGATAATCTGCGCCTGGCTCATGATAATCATTGCGTCGAGGATCTGCTGGACCAGAACGCGGACGAGGTTGGTCGACAAGCCCTGGTACTGGTTTTGCTTGAGGAGGTCGTACAAATTGAGCGATAGCAGCTCGTTGACAAATACTAAGTGGCTGCGGAACACAAATGACTCCTTGAGTCGCAGGATATGATGTTTGTCGTCGACGTCATACTTCTTGTTGAGCAGGTCGAGCATCTGCACCTCCATCAGACTTTGTTTGTAGTATGCCAGCTTGTTTTTTATGACCTTGACCGCAACGAGCTCGCCGGTCTTAATGTTCTGGCACTTGACTACCTGCCCGAACGTGCCACTGCCCAGCATCTCCATGATCAAGTACTGGTGGCCATCCGTATCACCAATTACATCGTTGACATAGAGTATGTAGTCAAAGTGCTCGTTGTCAAAACCTTCATTGTTGACGCCCTCGGATGGTTGCGTCAGTACACGGCGCGGACGGCGGGCGCTTTCGTAATAAAACTCGGGATGGCACTTGCGGTAAAAGTCGACGACATCGACGCTGACATCGAGCAGTGGCCGGAAATTGCGAAAGCGGATTAGCTCTTGCTCCTGGGCATTCTTCAGATGCGCTCTAGCCGCATTTGCCTGTGCTTGAACCTGTGCCTGAGCCTGCACCTGCGCGTGAGCTTGGGCCTGCGCTTGAGCCTGTGCCTGAGCTTGGGCATGTGCCTGCGCATGAGCAAACAGCGCGTGCTGAGATTCAGTGGCCGCATAATTCACTGCCATGCCCATGTAAGGTGGCGCCAGGGACTGCTGGTAAATGTTTGACATTGACTGCTGTTGCTGTTGCTGCTGCTGCTGGTCATAGCCCGCACGACCCCTGCCAACATCGGGCTCTGAGCCTAACTGGGTCGCTGCGTCATCCATGCTGTTCAAAGAGTTGGAGCCCGGAGACGAAATAGGAATTGTGTTGAGGCGCGACGATGTCGTCACTGGGAGCCTGGGGGTCACATCGGCCGTGCTTCCGCTGCGCTGGCGATTGTGCATGGTCTGTGTCAGACGACGGCGCCGACGATGCAGGTACTCTTGCGAATGGGCAGCAGCCTCCTCCATGTTGTTAGTGAGCGGGCGGTTGCCGCCGTGCCCAATCTCAACCATGGGCAAAATCGATGTTGAGTCAGTCCGAGGAGTCGAGGGCTCGTTGTACCCCCGCTCAGTGGGAGAAGACACCATGTAATAATCGGTGGAAATGCCAGCGCTTCCCGCATGGGCGCCGTTCGCAAAGTCAGCCGCTGGCGCTGGGTTCTGCTGTGTGGCGTAAGCATGGCTGCGCTGATGCTCCTGGGAGCTGCCGCCGCCGCCGGCTGACGCTTGCATACCGCCATTCCCAATATTGGGCGATGTTGGTGGCCAACTTATCTGGGCACCATTGGTGCTGGAACCGGCAGTTTTGGCTGCCAAGGCCGCAGGCATCTGTCCGTTAGTGTCGCCACCAGCCAAAGCGTACGTCCCGCCAGTGTACCCTGCCCGCGGCAGGGTAGCATATAACTGCGACATCTGTTGCTGTTGCGACATCTGGTGCTCACGGATATATGGTGAAACTGACGACTCCACTCCGGAACCAGAACCAAACGAACGCTGTGTCATTGCCTGAGAAAGCCCGATAGTCTGGTAGTTGTTGGGAGCCAATGTCGAGGCACCAGTCGTATTAATACCAGCCGCACCAGCAGAGTTGAGCTCAGTGCGCAATGGTGAGCCCCGCACGGCTGGGTTCCAGCGCATGTGCGCCATCGATGCCGCCGTGCTGGCGTACTCGGGGTACTGGTTGCCATCGGAAGCAGAAGTATTGGTGTTGCCATATTCAGATGGGCCACCCGAGTTGGCCAATGGGCGAGTATTTTCTTGTGCAGGCGAAACAGGCGTTGCTGCAAACACATCGGTGCCAGCACCCATTTGCGACGAAGACACCCCCGCGGGGGTTCGCGCCGCATTGACTGGCTTGTGCGCCATCTCGGGATAGTTGTACTTGGCAGTACTTGCAGGGTAGCCGACAAGGCCCCCGTGCTCAGAGCTTGAGGAGCGGCGCACCGAGTGCATTGAGGCATTGCACTCGAAGCCATCGGGCCTCAGGGAGGTCTGGTCGGCCGCAGCATGACCGGACTCAGCGATGTTCCCTGTAGATGCAGTCTGAAACATAACCGGCGCAGGCGAGGATTCCGACGACTGGGTTCCGGCAGCGCTCGAGTCCGGATAGTCGTATCCACGATGAGCCCTCCTCCGACTGCGACCACGCGCAACTAGCGGCGACTGGCTCCCAGACGCATAAGCCAAGAGGCTGGCTGACATGGGGCCCGATGGCGGAGGCCCGGGCTGCGAGACGGGATACAGCTGCGCGGATGCAGAGATGTCATTGACCTGCACCATGTCCACCATCGATACGGTTTGATATACGTGTTCTGTGGCGTGAGGCTGTTGCTGTTGCTGCTGACTCTGGTACCGATCGTGAAACAAATACTGAGAAAAATCGCCGTTTCCGTATGTTGCTGCAGTCTGTGGAGCACTAGCAACTTCCATCGGGTGCCCCGGAAACTGTGGCTGAGAGAGTGCGTTGTGCAATGAATGCTGCCGCGGTAGTTGCTGCTGCTGGTGCAAATTTCCAAAGTTCTGACTAAAGTCAGAAGACGTTGCTTCGCCCCAATTGTTGCCGTTGCCGTTACCGTTGCCGTTGCCAGGATGGAGGCCAGAACCAAGGGCGGGATAAGCTATGTTGTTGGAATATGCCGCGCCACCCGCCGCACTGTGGTTGCCAGAGTTAGCAAATCCATGTGCCCCCGAAGAGCTGGCATGCAAAAATGGGTTACCCGAGGGCAGTGATGCCGAAAGGGAGCCGCCATAAACTTCAGGCTGGTTCGTATCGCCGCCACTCGCATCGAATCCTTGCTTATGGCGTGTCGGTATATCCTGTGGCGCAGCTGCAGTGACGTTGTTCTGCAATTGAACTCTTGTAGCAGCTGCCATGTGTGAATTGTCGCCAATCATAATCGCATGGAAAGAGCGTTCGGAGGCACTGGTGTCTGTTGCATGCTGCTGCTGCTGATAGCCTGTGTTTTGGTTTGCGCTCAACGTCGACAGAGCGTGGGAGGCCGCGCCATCATAATTAGATGCCGGGCGCAGACCAGAAATGCCTCCAAGCATAGATGTCTGGGCTGTTGACGCGGAAAACATTGGCGCGTTGTTAACTGCTGCTGTATTGCCGCCAGATAGTGCCTGGCCAAAGTACCTGTTATAGGAGTATTGGTTCCCAAGCGATTGCTGCTGTTGGTTCTGCTGCTGCTGGTTCTGCTGCTGCTGCGCTAGAGGCGCGTTGCTGTTGCGAGCGCCGCTGTGATCCATTATATGTTAGTGTCGAGTGCGTATCGCCAAATAATAAATGGTGTCGCTCCTCTGTCGCTATATCGTGTCGACTACTAGCAATAAAAGCGAGTTAGTGTTCAAAACCCAATTTGAAGGCGGGATATAAAATATAGAGCAAAAAAGATGGGAATTCTGATGGATTTCAGTTAGTGTTAGGGTCAACAAATGCAAAATGAAAACACAGAAAGATGCAAAGTGCAGTGCAGAGCGGTGAAAACAGATTGAAGGAAAAGGAAAAAAGATAATTGAAAATACAAAAAATGAACTGATGAGAACCCAGGCCCTCTTTGTGAATACTGTGCGCAGGCGGCCGGGTGGGGGTGGCTTTTGTTGTGCTAATGTTTTCTTTTTGTTCTTGAATTACATTGCAAAAGCACAGGATGCTGCTATTCAGAAATGCTTGGCATAGCGGCAAGGATAAACCAAGAAAAACAAGCTGAAAGTGATTGAAAGAACACAATGCCAAACAAAGGCCACAATAACATAAATGCATGCCTTCAAAAGACGGGCTCGTGGTATATTCTTTTTTAAAACTTACTTGCAGAATAGCTGACCGATATGAATAGCGGCAGACAAGCTACTCCTCTCCTGCTTTTAGTCTAAAAAGAAGGAGGGTGAGTGGTTGACCTGGTTAAGGACGCTGGGTGTTGTCGTTTTCCACAGCCTACTGGAAAGACTCGGCAATTGAAATGGTATGCGCGTTTTGCCTGAAAATAAACCCAAATGATGAATAGAGCTGAGAATAAAAAAGCGTGCAAATTGAAAGCAACGAGCGACCCGCGCACCGGTCCTGAATTAGTGTGTGCGTGTGGTTATTATATGTTGCTACTACTGCTGAGAATAACGATATCCTGCAAAATACAACGGGCGCGTTCGAAAAAAAGAGGCCAATAGGTAGAGACCAGCAGAAATAAAACAGAGTAAAAGTAACCAGAATTGCCGAATTGCAATGAGCTCTCCCACTAAGCACCTGGTGCAAAAACAAGAGCCCTGTGAAGCGAGTGTGAAGCTACAAGAAATTGGACATAAAAGAAAAATTTGTAAAATGCAACTTTAATATTCAGATGTTGTTTGCTGAATTGGGCAAAGCAGTGCCCAAGAGTCGTCGTTTCGGTTTGTACTGCCACCCCAAGCTAGTGTGCAAGTGTTTTCCTCATCTAAAGTCTGGCCGCAAATTTCGAGACGCCAAAACAAAGCCTGTAATCAGCTTTTGTCTTTGTTTGGCTCAAATCGACGCAGAGCCCCTCATACCTACTTTGTTGGCTGACGCTAACAACTGACTGCTATATACTGCAGGGCACGAAAAAAACCAATACAATTCAATGAGAATTAAAGGATGGTAAAGGAGATGGTAAAGGAAAAAGAAAAGAATTATTGAAAAATGGTCAATAAAAATAGGCGGGCGAATGACAAAAGAACAATTCAACACGGGTCTTTTAAAAATAAGAATAAAATTGCGAGATGGGCTTTGAATTTAAGAAAGTCCACTTTTTTCTGCTAAATAAAAAACATGGTTGTTTTCAGGCCATCAGAGCAGCGTACTTGTCATTAGTCACGAGTATTTTGATTTGATTGTGTAATGCTTGATCAACATTCAAATGATCAGGCTCCCTTAAATATGAGTGACGAGCTTGCCTCATGTTGAGTTGGTTTGTTGTGCGGCCCAAACGAAGGGGGGGTTAGGTTTCGTTCAATTTTCTTTTTTTGACTGCCTTTTGTGGTAACCCTTGGTGCTGGCATTCATGCAGCAGTCCAAGCTGGAAAAGGTTATTTGGGACTATACGCAATATAATAGATTTGAGTATAATGACACTCGTGCAAGGCACAGTGTCATAGAGTAATATTGTGTATAAAATATAAAATATATAGTATTCGGCATCAACATGGACAATTATTTTTCCATTTCTTCGTTTCGTCTTGTTTCAATAAAGTTTTTTGTTTCATTCCGTTATTTTTAACTGTATTTTGTTACATTTTTTACTATAGATCTGAACTTGGCCATTTTCTTTTCCCAGTACCAGATTTGTCCGCGGATCTCGATAGAGCCTTGGTATCTATCATTTGACTTTTGGGCTTGATTGCGACAAACACCCAAGCTGCTGCGCGCAAGCGGATCTATTTTCTCTCAAACTGCCGCGCGCAATATCGAAGAGACTAAGCAAACACTTGTAGATTTGGACTCGAGTGTATCCACCCTCAAAACAAAGGTTGCTTATTTTATACAATGGGCCGACTCGCTTGACATGCCAGCATCAAATGACATTGTCCACGAATAAGGCTGCTTGAATGCCATTTGTCGATATTTCTTGCTGGACAGCCCACAAAATTTAAATCCGTCGCAAAAAATAGATACATTGCGTCTATAATCTGATTGCCAATGTCTATTTTTCTTATAATCCAATAATTGAAAAATGTTTGTCTTTGAGTTAAACGAAATAAAGTTACATTTTAAACCAAATCATCAGATACATAGGGTTGGGGGAGCTTTTATTTTGACATAAGCACGCCTTTCTGTGTGTTTGTGTTGGCATCGCAAATCCTAAAGATTTGTCTTTGCTGTCGCTGCTTCTGCTGTTGCCGTGTCAGCGCCTGCATTTTTAACGAACTTTTCCTCTTAGAATTTTTCATTCCTCAATTTTATTTCTATACTTTCATCTTTAGCATTCTTCTAGAAAACATCTTAAATATTACTATTGTTCCTCTTGTTCTGTTCAGATGGCAGACAGCAACAACAAGAGCGGTCATCTGTCTCGAGATGAGTCATCAACTGCACTTTTGCTCAGCGAAATCAACAGTGCACGTTCCATCAGCTCGGCCGATGTTAACAGCAACGCTCAGCAATCGACGACACGTAGCTGGAGCCCGCGCCGGGTTTTGTGTATGAGTGCCGCTGCAATTTTAATATCCGCATTTATTGGTGGGTTCTACGCCCTGGCTTTGGTTCACGGAGATGATGGGACACACTCGGCGCTCATAACAGCCAAGCATGGGGCGGTTGCCACCGATGAGCCGCGCTGCTCTGCGATCGGAGTGGACGTCTTGCGCGACGGTGGGAATGCTGTGGACGCGGCAGTTGCTAGCACTCTGTGCATTGGCGTGCTGCAGGCACATTCTTCAGGAATTGGAGGTGGCGGTTTTATGCTTATACGGCACCCGGGAGGCAAAAAGCCGCCGGTGCTCATTGATTTCAGGGAAACTGCTGGAAGCGCTGCCACTGAAGACATGTTCATCAGCGACATTACCCTAGCCCAGATTGGTGGGTTGGCAATTGGCGTTCCCGGGGAGATAGCTGGGCTGCACAGTGCGCACAGCCGCTTTGGTCGGCTTCCGTGGCACCGCCTGTTTGAGCCATCAATCAAACTAGCCAAAGATGGCTACCCGCTGAGCACCATAGTATACGGCCAATTGAAGCGGATGGAACAGCATATTCTGAACTCGCCAGGATTCAACACGACATATACTGACGGTAACGGACATTTACTGAACCCGGGAGATATTGTTCGCCGTCCTCAGCTTGCCGACACACTCGAGGAGATTGCCACTCATGGCGCCAAGGCATTCTACTCGGGCCGCATTGCCGACAGCATTGTGCGCACTGTCCAGGAAAATGGTGGCATTTTGACGGCCCAGGACCTTGCGGGCTACCAAACCACCGACCGCCAACCAATCGAGACCTTTTATCACGGGCGCCGGGTTATCACTGGCTCGCCGCCGACGAGTGGCTCCATCCTCCTCAACATGCTCAATATTGTCGAGGGATACTCCCTTTCTATGGACGGGATGACTGCTGTAAACTACCATCGAATCGTCGAGGCGATGAAGTTTGGCGCTGCTCAGCGCACCACCCTAGGTGACCCATCGTTCGTCAATATTGAGGCAAAGGTAGGCAAGCAGATTAGCAAGTACTTTGCCAGTGAGATCCGTGCAAACATATCAGACACCCGCACATTCGGCGTCGATCACTACGACCCCAAATACGACATTCTGATTAACCATGGCACTACCCATTTGTCAGTTCTCGACGAAGACGACATGGCAGTCGCACTGACATCAACAGTCAACCTGGAATTTGGCTCGCGTGTAATGGATCCCATCACCGGTATTATTTTGAACGATCAGATGGACGATTTCAGCACAACAAACCAAACCAACGGCTTTGGTCTGCGCCCATCTCCTTACAACAAGATTGTGCCTGGAAAGCGCCCGCTGTCTTCAACCTCGGCAACCATTATTGAGAGGGACGGCCGCGTCGAACTTGTTGTGGGCGGCAGTGGCGGCAGCCGTATTCTTACGTCCGTTCTTCAGGTAATAATTAACGTTTTGGACTTTGGCATGCGCCTCGACCAAGCTGTTGATATGCCGCGCCTTCATCACCAGCTGCTGCCTCACGAGCTAGGAGTTGACCCATTATTCCCCAGCTGCCTGACACACGAGCTGTCCGGCTTTGGTCACCAAGTCACACCCTTAAAGCACGGGAGCTCTGTTGTCCAGGCTGTCCAGAGATCTGCAGTGGACGGCACGATATTCGCGGTCAGCGATGCACGAAAGCATGGCATGGCAGCTGGGTTCTAGAAGAAACGCTCATTTATCTTGACTTTGTTTCATGTACTCTCCAAAAAGATGCAGCATTTTGTCAAATATATATTGGATTTGAAGCCAGTAGATAAAGTCGGGTGCATATTGGCGCTACTTTGTTGCGTGCAGAATAAAAAGTAACTTTGTGAATTTCAAATAATTCAAATAAGCGCCGTATACTGCAATTATTAACATAATTAATTGGAAGCAGTTGCATTTGGGCGGGACTAGCTTGGTGACGAGCACCCAATCTACAAATTTTTTTACAAACTGGACCCCAATTCGAAGAAACGAAAAAGTATATATTGTGCGAGCATTTTCTGGCCTGACTGTGGCAAGCATTATTTTCTTTTACAAATCCTCATACCATCCATTTAATCCCTTCACCTGAGTATTAATCAACACCACATAAAAAATGCAGGTCAAATACATTGCTCTCGCCGTCGTTGTTGGCCAGGCCGCCGCCGTCCTTGATCTGACTGCTGGAAAGCACATTTCCGAGACTATTTTTGGTCTCAGCCCCGAGCAGGTCAAGAAGATCGATACCGCCATCGTTCGCGCTGAGGCAACCGCTCAGGCTTCATTCCTCGAGGCGACCAAGGATATCTACAAGTATGCTGAAAACTTCTACAAGACTGTTGATAAGGGCGCTGGGCCATCTATCAGAGACGCGTCTGTCGCCCTGAACAAGGCTCTGACCCCTGAGCTCAAGCAGAAGCTCAAGAAGGCCATCAGCACCTTCACCGATTCGACTCTCAACGCCCTGCTCTAAATATTTTTAGCCGGCTAATATTTTTTTGTAGAATATGCTTTTAGAAATATATTGTCATTTTCATCAAACATTTTTTAAAAAATTGAATAATGTCGTAGCTACCCAATTACACATGACTAATATTAAAAATGGCATGTTCACGTATGAAAATGTTAGTTAATTACTGCTACATTATTGATCTAATTTTGCCATTTGAAGTTCAAGAGAGTATCTCCATTGCTGCTATATTGACTTTAAATAATGGCGTTTTAATTACAATCACCCACACTTGTTGGCTTTGCATATCGGCAGCCGTACAAAAAAAGCTTGGTCGGCACAATGATATAAATTGTATTGGGTTTTTTGTTGATATAGCCAATATATCGATAAAGTCAACAAGGTCGTGTCAAACTAAACGCAATTTATGCACGACTTGTATATTGAATTCTACTACCATTAAAATAAGATAGAAACTGACAATTGTTGCATGCTAGTATACAGTAATAAATTACATATGTTATTGCGACATTTCTTAGCCAGTAGCCCTTTATTTGTGGCGGCAAAATTGCTACGCTGCGTATTTGACGAGTTTGGACATTAGCGGTAGCGCAGATGTCACAAATTTTAATTATTTACATCACTTGAAAAGATGCTGCATACAACGCGCCACAGCTCTAATAAAAAACCTTTTCCCCGCAAATACAGCCATATTTGTCTATTTTGGTTGGTCGAATTATAGTCCATCAATTACAAGAGCCAAGCCCACAGTCGAAAATACATGGCTTTGCACGTACATGAGCTGTATTAGAATGCGCAAGCCTGCAAATGAAAATATATTTGCATGAAATATAAGTGTTGCAATGATATTATACTACAATCGAAACATTAGCGCTTGGAAAATCTGTCTTTTTTTGCTTGCGGGCCAATTCAGTAGTATAAATTGTGTAGAGTATGGCGGCCATATCCATCTTTTAAATCTTTACCTTATATTCACATAATTCTGTTTTCGTTTTTCTACACTCGACACCAAATCCTTCTCAAAACCTCATCACAATGCAGTACAAGACCCTCGCTATCATTGCCGCCGTCGGCCAGGCCACCGCCACCCTTGACCTCCTGACCCACTCTCAGATCTCTGAGCGTATTTTCGGTCTCTCCACCGAGCAGGTGAAGAACATTGACCGCGCTGTCCAGGAGGCCGCCGCCCCCATTGCTCAGGTTGCTGGCCAGATTGTCCGCAACCTCAGCGGCACCAGCGACGAGATCATTGTCACTAGCCAGAAGGTCGTCCGTCAGGCCATCAAGGCCGTCAACGAGGCCTTGACCCCCGAGGTCCGCGCCAAGATCCGCGTCGGTGTCTCCAACGCCGTCAAGACTACCCTTGACACTTACTTCTAAGCCAATACTTATAGCCGAACACTAAGGTTTTTAAATCCGGTATAATTGTTTTTTATTTACTCTTTTCCTTTGTCTAACCATTGCTTTTAGTAAAGTAAATAGGGGCAAGTAATCCGGGCACCCAGTCCTTTTTGATCTCAATTAAAAATAAAAAATAAAGCTATTTTGGTTTACACTTGACACATGCAATTTGAACGTTTACATTTGTAAGTTATAAGAATAATAATGATTGAATTATTTGTATCTAATGATGGCAATCCAGGCGCAATGCCAAGTTACTTTTGCTGAGAAATAATATCGGCAGCCGACTGTTTGAGGACTTGCAAGAGCAACTCGACGTTCTCTTGCTTGCCAATAGTAGAGCCGATGGCAGCGCGCACAGCATCCACGCCCTTCAGTTTTGTACCCACAAGGAACACGCGCCCGTCGGCATTGATGTGCTTTGAGTAGTTTATATTGGCTGCGTTCACTGTCGATTCTTCGACAGCAACATCACCACTTGTGGCAAGTGCGCTCGGTTTGATACGGAATACCACCAGACCAAAGACAACAGGTACCATGATCTCAAAGCGCCCGTCAGTAAGCAGCTGCTGCTCGAGCCACTTTGCCTGTCTGACATGCTCGCGGATGTGAGCACGAATTCCCGAGGCACCATACATACGCATTACAAACCACAGCTTAAGTGCACGAAACCGGCGGCCGAGAGGCACCTGCCAGTCGCGGTAGTCCTTTACAAACGCAGTTTCACCCTTGACCCGCGGAAGATACTCGCGATGGATACCCAGGGCATTGGTCAGGTGTGTCGAGCTGGCCACCCACATGGCTGAACAGTCAAAGTTGGTCAGCATCCACTTGTGCGGGTTAAAATTGAACGAGTCTGCGCGCTCGATGCCGACAGCAAGCGGGCGGAACTCAGGACAGGTGAGTGACGCTCCAGCATATGCAGCGTCAATGTGGTACCATAGATGCTCAGCGGCTGCGACATCCGCAATGCCCGGGATGTCATCAATGGAGGCCGTGTTGGTTGTGCCAAAGGTGCCGCAGACGAAGAACGGAATGAGCCCAGCCTGCTTGTCTTCTTCGATGGCTGTAACCAAAGCGGCCTTGGTCAGCCTAAAGTTGCCATCGGTTGGTATAGTACGACTCTTGCAACCGATTATATTCGTCCCTTTCTGGCCCGACGAATGCGTCTGGTCAGAGAAATACGCGACCATCTTATGCCTCATCGCATCAGACTCATCCTCGCTCACGCTTCCGTCCGCCTTGATGCGTTCGAGTGCTTTTTCTTTAGCGGCCAGCATTGCCACAATGTGTGCCTCGCTGGCGCTACCCTGGATAACTCCTCCGCCGTCGCCCTCGGTGCCATCTTCTTTTATCGACAAGAAGCGCTTATCGAGGCCGAGCAGCTTACCCAGCCAATCCATAACCACGGTCTCGAGTTCGGTCGTAGCTGGCGAGCACAACCAATTGAATCCGATAACGTCAAACATGTTGCTGTACATATCGCCAAGCATGGCTGGGAACGAGCTGTTGGAGGGGTACCAGCCAAAAAAGTTGCCTGACTGCCAGTGAGTTATCCCGGGCATGATCTTAGTCTGAATGTCCTTTTGGATGTCGTCGAAGGACTCTGGGTCCTCGGGAGCCTCGTGGGGCATGAGCTTGTACAAGTAGCCTGGCTTTACTGCTGCCATTGGGGGTACCTGGTCGAGGTTTTCGTAGTAATCGGCAATGGCATCAATGACCTCTTTGCCCCGCTTTCTGAACTCGCTTGCGTCCATGTCTGCTTTCTTTTTCGGCTGATTGATATCAGAAAAATAAATGAATGGAGAGAATTTAAAGAAGCCAAAGAGCAAAGATAATAAAGATAAGGATTTTTCGAGTTGACAAAATTTATTTATTCAGCTTTTTTCCTTTTACAGGGCAACCAAAATGATTGTCATCAGCAAAAACGCTCGACAATTGGTGGGAAACCCAACACTCATATTGAATGGGAACAAAATTTGAGGCTTGCTCGAATTGTAAGTGGACAAAATTTAGTTTTTGTTTTTTGTGCTAACAGAACAATTTATTTAGTTTTAGTATTATTTGTTTTATATCTCGCTCAATATATTTATTTTCTCTTTAATAAAATAACAATCCAAGGCGAATTTCGTTTTCAGCACACCCACTTTTCTCAGAAGCTAAACATTTTAATTGTGGATGTATATGGTCACTCACAAGTGATGCCAATGTGATCACAGCCTCTCTTATCGATGAGCTTGAAATTGTGACATTTAAATGTATTTGAAAAGCATATTATTCAAAATTTATGTCAGAATCTGTGAACTGTGCGCACTTTGATTGTGCATATCCAAAAAGGGGACAATTGTGAGTAGTAACAACTTGACAGTTTACATTGAAATGCCGGACGTTAGTTTACAGCAACTAGAACAGGTATGGGTTTTTTAGATATGATGCGATACATTGACAAGCAGTGGAAATCCCTGTTTACTTGTGCAAACTTGGGGGGACTGACCAATGGAAGAGGTGTTTACTGTGTGCCAAACTGGAGTACGTGTCATGTTTTATGTCTTGTGCTCAATGACGGATCTGAATATTTACACCAGGTTCTGTGTTTTTCACATTTCTACCCTTTTACAACCTCGAAAGCGTTATTATATATTTAAATATGTTGTTTATATTTTTTCTGTTGGCATTGGTATTTGTACACGTGTCAGCTACAAGAAGTTCATGTCCTGGGTATGCGGTCACTAACTTCACCCGCGCAGAGCAGGGATTTGAAGCATCACTTGTTCTGACCGGCCCTCCATGCAACGCCTACGGCAAAGACATATTCCATCTTACGCTCGGAATTCGTTTTGACACGCAAAACCGCCTCCATGTCCATATTAAGGACACCGTGGAAAAGCAGTATCAAATTCCCCGCGCAATAATTCCACTGGACAGCGGTAGCGGAGTCAGTGAGAATGACAGCAATTTAAAGTTCACACATGTGCAAGATGCCCAAAGCGGATTTGGTTTCAAAATCCAGCGCGGCGACGATGTGATATTCGATACCACCGGCCGCCCACTCATTTTTGAGGACCAGTACATCGAGATCACCAGCAGCTTGCCGAAAAATGCAAACATTTATGGAATAGGCGAGACTCCGGATTATTTCCGCCGCAGCACGGCCAATACCACAAAGACATTGTGGAACCGGGACGCGCACAACCCGCTTGGTGAGAACGTCTACGGCTCACACTCGATCTACATGGAGCTGCGCAAGGGCAAATTCCACGGCGCATACCTACACAACTCACATGGAATGGACATTGTGATGGCCAATGGCACGATTCAGTACCGCCTGTTGGGAGGAACCGTAGATTTATACTTCTTCGGCGGGCCGTCAGCCCTGGATGTCATTGATCAGTACACGGAGCTGGTGGGTCGTCCGAACCGTATTCCATACTGGTCATTGGGCTTTCACAACTGCCGCTACGGGTACAAGAGTGTATACGTGGTCAATGAAGTTATTGCGAATTACTCCAAGGCTCGAATCCCGTTGGAAGTGGCCTGGACTGATATTGACTACATGGATAACACACGCGACTTTACGTTTGATTCTGTCAATTTCCCGCTCAGCGAGATGCAGAAGCAGCTTAAGTATCTGCACAGCCGCAACCAACGCATGGTGCTGATGACAGATCCGGCTATCCAGCGCAAAACGTCATATGAGACGTATGTTCGCGGCCATGAACTCAATGTATTTATTAAGAATCCTGATGGCAGCGAGTATGTTGGGCACGTGTGGCCCGGGTACACGGTCTTCCCCGACTGGTTTGGCAACAATACCGATAAGTGGTGGCACGCAGAGCTCCAACAGTACTTTGACCAGCTCCCTATCGATGGGATGTGGATTGACATGAACGAGGCCACGAGTTTCTGTACTGGCACCTGCGGCTCAGGCCAGCCCACGGACAAAGTCCCAGCCTTACCATGGTTGGTCAGTTCGCCAGGGCCACCTCACCGCAAGCTGAATACGAGCAACCCGTTCCTGGTTCCGCCGTACGCTATTCACAACCCACAGATCGAAATTTCGGACAACACCATCGAAACAACAGCCGTACATGCAAATGGGGTGATTGAATACCACGTGCATAACCTTTACGGGTACATGCAGTCCAAGACCACAAGAGATTTCTTGCTGGCGTACCGCCAAAACAAACGCCCCTTTTTGCTCAGCAGATCGACGTTCGCGGGCTCAGGAGCGCTGGTCAACCACTGGACAGGCGACAACGAGGCTACATGGCAGGACCTACATATTTCAATATCGTCTGTCTTTGACTTTGGCATTTTTGGAATACCCATGGTCGGCGCCGATATCTGTGGATTTACAGGGAACACAACAGAGGAGCTGTGCGCGCGGTGGATCGAAGTGGGTGCATTCTATCCATTCTCCAGAAACCACAATGCCATTGAGATGGAGTCGCAGGAGCTCTACCTGTGGGAGAGTGTGGCAGAGGCCAGCAGACGGGCGTTGGCTGTCAGATACAAGCTACTGCCGTATTTTTACACCATGTACCAGTATTCGGTCGAGGTGGGCTGGCCAGTTGCTCGGCCCCTGGTGTTTGAGTTTCCACAGGTTCCTGAAACCGCAGGTAACGACCGGCAGATGCTCATTGGAGGCGGAATTTTGGTTTCACCAGTGCTTGAAGAGGGAGCTACGACTGTCCGTGCATTCTTTCCCGCCGGAAAATGGTATGACTGGTACGACTACACTGAGGTCACGGGCACAAATGCATTTGTAATTCTAGACGCGAATCTGGAGCATATAAATGTCCATATCCGCGGCGGTAGCATCATTCCAATGCAGCCGCCAGGGATGACCACGGTGGAGTCGCGAGCGAACAACTTCCAGCTGCTTGTTGCCACTAATGGACAAGGCAAGGCGTCTGGCGAGCTGTATGTGGATGACGGAGAGTCGCTCGACGGAGAGCAAAGGTGGGTGCAGTTCAAATACGACTCGCGCGTGCTACAAATTGGCCAAAAAGCGGGAGGGAGGTACGAGATTAAGCAGCGGCTCTCGACGATTGTGCTCCTAGGCGTGCCAGAAGTGAGCATGGTGTTTGTCAACGGAGTGGCAGCTAAAAGTGACATCAAACTCACAAACGGCACAACTGTGGTTTCAGGTCTTCTTGTCGACCTCAATGCAGGGTCGTCGGTTGCATTTCGTTAGGCTGTTTTAATGTTTTAACATTCAAACAAAAAATAATTACCAAAAAAGAACATTGAAACAATATTAACATCAAGTCAAAGTGCTTCGCTCTCTCCGTGGATCATGTTGCACAGTCGGTTGGCAATGTCGCTCTTTGCAATAATAGTGGTGCTTGGAAGAGTCTCCGCACTGCTCTCCGTGCAGAACTTGGGCAGCACGCGTGTTGGCTGGACAAGCGTAGAGCCATTGCCAGCTTTCCTCATCAAGTCGACATGTTTGGTGCTCTGAGTGGGCGTCTCCAGGGCGCTCTGGTGCTGGCTCTTGCGGCTGGTCCCCGGACCAACCAGCGTGGCCGCATCGTCGTAGGGGTTGCGCACCTGCTGGTTGCGAAACTGGGGTGTCTCCAGGTAGGAAACTAGCGCAGCGGTGCTGCTGCTTCTGTTGTTATTGGCGCCGCAGTTGCCACGCTGGGCAAGTGGCGTAATGGGAAGCAGCGTGGCGTCGGCTGTGGACTGTGTGAGCTTGGCTTTCTCGTCGTTGGTCGCACCGGGCGAGGCACACGACGAGTTCGAATGTGGGTTGGAAAAGGTCAAATCTATGATCGATGGAGCGGGGCGGGAGGCATTGGAGGCAGCGGTGCCGCCGTCGGTAGTTGTCGTCGTGGCGGTCAAGGGAATCTCGGTACTCAGACGGCCAGATGCCATCATATGTGCGCTAAGCGACGGGTGTCCAAATTGATCGGCAGCAAACGCCGTGCCTGCCCAAGTGCCATTCAACGACGGCAGGGCGGACGCAGCAACAGAGCTGACATCGTGGCTCGCGTCATCAGAAGAAAGCGCGTATAACGCGTGGTGCGCGGCCATATCAGGGCCTTGCTTACACACTGGGCGTTTGACGTTGTTGAGCAGCGTGTCTAAATCAAACCAGTTGCGTTCATTCGAGGCAAACCGACGGTGCTGCGGCGACTTCACGTGGTCCATCATGTCTTCATATTTGACACGGCAGTTCTCGCAGTACCCGGGCCGAGCAACTGTGGGCCGGCGAACGGGCACGCGGGGCTTCTTTGTGCGCGGCTCCGGCGGAACATGTCCATCCATGCGTGTCGTCGAGGGCTGCGGCTGGGGGACGCGGGCGACGGGCTGCTCAAGCTTCGACAAGTGGGTGACAAGGCCGCCGTTGAGGTTCTGTAAGAAATTGTGCTGCAAAACCGGGTCAATGGCGCCCGTATGGAACGCTGTGGATGTAGACGTGACGCCGAGTCCCTGGCAAATGCCTGACGCGTTCGAGTCCATGACCCCTGACGCGTCGTAGGGCCGTGCACCCATCTGCTGGCCCATCATGGTGTTTGCGGGCAATAGCACGCGTGAGGGACGCGTTGGGGTCACCATCGGGTTGTATCTAGTTGCCATGTTAGACATGTGTTTGGGATGTGGCGCAGCAAGTGGCTGTGGCTGCGGAGAATTATTCTCAATATTGGGGGTTTCCACGGCACGGATAGCCGAGGGAGTCCACGTTTTGCGGCGCGATGCGTTCTGCAGGCGGGTCGCGGGAGCCTTGCCGAGCAGCTGTGCCGTGATCTGCGCGCGCTCGGGCTCGGGCGACACGTTCTCCTTGTTATCGTCGCCATCCGAGTCGCTGCCCTTGCTGGAAGTCGTCGGATCCTCGTACTGCACAAAGGGGCAGCGACCCGTCGGCACCATGTACAGCTTGGGCCACGGGGGGTCGCGGCCATTCTCAGGCGGGCGGTAGTCCTCTAGAATGGCCGGGCGGTTGAGATGCGTGTCATCCTCGACCAGTACATAGTAGTGCTTAAAGTAGTAAAAGTCCACGCCGTGCGATACTGCTGCGCCCTCAAAGGTCTTGTGCCGCATAGCATATAGCTTCTCGGCCGAGAACGCCTCGTTAAGCTTGCGCTTGGCCGTCACAACCGAGGGGGTCTGCACTGTAGACGCGTTGAACCCAGGAAGCAGAAACACAAGCACGCGCTTCTCGAGCTTCTCGATATCCCAGATCTTCAGCTGGAATCGTTTGGCCAGTGCCACCACATGCGAGCTACTTGCAGAGTTTTCGGCGATGGCGCTGGAATTCTCTACTATAACGTGGGTTACTGCCTGCGCTGAGAAAAAGGTCTCAACCTTGGCTCCCAATGCGCGAATTGGCGCGGCCAGCCGCTGCTGCGCACCCTCGTCTATGCCTTCAAAGTAAAACACAAAGTTTGGAAACGCTCGCCTGTATGCAAAGATCCAGTCAGCCACGCGCGACGTCTGTTGGTTGTGTTGCTGCTCGGCCGACAAGCCCTGGGCTCCAGAGCCAGCTGCCTCAATGTTTTTGCTGCCTCCACCAACGCGCGGGATATACTGCAGCGCAGATTCGGCGCCATCGTGATCCTGGCCCTTGTTATTGCGCTGCCGCTCCTGCTCTGTGATAGCCTGCAGCGGGTTGCGTCGCGCCGCGGGCGATAGGAGTGGTGTGCCAAAGGCAATTGTCTCGCGCCGCGACTGCTGAACGCGAGATAGCGAGGCACGCTGTGACGGTCTGGTCGGTGTAGCCAGCGCACGGGAGGGTGATATGAATCCGCTTGCTTGCTGCGAGCTGGCCTGTTGCTGTGCGCGCGTTATCGGAGAAGCTCCCAAATTGCGCGTTACCGGACGCGACGCGTCAAATGTCAGTTTGCGGCTGGCCATTTGCGCGTTGAAATTTGAATTCAGGTCGAGCAAAAGACCCGCTGAAAAGACAGGTTTTATATGGCTGTGCGCGTTTATTATTTCTAAAGAGTGGTGGTTTGAGTGGAGTCAGTATGCAGCGCTAAAAGGAAAAGGAAAAAGGTTGTGGACGCGTAAAGGCAAATGCACACGCTCCCAATAAAAAAAAACTAAATGTTTGATAAAAAGCAGTCTGGCAATTAGAAAAAGGAAACGTAAATGCAGTGACCGAATGCAATTTGAAAAAAAAACAAGAGAAAAGAAATAGTTCAAAAAAAAAGTTTTTTTCGAATTGAATCGAAGTTGCAAATTTTCGAGAAGCAAAAATAAAAAAGCACAAAAAGACCAAAATAGACAATCCATTTTCTGCTCTTTTTGTATTTTGCGCTGCACGCATTCAAGAATCGATGAGCAGCGAGAGAAAAAAACCGGTTCATTTCTATACCTCAGATAATTTTGCCTTTGGCATGTCCTTCGCGGGCTTCATGCTAATATAAACAGCGTACCTTTTTCGATTCCGCGTCTCGGCTCAGTAGTCGTAGTTGTCGTTGTCTTTTTTTGCAGGTGAAAAGCGGATGAAGAAAAAAACAAGACAAACTTTCAAAGAATGAACATGGATGATGGCTCGAGAAAGAATGAGCTAAATAAAAGACAGCAAATGCCAATAATGTGTTTGCAATCTCTTTACTTGCAAGCGGTAGCATAATATTTGCCACCAGTTAGCAAACACACAAACTTGCCGTAGTATTATCCTGCTACATTTTCAACGGCAAAAGCGCGTACAATCGTGCGCTACTGCGCGACCCACCCGCACAGATGGCCAGCGATCAGCACAAACCAATGTCTGCCCATGTCATCTCAAGAACACAATAATTTCTGCATTGTGTAAAATAAAATTGGCACGCAAAAAAAACATAAAACCCACACAGTTTTACTGCGCTGTTCTGCTATCTGACAATAAAAAAGAAGCAATAGATAATCATTCGTGTTTGCGCTTAAGCTGCTCGTTCTGCTCTCGTAACGATCCAGCGGGCTGCTGGGGCTTAGTGCGCTTGGGCTTGTCTCCGGAAAGTGCCTTTGCCATTGCCTTGTCGTCCACCTCCATCTGCTTCTGCTCCTGATCCAGCTCCTGCTCGCGCACCTTCGCCTCGTACTCGGCGTTCACCAGATCAGTCTGCTTGTTGAACGCTTTGAACGACCGGCGACCAAGATTTGTTGCATTGCTGCTGCCATCGTCTACCCGCGGCATCTTGAGGTAGCTGGACTCGTATACAACGCGCTTCTTGGGCCGCTCCTCAGGAATCACAGTGTCTACGTACGTTGCCCTCCAGTGCGATTCGCTGATTGTCTTCTTCTCCTGCTTCTGTTCCTCGTCTGCCTTTGCCCGATCTGCCGACCGTCTCATAAACTATGCAAAATCAAATGTTATTCTATTATTTAGTACTGGGATTGGTACGTGGGAGCGAGAGAAAATAAATGAAGGGTCATTGGGGGATGATCGGTGATGGAGTTTTGCCACATTGTATATCACTGTTTATTGTACCTTCATGGTTTGCAACTTTGCGGACAGGTGCCTGTCATCTGCGGATGCTGTTGAGCCCTTGCTGGGTGTTGTGGTGGAAGACATGGTAAACAAAATAAATATGTGTCAAAGGTGGAAAAATAATAGCGAATAATTTTATTTTTTTGGATCGAGATCCTGTAGGACCACAAAAAAAGTTGAGCAAATTTTTTGCGCGATCACAGCGTGCACAAATACGCGTGTGTGCAAGTAATGGGCGCTGTTATTATCATCACGTGCAATTATATTATTGTCACACAAAAAAGTGCCGTTCCCACGCATTGATGGCTGATAGCAGTTAATCGTCCAGCCTGCGGCGAGTCCTGCCTTTCTTATCTGCCGATGACGCCAGTTACCCGGTATATATTTTCCATTTTTTGCCTCTCACTATTCTATTATCCCTCTCTTTTGCATCCCCAATATTACCAACGCACAAAAAACACAACACACAATACTCATGTTGGCTAGTGGAAATCGCGCCGTTCGCACTTTATCCAAGCTGAGCCGCGGGGCAATGCATCCGGCAAGAGCAGCCTCGGCGAATCTCATCAGGGCGAGTGCATTGCCGTCGGTCATGGTACCAACGACGCTGTTCCACACAGGCGCGCATGTACAAATGGGGCATCCGCCCATGCGCGACGGTGACGAGCTTAGCCAGCCACTGGAGCCATCCGACGTGCGGTCGTTCTGGGATAACATGCGCCAGGACGCATCATCATCGGACCAGCCCTCAAGCGATTCAAAGAACGCCAAGCTGGACATCGGTGCCCTGCGCCAGCTTGTCGCCACAATCGTTAACAAGCACGCGAATAATGGTGCAGTAGCCATGGGCCTGAATGCACAGAGCTGCTGCGACCTGTATGAGGTCCTGGACGCAACCGGGCGCGTTGACTTTCTTAGCCTGCTGTCCCGCGAGTTCTGCACGCCCAGTGGCGCCGCGCAGGAGGCTGCCAAGGCGTATCTGGCCAGTGCGGAGCAGTCCGACGATCCCGCACACAGCGCCATGCAGGCGCGCACACTGCGGGACAGCCTGACCCCGCAGTACTCGGAGCTCTTCGACCAGATCAACCGACTGCCCGGCGGGTTTGCCTTCCTGGTCCATATGCGCGGGGATATGCTTGCTCAAATGCGCGTCGCCCGGCAGGACACGCCATTGCGGGCCATGAGCGACCTGCTGCAGCGCAAGCTGGAAACGTGGATCATCGGCACCCTCGATCTGAAGCGCATCACATGGAACTCCCCCGCATGCACTATTGAGAAATTGGGACAGTATGAGTCCGTGCATGCAGTCAGATCCTGGCTGGATGTCAAGCGGCGGCTGGGCAGCGGCCGCCGCTGCTTTGGCTTCTTCCACCGCAGTGTCCCCATGGAACCCCTGGTCTTTGTCTGGGTGGCTTTAACGAATGAAATCGCCACCAGTGTGCAGGGCATCTTGGGAGAGCCCGAGTCCCCGCGGGCGAGCGAGCATGCCGCCCAGTGCGCTATCTTCTACTCGATCAACTCGCAGCCTGGCCTTTCCGGCGTCGATCTGGGGAATTTCCTGATCAAACGTGTCGTCGGTGTGCTCCGCGCCGAGCTGCCCAATATTAAGACGTTCTGTACACTATCGCCGCTGCCGCGCTTCCGCGCCTGGCTCGACAAGTGGCTGACGCCCGAACACCTCGCCCATCCTCCAACAAACATTGGTTTGTCTGAGCAAGAACAGAGGGATCTGATAAACCGGGTGCCTGGCGCAGAGACTTGGACTGCGGCGCTGAAGCACCTGATTGATAGCCGCGGGTGGACCTCCGACCAGAACAACTTGGTCGCCATGGAGCCTGTTGTCCGGTCCCTGGGCGCCCACTACCTGGCCAGTGTTAAGCGCGGCGGGACCAAGATGGCTATGGACCCGGTGGCGAACTTCCACTTGAGAAACGGGGCCTGTCTGCATCAGGTCAATTGGCGCGGCGACACGTCATACAATGGTCTGCGCCAGTCACTCGGTCTCATGTGCAACTACAACTACGTGCTGGACCGCATCGAGGACAACAATGAGAAGTACGTTGCTAATGGCACTATTGCTGTGTCTGGATCAGACCCGTATATTGCTCGCAGTCGCCAGCAGCAGCAGCCGCTGACGGCAAAGCTCTGACGTGTATCATGTGACTATGGCCACAAGCTTTGTTGCAACCGCTGTATTTCGAATCGGGCTTTTTAACATGGAAATTCTGTCCAGGGCCCAATAAAATAAAGTGATCAATGCAAACGGTCCTTGTTCGCCAACTTTTTTGATCGCTGCTTACACAAAAATAAATTACGTTCATTTCTTCATAAATAATGGCAGTACCAGCATCGTGCAAGGACAGGAAATGGCTTTCTGTGGCTGCCACAACCACAGACACCGGCGCTGAAACTGCCACAACCGGAGACAGCTCCGACTTGGAAACCAAAGCTGTGTCGTTCACTGTTATGACCTACAACCTTTTATGCCAAAAGCTGGTCCGGCGCGATCTCTTCAAATACGCCAGCAAAAACAGCCTGCGGTGGAAGCCACGCAAGGACCGGTTGGCAGAAGAAATCGGCCACCACAACACCGACATAATGTGTCTGCAGGAGGTAGGTCCCGATGAATGGCTGCACATTCTCGCGCCGCAGTTCAAGCGTAACAGCTACGACTCGCGCATCTTCCAGAGCCTAAGCAAATCGCACGGTGTTGTGGTCGCATGGAAGAAGAGCAGGTTTTCTTTGGTTGAAGAAGCCAGTGTTTCCATGGATCGGACGATGGAGGTGTGCGGGGAGGTGCTGAATACGGATAATGTCGCCCTGGTGGTCGTGCTCAAACTCGGTGCAGAGAAACCCGCTGATCCGAATGCAAGTGAGGTTGCATCGGAGCACTGCGCTATGCCGGGCGATGGTGCGAGGCCGGCGGGCGTCATTGTGTCCAGCACCCATTTGTTCTGGCGGCCGGCCGCGTGCTACCAGAGGCTGCAGCAGCAGGTAGCTCTTTTGCGCGCCATACGCGCGATGCAGGACAAATACCCCGGGTACCCGGTCATCTCATGCGGCGACTTCAACACTACCCCGGATGACGCCGGCTACGATCTTTTGACGAAGCCGCGCCCTGTGTCTCTGAGTGAATGGCAGCTAGACAATCTCCTGCCATTGCACGCAGACAGCAAGGATAGCGATGAGGATGGCGATGACAAGAACCAAGAGGCCGATGGATCACATGCGAGCACCAACGTATTTAGCTACGCCAACGTGGCTGCTGTGGGCACAGCCGCGGAGTCCAAAGATATGGCGAGGAAACGCCGCAAGCTGGAGGAGCAAGAGCGGCTGATTGACGACCAGCTTCAGCGCGATACTAAGCTGGTGCAAAACCTGGTCACGGCCATTCAGGCGGATAACCAGCCGATGCGCAGCTGCTACGACACTTACGCTGACCTGGATCCCTCGTACCGCACCGACCAGTGGAAGGGCGAGCCAATCTACACGAACTACACGTCGTGGAAGGGAACCCTGGATTATATTTTCTACACGCCCGGACTGGGCCTTGAGGTACGCAAGATCTTGTCGCTGCCGGCCGAAAGCCGCTTGAAACCGGGCTTGCCTAATGAGGTGTTTTCCAGCGACCACGTGTCGATACTTGCACGCTTTGACTTTAGCCCGCCTTGCACTATCAAACCCGCTACAGAGAGATAATTGGCTGTTTATTTCCCGGCTATCATCGTGATATTGTCTGAGCTCGATAATCTTCCTAATCTCTTCTCCACCCAAAAAAATGGTTTGGCCCGTGCGTGTGAATAAGGCGCAAATAGATTGTGCGTAATTAAGCTCTCACCTTCTTCTCCATTTTTATTAATTTTTCCTGTTAATTCGAACATTTTGACCTACTTGATATACACCCCTTTTTCATATATTCGCCACAACTCGCGGCAATGTCTTACATCGAAGAGAACGCACCAAAGTCGATTCTCGACCAGGACCTGTACAAGTTCTGCATGCAGCAGGCTGTTCTCGAGCACTACCCGGATGCCCACGTCGAATATGGATTCATTAACCGAGATAAGACAGCAACCTACAACCGCGCGTCTGCTGACTGGCTACAGTTGCGCATTGCCGATTTGTCCGAGATAACTGCCACTCCGGCCGACCTGGAGTACCTGCGCACGACCTGTCCTTATCTGTCAGCGGAGTATCTAGAATACCTGTCGACGTACAAGTTTAACCCCTCATCCGAGGTCGCCTGCTCGCTGGACGAAAGTAGCGGGTCGCTGCGCATACGCATTTCTGGCAAGTGGTGTCAAGTAATCTTGTACGAGATCCCGCTGTTGTCGCTTATTTCGGAGGCGTACTTCAAACATGTCGATACAGACTGGAACTACGATGGACAGCTCGAGAGGATCACAGATAAGGGCAGAAGGCTAGTGGAGGCAGGGTGCAAATTTGCAGAATTTGGCACCCGTCGGCGCCGCGACTTCAAGACACAGGATATTGTCATGTCCGGCTTAGTTGGCGTTGCAAAAGATAGCCCGGGAAAGCTCACGGGAACTTCAAACGTGTATCTTGCGCGCAAGTATTGCGTGGTGCCTGTGGGGACAGTAGGTCACGAGTGGACCATGGGGATTGCCGCTCTGGAGGGAACTTACGAGAATGGCAACAGCTTGGCGCTTAACAAATGGTATGAGACATTCAAGGGTCATCTTGGCATTGCGCTGACAGACACGTTCGGCACCAAGGCATTTTTCGCCAACTTTGGCCGCGATCTGGCTACAAAGTATGACGGCGTGCGGCATGACTCTGGCGACCCATTTTTATTTACAGACGCTGTGTGCGCGCATTACGCGTCACTCGGAATTGACCTGTCCACAAAGGCCATTGTGTTTTCCGATGGGCTGTCGCCAGAAATCGCTGCTGCGATCAAAAAATATGCGGACAAGCGCGGCGTTAAATCTGCGTACGGTATTGGCACTAACTTTACTAACGACTTTGTCTGTGCCTCGGACCCGTCGAGGCCAAGTAAGGCTTCGAATATTGTGATCAAGCTGTTCAAGTGCAACGATAGCCACTGTGTGAAGCTTAGCGATGTTGCCGCTAAGCATACGGGGGACATCTATGAGGTCGAGCACGCTCAGTCAGAGCTTTTTCGCGCCGGCCTGCTTAATAATTCGCAGTAGCAAAACGACGTGAGTATTAAATTTTTTTGGAAGTGGAGATGAGTGGAAAAACACATTTGTTCTCAAGCTCACCGTCTTTGATTTCTTCCTAAAGTATATTTCCCTCCTCCCCGCATTTAAGTTATTTTTTGTCGTAAACAACATGCATTTTTCACTCGTTGGTTTACCCACTGTACCTTCCAATTGCTGGGCTGCCTGTCATCGACAGCACAACCGTCAACTTTCTGGCCATATCATTTAATTATAATTCGTAAAAACCAGGGGGTTGATGAATTTGCCTATGTGTGTTGTTCTCGTCCCCACTAACTTGCTACCGTCTCCACGAATAAGACCTGCAAATATTTAACCCACCATTTAATAAATTATATTAAAATTGCGTATATGAAGGAAATTGTGTATGTCGTGCGAAAGCAATGTTTAAATACAAAAGTCAAATACATTGTAAAATGAAATTCTCTGGAAGCGAGCGAGTGAATAGGCTGCTCTGCCAAAAGCACATAAAACCCCTACGCTGTGGACGCTACTTTCAATACGAGCGCTATATTCGTACTTATTTTTGTTATTCCAAGCTACGCATACACGTTAATTATCTTTCGTTATATTTTACTGTTATATCTTTGTTAATTCAAGCGCTATCATATCCCTATTGAAATACTAATTATACATTTCAAATAGTAGCTCTGAAAACCTAAACTAATTTCAATTACACTCACAATCATAACCAATAGCGTCACTTTGCCAACTAGTTAAAGGCTAAATATAATAAACCATGGTTTCTCGGACAACTACCACGTACACGCTGGTCATAATGGCGTTCGCTCAGACCTTCATGGGTGCTGCCGCGGTCAGCGGCAATGCCCAGGGTCTTGGAACATCCGGCCGCCAGTTGTTCTCTGGTCTGGCTCTGTTTGCCGGTGGCTATGAGGCTACTCATCCAACTGCCGAGTACATGTCCAGTGCCCCGGCTGTGTACGAGCCCACCCAGCAGGCCACTAGCATTGGTGGCTACCACGCACCAAAGCCTCACCCTCATCCTCACCCCCACCCCCGTCCCCACCCTGTGCCCATGCCCGCGCCCATTCATGAGAGCCCCAAATATGATGCTGCCTCGGCTCCCTACCCCCACCGTCCTGAATACCCGATCACTCAGCCTGAGCCCACATATGCTCCTGCTTCCATTCCCCTACCACAGTATGTTGCTGCCCCTGAGCCTGAGTGCGACACCATCCCAATTCCTGCGCCGACCCCTGCCCCCTCCCACTCGACCAGGTACCCGGCTGTTCTCTACCCGGTGAGCCTGCCGACTATCTACTCGACTGCCACTGCAACCCTGACAGTTATTCCCATGCCTACGACCATTACTAGGTCATTCACCGACACCACGTCAGTTTGCATGCCAACTACTCAGACCGACACCTCATTGACCACGATCTACCAAAGCATCCCAACCACAACCACGACCACTGATGTCTACATTCGTACCAGCACTGTCACTTCGACTGTCACTGCAACAACTACCTCCACAGCTATCGTCACCAATGTGTCCAGCATCACAATCACCTGCCCGAACCCCCCGGTCATTATTCCCACCACTATCATTTCGACATCCCATTACACTGAGACCCTGATCAGCCAGATCTTCCACACTGCTACTGAGCAGGTCACTGACACCAAGACTAAGTATGCTACATGCTGGGATACTGTCGTCGAGTGCTGCCCTGTCACCGTCTGCCAGCACATGTGCGACACCTACTACTACACCTGCACAAAGACCTGCATTGACTACTCGATGGTCACTGTCGAGCGCCCCTGCACTGAGTATGTGCCCTCCCAAGTGTATGTGACTAATACCGCATACCAAACAATCACTCTGTGCCAGCCTGTCACTGTCACCACCCCTGTCACTGACTATGATACCATTTTCCAGATCGTTACTGTTAACCACACTGCCACTGTGACCAAGCCCGTTCTGGTTGTCCAGAACATCTGCACCGACGCATACATACCTCCCCCCCCTCCCCCTCCCCCTGCCTACGGCGCCGCCCCTGCTGCGGCCCCTGCTTCCTTTGGTATCATCTCCAACTACCAGTTCACCCCTGATCCCTATGCCAACGCTGATAACGAGGAGCTCGATGTCGATGCTACTACTGCCCCCCGCCATATTATCAAAAAGACCGCTAAGCGTGTCTCTACTCTGAACAAGCCCAAGCCGCAGATCAGAGTCAAAGAGTCTGCCCATGCCGATATTGTCCGCCGCAAGGCCTAATTGATCGTAAATGAAGGACATGCTTGTTTTTCGGGTAAACTTTTGTTTCCACCATTATTTTTTTACTCGTTAATTTTTGTTTGTTAGTTTTTCGTTATATTGTTTTCCATCTCTTTTTTCACCAGTATGTTGGCACCAATATATTAAATCCAATGTTAAAAATTCATTTGTGTGTAATATGCGTGACATATATTCTCTTTTTTACAGTCGCAAAAATAGAAATAATGCTTACTAGTTAAATTTAAAAACACGTAAAAATTATTTTTCAGACAGTAATAAAGAAAATTACCATCATATTTGGCTACTGATGCCGACTTTTTCAGGCGCTTTTTATAATGTGTGGGTAGTTTTTTTGAATATCAAGTTGACAAAATTGAATTGTATAGTAACTAAAAGTGGAACTGTAAATATAGGGATGACACAAAATAAAACTAAATTGTATATTAAAAATACTGCTTATAAAGTATGGCCGGTTTCATACCAGTACATATTTGGAAACTGCTGACACTGCTCAGTCCGAATCTTCGTCGTCTTTGTTGTTGCTGTTGCTGGCAAGCACAAACTTGACCGCCTGAGTGACAAGCTTGGTGACTGTGGCGGCCTGAGGAGCAGGCATGTTGACGGGCACACTAACAGGCATGGTTTGCTGCGGGACACCAATGATCATGACGCTCGGACATGCTGACATGGGGGTTTCAGAAATCATCAGCGGCATATCTTTCCTGAACGAGCATGGCTCAGTGGCATAGCTGAGTGGATCAAGTTCATTAACTGCAAGTGGAATGTTGCTAGCCGAGGCCAAAGAAGCAGCTGAAATTGTAGACCAGGGTGCATCGACACTGACACCAGCAGCATCACGAGCCAAAGCAGCGTCAAAACGCATGTTGACAAAGTTAAATGGCCTGATCTGTGCATCATAGCCATTGTACCCGGCATGGCTCTCGCCTTGGTGGTTGCTGTAGCTGTTGGTGTAGTATGGATTTGTGTATGGACAGGGATCGCTGTTGTAGTTTATGTAACTGGACGCGTCAGAGGCTGGATACATGGTGGGGCTGGCGCCATCATAGTGCAACTTCCAGTTGCCGTTGGTTGCGAGCTCGTCACCGTAATTGGACTGCATGTGGCCATATGAGTCAGCGTACTTTATCTGAGGTCTCTCGTTATAGTCGCCATAATTTGCCTGAGACTGATCATATGAGGACGTCGCATATGGGTGGTAGGGCGGGGACTGGGTGTCATCGTAGTTCAGGCTGGGTTTGTTCTCCCACGAGTCAGACTGGTGGTGGTAGTTCCAGGTATCAAAGTCGGCGCTCTTGCTTCTGGTTATTTGATACCGCTCGATTCCCAGAATGTAGTTAGCCTCAGTCTCCGGAGCCCATGAGCGCTGGGTCTCCTCGTCGTAGCTTGTCTGCGTCTTCTTGCGGTACTCACGATCGACATTGTAGCTGTTGGTTGTGCGTTCGGAATAGGCGGCCTCATCGTGAACTACAGTTTTTCCGCTAAGGCGCAGCTCCGAAGACGCCTGCAGCGCGGCTTGGGCAGAAGCCTCCGCCCTTATTTCGGAAAGAACTGCCTCGCGGGCTTCGGCGGATGCCTCTGCCCGGACTTTAGATGCCTCATCCTTCAAGTTGGTCACCGTTCCTCTGCCGCGTGTACCGAGCGCGCGCGCGCAAGATAACTCGTATTCGTTTTCAGCATCGACTGCTACAGCGGGGACAGAGTTGACTTCAGCCTCAAAATTAAGGGTTTCCTCGGTGGAACCGCTGCTGGCCCGAAAGCGCATGTTGGGTACGTCTGAAATGTTAAGGTCGGCTGCCGCAGACTCATCGGTATCGGCTTTGGCTGCGGATGCTGCTGCTGCCAAAGTGCTCTTCAATGCGGCGGCTTTCTTGGCAGTGCCAGTGCCAGCAGTCTTTGCGATAACCTTGTTTTTGCGGGGCGCGCTGACATTAGCTGCAGGCTTTGCAGGTGGGGCGTCTTCTTCGGCAACATCAGCACTGGCAGAATCCAGTTCAGCGTCAGCATCGACAGTAAGCTTGCTCTTGCGATTGTTGGTGCGTGGAGCCATGTGCCTAGCAAGGGTCTTGGGGGATTGGGGCGGGGCAACGTACACATCATCTTCGTCAATGGCAGCAGATACGTCTTGGCTACTATCGGCTGTGTTGTCATCAACGGCACCAAGGGGGGCTGCACCAGAATCAGACAACAGAGCCGACGCGAGTCCAGACCGTGACAAAAGCTCAGCCAACTGTGAATCAATTGGCAGCAGGACAGGCTGGGCGTTCTGGTTGGAGCCAAGAATGGAGGCTGTGGGAATCGCGCCAGCGACAGCGGGAGCAAAAGCAAGTGCGGCTGTGGGAACTTGAGCCAGCAAGGGCTGGGCAACCTGCTGCTGGGCCCCAATGGCAGCTGGATAGAGCTGTTGCTGCGCAAGCACCATGGCTGCCACTGGGTCAGCTACTACTGCGGAAGGTGCAGTTGTGGCGACCACTGCTGCAGCTGCCACAGCCTGATTAAGCGTGACATCCGGGTAAGGAAGCTGCGCAAAAAAAGCAGCCGCACCTGTTGCTGCAGGTGCGGCAACAGGTGCGGCAACAGCTATGGGAGCAGGTACCGCTGCGGGGGCAACGGCTGCAACAGGCGTGGCTACGGACTCAAAGACAGTAACAACCACCGGTGCAGGGGCGGTAACCGTAACAATGTCGTGAACAGCGTACTGCGTTATCGCCACGGTGGCAGCAGAAAATACTGTGGTGGTCACAGGCGCCGCAGCTGTCTGTGACGTCAAGGTAGACACCGGTGCAGTAGCCGTGACAGAGACGGTTTGCACAATAGTGACTGGTGCAACAGGAGCTGCAGGCGGAGCTTGGAGCACGATCTGAGGCAAATTGGCAAAGCGCTGCATCCCCGGTGGAATACCAACACCCGGATTCAGCATAAAATGTGGCGAGTTGAGTGCCTGCTGGAGTTGCAAATAACCGAGAGACGAGCCGCGGAGGTTCGATAGTGTGTTATCAAGCATCACCGCGGGCGACTGAATTATTTGGTTGGATGCAAGCTCGGGATTTACAGCGGCAGCGACAGCAGCGGCAATGGCGGATGAATCATCGGCAGAAGTGCTGTCGCCAATAGTGCGGGCAACCGTAGCTTCGCCGATGACTGGCTGATCGTCTATAACAAGGCCTCTTTTGTGGATTTCAGAGCTGTTCTCGATAATTTCCGCGGCGTGTATGTATGCAGTCAGCCACACGAGCAAGGCCGACGTGCTGAGCTGAAGCTTCATGTGAAATCAACTGATAGCTATGTGATGAATCTAAAGTGAAAGAGACGCTTAATATATATTTGCTACTTTTCTTAATCTGAATGTGATCACCAAATACAGATGCGTACTTGGTACAAGTGCAATGAATGCAGGGTAATGTTGAAGTAGTAATAATAACAGAAAGTGCAAAAAAATATGTGATGATACGATATTCCAGAAATTAAACAAGAAAAGCGGAGACCATAGGCGGAGCGACATGACCAAGAAGCAATGATAATATGGAAATTTTGCAATAACTGTTCCACCACTCCTCCTTCTCAGAGATGTTTAACCTACAACCTTTCTCTCCTGGATACTATCATGTTGCGCTTAAAAATAAAGAACTAATTATATCAACGGCAAATTAGCCTGTTTGCGTTCAATTCGACACAAGGGACGGATATATTTGCGATTGGCGCTCATAATAGCATTTGTGACGTGGGAGATTGCAGAACAAATGCACCGTTTATAGTGATTGTTATAGTCCCTAATTATAATGCAAGACATACTGTCTATCTCCCGCACCAACCCCGGTTTTTTATTTAAAGAAAACAAACTAGGCCGCTACTGCTACTGCTATTGCTGCAACAGCTATATCCACTCGCCTGTGCCCTAAATATAAACGATGAGACACCCCTATTTCCTAGCAGAGATGACATGTATTAATGCTCTGAATTTGCGAGAATGTGGAGAATCCGCACCATCTTTTTTTTTATCTGTTTTATAGATGAAAATGTTTGGTGCTATTGCTTTTCCAATTGAAACCAACTTCAGGAGTGCATATGCGCATTAACGCATGCATATGGTAATGAAGTATTAACCATTAAGTTGATTATGAATATGAAATAAAAATTAAGACATTATAATTAATATTAATTGGTATTATCGTCGCTGTCGCTTTCAAACTCCACATCGGAATTGGCACCAAAGTCCATGCCCTCGTGAGTGTAGATGTTGGTGACAAACCCGGCGCTGTAATCACTTGTTAACAAGAGGCTAATGGTACTCTTCCCAGTAACCTCACTTGATGGCATTTGTTCTACCAGCTGCACTGTCCTCCGCGCTGTTTCGTTGGCTGTTACTGCAAATCGAGTGGCAGCTGTGGGTAAAATTACCTCATTGGCATTGTCGCCGTTGTCCGCAAATCTGTTATGTCCGGACGCCCAAGTGCTGGCCCTGCCCTTGTTCTCAGAGTTTTGATTGACAAGCTTGATGTGGGCGCGGATCCGGCTGCTTTTCCCATCCTGATCCTCCGAAATGCCAAGACGACTCCTTAGTTCTTGTTCCAGATCCCGGCCCCGATCTTCGGCGTCCATGTCAATATTCTCGCTCTCCTCCTCAACTTCCTCATTGTCAACCTCGTCGTCGCTGTCCTTCCCATTGACTCTACTGTCGGGGGACGTGCTCTCGGCAAGAAGAGGCCTACCATCAATGGAAATGGCGCTGGCAGGGATGTGGAATACGCTCTGCAAAATGCTGGCAATGCCGCTGGCGTTAATTTCATCCTTTGGCTTTTTGGAATGTGTGGGTTTTGGCGTTGGGACATCCTTTGTAGTGCCGTCGGAAATAAACGGGATTATTGGTGTGAAGAGCTGGCCCTTGTTGTCCTGTAGATTGAATGGCTGGTCGTTACCATCGGCGCGTACAGTGATACTGGAGACAGGATGGCGGGCGCTCGCAGACAGGGCCACGTTATAAGGCGATGACGATGTAACTATGTTCACCTGTGGCGAATTGTTTGGGTGCACCAAGGTCATCAAAGCCGATTCGAACCCGGGCGGCAACTGATTGGGTCGGTTGTCTACAGCAACATTCAACTGCGGGACCGGCAAAGACTGGGGTGGATAACCCTGTGCCTTCACGGGTGTGGGTGCCGTTTCAGTATCAGGCAATACAATGGAGATGCTGGACGCCTGAGAAAACATAAGCGGCCCCGATCCACGTTGTCCAGAATGTGCCTGCAGGTACTCTTTTGAATATGGCGGCAGCTGGGACCATTGCTGCGGCTGGAAAGATGGCCTCGGCGCTGGGAATGGTCTAGGTACTACTTGCGGTCTTGAAAAATAATGTGGTCTCAGTGCGACCTGCGGTTTCGGAGCAACCGGCGACAGTGGATACCTCGGCTGTTGAATTTGCGGTGCAAGGCTTGGAATTGCTGGAACAGGGGCTAGGGTTGGAGTTGGAGTTGGAGTTGGAGGCGGCAGAGGCGGCATCGGGGCAAATGTAGGGATAGTCTGCGCGGGACGCTCAAATGTATACGGCTCTGTCCGTGCAAGCTGCAACTGTGGGGTTATGTATGTACTCGATTGCTTGAGCAACTCGGCGGCCATCGCCGCCAGCTTAGTTATCCTCAAAATCCCCGCAAGATCAAAGTCGTCAATCGTAATCTCGTGTCTTTGTACATTGGTTGTCGTTGGGCCTTTTTCAAGAGCGAAAGTAACAAGGGACTGAGAAAAATCGGGCTCGTCAATCAAAATAGTAGTCTGCATGCCAGCGACCAACATCTCCATTCTGTCGCGCCGTTGTACAGAAGTGTCATCAGCGACACTAAATATCGGCAGCAGCTTGCTAGCCTTGGCAGACGGCGTTGGTGCGGATGTTGTCCAGTCTGCAATCGGTAATGGCGCGAATGTGGCCAGTGAATCGATGGCCGGAGCGAGCTCTGCCATCACGTCGAACATAGGGTCGACAGATAATACGGTTATGATATTGCGTGCGTTCATATCGTCAGTAAACCTGATGGCGATGGTTGGCAAAATGATGTTGACTGACAGAACACGGGGTTCAGATGACGTGGGAATGATCTGGGATTGCTCGTTGGTACGGAACCCTGCTGGCATCAAAAAAGGGCTTGGCTGGCTTGTGGGCGGAGCTTGGATATACCGGTTGTTGTGGAAGCCCAGCTCGTTCTGACCCAGCTGATCCGTCGTCTGCATGTTGAAAGTGGTATCAACGGCCGAACCAATGGCCCTGTCCGAGTCAGAGGTGGTGACTGAGGAGTCCTGGTTTTCTGGATACGCACACCTAATTTCGGCTTGTTCGCCGCCGGTCTGATAGCATTTGGTGCCCATCAGGCACTTAAAAACAGTACTTCTGCCATCAATCTGCTCAGAGTAGAGCTCGCTAGCGCCATCAGCATAGAGACAGCTGAACCGCGGTCCGCGAGGAGTGGATTGTGTCATTGATGACGATGACGATGATGAAGACCATAAGGACTTCTCGGTTGTGAATGTGGCGGTCGTGATGGCGACAACGGCATTATTGATAGCGCTGTCACTAGTGTTGCTAAGTTTCCATGCTGACGAGCTGGCAATGGTCAATTCGACAGCGGGAGTGCTGCCCAGCACGCTAAACTCTGACGTAGACGCGGGTGCCGTTGTGTTGGTATCGGCGATACAACTTGCACTGAGCAGCGCAACAGCTGCCAGCACGCTGACTAGTGCTTGCATTGTAATATTTAAAATACGTTGAAATGACAAGATACTCGGTAAGTAATATTGTTTGCAAGATAAAATATCGAAATGTTGCGTGCGTGGACACGAATAAAATGGGTATAGTTTTAATAATACTGATAACGGAAATGTATAAGAGTGCCTTGCGAAGAAGAGAAACCTAGACTATTGTCGACATCGACAGCGGACGACCCACTATTACTACCAGCGACGCCAAGTTTATAGCCGCTGCTTGGACATTTTTATTTTGCTCATCTGCACTTAAAATACACTTTAAAAAAGAACTTCGGATATATTTGTGTTGCTACATTTAGGCACTGTTGGAAGGTGTCTGAAAAATACCACTACAAGTCTATCTACAAATTCACACTTGTCTGGCAGGTGACCATCTTTTAGAGCTGCAAAAGTAGGATAAATAGGTTATTCTGAGTTGCTAAATAGCAGCACTGGCAGTAAAGCCGCTATTATTGCATGGCGGTTGCTCCATTCCCAGTACAAAATTAAGCATTCTGCCTTTGCATCCCCGTTTTCCTCCCCGCCTCGCACTTTGTGTATTTCTTCCTTCCTGTCCTCTTCGTGCGAGTAGCGCGGGGGTGGCCGATATCAAGTAGCGAGAGATTGAGCCTGCAATCAAACAAAAAATAAACACACAGGGCTCAGTCCCTCTTGTTGCCGGGCGACTCGGAATAGTATGCTGTCATGTCACTACTGCCTCTGCTCCCAGCCGGGCGCGAGCTCGCAATATTGTCCATCACGTAGCTGGAATCCAGGCCACCATCCTTGAACGACCGCAGCTTCTCCTCGCCAAGCACCACTACACATTACAACTTGGACTAGGCGATTAGCAAACATATACTTGTGCTGTGCCACAGGGACAAATAATCTGTGTGCAAGGATTCGGTCAAAATATTAGCACAATGAGGGCATGAAGTAAATTACTTACAACGCTTGTAAACGATATTCGAGTATACAACCACCAGCGGGATGGTTACTATGATGACGGTCCAACAAAGCTGCCGCCTGGACATGCCGATGAACTTGTCTTTGGGCACAGTGTTCATCCGCGGGAGGCTTTTGTCGCCAAACTTAATGGCGCGCTTTCCCTGAGCAAGCAGCGGTCTGGTGAACAACATGGTAGAAGTAGAAAGTGTTTTTGATTGTGCCGTGTGCGGACGGATATAAAAAAGTAGAAAATAACAAAATCAAAATAGACTTTTTACACCTGCCGATCTCCCACGCTATCTCTCAAGCGCAGCATCGGATCTTGAGCCTTGCACAGATTATGGTGTTGCAAAGCCATGATACACAGTCCAGCACTCGCTCTAAAAAACATGATTTTTTTTTAAAAATGAGGGGTTTTCAATTCCGAAGAAATATGTAAAATTGTTTAGTGGTGACCAAAATACGACCCATTTTAGAAAGCCTCGGCGACGGGAGCCTCGGCGGCGGGGGCAGCCTCAGCAACAGGGGCGGCCTCAACAGCGGGGATCTTGGACTCGGAAACGGGGCCGTTGGTGGGGGCCTCGTCCTTGGCGTCGTTGTTGAGGATGGTGACAATATCGGGCAGGGGGTTCTTGGGGCCAACACGTCCAGTGGGATCGCAGTCAAGCATAATCTTAACCTTGATACCGAGGACACCCTGCTTCATCTCGACGTGACGAACGGCGTGGTTGATGTACTCCTTGGCGGGGTTACCCGAGTGGATCATAAAGCCCTCGCTGAACTTCATGGCCTTGGCACGAGCAGCGCGGAGCTTACCTGAGACAACAACCTCGCAACCCTTGGCACCCGACTCCATAACGTAACGGACAACGGAGTAGGCGGCGCGGCGGACGGCAAGACCCTGGAGGAGCTTGAACTTGAGCGACTCGCACTGGGTGACAGCGCAAAGACCGCGAGCGGCAACCTTCTCGGCGTACAGCTCAACGGTGCCCTCGGGGAAGTTAAAACGCTTCTGCACAATGGTGGTCAGCTCGCGGATGCGGCGACCCTTGACACCGAGAACCTCCTGGGTGTGGGTGGCACGGATAATGATCTCAGTGCGAGCGGGGGTAACACGGACCTCGCAGCCCGAGTAGCCCTCGAGAGCCAGCTCGCGCTGGAAGAACTCGTTAAGCTCAGCGTAGAAGACGCCGTCAGCAACAAACTACAGCGAGCAATAAAAATACATGTCCAACCCAATAAAAAGAGGAACAATGCAAAGTACAAAAAGAGTATTAGCAAAAAGCTCGCATTAACAGATTTTGAGTGGTTCTGCAAGCAATCTGAAACGCTCAGTGCAATTTAAAAGTTCGTGTGCATTCAAAGCTGGGTGCGACTGATCTCCTCCGGACTAAACAGCAGCATAAGTATATACGTCTACAGCTGTAAGCTGGCAACCGCCAAGATAGCCAAACAAACGAATAACAGCAGCAACTGTTCTGGGGCTGGCAATGCAATCTGACGTTGAGGAATGACAAGCAAAAAACGCCGCAATGTGTTAAAACTACAGGCGTGGCTTTAAGTTGAGCGCTCAGAATAAGGTAATATTCAGTATGCCGGAGCCAGAGCTGCACTAGTAAAACTGGCACAACTACAGACTCTGGCATTCAAATAAGAGGTGTCAGAATAATAACAAGGCTCATCATAGCTGGCCCGTGTCATTCCCCTTAAGTACTGCAATTTATGCGCAAGCACTGCCTGCTGTAAGCAAAACAGAAAGCTGGGGCCCCGTAGCCACTGCTGTCGCTGCTAAATGTAAAATGGCGGCATAGGCAAATTCAAAATGTTGGAATTCAAAATTTCCTGTGCAAGACATTTATTCCGCATTCCAACGTTTCGTTTTTGCTGTATCACGCATCCGTCATAAATTGGTCGTCTGCTGTTGTGCATCCGTTGCTTTTGCTGCTGTTGCCAGTTTTATGCCGTATCCATCCCAAAAAACATTTCGAATCGATCGCACCCCCTCTCCGAATCCGTCTGCACACACGCAGTGCAACTAACCGTCGTTTGACAAGTGTGATATTTTCCTTCTGTTTCTTGGACACCATGTTGAATATTAGTTGCAGAGAAAAGAGGTAGAACGCAAGGGATTCGACGCGCTGTACAATCTTTTCTTGCCTGGTTTCAAATTTTTTTGGCTGTACGTGGGCGTTAATTTTCGCGTATCTTAATGCTTAAGCCGCTTCAGAGGGCAGTCAGTCATCCTTGAGCCGTAAATGTGAATTCACAATTACGGCTTGAAAAACTGGCCTTGAATTAATTTTGTAATTGGGTGATCACGCCATTTTCATATTTATTTTCTTTGTGTGGCAAAAAAATGCCAGCAAATCACTGATCTTGCGACAAAGTTGCACACTCGGCAACTGGTGACTCAAAGCGCAGCACTTAATTAATTGGAGGTTGTGTGGCTACAACCACGCTGTGAACAGCATTGCGCTTAACTTTTCCTTTGCTTTGCTTTGCATTACTAATCAAGTGCCGCAATTGCATTCCCTTTTATTTTTCTGACTTTTCAACTTTCTTACTTTGTATTTGGAATTGCACAACCCAAAGTCAAACAAAACACAAACTCACACACACATACACTTACATTCTCAGTTACAGTTATACGCTGAAATATAAAATATAATATGTCATTTTCGGGTGGCCTTCGGCTGACAGACCTCAACGATTACATTACGCCGGGCCAGGAGTGCATCAAGCCCGTCGAGGTCAAGAAGACTGGCCAGTCAAACGGCTCACAGATCAAAATTGGGCAGTCTGGCGACTACTACGAGGTCAGTAAAGACGGCGAGGAGACTAAGCTCGAGGCAGCGCGCATCACACTGAACGACTGCTTGGCATGCAGCGGGTGCGTGACGTCAGCGGAAGCGGTGCTCATCACGATGCAGTCCCACCACGAGCTTATCTCCGTGCTCGAGGAGAACCGCAAGCTGCGCAGTCAGGGCCAGGGCGACCAGGCTAAGCACGTGGTAGTCACCGTGGCGCCGCAGTCCCGCGCATCGCTGGCACACAAGTACAATATTCCCACGCTCAGCGTGGCCAAGCGCATGACGGCAGTGCTCAAAGCGATGGGCGTCGACAATGTGTTTGACTCGGCTTTCACTCGCGACCTGACACTGGTCGAATCGGCACGCGAGTTCGTCGATCGCTACAAGCGCTCCAAGGGAAATATCGGCGATGGGCTCAGCTTGCCGGTGCTGGCGAGCTGGTGTCCTGGCTGGGTGTGCTACGCAGAAAAGACACACACGGAAGTCCTCCCCTGGATGAGTACGACAAGGTCGGCGCAGCAGATGATGGGCACGGTAGTTAAGGACTACCTGGCCAAGAAGCTCAGCATCACGCCGGACCGGATCTACCATGTGGCCATAATGATGTGCTACGACAAGAAGCTGGAGGCCTCTAGAGATGACTTTTACAACGACATATACAAAACACGCGATATCGACTGTGTAGTGACCACCGGCGAGTTTGACCGCATGCTGAGCGAATCCAGCACATCGCTATTGGACGCGCCCGAATCAGCACTCGACCCGCTGTTCAAGGTGGATGCTGCCAACGGCCAGCTATACTCGAGTGCTGGCTCTTCAGCTGGCGGCGGTCTGGAGTATGTCATGTCATATGCTGCGCGCGCGCTCTTTGGCATTGACGTGTCAGCGGACCACATTGCTGCTGTCGGCCGCGACGAGGCCCAGCACCCGTTGATCCGCGTCAAGGCCGTGCGCAATCAGTCAGATCACCGCGAGTTTGCGCTGCTCGATCCAGAGACGCAGCAGCCACGGCTTCAGTTTGCCGCTGTCTACGGATTCCGCCATTTGCAGAACCTCGTTCGGAAGCTCAAATCGGGCCGATCAGTCTACCACTATGTGGAAGTGGCGGCGTGCCCGAGCGCGTGCTCCAATGGCGGTGGCCAAATTCAGCCAAATGACCCGAGCCCGGCAGCCAAAAAGCAGTGGGTTGCGGAGACCGAGCACATTTACACAGCCACTAGCGCATATCAGCTGCCCGAACATAACCCCGCACTCAAGGACCTGATCTACGACTGGTTTGGTCCAGAGGGCCTCGATTCCGAGCTGGCAAAGCAGGCACTGCATACGCAGTTCCACGGCATCGTTGCAAAGGTCAATCCGCTGGGCGTGAGCTGGTGATTAGGAGTAGAGATGATTCTTAATTTTTTGTTCTTTTTTTTGTAAATTCCAATAAGTAACTGTTCAGCCTAACATTCATTCCGACGTTTACTTCCGGCGAGTAGCAACTTAAGTACATGCAAAGTCGATCGATAAGACCAACAAGGGTGCGAAAAAATAGTACGCAGTAGCACCAGTTTATTGTGCAATAAAGTTGTATTATTTTGTCCTGTTTTTTATCAGCAGCCCATCGAGATTCAATTTCGGAAATGATGAGCGTAGCCGAGCGCACGCTAAATTACCACTTGCATTCGTGGCAGAAATTTACTGCAAGCTGCGCCCGCTTCTTTCGCGATGATGGCGGTGTGATAAGAAGGCAAGGCGGCAGCGCGCGATGAAAGTCTCGATTATTTCCCTCGTTTCAAGCCACGCCATGCTGTGCACAATGCATCTGCTTGTGAACTGAGAAGGCATAGTGATATCTCAATCCCAGGTTGGGAATGCATTTTTCCGCATATGACTCGTTTTTTCATTTTTGAGTACACGTTGCTTTTTAATTCAGAGATTCACCTTTTTTAAACATATTAGTCCGCCATCGATAACGGCCGTTGATTGTTTTTCACCGATGAATGGAGAAAATTTCCGAGTGGGAAAAATTGAACAATGTCGCTCATGTTTTTTAATATGCTTACCATTAGAAAACAGCATGGCAATTATATTGCTCGCTGCCAATAAGATAAAATCTCAATAACAGCACTGCTAAATTAGTATAAAAGGGAGCATGTACCCCCACACAAATATTAAACACTATGGTTAGTTATTTGAGCACAAGCTTTTCCAACCCCATTCCAAATCCGACTCAACTCGTAACTTTTGCGTTTTGTACTAAATTTCTGCAACTCAAAGCACGCTTATCAAAAAAACACCCACGATCTCATATTTTACATAAACATTCATATCACGAATCATGTACGCTGTCGGTGCTACTGGAGTCATCTCGGCCGGCTTTCCTGCCGCTGCGCTGACCAAGTACAAATATCCTGTTTTCCTGGCCTCGTCGCTGGATACCGAGCACGACGCGTCGACCAGCCCGACTTTGTGCGGCCAGACGGAGGATCCATGCAAGTCCAACTGCGTACCCAGCAATGTCCACAGCCGTGAAATTTCGTTTGTGGACATTGATCCGACAGAGATCAATATCACCCAGGCACTGGGCGGGCGGTCATCCGAGACAATCGAGTGCCTTCGCATTAACGGCTGCCGGATGAACAGCGCCGTATTTGCAGCGGTGGTTGACGAACTGTGTCTCTTAGAACTTCCAAACCTGCACACTATTGACATCTCGAAGAACAAAGTTGGTGGCCCCCTGGCTGGCAATGCACTGGCAAAGCTGCTGACACATGCCACATCGACGCGCTTCTTGTCGCTGGGATGGAATTGTTTGGCACTCGCCGATTTAAAGGACATATGCCTTCCAATCTGCGGCGTGATCTCGCTGGATCTGCGCTCTAATCCGCTGAGCAATTCATTTGTCAGGCCCTCGAGCCGAAGCTCTTCCAGGAGTAGCAGCCGCCGCAATCCCAAGTCTGAAAGCGCTGATGCTAGCGTTGACACCATGGCGTGGGTCAGTACGCTGGTATCGTCGATGCCCCAGCTCACACATATCCACTTGGCACAGGCGAGTATTTCTGATAAGGAATTGACTGCCTTGTTTCACGCACTGACTCGCCCATCGACCCGCGTGGAGTACATCGGCCTCGAATGGCTGGGTCTGGGCAGCCGCCTCGCCACCCTGCGCGCAATTATGAGCAGCTTGACTCCCGCGGCTGGCTTGGCAACGCACAGTAGCGCATTGCATGTCAACCTCGCAGCTAACAACCTTGGCGACTGCGGCGTTGAAATTATTTCCACCTCGGATGCTAAACTGCCGTCGCTCACGCTGGCGTGCAATTTCATTACAGAGCGCGGGACGGGCATGCTGGCCAAATGGCTGCCTGCATCCAGTTTGACTGCGCTTGATCTGACGGACAATTACTTTGGCGATCAAGGAATCGTCTCGCTGCTGGCTGTGCATCCGGGTGTTAAACCAAACTCCTATTACACGCAGATCAAATCGCTAGGTCTGAACAGCTGCTGCTTGGGCGACACGTCGCTGCGTATGCTGGCCGACGCTATTTCTTGCAAGTGGGCGCCTCTTGAGTCGTTGAGGATTCTGCGCAACAGCAGAATGTCATCGAGTGCCAAAATTACCCTGTGAGGCGAGTCCTGTATAAAACAGTTTATACTATACTCAAATCCAAACTGTCAACCGCATACCAAACCCATTGGGTGCCTGGTTTTGCGAGTACTGTAAAAAATTGATATTTTTAATTAAAAAACAAAAAAAAACATATGTGTGTATGAACTATCGCTTGGCTGTGCGCTAAAATTAAACCTGGTCATTTCGCAAAAACATGTTCGATGTCAACCCAATTGTACCAGCTGACAAGTCAATTGATGTGTTGTTAGACCTGTGCGTCTGCAAGTTGCTTGTAGCCGCGGAGCCAACAGTGTACCCAGTGCTGACGCTGGTAACATGTAAGGATTGGGTTGGCGTAGTGAGCGGCGGAGGCATTCTTGTAACGTTCGGCAGCGCGTTGCTGGAGTAGTTGAGCGGCGCATCCAGCTGCATAAAGACGTTGGGCAAATTGAACGAATCTGCATGCGACGTGGCCGAATGGGCAGTGTGCTGTGGATATATCAGGGTTGTGGAATTTGCTTGTAACCTGGTACTGTCTGATTTTGCAAAGGTATTGAAAGACGCGTCCGCAGATTTGCCGTTGTTCTCATTGGCAACAAAAAATAACCCGTTAACTTTTTCAATCCCCTGAGTGCCACTTGGCAATGTAAATCCATTGGCAAATATGGACTGTTGACCGGAAGAAAATGCACCCGACGGGCTCATCTGACCTGATTGTAAGGGTGCTAGTTTAATATCGGGTTGTCTGTTAGCAAAGGCAAGCTGCTGCTGTCTCTGCTGCCGTTGATGATGATTCTGATGTTGTTGCTGTTGCTGGTTTTTGGTTTCCTGGTTGGCTGCTGGTTGCAAAAATCCATTCTGAATGGGAAGGCACAGGGGTGTCGGCAAGCTGTAGCGGCTAACTCTTGGTATTTGCTGGGAAGGAATAAATGGCGGCGCGTGGTGTAGTGGTGAGAGGGGCCAGTTGGATTGGATCCCTTCTGTCACTAGAGCTGGAAAAATGGTGGCTGTGGGCTCAGAAGTGGCCGGAATATTGCCAGCAGAAGAATATACAATACCCACGTTTGCATATGGGGATGCTGCAAACCCACTTCCATATATATCTAATGGATTCGCAGGCTGCGAGCTTTCTGAAGCTTGTTTTCTGTGAGTCGAAGCCGCAGTGGATTGTGTCATTCTGGGACTTGATTGCGTGCGCAATGCTGGAATCATGCCGTCGATTGTTTTATCGACCGCCTTAAGCTGGTCTTTTAAAAACATCAAGACTACAAGTGCATAGTAGTGTACAAATTTGACAAGGAAGGTGTATAGTGGGTTAATATATGCATCCAATACGTTTTTTGATTGAATATATGGGATTAATAGAAGTAAATTAATGTTCATGGCAATAATCATATGAGATAATAAACAATAACAAGAGCACTTTATGCGTGCATAGACACCAAATGAAAAAACGCATTGCTTTGGAGCTGATCATTGTGGAATGTTAAAACGTGGCTCAACTACTCGTTTAGAACAGACAACTAAAAAGTGCATACGGAATGATATGTACGTATTCACATAAATTACAAAGCACAGCAGCAATCTACTGACAATGTAAATATTGATGGCAATTTTTTGTATCTGCATCCAGCAATAAGATTAAAATGATAATGATGGCAAATAATGATGAATTCAGGTTTACATGAAAAGAGTGATTTTAAATGTGAGAATTTTGGCCGGAGGCCAAAGTAATCCTTGAAATAGGGAAACTCAGCAATGCAACTGTATGAATATATGGCTCTGCTTTAGTGATGCTGAATTTTCTGATTAAAACAAATTTCTGGAGATAGCAAAATTTGCTGTTAATTAATGCATGTGGAAAGTAGGGAGATGGTAGTAGTTATGCGTTATCCAAAAATGCTTTGAAACTCCTGATGGCACCAACAAAAATTGTTTTGGACATAAAAAACAAAGAAGGAAAATTGACATATAATCAGATATTGACCAAAACAAAAAGTTAGAAATTAAGAGATAAACAGGGGGTACATCATTATAGAAATTTATAATAATTGGCTGATATTCGTTTTGCTTGAAAATCACCAACAGCAATGTAAGTACTCTGTAATACAAAAATGCAGCGGATGGTATTCATAAATGCATTGCAAATAAACATTTTAAAAGTGTGAATATCAGAAGTAGAGTTCCCTTGGATATGCAAATAGGATGATTGTTTGGTCGTTTGGAGATTTCCAAGAAAAATAATAATATGCAAAGCCAGTTTTCACACACAGGGGGTGTCATTATTGATCCAAAATTCATTGGATTGGATGCATGCAAATATGCTGATCATTACAAAAATTTATGAAAGGGGTATATGCAGGTGAAATTGGCAGTATGCAATGGTATTGTTGCCACTCACTGAAACGTTAACAAATATTTCCGAATTACACAAGATTATTTGTTTGTTTGCTTGTTTGCGCTGAGGGATATGAGGCTTTTTATAAGTAGGTGACATCCCATCAAACAATAAAGCATTATTGTACCATTCGGGGCATACCAAGTAAGCATGAGACAGTGGCTATGCATGGGGTAGAATAATGCGACACACACTAATCTCTAACTGCCTTCTGCGTACTGCAAACCTTTATTGTAGAGCAAAACTGTGCAAACAAAAAGAATGGGAATAAAGGATAGAAATAATTTTTGGTGAAATGAATCATAGTGGATGCAGATGAAAATATGGGAAAGCACCTATAGCAAAGAACGCTTGACAGAGATGCAAAATAAAACAGATCGACAAATATAATTACAAAGTTCACTTACCATTGGGGCTCAGCTGGTCAAGGTGATCCTCCAGGGCTTGGAGCGCCAACAACATATCTTGGGCCTTGGGCGCAGAAAACTCGTCCTTGAGAGTCGAGATTGAGGTTGTAGAAAACGGCGGCGTATCCGGGAGTTTGTCAAACGTATTTGTGGTGGGTATAAATATCAGCGAAGGCATTGCTAATTTTGGCGGAATTTTGGTAAGCGCATCTGGCACGTTGCTCTCCAGAGCTTTTGCTGCTGCTACTCCCAACCCATCAATAGAGCCAGGGCTTAAAGATGGCGGCTGGATACTCCATGAAGAGCGTCTCGATTCTATAGCGATATTACTTTCGATTGGCGGCGAGGGGCTGGTTTCGGGATGAGCCTTGGATGGCTGAACACGAATTATAGACTGCAAGAGCTCGGGGTGGTCGCGCTGAAAGATGGGGTGCCGAAATTTACAATACCCCCGTAGTTTCTTGTCTTTGCGGCCGTCAGTGGTGCGGCGGAATCCATAGAGATGGAATTGGCGTGTGAACGAGTGGTACTTGCTTGTGTTGAAATGATTGTGCAGCACATTTTTGGCAACCTCCACAGAAGACTCCATCACAACTTCTGTTCCGCTCTCGTCCCAGTGCAGTGACGCGTAGGAGTAGTCTGTGAGAATGCTATTTTTTACGGTTTAAAATAACAACAAAGTGGTGCATGGTTAGAGTCAGTGTACAAAAATAATAATGACATGCTTTTCAACAACCAAGCGCAGCTAGAATTATGTATTTTGCGTGACTAGCGCCAGACACATGTGTCGTTTGCTTAAGGTCATCAGTTTTTGTTTCTGCAACGCAATATACATAGCGTTGGATGTGTACGCTGTTGCAAAATGCTGTCAATAAGGGCCATGGAATAAAAATTCCTACATTAACCACATGGATACATGCAGCAAATATACACTCAACCTGTGAACATTGCAACGGAAGGTTATAAATACCCAACAACATTGTACAATTGACACAAAAAACAATATAGAAGGTTCAAGAGCATATATTATGTATGTAGTCGTTGGATGAGTACCTGTAGAGAACAAATATAAAATTGTTCTTGTTTTCAATCGAGACCTGGCGATTGTCTCCGCGTTTTTGACGCACTAACGTTATTTTTGGCATATTTATTGTGCGGTGGGTGTAGTTCGGTATCCCGTGTAGACACAAGCTAATTCTTGTGAAAAGCTTGTTTTAAAAATGGTATATATAAAAATCGTCAAATCGCTTGTAGGGGCTCCACAATTGTATATTAAAGTGGTGTAAATGAGAATTAAATAATGTAAATGCCGGTACCAGTAGCAGATTTCAGATAGGTATTATAGCGAATTATCAATAGTTGGTGAAAATTAATTTTTATTTTGAAGACAAAAGAGAAGGAGGGAATCTGCTGTGCTTTATATCCAACAACTGGGATATGAATGAACTAATATAATAATATGAAAAATTCCTAATCAAAAACCAAGGGACTTTATTTGTTTTGTAATACAGCCAAAAAATGATTATAGCAATAAGAGCAACATGTACTCTATTGCACATCCTGCAGATGGTTAAAATGACCGACAAAAATATTAATTGCATTTCGTTGCACTTTGCACGCATTTTTTGACGATAAGGGCACATACAGATAATTGTAAATGTTGCTTTCTGGGTTTTGGCACTAAAATTTGTTTTATGTGGCCTGGAGCGAGCTGACAGAAATTGCGCAAATAGGTGAAAATCATGTACATTTCAGGGTGGGTTGGGTTGGAAACAGGGGTAATATACCACCCCCACCTGCCGATTATTTTTTATTCGGAAATATATTGTCAGACACAAAAATCAGACCAACAAGAAAATCCAATCGCATTACATTGCCAAGTGACATGTTCAAAATGAAATTTGAAAAGTTTGCGGTTGGCTATTTTGTAAATGCACATTATGCACATTTGTTTGCATAGGCAGTTGCCGCCAACATTGGAGCATATATATTACATTGCTTACACGCCTATTATTTCAATTGGAGTTGGGCATTTAAACTGCCATCGTGTTGCGCTACCTTCGCAAAGGCCAGACATATTTTTATATTTCACTTTCTATCATCAAAGTGGGGTTTAGCAGCACTGCCCGTTGATGGCAACAAAAGCAAATGGATGTTTGCTTATAGCATATGTGGGTTTAGCACAGTATCCACAATTCTAAAGCTAAATAGATAATCGTATTTCAAGTCATTTAGTGGATACAATACGTATGATCAACAAAGGAGAAATCAATTTTTATACCAGAAAAAGGGTAAAGCCTCATTTTCCTTTTTTTATTTCGAGGTTGGATACAATCAGTTTAATTCTTGAGTGGACTCACAAAATTTTAATATTTTGCTTTGCGCCGTTATTCTACTTTGTGTCATTATGATATAAATGTTCCCACATGACATAGTGGTTGCAGGCAGAGCTTGTATCCGTTGTTTTTAGATTTCCTTGCAAGCGCGCACAAAATAATATTTTGCGGCAGCTTGAAACCTGACTCGTCTGTGTTCATATTTGGCAACGTGCATACATGCAACATTGTTTGTAATTGAAATCAAGTGGGTAGCACCATGTCTTCTCAATCATTCACGTGCATTTACAAAAATAAAGAATAGGCAAAGGTAGCAGCTTGCAGCACTCGGAGGACTCAATATCTCACCAGCCATGCGTCAATTATCTTTGAGGAACCATCATACGTGTGATTGTTATTGTTGTTGTCTACGCATTCAAAGTTTTTTTCAATTATCCTATTTATATATATTTATTATGTACCAGCTGTCATCAAATTTATAATTGTTTAACATGGCGTCTAATAAACATATGGTTGATGGATATTTTGCACAGGGCCGCAACTATAGCATATTACACCCGACGGGATAGTCGAGTAAATTTGTGTGCTAAAAAACATTATTTTCTCATTTTTCTGAAATCGTAATTAAAGTGTCGCAACAATTTTAAAATTGAATTGTGGAGTCGTCTTGGTTCAAAGTCTGATCGCCAAATTTTGGAGTATCCGTTTTCTAACAAATTTTTTCTTGAAAGTGCATTTTTCAGTCAAATGGCAAGCGAATCGATTGGGCATATGCGGGTGTGCTACCAATAGTATAGCGAGACACGAAAACAAGCACATTTGCTTATGCAAAGTAGATTTGAATGCATGTAGGTGCTTGGTAAATCGTCTAAAACACATTTTGTAAAAATTTCAGTCGCATCGTAAAATGGTCAATCTCGCTGACTAATTTCAAACATGTCCGTTAAAATACATTATTTATTGCGCATGGTAGTAGATTATCTGTCCATTTCTACGTTTACAGGTATCTCTATTTCCAAGAGCCTTTTTAATCAATGTATACATTGCAAAGCCAGTAATTCAGATAGTACAATACTCCTTCACGTTCGTCTGTTGTGATATTACAGAGATACAAAAATTAGCTCGTTTTTAAATACTCTAAACGATCACACGGTTTAAGAGTATTGTCAAAATGGAGAGGCACGACAATTATCGCTTGAAAATGATAGAAAAATTTAATTGTTGAAAATTGTACACTTTAATTGAAAGGAGTAAAATAGAAGTTAAAAATATCAATTTGGAGACTTGAATATATTTTTGGCACGAGTTGTACAAGGGTTGTTCAGTGCAAAAATGCGGAGCTTCGGGCCCACATGTCGCCAGGCCTGCTTTCGTTGAATCCTGCTATGTTAGCTTGGCCATCAGCTGGTAGACCAGCCGCCTGTACGAGACATCCTCGGCAAGCACCTGGGCGAATGTCGAGTCCCGCAAGTGCTCCAATATACCCTCGCGCATCTCTTCCTTTGCATCTTCATTGTCTGCCAGACAGATCAGACATTTTGTCACGCTTTTTAGTAAGCGGCCCGAGGGCGCGGCTACCATCTGGTTGATGACATTGTTGAGAATAACCAGCACCGTGTGTAGTCGCCTGGGATGCGATGTCACATACTGGAAGCCGCCTTCGTCCAGAATAATCTTTTGGAATATAAATGTGGCAACGACCTTGCACAGCTCGCTGCCAATGTCCATGATCTTAAGACACAGAGGTAGGAACTCGGTGAGCACAAAGAATCGGATCACCTCACGGTTGTCGTATTTGACCAATGCGCCAATAACGCCCAGGCTTGTCAGTCGCAGGTTGTCGTACTGCTTGGCCTTGTTTGTCGTGCTGAGGAATGGATACAAGAGCTGGGGCACATTGGCCTTGAGCAACTGCATACGCGTGTGTTCGTGAGTCGCTACCAGCTGAAGCAGCGCCAGGGAATTACATGCGCGGTTAGACACGGGCATGGTTAGCGCCGGCGGGTTGAGCAGAGGGTAGATGGCTATGATCTCCTGATAAAGTATTGTCATCACACCATACGCGTTCCACAGAGCTATTCCCAGGTCAGGATTCTGGTCGCGTCTCCGGCTCAGCTCAGCAAGTGCCTGCTCCCGATTTGTCGCAGAAAACAACTCAACCATCAGCTGGTACAGCGTCTCGTTTTCAGCATTGGCCACGGCCTGGCCGCCATTAACGTTGGAATGCATATTCGCCATGCCGCCGGCGCCGGCAATCGGTGCTGGCACTGCCATGTTGCCACCGAGACGCGCATAAAGAGCTTGGTTCTGGTAGTTTGCTGCCTCAAGGCCCTTGGATTGCGCCAATGCATTTTGTTGCTGCTGCTGCTGCTGCGTGTACATGTAGTTTTGTGCCGCCATTGCCGAAGAGCTATGCGGACCGCCTGTTGCGTTTCCTGCATTCATATCGCTGAACAGTAAGTGTGCCACTGATAGTTTGTACTGAAAAGATTAAAAAGATTAATGCAATAAAAAAATTGATTCTCGTTCGAAGCACCTGAATTCTCTTTCAGATTTTGGGAGAGCGAAAAAGGGTGGGTGGCGCTGGTGCTAGTGCTGTCTCGAGAATACAAAAGTAGAGTGTGCGTGCGTGCGTGAGTATGATGCTTGTACAGACTATAGAATATTGTAAATCTTGCTTTGAATTCGTAATGATGAGGAAATGTGAGAAGAAAAGAGAAAAGTTAAAAGGTGCAAAAAATGTAAGCAGAAAAGCCTCCCCATACAAAGAGTTGGACCCATTTTCGATGCACGTTTTAATTGGTCAAAATTATCAAAAACGGGCCGCATTCTTCTTTTTCGCTTTGCTTCCCCCCTTGGCTTGTGTAAAAAAATAGGGAACAACGAATTCTCGAAATTCAATATTCTCTTGCTCTTTTTACCATAAATTCACACACATTTAAACGCAATAGCAGTGGGCCGGCAAATATCGGTATGGCGCATACACACACAGACAAGCCCGATCCATCCAAGGAGTGCGTGCTGGCCAAGATCGTGATGTACACATGCAAGAAAAGCGATAACATCGTGTGCACGCCCTTCGAGCGGTTGTTCAAGCGGTGCCCTGGTATACCGGCTGTGGAGCTGGTTCCCGACAGCGACAATTTTTTTGTGAACATTAAAGAGCACGAAGGTGCCGTTCGGTGGAAAAAGCTGAGTGCACACCATCGGAGGAAGGACGATTGACTGATTGATTTTCGACGATCAGATTGAATCTTTTTATTTTGCTTGCTTTGTTAAGTCTGTTACGCAGCAGGATTGACCATCGATGTCAGTGTTCCTTATCAAAGATTCATTGACATCAAAGGGCGTTTATTATTGTGCTTTGCCTTTGTGCGTTGGTGTCCACAACTAGCAGCACGACCGCACTCACTTGTCTTGAAATGTTTTAAATACCAAGCCGGCAGGCCAATAATTGAGAAGAAAAGGCATTCATTCAGTTAGCATTTTAATAACCTAATCAATAAACATTCAATAGCACCATTCAGTACAATATCGACCGTGTGCCGTTTCAGTGTTTCAAATGTATTCAATATACTAATTTAAAGGTATCAGGAAAGAATCAACAATTCAAGCTTGCCGGTCGGTGTATATCGTCGTAAGTATGGCTACTGGCTGAGCTTGCCACAAAGTCGCTCGTGATCCACTAATCCACATACATGTGATCTGAGATTAGCTCTGTCCTAATGCTAAATACTGATTTGCAGGCGGCCAACTAAAATTTTTTATTTTCCACCAAAGTTATTGCTCCCGTTTACTCATGCACAGGGTTTCTGAAACGTTTCTCCATCACAACTATGTGGCTGCTTTGCGAAATCGACAAAGTGACCTCGTCTTCATTGATGTTCGGGCGTCTCCTTCACACACTTCTCTTTTCCTATTCTTCTTTATAGTCGACATCGACAAATAAACACAACTTCAACCTTGATTTCTTTTTGTTCATATAACTAAAGCATGCCTGGATCCGATAGAATAAACTCCGAGAAGCTGAGCATCCTGCTCAGCTGGTTTGAAGAGAACAAGGTGACTTACAACGAAGAGGCTCTCGAAGTGGTCGAGCAGAAGGTTGTCAAGCGCGGCAGCAACATAGTTTCAGTTGACGGATTCGGCATAGTCGCTCGGCGCAACCTGGAGGAAGAAGAGCCCCTGGTAGTGATTCCCAAGTCGGCAGTCATCTCTGCAGCGACCAGCGCCCTTGCAAACATATTTTTTGACGAGGATCTGGGCGGAAGTCTGGCGCTATGCATTGCCGTTATGTACGAGATTTCTCTGGGTAAGGAGAGCCCGTGGTACGGATACCTGCAATCTCTGCCCCAGCGGGCAGACATTCCGATGCTTTGGGATTCGCAAGCGCGCGGCTGGCTGGGCGGCACTGATGTTTCTGGGTGGATTGAGCGTGACGAGCAGAATCTGAAGGAGGACTTTGAAGGGTTGCAAAAGTTGGTTGCCGATTACCCGCTGATCTTTGTGTCTCAGAATGACATCGACTGGAAGAGCAGCGCATGCTTTTTGGACGTAGCCAGTCTGGTTTCTTCGCGCGCGTTTATGGTCGACGTTCATCGCGGCAATTCAATGGTTCCATTTGCCGATATATTCAATCACAAGACTGCGGGCGAGAACGTCCACATTGAGAGCGAGGAAATGGTATGCCCGTTGTGCGGCGAGGCATTCGGCTGCGAGCACATGGATGGGCTCGAAAACATGGATGCCGAAGAGGAAAATGACGATGATGACGATAATGAGCAACATAGCGACGAAGACGATGAAGACGAAGACCATGAAGCACATGGCCATGTCGACCACGATGATTGCGGCGATTGCGGCGATTGCGGCGATGATGAAGAGGATAGCGATGAGGATAGCGACGAGAATAGCGACAGTGAGGAAATGGGCGAGGAGCTGCCCATGCTTGTGGACGAAGCTGGAATCCCTATCGAGGAGGAGGAGCATGCTGCCAGCGGTAATGAGGACAGCGAGCAAGAACAGGATTCTGAAGATGACGGCTTTGAGGACGAAGACAGCGGGGATGGTGATGGTAGTGATGACGAAGATGACGAGGACAAGTATATCGATTCGCTGGATATGGTTGTATTCAAGCCATGCAGGGCCAACAGCGAAGTATTTAACACATATGGTGACCACGGATCGGCATACCTTCTTCATCGCTACGGCTTCTGCGACACGCAAAACCCATTCGAGTCTGTGGCACTTGACTCTGAAGATGTCATGCAGGCATTCGCTGTGGCTGTCTCGGAGAAGCGCGCATCCGAGGTTGCCGAGCTGATTGCTCGATTCCGGGATCTGTTTGTGCCCAACCACAGAGCTAAGAACCTGAAGGATGAAGATGAAGAGGAAAGCGATGACGAGGACGACAAGCATAATGAGGACGACAGTGAAGACGAGGACGGCGATGTGCCAATGCTGGACGACGACGATGAGGTTGCCGAGGCTGATGACATGCCGATCTTCACGATTGACGCACCGGGCCACCCCAACATCAACCTTGTTGCGCTGCTCGTGCTGGGTCTCGCTGACGAGTCGGTCTTTTCGCAGGTGTCACAGTCAGACAGCATGTTCCGCCACTACTTCCCGATTATGCGCCGGTTCTGGGGTATCTTCCAAGATAAGCTCGATGGCGGCGCGCCTGTCTCTGCCGCATTCCGCGAGGCGAACAAGGAGTCAGCTGTCAAGAAGGCGTCCGTAGCGCTTGTCTGCCGCGCCGCATTCATGCTCGCCGAAAAACGCCTGTTGTTACTCGGAGAGGATGCTGTTGTATTGGGCACCAAGCCTACGAATGCGCTGCAACTATCCCGGTGGGAGAGCGCCAAACAGCTCAGGTCCAATGAGAAAAAGATTCTTCAGCAGTGCATCAAAACTTACAAGAAGGCAGTTGCCAAATTGTCCGCATAGATAATAGCAGCACTACTTTTATACGTTGAATATTCTACATATTGAAAAATACTAAATTGTGACTCAAATAGAAACATTTGCCAGCAAGCCGGACTGAATGAATGATTTGGCAGCGGTCGAGCCAAAATCATTGCCAAAGCTGTCCAGATAAATGCCAAAGACAATCTTGCCGTCGACACGCATTTTTCGGGCCAGCATCGAGTACGGTTCCTTGAGAACCTTTGCCGAGTTCTGGTCGACCCCAATCATCTGGCAGCGCTTGCATGGCCCAGAAACTGCGAACTGGGCTGTGCCGATGCTAACACCACTCCAACTCAGCTCCTCAAATGGCAGTAGGGGACGCACCTTGTCTGTTGCAGCGCTAGCTGTCTTTACTATCAAATTGGGCCGGTACTGCATAGGCCCAATATCCGATGCGCGGGGCTCATCGCTGTCCTCGTCAATCCACTCGTTGACCTGCCGCGCACTCTCGTGGGTGACCATCAGCAGCTGGGATTCGTTGACAAAGGATATGTCGTTGCGCCGACTAGGCGATAGGAACGGCGAGTTGCCCGGCGAAAGGGTATCAGATCCATACATGAGGTCGGTGGGTACTTCGCTCGTGTCAGACAGCAGCAGCCGCGGCTCGCATGCCAGGAAGCAGGTCACTGAAAGCACGGAAGACAACCACGAGGATATCTCGTTGGAGACAACGTGGAACACATGCATCTGGCTACCGCAGATGCGAGAATCAACGCGCTCCAGATTCATAGTGTCGGCCATCAGACTGACCTCGAGTGGCGGGTGGTCGGGCGCCTCGAGCACTAGGACTGAGTGCTCAGTATTGATGTGCGGCCGAATCAGAGCCATCTTGGGGAACCGCTTCTGCTGCATCGGCACAATGTCATTTTGGCGCATGATTACAAACGAGCGGTCAAATTTTAGCCCGAAGCGCGTCAGCTCCCACGGCATTTCGCTGGGCACAACCCAGCCACAGCACGACTTGATCGGGTAAATGACCACTTGGTCAATTTTGACCTGCAATCCGGGTTCCGACGTCTCATCGATTACCGCTGTAAAGTCTGTTTTTCCGGAGACCGGGTCGGCCTTGGATTCAATGTCTGTGTTGTTCTGTGTCTCTTGTGCCCTGCTGGTGCTTGGTTGGGCGCAGTTCCTGTAGTGGCGAACAAGAAACTCAGAAAAAATATCAATGTCTTGCTTGCTGGTGATCGCGCCAAAGGATATACGCAGGGCGCCGAGAGGCTTGCCGCCGATAATGTCGTGGTCGTCTCCGCAAACAAATCCCATCGACGAGTAGTGCATAAGCTCTGGCGTGGTAAACTCAAGCCACTTTTGCGACGCACCAGGGTTGCAAAACCGACCCGTGCGCAGGGCAACTCCGGCCATCACTGACAGCCGCTCGACATCGGCATAGCCAATGTACTGGCCATGCATGTCTTTCAGGTTAAACGCCATTATCGGTCCAAAATTGGCTCCCTCATCGTGCCCATATATTCTGCACATGGGCTGGCCGCTGTCATGCTTGAGCGCGCTCAGCGTCGCCAGTGCATACTTAGTCACTGAAGTTATATGTTGTGCGACATTGTCTATGGATAAAAAATTTTTGGCATATGCATTTAGCGCGTGGTGCAGCGATATGATGGCCTGGAAGTTGATCGTGCCGTCCTCCAGCCTGCTTTCGATGTCGTGGCGGAACTCCTGCCACTTTCTGTCAAAGGCCACGTTTAGCACCGTCCCGCCACCAAAGTAACGTTTTGCTTGCAGATATGGAATAGATGATCTCTTGACAAGGAGTACGCCTAGGCCGGTTGGCGCGCCAAAGACCTTGTATAAGGACACAGCAACAAAATCGGGACCGGACTCCAGCATATCAAGTTTTAAGGGCGAGCTGGACACATATCCCGCTGCATCCAACAAAACCCACCACGGCGGATGGCCGTCGTTGTCGCTGTTCTTTCCGTAAGACTCCGCGTAGAGGCGGTGTACTTTGTCTGCCACATCAAGTGAGAAGCGCTCGCCCGAAAAGTTGCACTGCGCCGGATATGCCAGCAAACTGGTCCCGCTAGTATTTGCCGGCAAAATAATGTCGTCAAACTCGCTAAACTCGGCAGCCTGTGTGGCGATCCCGCGGTCGCTGGCCAGGTTGCGCAGCCCAACCACGCTGTTGTGTGACTCGCGGGCATAACGGAATGTGCCGCCCTTGGTCATTGGTGTCAGCTCGCCTGCCAGTCTGATTGCGCCAGTAGCGTTGGCCGTGAACACTACAGCGTAGTCTTTAGGAGTGGTGCCGAAGAACTCCAGCAGCCGGTCGCGCGCCTGCTCAACCCTTGCATGGGTCCACTGCGATCCTGTGTGCTGCGAGTGCGGGTTGGCAGGGAAGTCCATGAGAAGCTCCTCGGCCACAGCCCTGATATGGCTGGCGGCATAAAGTGTAGATCCAGTGTGGTCCAAATACACAGTCCTTAGCTTTGGCGGCCCCCTGGACGGCTTGAGCGACTTTGGCTCAAAAAGCTGCGGGTATTCTTTCTGCCGAATCGTCTCCAGCCGTCCATCGTAGTCGTCTACTGCCAAGGATGGTGCGTGCGTGGCAGTGGCCTTTTTTCTGTTGACCAGGGGTTTGAGGGTTAGAGGCGCCTTGTCCTGGGCGTGTTTACTACTGGCTGGGTGCGTCCTCGCTGGAAATAAAGAAATAATTTTGTTGAGGAGATCAGACGAGGGCATCGGGGTGGCGTGGATATGTGGATATAAATTGTGTGTTCAGAGAAGGAAAAAAGAATATTTTGCAAGAAAATAGGTGGTCAATTGTTGTTGCTGTTGGTGTTGTTGATTTTTTGCTGCAAGGGTGGGAGCGACATTTTATACGTTATATATACGAGATGTCCGCTGCTTTTGATCTTTTTGAAAAACGTGGTGGGAAAACCTGTACAAAAAAGTGTTGTGGCAAAAAAAAGATAGTTGAAAGGGGTGTTGCGCCTCGTTGCTGTTTTCGAGCACACGAAGCTTTATTGTTAGTGCCTATACATGCCATCCTTGCGAGCCATTCATGCACGATGTGCGCTACCTATGTTATAGCGGGAAGCAACGGAGAATATTAATTGATCGCGCGTCACAAAACGTGATTTGCTGAACTATCTGCTCCCTTTTTTCGTCGCTTGAATGGTGTGCATAATGGGGATCAACTTGAAGAGAAAATAAAATGGGCGGATCACGTGCGAGCATTTGTTGATTATAGCATGCAAACGTCTAATAATATGGATCTGTTAAAACGGGGGAGTGTATCAGGGTGCAAAAGGCTAACTTGCCCATTTTGAATGAGGGTTGCCACCAAAAACGCAACTAGCGCCTTAATTAACACTTGGCATATAGAGTGCATTTATAAGCGCATTGGTCAGGAGGGCACTGTTGTAATGCGAAAGCAACCGCATGCATAATTTTTGAGCGTTTCATTTTCTGAGGTATTGGCGTAAAGCCGTGACACTCCTTTTGGCCTTGCCGAGTACGATTGCAAAGCCAAGTAAACATAATAAAGATGTCGAGCATATTGTACTGTCCCATGCCACGCTGAGGTTTGAATCGTCTGGATAAAAAAAAAGTCAATCGAAGTGCCACCAATGCGGAGGTGGAAGCCATGACTACAACAAAGATAAATACGTCATAATCCTGCATATTGATTTGTGTGTAATCAAATCGCGCTTTTCCTACCACTGCGACATTGGCAGATGTGATGATGCAATGGTGCAATAATGCAAGCCTCGCTTATTTTTCTTCTCTTTCTCGGAATTTTCCCCTCAGCTTGTACTTCAATTCAGCAAAATTAATTTTAAAATACTACTTTTTTACTCACAAATGTTTGCACCAGCATCCGGCACGAGTACTGAAATTACAACGCGGGGCAGCACGCTCATACTGCCCGCCGTCTCCATTGGAAATGTGCCGCAGCTAGCAGTCGACCTGCTAATCAACACACTCAGAATGCAGCGCATTGGTGTTTTTGACTCGGCCTCGCTGACACCAGTATCCGGTCCAGCTGGCTACGACCATCTCGGCCCAGAAATCAGATCACACCCGCTCGAGGTATACCAGACCAGCAACGGGGAGTGGACAACATTACAGCAGCGCTCGCCACCACTGCCTAAGCACCACCGACTGTTTGCACGCGAGATTATGGAGTACATCAAGGACGGCGGGTTTGCGAGGGTAGTGGTGTTGGCGAGCAGTGATGCGGCGCTCCGGACGGATGCGCTTATTGATGGGTCGCAGATCCGCACGCTGGCTTTCAACTGGGATGACGACAGCCTGACCAACAGAATGCAGGCATTGTCGCTGAGAAACTTGGCTACAGGCGAGGGCCAGAGCGCGCTGGCAGCACCATTGAACCAAATTCACGCAGCTGGAGTTACCCGTCCATTGCTCAAACTGTGCGAGCAGGCTGGTGTTCCAACGTTTGCTATGGTGTCGCTAGTCAACGAGGGCGACAACGTGCCCGACGCTATTATGCTGGCCAACGCTGCCAACGCGGCGCTTGGCGTGGCCGCAGCGGGTGATATTGCGCATTGGCTGCCGCCCAGGAGCTGGGAATGGTTGATGCCTACGAGCGTGCCCAGTGAGCTCTTCTAAACTGATTTGAATTTTAATGCTTTTTTTGATGATCAATGACATGTGATATATTGCCAGTGACACAATTGACAAAGCCTCTGATATCAATGTGTTGAGCCAATCAGCACTTAACTACGTTTTACCAGCCCCAGCGCTGACTTCATAAAAAGGCACACAATACAATTCACACCTATTGACTATATTTCAATCATAACAAAAAATGGTGATAAAGAGATGTGTAATTAAAAGTCAAACAACATTTAAACATTTAAACATTTGAAAAGTTTTAATGTTATTGTCAATCAATAATGTCATCGTATCTTTATTTTAAATTGTTTGATAGCAATGTGGTATTTAGTTAAAACTAAGAAAAAGCTGCCTGAGCGCAAACCAAATCAAACCAAAACGATTTCATTGATACTCGTTTGCTAATTAAAATATAGTTTGTTAAGCAACTACCTGTTTTACAGCGATTTTCTTCATTTCCTGAATATGATTTAAAATTTTGTGGTCCACATATTGCTTTTCGTTTGCAACAATACACCATATTATTTTACTCCTGGCGTAAATATATTCTGATATTTTAATTTACATTGAATATTATTCATTCGTATTTAAAATTAGCAAAGGGGGTTGTGACAATGTCTTCGAGCTTCTCAGTAATATCAAAAAACCGTGAACATGCTGGGTCCACTGTGGCCGACATTTTGGCTGATATTTGAGTAAGTACTCTCATTCAGCAGAAACCTAGTGGAGCAGGCGCGCTCAACAGGAAAATCAGGCGGATCTGCCGAATCGGGGGACACTGACAATCCAGACGGGGTGTTGAACTATGGCTCTGGATCTGACGCAAGCTCTGACTGCGTATCCATTACATCCTCAAAATCATGTGTATATGGAGTATTCGGATCCGAAGCAGTAAGAGTTGCTGAATTGGTGATGGTATCAGGAGAGCTGCCAACACGAGCTTGGTTGCCAAAAAAACTTTAATTCAAAAATCAGCTGAGTAGAGCCTTTAACTGCTTTCTGAGGAATAGACCTTGTTTTGTGCACTTTTTCATAGCGTTTGGTAAAGTGCTGACTGTTCATTCTAGCGTGGCTGCAGTGTTCACACCAATATGCATGCTCAGCGACCTTAAAGCCAGGAATAGGTGCGCCCGCTTGGAGCAATCGCTCCCTGAACTATGGCCAAAACCCATTGTCTTTCATGGCACCAGAATCGTTTGACGAAAGATAGTAACGGGCATTATTTATTGCGTTTGTACTATATTCCCCCTTGCACCCATGATTGCTTCCTGAAATGTGGAATAATTCTATGTGCTCATTGGTTCTGCCAGGTACTATAACAAAGCAGCAAGTTGAACAAATGACCAATCTGCTTGCCCGACCAACATGGAATTTCAAAGCCGCGAGAGCGTTCTACAAGTAAAAAAAACTACTCGAATGTTAGGAAATTAACTTGTATTGTTTTTCTATAAATAATAGGGAAAAATACAGACAATGTATAACTTGTCCGGCGTTAGTCGCAGCACTAGGCTTATCATTGCTTCAATATGGCTTATACTTGTTTCTCTTTGTTGCAGTAACCGTAACTGAATCGCGCGCCATCGTATGTCTATTTAGCGAATAATGTGTGCTGGATTTGTGGAAGAAACTGGGGCGCACAAACCCTCTGGTTGACTGGTTTTTCTGATGGGAGGCATAGCCAAGAAGAAGAAAAAATGTGATATGAGGGCTGGTGATGTGTGTGGTGCCCAACACACATTTCAAGCCACTATCTTCACTTTTCAAGAATCAAGATCGCCCTCATGGATACTATACACATTTCTGTTATTGCTGGCTGACATCAAGGAATACCATGATGTTTACAGCGCTGCCCCTTTTTCAGTTTAGTAAGTAATTTTTAAGACTTGAATATATCGATTTAGACCCACATTTTTATAGAGCACGACAATGTGTTTGCGATCGGGGGTGTGGGGGGATGAAAAAATAAAATATGAGCTGCTGTAGAAGCAAAGGCAAATGATATGCCATGTCAAAAATTGAAAATGCCCCCCCCTCAGGCTAAACGAGCTGGTAATGGCAATGGTAAAAAAAAGTTTTAGGCCTGGCAAGCATATCGAATGCACTATTCCGTAAGCCAGAAATACGAAGAAAAATATCAGTTTTGGTATACAAACAATGTAACTATTGTCTACCGTCTCAATTTCTCATACATGGTTTTTTGGTATGCAAATAAGAAAGCATTGTATCGATCCGAGCACATATTTCAGGATTCAGGGGAATTGTGCAATAAAACTTTTCTAATATTTAAAATGTTATTTTTATTCAATGACATTCTTCAAACCTGCCATACAGCTTCAACTCTGCTGGAAGCTGGTCCTCAGACACGATGCGATCAGCGAACAAAACCAGCCTTAAGCACACGCTAGAATTAAAAGTGACACGCCTTGTCTCCATATGCTTCGTGCCATATATCCTGGCTGTCATGTCATTGATATCAAATGTCAAATAATTCCACCCCTGCTCCAGCCGCAACGGCAGCCGACTGACATCATGGCCAATATGTGCCTTGGTCTCATAGTTGCCCACTCGAAATCGCCGGACTATCCCCCTATTGTCAGCCGTCTCAATTTCAAAGCTGAACAGGTGGTCGATATTTTTCAAAGATATCGACATAAATGGTAACTTTAGGCCCAGCGTGTCTGATTCTCGCCGAGGACAACTGATAAATGTGCTTTGCAGATCGGCGCTCTGCAAAAGTAACACGGGTCCTGTAATGTCGCTGTCGTCGTCTCTAATCTCTATGCTGCTGCTCTCGTAGTTTTTTGCCACCGTGCTGCTCCACAGCTGCAATGGCTGGGTGCTGGCGCTATTAAAAACTGTCAGAATTCCAGACTGGTACACGTTGCGGAACATGGTTCTAACCGAGAGTATAAACAAACAAGATGATAATTGATACAAAAATATTTACGAAATGTCCGTGCAAAACGCAGAGCGCACAAACAAGCGGCGCGACAAACGCGCTCGCTATCGGCCAGAAGTAGCCACAAAAATGAGGTATGGGCGGCTTGTGAGCAATGAAAAATTAATATAATTTTAAGTTCTAAAATATTTTACTGCTTAAACCATAAATCTGCTATAAAAAGAATAAAAAATTGACGTTTGAAGTTAGCCCATGCGCACAATACCAGCAGCAATCAGCTTGCGCAGGTTACTGGCGACAGCCGGGTTCTTGAGGTGCTCGCGAGCGGCGCGAGGGTCGCTTTGCATCTGCTGGAGAATGTTCTGCATGACTGGGTTGGCCAGGATGGCGGCGGTCTTCGGGTTCTCCTGGGCGCGCTTAATGGCCTCCTCGGGAGAGATGCGCGAGTTCCGCTCATTGATGGCATTGTAGCACTTAGCGTCGATCTGGTTGATCTCAATCGTGTTCTTGCCATCCTTGTCCTGCAGCTTGGCTTCCTCCAGCGCGTCAAGCGCCTCGGCATAGTCGCGCTTGATGAACAGGGCATTGGCCTTGCGGATGTAGCCCTTGACAAAGGTTGGGTCAAGGCTAATGCAGACGTCGCAATCCTTCACAGCATCGGGCAGGGCCAGGAGCTTGGTCAGGCAAGCAGCGCGGTTCGAGTAGTTGCGAGGATCCTTTGGATTGCGCTTGATGGCCTCGGAGTACTCGGCCTGGGCCTCAGCAAACTTGCCAGCCTTGAACAGCTCGTTTCCGCGCTCACGGGCCTCGTTGGACTTTGCCTCGTCGTGGTATGCCTCCTCTTCGCGCTGCTTGCGCAGCTTCTCCAGAGCGCGCAGTTTGGTCAGCACGTCGGCCGAGCGGAACTCGGTCAGAGAGCGGTTGTAGTACTCGATGGCCTTGTCCAGGTTATCAACCTTGCTGTACGCAGTGCCAATTCTGCCCATGGCCTTGGCAATGTGCTTATATTCAGCGCGGTTCTCGCGGCCGACATCGACAGCCTGTTTCGCGGTCTCAATGCACTCCTCGTACTTACCCATCTCAAAGTACACGGCAGACTTGTTGTTCCAGAAGGTAATGTCGGTGGGGTCCAGCTCGATTGCCTTACTGTAGTGCTCAAGGGCATCCTCAAACTGGCGTGCCTTGTATGCACTGTTGCCCTGGTCCTTGGCCTGCGCAGCCTGTGCCTTCTTGGCAGCGGCCTCCTTGTCCTCCTCAGACTCCTCATCCTCTTCAACCTCCATCTCCTCGTCCTGCTTCTGCGCGGACTCGGGGCTTGCCTTCTTGGGCGCAGACGTAGATGTGGCCGGGGCAGCCGAGAATGATGATGCAGGTGCTGGTCGAGACTCGGCAGGCTCGGGAATGTCGCCCGGTCCGCCAAAGGAGACGTCACCCAGGCCCATGAGCGCAAACATGGTCATGGTGATCCGCTGATCATCGTAATACTCGCTGAGCTTATCCGGGTTGGCCTGGATAGCATTGATCTTGTTGACGTATGCTGGATCGGCAAGGAACGGCGCGGTCTTAGGGTTGGCTGCAATCTTCGCCAGCACGTTGCCCTTGAAAACATTGCTAAACTGGCTAGCAATGTCGCCAAACTGTTCGGTGGCAGCTTCTTGCGCAGCTTTGGTGTCGTTCAGGCTCTTCTTGAGCAGCGCGTTCTCTGGATCGTACTTGAGACCAGCCTCATACGTCTCCCTTGCCTCGCCCATCCGCTGCAGGCCGAACAGTGCGGCACCCTTGCGGCTGTAACCCTTGGGCCAGTCGGGCTTGATTTCAACTGTCTTTTCAGCGTCAGCGAGCGCCTCTTCGTACTTTTTCAGCGATGCGAGCGACGCCGACCGGTTTGAGTACAGAACGTGGTTTTGGGGGTCAAGCTCAATGGCCTGTGTAAAGAGCTTGATCGCCTCGTCGTGCTTTCCGGCAGCAAACGCTGCGTTTCCCTGTGCTTTGAGTTCGTTGGCCTAAGTAGCTGAGCAAAGAAGAGCAAGATGCAAAGTATAGTTTGAGTCAACTAGTTAAAAACACTCGTGGGGTCCGGCATGTGCCTTTAGGACTAAACATAGGGATAGATGTACAACACAATCTGTCGGGTAGAGATAAAACTTACTGTTGACATGTCTAATGATCGCTGAGTGCTGAGGTTTAGTTCGTACAGGCGGCTCTTAAGTTGACTTGTGTGTGTAAAAAATGCGTGGAGAAAAATGTGGGTGTGAGTAATTCGTAGAAATATGTTTTTAATAAATTGAGTTTAGAAGAAAAAAGACGGGAAGATATGTGGGCGCTGGTCCAGAATATAAAGTCCATCAGAAATCTTCTTTGGGATTCCAGGAGCTTCGCAGCCATTTCTTTGCACCATCGGCTTCTTAGGAAAACTGCTGTGCGACGGAGCTTGGCTTGATTGCCACCGCCATTTCTGGGTGAGGGGCGCGCGTGCGCGGTTTTAAACAAGAATTATGCTTTCAACTTTTTTTTGCTTTTTCCTTCCCCCGCAGAGCGAGAGCACTCTTCGGGGCCTAATGCACGTGCTTAATGTCTTTTCTGAGCTTTACTTTTAACAGCCACAGTGCACACTCTTTTTTCTCTCTCGTTTTCTCGTTTATATACATTTTTCTGTAGGTTTTACTATTATTATTATTCTCATTTCAAATATTCAAATTCTTGTCGGCCGTCGTTCGACATCTAGCATTTTCGCCTCATTCGCACGGGTCTGTATTTTTCTTGGCAGATTTTTTTTATTGTTTTTGTTGTTGGAAGTGGGTCACGCATATAAACCCACACGCACACACACACGCACAATGTCGCTGGCAGCAGCAGCTTCTACGGGTGCAAGCGAAACCCAGATGCCAGGCGCATTTGTAGGAGGAACCGGCACAGCAGCCACCGAGGGACCCGCACATACCTCGCTTGACCGCGAGCGGCAAAGCGGCGACGGCTACCTTTACAGCGCCAGCAGCCGCGTCATGAACAGGACGAAGATTGTGTTTTTGGTGCAGTCGGGTGACAGGGCCGAACGCGAGTTTGACCTCGGCGATACTGTGATTCAGGTCAAGCAGAGTCTGCTGGCCAACTGGCCGGAAAACTTTGCCATCAAACCAACAGATACATCAGACTTGCGAATACTGTACCGGGGTCACTTTTTGGATGACAAGGACACTCTTTCGGGTAAGTTCATCTAATTTCTTTGTGCTGATGGTAGACAATGCACCGTCTATTATCGCACATTAAGCCAATGCGCTGCTAGCAGGGCCATACTATAGCTGCACACTCATGTGCTACTGCTGCCACCCGGAAGGAGGGATGGGAGTGCTTTTCCTTTTGCCAGAATAACCGCTAATTTTCTCGTTTTCTTATTTTCTTATTCTGTGCTCGCACGACCCGCTTCGCGCGCCCTTGGATTTGTAGACAGTAAATTGCACAAGTCAAACACAGTTGTGCACCTGACAGTCAAGCCCCCAAACAACCAGAATAAAACAGGTACGTTTCCAATCAGTCCAGAGGCATTGCAATGAGCAAAAGCCCAACGATGCTACAACGCATGCACCAAGCACACTAATCATTGGAATTCTTTTGAATTTACCCTTATTCTTGTAGCAAAGAAGGACATTGACAAGGCGCCAAAATGCGCATGCATCATATTGTAAATTTTTTGCCACTATTTTTAAACCTTGGTATTTATGTTTTGTTTACGTTGGACACAAACCTCTCAGGCAATTTTTATGGCCCTTGACTGCCAAACCAATTGTGGCCGGGCGCTCTAATCAATATTGCCGCCGCACTGGAGCGGAACTCTTTAGCACTGCTTTTTTAAATCATTTTTAACGGACTAAACATAAATTTTTTCTTTGAGTGGGAGCTTTTCGTAATTTTTGTTTTTATTTTTGCTTATTTCATTTTTTTCTTTTCGCACACATTATTATTTCCTTTTCTTTCAGTTAAATTATACAGAGAAACAACTCACTCAATCACCAACATACATACATGCGGTATAAAATGCAAATTATAAACTTGGGTGAATGCCTTTGCTGTCGAGCCCGTGCGAGTGTCCTTTTTGCTTTGCGTTTACAAATTTTGCGTGATAGATCGCTCGGGCAAAGCGGGATTAGGCGGGTGATCCATAACTGATTGTTTGATCGATTCTAGTTTGCAGGTTACCAAAATATTGATATTGCATATCGATTTTTTTGCAGTGTGTGGTCTCGCTCTGTTAATCTAAATGAAAATGAGTTGAGACATGTGCGAGAAATATCTGTGAATGTCGTATTTTCTTTTCCATACGCGAGTCTAGAATTTATATTGCTATACTATTTTATTTCAGTCCGGGCGTGAGCTGCAAGGAGGATGATCACAGGCAAGGACGTAATTCCCCAAACACTTTTTTCTATTCGGTATTTATTAACGCGACGGTCACACATATGCGCACATATTTATCGGATGATGCGCCTTTTGATCGGCAAAAAAATGAACATGATTTGGCAGAGCATTCCACTTTTTTTTGCTAATACATAGTTAAACATGCCAATCAGTATATCAATATTTTTGTGTTATTCGGCACAGCGAGTCACTTTGCATGATGCCTCAGTCAAAAGTGACTGGTAAATATGACCAACCAAAGTGTGCACTAAATGTACGAGTCAACCGTGCAATTTTTCAATGCCAGTGTGTCATGAGCACTATTGGTATAATTCCTTTCCCCTTTAGCCGGATCTCTCGAGTTTTTTTTGCATAAATACAGGGCCATCTGCCACGATACAAAACAATTCAAAACACATCAACATTTTCTCTACCATCACAACCACTCGCTCACTTTACAAAAAAATACCAGTATCCTTGTTACTTGACATACTCAATTGTGGTCTATAATACTTAATTTTCCTTCCCAAAACCATCTTCATAAGCATATTTACCATGCGCAGCTTCACCACCTATATTGCCGTTTCTGCCATTCTCGGCATGGCTGCTGTTGCCCAGGCCAACAAGGCCAACCACGCCTACAGCTCTGTCTCCGTCTCCAGCACCGGATATGGGTCAAGCAGCATTATTGCCTCTGCTTCCAGCAGTGTTGCCTCCGCGTCCAGCAGCATTGCCTCCGCTTCAAGCAGCATTGCACCCGCGCCCAGCAGCGGCGGCAGCGCTTACAAACCGAGCAGCAGCGCCGGTTACGGATCAAGCGGAAATGCCTATGCTTCGCAGGGAGATGATTACTATGCTTCAGAGGGCGACATCTACGGGGCTGACGGTGACGATATTTACGGATCGCAGGGTGGCGAGGATTATGCTTCAGCTGGGAACGACTACGGAGCATATGATAACAATGACTATGCTTCGGAGGGCGGCAACGACTACGGATCGGATGACGGTGCCTACTACGAAGCACAGGACAACAACGACTATGCTACTACTAATGACTATGCCCCGCACGAGCCCATGGTCACACCTCAGTTCCAGACCGTCGTCCAGGATATTGTGAACACTGTTTACGAGTACACCACCGTTTTGGTCGAGGAGACTCAGATCCAGGAGGTCACCCAGCAGATCACCAACGTCCAGGTCCAAGGCATCACTGCTCAGCAGGATGCCCTGTACCAGGTCACCCAGACCTATGTGTGCCCTCTGCCGCCCACTATCACCTTCAACAACGTCAACACCGTTTGGGTTACTGAGACCGTGACTCCCACCGTTCAGGTTATTCAGACCCGCGTTATGCCCCAGGTCATTGTTCAGCCCATCACCCTCACACACCAAGTGCAGCAGGTCAATGTCCAGACCCAGGTTATCCAGCAGGAGGCCACGGCTGTTGTCGCCACCAATGTCAACAATATGGTCCAGGTTGTCCAGCAGAATGTCGGCCAGGCACAGGGACAGGTCGCGACCGTGGTCCAGGCTGCCCAGCCCGCCTACGCATACGCCTAAGCACCAGCAACGATGGCAGTGCCCAAGCTACACACAAGCTAATTGATAACCAAGTCTAACTTGGTACAAATTAAACTAAACTAATTTTTAATCTCTCAGTTTTTAACTTTTTTTTCACCACTTCTCTTTCCGTTCAATTGACATTGACTATTTGCAAAATATTGTTGTTTATTCTATTTCGCTACTAACAAAAAACTTATTCTTGAAAGATATATGTAAAAAAAAGTTATTTATATAAAAGCAGCTCAAAAACATGTGGCCAGAGGGAAAACAGTCTTTGCGCCCTTGAAAATCTCGGCAAGCTCAACATCCGACGACCCAGTCTTGATCAACAGGTTCTTAGCCTCCAAGAGATTGTCCAGAGTGCGAGTCGCTCCGTACCGCTCCGCGGCTGCCTGGGCGAGCATCGCCTTTGCGCTGGCAACGTTGGAGTCGCCACCTATGGCTATCAAAGCCTTGGCTCCAGCCAGTAAAAGCGGCAAAGTCTGGTCGTTGGTCTTAACTGCCTCCTCGATCGATGCGTTTCCAAACGACTTCGCGAGCTGGCCCTTGAGCGCAGCCTTCATCGGGGCGGCAAAGGTCTCGTCCGAGTCTAGGGCACTGATAAGGCGTGCAGCCATGGGAATGAGAGACACGTGGGCCTCATTGATGGCCTTGAGTGAGTTGATCGACTTAAGTGCCAGGAAGTATTTTTTCATGCGCAGGTGCACCTCGAATGCTGAGGTGTGTGTGGCAGGCTGAGAGCTGACTGCCTTGTCGAGGCTCTCAACAAACTTGAGAGCATCAGCAAGGTGGTTCTCGGAGTTGACATAATCGGCCCCGATCGGGTCCTTGTCGACCTCAGCGGGCTTAGCCTCCTCTTCGCCGGATACCAAGGTGTGGTCGCCCTCCTTTGTAGTGGTGGCACGAGTCACCGGCTTGGTCTGCTGCTCCTCGAGAATGGGCTCGGGAATAGCCTCGAACGGGGTGCCGGCAACCTTGCGGTCGTGCAGGTCCACGTAGCAGGCGATTGCAGCGTGCGCAACATCGACATAGGTCTCGTGTGTAAACAGCTGGCCCTCCCACTGAAGAATGTCGATGTAGGCGCGCATGGTAAACTTGCGCAGCGAGTAAGTGTGGAAGTCGTACTGGTCGTTGTAGTAGGTGTCAAAGACAGTCTGCACCTGGTGGAACTGCTTGAGCGCCCGGCCGATGTCGCCGATGCGGTTGTATGCATGGCCACGCTCGCGCATGTACCATATGCTCTGCATATCGACGATATCCTTAAGCTTGAACGCCGAGTCTTTACCGAAAAAGACCACACAAGTCCGCTCAGCCTCGTCGACGTCGTTGTCACGCAGCATATACTTGATCGCCTTGGTGTTAATAAAGCGGTCCTTCAGGTCCATTTGGCGGGCAAAATCCATCGTGTCGCGGGCGCCCCGGAAGTCTCCGGCGTGCTTGAGGATCTTGGCCTTGACGGCGTACAGCTCGACGGTTTCGGGCGAGGCCTTGATGGCCTCGTCGATCAGCTGCATCGCGCGCTCATAGTCACCGTAGTAATCCCAGTGCTGGGCCAAGTAGAATGTGCACCACATGTGCACTGAGGGGACCTCATCCTCGGTCGAGTCTCCGAGGCGCTTGGTGTCGTGAAGCTGCGTCGCGTAGCCCTCGAGCAGGTTGCCCAGAGCGGCACCCTTGGGCTTGTCGGCATACAGCGTCTTCATGCTGGTGAACAGCGAGGGGATGCCCTTGCGCAGCGCATGCTTGGCCAGCGTGTCAGCTGCCTCGATGAAGCTCTCTCCATCGCCAGTGCAGAAGGTGAGCGGCAGGAATTTGAGGGTGTTGGAGGTGGGGAACTGGTGCTGCAGGGTGGAGATAACCTCGAGAATAGCATCAACGTCCTCAGCGCACGCCAAATCCAAGCCGTTGCAGGAAAGGTAGCCGCGGATGTACTCCTTGTTGTCGGGGTTGCGCTCAATCAGGTCCTGGTATGCCATGGCTGCAGCCTCCATGCGATTGACCTTGAGCAAAAGGTTGGCCTTTTGCTCCTTCCAGCCGGTGATATCCACGATCTGGGGGCGGATCTCTTTGAGGTTCTCTAGCGCCTTTTGGTAGTCGCCGCTGAGTTCTATCAGCCAATTCTTATACATCAGCAGTTCGCTGATCTCTTCCTTGCTGACTTCGGGCCCAATCTTAATGGTCGGCTGGTAAGTGGTGATGGTCTTGGCAGCCAGGTCAAACCGGCCTGTCAGCTGGTAAGCCACAGCTAGGCCAATCCAGAAAGGCGGGAACTGTGGGCTCAGCTTAACAAGCTTTTGCCTGGTCTCGACGAGCTTTTCGTACTGGCGCATCTGTGTCTGCATGGTGGCTAGATCACGCAGTATGTTGATGTTTTCCGAGTCCGCCTTGAGTGCCTCTTCGTAGCACTTTATTGCCTCGTCAAACTTTAGATCGATCTTGCACACGAGGCCGTAAACATGCCAGCTGATCGAGCTCATAGGGCTGATCTCAATTCCGCGCTTGATCGACGCATATCCCTCTTCCTTGCGGTCCATGTATGCAAGGAACATGCCCTTGACAGCGAGTGTCTCTACAATAGCACAAAAATGGTATGAGATTAAGGTTAGGACGATGTTGTCAATGAAACAATTTTGTGCAATACGATCAGCTGATACCAAAAATGGCAAAATAGCGCAAAGATAACTTACCGCCATGATTGGGAACCTTTTTCAGAATTTGCTCGCACGACTTCAGTCCCTTCTTGTACTGGCGGGCCTCATAAAGTTTCTACACAGGGGTTTTAAATGCTTCGAGTAAAAATCAGTACGACTGGTGTCGGGCAAGGCACAAAGTATGGTTATTGCGCTTGCTGCGGCAAATCAGGAAAACTGCAATTCAATTTGCTTACCAGAGCTGCTCGGAACAACGCTTGCTCCTTGTGGGGAAGTTCGGAAATAGTCAATGACATGATTATTATTTAGTCAGACTCCTAGTGAAACAGCTGTGTGGTTGCTCGGCAATAAAGAAGCAAACAAACAGAAATAATAAAGTTGTGCAAACGCAAATTGAAAAGAAAAATATCACAGAAAGAGTTGAAAGAAAGATAATTCAAACCTGCAAATAGGGAATCAGCAATTCGAATTTTTGCATTCAAAACAACACGTTAAAAATTCAAATGCCATATTGGCCGCATAAATTGTAAGCGGCTCGATCAGAAAGAAATAGGAAAATACTGAATCGAATTAAATCGAATCAGCAACTCGTTTTCGCAAAATCAAAACGCGAAAAGTGCAAACACAGATGATTGGACAAAGCCCCTCAATTGAAATGCGTTGACGCGTTAAAAACGCGCACATCACACGCTTTTTTATTTTTTCGGAATAGTGCTTCGCGCAGCAATTTGTGCACCTCTTTCATTAGTTTTGCCTCTTCAAATTTTAAAATTAATCTTTCACTCCAATTAACTACTCTCTTAACTGAAAATACACTTTGCAGGCCGACAACATGACAGAAGAAAGCGGACCACAGGAGCTGAGCTTCCAGCCAAAGTTTTTCACAAACGCCTCGAACAAGAAGACTATCGCCAATAAGGATGTGTACACTCAGCTAAAGGTAACACGGGAGAAAACGCTCTGTTTTTTGGGGTTGCTACCGCTGCAGCAAGCCATACAGCAAAGTGATATAGCACCATCTCTCTTCACTCCTTACCTAGCGGTACCTGCATGCTAAACTTCTGTTACTGCTGCGTGTATTTTTTTGTTTGTCTTCTAGAAGCTGTCAAAGGAGCTCAACGGACTAGAGCAAGAGACAGCCAACACGCACTCGCTCGATGCGGTCACCCGCCAGCTGATTTCACCATCACTGCTCCGGCACAAAGAGTCCGGCGTAGTTGCGTACGTGTCCTGCTGCATAGCCGACATCCTGCGGCTATACGCACCCGAGGCGCCATACAACGACGGAGAGATCAAACAGATATTCAACGTATTCATCGATCAGCTCCATCTCTTAAGCAAAACCGAAGATCAATTTTTCCCGCTCCGAGAGTACCTGCTCACCAGCCTGGCCACAGTGCGCACGCCTGCCCTGGTTGCCATGCTCCCGGATGCCGAAGACATTATATCGCGGTTTTTCACCGTGCTCATTGGTGTTGTGAATCCGAGCTTGCCACACAGCCTTCATATGCAGATCCTGGACATATTGCAGCAGCTGCTGGAGGAACCAAAGACCGTGCCGCAGGACGTTATTGATGTGATTCTGCTGCAGTTCACCAAGAAGCGGCAGCAGGACAACCCGGCGGCGCACCAGCTGGCCAGCGATCTAGCCAACGGCACTTCTGACGTGCTGCAAAAGTACATTTACCAGTACTTCAACGATGTGATTGTCAGCGCGGCACAGCAGCGGGCCGGGCAAATGCAAGAGCAACAGGCTGATGGCGATGGCCAAGCGCAGCGTCGCATCTCTGGGTCGAGTAGTTCCCTGGACGACCTGCGGTCAGCGCACTACTTGATCCTGGAGCTGAACAAGTCGGCGCCAGGCACGCTGCTTAACGTTATTCCGCAGCTCGAGGAGGAGCTGAGCGTCGAGGATGTGGACATCCGCATTCTGGCAACCGGCGTTCTGGGCGAGATGTTTGCTGAAAAGGGATTCACGCTTGCCAAGCGCTACGAGTCGACATGGAAGGCGTGGAAAGGCCGTCGCGCAGATACTTTGCCGCTGGTGCGCATCCAGTGGGTAGAGCACGCAGTGTCGCTGTACCAGCATCAGCCGCAGTTGTCGCGTGAGCTCAACGACTATGTTGTGGAGAAGCTCTGCGATGTTGACGACAAGGTTCGCCAGGCCGCGTGTCGCTCACTGGGGCTGCTGGAGGTGACACAGGTCGTGCAGGCGGCCATCGGCGAGAACGTTGTCGACATGCTGGGCGAGCGGTGCAAGGACCGCAAGGCCGCCGTCAGGTCGGAGGCCATCATTGCACTGGCCAACATCTACAGCCAGATATACGAGGAGCTCGAGCAGGGGAATGCCGCGGCGCACAGCAAGTGGGGCAGCATTCCGTCCAAAATATTCATGCTGCGCTACATCAACGACCCGGACATTGACTCCAAGGTCGAGAGCATTCTGACGGGCGCGATCCTCAACTTTGCAAAAATCAAAGACGACCGGTCGCGGTGCCAGCGTCTGCTCGTGGTGTTCAACAGCCTGACAACCAAGGCGCGCAGCGGGTTTTACAGCTACATGCGGCGGCAGCGCGACATAATCAGTCTGACTGACGCGTTCCTAGACCTCTGCGAGAAACAGGACCAGGGCACTGCGGTCGACACAGAGGGTGCCACGGCTGACCAGCAGCTGCGCGTGCTGACCGTCAAGATCAGCGCTTGCTTCCCGGAGCGGGCCAAAGTGGAAAACGCGCTGGCGCAGCTCGCTGCCCTGCACGACAGTGAGGTGTACAGGGGCCTGCGCGCCACAATGGACGCGGAGAACGACATCAAGGCCGTGCGCAAACATCAGAAGAGCGCGTTGAAGAAGCTTTCGACACTGGCGCCCAACCTCCTCGACGCTACGGCGCCTCTGTGGAAGTGCGTGGGCCTGACCACCACCAACCGGGCACTAGTGCCATTTCTGATCGAGCACGCATCATCATCGGCAAACGCAATGGGCGCAAAGAGTGGCTCGCACGGGAAGCTCAGCGGTGCTGCGGGCGTTCTGGTGGGATACATCACGGACGTGTTTCCCGAGATGCTGCAGTTCAGCTCGGCAGAGCTGTTTGACGTGGACGAGCTGCGCACGGGCACGGTGGTGGCGACTGAGGAGAGGCTGGCATTGATGGTCAAGTTTGCCAAGGCCATTCCACGGTCCATACCTCATGACCCCGAGCTCGAAAGCCAGCTTGCCTTATTTGTGCGCTCAGGCGCGTCTGTGCGACAGGCAAAGTATTCGGCGTTCCTGGTGACGCAGATTGGGGGCGCCGAGGGCCTCTGCGCGGCGCTGACGGGCGACATGGTGGACAACCTGGACAACACTCATATCAAACGCCGCGCACCATCGTATGCGGCTCTTTCAAGGTTTGCGCAGTATGCGCCGGCGGCATTTGCGATTTACTCTGAGCGCATAAGCACGTACCTTGTGCAGAGCGTGCTGATGGGCGGCCAGGGGGAGATTGTGGGTGACGACGCCATGGAGGCGGACGACTGGGTAGCGCGCGATGCGCTCGGCGACGCTGCGCTGACCAAGATCTACGCCGTCAAGATCTTGACCAACTGGCTTGTGGGCATTGATCGCCAGACGCTGACGCGCGAGAGCGTGCAGACGGTTCTGGGGGCACTACGGCAGCTGGTGCGCAACGGAGGCGAGATCCGCCAGGACGGAAGCACTTCGGCGCTGGATCGCCAGCATCTGCTTTTGACCGCGGCCACGTGCATGCTCAAGCTTGCGTCCCTGGTGCACTTTGATAAGGTTCTCAACGTGTCCGACGTGCTCAGCCTATCTATGGTTGTCCAGCACCCATGCTACGAGGTGCGCTCGGCCATGCTATTGAAGAAGCTTGTGCCTGCGCTTGTCGCCCGGCGGATCCACGTGCGCTTCATCCCGGCGCTATTCCTGGTAGCTCATGATCCTGAGGCAGCTATGCGCGATAACGTGAAGCACGCTGTGGAGCTGCACCTGTCGCAGATCAGGCCCACACCCGGATCACCCTCGGTGGTTGAAGATAGTTTCTGCCGTATGCTGTTTACGCTGGCGCACCACCCAGACTGGGACGACTCGCAGATGGTTGATACCCTGGAGCTTTTCACACGGTACATCGAGTTCTACATCAGCTGCGTGTGTGCTGCGCAAAACGTCTCGCTTCTGTTCTGCTATGCAGGAGAAATCAAGGCGTATAAGAACAGATTGAGCACCGACCCTATGAACAGAGACACGCTCAATGACGTGTTCACCAAGCGGCTGTATGTGCTGAGCGAGCTGGCGCAGTATCTGCTGCGGGAAAAGAGCATTTCGTCTAATTGGCCGGTCAACGTGTATCCAGGTAAACTGTCGCTGCCTGCGGATATTTTTGAGCCGTTGTCGAGCGAGGACAAGGAGAATGCGCCGCGTAGCCAGCTGTTTTTGGACGCCGAGTTTATCCAGAGGCGTGCCAGGGCTCCGGCTGCGTCGAGGGCGAATGCTGCTGCTGCTAAGCGCAGTCGCTCGAGATCAAATGCCGCAGCCAATGCTAAGCGCTCAAAGAACGGCGCAGCCATCGTGAGCAATGCCGCGGGAGGGCAGACCATCAGATCCGAGAGCAAGAGCAAGAGCAAAAGCAAAAGCAAAAGCAAAAGCAAAAGCAAAAGCAAAAGCAAGGCCAGGGGCAAGCGGGCAGCTGCTGGCAGTGACAGCGATGACGATGAGGATGAGGACGATGTCAATATGGACAACAGCGAGGATGATATGGCCGAGGACGTCGAGATGTCCAGTGTGGCCGAAACCAGCGATGAAGAGTAATGGGTGCAATAACAAACCTTTATATTAACTGGTCTTGTATTGCCTAATAAAATTGATTATATTAAAGTGCATAAAGCCTGCGTTTTGATCACTTGCAGTGCAATGCACGTGTTTGCTTGAGCCGACTGGACGCGTGTGGTTCGCGACTCTAAAATACCCTGCTTTCTGTTTTTTTTATTTTTATTTTTCCCGAGACTTTGGAATTCCCGTCCAAAAAACAAAAACATTCAAGTTTCGACCTTCGACTTTACATTTTTCAATTCAATTCAATTTAAATTATCTCTAATTTTCTGTTACTCTTGCCCGCTTCGATACCTCTGCTTACCAACTCTCAAAAATTACCTTCACATTACACCCTGTACGTCGCTGAGTCCTCCCCCCACCTGCACCTCAGCAAACACCAATACAGTACTATAAATAAATGAGCGGCGCTGGCCAGCAGAACGTCTTTGGCATACCGTCGTCGTCGCGTGGACGGGGGCAAGGAGGTACGCGCGGGCGCGGGCGTGGGTACAACGGGAATTCCAGCTGGTCTGAGCGCAAGCAGCAGCAGCCGTTTGGCGGAGAGCCTGGCGACGACCAAAACTCACTAAATTCGTTTTTTCCCGGACAGGGCGAGGCAGAGGACCAGGGCAGCTACGTGAACAACCTCGAGGACAAGTACGAGGACGTACGGCAGATCGACGAAATTGACAGCAAGATGGGTTTCCCACGGCATCAGCAGGGGCCGGTGCGCCTCGGATGGCTGGTGAATATGCACGCGACCTCAGTGGTCGACGAGGAGCGCAGCTCGACAAAGGCCGCCGTAGACTTTTACTTTCTCGAACAGGACGGCGGCTCGTTCAAGTGCACGCTTCTGTACAGGCCGTACTTCTACGTCGTTTGCGTGGCGGGTACCGAGGGCGAGGTCGAGGAGTGGGCGGTGCGCAAGTTCGACCGGCTCGTGGACTACGTCGAGACCGTGGACCGCGAGGACCTGCGTATGGCCAATCATCTGACGGGGCGCAAGCGGCGGCTGGTTAAGCTGGGATTCCGCAATGTGCAAGACCTTATGTCTGTGCGCCGCGAGCTGCAACCGATTATGCGGCGGAACGAGAAGCGCAGCGACCTGGTGCACGCGTACGCGGAGGAGGGCGACGTGGGGATGCGCGATGTTGAGGACTCGATTCTAGAAATGCGCGAGTTCGACGTGCCCTACTACTTGCGCGTGGCCATCGACAAGAATATCCGCGTCGGGCTCTGGTACGACGTCACAGCGGAGGCGGGCGAGATCACATTGACGCGCCGCGAGGATCTCGTACAGCGAGCCGACCCGGTTGTGCTCGCGTTTGATATTGAGACAACCAAGCTGCCGCTCAAGTTCCCGGACGCCAATGTGGACATGATCATGATGATCTCGTACATGATCGACGCGCAGGGGTACCTGATCACCAACCGCGAGGTGGTGTCCGAGGACATTGAGGACTTTGACTATACGCCGACACCCGAGTTCCCTGGGCCCTTCATTATCTTCAACGAGCCTGACGAGGCAGCGGTCATCCGGCGGTTCTTTGAGCACATTCGCGAGGCCAAGCCCACAGTGCTGGCGACGTACAACGGCGACATGTTTGATTGGCCGTTTATTGATACGCGCGCGGCGCACTACGGTATGGTTTTGCGCGACGAGGTTGGCTGGTACCGCGACGAGGCCGACGAGTACAAGAGCCGCAGCTGCGTGCACATGGACTGCTTGCGGTGGGTCAAGCGCGACAGTTACCTTCCCGTCGGCAGCCAAGGCCTGAAGGCCGTGACAACGGCCAAGCTGGGCTACAACCCGATGGAGATTGACCCAGAGGACATGACACGGTTCGCCGCCGAGCAGCCACAGACGCTTGCGCAGTACTCCGTATCGGACGCCGTGGCCACATACTACCTGTACATGAAATACGTGAACCCGTTCATCTTCTCGCTATGCAACATTATCCCGCTGAACCCAGACGAGGTGCTGCGCAAGGGCTCGGGTACGCTGTGCGAGACGCTACTAATGGTCGAGGCATTCAATGCGGAGGTGGCTATCCCCAACAAGCACGCCGACCCGCCGGAGCGCTCGTGGGACGGGCACCTGATCGAGACCGAGACGTACGTCGGCGGCCACGTCGAGGCGCTGGAGGCTGGCGTCTTCCGCAAGGACATACCGATGCACTTCCGCGTCGACCCCGAGGGCGCGCAGCGGCTGCTCGACGAGCTGGACCGTGCATTGCAGTTCAGCATCGAGGTTGAGGGCAGGCTAAAGATGGAGGACATTGATAACTACGACGAGGTGCGGTCGCAGATCGCCGGGCGGCTAACAGACTTGCGCGATACACCCGTGCGCAGCGAGTCGCCCCTGCTGTACCATCTGGACGTGGCCGCTATGTACCCAAACATCATCCTGACCAACCGCCTGCAGCCCGACGCCATTGTCGATGAATCCGTATGCGCGTCCTGCGACTTTAACGTCCCTGGAAAGGACTGCGACCGCCGGATGCCATGGCTTTGGAGGGGAGAGTTCTTCCCGCCCAAGCGCAGCGAGGTCAACATGCTGCGCAACAAGCTGCACAGCGAGCTGTTTCCGCCCGACGCGCGCGCGCGCCCAGGCGCACCTCTGCGCACGTACGAGCAGCTGCCGGTGACCGAGCGCGCGGCCGAGCTGAAGCGCCGCGTAACAGACTACTCGAAGAAGGTGTATCACCGGCTGCGCGAGATCAAGGTCGAGGAGCGCGAGGCCATGATCTGCCAGCGCGAAAACCCGTTCTACATTGACACCGTGAGGAACTTTCGCGACCGCCGCTACGTCTACAAGGGCCTGCACAAGAAAGAGAAGCGCAAGCTGGACGACGCCATGGCTGCTGGCGATAGCACACTGGTGGATGCCAGTCGTAAGCTCATTGTGCTGTATGACTCGCTGCAGATGGCCCACAAGTGCATTCTTAATTCGTTTTACGGGTATGTTATGCGCAAGGGCGCGCGCTGGCACTCGCTGGAGATGGCCGGTGTCGTGTGTCTGACGGGCTCGCGCATTATCCAGATGGCGCGCCAGCGTGTCGAGCAGATGGGACGTCCGCTGGAGCTTGATACGGACGGCATTTGGTGTGCGCTGCCATGCACGTTCCCCGAAAACTACTCGTTCAAGCTGAAAGATGGCAAGGGATCGTTTGGTATCTCGTATCCTTGCACCATGTTGAACCACCTGGTCTTTGACAAGTTCACCAACCACCAGTACCAGGACTTGGTGAATACAGAGACGCACGCATATGAGACACACTCTGAGAACTCGATCTTCTTTGAGGTCGACGGCCCGTACCGCGCGATGATCCTGCCGTCGAGTAAGGAGGCGGACAAACTGTTGAAGAAGCGCTACGCCGTGTTCAACGACGACGGGTCTCTGGCAGAGCTCAAGGGATTCGAGGTCAAGCGCCGCGGTGAGCTCAAGCTGATCAAAATTTTCCAGTCGCAGATCTTCAAGGTGTTCCTTGAGGGCCGCACGCTGGACGAGTGCTATGGCTCCGTGGCCAAGGTCGCTGACCAATGGCTGGACATTCTCTTCAGCAAGGCGCGCGGGTTGCCGGACAACGAGCTGTTTGATCTGATTACGGAGAACCGCAGCATGAGTAAAGCGCTCGAGTCGTACGGCAGCATGAAGTCGACGTCGATCTGCACGGCGCGCAGGCTGGCCGAGTTCCTGGGTGACGAGATGGTCAAGGATAAGGGCCTGGCGTGCAAGTTTGTGATCTCGAAGCAGCCGCTCGACATGCCCGTGTCGGAGCGCGCCGTGCCAGTTGCCATTTTTTCGGCCGACCCAGCCACAAAGCGGCAGTTCCTGCGGCGCTGGCTGCGCGACCCGGCGCTCGAGGATGCCGATATCCGCGAGATCCTCGACTGGGACTATTACCTCGAGCGCTTCGGCAGCGTCATCCAGAAGCTCATCACCATTCCGGCGGCCATGCAGGGCGTGTCTAACCCGGTGCCGCGCATCCGTCATCCAGACTGGCTAGCCAAGCGAGTCAGCGCGGCGCTGAACAAGAACAAGCAGCGGCACATCACCGACGTGTTCAAGCGAGTGTCCAAGGAGGAGTATTTGCGGAAGGCCGCTGAGGAGGACTCGAAGATGGTCGTCGATCAAAGCGGCGACATGGAGGACTTTGGCATCCCTGGCATTAATAGTGGCGGCAGCAGCTCTAGCGCCATGTCTAAGCCCAAGACAGGCATGTTCCGCAAGGCTGCCAACAAGCGCAAGCGCGACCCCAGGGACACGTTGGAGGGCATTACCGAGCAGCTCGCTGATTTGGGCTTGGCGCCCGACCCGTCCGCGGGATATGCGCCATGGCTTGCGCACTCAAAGCAGGTCTGGGCGCTCAAACGCAAGCTGCGTGCGATGCGCATCAAGGCGATCGCGAATGGCGACAATCTGCCTGAAGACAGTCAGCAGGCGGCCGCCCAGGGACCGATGCCAGTGGGCCAGTTCTTCACACGCTCCCACGTGTCCCTGTCGCTTGGCGTCTGGCACGTGCTGCAGTGGACCGAGACGGACACCCCGGGAGAGCTTAAAGCGTGGGTGTGGATTGGCGGGCAGCTGCACGGCGTGCGCGTATCGGTACCGCGCACCCTGTATGTGACGTCGAACGTGCCGAGCCAGGAGATCTCCGGCAGCAAGTTTTTCGCCGAGGCCAAGTCCATGGTGCTCCCGCGTGCCAGCTACATACTGCAGTCGACGCATTTGTACAAGTGCGTTATGTCTGAAGCCGAGTACATTGGCTTTCAGAGCAGCTGGAGCTCGTTCTTTGCGCACCCCAGTATTGGTGGCGTGTACGAGACGGAGATTACGCCGATGGACCGAGCGCTGATCCAGCTTGGGGCTACGGCGTGGCTGGGCTCGGCTGCCAAGCTGCAGGGCGTCGGCCGCAGCATGACTGATGTTGTTTCGCTGGACGATCTGGAGACGAGGCGCAGCTCACTGACCCCCCCGCACGGCATTGCTAGCCAGATGTGGAGACCGCGCGACATTGCATACGCACTGCTCTACCATACCAGCTCGCAGGATGGCCGTCAATTCTTTTCCCTGGTCCTGCCCTACGCCGCGCGCGGCCACGTCTGGGTGGTCAACACCGGACAGCAGGCTGTGCAGCTGCAGATCCCTAATCTCGAGCGCCTGTATCGCGAGAGCTACGCCGCTGCGCGCGCTGCGCAGCTGGAGGCCCAGGGCGGCGGTGATAGCGGCGGCATTGGCATTGATGACGGTGCATTTTCGTATCCCGAGACGATCGAGTTTTCATCGCTGGCATTTTCGACCGCCCAGGCGGCTTACCGCTCGATCAACGCGGCGCTGGCCAAGTGCGTCGACGAGAAGCGCGGGCCCGTTATCCTTGCCTACCAGTCGCCGCAGCCCATCCGGCACCTACAGTCCAACATGCGGTCCCTCGCCGAGTTCCCGACGGTTGCCATGCCCGTGCACCAGGCCGACCGCACGCTGCCGGCCTTTGACTGGCAGCGCCACGCGTGCCGGCGCATGGTGGCCAGCCTGCTCAACTGCTCGCAGTGGGTGGACGAGCGCATAGCGCTGGCGCAATACGCTGACGTGCCGCTGGGCAACATTCCGGCGGATGCACCGCTGTTCCTCGCCGACGTGTTCTTTGCGCGCAAGCTCTCCTTGTCCAAGCACATTCTCTGGTGGTCGCCCAGCAGCAAACCCGATTTGGGCGGGCGGCAGGACGATGAGTTTTCCAACATGTCAGTTGACGGCGCCGATTTCTTGAGCGGCTTCTCGACATCCGTCGAGATCAACACGCCTGGGAGCTACAGCTCGACGTGCGCAGAGATTGAGCTTAAGGGGCTGGCGGTCAATACGATTCTCAAGGCGCCGTTGGTCAACGAGATTGAGGGTGCAATGGGCGTTTTTGGGTTTGACAGTATGACGGGCGACGCCACCCGCGAGGCCGCAGCTGTCCTGCTGGGCGACGACGACGCCGCCACCGGTCAGCCGAGTACTCTGGCATCCGCCACTGCCACGGCCAACAGCAGCGATGCGCCCAAGCACAAGAAGGGCAAGGGCGGCGCAGCTCCGGGCGGCAATTCCGCTGCGACCGCGCTTGCCAAGAACTCATGGCTTGCGACCTCCGGCGCTGAGGGCAACGTGCCTGTCACGACGTTCCAGCTCCTGCGGTCCTTGCTGCGTGGATGGTGCCAGGAGATCGAGGAGCGCCAGAACCCGTTTGCCGAAATGATGACCGAGCACTTCTACCGCTGGCTGACCCGCCCCAACTCACGCCTCTATGACCCAGCGCTTGCCTACCTTGTGCGCTCGCTCATGCGCAAGGTGTTTTTGCAGATGAAGGCTGAGTTCCGCAAGCTTGGCGCCAAGATCGTCTATGCCAATTTGGACAAGCTCATCATCACCACGGGCAAGTCATCTGTGCTCGCGGCCCAGGCGTCCATCGCGTACATTGCCAAGGCCATTGTTGAAAAACCTCTGTTCGAGAGCATATCGCTGGCGCCCTTGCAGTACTGGACCTTCTTGCTCTGGATGAATGCGTCTAACTATGGCGGAATCGTCACTCAGCAGCAGCAGGCCATTGTCGCAGCGGGCGACGGGGGTTCTGGCGCTGGCGGCGAGCCGCGCATTGAGATGCTGTGGAATATGAAGGAGTACTTGCCGCCGCTCGTGCAGAGCCAGTTTGAGCTCACCGTGGCTGAGTTCATATACAAGCTGGCCAGCTTTCACAGCCAGCTGCGCGCCAAGGCCCCGCATCTGGCGCACAGCAGCGCAGGCGGCGACGCCACTGGCTCCAGGCAGAACGAGGCCATCGAGGACATGGACTCTGATGACAACGAGGGCGGCGGCAGCAGCGTCCTGCGCAAGGCCAAGGGCAAGCCTGCGGCAGAGTCAACAACAGCAGTGAAGGGTTCGTTCTACAGGCGGCTGATTGGCCAGTACTTTACGCGCAAACTCCTCGAGGCCGTACCTGAGATCCGCGAAGCCTGCAGTTCAGCGCACTGCAACGACCCCAATGCCCAATTCCCGCGCCTGCCCGGATCCAAACTGCATCTGCCCAACTCCCAGGCGCAGGCAGCGCTGGAGTTTGTAAAGTACATTTCGACAGTGTTTTCGCTTGATGTGCCGGCGACCAACTTTGTGCGCGTCATGCGGCGTAATTTGCTGGCGCTTTTGGAGGTCGGCGAGTTTTCCGACGAGTCGCAGTTTGTCAACCCCTGCGAGCGCCTGGTGCTGGCCCGCGTTGTTTGCGATTTCTGCAATTTCTGCCGTGATATGGACTTTTGTCGCGACGCTGATCTCCTGCCCACCCAGGCAGTCTCCAGTGACAGCGACGGGGCCTCTGTGCAGTTCGCCGCGCCCGAGTGGCAGTGTCTGGGCTGCGGCAGCTCCTACGATCGGGTGCGTATCGAGGAGCGGCTCATTGAGCAGCTGCAGTCGCTCGTGTTGGCGTATCAGATGCAGGACTTGGTGTGCTCAAAATGCCGGCTGATGAAACAGGATAACTTTTCGCTGCAGTGTACTGGGTGCGCTGGCAAATACAAAACGGTTATGTCGGCGGATTCGCTGCGCGTGCAGATCGATGTCTATGCGGATGTTGCGGTGATGAATAGGCTGCCAATGTTGGTGGATTTGGCAAAGTGGGCGCAGGAGCATACGCGAGCGCCCGCTGCCAAGGTCAAGCACTGAGTGTAAAGGCTTTCGGTCTTTGGTTCTGTTTTTTGTTCGAATATGGACATTTTGCTCTCGCCCGGGTCTATTTCTTCTGACCTGCCCACAATACGGTCTTTGGCGTTGGGCAGTTTGTGCGTTTATAAATTTGAAGTGTTAAATTTTTACGCATTTATATATATAATTTTTTTTTGCTATTCGACTCGAATACATTATATTTATTGTTTGTCTTTAGAATGGCCATTACAGAAACCCACGACGCGCTGATTACCTATGATCTGGCATCGTACGCGCACCTGGATGCATGGAAGGCGAAGCCCAAGCTGTATCTCAATCGCTACTTTGCGCAGCACTATTACGCAGGCCCCGTATCCACCAAGAGAAAGCTCGAGGAGACTGACACAGACAAGGGCACACAAGCAGAGTCATCAACAGTAGAGTCACAAACGAAACCCAAGGAGTGGCAGTTTGTGTACATGGTACCCAACAAGCTCTGCGTTGTTGGCATCGCCAACCAACACCCTCTCCTGAATGCCAAGATGTGCGAGGAGATCGGCAATATTGTCAAGGTTGAATTTGCGGATAATGTCAAGAAGAGTGTCATAAAGGGGAAGGGGAAGAAGCAGTCGTTGCGGCTGATGCCTGAGACAAAGATTTGTACGATTTTTACGGATTCTGGGAAGGAGTTTGTTGTGCGGGCGGCTGTCAGGGGTACGTTGATGGAGTGGAACTCGGTGCTCGAGGAGGATCCGCAGCTCATTGTTAGATCTCCCGAAAAGGGCTTTTTGGTCATTATCAAGCCACCCACCGACGACGACAGCAAGATCCTGAGCGAGTGCGTTGCCGAGACTTACTAACTCAGGGGCTTTAAATTTTTGGTTTCAAGTTTCTTATTTGATTTTTTTCCAATCGAGCAATGTTCGTGTGCTTGGGCTTTGCATTAGTATTAGGTAACAGATATTCAAAATGTTTATCAGAAATAGTAATCGACCAAGTGGTGACTGAGGTTAAAGCCGAACAGCGAGGCCAGGTAGCCCAGGGCAATAACCGGGATAGTGTACAAGAAAAACTCCTGGTGGTGGAGAAACGGCAGGGCGTGGAAGCCCAAGTACGTGGTGAAAGCGTACGCCGACCCAGCAAGCGCAAACAGCGTGTTCCCCAGGAACAGCGAAATCCACGAGGTCTTCATCAGAACCGGTAAGAAGAAGAACTGCATGACGTATGCAAATACGAAAAGCGTGAAAAACGAGTTGCAGTGCACGTCGAATGCATACATCCACTCGACCTGCTGGTCCGCCACGTGCACGTTCTGGTGCCTTAAAAATCGATTAGCCACAAACCAAGTCGCTGTCGCCAGGAGCATGCCTACCAGAATATAATTGACCACAAGGAGTTGCACCAGAGAGCGGATGAACCCATTGACGCCCACGCCGTACACAACAGAGTAGGCAGCCGCCATGGCTATGATGCCAGCCACCTGCAGGATGATGAACGCAGGGTCGTCCCGCGCCCATTGGTTTTTTGTCTGCTTGTGATAGTATATGTTGCGGTACACGCGCTTTGGGCTGACCAAGAGGTAAAGCATCTGCCAGGAGGCAAATTCAAAGTCCAGCTGCCGCCAGTGGAACAGCCGCCGCCATAGTGCTGAACGATGAATGCGTGGGAAGCGCCGTCTAAATTTGGGCCGGACAATTCCACCTGGCAATACTGATGCCGACTCGCTCATTTTGTGTATGAAAATATGAATTTATTTGAAGAAAATTGAATATTATTATGAGACAAATTGTGGGAAAAAAGGAAACCCACCAAACCAGCACTCAACCAAACACCTCTTGTGGAGACCAATTGTGACCTACGAGCCTGTAAGAGTTATTGGAAGAAATGCAGAAATAATGTCGCTTCTCTATTATTAAATATAGTACAAAAGTAGAAAAGAGAGTGGTGCTTGCTGTTACAGGTCACGATATGCCCATGAATCCGTGGCCTTTTGTCTCTGATCGGCTCGAGCCGCCCTGGGGACTAAAGAATGAACAAAAATGGGTTGTACTAAAAATCCAAGCTTTTTTTATTTTTTGTGACGGCTATCTGTAATTTTTTTTGACTCTTTTGCAAACGAACCAGACCAACTTCAATTCAACCTTTTTTTCTGTTCTTCAATTCCGCCCTTGTTTTTATATACTTTTCTATTTTTTCATAAACCGACTTTACGAAAATGGCCGTCGACAAGAAGATTCCCAGCGAAGAAATCGTCAACGAGAAGGCAAGTGTTCATTGCAGTTGTGTAAAAAAAGGAAAACATTTACCTCTAAGCGACTTTTTCTTTTTTTTTTTAAAAAAAAAAATGACTAGACGTTAAATTGACTCACACCTTTATACCTCTTCATGTCTGTAGTTTGACCAGGCGACCGCCAACCTTTTGGTTAAGACCGGTCTTGGTCTGAGCGTCGGCATTGTTGCGTCGGCTCTTTTGTTTAAGCGGCGGATGTGGCCGGTCACCTTCTTTACTGGTGCCGGTGTTGGCGCTGCCTACGCTGATGCCCAGAGGATCTTTGATTCTGTCAGCACGCTCGGACGACCGGTTTCTGCCAACAACGCACCCAGCACAGAGTCAAAGAATGCTGCGTAGATTTGTTTACAGCGGATGATGAAGGAGTTATATATCGGGAGTATGTATAACCCAAGTTAGCAGTATAGGTTTTTTTGCTGTCTGCGGAGCATGGCGTATCGACTATGGAATATGGTTTCTGCTACGTTTGCACACTTTTTATTGAGCAAAATATATGCGCTAATAGCAGAAATTTAGCTTTGTGTCTTTAAAACGATTAATTGCGCGAGAGAACATGATGGGAAAATGAAGATGAATTTGTTGAAGTCGATGACCAAATACACAATACATGATTCATTGACATTGACATTGACATTGTATTGAGAGTCAACCGCACTATTTTGCCCATCATAATAATATATTGAAAGGTCTGACGACCAAGACTACTATAAAAATATTTGCACCAGTGGTGATACAAGATGTCTTTTGAAGGCCATCGATTCTGGGTAATATAATATTAAAATATATATTGACAAAACAACCATATAACAATTCTACTTGGCACTACAAGTCAATTGAAAGTAAACAGCACAGTATTATAGTGTTGTGATAATGGCCAAAGGGTAAACCAATAAATACAAACTAAACAGTTAAAAGGAATACTATTAAAAGGGTAATTAAATATTTATTAGAAAACTAAGGTATTCTCATCCTCGTGGTGGAAGCACCTTAGTACTTATCGGAGCTAAACTATGGTAATGTGTGCGGCATCTCCTGTACCCTCACACATGTATACAAACATCTAAAAAGGTGCTAATAGCAAAAAAATGCTATTTTAATGCACCTCGAAATTATATCGATTTCTGCTGATATCATTCCCTGGCAAAAACAGGTTCAACCATTAGCACCGTGTGGCTTCATAATCAATGTGATTAGATAAGGACATAGGGTGGTGTCCTGCATCTGTGCGAGCATACGGGTCTCAGCCCGGGTCTCAGCCCGGGTCACTGGCCTGGGTCGCGACCCTCCTAAGGGGTTCTCAACACACCTATAACAAAAACTATTCTAGGGGCTGTGTGGTTGGGTGTTCTTCAGACTTGGGTCTAATTGCCTGGCGGTAGAGGTTCCCAATAAGGTGTTAGTAAAATATTTTAAACCCGAGCACTCGATCTTCCAGCTAGAACGTCAATAGTGACTAGATGGCTACTGTGGATATTTTCCAACCAGCCGGCATGCTCGATGTATATGCTCATACCCATAGCTTGTAAAATTGAGAATACAATCTGTGCTCGGCCATATTTGTCATTTTTATCGTTTCAATCGATTTTTATAACTGGTTATATCATTTCCTATTTGTTTTATTTGTTTTCCGTTTTGTTTCTTTATTTGAAAATGGAGTATATCGATTTTTTTAAAGAGTTTCCACTGCTTCCGCCGCAAACACTGGATTCACTGGTGGCTGATGGATACATTGATATTGTTGAGGTAAAAAAAAACTTTTTTTTTATTGATTTAACAGCAAACGTGAATAATAACTTTAAAAAACACTAAATAACCAATAATGTAATTAAAATATATTTCTTTTGTTGTAAAAATATGAGTTTTGGAATAGGGTCTCCGAGTTCACGTTTGTATTGACGTTGGCTCGTCAGATGGTATATACTGCGTGGCTGCAATCAAAAGCTCACCCGAGGTTGAGCAGTACTTGGAGGAAAAAAGCCAGGAATTGAATACTCGGTTCAAACAATGCACATCTGCACTGTCGTTTGTGAAAGAATTGCAACACTCTTTGGTAAGATTATTTTCATATTTTTATATTTTATTTCAAATTCTGGGTAATAATGTTATAAATTGGCGATTTTTTGTTTAAGCAATTTTATTATGTTTTTGTATTGTTTTGTTTTAGAGCGCAATGCCGGTGAGTGGATCAAAGTCGGCATTTTCGAAATATTATACTCAGATCGTCAAGGAGTGCGATGAGGCTGTGGGCTGGGACTGCGTGGAATCGTTTGATAAAAAGGGGCAAACAATGACAGTTCTATTAAAGTAAGCTCACACTTCTCCCTTTCTTTGTCGAATCAACAAGAAGCATTTGTTACTTATAATCCAAAGAAATTTGTTACAAAAAACAACTAATACATCCCTCATTTACTTTTACTAACAAAAATAATAACAGGGATGAGTCAGAACGCATTCACCATATATACGTGAATTTTGCCCAAGACACGTTCACCAGCACGATCGACACCGATCAAGTGCCCCTGAGTACCGGCTTATTCCGCTACATGGAGCAGCAAAAAAAGCACTGTTATCAAATGTCCGACACCTGGGATATCCTAGACGATCTCGACGCCACCCTCTGTGTTCTCCAACCGGTGCATCCAAAAAGATCAGATCTTTCGCGAAGAATCGCTATTAGTCATATGGCTACGGCACTTTTTGAGGTTTCTCCAGAGAGGTATTACCCTAAACTTGTGGTTTATGGACCGGCCGGGTTTGTAGGACCGTTGAATCTGAGGGCAAAGGAGTTAAAGAATATATGGGTTACCCCTAGTGGTGGTAATGGTGGTGGTGGTAGGTCGGTTAGGGATAATTTGGAATTGGTTTTAAGCATGGAGTTGCCTCGGAAGGAGGAGGGATTTGATGGGAGTGATATTATGTTGGAGTGTGGGATTTGTCTTTCGTTTGAGGTGGAAGATGAGGCTGCAGACCAGGTGTGTACGAATGATTCTTGTGCGCGGCCATTCCACAGACAGTGTTTGATACAGGTAAGCAGAAAAAAAAGCTAATTTTAATAAGGAGTAGTGGGAAAGAAAAAAAAAGTTGATTGTTTTTTTTTCTCATTTACATGTGATTTAAACAAAATTTTGATTTATTTGTATTGTTTATGTTGTAGTGGTTGACTACCAAGGAAGACACGCGTCAGAGCTACAATACTTTTTTTGGAAAGTGTCCATACTGCAGCGGAGTAAGTTACAAATATTCAATACTTTTATGTAGGAATAATATTGCCTCACCTTTTGTTTGATGTACAATAACTTTAACGAATAGCTAAACCAAACAATTTATTTAAAAATTGAAATGTAGAATATCGTTGTGGCCAGCTCATAACAATATAAAATAAATATATATTTCTAAATAATAAAAATTTAAGTGCGGCATTTGCTCCATGTGGGGAATCCACAAGCCGACGAAATAATCAAATAAACGAAAACCACAGCGGCAAACACAACCAGGGCCAAAAGCCTCTGATTTCTCCACCAATACTGCCTCTTCAACGCCGTGCTCCTCTTCCTAAACGCAAATGCGGCATTACTCAGTCCATAGCTCTTATCCACGAGCAAATCAATTCTATCGCCTCTCTCCAAAACCCTCTCAATATTCTGCACCATCACATCCTTAACCTGCGATATCTCCCCCCTCACCTGCCTAATAGCGTCATCCGAACTTCTCGAATAATAATCCATCTGTCTCGCCAACACCCGTGAAAACCCATTCAATCCCAAAGGCGTAGCATCCCTAATATCCTCGTCTGTATATGCTGAAACAAACCGCTCCATGGTGTCTTGCAAAAAAGCAAATGGAATGCGACGTCCGAATTTGTCATCGGCCATGCAGAGGAAAACTAGCCCGTTTTCACTGATGTAATGGAAGAGGTAGCGGTCATAGACGTAGGTTAGTTTGCTGTTGTTTGGGGGGATTTTTGAAAGAATTGTTTGCGTTATTTGGTGGAAATTCCCGGTGGTCGTTGAGTGCTCAGCAAGGATTTGGGACCCGCGGGAAACTAGGGCATAGATTATGCCTGAAGAAGAGGCTGAAGAGAGAGTTGGAGAAGACATTTTTTTATAATAAAAAAGATTTAGAATAATAAAATTTTACAAGGTGTGCAAAATAAAAAATAAAATGTAGAAAAGTAAAATAAAAGTAGTGTTTTATTCGTTTTCATGTGAGTGTATGACACTCAACACTCTTGGCATTAAAATGAGCAGACAATATAACAAAAAGAAAATTGCCCATTTCCCACCTTGGGAACATTAGATATAGTAGGGTTGGGGGGGGGGGGGAAGGTAATTGTGTGAGATTTAATTACGCTTTATTTTTGCGTGAAATCGAGTATATAGTGTGTAATATATATATTTTTTTGTAACATTGCGTCAGCAAAAGTCCTCTTTTCTTGTTATTTTTTTTTTCTTCATTCTAATTCATCCAAAACAAAATTTCGATTTCAATATACCAAAGAAAAATGATGGACGTTGAATACGTGGGTCCCACTCGTTATGACTACGGCGACAGCGACAGCGACAGCGACGATACATCCATTTCCCCTCCCTCTCCACCTAAATTCACCGTACGTCTCTCACCCAACTACAAACCAACCCACCCCACAACGCTCACAATCAGCCTCCATGCACCACCAAAAGAGGAATCCACCACCACAAAGAAACTCGGAATAATTTACGCACCCTGCACCCAAGCCAATATGAAATCACCCCTAGGATTATGCTCCGTAAATGCATCTTTGGGTCAGATATTTCAAAAAACACCTGGCAGTGTTTGGGTGTGGGTGTCTAGGGATATGCCGGTGGAGTTGCATTATGGATGGGTGAGAGCTTTGGTTGAGAAATTTGGGTTAGATGCTGTAAGGGAGTTGGTTGTCGTGGATGATGTTAGGGTTAGGAGACCGGTGGTTGTGGGGTTGCCAGCGGCGGTGATGAATTATGCGGATGCAGTGGGTCTTCGGTGCACCTATGTTAGGGATCCGATGGTGGCGGCGGCGACGGCAGCGGGGGCGGGGGCAGCAGTGGATATGCTGATGGTAGGCCGTGAGGAAGTTGTGCGGGATGAGCTAGATCACGAAATATCGACATCTCTGTATCTCTGAAAACAAAATAAACGAATAAAAATATAAACTGTTGCTGTTGCTGTTGATTTTTTTTGTTTAAATTAATAATGTAATAAAAAAAACGTTAATGAAAACACATTAAGCCACCGCAATCATAGTTGCAGCAGACGGGTTTTCACGAGCAGCCACAGTGACATACCGATCTACAGCAGCGCGTATCTCCGCGCTCAGTCTCACGAGACCCTCAAGTCTCTCCTCGTAGCTCTTCAACAAACTACTGCGATTCTCCTCAGTAGTCTCCTCCTCGGTCTCCTCCTGGGCCAGTCTAATCCTCGCCACAGCAGCCTTAAACCTCTCAACAGAGTCATCCAAAATACCAATGGTTTGATCAATCAAGCCATACGGCAACCACACCTCCCTCGTTAACACCCCCCCACCGGTAACATTGCATCCAGCAGCAACAACAGTGGTGGCAGAAGGAGGCGCAGAGATGCGCTTGAGAACTGTCGCCATATGCTGCAACAGGAAATCACCGGCCTCCGTAACACATCCATGGCGCAGACACAAGCGAATAAGGTCCTGCGGGCAGCTCTGTAAAAGCGGGGTCGTAATCCACGGTGCCAAGGCATAGTCGCACAGCTCAGATTTCAGCACACACTCGGCGACCATCAACCTATACTGACACTCAGCAGCCTGCGTCTCCTCCTTGTCCAAGTAATACTGCAGCATCCGCCAGCACCGCTCGCCCGGGGTACCTCCTCCCGCCGACGGCATTCCGGAATTCCTCCACAAAGCTTGCGGAACCACCTCTTCGCCCTCGCCCTCGCCCTCGCCCTCACCCTCGCCCTTGCCCTCATCCTCGGACAATGCGCTGGTCTGCACACATCTGCGCACGATGTCCTCGAAAACACACGCGACTGACAACTCGAATGTCCTTGCAAACGCAAAGGCCGCGTCATAGTTCGCAGTCTTCACATGCAGATCGACAATGTCCTGGGGCTCCAAAAGCACAGCGCGGTCGAGCAGCTCCGCGAACACCGCGCCCAAGGTGATCCGCGCCATACACATGGCGTACTCGCGACGCACATCGGCCAGCTCGACAATGTCAATGTTCTGGGCGCGCTCTGGGTCGAACCGCCCAATAGCGATGCGCTTACGCTTGGCGCTCGGCGCGCTATCGGAGTCAACGTCGCTGGACGCGCCGGTGATGACCCAGGCGGACTGCGCATCAACAAGGGTCAGCCCATTGATGCACGCCAGCAGCGCCTGGCCCCGGTCGACAAGCAGCCGCGCCACATCAACAGGCTCGCCGCTGCCAGAGCGCAGCAGCATGACCAGGCGCGCAGCGTACTGGTACATGGCCGAGGCGGCGTTGCGGTAGTTGCCGCGGTAGATATGGAAGGCATACAGGATGCGGTAGTAGTTGGGGCGCGGCACGGCAGGGTCGCTGTGGCGTGCCTTGAACAAAAGCGACCGCTCGACTTCCTCCTGCAGCCCAGGGAATGTCAAGCGGCAGAGCACGGCCACGCCGCCGGCCCGCTCGCACAGCACCGCCACCAGGTGCCGCAGGCTATCGCGCTGCAGGCCGGCGTCCGGCTGCGCCATCACCGCCATGTACGCGGGCTCAAAGCCGCCGCGCTCAACCTCGGCGTGGAACACGCGGAACCACAGCCGCGCACGCCGCGCCTCGTCGCCAGCCGCCGCCTGCAGCGCCAGGTGGCCGAAGCGCACGACGCCCGGCAGCCAGCCGGCAGCGGCGAACAGCCCGGCCACGTGCTCGTGGTACGCCGCGGCACTGTCGACCGGCTCCGCCACGTCCAGCCCAATGGCGCCGCGCAGCCCGGGCGCCACCTGCGCGTCGGCCGCGACCGCGCTGGCAAACAGGTCGGCGGCCGCGGGCATGTCGCACATGCGCAGCAGCGCGCGCGCCGCCAGGTAGCTTGTGGCAGCGCCCTTGGGCATCAGGCGCAGCAGCGCGTCGGCCACCTCGGCAGCCTGCGTGCGCTCGACCGCGCAGGCAAACGCAACGTCGTCGCGCACAAGCGCCGCCACGGCCTGCATGCCCTCGGCCACCATGTCGGCGAACGCGCCGGTGCGGCCGCCGAACCGCAGCGTGTGCGCGCGCGCCACGGCGTCGTGCAGCACGCTGTACGCGAACAGCGCCGGCGCCTGAGGCTCGGCCGGCCCGGCTGGCCGCGCGACGCTGAGCACGGCGAACCGGCTTAGGAACGCCGAGTCGCCGCCCGCGCTCGCGCCGGGCTCGCCGCCCACGCACGGCTGCGCCGCCACCCAGTGCGGCACGGCGCACAGCCCCAGCACGCGCACGCCGGCCGCCAGCGCGCCGGGCACGTCGGCCAGCGGCATCTCCGCGGGCCGCGCGGCCGCGGCCACCAGAAGCACGGCCACGGCGCGCGCCACCTCGATGCGCGCAGCCGCCGCGCCCGCAAAGGCCGCCACGCACAGCCCGGCCATCGTCGCGCTGGCGCAGAACGCGTCGGCCTCGTCGGCCCCGTCGGCCCCCGCAGCGGGGCTGGCCGCCAGCACCTGCAGCACGCCGCGCACGGCCGCCGTCGGGTCGTCGCAGCGCCGCAGCAGCCGCGCCGCGTGGCGGACATGGCGCGCGCCCAGCGAGCCGCAGTGCGCGGCAAACAGCTCAACGGCGCGCGCCTCGTGCGCAACCAGCGTCTCGCCGCACGCGTCGCGCGCCAGCGCATCCCCCAGCCGCGCGGCCGCCGCGCCCGGCAGCGCCGCCGCCAGGAACATCGCGGCCGCCAGCACGTGCGCCGCCTCGCCGCGCGTCCGCGCAAGCGCCGGGAGCGCACCCAGCGATGCCGCCGGCGCGCTCAGCAGCACGGCGGCCGCGGGCTCGTGCACGGCCAGCGCGTGCAGGCACTCGGGCGCGGCCGCCGCCTGCAGGGGCTGCAGCGCGTTGCGCGCCACCACGCACACCATGCGCGTCGACGCGCACAGCGCCAGCGCCGCCGGCTGCAGGCACGCGCGCTGCAGCTGCGCGCAGAGCGTCGCCACCCGCATCCACTCGGTGAAGACGCCGCGCAGCCCGCCGCCGCCGCCGCCGACCACCGCCAGCGCGCGCCGCCGCAGCGGCGTCTGGGCGGCCTCTGGGCCCGCGGCCGCGCTGGCGTCGGCGCCGTTGCTGGCCACGTACAGCCGCAGCGCGTGCGCGACGACGCCGCGGTCGAAGCGCACCGGATGCAGCACGTGGTCGAGGAACACGCGCGCGACCTCGGCGGCCGCCAGCGACGCGTCGCCGGCGTCGATGCGGCGGTCGAGGTCGTCGATCTCCGGCGCCTGCGCCGAGGGCTGCAGCGCAGGCGGCGGCGGCAAGGCCGCGAACCAGCGCTCGCCCAGCAGCGCCGCGCCGTCCAGCGAGAACCGCGTGTGCGTGGCCACGGCGTCGCCCGCGCGGTCCCACAGCGCCCACAGCGTCCACTGGCCAAAGTCCTCGGCCAGCAGCTGCGCGTCCACCAGCCCGTCGTCGGCCATCAGCGCGCTGGCGCCGTTGGCCGCGCGGCACATCTTGCGCAGCACCGTGCGCGCGCCGCTGCCGTGGGCGTCCGCTGCGAGCACGGCAAAGTACGGCGACGCGTCGTCCGGCACAAACACCACGATGCACAGCCCGTGGGCGGCCTGCTGGATGCGCACGCAGGCGCCCGTGGCGAGCAGAGGCTCGGCCGCGTCGTCGCGCGGGATCTCGGCGCCGTCCGCGTCCAGCTGCGGCATGGGCTCGTCCAGCACGCAGCTGCCGGCCCGCGTCCACAGCCGCAGCCGCCGGTCGCGGCCCAGCGTCGCCGCCACGCCGTCGCAGACATCCAGCGCCACAGGGCTGCGCAGCCGCGCGTCGCGGCGCAGAAGAAACGCTGCGACCCGCGGGAGGATCGCTGCGCTGCCGCCCGTGCACAGCCGCTCGCTGACTGCGCCGTCCGCGTGCCACTCCAGCCACGCCACTGCGCCGTCGTCGAATGCCACAGCAATGGCATTGCGCCCGGAGCCGGCCACCGCCGTGGGCTCGGCTGCGTGCCGCAGGCTATGCCACTGCGTGCAATGCCCGACATCCTGCGTCCGTGCGATCTCCCACGCCGACGCGAACCGCAGCCGGTACACGGTTCCGCCACGCACGCACACAAACACACTGACTGCGCCATCTGCGCTGTCCGCCACGGCCGCGGGCCCCACAAGGTCCGCGTCAAACCTCCAGCTGGTCACCTCGCCCTCGCCCTCGGTGCTCCTCTGCTCATCCACCCAGCGCAGCGTCCGAAGCTCCAGAGTGCGCTTGTCCCCGAGGATGCGCCACACTATGCAGGTGTCTGGGGAGGATCGCAGAGTGTACAGGGAGCTGAGAACTTTGCCGTCGAGGTGTCGAGAGACCCGCTGGTGCTCGCTTTCGTCTGGAAGGAGTGCGCCGCTGGGGGTGCCTGCTGAGGGCACGCTGTGCAGTGCCCATGCGCGAGTGTATGGGTACAGGTTGTCCAGGTGCAGCGTGGATGCCTGGAGCATTTCCAGCTGCGAAAGAGAGGTGTCCTCCGATGGGACGTCGTGTGTCGGAGCAAGAGCTGGAGAAATACTCATGCTGTCTGTGAATTAATGTCTTTGAATAATGTGTATGTATGTATGTGTGTGTGTGTGTGTGTGTGTGTGTTTGTGTGTGTGTGTTTGTGTGTGTTTGTATATATATATATATATGAATTTAATAGTGAACATAAATGAGTAAACTGATTTATAAAGTTTGAATTATGAATGTGGTCAAGATTGAAAATTAAAAAAATATGCGTTCAAATATACCACGAAAGAAATCATAATCAAAATTTCTTGATTTTGATCTGCTGATCCTTTCTGTCTGTATTTCGTGCTTTTTTGTCATCAGCGACTATAAAAGATAAAATGTATTTATTCGACGAAATAAATCATTAAATAAGCTAGAAAATAAAATGCTTAAAACCTAAAGCATAATAAAAAAATCCTTGCCGACCACGCCATTTTGCGCATTGTGAGCTTTATTGCAAACCTAAATACAAACACCCTACATTTGTCGTCAGCCGATCGAATAAATACATATAATCTTGGATATTCCTTATAAACAGCCAACATGCTTTTTGTAATTAAATCATTTCGGGGGCTCTTTTCAGCTTATAGCTTATAACAATTATATTTAAAACGAGGTTCTAGAAACACAAGATGGCTTCTCCTCACTTGATGTGGGTGCAAAATAGACTAAATAGACTAGCTAAAATAATAGCAAGTGTACGTTGATTTGATCCAACACACATTTCTCGCTCAGATCACTAGTGTTAATTTATGTATGTGGAATAGTTGGTTGATTGGAACAAGATTAAAAGTATATGTAAATAGGCCTTCATCAATATTAATATTAAAATCATTATTAATTTTATTGGTACGATGTTGTATAAAATGTGTCATGACTGATGCATCTGCTTGTTATGTAAGAGGGGGTGAGGAGCACTGCTGTAATAGTTTTAGAAGAATGGGTGTGAAATTATAAAGGTTTTTATTACTAGTGTTTCTAAAGTGTTATTATCGCCAGCCTCGCCTTATATATATCTCCTTGTTTTTGTGGCACTCACTGGCAGCTGTGTGCTCCGTTCGCGAGAACTGGTCCTTATGAAAATAGCCCGGGTCTCTGGTATGGCATAATTGGCATGTCTGTATTCTTGCGCCCAGCACATCCATTTCGGGACAGGCAGTATGTCCGGATGTCAATGGTGGCGCCTAATTTGATCCCCTGTGATTTGGTCCATATCAGATCCATCTGTGAGCTGACGAGAGTCTGTCTCATGATTTTCGCCCTCAGCGTCTACCTCCATATCCTTGGGCTGCGTAACATGCTATTGCGTTCTTTAAATCATTATCTTTTTTAAAGAGCAATTTGTGTATATTTTTTATTATATTATTTTTGTTAATATCATATATGTGCTTAAAATTATTATTTTTATACCATCGTTTTTTTATTAAAATTGTAATCCTGTTATAATAAGAGGAGGTGTGAGGAGCACTAGTTGTCTAGTGTTAGAAGATGGTGTTGAATTTATAAAAGGTTTTATTACTGATGTTTCTAAAATACTACTAGGGCTAACCTCATCTTATATATGTGCCTCGTCGCCTTTGTTGTGCACATTGCGAATTTTGCGCTCCGCTGGCGAGAACTGGTTCTTCTGTGAGCAGACCAATATCTTGGCATGTCAATTCTGTGGCTTTCGTGTGTATGCACTCACGCGCGTGCATTGCAAAATGGGAAGCATGTTTGGGCATCATTATTATGCCTCCCTACTTTAGGCCTGCATGATCCAATTAGTGCCCTATCAATCGGCACGCAGGTGGAAACCTTTTTTGCGACTTTCAACCTCGACACCTACTTTCATATCCTCGGGCGGCACAACAATGTGCATATTAATTTTTATTATACAACCCCAATTTATATTATAATGTGTGTTAATAATTATTTACATGTACTTATACTTTTTTTGAATTTTTTGAGCCGGCGGGATTAGCTGATGGTTACGCGCACTGTGGCCTGCGCCTTCATCGCTAACCCCACTTTTGCCCATTCTTCTTTTTACGGTCATTTTCTTGTAAATAAAGATAGCTGAATAAAATCTAAAATGTATAATCTTAACGAAACAAAGTCAGTTGCTGCACTTCAGTTTTGCCATACCAGGCTTTCTTCTTTCCACAGCATGTAAACAAACCCTGCTGGCACAAGCAAACTCCTGGTTCAATTGGCAGCGTGACGGTAATGGCTTAGCTCAATGTCTAATTCATTGTCCAACCTGTTGCCAGAGCCAGGCCATTCAAACCCAATTGCAACAATAACAAAAAATTAAATTATTTGTGCTTATTCTATATCCTATGTGCCATTCTCTATTTTTTGGCACAATGGCTTGGAGCGATTGTATTACAAAACATTAGTGAAAATTTTAATAAAACTCGGGGGCATGAGCAGATACTGCCATATGAGAGATTGAAGCTATTCCTGTGCATTGGTAAGCAGATTAGCCGGTGTGGCAGATGGGTGGGCAGTTGTTTGGCTGTAATTGTAGTGTGGGCGCATTGTACATAGCAGTGGGTTCGGCTGGCCGTGTGTTGAGCGCATCAGCAAGAAAAAAGCTCCAGCGGGCTCTTTTTCGCCTGGCTCGAAGTGGGACATGGCCATATTCTATATTCATATACAATATCCATATGTCGCGTAGATCATTTTAGTTACCGCCAAAAATAAATCCAGCTCGCGATTGCCCAATCAGTAATCACGCGAACCTGTTGTAAATTAATTTTTATATTTGAATTCGTGGGCAGACGTTTTGTTTTCGGTTGTCCAAACAATATTAAAAGCATTCTCTTTCCTCTTGTTTTCGCACAATTTTCTCTTCACTTTTCACCAATTCACTTTAACCCAAATTCACGCTTTCATTTGTCATTATTAAATTCATTCACTTTCACTTCGCGTCTCGCTTCCATATTCCTACATTCACTCGCACACCCATTTCCTTCTTATCATTATTACCACCTTCGCCATGTCCGCTGTTGTCTTGGGAAAGAGGGTTTGTCAAAACGACTGTGCTCAGCCAGCTTCTACAAAGCGGCCGAAGCAACACATGAACCCTTCCCAGCCAACAAACACAAAAAGAAAGGCGGACGCGGCTTCCGAGCAGGCATCCTCTGGCAAGAGAGCGAAGAGAAGCGCGGATAATGCTGTCAACACTGCACCACCGCAAAACAACGTCAACCATACTTTTACGGAGAATACTGCTTCGCGCGAAATTAAGACCCAGCCTGCGCCCACTACGCCGTCTGATAGTAAGTGGCTCGTTGTGCTTTTTATTTTGCAGATGATTATAAGGACCGACAAACATGCCTGCAGCCAGCGTAAAGTGCTTTGGCGCGTTCACAACATACTAACATCATATTATTATTTTTATCTTATTAGTGGGCAGCACAGCAAACGAGGACAGTCTGGCTAGCAACGAGCAGGCCGGTGCAGCATCCGTCTCTCGCTCTGGCAACACTTGCATCGATGCCAAGGTCAGCATGTTGGAAAGACGAAATATATTTGAGCGCATGGAGCCGGCAATGCGCGAGTTGAAGAGGCATCTTAGCGGACCACATCCTGGTGTCGTTGAACTGGCAGTTCCGTTGACTGTGGGCTACAAACAGAGGGCGGCCACAGTTGCCGAGGCTATCCACCGGGCTATGGAGTAGCATGGTTCTGGCTCGAACCACACGCCGGCTGGCGACCTGGCCATTTTGGAAGAGCTCATCAACACTGACTCACTTCGGTCTGCTAGGCTGACTCGCTCGACACACGCCGCTATCGCTTATTTGGCGAGCAAGCTCAGGGAGAACCACAACGTGTTTTCCAAGTGGATGCGCACACACACATCTGGCGGCGACGAAAGCGACAGCAGCAGCAGCAGCGCGAGCAAGGGCGCCGGGTCGTTCATCTCGTTTGTCACTTGTTCTATTCAGGGGCTGCATCAGCACGCCAAGGGAGAGCACGGGCGTCCCGAGCCACGTCGAGTGCTCATTCCGCCTGCTGCAGTTGGTGTCGAGCCAGAGCACACGCAGGTCAATGGTCCAACTGACATGGTCATCGAGCCTGCACCGATCACTATCGCCATCGCCGCAGCCGACAGCTCCGAGGCAACGTTGGATGACAGCACAAACCCTGTTGAGGATGATGACGATGTCTACGTCAATAAGTGGTACGCCGGTCTGTTTGCCGCCATTGAGGTCAGGCAGGAGCCATCGTCGGATTATGTGGACGACGCCGAGCTGCAGCTGTCTAAGCACTGTCGCAGCATTTTTTGCGCACAGCTCAACCGGCGCTTTGTTTGGGGCCTGACTATTTGCGGCAGCTTTGTCCGGGTGTACTTGTTTGGCTCCAACTTTGTTCTGGTCTCCAACACCATGGACATTCGCACTAAGGCGGGCCGCGGCGAGGCCATCAGGCTGTTTGTTAACTTGTCCTTTGCTGAGGACCACCGGCTGGGTTTCGACCCAACCATCAAGTACTTGCAAGGCCTTGACTGTTGGGAGATTACGGTTCCTGGCACAGCTGCCATGGACAGCGCCGACAGCACGGGCAACAGCGGTGGAACTGACGGTTCTTCTGGATCTTCTGAGCGCACATTTTACAGTAACCATATGGTCGTCGAGGTTAGTCACTTGTTTGGGCGGCTCACGCGGTGCTTTCTAGCAACAGATAAGAAGCCAACCAAAGAAAATCGCATCAGAAGCAAGAACTGCACCGTTTTTGTCAAGGACGCTTGGACCGAGGTGGCCGATGGTAGTGCCGACAAGGACGCGCGCGATGAGGTCGCTCACCTGCGCAAAATCACACAGACTCTCAAGCGCTATCCAGAGCTTGTGGGTACATACCCACTCCTCGAAGCCGGTGGTCGCGTTGAATTCCAGAGTTGCAGCGACCACACATTTGCCAAGGACACGACGCGCAGTGTTCTCGGCAATCTTTTTGACGATGTCAGAGTCGGCGAGAAGATTCGGAAGCTGCCCCTGTGCGCACACAAGCGCATTGCCACATCGCCAATTGGCATGCCGCTTGATAAGCTCCAGTCCGTTCCAGAGCTGATTATCGCTGTCGCCGATGCTATGCGCGCTCACCGCGCCATTGCCGAGCACTGCCATATATTGCATCGCGATATCTCAACAGGCAACTTCCTGTTCCAGCGTATGGAGGGTGGCGCCGTCAAGGGCATGTTGATTGATTTTGACCACGCAATTGACTGCGAGGATCCAGACACGATGCCGCAAAAAGAACAAATCGGCACACTTCCATTGATGAGCGTGAACAACCTCGAGAAGAACAGCAACAGACGCACGGTGATCGACGATTATGAAGCATTGATTTATGTTTTGGCCTGGCTCGGGACATTCGGGTTTAGCACAGAGACTCGGCGCGCAAAAGAAGTTGATAATTGGGGTGAGGAAATTAAGCCGCTTATTTGCGAGTGGCACATGCCTGGTTCGTATATAAATATTTCCATGAAGAAGCGCATTTATTTACATTCCAGCAGCGACTTTTCCAATATCGTTTGCTGCCTGAATCCAGACATTGAAGACATAAAACTGCTTCAATATTTGCTACATGATCTCCGCATTGCGCTTGTCGATAATGCTGAATTCGGGCCAGAGTTTGTGGGAACTCATGTTCGGAGGGTATATGATGACACTAACAACGACTTATCTGTGCCAGTGTCCCGACCTGGACTCACAAGCTTTGCAAGACACATATTACTCCTAAATAATCACACCTACCAGAACATCGATCCAATTGAAAAGCGTGCAGAAAAAGCGTCTGAGATTTCTAAGAAGTTTGTAGACATTCTCGATACATATGCCGATGACTGCAGAGAGATTTTGGACGACCAATGCTGCACGGGAGGCTCGAGCGAGGCTAGCGAGCAGAGCGATGATGTTTAGGTTTATTTTACCATTTTCATTTTCATTGAATATTATATTCAAATTATATTGCAAATACTTTTATTTTTACTTCAAAGGCGGACATAACCGACTGCACATGCTATTTTTGCTTTAATTGCTATGCACCAGGATTAAACCAGTGTCGAGGATTATTTTATGAACGCTGGTGTCATCAAATGTCGTTTCTATTGTACGTCGGTGTTCTCAAGTACCATGAAGACGCAATGTCTTGTCTCGAAATGTAATAATTGCCAGGTCGGTAGATTAAGTATTGCGTGTAAAAGATAGCATCAGTCTTAGGTTGAGTTACCATATCCATACATATTCAATATTATAATTTGCCGCAATGGTCAGACCTGTAGTGCAGCAGATATTAAACGGCATATGGTCGGTGTTGTAGTGAATGGTGCTATTGATTAGTTATTAATATGTCAATTAAAACTAAAACCGAATTTCCCTTCTCGAATCTTGGCCTGCCAGCTTGGTATTTATAACATTTCAAAACAAGTGTGCTGTCATGTTGATGTTAGTGGATACCAACGTACAAAGGCGACGTACAATACAAGCATCCTTTAATCTCGGCCCACATTTAATAAGGACCATTGATTTGAGCTGATCGAGAAAGTGTGTAAAATATATATCTATTATCTCAGTCCTCAAGCCAAGATCATTGGAAAAGGAGTCAACAATAATTGTGATTGTGTGCCTTTGTATTATATACAAGGTGCTGATTGTCGTTGGCTCAACCAGCCAGCAGATCCCATGGTTTCCAAGTGGGAAAAAATGCACAAGAATGCCAACCCCAACAGAAACGTGCTTCAGGACACTGCACCACCTCATAAATCAAAATATACCTTGGACCACATTTCACTGATTGGGATAAAACAACTTGCAGCACCACCGTACTCACCAGATCTAACACCTTGCCCTTTGGCTTTTCCTGTGCATCAATGATAAGCTCAGAGGCCACAATTTGAATGCCATTTGAGTGGTTAAATGTGCATGGTAATCTGAGCTCGATTCCCCGACACGCAATGAATTCAGGGTTTGTTTCAAGAAATGGTTAAAAAGGTGACATTGTGTGATTGAGCAAAGAGAGGCTTATTTTTATTAAATATAGAATTCAACAGCTTTATACGAAAAGTAAAATAATTAGTATCACCCTGATATCTGGCCTAGGTTGCAATTGGCACACTCCAACTAACTGATGTGTGCAGCGACTGCTGCAAAATAAGTTATAAAGTAATCATTATATGAAGTTGGACCTCAAATAAAACAAAAATAAGGAAAAATAAGGAAATCTTAAGAGAGCTGGCGGCAGTCAGATATAATGATACTTTTATTGGATTTACCTGACTGGCTGCCATATTCCTCAATTTTCTTGAGAGTGTCCATACCCTCAATGACTTTGCCAAAGACAACATGCTTGTTATCCAGCCAGTCAGTTTTCACAAAAGTGATAAAAAACTGAGAGTCATTGGTATTTGGGCCAAAATTTGCCATAGCCACAGTGCCTGGTCCATCGTGCTTGAGAATAAAGTTTTCATCTTCAAATAGTGTGTTATTAATTGATTCGCCACAAGTGCCATCCCGATTTATAAGGGCACCACTCTGCGCCATAAAGTTGGGAATTACGCGATTGAATTTGCTACCCGCGTAGCCAAAACCCTCACTGTCAGTGCACAGCTTAAGAAAGTTTTCGACAGTCTTGGGAACAACATCGGCGCGCAGCAAAATATTGATATTCCCGATTGGGCTACCGTCAGCAGAAATGCTAAGTGATACGACGGGGTTTGAAGCAGACATATTTGTGAAATCAGCTGTTTGTAAGTGTAAATTAAAAACTAGTGAAAATAAGATGATTGGTTATAAGATACTATTTTATTAACTTTGCTTGGACCTTGCCAACTATTTATAATGATATTTTTATGAAATTCTTATATGGTTGCAGTAAATGTTTTGCATATTTGCAAATAAAATAAAATATTATTCGTGTGTTTTGGTATACTGTGCCAGAAAGTTCCATTCAATTATTGGTTAAAAAGCCACATTTAGTAAAAAACATGGACATGCATTATTCCCTGCTATCAAGATTGTAAACAATGTATTATTTGTATATTGTGTTCTAATTTACTTGGGTTTTTGATATATTTTGGTGACAATGGAAAATGATCGCTGAGTACATTATTGTCACTGAACCACTGGTATTGTGAGGAGAAGGTGTGTGAGCACTATTGTAGAGTAATGTTAGAAAAGTAAGGGGTGATTTTATAATTGGGTTTTAATACTAGTGTTTCTAAAGTGCTACCAGCATCAGCTTTGTCTTATATATGTGTCACCTTGCCTCCACTGTGCACTCTGCCAGTTGTGCACCCTGTTGGCGAGAACTGGTTCTCATAAAAGTAGCCCGGGTCTCTGATATGCCATTGTTGTTGTTTTCGCTTATGTACGCCCGTGCACACGTATTTCATCACGGAAAATGTGTCTGGATGACAATAGTGGCGCCTGATTTAATCCCCTATGATCTAGTCCATATTAAATATATTAGCATGCAGGCGGGAATCTGCTTCACGATTCTCAACCTCAACATCCACTTCCATATCTTCAGTCTGTGCAACAAGATTAATTGATTACGCGCGTGGCAATTAAGAACTGATAAGTTTTTATTATAGTTTATTTATATGGCAAGGAGAACATATAAAAGGAGCGGCTGTCGGGCAGCCAGGAATTGTTTTCCTTGGAAGAAATAAATAGCCTTCTTTGATTTATACTCTCTTTGTAACATATAAACTGTCGATGGTGCGGAATTTGAAGTCATAGTTTTTATTTTTTAGCTATTAAATAAATACTCACAATTGATAGCATAGCCTGCATTGCTCTGCATGCTTTAGCATTGCTTTTTATTATATTTTTCGCGCAGCTTTAGTGCTCGCGCGTCGCTTCCTTTGTTATATTTTTGGGATTTTGGTGTGACTGATTTTCTATTATTTAATATATCCCAGATTTATTCTTAATTATGTAACGCTGTTTTCCAGCATTTGATTTATAAAAATACATTATATTTATATTCAGCTCTTCCCTTTACTAAACATATTTTTCAGAGACCAATTTTTGCAATTGTTATTTAATACTAAAAATTATGCAAGCATATTAAAGTGAGGGGTGCAGACACAAAAGTAGGATTTGCTAAACATTTTTATTTGCTTTGAAACAGTGACAGTGACGCATACAAAAAATGTATATCAAATCGGCAATCAATCTACTTGCCACTGTGTTTTTTTTGCCTACGCATTATATACCTATCCCCATTCTCCTTTTTATTTAAAAATAAAAGCTTTTACATGATTGGTATTATGTATAATACAAATCGCATAAGACTAAATGGTGCAACTGCTGCTATGATATGATATGATATGCTAGCTTGCGCCAAGGAGATATAGCAGTTGTCATCAGTGTGCCAAATTGTTGGGGGGAGGGGGAGAAATAAGCCAGCTGCGATATACTCTAACAATCTACTAAAAGAAAATAACCGATAGTCATTTTCCAGCACCTTTCCAAACTTTTTTTTTTTACAAAAAATGGATTGCTCTTCTTCCTTTTCTTTCTTACTTTTAAAATTAAATAAATAAATGTCCCTCTTCTAACAACAATGACTCTGTCCAGCCACGTTTTCTTCTTCGACATTGACAATTGCCTCTATTCGCCGACTGTGGGCATCATCCCGCTGACAAAAGCGCGCATCCACGCTTACGGGTGCTCCATCGGAATCGATCCCGAGACCGTCAAAGGCACTTGTGAGTCCTACTACAAGGCCTACGGATTAACCATCCGTGGCTTTATCAAGCACCATGGCATTAATCCTCTCGACTATAACGCCAAAGTGGATGGCAGCCTTCCCTTAGAAACTGTCATCCAGCCCGACCTGCCGCTGCGCGAAATGCTCCAGCGCATTAAAATGCGCCGCTGGGCATTCACCAATGCTGGAATCGACCATGCTCAAAGAGTGCTCAGGTGCCTGGGTATCGAGGATATGTTTGAGGGAATCACGTTCTGCGATTATTTGGAAGAGGACTTTGCTTGCAAGCCCGCGAAAATTACGTATGAGCGCGCTATGCAGGAGGCTGGCGTAAGCAATCCAAAGATGTGCTATTTTGTCGACGATAGTGTGGTGAACGTTGTGGCGGCCCAGGAAATTGGATGGACGGCCATTCATGTTTCGCCCACGGAGCCCATGCTTCCGGGCGGCATTCTGACGATCCATGACCTGCCGCTTGTACTCCCGCATATATTTGAGTAATCCATTTGTTAATTATTTATTAATTTATCAAAACAAGCCTGTCTTTTGCATTATCCTCACAAAATCGTCCAGCCCGACCCCACCAGTGTTGGTCGTATCTGCCAGGGAAACCATTTCCCTCAGTTCCTCGTCCGGAATATGTTCGCCCAAGTGTGCCGAAATCCTCTTCAGATCCTCCACTGTGATCCTCGCGCTATTGGCCTCCGGGCCAATATCCGGCTTGAACAACCTGAACGCATTCTCGAATTCTACACTGGACCCCATCATCTCGCCATACCTCTGTTGGACAAAATCCATCAGTTCGTCCTGTGAAAATTTCCCCGATCCCTGCGGATCAACCTGGTTAACCCACATGTTCAGTGTTGATTTGCCAGGTCTGCGAATCTGTAGGTTCTGCAGTATTTCTGGTAGTTGCGAGACCTGGACAAACCCGCGTAGTTTTGGGTCGTGGGCTTGGAACACGTCTTGGATTAGTTCTCGCTGCTCTAATGTCAGGCTGTATTCAATTGGTGGCGGTTGTGAGCGGGTGGCCTGCTGGTTTCTGGCCGAATGCAATGCTGTTGTTGTTGGACGCCCGTTTCTGCTCGACGACGCGACCGGTGGGTAGGCACCGTTGTCGGACGTGTCCCTGGCGTTTGTGCGCCGAGAAAAACGAGTGTCTCTGTCCATTTTTTCAATAGGAAATTACAAATAAACAAGGAAAAAAAATAGGTGTTAGTAAAATGTAAAATTTGAAGCAATCGAATTGAAATAAGAAAGAAAAAGAAAGGAAAAAGGGGAAGGGGGAAGTGACACTTGCCCTTTTTTGTTAGACACAACTCGCCCGCAGTAAGTTTTGCAAATACACAAGAACGTGCGATTTTTATAGTCATGGGATCCTAATACTAATTTTAATTAGGCCAATCAGAAATTGTGGTTTGGCTATCCGCACTTTTCGTTGCATAAATTATGACATGGGGAAAATTTTCAGAAAGGAATAACGCGTTGCAATTATTTTTTTGTTCCTTTAATTTTCTCTTCTTTTTCTATTCTCCAACAAAAAAATCAGCACACTATCTTTTTTTTACTTTGCACTTTCCCACCTTTTTTTTAACATATACATATAAATGCCGGCCAAAAGCATTTCGGGAACCGCACCCACCACCACAGCCTTGTCGTCAGCAGCGGGGGCAGCTACGAGCGGCGGCAAATATAAGGGTGCAGCCTCAACCAAGCGTATCCAATCGCGGTCATCCAAGGCCGGGCTTCAATTCCCCGTCGGTCGCGTGCACCGGTACCTGAAGCTTCAAACTAAGAGCGCGTCACGTGTAGGAGCCAAGGCAGCAGTTTACACGGCAGCGGTGCTGGAATACCTTGTGGCAGAGGTTTTGGAACTGGCGGGTAATGCGGCGCGGGACCTGAAATCAAAGAGAATATCGCCTAGGCATTTGCAGCTGGCTATCAGAGGTGATGATGAGTTGGACTTGCTGGTGAAGGCTACGATTGCTGGCGGTGGCGTTATTCCGCATATTCACAAGCAGCTGTTGGAGAAGGGCAAAAAGACCAATGCCGCTGCGATGAGTGGTCCTACAAAATAATTTGAACTTTTAATACGGTTGTTTTTTTTTAATATACGACGCTTGGAGATGAGGGTTTTTTCAAGTTTGAAACTGCGTTCTATGGATTGTTCCCTGTGTGTGTGTGAGCGAGTGCGACTGACCGAGTGAGTGATGAAATTATAAACGCTGTGAGTGTTTCAGCGGTGACTTTGAAAAGGCCAACCATCTTTTCTATTTTTCGTCCTTTGTCTTACTTTTGCGCTCCTCCACACCCTTTTATTCTTTCTTTCAATCCCCCAAGTCACCCTTTCCCTTCATCCTCGCCTATTATTTGTTTTCTCTTGTTTGTTTTGACCATACTTTTTGCAGACATTAATTTTTCTTTAAATTCATTCACCAGACAGAAAAAAACAACCAAAAAAGCACTAATGCGCCTGTTAGCACTGCTTCCAGGCATATTCGCCGCATGTCTTCTCCTCACACTAGTCCCCACGGCATACGCGGTGAATCTTTTTGGGCGATGCTCGCTCTTCGATGCCGTTGTTAAAGAACAAATGCTCCAAGGCAAGATAACCCCCGAACAGGCCTTTGGCGAACTGGAGTCGCACAACTGCCCGATTATCCGCGGCCACTCCATCACCAACACTCAACAACTCCAACAGGCCGTGCGAGAGAGCCTGAGCCAGGGAACCACCAGTAGACCAAAGTCCAGCGGAGGACCACCGGGCCAATCCATGGCCGACGAGTGCCGCAGATTATCCGACATGCTGTATGCAGTGGACAATTCGCATTCTAGTGTGGAGGGCTTGGCGGCGGCCAAAAAAGCCATGGACAGTCTGAGTGGCACCAGGGTGCCGCTGATCACAAACTGCCCTTTGTTCAGAGGTGTCAAGGCGCGGTACGAGGGGGGAGAGATTTCAGCAAGGTCGGCTATTGACGAGATGAAATCCAACTGCCCAATTCTGTCAAAGGAGCTGAACCCGGCGATGCTGTTCAACTACGAGGAGTACGGCGGACATTACGACGCACACTACGATGTGGGACATGAGAGCCATGGTCACCCGGCCTGCTGCTGCCGCAACAGCGCGAGTGCAAGGCCGACGGGCAAGAAACTGTATGCGCGCCATGAGGATCAAGCGGAGGACCCCGGAATTTGCTTGTCGGCGGGAAATGGCGAGCATCTGGGTGGTGATGAGGGCAAGTGCCTGGGCAGAAAGGCGGCGGAGAGGGTTTCAGGATTGGAGAAGCTGCTTGGCGGCGTCTTTCCCAAGGGAAATCCGGCAGCAGCGGCGATGCTAGGCACCTTTTACATTTCGCTGTTCCCCAACCTCGTCCTGTTTGCCACGCCTTCGTCGATTTCCAACCGGGTGCTGCGCGTGATGGTCGGCTTTGCAGTCGGTGGTCTTCTGGGTGACGTGTTCTTGCACCTGATGCCGCACATGTTCTCCGGCGGCCACAACCATGAAGCTGAGCAGGATCACGGCCATGGACATGGCCATGGCCATGGCCATGGGCATGCGCGGGACGTGGTCTTTGGGTGCACGATTTTCTTTGGCCTTATCGCGTTCTTTGTTGTTGACAAACTCATGCGCCTGCTGGGCAACGAGCACTCGCACTCGCATGGCCACAGCCACAGCCATGGGCACGCATCAAGGGCAGGCGACTCGGCGGTATTCGAGGCCAAGCAGAAGCAGCGCAAGCGGCGTGCGTCCAAGGCCAGCCCCACAATTAGCGACTATGCGAGCGAAGCCGACGACGAGAAGGAGCTCGCCACCGCGCCCACATCCAACCCTGACGAGGGCAAAAAGCCAATCAAGCATTCTGCGTACCTCAACCTCATCGCCGATGCCGCGCACAATTTCACCGATGGTCTGGCCATGTCTGCATCCTTCTATCTCAGCCATGCCGCCGGTCTGTCCACTTTTGTTGCGGTGTTTTTCCACGAGATTCCTCATGAGCTGGGCGACTTTGCCATTCTGGTGCAGTCTGGATTTTCGCGCTCATCTGCCCTGGCCTCGCAGTTTTTCACTGCTCTTGGTGCCATTGCCGGTACCATGGCGGGCATTCTCATCGAAGAGACCGGAAGAGGCAATGTGCTGAGCCTGAGGGGTTTGTATACTCCGGGAATGCCCGTGTTTGTGCCTGCAGTGGCCGGCAAGGGGTGTCTGCCGTCGTTTGTTGGCGGTATTATTGGCCTCTTCCCGTCGACAGTTGCTGGTGTGCCGTGGAGCCAGCTGGTTATCCCCTTCACTGCTGGCGGATTCATTTATGTCGGCACTGTTTCTGTGCTTCCAGACCTTTTGCAGCCCGATACTGAGGGGCTAGAGGTTATCAGGGGCGGACGTGTAGTCAAGATCAGCGAAAAGCAAAGACTGAGGCGTGGCATCACCATGGCTTGTGTTGAGCTCGGTGCCATGCTTCTTGGTCTTGGTATTATGGCAGCCATAGCTCTGGGCGAAGAATAACCAAACGTGTAGTTGTAGTTTTATTTTTCAATTGTCATTTATTTTTTTGTTAACGAAAAAATGTTATTCATGCTTCTTGTGCTTGCTTGAAAATGCCAACGACAACGTTTGCAATTCTTCGGATAATAATAGTCATGGACTCAGCTTCAATTTGGATGACCGGAGATTTGCGCTGAGCTTCTGGGTTTGATGTCGGGAGCACTAACTCAGAGCGCGTGGCTATGGAGGATACAAGACCGGCGGCTTCCTCTGAGATATCGCCCCTGATGGCTAGACAGAGCCCGCTGTCATCCACTACCACAACGCTGGTCACGTTGGGATCCTTGTCAAACACAGAATTAATAATCTCGTCAATTTCAACCTCCATGGCTATGAAAATAGGTATGTGTGAATTGGAGAAAAACAAGGAGTAAGCGTACAGAGAGGATATATGCAGAGTTTTTTTTGCAAAAACCAAATCGCGCATTTCAGTTTGCTATGCCTTGATATCAAGTTGTGGCTCTGGTCACACGCTGAGCATTTGGCATGCAAAAAAAATTATTCGCACAAGTGGGATCAATCTCTCCTTTCTTTGTAATTTTATTATTTCTCGTCCACGCACTCAGCTCGTTTTCTCAATTTCTTTTTCCGTTCAACCCACCCCTATATTTATTCTACTTTTAATTAATAATTGATAATTCAGCTACAATGGCCAGTTACGACATTGTTCTCCTCGACGTCGAAGGAACCACCACGCCCATTTCGTTTGTTCACGACGTGCTCTTCCCTTATATCACTAACAATGTCAGCGACTTCCTGGCATCCAACTGGAACGACCCTATGCTCCAAACTCACATCCGCGCAATAGCCGACCAGGCCAACCTAGATGCCCAATCAGGGATCTCCTCGGCCATCCCCATTGACCTCCTCAACGACACACCAGAAGAGATCCGCTCTAAAACCCTGGCTAACATTGACTGGCAGATGAAATCCGACCGCAAAATCGGCGCACTCAAGGGACTCCAAGGCTTCATGTGGCAGACAGGCTACAAGAACGGCCAGCTCCTCGGTGCAATGTTCCAGGACGCCGTCATTGCAATTAAGCGGTGGTGCGAGAAGTCCCGTTCGGTGTATATTTACTCTTCGGGCAGTGTTGAAGCGCAAAAGCTTATTTTCGGGTACAGCGATCATGGCGACTTAAGCGAGCTTTTGAGCGGACATTACGACACAAAGGTTGGCGCAAAGATCGAGAGCCAGAGCTACTTGCGCATTGCAGGTGATATTGGTGTTGTGCCTGGGAGGGTTTTGTTTGTTAGTGATAATGTTTTGGAGATTCGTGCGGCGAGCGAGGCTGGGATGCAGACTGTTGTGTCAGTGCGGCCGGGGAATGCCCCAATTCCGGAGAGCGAGCTGGGCATGTTCAAGACTGTCACTGATTTTATGGAGATCCCGTTGTGAGAACGTAATAGAAAAAAGGAAAGAAGGGTTATCTCCATGGGAGTTATCGCGAGCACGTTTTAGACAAGGGTGTGTTTGTGTGGTGAACAAATAGAAAAGACATAATAGTCTATATAAAACGAACACCTTTTAACAAAATGTAAAGTGCGTAAACACACTTTCAAAGTTTTCTCAATGGTTGAAGATTTGTTACAGTGAAGTGCGTTAACAATGCATTAACAACCTTCGTCAGAGGTAGGAAACAGGTAGCACACACATTAGATACCAATAGGCACTTAGCAGCATATTGCTCTTGAATTTTTTAGATACTTGGTCTCATTATTTTCTTCAGTGCAAACACTTTTCTTCTCTTCTGCGCGCTTATCTTTTTTTACTTTTCAACAATACAATTTTTTTATAATCACGACAAAATAATGGCAGTGACCAAGCAAGCGTTCAGCCAGGATGGCAGCGTCGACGAGTATATTTTGAGCAACACCAGCGGCACCCGCCTGCACATCACCAACTGGGGAGCCCGCGTCACCCGCTTCATCATCAAGGACGGCCACGGAACTGAGCGCGACATCGTCCCAGGCTTTGAAACCTACGAGCAATGGCAAGCCTCGCTAAAAATTGACGACCCCTATTTCGGCGCAACCATCGGCCGCGTCGCCGGCCGCATCCACCCAAGCAACAAAGTAACCATTGCCAACAAGCATTGCAAGCTTCCAGAAATACAACCCAACCTAGTCTGTCTTCACGGCGGCAAAGAGGGGTTTGACAAGAAACTTTTTGCTGTCGAGATTGTCTCAAACGCCCAGCCGGCCAGTGTCAAGTTCACATATGTGTCGCCCGACGGCGAGGAGGGTATTCCTGGGACAGTGGAGCTTTCTGTATTGTTTGCGCTCACCGAGGACAACGCCATGCATATTGAGTATGCCGGTCGCTTGGTCGACGGTATCGAGAGTATGCTTAACCCCACTAACCACACATACTGGAACCTGACAGGGTTTTCCGAGCCGACTATTCATAACCATGTCTGTTGCTTGGCTGCCGATCGGTACATGGCCACGTATCTGGACCACGTTATGGTGCCTACTGGCGAGCTACTCCCTGTATCTAACACTGCACTGGACTTTACAACCATGCCGCGCAAGTATTCCGAGGGTTTGGACACATTTGATAAGCAAACGGTGCGCGGATACGACCATATTTTTGCCGCCAGTGAGTCGTCCGTGGAGAATATCCGGGAGGTAGCCAGGGTGTGGAGTGAGTCCAGCGGGCTGCGCTTGACTGTGTTGTCTGACCAGCCGGCGCTCATCATGTATACGGGTAATTGGATATCCGATGAGCTTGTTGGAAAGTATGGCGTTAAATATCGTAATTATGCAGCTGTGGCGTTTGAGACACAGAGGTTCCCTAATGCTGTAAACATACCAGAATTCCGCAGCCAGGTTTTGCTGCATCCTGGGGAAATATTTGGCCATCGCGTGGTATATAAGCTTGATCACATTTGGTAAAATAAGAGTGAAATGCATAGTGGCAATATTTTGACAAGTGCAAACGTTTTCTTTTACTTTGATTTTTACTATTTACTATTTTACTGTGTAATGCTGATATTCAGCGCCGACCCAACCTTGTTACTTTGAAAAATAAACTACAATTTTGGAGTTACTGTTATCATTCGAAAATCGAAAATACAACAATGCTATAGCAAAACGTTTATACAAAATCAAAATAAAATGTTTTTGAATAAAAATTAACCTTTAAAAGTTTATATAAATAGAGCACACGCACCCCGAATCACGCGGTTTTTTTTAAATTTCTTTTCTATTACATTCGGTGTATTTTTTATATTTTCATAATTTTTTAATTTTATTCAGAGATGAAATTGACTTTGCTCGTGACTTTAGTGGGACTTGTTTTTTCCATGGTCGTGCAGTGCATGCCAGGGTTTCTCGGCATCGGCGACCTACTAACCAACGTCGGCGGATTTTTAAAAAATGGACTAGCATCAACCACCAGCTCACTAAACATTGGGTCGCACAACAAGCCGTCAGTGACATTGCAAGCCATAGAGTCGGAGACATCTACATTTACACCTATTATGCAGCCAACACCATCAGACATTAATGACAAGGATGCAAATATTGATACGACTAGACAGAGCAGTGGGAGCAGCAGCCAGTCAGTGGCTTTGTCATCGCTGGCTACTCCGCATACACCAAGTACTACAACGCGCACATCACTCAAAGAAACAAGCAAATCGGTTAGCGACAAACCATTATCCGGTCCCAAAAAGGTCTTGTCTGGGAAAACCACATCCATCAAGACCATTCTTGTTGATGACACCTCCATCACGCACAGCGCCACCGCAGGGACAAACGATGACGATGATATTAGTAGCATTCTGGAGGAGGGTGGCGTTACGAGAACTGTGACCAAGACGCTGCCCGACGTATTGGTGCAGAGCAAAAAGGGCAATGTCGAGCTTCACCCGCAAAAACCGTTTGCTGCCATGAGGGGATCGGCCCGTGCTGCGACGCAACCTGCTTTATATGGCGCATCATTGTGCATGCTGCAGCTTTTGGTAGTGCCGATGATTGTGCTTGCAGTTGCTATGTGATAGATTTGCTGTAACACTTCGTTTTTATTTTACATTGTTTACATTAAACTTTAAATGCCACTTTATGGAATGCACGGTCAATTTGAAAACGGTTTTCCACAATATCATCGAGTAAACAAGAACTGAAAAATTCGAATCAAGTTTGCAATATGAAAAAGAAAAAGAAAAACAGTAAAAAAAGGGAATTGGAAAGGAAGAGAGAGAGAAAACAACAACGGATGGTAGTGGTGGAATATTTTAGGGAACAAGACGCGAATTAGCGTTGTGTAAATGTGGGAGAGAGTGAAATGCATATTTTTAACGCTCGTGCGCGCGCGCAGCAATCAGGGACCTGGACCTGGAGTACTGCCTGAGTTGTCCCCGTTAGCATCATAAGGACTATTCGCGACAAACGCTGCTCCCGACGGTGATGTGGTCAGGAGCACTGGCAAGTCAGCACCGCGCGTCTGTGACGGATCTAGCGAGGCTGAGTGGTGGTGACGGCTATATTGCTGCTGCTGCTGCTGCTGGTTCGGAAAGGCCCTGTGCTGGGGTGACTGCTGCTGAAGAAGCATTGAGGGAGCGGTGGCAGCAGCAGCAACTGCCTGCGCAGCCATCGAGTTGACCACAGAGTTGGCCATTGAGTTGACCATACGCTGCTGCTGCTGCTGAGAGACAAGAGAGAAGCCACCAGACATGGCCTGAGCAACGGCGCTCTCGCTGGAAGTATTGCACTCTGTCTGAAGGAACTGATGGATGGTGCTGCAGCTGCAGTTGCGATGAGCGAGCAACTGGTTCTTCAAGATCATCACCTCCTCCTTGAGCTGCGCGACGGCAATGTGCAAGGAGCGGTTCTGGTTGGTGACCTCCTCGGCCCGGCGCTCCAGCTGCTGAACCCACACCTTCTTCTTCTGCCTGCACTTTGACGCGGCAATGCGGTTTCTCTCGAGAAAGTGGCGCCTGCGCTGCTGCTCGGTCGATCCATCATCCTCGCTGTTGTTCTCGTTGTTGTAGTGGCCGTTTTCATCACCGTCGTCGTCGTCATCGTCATTGTTGCTCATGACGCTGCTGCTGCTGCGACGGCGACTGCCCTTTGCCGGAGTCGACGTGCTGCCCCTGCGGCCATCAAAACCTTTGGCGCTGGCAGTCTTCTTCTGGACGCCGCCCGATTTTACAGTGTCCCGGCCCTTGTGGTCGTTGCCGCCCGACGGTGATGCCTGGTTTTTAGTGGGCGAAGATTTGCCAACTCCACCGCCACTGTTTTTGCGCCCGCCGCTGCCGCTTGTATACGCGCCATTATTCATCGCCGGGCTACTCGTCATGAGATGGACCATCGTCGACGGGTGGTGCTGTGTGGGGGACTGGTGTTGGTTGCCCATCAACGAGAGCGCCGATGTGCTGCTGGTAAGCATTGCTGTGGACACGAGCGCCTGCGAGTAGTTTTGGTAGTTGGGAAGCGCCATGCTGTCAGAAGCATAGGATACGTCTCCTGTATGGAATGAGGGCACTGAGGTAGGGTGGTTTGGAAGCTCCTGTGGAAAGATCGTGGAAGCTACTTTTGTACCAGAGAACGGGATATTTGGATATAATCAAAAACAATAATATGGTATTAAATAGATTTTTTAGTAAATGCACGAAACAAAAGTGAAGAAACAAAAGGGGGAATAGAGATGTTTTCTAACAAGATTAGTATACTAAAAATTATTTGTAAAAAATAAAAGCAAGGAGAAAAAAGACGAAAAAAAACCTGACTGTAAGTTAAATGTCTCGCAGCCTATGATATTGCCGAAAAATAAAGAGTTCCTAGCACGAGTACAGCAATTGGGGGAGCAGTACAACAAGCATAAAATGACGTAATGGGGGGCTGGATGGCAGCACCGAATCAGCAATTTCGATTTCAAAAACAACGTCTCATTTTATTTTCATCGGAAAACGATGTGCTAGTGTGAGCGTGCTCTTTTTGAGCTCTGCATGTAGATCCGAAAACGTCATAGATTTTATTGTGCTTTACAAAAAAGAGTACAAAAATACGGAAAACAAAAAAGATTAAAGCTTACCGTCAACAAAATAGCGCATCATTGTGAGTGAAAGAGAAAGTGTAGATTCGCGAAGAGAAACCAAAAACAATAACAGCGACAACAAAGGTTGAGATGGGAATGCACACCTGAAGAATATAATTTTGAAAAATATACAATGAAAAAGAAGGCGATAAGAGCGTACTAAATTGAAGCTGAATGCTGAGAGCGTATTACTTTGCGTTTGAGTTGCGATGGAATTGGAAAATGAGGAGGAAAAAACAAAGAAACAAAAAGAGCAAAAAGTGTATTAATAGTGGAAATATGAGAATGATGCTAATGCATGTAAAAACTACATGTTTTTTGGTAAGGCGGGAGGAGTTATATTTATATACCTGAGCTTACTACGCAGCTATACAGACGTTTTGTTGGCGGAGGGTCAGATGCAAAGGGAGGCGTGGGCGGGTGGACAAGCTCGACGCTTGCGTAGAAAATAAACAAACTTTTTTATCTATTATTCACTATTATTACGTCATAGTGCATGTCTTCCCCTTATCCACCCCTTGTTTCTAAGTTATTCCACGCTTACGATGCCCAGTGTAGCCTATTTCGCATGTATATCTGTCACCTTGCTTGTTTGGCTGCCTGCACAGACACTGGCGTTGCGCTATGAGCTCAAAATCCAAAATCATATATAAAAATGTCACCAGTCAGTGTATGGTCTTTTATTTTTCACAGCCGCCGCCCCTTCACTATTCCACTATTCCACTTATGTCTGGGATTGAGACTGCGCATGCCCGCATTGACACAAAAAGTGCTTCTTTATTTTTTCCGCTCTGTTGTTCACAAATCCACACTCAAAGTTTACGTAACAAGGTAGAATAATAAATGTGCATGATAGCGTTATTGTTTTCATATGCTAACTGACGCAATGACATACGTTTACGAAAAACGACGTTTTGAGTGCAGAACTGCTGCTGTACCTGTGTGTGTACGTGTACTGAGGTTTTGTTTCAGCATTGTTGTGAGGTTTGGAGCGCAAAACTCCTTTCATATTTGGTCAAACGCTCGTATATTTCGATTATATGTCGATTCTTCATGCTCTTTTTGAGGATTTTCTCGAGGTTTTTGGGTGATTTTTTTTGGCTATTTGTTGCTTCAAGTAAAAAATATTCTGCACTCACGATTATTTATTAGCTGCAAAATTGAAGTGCTTTTGTAGGCCTTTTTGGTGTTTTTTCTTGGAATTTATCTGTCAACTTCTAGCGAGAAAATTAAACCAAAGTGAATGGGAAACGATGAGCAGCTATAAGTTATAAACATGTCATTGTGCGTTAATAAAACATGGATGGACCTGGTGTCATAATAAACAATACAAGTACTTGTTGACAAGCATATATATATTCTGGTGTTTGTTGCAAACATTATTGCAGAAAAAAATAAAATTCAGCGATTGTTGCATTGTGAACAGCTGTTTGCTCGGCAATGGGTAAAGCTGAAGGAAGTTTATAATATTAAAAGAAAGTTTGGTATGTCTGTCGGCTATGATTTTGCAAAAAAAATTGTGGCCATGTTAACGTCGCATATCCTATGTCCAAGTGGGTTAACAACAGATATATAATGATTACGCGGATTGGTGAATCAGATACAATATCAACCATCCTGCGGATCAACATCACAGCTAATAGAATAAACTGTATAATTTAATGAAGGTGTTGCCAATTTACTGTATCTACAACCTTATACATTATCACTAATAAAGCGGGATATCAACTAATAACATATTTTTAATTAGGTTCCGCAAATGACGCCACCCAGACGCCAAACAAAATAAATAATTTATGTCAGACGCGACCGAACAACCGTCGCATAGCTAGTACGAAAAATGGCGGTGCAGGCGGCTGTGGCAATATAATGGTTCCATCGTCGTCATCACCCTCGTTGCAGCCCAGTCCGGCAGCCGTGGAGTATGAGATAATGCCGCTAGTCGAATTTTCCGGCGGTAAGTTAGCCAGTTTGGCAATACATATGCGTGCCGCATAGTTCCGCTGCCACAGCGTGTACTGCAGCGTGCCACGGATAGTCAGGTCATAGGGGCCCTTTAACAACTGCTTCCATTTGGACGCGTCCGAGTTGTCGTCATCGGTGTCGCCGTTTCCGAGTGTCGCGCCCGGGTGGTGGATGCTGATTTGAGTTGTTTTGAGATCGGTCGCGGGCTTCTGCAACGTTCCGGGCGCAAACCGCATCGGGTCGCTCAACTCATACACGTTGCCCAGCAGAATTGCCGGTCCAGTCTCGTTTCCAGTAGTCGCTGTATGACCAATGATCAATGTATTTGACGAGAATGACGTGCCATTGCTCACGGCTGCGGCTGCAAACACGCTGATCTCGGCGCGCTCCACCAGCACCTCGCGGATATTCGGGTTGGTCGATTGTATGTGCAGGATAAACAGAAGCTCCTTCTCGGTGGCGAGAATGTTCGACACCCGGATGGCCTCGACGTCAACCAGTGGCGCTGACGTAAAGTTAAACAAAACCATCAGGACAAACAGCGACGCCAGCAGTAGCGCTGTCAGCAGAATGACCCGGAGCACTTGCGCTACTGTGCTCTTACGCTTCCGCTGCTGGTTGTAGTGCCGCCGGAACAGCGGGGTCGTCTCGGGCATGTCCTCAGAAGATCCGTAGTAGACGTTTGGTTGGAACCGGCGGCTGTTGCGACGCGAGTACTGGTTGTTGTACGTCGACCGCAGGCCGGCGGGCTCGCCGTCCATGTCGCTCTCCTCGCTAGTCGCGCCACCATAGTCGTTGTTTGACTGCGTCAGGATGCTGAAACGATGGCCAGTACCTGCGCTGTTGGACCCCACGCCCACGTTGACGCTGGCGCTATTCACCCCGCCTCGCATAGCCCGCCCGGGCCGCCTCCCTGACACCCTGCTACCACCGGGCACCGCGCCCGCCGTGTAACCGCCCAGGCTGTTGTTGATGCTGCTCGAATGCGCCGTGTTGCCAGCACCCTGCGCCGTGGCACTCGAACTGTACGCCTGGTTAAAGCTGCCGGCAGACATTGCGCCGTTCATGCTTGAGCTGTCGCGACGCTCGACGCTCCCGAGGTACGTCGACAGGCGGTGGCGGTTGGTACGGCGCTTAGTGGGCCCAACAAACTCCCGATCCTCGTAGGCATCCTCGGGGATCGAGCTCACATGCAGGCTGCTGCGCGAGTTGCGGTAGATGAACTGCTCATCGTCGTTGTCAGAGTTCTCCTCTTCACTGCCGCGGCTCGATGCATTGGCGCGGCGCACAAATAGCCGCCCGGCTTTTGCAGACGTGTTGCGGTCGTTGCCACTGCGCTTGTTTGTGGCCCGCTTGCCGGCGGCCTTACTGGCCTTGCTGGTCTCAACACTGAGCTGGCGATCACCCTCTTCTGTCGGTGTTTCGATCGGCGTGCCCACGCGCAGTATCTGTGAAGGATGCATTGGCGAATCTGTCGCCCGAGTGGTAAAGCTGCCAACTACCCCTGGCTTTCCGCTGCGCGCATAGTCTGCACCGGGGGCACCGTCACGCCCCGACACATTGCCACTGCCGCCGGATTTGTTGGCAGCACTGGCTAAATTCCCAGAAAAATCAAGGCGCTCGCCAGCTATGCGCGTCAGTGACACACTACGCAGACCCATCCGGGGCTTTGCAACGGGGCTAATAGGAGGTGCTGTCAGCGAGTTACCGCCAGAGGCCTCTGGCCCCACATTAGTTGCCGACGGCACTCCACTGGCACTGGTATTAAAAGACGCGCTGGCTTTTGATGTCTGCAACGCAAGGCTCTGCGGGTACTGTGCAATAGATGCGTTCGGTCCTGCATCCTGCGCATTGTTAAAATTCAAGCTGGATATTGTGGCAGAGGACTTATTTTCTGAAACTCCAACGTGTGCCTCACTGATGTCTCTCTGCTGCTGCTCCTTGTGGTCTTTCTGTTCTTTCTGCTCCTTCTGTTCTTTCTGCTCCTTCTGCTCTTGCCTTTCTACCATAGCACTGACGCTGAGCACGTCGGGAAACACATGCAGCGGCTGAAAGAACGGCTGGGATAGCGGCCGCGGAGTAGGTTCGGACCGGAGCGACTTGCGTCGGGGATGCATAAACAGACCTGCTTGCTCGTCCAGAGCATGGTCGTCCAGGTCTGTCAGCTGCTTTATCATTGTTTTGTGCTGCTGCTCGCCCTCTTCGCCCATGATTGTGACAAGTGATTCAAAGTTTTAATGTTTTTTTTGGCTGAAAGTAGTGACGTCCGATCGAGGGAGGCAGCGCGGGGTTGTAAATTTATGTCAGTTGCTGCCCAATTTTGTCCGAATAAATTTAAAGGAAAAGCGGTCGAATTGAATGGATAATAAATTGTGTGCAGGATAATTATAAATAATAATGTACAAGAATTGCGGGTCGTCGGCAACAACAGGACACAATAAATAAGTGTAAAGTCTGTAGAAATGAGTGCAAAGTGCAATTGGCAAAATAAATAATAAGAATAAAAATAAGAAAAGCAAAGCAAAGCAAACGTTTCTCACAAATAAAAAATAATCGAAAAGGGGAAGGGACTTTGCCCAATATCAATTAAGCGCTTAAAATACCCCTGCGGATCGCAAATGAAAATCAGTTGACTTCATTTTTCCAGCTCCTCAACCCCACATCTGCGAAAATGTAAAGGCAGATTTTCCCTCCAAAAATTATGTCATATGCACATACGTCAGAGGCCGAAAATGTATATTGAATTGCAATGGCTGTGATGGCAAGCCAGATAAGGAACATTGTGAGACCTTCACCTTGTCTTTTTGCCAAAGCCCGCATGGACAAAAAAGGTGAGGTGCGAGGAATTTCAGGATTATGATTAAATCAAATTCAATACCCACACACATTGTCTGAACAACTGCGCATATTCCGATCTGTTTGATCGATTTGGCACATCCGTTTATCAGGGGCGGGCGACAGACCCAAATGAATGTATACTTAAGAGACTAAATACGAGGGACGAATAATATCGTCGCAGAATACGCAAGGCTTAGCACGGTGTAGCCCCACGAAGCCACTTAATTTGGAGCGATATGGTCAAATAAAATCATGCTGGACAGGCACTAAGCACATTCTAGTTCCTAAATTGGGAACACTGCGCATTACGGAACGCAATGACCAGTCCACACATTAACGATTTCTACACCCTTGCTACAAAAATCTCTAATTGTACAGTATTATCCTCAACAAATGTATGTATTGTTTGTCCGCTGTTTTTACACTCTGGTTGCACTAAAAATAGGATATCTCCCTGCGATAACCCAATATTCAAGGCCGTGTGAGTGGCCAGGGTTGGCGAGCAAAGAGAAAGCAGGTCACATCCCCACTCAAAAAGCTCACAGTGAAAATTTAATTTGGATGGGGATGCCAAAAACCATTGCCAACTGGATTCGCGACGTTGCCCGCACCGATGTTGCTATTGGCGCAAATACATTATGAAAATTAAATATTGGCTGCTACACTCTGTGACTTGCCAGCCAATCTGCAAATATGCCGCAAACCAAGAATTTTGAGCAAGCCAATGGCTGTGTCTACATAAATTTCTAACACACAAAAACTGGGGAATATAATATGATCGATTCTTAGTGGATCAATTCTACTTTGACTAAGAAATGTTACAATGTTATCGCTGAGAGTGGTACAATTATCCTTATTATTAAGTATCAGTTCTGGTGCAAATGTAGAATTTGGCGAATAATTCTATCTTGGAAACTGCACCAGTTGACAGCATAATATATAATATCTGGGGAAAAGAGCGCAAAAAATACTCACAAAGTCAAATTACCGAAAAAAACAGCATTTTGAGCGATTCTTCAAGGACTCGTATAAAAAGATAGCCGTGGGACAAGGACAACGGTTGAATCAAAAGTTATTCTTCTAGATATTTTTGTTAACCTCTTTTTACATCGCTTTTGGTCGCATCTTTGCTCATTTTCTATCAAGATTTCCTACCCCCTTTGAATCAATCACACACATATTAAACTTTAAACATGGTCCGCACATCTATTGTCTCCCTCCTGGCCCTCGCTGCCGCTGTCCACGCTCTGCCCAACATTGTTGAGGTTAACACTGCCTATATTGCGTCGTCGGCCCCGGCCCCGGTCACCACCACCACCACCCCGGTTGCCCTAACCACTTCGGCGGCCACCGTCGAGACCACTTCGGCGGCCACCGTCGAGACCACTTCGGCGGCCACCGTCGAGACCACTTCGGCGGCCACCGTCGAGACCACCACCGTACAAATCACCACTGAGTACGTTACTGTGATTGAGGAAGACTCTACCACTGAGTCCAGCGAAGAGTCCGAGTCGGTCCCTGAGTCCAGCGAAGAGTCGACCTACGACTATCTGACCTCCGTCGAGGAGCCCTCTGCCACTACCGAGGAGTCAACCTACGACTATCTGACCTCTGTCGAGGAGCCCTCTGCCACTACCGAGGCCGAGACTTGCAGCCCCGCCACTGCCACTGTCACTGCCACTGAGACCGACGCGGCCGCTGTCACTACTGCCTACGCCACCGAGACTATCACTGCGACCGCCACCGTTACTGACGTTATCACTGAGACCATCACTAACTGCAATGTTGTCCCCACCACGGCCACTGCCGAGACTCCCATCACCGAGGTGCCCGTTGTGACTACTGAGGAATCTGTTTCGACCCTCACCACGACCATCTACTACACTGCCGAGGAGACCATCGAGGTACCTGCTGTCACCACCGAGACTCCTGTCTACACCACTGGCACCCCTGTCTACACCACCGGTGATGCGACTAGCGAGACCCCCTGCACTCCTACGACCTACACCACGTCCTACACTACCACCCCTTGCGAGGAATGCGAGGTCACTACCATTACTAGCACCGTCACTGTGACTCCCACTGCCTCTGTTACCACCGAGACCCCTATCTACACCACTGGCACCCCTATCTACACCACTGGCACCCCTGTCTACACCACCGGTGATGCGACTAGCGAGACCCCCTGCACTCCTACAACCTACACCACGACCTATACTACCACCCCTTGCGAGGAGTGTGAGCCCACCGCCGTCACCTCCGCCTGCACTGAGACTCCAACCACTGTTGAGGCTTCGGAGGAGGCCACTAGCACGCCCCCTACCTACACCACTGACGAAGAATCGTCTGAGGAGGCTACCAGCGAGGAGTCTGTTGAGTCGTCCGAGGATGCCACCAGCGAGGAGTCCGCCGAGTCCTCTGAGGAGGCTACCAGCGAGGAGTCTGTCGAGTCTTCCGAGGAGGCTACCACCAACACGCCCCCTGCCTACACCGCTACTGAGGAGTCGTCTGAGGAGGCTACCAGCGAGGAGTCTGTCGAGTCTTCCGAGGAGGCTACCACCAACACGCCCCCTGCATATACCACTGGCGAAGAATCGTCTGAGGAGGCTACCAGTGAGGAGTCTGTTGAGTCGTCCGAGGATGCCACCAGCGAGGAGTCTACCGAGACCTCTGAGGAGGCCACCAGCGAGGAGTCTGTCGAGTCTTCCGAGGAGGCTACCACCAACACGCCCCCTGCCTACACCGCTACTGAGGAGTCGTCTGAGGAGGCCATCACCACCGAGGAGTCTTCCAAGGAGGCTACCACCAGCATTCCCCCTGCCTATACCACTGGCGAGGGATCATCTGAGGAGGCTACCACCACCGAGGAGTCTACTGTTGAGGAGACCTCCACTGTCTTCACCGCTGAGGAGCTTTCCTCCTCTGCTGAGCAGACCCTTGCTTCCCTCTTCTAAGGTGCCTGCCCGCTAGCAATGGCAGCGCCACTGTAAACTTATTCTTGCCCGGCGTGTGCTAGAGATTCTGTTTCATTTTTATTTTATAACAATAATTCGTAAAAAAATACACGCTTAAATATTATTTTCCTGTCATAAAAAGGAGCAACTGTATCCACAACAGCAGCACAATAAATAGGAACTAAATTGATCGTGATTTTACGATCGCATTTTTCACCCTTTTTTATGATTTAAAGACATGCTTCCCCCTTTTGTTGCCAGTCTTTGCCTTTTGTTTTTCTTCCACATTTACTCTGAATTTATCAGTTATATAAATTCTAATTATCACGAGCAGTCTGAGTCGACTCCTGCACCGTCCTTGGCGTCATTACTCCCAAACACCAATTCCCATACCAGTTCAGAAAATCTTATGAGCGTCGCACCACTCATCGTCAAGGCTCGCGGCCTGCACACAGCATCAGTCATTTTCATCCATGGCCTGGGCGACAGCGGTTACGGCTGGAAAGACATGGCCGCGGATCTTTCGTCCAAGCTGCCTCACGTGAAATTTATCTTGCCTCACGCTCCTGAGCAGCCGGTGACCATTAACAACGGGTTCCGGATGCCCTCGTGGTACGACATCAAGTCGCTCAGCAAGATCGCCAACGATGACGACGAGGTCGGCATGAATGCCTCAATGGTGAAGATTAACCAGGTCATTCGCTCAGAGCTCGATGCGGGGATCCCCGCTAACCGCATTGTGCTCGGCGGGTTCAGCCAGGGCGGCGCCATGACGCTGTTCACGGGGCTGCAGTCAGAGTTCCAGCTAGGTGGTTTGGTTGTGCTGAGCGGGTACTTGCCTATGCGCGAGCGCGTGCTGGCCAGGGCTACGGATTGCAGCAAGAAAATTCCCATTTTCCAGGGCCATGGAACCGCCGACGAGGTTGTCATGTATCAGTACGGCAAGATGACCAGCGATGCGTTAACCAATAGCGGCTACAATGTTGAGTTCAACTCGTACGACTACATGGGCCACTCGGCGTGCAGCCAAGAGCTCGATGACTTGAAGGACTTTTTGCAGAAAAACATCCCGGAGAACGTTGTTGCATGAAGGCGCTTCATAAGTAAATACATGCACTGGGCATAGATTTTTTTAGCGCACCACCTCTTTTATTTTTTCTTTCAATTGTGCTGTCTTTCAATTTTTTCAATTACATTTTTATACGTTATAATCTGCCAAAAATTGACAAATGCGGTTTTCGCTGAGCAAATTCAAGGTTGAGCTCAAGCTATCAGTCAACCGCCTGCGGCTGCTACAAGCCAAAAAGAGCTCGCTCAATGCCAAGGCGCGGCGCGAAATAGCAACCCTCCTCGAGAGCGGCAAGGAGCGCAGCGCATACATTAGAGTGGAGAACATTATAAGAGAGGACTTTAACGTCGAAGCATTGGAAATCGTCGAACTATACTGCGAGCTGTTGACCGCGCGCGTGGGCCTTATCGAGCAGTCGCGGACGGTAGACCCGGGGATCAGCGAGGCCGTGTGGTCCATAGTCTATGCGTCGACGCGGGCAGATGTCAGGGAACTGGTCATTCTCAGAGAGATGCTGACCTCAAAGTTTGGGGCAGAGGCTGTCAAGAGCGCAATCGACAATGCCGAGGGCCAGGTTGACCCGAAGCTGGTGCGCAAGCTGAGCCCTCAGGCGCCACCGACCGAGCTGGTCAAGATGTACTTGAAGGAGATTGCCAGCATCTATCGTGTCAACTGGCGCCCCGAGGGTGAAAATGATGACAGCAACGATACACCAAGCGGGGGTGTAAAAGAGCCCGCTCGACTTGCCACACCCCCAGCAGCATTCGAGTGTGCTGAGTTGGATGATCTGCTAAACGAGGGCGCAGATGCTGCCAAGACCGGCGACTCTCAGAATTCTACTGGCAATGATACTGACAAGGACAAAGAGGTTTCTGACTTGCTCCCGTCCATCCCATCAACATCGGAAAATCCCAGGGGAAGTGACAGTGCTGGACCAAAGCCGCCCGTTACCAAGCCATTGGCACCAAAGCCCGCGGCCAAACTGCCCGTACCCGTTGTCAGCAGGGCCAAGCCCAGCGCGCCTGCACCGAAGGACGGCTTGCCCTCGCTTGATGAGCTGCAGAGGCGGTTTGACGCACTCAAGCGGGGCTGAAGCAAGCATGTTTGCTGGATTTTTTGACTCAGCAGCGCTGATACCATACGTGTATTGTCCAGTACACTTGCCCGGTAAACGCTTATGCCTGCGACCCAAAGTCAGGGGCTCTTATTTTTTATTTTAGACCACTTAATTCCTTGTAAACATTATTTTTTCAAACAATAAAAATATACTGCCTGTACGCGCAAAACAATGGCCCACATACTAGCGATAGGATCGAACTCGAGCGGTCAACTGGCAACCAACGACAGCAACGATGCACACCACCTGGCCCAGACCATATTTGCCGACGCTGATGGCTACGTAGCCGATGCTGACACCGTATGGCGCGTGTTGGGCGGCGGAAACCACGCATTCGCTTGGTCTGACGACGGCACAAAATTGGTTGCCAGCGGCTCCAACAGCGACGGCGAGCTTGCCACTGGAGGTGAGGGCACCGGCCCAATATTTTCATGGACGCCAGTTGGTTTTCCCGGAGATCGTGTGAGACAAATCGCCTGCGGATGGAACCACTCAGTGCTGCTTAACACCCAGGGTCAGCTATTCTCTGCTGGGTCCAACATATTTGCCCAGCTTGGCATCGGTATCCAGGGACGTTCTCAGAAATTTTCAAGTACGTGGATGCCGGTTTTGGCTGCACAAGACAACGATAAAAGCACAACAAAATTCGTCAATATCGCCTGTGGTCTGCGGCATACACTTGCCCTAGACGAAAATGGAATGGTGTACGGCTGGGGAGCCAACCGCTGTGGCCAACTGGGAATTGCCAGCCCTGATAAGAAGTCGTCCAATGTTTTGCAGATGAAGCTTGTGTCCGCCGGTCTGCCGCCAATAGCTATGCTGGCATGCGGGCGCAGCCACTCTATACTTGTTGCAAATGATCGCAGGACGGTCTTTGTCGGTGGCCAGGACAAATATTGCCAATGCGGTCCAAGCGACAGCCAGCCGGTTGCCGGCACATGGCGGAAGTTTTTGCTGCCGCGGCCAGCAGCAAAGCTGTGTTCCGGCTGGGAATTCGGCGCCGTGCTTCTGGAGCCTGTCTCAAAAATAAACTTGGCTGGAAAAGGCGGCGTGGTTGCAATGTGGGGCAGAGCCGATCATGGGCAACTTGCCACCGTCCAGCAGAGCACGTGTAGCCGGGAGCTGGTGTATATCGACCTAGACTGTGTCCACGACATTATGTGCGGATCCAACCACACCGTTGCAATGACTGAGGACGGAGCGGTGTATATGTGGGGATGGAACGAGCATGGGAATGCAGGCGACCCGTCGCTAAAAAACGTCCACCAGCCGCTGAGAATTGACAGCCCTCCCCTGGACACGCGTGCCGTGGCCATCGGGTGTGGCTATGGAAACAGCTATATTATTTTGTGACCACAAAAAAAAGTCAACCGCAAATATGAAAAATACTTATTCACCGCATTTTTGGCGCTCAATTTGGTATTTGTATGCGTGGAACGAGAAAATTATGACCCTCCTTTTTCTTTTTTGTATTTTCGTATTTTTCTTTTTCTCTCTCGATTTTTAAAAAAAAAAACTTTTATTATTTATTTTTATCATTACTACCACCACTCGATTCGCTGATTTACATTTTGACTCTCAACCTTCTTCCTTATTTACTTTTATTTATTTCAATTTTATTTTCTTCAATACATTCGTATAAAACTCTTTTACACAAAAACCAACTAAAAGCAAATACACACACACACACACACACACACACACGAGAGTGTAACTCTCTTCGAGATCGCAAAATGTCGCAGATTCAGTACAAGTTTCGCTCGGCAAAGGACTATTCGTCTATTGTCTTTGATGGGCTTTCAACGTCGGTGCTCGATTTGAAGCAAGAGATCATGCGTGAGCAAAAGCTCGAGCCCGAGGAGTTTGAGCTGGTTATTACCAACGAGCAGACTGGTGAAGGTAAGAACTGACACTGCTAACACAAACAACTGCAACGATAGTAGCACATCTTTTTTCTCACCCTTTTTTTACTAATTCACTTGTTATATTTTGGCCTAAATCAAACCAGCTGTAGACTACAAGGACGACATGGCGCTGGTCCCCAAAAACACCATGGTTCTGGTTCGTCGCATGCCCTACACTGGGCCAAAGATGGGACGCATGGGCGGCGGAGGCCACCAGCAACAGCAGTCGTCTGGGTATTCAGGAAACTCGTTTAATGGTGGCTACCACCAGCGCAACCACAACACAAACGCAAACGGTCAAGCCAATCAGTACGGATACCGCGCGAACCAAGGCGCAGGAGTTCGGACGCAAAGGGATGGCGCATTTGATCAGGATACGCACAGCGCTGGCAACCCAGATACCGACGCTTCTTTTGGTGTCGAGGACGCTGGAATTTCGGCTATGCTTCAGCAGAGCAACGATCAGTGGATGCACCAGCAGTCTATCATGGAAATGTACGTTTACAGTAATACATCTCATACCGTGCACTCTATTTTGTCACGAGGTGCCGCCTCGAGCAGCATACGTGCGACCACAGCATATACCACACTGCCCCCATGGCCAGTTGCCACCATCACCATTGCCACCGCAAAATTGTTTGTAATTATAGTAAAATGCATTACACCATCCATTTTGACAACCTTCTTGCTTGCTGAAAAGGAGGTGTATGCGCCAAAGACTATTTTTTATCTTCATTGGCGGTTGCTGTTTGCCAGCACCCCCACACAAAGCCCAGTCCAACCCAGCGCAGTGCCTCATGTTATTCGGGCTGCTTTTTGTCTCTGGATATTGAGGAAGGGATGGCGTGAATAAGTGTGGGGCAAGGGAGCACAGCAGCACTGGCACTTTATTGCTGGCACTCAGTGCGGGTCACAGCCAGCCTGGCCTCTTGGCTGGTGTCCGGGGCACAGAAATATAAACTATGCTGGAAACCAACCTCTCCGCTCGTCTATCTTTGTACATTTGACTAATTAATTTGCTTTGCTTCCATTGTTTGTGTTTCTTTATTTGTAGGCAAAGGCCCGTTTATCAGCAGCGTCCAGGGGGATTCAGGCCGAGACCGCACGCGATGCGCCCCGAGCACCAGGGCCCACCGCCGCCCGGCTATGTCTGCTATCGTTGCGGAATGCAAGGCCACTGGATCTACAGCTGCCCTTCGATCGGCCAGGCGAACGATGGAACGGGAAGATCATCGGGTCACCGCATCAAGCGCACGACGGGCATTCCAAAGTCGTTCCTGCAAAAGGTCGACAACATCAACGAAGTGGGGAACGCGCTTGTCACCAGCGACGGCACCCTCGTGGTGGCCACTGCCAACGAGGCGGCGTGGAACTCGGCCCAGCGGCTGGCACGCAATACCATCTTGGGAGACGATGCCATCGATCCCAGCCTGGTGCCGGACTCACTCAAGTGCAACATCTGCCACAGTCTGGCTCGTGACGCGGTAACCACACCGTGCTGCAAAACGGCGTTTTGCTCGACATGTATCGAAAGAGAGCTGCTGGAGATCGGAGACATGCGCTTTACCTGCCCAGCCTGCCACGCCAGAGATACCGTCCCCGACCAGCTCGAGGTGGCGGTCGAGGTACGCGGCAAGGTCGATGAGTTTCTGCACGAATACTCGGCCAAACAGATCGGTGACAATGGCGGTACCGGTGACAATGCAAATAACGGAACAAGCGTCGTCAGTGACTCGGCAGCACCCAAAGCAAATATAGTCGTGAGCCCGAATGTGAGCTCAGCTGGCGAGACTGGCGCGTCAGCCACACCAGCTACCACTGCTGTCGTGCGCCCGCCAGCTCAGGTGCAGCCTCGCCCTCGCAACTACAACTTCAACCCCAACATGGGGATGATGCCTCCGGGCATGATGATGGGCATGGGCTCCGGGTTCCCAGGCATGGGGATGCCGCCGATGGGCATGGGGCAGATGCCCGGTTTTATGCCTCCGGGCATGATGCCACCGCCTGGCATGATGCCGCCTCCCGGAGTGATGCCCGGCCAGTGGAATGGCAGCATTCCAGTGCCGCCGCCGCCCTCGGGCACACCCATGATCAACTCGTCAGTCGCGCACCCAAATGCACCACCAAACTATTTTAATCAGGCCCACGCATGCAACGGATCCAGGGACAGCCGCAGCCAAAGCCCCGAACGCAGCAGCAGTAGGCATAGCTACAGGGGTCACAGGGACACTTCGTCACACAGAGCGCCCTTGTCTGGCCGTGATGACACAGGCATGTTTGATATTAATCCCGAACCCACTCCTGATTACCCGGTATCCGGTAAGGTAAGCGATAACGTGACTGGCACAAAGGAGGCAATTGACTACCAGCCCCCACCAATGGAAAACGACGGCTCTAGTGGGAGAAGCGCCAGAGATGAGAGCCGCACTGGTGATAGGCACCGTGGCCACCGCGATAGCAGTGGCAGTGGCAGCCGCAGCCGCAGCCGCAGCAGACGGGATTATGGCAATGCCAGCCGCAGCCGCAATGGTGACTATAACCGTACGCGCGATCGTGATGCCGACCGTGATGACAGCCGCTACCGCAGCCGCGACCGTGCCCAAGGTCGCGGTAATGATCAGGATCAGCGGCGCGAGCGCCGCGAGCGCCGCCGGGACGACAGTCGTGACACAAGAGCGGGCAGAGGCCGCAGCGATGACAAGGACGACTATGACTCTAGACGCAGACAGCATGACAGGCGTGATAGAGGTCGCAATGGATCCGATAAGCGGAGTAGGAGCCCAGCGCCGCCTGTATCCAGCAAGCGCTTGTCGCACGAATCAAGCTTGGGCAACAGCAGGGGCTCGCGTGGAGGAGATAGCGGGAGAAAGGGAGACGGCGCCGGTGACGGACATGACGGCCCAAAGAACTCGGGGTTGGCTATTCGAGGGCAATCCACAGCCAATGAATCAAAGTCTGAGTCAAAGCCACGGAACATCCTGGATCGCATTCGTGATGATCGCCCGTCGACAACACAGAAGGATGATAGCCGCGGCAGAGGCAGGCGCCGCAACCGTCGCCGCTAAAAATTTTCCGTTTATAATTTTACCATTTCTTTTTTGTCAGTTTTATATTAATAAACTTTCAACCTTTAACCATGTATGTGAAGCGTTTGGTCTGCTGTTGTTCAGAGTCGCTCTATGCTCGATGCAGCACAGCCAACCCTTTTGACGTGTGACCAGCCAGGTGCCTCTCTATTTTGAAGGCACTTACAAAGGCTGCAATGGCAGCGGGACTTCTTTCCTCACGTCATATGCCTTCGGGGCCCAAGAGAGCTTGTGTGCTCTTTTCATTTCCGTTATCGTGTCTAAATATTGCCAAAAGTATACAACTGGTGTTGGGATTTCCACTAGCGTGCATATGCATGCCACTTCGGTCTCTAATTGGATTGCCACTACAAAATGAAATCAATATTTGGGCATCAAGAAAAGCAACAACACTGTAGACAAAGAATAAACTAATTGAGGACAGGGGACATTTACATTGTTATAGTAAATTTACACAACACTAAAATAATAATAAAACTTGGGCGAGAGAAATGAAAATTTTACTTTACCACCTGCAAATCCGCCTTGTGCAGCGTGCTGGTGGCATCCGTTGTGTCGTCATTGTTAAAGTCGACTTATTCCTTAAAGCAATAAATAGAGCCCCCATGACATACTAATTGTAACATGTTAATGCCCATGTTTGTTTTCTACAGGATAGAAAAGGCAAATTTGTATGTTGAAAATAAGTTGTTTTTTTTAAAAAAAAAAACAGCTTATTGGAAGAAATGGTCATTTGGTTCTGTCATTTGGGCGTAACATAAACGGACAGGATGCGTCGAACGCATGTGAACATTGCAGTCTGTGCGCACTGTACAAACATTCGTCCCTGCAATGTCATTATTGTTATTTCTCCTCTCCCTACTTTTTTTTTTCCAATGTTTGAGGGTAGCCGAGTTGCTGAAACACGGTGATGTTTTGGTGAATGATATTTTTCATTTCTTTTGTTTTTATTCCCACCTTGTCATCAATTACGCCCCTTATTTTTTCTAAGCGTCCTTTGACATTAACGCAGCACCTGTTCCTTTGTTCGACCCCACCCTCACTGTAATACCTTAAATAGCCCCTCCCTGCCTGTTGAAAAGGGCGGCCAGCCAGCCAACTGCTTTTGCTTTTTCATTCCTGCCATTTTCAGCTTATTATTTTTTGTTTTTATGTTTATTTTTTACCAACCTGTAGCTAATAATATTTCATCCGGATATCCGCACACTATCCGCTTAAACGCATTTATAAAACGGATATTTGAACTTTTTTAATTGCTGCTTTGCTCACACCCATTTACCCACATATCGCTCCAGTGCTGTAATTTTGTCACCCCTCTTTCGAAAATTACGCTTTTTCATTATTTCACCTTTGCTTGGTTTTGTTTTAGCTTTCATCCTTTTGCCTTTTTATATTAGTATTAGTGTTTTTCTCTTCTTTTTTCCCACGGCTAGTCTACTATTTCTCTGTTTTTCTACACATACTCGCTAAACCATTGTCGCTTGCTCCCACTCGATGACAGTACCAGAGAACTTGGGCAAAATAAAGCTCGGTCTAGAGCGGATATCTAATTTTCTCGAGAGTATACTGCCCCGTGACCCGCGGGTCAACCTCAAAGTCGTACATGTCGCGGGTACAAACGGTAAAGGCTCAGTGTGCGCCCTCATATCGGAGGCGCTGATCGCGGGCGGCTACAAGGTGGGGACTTTCAACTCGCCGCACTTTCTCGCGACAAACGACGCTGTGCGGATACAGGGCGTGCCAATTCCCGCGAGCGAATATGCAGAACTGCGTGCCTACATAAATGGCCTTGATGCCAAGGCGCAGTCGCCAAACGGCCGGCTGTCTCTCTTCGAGCAGGCCACAGCGGCAGCACTTTGGTGGTTCTCTGAAAAGAACATTGACCTGGCCGTGATAGAGGTCGGAATGGGAGGGCTTCGCGATGCCACCAATGTATTTGGGATGCCTGATGGTAGCATCTCGCTTGGCGTGGGCAAATCGCTGGTGCAGTGCATATGCCCGATTGACAGTGACCACCTGGGAATGATTGGCAACACCGTCGAGGAGATCGCCCACGAGAAGTCTGGAATCATGCGGCCCGGGTCGTGGATTGTAGTGGCCAACCAGGACCGCATAGAAGCATTCCATAAAGTCCGACATCTTGCCCACAAAATTAGCCCTGACCGTGTAGTCAATGTGCGCCGCCAGCCGACATACGATTCGCACGTGTCCAAGTTTTCGATCAAGCATGTGGCCGGCGAGGAGAGTCTTGATGCGCAAAAGCTTCTGGCGGAGGTTGATGCGCCCGGCTGGGCTAGTTTCAACGGGACTGGCAGGCGTTGTCTGAGCGCAAAGTACCCGCCGACCCTCGAGATATACAAAACGACCCAATCCACAAAGGGCTCGCGCGATTTGCAGTCTCCACAGAGCCCGCAATTAGGCCAGGCAAGCACAGGAGGCAACGCTGGTTCCTCACCAATGGGTGTGCCGGCGAGCACCGAGCTGCATTTGCCGCTCATGCTTCCTGGACATTACCAGGCTGGCAACGCAAGTGTGGCGTTCTACGCGCTCGATGTTTTGCGCACACACTATGGCTTCAACCGGCTCACCGATGCGGCCATCCAGATCGGGTTCCAAAATGTGCGCTGGCCTGGCCGTCTCTCGTGGCTGCGTTTCAATGGCGACGACAGCTCAGACGCCGGAAATTCCTCCCCCACTTCGAGCAACAGTGCTGGTAGCAGGGGTAGCACGCGCAGCGGCTCAATTAGCGCGAGCGAGCTCGCCAACTTTAACAAGTCGGGGGGTGCGCTAGGCGGCTGGATCCTGGCAGACGGCGCGCACAACGAGCCAGCTGCGTTCGAACTGAGAAAGTATGTAGAAACAACCCTCAAGCGTATCAAACAGACCCGTTACATTAACGGCACCTCTGTTCGCAGCTTTAAGGATATACCGAATGTACGCTGGATTGTTGGCTTCACGCGGGGCAAGGATATGACGGCCATTCTGAACAGAATCGCGCGTGCCGGAGACACAGTTTGGGCCGTTCCGTTTTCGCAGCCCGACGAAATGCCCTGGATTGAGTGCACGGACACTGAGAGCATTCTTGAGGCAGCAAAGGGCACAGTATATGCCAATAGCATTCAGATCGAGAAGTTTGGATGTCTGGCCGATGCCCTCAGTCTGCTGGCTACTGAGGACACTAAGAGCTGCTTGACAGTGATTTGCGGCTCACTATATCTTGTTGCCGACCTGTATCGCGAGCTCCACATTAGCCCGTTTGAAGGGCGCTGAGTGCTGAGTATATCGATTTGTCAATTTTTTAATTTTGCTTTAAATACACCTTGTTTTTCCAATGAACATGATGATCCGGATGTATGTTTGATATCATCACTTCTAGTGTTATATGCCAGTAACACTTTCAATTGACAAATTGCCATTGATAACCATACAAGGCATGAGCATTGTGTCTTTACAAATACCGTCACTTTGTGACCTGTCATCTTCGCAAGCGCACAGCTAGCTTTCAAACAATTCTATGCCCATGGACTCGATCGCACGCCACTGATTAAATCTCATGATCACCACCGATCGATTTACTTTTTTTTTTGTAGCATCAAAATTTCTCTTGTTTTTTTTTCTTCCCTCTCCAGTTTCTGTCTCTCAGTTGTGCAGGTCACTCTGCGTCCAAGAACTTTTGCCGAAAACCAGTGCGAAAAAAGCAAACCACCAATATTTAAAAAAGCATTATATTTACAAGACAGCGTTTATAAATCCCAAGCAGTTTTCTCTTCTCTTCTGCAAACTCTTGTCTATATATTAGTATATATTTTTTAAATTTTTTCTTTTCTCTCTTTCACATAATCAAAAATGCCCAAGGCAAAGAAGTCACAGGTCGTCCATCTGACAAAAGTTCAGAGCAAAGGTCAGAAGGGACGCGGTGCTGTCATGAAGGCTGTGCAGGAGGCTGCTTCGGCCTACGACTACGTGTGGGTGTTCTCGGTTGAGAACATGCGCAATCAATATCTCAAGACTGTGCGCAGTAACTTTAAGACGAGCCGGTTTTTCTTCGGCAGCAATAAGGTGATGGCCAAAGCGCTCGGCAACGAGCCCGAAACCGAGATCAAGGAGAACATTCACAAGATCAGCAACGCGCTTGTCGGCGACGTGGGTCTGTTGTTCACCAACGAGTCCGTGGAGTCTGTGAAGAAGAGCTTCGACGAGTACGAGGCTGACGACTATGCGCGCGCTGGAAACATTGCAACCTACCGGGTGGTTGTTCCTGCTGGCGAGGTTTTCCGCGGCTATGCCAAGGAGCCCTTCCCCAACAACATGGAGCCCGAGATGCGCGACCTGGGTATGCCCACCCGCCTGAGAGAGGGCAAGATCACCATTGATTCGGACTATGTCATCTGCGAGGAGGGCGACAGGCTCACTTCGCAGCAGTCCCGGCTGTTGAAGCACTTCTGGGAGAAGATGGCTGTGTTCAAAATCAAGCTTATGTGCCACTGGCACAACAGCGGCGAGTTCGTCCAGCTTGTGGGCAGCGAGGCCTCTGCCGAGGAGTCGGAGGAGAGCGACGAGGAGATGGAGTAACTGCAAGCAACATTTGGATTGTCGAGTGCATCCTGCTGCTTTAATTTTGAAAGTAACATTAAAAATACACACATATTTTCACTCAAACTCTTCGAAGCCAATTTGTTTTGTTAATGTTGTATGTGTTAATGTTATCGCAGATGAAAGGTTGCATAATAATATAGTAACAAAAATACAAGTACACAAAATAAAGATGCCTGATAAGCAAGAAACTATAATTTGATGCGCTGGATAAAAACATCCCCACTTCGCCAAGAGAAAATAGATACATAGATACACTTGCTCCTTTAACAAAGTCATGTCCTGTGATAAAAAAACTGACGATTATAACCGCCATGATGCAGGAATTGGGCACTATGGCCATATCCCTGTTCTACAGCCGCTATTTGCTTCGCCTGACCTTTGGATCGACTGGCTTTTTGTCAGCATACGGCCAAAGTCATTCCAAATTGGGGCACGCCAAAGGACCGTGGCATATAATATCATGAAACGTTGAAATACGGTGTGAGAGACAGCAATATAAAACTGGCTATAATAATAGGAATAGCTGGCAAGATGAACACCAGTACAATCAGTTAGTTGATATCCCGCTTTATTAGTGATAATGTATAAGGTTGTAGATACAGTAAATTGGCAACACCTTCATTAAATTATACAGTTTATTCTATTAGCTGTGATGTTGATCCGCAGGATGGTTGATATTGTATCTGATTCACCAATCCGCGTAATCATTATATATCTGTTGTTAACCCACTTGGACATAGGATATGCGACGTTAACATGGCCACAATTTTTTTTGCAAAATCATAGCCGACAGACATACCAAACTTTCTTTTAATATTATAAACTTCCTTCAGCTTTACCCATTGCCGAGCAAACAGCTGTTCACAATGCAACAATCGCTGAATTTTATTTTTTTCTGCAATAATGTTTGCAACAAACACCAGAATATATATATGCTTGTCAACAAGTACTTGTATTGTTTATTATGACACCAGGTCCATCCATGTTTTATTAACGCACAATGACATGTTTATAACTTATAGCTGCTCATCGTTTCCCATTCACTTTGGTTTAATTTTCTCGCTAGAAGTTGACAGATAAATTCCAAGAAAAAACACCAAAAAGGCCTACAAAAGCACTTCAATTTTGCAGCTAATAAATAATCGCGAGTGCAGAATATTTTTTACTTGAAGCAACAAATAGCCAAAAAAAATCACCCAAAAACCTCGAGAAAATCCTCAAAAAGAGCATGAAGAATCGACATATAATCGAAATATACGAGCGTTTGACCAAATATGAAAGGAGTTTTGCGCTCCAAACCTCACAAGAAAATATGCTCATATCGGTATATCAGGACAATTCATTCATCCGCTTGCCGCCGCTGGTGCTTCCGGTCGATGGGTGACGCGTTGTGCTCGACCACTTCGCCGCCAATGTTGGCTGGGCTATGCTTGCGCTCTGGAGCTGATGACAAAGATGACGACACTAAGGTCAGTCTAGGCTTGTCCTGCGCAGACGATGCCGATGCTGACGCTGGCGGTGGTGGCGGCGGCGGCGGTGGACTGCTAGCCCGAGACGATGATGCAACCGGTGCTGGTGTTGGAGGCGGCGGCTGCTTGGGGTCGATCTTTTGTGGCGCCCTGCCAACGATCCGCGACTCGACGACATGGATGTCCAGCCTGTTCTGCGCCCAGGGAATGCGCTTGTCAGTACCCGCAACAAGCTGTTCAATCAGCTCACCTTGGTCCGGCTTGGCATTGGCATTGGTACTACCCTTGTCCTTGCCCAGCCCTAGGGCGCCGTTGACAACCAGTTCGGTCTCCTCGTCGATCGATGTCTTGACCAATGAGCACATGCGGCCAATATACTGGCTGACTCCGTCGCCGGATACGCCACCCGCAAGCGAAGACCGACCGGTGTACAGGCTGTCGACCGTGGTTGTGCCCTTGGTCTGCATGATGTGGTGCAGCGTCCAACGCAGCGCCGAGCCCGAGCTGTTGGGAACAGTGTAGGTGTTTGCGCTCGGTCCGAACCCCACCAATGGTGTGGTCGCATGCAGATGACCGCCACCCTCGCTGTCTACAAATGCCCGGGCAACCTCGTCGACAACAAGGCGCTGGTTGGCCAGGGGGTTGTTCAAGAACAGCGAGTCGCAGGGCACTACATCTGCGGCGACCATCGTGGTCAGGCGCTTGCTCATTGCCGGCGTGAACCATTCGCTAGACCAGTGCTGCTTGCCCGAACCGCGCAGGCCGCTGGAGATGGGCAACATAATGGGCTCCTCGATCACATCTTCCGGCACAATCACTGTTTTCTGCGACAAGTCAGCCAAGGCATCTTCATGAGTACCACCGCCGCCACCAATGCCAGCAGGCCTGCTGCCATCAGCCATGTTGAAGAAATTGCTGCCGCCTCCAACTTGCTCCAATCTTGGGGTGTTTAGGTTACCAGAGACGACATCTAGATCAAAGTCAAGGTCCACATCCACGTCCATGCCCATGTCAATGTCCAGCACGTCCTCTTCGATATCGTTGTCAATCCGGACAAGCGCACTGCTGTCAGAAAGGCCAGACTGGCCTACCTTATCGGCAGCATTGGTTTGCTTGGCACCGCTGCCCTCTCCACCAACCTCTGCCCTGAGGCCGACTGCCTCAACAACGTCGTCAGTCTCCTCCTCCTCTTCCGGGTACACTCGACGAATCAGCGTTGGCGCGTTTTCCATTTCATCCATCGCCTGCTCGGCAGCATCGTCGTAGATACCCTGATAGATCGCATGCTTGGCCTGGCGCCATACCTTCTCCGAATCGCCAACTACGTCGCGCTCCGCCGTGTCGTCGTACAAGAACATCGGCTTTCCCGGTTCTAGCCGGTCAATTTTTGATAGTTTTTCCTCGACGCGCGCCGGCGCCGGCACAAACGCAGCATCAGGTATGTCAAAGTCAGGCAGCATGTCGTCGGGGGCGCACGCCGGATCGAATTTCGATGCCGGCCGAAAGAATGCATACAGCGGCTTGTCCCCAGCAATAGATGGGTGGAGTGCCGACAGCGAGGCGGCAGTGATTTGCAAAACGCGGGCCAGGACGGTCTCTGGTGTCTCTTCCGTATCAGTATCGGTATCCAACGCATTGTCTCCACAGGCAGAGCCGGCGGGCACCGTATCCTTGGCCGCGGCAGCGGTCGATGGCACATTGACAGAGTCCTCCAGCGCCGCCACAGCCTCAGCAACCGTCGAAGCGGTGCCGGTATCCATCTCCACATCGCTCTGGTCGCCCTCATCGTCCTGCTCGGTGAGCGATACTAAAGGTGGCAAGTGAGGCATTATGATGGCCTGCGTGCCCTCAGCCATGTCTGCTTCATCCAAAAGCAAACATCCCAAATTCAAATCGCCGAGTATGTCGTCCATGCCGCCGCCATCGTCATTATCGCCATTGTCGTTGTCGTCGCCAGAGCCACGCACGTCCTTGTCCGTGTCAATTTTTTTGTTCCAATAGCCATCTAAATCGCCGCGCACCTGTCTGCCACCGTACACCGGGGCAAATTCACCGGCAGACATACTTCGTGACATTGCGCTAGCAACAGCGAAAGTGGTTGCGGAGCGGGAGGCCTGCTGTATGCCGTCCCAAGAGTTGCGTCTCGTGTGCTTCTCAGCTGCCTGCTCCGTCCCGTTGGCGAGACTGTGCTGCTGGTCTGCCTGATCTGTGCCGTTATCGAGGCTGTGGCGTGAGTTGTCTGCCACCGTATGATTGTTTTCTGCGTCATAGTCATTAACCTCGCGAGCCGGTGGAGAGACGATGCTGCCGACCTCACCTTTCCATTCTTCAACCCACGCGCTGACCGACTCCCAGTTCACGCCAAGGTCTACAGAAGTAGTTTCCAATACGTCTAGAAAATTGGGGTCTGTGCGATTTGCCAAGTCTGCTCGCGCGCGACACGCCTCGCCAATGCGCATCATGTACAGCCGTGCAATATCAGAAAGAAACGACAGCGCGCCGTTGGTCACCCGGTCAAATCTGGAAGTTGCCGAAACTAACCGATGCATTGACCGTCGCATCTGCTCCTCATGGTACGCAGCGGTTGCGTCGGCGGGCCGGGTATTGTTGTGGTATATCCGCGGATCCAGTAGCGGGTTCAACGGGCCTGCTGCTACTGTGGCCAATCGCTGCCCTCCGTGTGCATAGTTGCGCTGCAACAACCGCCCAGCTGCCGTCCGAGATACATGTTCAGGATTTCGCCCTCGCAAGTATAACCCAGAAGTGTTGTTACTGCTACTGCCGTTTTCTGTGCGTCCGTTTTGGTGGCCATGCAGCATGTCTGACTCCGAGTTTGTTACCGCGACAGCGGGCAATCTAGCACGTACACCCTGCGAGTTCGCATGTCCCTGCAACAATGCTGGCGCATGCGATTTGGGAGCTGATGTGTTGGCTGCGGTGGCTTCACTGTCCTTAATCTTTATGTACGAGTATGACGAGGCGCTCTCCTCCGGTTGGTGTGCGCCCATCGCTATCCCAACCATGGGATCGTCCAAAGCTAATATTCTAGAAGGGTTGTGAACAAATATGTTGCTCATAACCCAGAGGCACAAAATAAAGCCGGATCGTAAGAAGGCTGTGGCCGGGATAAAGTGCCTGCGTTAAGGGGCCCAGTTATTCTGAGCTTTAAAAATAAGGAAAGGTGCGGCGTGGCTATCTCTGCGCGGTCCCAAATTAGCGTGCGAATCTTAAAATAAATAATGCGTTGGAAATAAAATGAAGAGAAATGAACCAAAATGGGCAGGGGTCTGGAACTCTCGGAATCAGCGCTGGGGAATAATGGCGGAATGAACTTGCAAATGCAGCGGGATTATGTAGTATGGGAAAGTGCGGGGGGTGATTCAGCGTCGGCAGCGCGCGATTGACAGACTGGCCCTCTCAAAGTTTCAAATCGCACTTTGGCTAAATAAAGAGAGAAAATAGAATACAGAATGGGGTGGGAGAGAGCGAGAGCTACAGAAATATAAATGAAATTGAAATTGAAAAAAATAAATTGATAATAAAAATGAGCGAAACTAAAAAAATGAGTGAAAAAATGTCGCGTTCTGGCATGCCCTAAAACCAATGAAATGCGATTTTTCGCTCTTGTGTTTTTGCGAGCCAACCAAAATCATTGTCGCGCAGACTCGAATCACGGCAGGTCGTTTTATTGAAAGCGCGAACGAAAAATAAACAATCAAATCGAGTTTTCAAAAAAAAATTGATTGAACAGCTGCAAGTGTGATCCACATCTTGCGTTCGCGCTGAACCACTTTAGCGGCTGTGCTGAGCCTCTTGTTGTGCCTGAAATTGCTCAGCCAGATCAGCGATAATACTGGGCATGGTCTGTCAGCAGTTGGCTATGCCAAAATTGCCAATGATGCTAATGTTGCGCCCTTGAGAGCTTGTGAACTTGCGAACTTGCGAACTTGTGGCTGGTACGGATGCTGGCATTAAAACCATTGGTTGTACAGTAAACATGTCGCTTGCGCAAACTCATACATCTCAAAAGTACATTTGCACTATGGCTACTCGTCACAACCCTGTTTGGAGTTGATTGGCTCGAGAGGGTGATATGCGTGGTGCAAGCAGGTGCCCTGATCACACGAGTCTTTCCAAAATTCTCAGGGCAGGGCGGGGGGTGCAAAAAGGCTGTAAATGATGGAAAATCTGTGCACTCTTTTCTTTTCCTCTTTTTCTTTTCACTAAGCGATTTTTAAATTTTATTTTGTACTTTTTATAGTAGAAACACCATTCGCCGATTTCACTCTGCGAATTCGCAATGCAAACAAGGTCTATTATAGCACTCATAGCGACTACCGCCCTAGCACTCAGCGTGTCGTTCACAAAGGCTTACCCCATCCCAGGCCAGAAGCAGCAAAAAGTATTTGGAACTCACAACAAAATTAGCCGGGCGCCAGCCATGCAAAACGAAATGTACAACCTGCCCTACACTTTTGACACGGACGCCACCGGCGCACCCGAGCTTAGCGACATCCTCGCACAGGAAAAGAGCGCAACCATCGCTCTGGATGCCATTCTGCGCAGCGAGCCCCTCGTGCGCGCGCTCAGCGGTGACTCTTCTGACTTTAAGGACGGGCTCACTCTGCTTTTGCCTACTAACAAAGCATTCCAGAGCTTGGACTCGCTTCCTGACGACTTGGACTTGATCATGAAAAAGCACTTTATTGCACACGTTGTCACCCCGCAAGCGATGGCGGATGGAGTAACCGTGCACTCATACGGGCGGCTGGCCACTTTGAGATTCTCATCCTCCCAGGGCAAAGTATACGTGCAGGCCGACCACAGAAATCCAGTCGAGGTCAGGGGCGCTGGTGTGCAAGCAGGCGGCGGCATTTATTTCCTTGTCGACGAGCTGTTCCTCTGAGCGTATGTGCGTCGCTTCAGCAACCCTGTTTTGTAAATGTATTCTGTATTTTTCTGTTTAAACTTAAATTCAACCCAAATGACTCGATCATTGCAGGTTGCACTGCTTGCCGCACGAAATGAGCAACCGTGCAGCCATGTTTGTGTGGCAGATCAGACCAGATCGGATCATGTTTCCAGTCAGTCACATGTCAATCGTGTTTTCTCAATATCATCGTCACAAGAGGGCTGGACGTCTCAATTAAAAGCGGTCTTTTGTTCCCCCGCCCTTGCCCGCATACTTTCCTCTCCACTCTCTTCATTTTTTTCGCTCCACTTTTTAGATTTGAATTCTGCTTGATAAATTTGACTCACGTTATTCTTTACTTTGCTTATCATTATTCCTTTCTTTTTTCTTATTTGTTTGTTTAGGCAGGGTGAATTGAATTGACCTTGCTCGTTTCTTATTTGATTTATCGCTACAGGACTTTTCTCGAACGCCGCCCATGCAAACGTACGCCCCCAGCCTTATAGGCACTTCTCTTGCACACGGGTTTCAGGATGTTATCGGCACTATAAAACCGCGAGGAAGCATTGCAACTATTGCCGGCGCTGCGTCAACGGCCGAGCAGCTCTCGAAACCAAAGCAGATAATTGCAACAGCAGCTGGTATGTGCACATTATTTCGCTCCAATTCCGTCGAAAGACAAAACAAAATGACACATAGCTGACACCTGCTGATAGGTTGCCTTCGCCGCTCAACGAACCGAATGTGTCTGATCAGCATTGATTACCGCCATTACTTTTGAGAATCGCGAGCACTAATGGTCTTATACGATGTAATTTATGTTCTCCGAACCTATTATCTAAATGTAGCCACCGCACCACGTACTCAAACTGCGTCATCCGGTGGCAGCGGCCTGTATTCCGGGGAACTAGACACGCGCCAGGGCGTTGCACATGCGCCGACAAGAAGCAATACACCCAACTCATCCATCCAATTGCGGCAGTTCTCGACTCAGAGCCGCGTTAGCGGGTGGGGATCCCATTCGGGCGCGTTCTCCAGAGTGGGCGGCAGCAAAAACTTGAGCCCAGATGGGAAGCTGTCGGACTACAGCACCCAGCGCCACATAGCTGCACTAAAGGACGCAGCTGAATCGCAGATCGACAGTCCGAGTGCACAGAATGCGTATTACCAGGGACTCTTGAAGCCAGAGTTGCGCGGAAGCTGCGCACCCTTGGTTGTCACTCGGATTGAGCAGGGCGAAGCGGCGGCCGATCTGAGCACTCTGCAGCTGTACCTTACAGCGCTGATGCAAAACAGGACGTCGCCTGATAGAGCAGCGTTGCGCTTGATAGAGATGCTCAAGAATCAGCCAGATCTGGTCACGCAACTGGTCGGGATCAAGGGCACGGCAGGCTATGAAAAGGTGCTGCAAATGCTGGCCAAGTCCAATGGGTTTTCGGGTGCGTCTCAGGGCGCCAGCGGCATGAGCTGGCAGCAGGAGCACACAGAAAAGGCAGACAGTTATAAAAATAGCAGCAGCAAGGGCGATTTATTCTATGACGAGGATGCCGATACCTACGCCAACAGGGCGGGCCACATGTCGCAGGACGGCACCCCCGAGCAGCCGCTACATGTTGTCCTGCAAGAGAAGAGCGGGTCGGCGATCTGGGGCGGTGTCAAGTGGATAGTGAGCACGCTGCTATACGCCTTTTGCATTCTGACGCTGGTCAACTTGGCTCTCGAAAGCTCGGGGATAATGAAGGCCGCCAACAAGGCGAGCGAGTTTGTTCCAGAACCCATGACCACGCCCATGCGCTTCGCCGACGTGCAGGGCTGCGAGGAGGCTAAGGGCGAGCTTGAAGAGCTGGTGCAGTTCCTTAAGAACCCCAAGCAATTTACGGATATCGGTGGCAGGCTCCCCAAGGGCGTCTTGCTCACGGGACCCCCAGGAACCGGAAAAACGCTGCTGGCGAGGGCCGTCGCCGGAGAGGCCGGCGTGCCCTTCTTCTTTATGAGCGGCAGTGAGTTCGACGAGATGTACGTGGGAGTCGGCGCCTCAGTTACTGGAGACACACTGGTGCTGGTCAGGGACGGTGCGGGCACGCGGCTGATGCCCATCGGCGAGTACATCGACACGTACTACCCTGGCGCCCAAGAGGGCTATGTCATTCCAGTTGGTGGCGTGCAGACGCTTGGATACGACGGCGGCGACCAGATGGACGGGTGTGCATGGAAGAAGATTCGCCAGGTCTACCGCCACAAGGTCGATGAGATTTATGAGATCAAGTACATGGGCGACACAGTCCGCACAACCGGCGACCACAGTGTGTTTATTCGCACTGCCGGCGGCATTCAAGCGGTTCAGGCCCGCGATCTCCGCGTAGGAGACAGCCTGGTTGATCTCCCATATAGGCTCGGCAGCTCCAAGCAGCACCCCAAGTCCCGCCAGGAGGAATCTGCTGCTGAGGGTTCAGTGCAGCAGCAACAGCAGAATGTCGGGCCACTGCCGATGTGGGATCCGGCCATGGTCAGCGACAACTATGAGCTCTGCCAGCAGGTGCGTGCAAATTGCTTCAGCCAAAATGTCCCCGAGGAAATTGACCTCACGCCGAAGCTCGTGTGGCTGCTTGGCATCTATGCTGCCAAGGGGCGCTGCAAGGGTGGCGCTATGACCGTGGCGTTTAAGGACACCGAGTCTGAGCTGATGCGCTCATTCTCGGTAGCCATGGCCAATGTGTTTTGTGCGGCTGGGACATCTGAGAGCGACAGCACACAGACAATACTCACTTACTCGCCACTGATCGCGCAGTTCTTTGTGCGGAACTGCGGCCAAGACTCAGCCGAGGACGGCAACCATATCCCCGAGTTTATGTGGGCTGCCCCTGCCGAGTACTATCGCGCCTACCTTGATGGGTATCTCCAGGGCAGCGGCGCTCAGCAGCATGGGTCTAGTACAGCAGCATGCGCAGTGACTTCTGCCGATTGTACCTTGCTACGCGAGATCGCGTGGATGACATCCATGCACCAGACAAAGGCCATATTGACTGCGCTTTCGCCCGAGAAGAGCACAGATGCGCCGGGTATGTGGAAGCTGGAGATCGGCGTGCCTGTCGCACATCGTGTGCACCACGAAGCGGGCGATGCCGACGAGTCGGATGCGCTGCTTCAGCACAAGAAGGCGATCATCGAGAGCATCGAGCGCGTGGACTTTAGCGGCTATGTGTACGATTTCTGTGGCTGCGACAACGAGGCCTTTTTTGGAGGCAATAACCCTGTTCTGCTTCACAACAGCAAGGTGCGCTCGCTGTTTGCAGCTGCGCGCAAGACGTCACCGAGCATAGTATTTATTGATGAGATTGACGCCATCGGGTCCAAGCGCAACCCGCGCGACCAGACGTACATGAAGCAGACGCTCAACCAGTTGCTGGTTGACCTTGACGGCTTTACGCAGTCCGAGGGTGTAATCTTTATGGCGGCGACTAACTTCCCCGAGGTGCTGGACCCTGCGCTTACGCGGCCTGGGCGCTTCGACCGGGTGGTGCAGGTGCCGCTGCCCGACGTGCGAGGCCGTGCCGCCATCCTCAAGGTCCACTCGAAGAAAATTCCTCTGGCAGACGATGTCGATCTCACCGTTGTCGCACGCGGCACGCCCGGGTTCTCTGGCGCTGAGCTGCAGAATTTGCTTAACATTGCGGCGATCGAGGCCACCAAGAATCGCGCGAAGAAGGTGACCAACAAGCACCTGGACTTTGCCAAGGACCGCATCATCATGGGCAGCGAGCGCAAGTCTGCGGTGATCACACCAGAGGCCAAGCTGGCGACGGCGTACCACGAGGGCGGCCACACCCTAGCCGCGATGTACACGCCTGGGGCAATGCCCCTGCACAAGGTGACGGTTATGCCCCGAGGACACGCGCTCGGTGTGACCGTGCAACTGCCGGACGCCGACAGAGAATCGATCAACAAATCCGAATACCTGGCCGAGATAGATGTCTGCATGGGCGGCCGCGTTGCCGAGGAGCTGGTTTTCGGAATCGACAAGGTCACGTCGGGATGTTCGAGCGATCTGGAGCGGGCAACGAGGGTGGCTACGGCTATGGTCACGCAGTTTGGCATGAGCGAAAAGATCGGCCTCGTGGCTTACAATGCAGAAGAGCGCGAGAAGCTGTCGGCCGAGGGCAAACGTGCGATCGAGGGAGAGGTCCGGGCTATGAACGAGGCGTCCAATGCGCGTGTGATGACTCTGCTGGCAAACCATCGCGAGGAGCTCGACCGTCTGGCGAATGCGCTAGTCGAGTACGAGACTCTTGACAAGAACGAGATAGAGCGTGCAGTCAAGGGCCTTCCGATCGAGCGCGAGCCCATTCCCACCGAGTAACTGAGCAAGCGAGTGAGCAAGCAAGCTAAAAGGAAGGAAGGGATCGCAACAAGGAAAAGGCCAAATACACTTGAACTTATGCTTTCATTTCATTGTTTCGTTGCATTGTTTGATAACCTTTTTTATAATTACACAGCTTTTTTTTACAGCTTACATACATTTATAATTTTGGGCATGTCAATTAGATAATGTTATTTTTTTATTAGTTCTAAACGCTATAAAACGCTCCAAACAAGAGGACAAGGCCAATGTAAAGGGTCGGCATTCTCCACAAAAAAATTTAGCCGTGTGCCCAGAGATCGAAACCTCTGAACACGCGAGTGCCATCCAGTCTTTAGCGGGTCTATAATAAAACAGCATGAGAAAAAAGCAACAGCAATAAAAGAGTTAGTACAAAAAGGTCGTTGAAATAATTGGGGGCTAGATATGCGCAACATATATGTAGCCTAAAAAATTAAAACTATATTTACACCCGATATGGCAACGCGGTTGACAGGGGCACTGAGCACAGACTGCCTCATTCCTGCTCGGAAAATGGAGGGATAACCAGCCTGCTCGACCAAACCCCTTTTTAAAATGTCAACCAATTTTATACGGTCGATTTCCCCACTCTCGAAAATAAAATTCGAAAAGCAAAGGAATATGTATGAAATGATGGTCTACCTTAGTGAAACCGATATCGGCGGCGTACTCGCGGAAGCACTGACGGCAGAGGTCAAGGCCGTACTTGCGAATCAGACCAGCCTGGTGAGCGCAGACACGGCACTGACGGCTACCCTTTCCATAGCGGCGGGGGCGAGAGAACCAGACGTTTCCGTGAGACATGGTGTTTAAATTTGATTTGCGTTCCGGATTTGAAAAGTTGCGATTTAAGCAAAAAGGAGCAAGATAGTGGAAAAGAAAGATCTTTAGCGTGGCTATTGCAGCAAGCAGTTCATTTTTGCCCTTCGCCTTGAGCAGCTCGAGCATTTTTTTCATAGTATCAGGCAGTTTTTTTCAACCTTTGTCTCGCTCAATACAGCGCCATTTAGGTCTTCAAGGGTTTTGACAGCCATCCAGCAGCAAAGCAGTTTTAAGTTGGCCAATAAAGCGGGAGTGCCAGGGCTAAAATAAAACAAATATACACGTGATACAACTGTAGGGGGTTGATCTTGTATTTGGCTGATTTAATATTACTGATCGGTCACAGATAATCGCCAGCGCCGGTCACTTTCTTTGCATGTGCATTGTCCCTTTTCATACACTTTTTTCTTCAGAATTTGGCCTTTCCGAGTTGCTTTTTTTGAATTCAATAAACTGGAAATCACATGCTGATAAACCTTTCAATGTACTCGTCCATCCCCTCCTCCAGAATCGCCAGCTTGCCGTTCTGCAGGGAGTAGATGTCATCGGCGGTCTCGCGCACAAAGTGGCGGTCGTGCGACACCAGGATCACTGTGCCTTCGTACTCGTTGATGGCGGCGATGAGGCCCTGGACGGCGTACATGTCAAGGTGGTTTGTGACCTCGTCAAGCAAAAGCAGGTGCGGATTGGAGAATAGCATTATTGCCATGGCCATGCGCGCGCGCTGGCCACCGCTGAGAGTGTGGACCGGGCGCGTAGCCAGGGCGCCACTCAACTCAAAGGAGCCCAGCCACTTTCTGATCTCACCCTCTTTTGTGCCTGGATAGTTGCGCATGAGCATGGCAAGACCGGATTCTTGCACGCCCGAGAGCTCGTCGACAAAATGCTGGGTGTAATGGCCAATCCGCAGGCGGGCCTGCTGCTCGACGGCGCCCTTTGTTGGCACGAGCTCCCCCTTGATAATGTTGATCAGCGTCGACTTGCCACAGCCATTGAGGCCGAGCAGGGCAATGTGGTCGCCCATCATGATGCTCATGCTTATGTTGCTGAGCACAGCAATGGATCCCTGCTTGTCAGCGTTGGAATACCCAAAGCTGACGCCATTGAGCGACACCAGGGGACCCGAGTGGCGCATGGCTTCTGGTTGTGGAATAGAAAAATCGACGTCCTTCTCCGCGCGCTCCAGCTTGAGCTCGGGACGCAAAGTGTCATGGAAGCCTGCCCAGTACGAAAGTTTGAAGCGCTTCCCGTCTTCTGTCTTGTCTATGCCCGCCATGCGGTCGAGCTTCTTCTTGCGCGACGCCATCTGGCCCAGAACCTTGGAGTCGTTGGTCGAGCGAGCGTGCTTCATAAAGTTGTCGATCGACTTTTTAACGTGCTCGCGGCGGCGCTCAAGCGACGCGTACTGGCGCTCCTTTTTTTTGCGCAGCTCATCCTCGGTCTGCTCGTAGTCCTCGTAATTACCGGGATGGTATGTGAGGCTCTTATCATTGAGCCTAATGATCTCCTGCGAAATGGCGTTGAGAAAGTCGCGGTCGTGGGAGACGCACACAATGGTGACTCCCTCAAGCGCGACCAGATAGTCCTGCAGCCAGGCAATGGCCGCCAGATCCAGGTGGTTGGTGCACTCGTCGAGCAACAGAATATCGGGCTGGACAAACATTGCCTTGGCAAGCGCGACGCGCATGCGCCAGCCGCCAGACAGGAGGCTCACGGGCTGGTCTTGCTGCTTCTCAGAGATGTTCAGGCCCCTAAGGATCCCACGGGCACGAGCCTCGGCGGCATGAGCATCCATCGCATCTAGCTCGGCGTACAGCAAGGCGAGAACTTTGGCAGCAACATAGCCGTCGGAATTGCTGTCGCCGTAGAGTTCGGCTTTGATGCTCTCCGCCATCGTCTGCTCGGCCTTGAGTGCCGCTGCTCGTGCGGTCTTGCCACGGCGCCCGCTGCGCAGCGTGGCGGTCTTTTGCGCCAGGTGGATTTGCTCGCCAGAAACTCGCGCAATGTACACGCCCAGCGCGTGCCGCAGCTCGTCGGGCGACTGAAGCGCCCGCTCAATGGAAGCAACGTCGTTCATGCGCTTCTGCCGCTCAGAGTCAGCGGCCATCACGGCATCAATGACGTTGATGTCTGTCTCAAGCACATCCAGCTGCTGGATGTAGAGCGTGCGGATGTTTTCGGGGAACCCGACCAATGTTTTGTCCCCGATGACTGACAGCAGAGTCGATTTTCCAACACCGTTGCGGCCGACCATTCCGTAGTGACAGCCGGCCTTGAGCCACAGGCGGGAGTCAACGAGTAGCTCGCTGTCTCCGATCGTCACATTCACCGCCTTGAGATCCACGTCCTTGGAAAGCGTAGTGACTGTTTCCGAGTGGAAGCGGGACTGCTGTGAATATGCTTGGACCGGCGGAAGCTGCATTTGTGCCGCCTTGGGCTTGGTCGATGCTGATTTCGATGTCGAAGCTGGTACCAACACTGATGCCTTGGTTGTGGCTGCTACTTCTAATTTGGTTGCAAATGTGGGCTCTGGCCTGGGCGTGAGACCTGCGCTCTTCGTAGCCAGTGGCTGCAGCAGTTTGGCAGCAGGTTGCGGCTCCTCTTTGCTTGTCGGGGCGATGCTAAGGCCAGCAAACATCGCGTCGAGCTCGCTCTCTGACATGCCCGCGTCCATGAAAAATGGCTCAGCCGCCTCGCGCAGCACAGCCGGGTCGGACTCGTCGGCAATCATGCTACCCAGATAGTCTAATGTATCCTGATCCAGGGCGTTCTTCACCGAGTCCGGGGCAGCAGCCAAAAGTGCGTCAATCGACACCATATAAAGTTTATTAAAAATAGAGTAATATGAGGGTAAACTTTGCGATAACTGAAATGTTGAAAGAGAAAATATGTTTGCCAAGAGTGCGCTTCAGCGATTTATTTTATGTTGCACCGGTGAAGATATGGCTGCAATATCTTAGAGTGTGATGCTGCGGCAACGGAAACCGCAGCAAGTCATCAGCGCCTCGCGCATGCTCCAACTCTAATAACACATTTCTATTTTCAGCCGCCACTGTCGAAATATATAGAGGCAATGCTCTATATCGCTCAATATACGAACAATCCCAGGGGCTTACCCCGATTTGGTCGAATAATCGTATATCGTCACCACTCCAACGTTGTAGCTTTTGTGGCCCTGCGCACACTCCAGAAACACCCTCTGATGTCATTGGGGTTTTTTATTTCGCTAGACTAAGAGAATGTTTACGTTTACTTCACAGCCAATCATCGGCACTTGCAATTCGCTGGCGCTGATGCTTGCACTATACGTATGGTGTATGCGGCTTTGAGCTGGGGCTTTTCTCTCTCTCACTGTCAGTGTCATTGTCGGAGCAGATATAAAATCAATTAAATTTACAGACTCAGCTGGTCAGAAAAGAAGACCCAACTTTCGTATGATTTGGTTATCTCTCATGGCATTCCTTAAAAACAGTGTATGGAGCTTTCAAACTCCTTGCCCCTTGCTTTTTTTCCCAAGCAGCTCGATTAATTTACAATTTACTATTTTTTCGTTTACTGTCGCTTAGCTGCACTTTGTTTACTTCTCCGATATTACATCACAGCTGTCCGGCGCTACTCAGCCCACATCTTGGTGGTCTCCACTCTAAAATCTAACTAGTTTGCCAGCCAACATCCTCCCACCCGTCCTCTTTGTTTGCCGTCTGTGCGGATAGAGTGAGGAACATCACTGCCCACAAAGACAGAAATTCGAGGGCACAGCTTTCCTTTGCGCGCTTCGATTATTGTGTCTCAAGTGTGCAGACCTGCACCTATTTCTCTCGGGATTTTCGCCGCTTCCAAGTTCGTTGACTTGAGGGATAAAAAAATCTAAATAAGGGGGGACGCAACCCACCAACTACCGCAACAATAACATTAGCAAAGCAAGCCCAGGATAACCACATAACAAAAGGCAGCAACGGTCTCATTGCTGTTTGTTCTACTTCCCTTTTTCCTGTCCAACTGCTCCCCTTTTTGTTGTCCTTTGCCGACAGTTTATTATCATTATTTTTTTTTACACATCTCTCCTCCACACACACTCACTCACTCCACTAAACTACACTACACCACATCCATCTGCTCAATCACCCCACTAGCAGGACTAGTTTGTACTTTCAGAATACAGTGCTGCACCCACAGAAGCACACACACACATACACATACACATACACATACACACACACTGCGCGTGCGTCTTCTCACCAGCCGCCACCGCAGCATATAGACCAGTAGTAAGCAATAGCATCTTTGGCCTACCAAAATGGCATTCGGTCAGTACCAAATCCAAAACCAGAACCAACAACAACAGAACTCGCGCAAGATGCGGCGGTCCACTCTCATATCGGACGAAGAATTCGACAGCTCGGAAGGCGAGGATGTCCCCGAGTCTGTGGTCGGTCCAATTGAAATCCCCAAAGCGCCCTCACATCCGGAATCATCATCCCGGCATGGATCCACACCAGTAAGTTACAAGCGTTGTTTATTCCAAAACCAAATTGTTGAAGCGTGTCATGTTTCTGGATTGTCTTTTATTTATATTTATGTGGTGGTCTGTGGCTCTTGCGGTTTTTTCGCGCAAAATTTACGAGCAAAGGAGGGGTGTGTGTGGACGAGCGCGCATTGCGCTGTCGCTTTGCTCGGCCATTGTTCCCGGCGGGCTGGAGTTGATGCCCTATTGTTACTTTCATCACTCATGGTTTGATAATTTCATTTTTGGACCTTAAGCCGGACCACAAAAGACGCCCCCATTTTTCTTTCTCCCCCTTTTCCCGCCAACCACGTTTCTATTTCGTTCACCATTATTGACTTTACCTTGCATAGGCCAAAACTCATTTTAAAAATCCACTGTTGAACCTCAACACCTCAGCAACACGCATTTTTACTCATAAACACACACACACTTATCACACACACTTCCATACTCTCTCAACCCAATACAATCCTGCACACGCACACGCGCTTGTATAGGGAATGAAAGCGCCTTCTCACATTGACTTTTCTACAGGGTCGCACTCGCCGCGCCACTCTTTTGGCGGCGGCTCGGCACCGCAACAGAACCACATGCAGCAGCGCCTTGGGCAGCAGGGCCAGGCCTCCCTAGGCGACTCCAGGTGGCCGCCACAGCTATACCGGCAGTGGTTCGGAGCAATTGCCGAGGGACGCTCCATCCAGGTACACTCAATTCTGGCGGACCACCCTAACGTCCTGGATATGCGGCGAAAGGAGCCGACCCCGTTCCACATGGCACTGACACATATTGCCAGCGAGTGGCTAGGAAATGACACCACGGGGATGGACGGCCTCCAGGTTGCCATCATGGGATACAAGAACGCATATGCCAACTGGCGGCTGGGTAACGGCGCGCAGAGCGAGCAAATGGCAGGCATGTCTGCCGATCAGATGAAGGAGCACGTGGCAGTGAGGGAGGTTATCCTTGGGGCGCTCATTGATGCCATTTCGCCCGAACAGCTCGACTCGCATTTTTTTGGCCGCCAGCAGAACACCACTTTGCACCTGGCGTCGTTCTACAACGACGCCAACTTGGTCGAGCGGCTATTGCGGCAGGGAGCGGCCGTGGACATTTCCAACCGCATGGGCTTCTTACCCTCTGGGATTACTAACGACAAGCCCACTTTGCAGTGGCTGGCTATGTACCAAGGCCAGGTGCGCGGCACACGGTACCAGACCCAGCCATCACCGCCTCAGGAACACATGGAGCAGCAGCAATTTTACGGGACGGACACTGACGACGCGTATGGCCAGTATGACGACGCGCCCGGCAGCGACGGCGGCATTTTTCCAGTCTCTCAGCAGCAGCAGCAGAATTATGGACATGACCAAGTCTCGCAGATCAGTCTTATCGAGTCGGAGCTTCAGCTCGAAAACATTAGCCCCACCGACGACAGCGAACCATCAGAGTCTCCCTACATCAATAAGTTTGGTAATCGCTCCCCCAAGGACCTGTATCCGGCAATGGACGGCTCGATAGACTACAGCGACCACGACAGCGTGAGCGACGAGCAGAGCAACGATGGCCATGATGACGATCATGCCGACAATGTCTCAGTGGCCTCGTCCAACGACCGGCACAGCCTGGGACTAGGCGGCAATAAAATTGGCTTGGCCAAGAGCCCACATGAGCCCGTCCCCCTTCGCCAGCGAGTGCTCGACAGCCAGCTGGCACGCAAGGATGACGCTCGCAGCGCGACGGCAAGTATAGGCAGCGACACGGCCCACAATAGCTCCCACTCGCCATCAGTTTCGCCGAGCGTCATGTCCTACCACACGGCCCCTGGTGGCATGAGCGACGACGGGAGTGGAGAACAGGATTTTGAGGGTGCCGACGGCTACCGAGGTAACAGTGCGACCATCCGCATGAAGGTCGACCCGAATACCATCAACGACAACGACATTGACGACATTTTCAGCGACACGGACGACATTGTTCAGATGGAACCGTCGTATTGCGACAATGCCGCTGGCCTATCGGACTCGCACAACTGGCCTGCGTCACCCCGGCAGTCCAACTCGTTGGGCAAGCACACTTCGCTGACCTCATCAATGTCATCCTCAGGATTGATAACCATGCAGTCGCTTAACAAGGCCACACCACGGGCTTCCCTGAACGGCAATAATTCACCTGTGAGCACCATGATATCGGCGTTTCCGGTGGTCCTTCAGGATACATCAATGCAGCATCTGATTCGCGAATCTAACACTAAGCAGCATTCGGCTGTCGAGCAATTGAAGCAAAGCGAGTCTGCGGGCAAAGACTCGTCACAACCGCCGCGGCCCGCCAGCCCATTCCTATTACGCGACTCGCTATACGAGATGATAATGGGGCGGTCCTCCAGCAGGACCAGTTTGACGAGCGGCTGCTCTGCCAATAGCACTAGTATGTCGAGCAGCTCAACAATCGGCCTGTCTCGCGAACACCCGACCTTGCTCGGGCTGCAGCCCACCTCGCCGACTTCACCGACCTCAATGAACTCTCAGCTCAGCCCTGAGAGCACGACCTTTGAAGCATACTCCACGTCGCCGCCGCAGCCTTCCGAGTTTATGGCCAGCAGAGAGGTATTTTTGGAGGCTGCAGCTAGGCCGAGGACTCCATTGGAATCGTCTGCTGTCGCGGAGGACAGCGCTACCACCCTCACGGAGCCTTTGTTGGGCGGTTTGTCTCCAGTTCCGACGACGGGAGCCAGCCATTACCAAAGCTTCCAGACCACCGAGTCTGAGCTGGATTTGGTCTCAGACTCAAACTCGGACTCGGACTCGGACTCAGAAGCGGAGCCGGTCTTAGCTATGGATGATGCTGCCAGCAACTTTTTTGACACCCGCGCGTCGTCGCCAGTGCCACACCCGCGCCCAAGTGCATCTTCTCTGTTTTCGTTTATGCAGGATTCAGAGCTCGTTCCCGCCGAGAAAACACGCATATACAATCCTGAGCCTGTGCCAGAGACAAATGAGGACGAGGAAGAAGAGCAGGCGGAACAGGTATCTGCGAGTGCTGGCTATGAAGATTTCCCGCCGTTGGCCGACGCAGTTCTCAAGCCCGGAAGGATTGGAAGGCGCCAGGGCCGTGCAACAGTGGAAATGCTTCAGGATGACGACGTTTCCGGGTTCAGCTCTGAGCCCCAGTTTAGCTTTATACTGCCAAAGCTCAGCACAGAGAGCCTGTCAGACATGCATGCGACGCGGAAAGCTGCCAGCGAGGCTGAGGGTGAGGCCGAAGCATATTCGCCATTGCCAGGGATCCAAGAGCTGCCGAGCCTTCCGGACAATGTCCCGCTAACTCGCGACAAGCGCGACCAGTATCTGCAGACGCTGATCAACCGCAGTACAATGCGAGGAACAGGCTCAAGTGGGAAGCCTAAGGGCAAGCGGCCTGCACACGCAGCGATTACGCATGCGATGCGCGCAGCCTCTCCAGCACCGACCTTTGGCAGTGCAACCAATATGAGCAGTTTCGACGATGCTGACGATGCCGATGCTGAGGTCGATCATTTTGGTATGACCAGTGGGCGCGACAGCAGACATTCCTCGATGCGCAGCGACGGGCCCATTGATGCGCTGCATCTGCGGCCGACATCGCCTTATAACACGCGCGAGGCGCTGGCGGTCAGCGGCGCGTCAATCAACGGGCGCATCCGCTCGAACACCATGGGCAACCTGGGCACCCCTGCATTGTTGGCCAAGTCCATTACGCAGGCGCGTAAGGTTTCACCGTCCTTGACCACGCTGAAGAACCGCAGTCTCGTGTCCAATTCCACTGCCAAGCTGACCTCGCCTTCTGTGCTTGAGCCAACTTTGGTTGAGGCAAGCCCTATGCGCATGGCGACATTGAGCAATTTCGAGAAAAATCGGAGCCGTGCTATGAGCTCGCCCATGGAGCCTCGGCCGCAGTCGGCGCTCTCTTTGGCAGGCAACTCGGCGCGCATCGGTCGGGTCGCAGCGCTGTCGCAGAACTTTGAGCGCCAAAAGGCCGCTTTGGATCTGCCGCCCATGATTTCCATTCCCGGGCGAGCCAGCACGGGCACCAAGTCTGCTAAGAATGCAGCCGATAGGCTTGCGCTTGGTGCGATGTCGGCACCGCTTGGCGGCAAGAGAATGGACTTTGGCAAGCCGACCGCTCGGTCCAACAGCATTTCGAGCTCGCATGACACTGGTGCTCATGGCCAGGTCACAACTGCCGAATCATCGCAGGCAGCAAACAACGGCGAGAATCAGCATGAGCATGAACCACCATCGTCTCCATCTGATATCGGTGCTCCCCCTGGCGGCCTTGGCGGCGGCAGGGACAATGGCGGGGAGAGCGGCAGTGGCGAGTCAAGTTCAAACAACAGCGTGTCCGTCCTGGAGCCGATCAGCACCGATAGCAATGGCAGCAATACGAGCCATAGCAGCAGCGCCAGCAACACCCGCGGACTTGCGGCCAGCGCAGATCAGCACAGCGCCGACTTTGGCCCTGCGCTATTTGACTCGAGTGAGTTGGGCGGGCAGTTGGGCTCGTCGATATTCTCATCGGTCGATTTGCCAGTAACCGGAAGCCGGGACAGTCTGCCACAGTTTGAGTCCTCTTCTGTCATGAATGCATCGGCGTCCTCTGGTTTGCATGCGCCTGTGTCTTTGCGGCGTGATTCTGACGGCAGCCACTCGAACCGAGCCAAGGAGCTTGCCGACCGCCGGAAGAGTGGCACCCTCGCGCGCATTTCCAACCGCGGCCTGGTGAAGAACCGCAAGGCCCTTCTTGACTCTAGCGAGTCCAGTATGGCGCGCTCAACGTCGCCGTCAAAGTCATCGGTGTCCTCTTTGTCTTCAAAGAGCAAGCACAACCGTGTTCATTTTTTTGAGCCGGAAAAGAAGGCTGTTGACGCCAGCAGCCACCGCTCTCATGAAGTACTCAGCCAGTCGGTTTTGGACACCGCTGGACCCGCGACCAGCTCTTTTTTTGGCCAACAGGGTGAAGGGCGCAGCCCTCGAGGTATTGCAGCCGTAGACGACAGCATGTTGCTCTCTCTTGGCGACGCAGCAATGCATCTTGAGGAGTCGCAGCAGGCAGTTGTGTCTGCCCTTCACCCTGGTAGCCAGCTTCGAAACGCGTCATTTGTCGTTGATAGCAGTATTGGCCGTTCTGGTATCAATGCTGACGAGCTGCTGGCGCTCTCGTTGTCTGCGAATCATCGCGAGCTGGTGTTCAGAGATGTTGCAGGCGCCATCATGTCTCGTGGCAGCAGCAGTGGTGGCAAATCCAAGGCGGGAAGCAGTTCGGGCGAAGACTCGTTCCACATTTTGTCCTCCACTGATTCTGCGGGCACTCCCGGGTCAACGCCATTGGATAGTGTGCTGGAGAACACCAGCGTAGGGCTTTTGGCACAGTACGCCAGCAACCAGAAGCGCATTGACAGGGAGTACGCGTTTTCCAGCTACGAGCCGCTGTCCACCGCGTCTGATGGTGGGCCGGAATCGTGCGCCATGGGCGAGTCTTCGCGTCGGGCAAACGTCGGTTCTAGCCAGGGTCCTGAGGGATCTGACAATGTCGCGGGGCAGCTTGATACAATGATGCCTGTGCGCCCCCACTACGACTCGCGCGTGCTGTTTGGCCTGTCCACGGTGGATGAGGAAGATGAAAGCAGCCGTAACCAGAGCGTGGCAGATAGCGAGGCGTTAGCACAGAGGGGGTCTATGACTGGTATTAAGACCACGATGTCTGCCGCGAACGTAACCGCTGCGGCTTTAGCATTCAGCCAGGCAACGTCATCAGCGTCGGCCAGTGCGTCGTCACCCAACACTCGGCCGGTGGTTGAGATGCAGGAGCGCCGCCATCCCAATGCGTCCGTGGGCGGATTGCGCTCAACTCTTGCGCGGGAGCAGCACCTGCGGCAGTCCTTGACGTCGGTGTACCAGGGGCTAGGTCCGATGGGCATTCCCGAGATCATCGATGCCAGCACCGGACTGCCGGTTCCGGAAAGCCCTGTGCGGGATGAGTTTGATCTCTCTTTGACGGGCGCCGGCTTAGCTGCATTGATGGCCGACGATGACACCCATTCTCGCGCGCCGTCATATGGCTCGCACTCCTTTGATGCGAACCTGGTGTTTGGGTACACGTCTGAGGAGAACAACAGTACGCTGGGAAGCCGCAGCAGCTTTGGGCGCAGCGAGTTCAACAACACAAGCGGCCCCGGCTCATCGGCAAGTCGCGTGCTCTACATGCACCCAATCGACCAGCCGCCGAGCGATTTTGACGGGTATAACGGGGACAGCGAGACCAGGGCAGTGGATTGGGACTCACCCGCAACCTCAGGTAGCCGTGCTGGCGGCGAGGATATGCTCAGCAGCGCCATATTTTTGGACATGGGCAAAGCGCCGATGCGTAAGCTTACCGAGATGCAGCAGGTGCGACCGGCGTCCGTTGCGCAGACTCCTGAGCACATCACTACTATTGAAGAGCTCGAAGAGGATCTGTCTCCGGATGAGGAGCCGATTCCCGCAGCGTATTTCCTAGAGTCGCAAGATTTTGATGGCTACGTGACGTTGGGAAACCAGATGCTAGAGGAGCGTGAGGAGAGGCGCATTGAGCGGCGCATGAAGAGGGAGGCTGCCAAGAAGGGGCTTCCGCCACCGTTGCCAGAGGAGTCCCCCAGGGTTATGTCACCATTGTGGTTTGTTGACAACAGCTACGTTGACCCACTGCCGCCGCCGTTGATGGAGATGATGCTCAATGAACGCAACCAGATCATGCCGGAGAACACGATTGACGACCGCGTCAACGTGCAGCCGGGTAAGAAGCGAATTCTGGAGTCTGGGTCTATCTCGACGCTGCGTCTGCGTCAGGAGCTCGATGAGTTTATGAATGAGGACGAGCATGCTGGCACTGGCGGCGTCATCCCAGAGTCTGTTAGTCGAGGCACGATCAAACCCCTGGTCAAGCGCCAGCGTGTCAACAACATCTCGACAATGTTTGATCCGCCCTCGTCGGCAGCAGATGATTTGGCGCCAGTGAAAGAAGTGGCAGCGGAAGCCGGCGGCAAAGCGTATGGCACGCGCAAGTCTTTCCTGGACAGCGTTGAGATTCCCGTATCCGATATCGAGAGCGCCGGCTCTAGCGACGCCAGCCTGGTGCGCTGGGACAGCCTTCGGAACCTAGCAAATGAGGACGAAGCATTTGCGCCAATAATCTCGCAAGAGTTCCAGGTTCCTGGGCACAGATTCTACCGTGGGCCGGCTGCTAAGCAGCCCGGCACTAAGGCCGCGCAGTCCCAGCAGCCGCAGCAGTTACCTCGTAAGCGGCTTGTTCTGCGTTCAAAGGCAAAGACATTTTCCGAGCGTGTTATAGATGAGGTCAACGAACTCGATGTACAGATTAAAACAGACAACTACGGCACAATCAGCACGCACGAGGCGGGGCAGTTCGCCTACGAGCCACCAGCCGGCACTGTGCGTCCATCGGTGATTCCGCAGTATGTGTCGCAGCTCAACGGCGTGCCCGCCGGACCGTTCTTTATGCCACCCAAGGCATCAGCAAAGTCGGGGTATCTGTACATGCGCATTCTTGGCATTGAACAGATTGAGGACAAGACGGACACGGTGTACTTTGTCATTCGCAATGGCATCGACACGCTGTCGACGCTACCCGTTACTGTGGGTGGTAAAAACGGCACAACAATCAACCAGGAGTTCCGCATCTTGACCGATCCCAGTATCTCCATCACAATGTGGATGCGCTTCCGCAGCGATGCTATCATCTACAAGGGCGGAGGCAATATGGCCGGCAGCCGCCTGGGTGATGGCGGTTGTTTGCCACCGTTGCTGCGCAAGCTGATTCGTCGCAATACGCGGTCGCGCAACAATAGCCGTTGGAACTGTGCGAGCTCGAATGACAGCGTGTTTGACTTTGACGAGCGACAGACCAAGTTTGCGCCTGGCGCCAGACGCGATGGCAGGGCGCCCCAGGCACCCGGCTTTTTGAGCCAGCAGCAACACCAGGGAGTGCAGGGTGGTGAGTATCCTGAGCGCAACTCGAGCGTGTTTGCGAGCCAGACTCGGCCAGGCCAGCCCGGCGAGCCCAACGTCGACGGAGGCAACGATCAACAAATCCTGGAAGGATACAACGACCCGCGATCCTTGAACGCAACTCAGGCGCCGTCGAGCATTTTTTACGAACCCGGGACCGAGCGCATGGACCATTTGTCCTCAAACAAGGGTCTGGCCCAGGCGAGGTTCAAAGAGGAGACGCGTGGTGTTGCTGTTGTGCATGTGGGCGAGATGATCGAGGAGGTGTTTTTGCGCGGGCTTGTGGACTCGTGGGACGTCGAGAACGTGTGGGATAGCTGCAAGGGTGCGCGTCTGCAGCTCCAGCTGTTCTATATTCCCGAATGCCCGCTGTTCCGCGAAGAGGAGCTGCCCAAAACACTGTCCGAGTGCGAGATGGCCATGGAGGTGTGCAAGTTCCACAACCGCACACTGAACTCGGGCTACATGAGCCAGCGTGGCGGCGACACGCGCTTCTGGCGCCGGCGCTATTTCCGTCTCATTGGCGGCTTTTTGTTTGCCTACCATGAGGACACGAAGGAGCCGCGCTGCTTTGTCGACCTCAACGACGCCACTCGTGTTGTTGACCACCATGCTGACAAGGCTCGTCGCGGTATGCCCACTAGTCCCATGGCAAGCAGGCTTGGTAACGCTGACTTGGTGCTTTCGCCGCAGATGCGTCGCCGCCAGACGCACAAGCGCAACAACTCTGACCACACCTCTCGCGACGGTGGGATTGCTGCTGCTACAGCCGCCAGGGGCTCTGCCGAGCGGAGCGGCTCGCGGCACTATTCCTCAGGCCTCGGCTATGCGTCGGACTCGGAGCCTGCCGACACGGTGGACATTGCTGATCCGGCGCTGCAGCAGTCGACTATGAGGCGGCGCCGGAACCAGCCGCCATTGAGGGGCGCTGCGGATTCGAGGAACTTTAGCGTCAACTCGCGCGATAACCCGCTGGACAATGTTGTGCAGCACAGCTTTAGCATTGAGTTTAGAGAGGGTGGGGCTATTGAGTTTTACACAGAGTCCGAGAAGGAGAAGCGCGTGTGGGTGGAGATTATGAAGTGCGTTATCGGCAACATTCCGAAGATCCCGTCGTGGTTGATTAAGCTGCTGCACGCCGATGTGTCAGAGCGCATGGAGTCTGAGTCGGTGATGGCTTCGGAGGCCTCTGTGGCTACTAGTATCAGCACGCCCAGCTCCAAGTTCCAGGAGCTGACCCATCCGCACAATCTATACCAATAGTTTGCCCCATTTGTACGCCATTTTTTGCTTCCATTTTCCATTTTCTTTTTCGTTTTATGTTTTGATTTAGCGTCTTCATTTTTAATTATTTCCCCCTTTTTCATTATTCATTTTTCAAGTGTTTGTACGATTTGGAATGTTAGCTTTGCAGCAAAATTACCATGTCTGTTGGTCTGTTGACTGATAATTGGTGTTGGTGCTGATTTTCTTTTCTTTTAAGATGCTCTGTACTTCTCTGAGTGAAAAAACAGAGCTAGGTGGCCCATGCGAATTTCTTAGAGCGTGACCAGTGTTGATAAATGATTTTTTCCTAAAGATTATGTATTTTAATGCATTGGAGTTGTACAATTGCCATTAATTTACACATGTCAGCCGGCGGGTAAAAGTTGTTCCAACATAAATTAGCTTTATGAATATCTCGTGTTTTGGATAAAATAAATTATTTTTAAAGTCACAAGGAGATACGTTTCATGATGGAAAACATTTATCTTAAGGAAAAGGGGTCGTGGGTTTGTTTTGTAAACGAAGGGGATTTTTTTGGCACGGTCCAATTAAATGGCTGATTGTGACATGGGATCTCAGCACTGTGAAGAGCGGAGAATTTATTTTCTTGTTGGAATTTGACCAGCACGATAAAAATAATATATGAGATCAACAGCGACAAAGCAACTGCTTGTAACGCCGTGTCAAATGTTTGTAAAAAATACCTTATGTGAAGGTCTGTGCCGACACGGCAACGTTAAGTTTTTTTGGGTTGCTCTTTCTGGCAGCAGCTGACCAGCGGCCAATTTTTTTATGGATACGAAAGCTCAAAAAAATGTTTTGGACAAATGATGTGACAATTTATGTCTTTGTACGCAGTTATGTGTTTTCAATTGTTGCTCTTGTTTTGGTTTTATGGCCTGTGGCTGTGTTTTAATTAACCCTATATAATTATTTGAAAATAATCCACACATTGAAGCGATACTGTGCGCTGAGGAATATCTAAAAAAATAGACAAAGGTCAGCTTTAAGGGGAATTGAAGTGCAATGTCTTATTCAAAACAAATATGTGTAAGTCCAACGAGGCTTCAATGTATTTGCAATATATTTTGCAATAATTTATTTTTAGCCACTCTTGTTCTATTGATACACACCTCCCAAAAAAGTGTATACATTCAGCGATATAAAAAATGAAGATGCTCTGTAGTCAAATCGCTTGATCTGGTAAAAAAAAAATTGCGCATCGGAGGTGGGGGCGTATCGGCGCCACAATGGCAGTGGATATTTTTCCCCCTAATAAATATGGATACGAGCAGGCGTTTATTTCTTGTGTCTGTAGATGGCATGGCGATAACGAAAAGTGAAATAGAATAAAAAGGGGGTGGTGGGAAATCGCAAAATTTAAAAGTCAAATCGATCCAATCCAATTCAATCCAATTCAATCCAATGCAATCCGACCAGCTGCGGAGCACATGCAAAAGGAGGGGGGAATATGGATCTTTTTCCAAAAAAAAATTATTGTTGCAAACCAATCGATTGACAGCTTTTTTTGCCGCGACCAAGAAATAAAGAAAGTGAAAACGGGGGGGGGGGGTGTAATTACGCCTTCTTCTTCTCTCACCTCTCCTGCGAATCGGGCTAGATAATATAAAAAGACAAGTGTTTGGCATCTAGAACCAACTCTTTACAAAAAACATTATCTTTTTCCATTAAAATTAACCAAAGAACAAAGTCCAAGACACGCACTCTTTTTCATCTTCACTCATTTCTTTTCCTATCGCATAGCGATCTCTTGTGAATTACAATTAACAAACATCTAAATAATATTCTAGTTGAACAATGTCTGCTGTGCCTGCTTTCCGTTCTGTTCAGGCAGACTCTGCCGAAGTTGCTGCATTAAAGTCCAAGTCCAGTACGTATATTAAAATTTTTTCCTCACATATACTATATATGGCTATTTTTTTGTTGTTATTTGATTACTATTATTATGAGATTGTTTTTTGTAGCACTCATGTGAGCATTTTGTTTCGTTTCATTCCATTGTGTTTTCTGTCTTCCATGTTCTGGCATTGTTGTTTCTCACCCTACGCTAGCTTGCATTCCCATCTCCTGGAAATATCCTATCCAATCCAATCCAATCCAATCCAACCCCATCCGATAAGATATAAAGTCTTGTGTGCAATGTTTTGGCTTTTGACTTTTTACTTTGGACATTCAGATATCCCTGCGATCGATAATGCATCTTTTTTTATGGATTCAGGAAATGACAATAAAAATGAGATTTCGGATGTCTCTTGGTTTTTTTGTTATTTTTGTTTTTGGTGCGATTGAAACTTTGATAGCGCAATAAAATAAATTGACTGGCCGAATGGATGAATGTTGTTCTTGTATCCAGGTGAAATGAATTTTTTTATCTGATATTTATTGGTGGGGGAGAGGAAATAGAGCAGCAAAAGTTTTAATTTGGTTAGTTTATTTAGATTATCCGTCTCCGTCTGTCTCCGTCAGCGGTGTATATTATTGTTTTCATTGCATTTCCCCATTTGGGCTGTTGCTTACAAAACATAACACACAAAAAACTAATCCAAAACTTTTTCTCTTAACATTTTAATTATTTGGATTCCACATAGACCTCGTCAGCGTGTCTCTCGGGTCCAAGATAATCTCATTCAGCGACGAGTTCTTTGCCGAGGCGTCGAACCTGCTGAAGGATGAAGAAGCGGTATTTCTGCCAGATGTATTCACCGAGCGGGGCAAGCTGATGGACGGATGGGAGACGCGTCGGCACAACAAAAAGTACGACTGGACAATTGTCCAGTTGGGATACCCTGGTTCGATCTTTGGGTTTGACGTGGACACATCGCATTTCACGGGCAACCATGCGCCGGTAGTCAGCATTGAGGGCGCCAACTGCAGCGAAGACGAAGTTATCAGTGGTAAGGCGCAGTTCGAAGAGATCCTGGCTAGGGTTGATATGAATCCGTCGTCGCACCATTACTTTGTGTACACAGCGCCCACCAAAGTGTACACGCACCTGCGGGTCAATAACTACCCGGATGGCGGAATTGCGCGGCTGCGGGTGTACGGACAGGTTGTGCCGCAGGCGTTGGTCGTTAGCTCTGACGGGCTTGTGGATCTGGCATTTGTGGGTAATGGCGGCCGTGCAGTGGCGTGCTCTAACCAACACTACAGCTCGCCGTCTAATTTGGTCCTGCCTGGGCGCGGTAAGACAATGGGCGATGGGTGGGAGACGCGGAGATCGCGGACGCCGAATCACTCTGACTGGGTGGTGCTGAAACTCGGAATCCCTGGTGTTGTGCGGAATGTGGAGTTTGATACGAGGCAGTTTTGCGGGAACTTTCCGCCGCTGGTTACCCTCCATGGTACGGTCTCAGAGGAGGACACGCCGGCGGATGATGCGCGGTGGTTGGAGATTATTGGTGGTGTGCCACTGACTGCTGATAAGCAGCATTATTTTGAGGCGGAGAAGCACCACGGTGTTGCGTTTACGCATGTCAAGTTCACTATGTATCCTGATGGAGGAATCAAGCGCATTCGCATTAATGGCCGCCCGGCTGTGTCCGCCTAAAAAAGGGGAGGGGGGCTTGCAATTTTTATTATTATTGCAATTTTAATTTTAATTTTTTATTTGCTCTCTCTCAAATATGCACATGTTCACTTCAAAATTCATACATGCGTGTGTGTGCTGTGATCTGAACAAAATTGATTTGGTGATGTGACGTAGGTAAGGGCTCTCTCTCTCTCTGCTTACATAGTTGCAGTGTTAATTTACTTTTTTTATTTATTTATTTCCCCCCCCTCATTATTATTATTTTTTTTAGCGCCGCATTGCTGTTCTCTATTTAAAATTTGTATTAAACCTCTTCTTTTATTTTATTTTTTATTCTTGCATTGACTTTAATCTGTGGTCCTATCGAGCTTTTCCCCCCACCTCTTAATAAAGTAGTTTTTTTTTTTACAAAAAGGGAAATGGCCGAGTACCTGAGCAAAGCAATGGCTCTGGCGCAGGACGCGGCCAAGTTATCGCTGCGATTTTCCGAAGGACTAGTTGACAATGCTTTGGAGTTTGGGCTGGACACGCCAGGCGGGTTCTTCGACAACGCCGAGTTTAAACTGACGCAGGTGCGCAAGGAGCTGGGGTCCGGCACGGACAAGGAGAAAGTAGCAGGGCTGAAGCGGCTCCTAGCGGCGATCGCCAAAGGCCACGATGCGTCTGAGTATTTCGCCGATGTGGTGAAGAACGTGGCCTCGGGGAACCTCGAAATGCGGCGGCTCGTGTACATGTACCTATTGCGGTACGCCGAGCAAGAGCCGGATCTGGCGCTTTTGTCGGTCAACACGTTTCAGCGTGATTTGGCGGATAGCAGCCAGGTCATTCGCGCAATGGCGCTGCGCGTCATGTCGAGTATCCGGGTGCCGGTCATTAGCCCAATTGTTGTCATGGCTATTCGCAAGCTGGCCAACGACCGGTCCCCGCATGTGCGCAAGACAGCGGCGCTGGCGGTGTGTAAGCTGCTGCGGCTGGACACGTCGTTGCGCGGGGAGCTGGCGGTGGTGGTGGGCGGCATGCTGGTGGAGAACTCGCCGCTGGCTGTCGGGTCGGTCATCCGGGCGTTCCGCGCGGTCAGCAGCCCGGGCCAATACGACGCCGTGCACGTGCATTTCCGGCGCTGGTGCGTGATGCTGGCGCAGCTGGACGAGTGGGGCCAAGTTGAGCTGACCAAGCTGCTGACGGCGTATGCGCGCACGCAGTTCAGGTGCCCGGGGGAGGAGGGCGCACGGCTGGACGCCGACCACGCGCTGCTGCTGCACAGCATGCACCCGCTGCTGCAGAGCCGCAACAGCGCAGTGGTCATGGCCGCGGTCTCGGCGCTCTGCCACCTGGCGCCCGCCTCGCAGCGGGCGGCCGTGGCCCGGCCACTCGTCCGGCTGATGCGGTCGGGCCGCGAGACCGGCTACGTCGTGCTGACCAATATCCACCAGATCGCGCAGACAACGCCAGCGCCCTTCCACGCGCACGTGCGCAGCTTCTTCGTCACTGCGTCGGACCCGCCGATGACGCGGCGGCTGAAGCTGCGTGTGCTGGCAGCGCTCGTTGACCGGCAGACCGTCGGCATCCTGGTGCCTGAAATCGCCGGGTACACGCGCAGTGCCCACGCGGACACCGCAGTGGGCGCCGTTGGCGTCATGCTGGCGTGCGCACAGAGGCTGCGCGAGGCGACAATTGACTGCTTCCAAAGCCTGCTTCTGCTTGCGGCGCGCCCTGGCGTGCGCGAGGAAGTGGCCAATGCGGCAATGCACGCTGTGCGCGTGCTTTTGCTGGACGGCAGCGTGCGCGATGCGCAGGATCGCCGCGCAATGACGCTGTATGACATTCTGTGCTATTTGGCGCGCACCCTGGACAGGTGCCGTGCGGATGTGGCGCGCGCCCATGTGTATGCGCTGGTGGCTGAGTTTTCCCAGACAAAGTTCGGGTGCCTGCATGGGCTGGACGTCCTGCGCGCCGCCGTGAGGTCGTTCAGGGACGAGGGCCCGCAGGCGAAAATGCAGGTGCTGGAGCTTAGCGCCCGCCTGATGTGTCTGGCGCCGTGTGGCGGCCGCGCAGCGGCCGAGGCCAGGGCTGAGGCCGAGGCCGAGAGCAAGAACACGGCCGAGGGCAAGAACGCGGCCGAGAGCAAGAACGCAGCCGCTGCCAGTGGCCCTCTTGCGCCTGTGCTCGCGGAGCATCGCGAGCTCCTTGCTGGCCTGCACGCATTTGCGTTCACGCTTGCACGCTACGACACGAGCTTTGATGTGCGCGACCGCGCACGCACACTGCGCGCCCTGTGCCCGTTGGCCGGCGACGAGGCGCACGCAGAGGAGATGCCGCGAGTGCTGGAAATGGCCAAGGAGCTTATTGTATCTGCCACCACGGACATGCCAGCTGCAGCGGATTCACATGTGCTTGGCGCTGGCCGGTTCACGGTTGCGTCGCTTTCGCTTACGCTTGGCCGTCCTGTCGCCGGGTATGCGCCGCTTGCAGACTGGCCGCTTGAGAATGTGCGCGGCGTGGATCGGGGGGCCTCCGTGGCAAACCTAGGCCCTGGCCCTGGCTCTGGCCGCAATCTTGGATCTCCAGGCAGCGCGTCGATTGCCGGCGCCATATCAATTGCCGGCATCAGTGGCCGCGCACAGCCCTCTGGCGGCAATGCAGACTATTCGACGCCTCGCAGCCATGTCGCAAACAACGAGGAGGACCTTGACGCATTCTTGGACTCGATTGATGACAGTAGCTCGCATGCCAAGATGCAGAACTTTGCCCATGCTCAGCAGAGCTTGCAGAAGACCGCTATTCTGTACCACCAGTCCAACATATCGTCTGACTCGGAGTCCACCAGCGAGAGCGAAGAGGAAAGTGAAAGCGATGATGATGATGATGATGATGATGATGATGCTGCTCCTGTTGTGGGCGTTTCAAGCGCGGCCCTTGGTGCATCGGAGAGCAGCGAAAGTCGTAATGAAAGCAGCGGTAGCAACGACGAAAGCAAGGGCGAAGGAAATAGCCAAAGCGATGGCCAAAGCGATGGCCAAAATGAAAGCGAGGACGACGAGCGCAGGCCATTTATCCCAGCCGCGCAGACTAACAGACACTCGCCACATGCGCATTTCAAAAACTCTAGTGGCTCGCATAGCGACGACGATGACACCAGCTACCCTGGCACAAGTATGCACTCGCGCCCGCTGATTGAAGACACTTCCAAGTACTGGCAGTGAACCAAAATAAAACATTGTTATTGTTAAAAAATTAATAATAATAAAATAATAGGCTGCTTTTCCTTCACTATCCCCTTCCACATTAGCTCCTCTCCTTGAGCTGCCTGTACATGGCCTCGATCTGCTTGGCATAGTACTGGCTCGCAACCCTGCGCTTAAGCTTATACGTTGAAGTGAGCAGCCCATTGCCCTCAATATCAAAAGGCGTCATGTCGCAATACACAGCGGCGATCATCTCACAAGTGCGCAGCCTAGCCTTATTTCCATGCTGGTAAAGCACAACCTGCATAGCACTAATGACCTGCTCGTCATTGGCCAGGTACTCCACCGGGGCCGACTTATTGTCTGTAATCTTCTGCGCCAGGGGCAAAAAGGCATCCAGCACTGGAACAACAATGGCGACGAGCTCCGAGTGATCCGGATGATTAGTGATGAAAATATCATGGACCAGCGGATGCCGACTGTATATGGTCTCGAGATGCTCCAGGGGAACGCATTGGTCGTAGGGTTCGCCAATATGCACGACGTTTTCCTTCCTGTCGATGATCTCGATATTTCCATCCTCGTTGATCTGCGCCAAGTCACCGGTCGCCAGCCACTCGCCGTCAAGGGACACGTGGGAGCGCGCCTCATCCTTGTAGTATCCGGCAAAAACATTGGTGCCACGGACCAGGAGCTCGCCCCTAGGGTGCGGGTGCGACGATGTGAGGAATCCAATCTCCGGCACGTCCCTCAGACAAATATCGACGCCCGGCAAGGGCACACCGACATGCCCCGAAGTGCGATCACTGAGGAGACCGGCGGTCGCCGCCGCGCAGCACTCTGTTGCCCCGTAGGTTTCGAGCAATGGGCAGCTGATAGCCACACGGAGGAAGCTCATCACCCGGGCGTCAATCGGATCACCGCCAGAGATCAGAAGCTTCAGGCGGCCGCCGAAAAACTGCGCCATTTTGTTGCACACAAGCTTATCCCAGAACGAATGCTTGAGCCCGCCCTTCCCTGACTCCAATCTCTGGAGCTTCTGCTTAATCGCTGTGCGCGCCATTGCGCCGTTAATCCCGGGCGCGTAAATGGTGGCGGCAGTGACCCGATGGTAGATGTCATTGAAGAGGTAGGGGACACCGGCCATTACTGTTGGGCGCAAGCTCTGGGCGTCCTCGGCAATATGCACCATATCGCTAGAGAAAAACCCAATGCGCATGCCGCCGAGCATCCCTGTATACACGATGCTGCGTTCGAAGCAGTTTGCCAAGGTGAAGAAGCTAAGGTACGTTGCGTGGTACAAGGGCATTGCTTGGTAGAGTGACTTTGCCGAAAACACGTAGCTTCCATGCGTGCTCACCACGCCCTTTTGCGCCTCAGTCGTTCCCGAAGTGTACGCTATGGTGCACACATCGCCGGCGGTCGGGGGTTTAGGCGCTGAGGGGTTGGCATGTCCCAAATCCATCACGCTGCACATATCCAGGAGCACAATGTCCTGGGTTTCTGCATGCTTGTGCATTGTGCGGATAGAGCTCATGGAAAACCCAGCGGCTGCCGGGTTCTTGGCCTTTCCCGTCAGGGCATCCATCGATATAATGACCTTGAGGCTCGGTATCATGTGTCGGACGGCAAGTAGCGTCGAGATCTTGTCGACTGAGCAGACAATGACTGTAAGCTGCGCATGGTTGACTATATGCTCGACGCAGTCACTGCTAAGTGTATCGTAGAGGGCGACAGAGTACCGGCGGGATCGGAACCCGCTAAACTCCGCGATCACCCACTCAGCGCGGTTCTTTGAATAAATCCCCAGCGGCGTCTGTACTCCGCCAGAACCCATTCCGCGCCCCACGTATTTCTCAAAAACAACGTCCAGACCTTGTCCGAACAAATCCACGCTTTCAGCTATCTCTGTTGTGTTTTTCCACTTGTACTCTCCAAAATTATGCTTGGCTTGGTTGTAGTGGCGAGCGCCCAGGAAGGGGGTGCTGGGGAAGAGACTGATGGATCTTTGGAAGAGATCGTAGAGTGTGTGGACATTGGAGTATTCGTCTGGGATTCGACCATCGGGGTATTCAGGGTGACGGAGAATAGCAGAGTACCCGGGACGTGCGGAGTTTGGGATGACGTAGGAGTTGAAATGGTGGTGGCTGTTGTGATGGTTGAGGAGATGCTGGGGGATATGACTTTGGTGGTGAGAGTGGTGTGGGATATGGCTGCCGTGGTGTGGAATGTGGCTGAGATGGTGGTGTGGTTGCTGGGTGTACATTTTTTCAATATGAATCGTATGTGTGTGTGTTGTCAGTAGATCCAGAATAATATAAGAGTAATAAAAAAGTATTTGGTATTGAAGATACTTAGATAAGTGTGTGCGTGATGACAACAAAAAAAGGGATAGAGATGAAGTGTCCTTCTCCCACCCAGACTTGTTTATATATTAAAAATGATAGATCTTTTACATCATCAAGAAACCTCCCCCCCTCCAAACCGCATGCTAATTAAATTCCACCTTGACACACCTTTTGTCTCGGAAAAAAGAATGAATGAATGAATGAATGAAAAAGCAAAATGAAACTAAATCTGCCCAAAAAAAATTGTTCCGTTTTTTCCCCGTTATATCGCTGAGCCTCTTTATTTCTTTATCCGGCAGTTTTTGTTTCCTTTTGTTTTATTGTATTCCTGATCATACACACACACGCATACAAAAAAATCAATGCCGGCAAGTGGAAAAAATAAGTAGTAAAAGAGGGGTTTTTTTGGCTCTAAATTTAAACATTTGCAAAATACACCCATCATTCGGAAATACAATGACAATAAAGCATTGCGTTTTAGTTCATAAATAAACAATATCACAAGCCATATCGTATCGGCATATACAGCAACCCCGTTGGAAAAAAAGTACTATTTGAATCACTTTTTTTTTTGTTTGTTTTTATTTTTTAATAAGGACTATTATGTTTTGTTATTGTTTTCTTGTCCACATATCTTGTCTTGAAAATTATTTTAACTAGTATAATAATTTTCTTAAAGCTCTCTTTTTTTCCGAGTTTACTTTGTCTTTTTTGTTTTTCCTCCATGCGTACACAAAGAAAAAAAAAAGTAAACCCGGAAAAAAAGAGGGTCGCAGTGGTGGAAAGCATGCGTGCACATGTAAAAAAGGGAATACACGCGATAATCAACATTCCACACAAAATAATAAGAAAAATAAAAAGGTAAAGTGGCGTCATACCATGATCTAGTTTTTTTTCTCTGCAATGTCTGTCCACCTCATCCCATATCCAAGTTTCCCTTCTTGTGCTGTAAATCGCGTGCAACCCCAATGGTAACTGGCATATTTTGGTTGGAAAAATACATGGCAATATTTGTAAACGACAGTGAAAGAGAGGCTTGGAATATAATATATCCGACTTTTTTGTTTTTCTTTTCTCTGCCGGCAATTATTTGGTTTAATTGCGGTCTTTTTTAACCGTCTCAAAAAAACTGGCCGCTTGCATACATACAACAACTCAAAATGCACCGATGATTTATTGAGCCAAGCCGGCTGTGTAAATAATTCATCCGTTGAAATGTCGGAAATACACAATATCCAATAGCCCCTCAACCCCGGGTTTTACTAATAGTGCGAGAGGAACCAAAAATGAGGAACGAAAAAAATCCAAACATTAGGCACTATTTATTGGCCAAAAACATAAAAAAAGTATTGATTTAATTAACAAATTTACATTATTATATACTAAAGTCGATATCCAATATTCAATTTCCCCTAAAAAAACAGAAAATAAAAAGAAAAAACACGTGAAAAATAATTCATTAATCAAGCCTGATGGCTCACAACAGCGCTGCCCACAGGAACAGCAGTTGACTTGTGCACAGAAGAACCGACATCATTGTGGTCGTCACCAATGGCAATGGGCGAAGACGGCATGTCATCGTCAAGTGTGTGATGTCCATTAGATCCTGCGAGCTGTGGTGACGAAAACTCGACGCCCGCAGCCAACACAACACTGCTGGGAGGCGCACTATTTGTATGCAACTCGGAGCCAACAGACCCATCGTCCTTGTGGTACTCGGCCATATGCGAGTCGCCGCCAATGCTGCCGTCGGCATCAATGTCCATGTCCCCGTTATGAGACAGCCTGTCGGCGCCGTCAGCAAAAGGAACGGCCGTCAGCGCGGCAGCCACCGACGATGCCTCGGAGCGAGCCGACGAAGGCACGGCCGATGGGTTGGCTGATGATGAAGCAACAGCCGTCAATCCGCCGTAACTGCTGTTACCGCCCTTGTATGTCTCGAGCTCCTGCTGATACCGGAACATCTCACGTTCGTAAAGATCAAAGTACTTCTTTTTCTCCGCCTGCGACAAGTTCTTCCACTTGATTCCCATGGCCTTTGTCATTTCGCCGTAGGTCAGGTCGGTCCCGCGGCTGCGAATGTTGGGACGCTCAACCTGGCAGTACAGGACAAACGCGTTGGCCGGCCGCCGCGGCGCATTGGGGTCTTTCTCCATCCGTGGCTTGCGTAAGCCTGTCTGGTCGTGCGTGCTGTTGGCTGACATCGGCTGCGGGGTATTGGCCGAGCTGCGCGTCTTGTGCGGGTTTACGTTGTAGGGGCCGCGCCGACGCCCGCGACCTGTTTTCAGCGTGGAGCTGGCTGCTGGAACTGTGGCCGGGTGGTGGGCCTCATTTGGATCAATGTCGGATGCCGGCGGGTGTGGGAATGTGTCCTTGAGAGGCGCGTCGGAATCTGACTCCGAGTCGTCGTGATGATAGTTGCTGTAATGGCGCGAGTTCTCGAAGCGCTCCAGCAAAATGTTGCGCTCGATTTTCATCCGGCGCAGGCACTTTTCTGAGCGAAGCAGCTTGACGGCCAAAATTTCATTGTACTCTTCAAGCTCCTCGAGCTGGCGTTTCAAGTCGCGGCAACGATATTTGTGATGCTTCTCTACAGTGCAGTAAATAATACAGTGATTTTTGATAAGTAATTGCGCATTGTCGATGCTCAAAAAAGAAGTGAAAGAACAAGAGGGTAAGCAATGAAAGGTGTTGATGGACAGCAGACATGCATTAATTATTGTTGCGAGTGAAACGCAGGAAAAAGGAAAAAAGAAAATAGGGAATAGGAAAACGGGCAAAAGGGGGCAAGTGGTGTTTAGAAAATGTAAAAAAAAACAGGAAGTGTTTAAAAAAGGAAAGGAAAGAACATGTACAGCGCAGACAATGACAATAGATTGAGACAATCAAATGCATCATTACTATTAACGTCAAATGGCAAGAATAAAAATTTAAATAAAAAAGAAATGTAAAAACATCATCAGATGTCAGAGAATGCGCAAATAACAAGAAAAAGCAGTGAATGAATGCGTTGAAAGAATAAACGAACAAATGAGCAGCCTCTTTTTTATCCCCCCTTTCCTCCCACCTTTTTTAATTCAGAAATATTTTTAAAAGCGTATGACAAGAAAAAATTAGATTGCACTATTTCCCAAGAGAAAAAGCCAGTGGGTCGAGCACCATTAAAAAAAAGAAAAAAGTGGGATCTAGAGTAGTGAGTGGTGGTACAATATTATTATTTTATCAATAACTTACCATCAGCGGCGTCGCCCAGAGCCAGAGGGACTGATGAGGGCTTTGGCTTTATTATCTACATCAAATAATAATTAAGGAAAAGAGTATGGCCAAAAGTAAAACACATAATGTTAGTAAACGTGCGACATCATGTTTGAGTGTGCACAAAGTGGCGAGTGTAATTGAGCAGGTGTGCTTACCTTTGACATGCTAAAAGAACTGACGGTAAATGGTGCTCTTCGCTTGCGTGTATGCGTGTTAATGGTAATGTAAGGTTAAATAGAGTCACCCTGGCAAAAAAGGAGCGGTGTTATTATTATGCGCAGCTAGAGTCAAAAAATAAAGTGAAAAAAGAAGTTGAATTCAAAAACAAAGAGAAAACAGATAGAGATACGAAAAAGGACAGGTAGAAACACCCCCTATATATTATGAGCGAAAAAGGTGGGATGGATAAGGGGGGTGGAAAAATGGACAGAAGGGGTAAAAAAAACTAAAAACTAAAGAAAATGGTGGAAAGGGTAATAAAAAATTTTAATAAAAAATTTACTATAGAGTATAAAAAAGGATTTTTGATGAAAATTGAAAAAGGAAAAGATAAAAAATGTAAAATATGTAAAAAAAAAATTATTTACAAGAAAATATGAAAGGGGAAACGAAAAAAATTCTGCTATTCGGCGTTATGTTTTTTATTCTTTTCGATATTCTTCAGGGGTGGAGCGCCGCTTTAGCATCAATAATTTCCAAAAAATTGAGCTAGCTTGTCAAAGTGAAAAAAGTGAAGAAAAAATTAAAAGAGGAGCGACTTAAAATGGCTCGGTTTGAATTCCCCCTCTCCCCAAAAAAAGTAATCGTACTTAAAAAAAAATAGAACCAATTTCGTCCGCAAATGAAAAGAAAAAGATTCGAAGCCTTTGCTCCCTTCCCTTGTCCCTCTTTTTCGTCCTCTTTTAACTCGCTGTGCGTGAATGAAAAAAGTCAAAAAAGAGAGTAAGAGAGGGCCCAAAGAATGTGGTCATATTTATTCCTCTGTATCGGCTCCCACACTCTCTTGCTTCAATTTAAGCTTGTCGGCCACCAGCTGGGAGACCACGGCGACACGCGCAGAGAGCGACCGTCAGCGCTAGTAGTCTCAAAAACAACAGCCTGATCGGGGTGCGCCATGAACTGCTCGACGTGCTCAAGGCGCATCAGAGCCAGGCCGGCATTAAAAATAGCCGACCCGGCCTTGCCCGGCGGCACCTTGCGTGTGCGCGCAGGCCTCGCCTCCGCACCCTGACCAGAGCCCTGCTCAGTACCCTGATCAGCAGATGCAGCCGGCGCCACACGCACAATGTCGGCATGTGGCTGCGGCAGGCGCCGTGGGTCAAAGCCGCGATCGACGCCCCACGGATGGTCGCCGAAAATCACAGGCACGATGCGCTTGCGCACGACGCCCCGATGGTGCGTGCGGATGGTCAGCTCCTGACCGACGTAGCAGCCCTTGCTGAAGTGCACGCCGTGCATGTAGTCCATGTTGCACTCCAGGGGCACCGACACGTCGGGGACAAAGTCGTCACAGCCCTCGGGCACACCCTTCAGTATGCGGCGCAACGCGTACTCGCTCGCCGGCCGCTCCTCGAAGGAGGCCGGCAGTGTAGGCACTGTGAACTTGGGCAGCAGCAGCCGCAGCCCCATTCCGGGAGCACGGCTGTCGGCCAGCCAGACGTCACTGGCGGCCGACGCCTCCCCCCTGAATATCAGCCCACCGGGCGGCACGTGGCCCAGTGGCCGTCCGACATTGCCCACTAGCGCGGCACTGCCTGGCCCCCACACGTTCCAGACGCCAAACTCTTCGGACGCGTCGCGTACGGCTACCTGCGACCGCAGGCGGTAGAACTGCAGTGTCTTGAGGAGCCGCTCGCGTGCGCGCACGTCGACCTCAACCAGGAACACTGGGTGTGGAAAGTTCACGCCCATGTTTTTCGGATATATGAAGGCATCTGCGATGATGCGGCCTTGCGGCATGAGGAATCCTGTGAGCATGCCGGAGCCGCCCTGGTCGATCAGCGGCATGTTGTTGCACTGCATGCCCTGTAGGAATGCGCTGGCGTCGCGACCGCTGACTTCAAGCACAGCGCGCTTGCTCACACGCGCGAACTGGTCGCTGCCATCCAGTAGCGTTTCTAGTTCTGTCGGCCTCTGTACCCGCTGCAGGCCGCCGCTGCACTGTTTGGTGCTGCTGTGGAACGCGCGTCGCCGTAGGATTCCGGATGCTGTGCGAATCATGAGTGTGTGGGTGTATGGGTGAAGATAATAAAAGATAGCAGTGCTGAAAAAATTGAATAAGCAAAGCAGAACAAAAGGGGGGAAGAGTGGTAGCACTGGCAAAAATAGGCACGACCAGCACAATCAGCCGAATAACGGCTCGCGACTCGTAAGATCTCATAGCCGCTCATTGCATAATTAGAGCCCTCCAAAAACACAAATAGAGCTCAAGCTGGCTGCGGGGTTGCACGCCCATTAAAAAAATCAATTCCGTCGAATTCCACTTCTATTTTTTCATTTCCAAATTCGACTTTCGATTCTTTTCAAAATTCAAAATTCAACCCACTCGGGCCTTTAATCCGCAATGTCGCAGTCAATGGGCAAGCCGTGGCTGGTCAACATGTTTGCCGACAAAAACCTGCAGCTCGACGAGACCCCGAAGCGGGTGCGACGACTGGTCCAGCTCATAAGCATTACCCGACACGGCCCAGAAGAGGCCAAATACCCAGTGGTCTGCGAGATATCCGACAAGAAACACTTTATGCGCGCTATATTCTCTAAAGGAGCTCTAAAGTCCATGGAGAAGCTATCAAACCAACCGATCGAGTCTCTGCGCGGCGCAATCTTCCAGGTCGACGTGTGCGTCCCAAAGATATACGTCCCCGGAGCCGATTCCACCAAGGACCGCAAGTATACGTATTTTCCAAAGCATGTGCGCGACAATAACACTGCGCAGTTCTGGATGGTCATCAGCAAAACCTGCTATATGGGCGGCGAGGGCAACAACACCTTTGATGAGCCGGAGTTTATACATACCAATCGCTACGTCAATGAACGCTTGAGTGAGCTGGCCATTATCGTTTATCCGCAGCTGGAGCACACAGGCGTTGCGGAGCGCAGGGGCTGCGGTGGCTGCCTACTCGGCTCGCTTACTGCTGCGAGTCACACCAAGACTGAGGGAACTGGGCTCACTGGAATATCGGCCATTACAGACTTTACACAAAACATGGATCAAATAGACCTGGACGCCAACGATGTCTTTTCGTGGCGCGTCAAACACCCCGAGCTGCATCTGGACAAAAATTTCGAAGCAGAAACCACCGAGCTCTTTTTACACAAGAGGCAGCGGCTTTCATCTTATAGCTCACCCGAACGTGAACACGACTTTTCGCAATGTCCACCGATCGAAACCCAACGCACACCGAACACGCCATGCAATCGCAATGCCGCCACACAGCGCCAGCGACCACCCACAATATGCGATGTGCCCTTTGTGGCGGACATGAAGGCTGCATGGGAATGTGAAAACCTGTGGGAGTCACTATCCATACAATACACCAGCATTCCATTCATGCCAACGTGCACATTGAAGCCGCAGCCCCGGGGGCAAACACAGATCACACAACAACCACAGCCACGCACACGACAGCTGCAAGGGAACACTCAGCCATTAATTCCCAATCAACGCCCCTTTTTGTCACCATACAACGACCCAGGCTTCATCACATCCAGCTTTTCTGCGACCCAAGATAGCATTGTTAACCCTCCTACCAATGAAACATCGATGCTAGTGTCGTTGGCCAGAATCAACCACCAGGTCTCGTGCACAGAGAAAGTATACGACGATTTGAATGGCTTGTTGAGGCCCGCAGGCTCCAATTGCACCGACTCTAAAGAGGTCATGAGCGCGCTTTTTGGCGATATAAATAGCAGCAATCCGCCGACGCCTAGTCTTGACAATTTGGATGCCTCGGTCAGCCATATGTTGAGCGGCCAAAGCAGAGACATATTTGGTGCTGGAGATTATTGGGAGCAATCGCCCCAGGCTGTAATTAATCTTATGCCCACTCTCGATGAGATGGAGTAGAGTGGACATTGCCAATGGATGAGGGGTTTACTTGGTGGTCAATTGGGGGTTCACTTGGTGTTTTTTTGTTGTTTTACTCTATGATTGAAGGCATGGTATTGTAGCTGCTTCACCATGGGAGATTCCACGAATTTGAAATACCTTCTTTTTTCTCTCGACTTTTATTATATGATCTACATCAAGGCGTTATTAATTTTATTTTTTGTATTTTACGATTATTTTATTTTTATTTTGATGGTGGGTGATGTTTATGTTGTTATTGTTATTGTTTTGATTCATCACCAAAAGCCGAATGTTTTTGCACCTAGTCATTCAGCCATCCGTTCAGCCAGTGCCAAGGTGTTTATTAAACGAATGAGCGGCGGGAATAATTAAAATCCTCACTGAGTCCCTTGGATTTTCGCATTGCGTCTGTATGCAATGTGTTTAGATGACAACCCAATTGTTGTTGAAATGAAAAATATCAGGTAAAAAGGTAGCTAACTGGCGGTCTTTTAATAATTGATGATGTGCAGATCACTAATAAGGTGCTACTAATTTAAATAATTGCACGACGCTTTTCTTCACTTGTAAACAAATGATATATGGAGATCGCAAGGAAAAACAATTGCATCTTTATTAACAAAATTGTTTTCAAAGTGGAATAAAATTAGCATTTTGCTTTGGAAACATCAACAATGGATTTTCTTTATTTTTAATTTTGCGGAAATTGCTTGTTTCTTTATTGTTTGAATGGCTTTATTCTGCATTTTTCTCGGGAAAACAGAAAACCTCAAGTTGTAAAAAATAATATAGGAAGAAATAATATGCAATGGTGACGTATAAATGTAGAGCAAATAGCAAAGAAAAAACAAGTTGTGCATGAATGCACGACTTGTTTTTTTTTACGTTTGATATACACCTACATCCTTTTACACAATGTTATCTTTTTGCTTTTATTTTCTAAAAACAAATGCAAATGTGAATCCCCAAACAATAAATGCATTAATGGCAAGCGATACCCACGGATATATTTAAACCTGTTTTCATATTATTTTTGACCTGTTTTTAATAAAGCATAGAAAAGACAATGTATGAATATTTGGGGGCGTCCAATGAATAAACCTATTTTACAAGCAAAACTTGTGTGTTGCTTGCAGGCGTACACGCAAACACCTGCATCAATAACAAAAATTTTGCACATAGGCGCACACAATTTTTTTGCGACAGTAACAAACGTGGTGAAAATCAGGATTGCAAGGAAAACCAAAAATAAAGTGTAAATATGAAAATGTGAAAATAAATTTATTCGCTCATTCATTCATTGAAAGATATAAAAAACACGGCTTACACAAAGCAACCATGCATTACCTGTTTTTTTAATAAAATTTATTTTTGTCTGTGCGTAATATCTATTGGGCTCAGTATTTATTTCTTATTTCTTCTTTGCTGTTCGTTTTGTTCCTCTCTACTTCATTCTTTGGTATAAAAGCAGTACCTGGGTCGGCTATCCTCTTTTTTTATTTTACCATCCACATTGAATAATCAAGAAACCCGATTCAGCGCACTCCCTCTCATCCCTTTCCAAGACCATTTGTTCCTTTTCCATTTTACGTCAAGAAAATAATAATTATATTCAGTTATTTTTTGTGTATTTCATTATCAGCTCTTTTCTGTTATTCTCGTTGCTTAAATACATATTGGCTCAATTATTTGGTATAATTTATCATTACATTCTACAATGAACTCCACCGCCACCTTTTCCATCAGCACTGTGGTTGCCGCCACCGCGTTTGCCACCACCATGAATACCGTCGTTCGCCGTGATATCCCAATGCCCACTGGCCAGCCTGACAACAACTACGACGAGTCCTACTAAATACAAACTCATATAGTTCTGTATTCACACACCTCTTTTTTATTTTTCGACCTCCTCACTACCCGCATGTCATTTGTTTATATATAATCGCCAAATCCAAGTTTCTATTTCTGTCGAGCCAGAAAAAAAACTAATACCGTCTATTTTTTTATTCTTGGCTCTCATCGAGTAATAGCTTTTTAATTAATTATTTTTATTTATTCGCTCGTTTGTCGGAGCAACCATATTTTATTACGACTTTGGGCATCTCGGTCCACATATTACTGCTATTTTTTGTGGACGTGGGCTCGTTTTCTTCGTGAACGTACTCTTTCTTATACACAACACCATGCCATTGACGATGCCTTTTTTAACTGGAGAGCAAGGAGAGGTGTGGAAATATTAGCTCAACCTTTTTATATTATTTGTGGCTTTCTAATTTCTTTCTCTTTACTTTTTAAATAATTTTTTTTATAAATAAACAGCATTTTGTTTTGCATTTTGCACGCACACGCACACGCACACGCTCATGAATTCACGCACAGAAAAAACTAAATAGTAAAATCAAAAAAGTAATGTTCATTACGAAGCAGTGAGTGTGTATTACTTTTTTTGCAACTAAAAAAGTAATGATTTCCCCTAAATAAGCAATTGATCAAGCCTGACCTATACGTTTACAGTATTTTTCCTTATAAAGATCAAACACTTTTTACTAAACCTTGAAAACTCCACTGTTACAAATCCCTAACCCCTGGAGTAACCTTTGAAGTTGTATTTACGCGCTTACCTTTACATTTAGTTAAAATTTAGTGCGTTAACAGTGTCGCTAACATCTTTTTCCAAAGGTAGATAAAAGTCATCACGCATATATGACCTTTTCATAAGCAGCTAGCAGCAGACTACTCTTTAACCAAGCAAATATTTTTAGTACTGCTGCTGTTTTCCAGTATTTTGTTGTCATCGCCGATTAAGGATGGCGAAAAGTGCCATCAGGCAGACAGAAGTGGGATAATCGTGACATGGCTACGGTGCTTAACTTTTACATCATCCCCAGCGACCTGCTTACAGGCGAGCAGCTTCCCTGTTTCTTGCGCAAAAAGGCACCGCTCGAGTCGGCTGAACCCGAGTCTACAGTGATGTCCAAGTCTTTTGCCCAAGCCAAAGTCCAAGCTCAAGCACGCGCAATGGTCCGTCTGTCCCTGCTTTTCTTTTCAAGAAGCAGCGCAATGATCAATATTGTCAACCATAGCGGGTTATTGCCTCTGGTTTCTAAGAATGTGCTGGGTTGCTATGCAATCTGGATGGGAAATATCTCGATTTGCAGGAGATTTGAATTATTAGATATTTGTAGCCTCATTCTTTTCTTCAGTGTAACCTGTGCCTGATTTAATTCAATTATTTAAATGATTAGATGCGCTTTTCAATTACCATGTGGTTTGAAGAGAAAAAGCGCAATATAGTGTCAGGCTCTTTTATTTTATGATTCTTAATTTAATATGTCGACCATCATTTGTAATATTTTGTATCAATTATTTGTTTCGGCCTTATTCAAACAATATTGTCTTTTTACAACATTGAAAAAAGTACATATAGCAAGTAAAAATATCAAATGATCACGGCATATTTTGATTGTCAATGGATACATTGGGCATTCACACGGGAATGCATTCAGTTTCTTATTGTCGCATTTTTAACAAAAAAGTAGATGTGCAAAAAAGGGCAACAAGTAGTTGTTGATTTCCTTGACAAAATAAGTGTGGCGGCACCGTATCGACACAAATCTCAGGATTGAATGAAGGTGCGCTGTGTATTTTATTTGAAAGTGGATACATCATGTGTGTATAATAATTAAACAGGCGTAACAACAGGCAACAATTTGGCTTTATTCTTACGCAAGTAAAACAGTGTACTTTTTAATGCGGCGATGTAAAAATTTTTGAACAAGCCAGTGTTCGTTTGCTCAAGCATCCAGGTTTGACAGGTATTATAAAATATAAATGATTTTTGTTGATTTTCACTTGTCGTATCCATTACGTTTTTATAAATATATCCTTATACTTTCAACTTACTACTTGGAGTTGTTACGCTAAAATAAGCTTATTTTTTGACATACCAGCTTTGAATTTACATATTCACTTTGAACCCTTACCAGTCGATATATACAACAAAGATGAAATTTTTTGTAGCTGCCATAGTCTGCATGTTTGCTACTGGAGCTCTTGGAGCACCTTTACTGGCACCGGTAGATGTTATTACTCAAACACACTTAATTCAGCCTGGCAGAGATTGGCCGGTCAACCAACATGGAGCTGGCGGTGGGCGTCAAAATCCATAAAAATATATATATTGTTCCAACTTGGCATAAAGTAACAATATACTATTAAGAATGGCAGCAGTGGTGACAATGCTTGATATCTATTCTGTAATTTCTCATTTTATTTTGTCTTAAAATATTAGCATTCAGTATTTTAATTGGCCTTTAATATATTAATTGTAACCCTGATTTATGTTTTGAGTTTTTTGCTTTTTTGCTTTGCTCTTTGTTTTATGAGCATGCGGGTGTGCAAAAATATGACTGCATAATTAATTATGATTTTTGCTGCAGTAAACACATGATACAAAAAATATATTAATGGGTATGAGGGCATGAAGCCTTTAATAAATGGGTTTTCCATAAAGTTTCGTTGCTTTTTCAGCTATCCTGTAAATATTTTTACGCCAGGCGCTTTGAATAAGTCAATAATTCTCTAGTTTCTCAAATTAATTTTTACTCCTATTCATATCTTTTGCCACTCCATTTTATTGCAAATAATTTTAGCGTATATGCTTTTTTTACATTTTTGTTGCCATGTCAACAGATCATCTCAATAATATACAAATTAACCTTGCCTTGATGAATCAATTTGAGAATGTCATTTTTTTGAAGTTTTGATGGTGGAGCAAGCAAAAATTGTCCAGCGTGCAGGCGGCCGTGCTGTCATAGTTCAAGTACCCGAAACCCCCGGGCAGCCTGCTAGCATGGAAGATCCGGAAATAATAAAAGAAATCGTTGACGCCATTGCCATACCTGTTATTGCTAGGGTGTAAATTGGACATAAGGTCGAAGCGTAGATCATGGAGGCAGTCAGTGCAAACATTATCGACGAAAGTGAGGAGTTGGATTCTGGCGGTGATGATATTATATGGATTGACAAAACCAAATCTGTGACTCCATTTATATGCAGCACATCTAATCTGGATGAGGTTGTATGCGCCGTTAATAACGGGCGGCTATGGTTCGTATTGGCAGCTGTAATCAAAATAATTCGCTCAAGGTTGCTTATGCATTGAAACACATCAAAAATTTTATAAAGTTAAAAGAAGCTTTTGAAATGAAAGCCAAATTAGAAAACATGCCCGACAGGCCTGAGAAAGCTACAGCCTTAGCAAATTGCGACAGGGAAATTAATTACATTATACCTAGACCCGTTTCTTCCATGGCCAACATTACAAATTTTATTGCTCAGGATACTTTTCCACTGTTGTCTTTTGCGTCAAACTTTCTTTCCACGCCAGCTGACGCAGCCTTGTTAATGCAATCCGACTTCAATGGACTATTCGTGAGTGAATCAATTTTTCGGGCCATGAAAAACCACTGAGATATGACAACTTGATTATCAAGGCAGTTGCCAACTTTAATAATCCGCGCGTTTTAGAGGGAATATCGGAAAGCCTGGGCATGTATGCATTCAATTAAAAAGCAATTGTTTGTGCCCATGCGCATAATTTATAAATTATATTTTATCACTTCAAATATATCACTGCTAATTTAATTTTTTTGGTTTTAGAATCAAGCGCAAAGCAATTGCCATTCTTTAACATATGTCACGTTATTGACAGGGCTGAGCTTTGTCGCCTTTCTTTTTAATGAAACCTCTTTTTAAAAAAGTTCCATTGTATCGATCCGCTTTTAGCGTCTTTTAAAGTTTTTGGTTTCTTTATACCAAAAATTTTTGATACAGGATACTTCACAAAAGTTTTAGAAATGGATGGCTGTCCGGTTTGCATCCATTATAATATATTTTTTGTTCAACTTTTCCAACTGCATTTTGTTTTACGACATTTTTATTATATTGATCTATCTTTATTTTAGCACACACATTTTTCTCTATTTAAATTTCTATCACGTACACTTATTTTTCGTTAGCATCTTAACCATGAGCCAAGCTTCAGCCGTTAATAAAAACCCGCTCAATACCATAGAAATCAAGCGCACCTTGATGAAGTTGTTCGTGGGCGGCGTTATTTTTGAAGTGTCAAATGTTGAGCAAGCAAGAATTGCCGAGCGTTCTGGCGGTCGCGGCATTGTGCTTAAACAAGAAGATAACGATGGAGTTAACCGCATGGCAGACACTGGCAAAATAAAAGAGCTTGTTGACGCCGTTTCTCTACCCATTATTGGAAGGGTACGAATTGGGCACACAGTCGAAGCGAGTCTTATGGAAAGAGCCGGCGCAAACATCATTGACGAAAGCGAAGCATTGGCCTTTAGGGAGGGGGCCACACCCATCGACAAGAACAAACAAGAAACTCCATTCATATGCGGCGCATCTACTTTGGATGAGTTATTTAAGGCTATTAACAGTGGGGCAGCTATGATTCGTATTGTAGGTGACAGTGAAAATGAGGACAATGACAATGCACTCAATCTTATTCAAACTTTGAAGAACATCTTGGAGAATAAAAAGATGCTCATAAAACACTTACAAGCAAAAGTCAACATTGAGGCTATGCCTATACTTCCCGAAGTACCCGACGATAACGGTGACGTTGAGGAAAGCGAAAGAACAACAAAGCTAATAGAAATCAACGAAGCAATTGAGGGAATTATTTCAAACTCAGCACCTGTTATGGAAAATATTAAAAAGTTTGCAGCTCTAGACAAGCTCCCAGTACCCATATTTACAACCGTCACCCATCCTTCGCCAGCCGACGCAGCCATGCTAATGCAGAATGGCTTTGATGGTATAACTGTAAGCGAGTCAATTTTTACGGGCCATGCAAACCCATTGAGATATGCCAACTCGATTATCAAGGTTGTCGCAAATCCCAAGAACTTGAACATACTGGCAGAGGTGACCGAGAGCATAGGCATGTATGCATTCAACAACTAATAATGCGGTTGTTCGCGTCCATGTGCCTTGCAACGCTATTTTTAAGTTCTTTATTTGTTTCGTTTATTTTTCAATACATTTATTTCCCATCTCACCCAGAACGATGAACATCCTACTATATCAGAAGCAATGTCAACATTGTGTATAACATTCAATGCATAACATAACACTACAAATATAAAGACATACCTTTGAAATCCTCAAATAAGCAGTTTGTTAGCTTCTATCAACATACCATTCAGTCAAACCAGTCTAAAAATAACAGCACTAAACTTAGAACGATAAATATCGTAAGCACCCATTTCCGAGCAGTCGATTGGTGCTTGCGAGCAGAAATGAGATAATCGTTGCCCTGGCCCACATCGTCGAGGGCGCCCACAGCCTCGTTGTACAGACGCTCCGTCTGCTGCATTTGGGCATTGAGCTCGGTGGCTAGCTGCGATTGCAGTGTTGATATCTCAAGCACAGATCTCTGCGTGTCTCTGATCTGATCGAGTGCGCTTTCAAACTCTTGTACCATGTTGTGGTTCTCCGTCTGCAACATCTCCAACTCCTGCTGGGACAAGTGGCTCAGCATCTCGTCCTGTTCGCTCCCTTGCTTCTCTGACACTGTGGCTGCACCTTTAGATGTCATCTGTTTGGGCTGCTGCTGAGAAAGAACACCTCGCTGGCGCTCAAGCTTTTGGCGCAGATACAGTTCCTGCATCTCGGCGTGAACTTTGTTTGTCTTTTGCAGCAGCGAGTTGAGATACCAGATTACCGAGCTCTGGTGTGCGGTCACTACATCTCGTTTGGAGAGCTCCAGTGGCAACCCGGGTTGACTGGCCAGCTCAGTCATATCGCCGGGCAACTTTCCAGCCTTGCGGGGATCCAAGGCGCCAACTAGCCGCCTAAGCAATATCTTTGCGCCCTCAATGCCCTGGTCATTGCTGTCTGTTATGGCGTCCAGTGTGGCCTCGCCGAGTTGCGTGAGGGACTGAATCTTTCCCATCATCTGTCTAACAACTTGCTTTATGCCGCGGTCAATTTCGTCCCGTTCGGGATCGGACAGCTTTACAGCGCTCTGGCGGCTGAGTCTATGGAAGTCGGTGGCCGGCCGGCGTGTCTGCTGGCGGCTTTGCAGGTTCAAGTACGCTGGCCGAATTTCGACAATTCTCTCGCGCAGCGCCCGCAGGTGCTTGGCAATGATGTATGCTTCGGTCAGGAAAGCATTGTTGGCAGGCTGCAAGAAATTGGGGCGTTTGGGTGGCAAAATATCGAGGCGGCCCGTGCCCTTTTCTTTCTTTGGTAGCTGGGCCTGACGCTTGGTGGTCTCTTGTCTGGCGAGCTTGCGAAAGTCGCTCGTAATGTCCATCGTGGAATGTAATAATGAACGAATGAACAAATGAACAATTGAAATGAATGCAAGAGTTTTTACTACAGCAGGTGAATTAAAGCAAAACAAAAGCAAGCAAGCAACGAAGCGACATTTTGACCAGGTAAAAATACCACTTTTATCTCTGTGACTCTGTGGCTTTGTGGGTCTAGCTCTAACTCTGACGTGGCAGACGAGTTTGTCACGCGTTTTGTCAACGATATTTTTCTGTGCTTGGCGGCAGCATAAAATCTTTTTTCTTTTTTCGTGTTTCTCGTTGCGCTATTCGCTCTTTTATTTTTATCCCTTTTTTATCGTTCTCGTTCTCATTGTCAGTGTTGGCAATTACCGTTCTTTTGCTTTTTACTTTGTTTTCGCTTATTTAACCTTCTTTATTTTTCCTCTTTAATTTGACACGCACGCACTCGCTCACCCACACTCACTCACGCACCCACACAGGTTTATACATTTAGCAATCGGTCATGTCAGATATTAGCAACGCGCGAAAAAGACAGAGAGAAGACCCGTCCGAATGTCCCCGCCGAGTGTCCGCAGCCTCGCTCAGCGCCATTATCAACCCAGACCCGGAGCCGCCAAAAGTCATTTCGTCGCCGACATTCCAGCAGACCGAAGCCAGACCGCCAAGCCCGCTGCGGCTGGAGACCAACATTTTCGGCACACGGCCGGCCGAGGATATTGTCCGCGTGGTTGCTGACTTTATGTACACGCATTTGAAGGATAGGGCAAACATTGAGATTGAAGGCAAGCTGGGCCGGCTGGTGGACAGGAAAACGGGCGTGCGGATCAGCCTGCCTGTGTTGAGCGAAACGGTGCTAGGCGACGACAAGAATCTGCGGTTCGAGTCCAACATGACGCTGTCGCAGCATGCGGTGTTTAACAAGATACTGAACCAGCGCGTGGACGAGACGCGCCGGCCAGAGTTTCGCGGGTCCAGGGTCGAGTACAAGCACACAAAGGAGATTGATCATTTTTACAAGGTGGACGGCACGCGGGTTCGGGTGACCACCGATAAGGAAAGCGGTGAAGTCCTGTCGGTGATTACGAAGAACCGTGTGGCTGACTTGAACATTTACTCGCCACGCACCAAGCTGGACATTCGCATCACGATCAACGAGGAGCAACCAATGGAAAAACCTGATATGGAGGCAAATAAGCCGATTCTGGAGCGCCACAAGGATCGGCTCTCTTACAAGCAGGACTTGTGGAGCTTTGATCTCACACAGGTCGTCAGTCCTGAGCAGGAGAAGGGCCCTATCAACCCCTATGCGATTGGCCCGCCGAAAACATCGCCCGCTGTAACCACCCACGAGCTGGAGCTCGAGGTCGCCTGCCCAGAGGTTTGGCTCGGAGAGCGCGCCAAAGTGGCCGCCAACAAGCCAAATAACTTTCATGAGATCACCCACACGTTCTTGGGCAATCTGAGGGCCCTGGCCAAGCGCGCCATCTGAGAAGAAAAAAATTATACTAACAAATAAACAAAAACAAATCTCTCTATGCGACAATTTTTTCTTCGTTACAATGTAAGATAATGCCAAAAAGATTTATTAATGTATAGAAATTGGGACATAGCATATTTTTTCAATGGGCACGAAAAGATGCATAGAACAAAAAGAGGATTGCTTAGTAGCGGTAATCGTCGCGCTTGTAGGGGCCGTTGGTGGGGATGTCGAGGTAGTCAGCCTGGACGGTGGTCAGGGTGGTCAGCTTGACGCCGATCTGGCTAAGATGGGCACGGGCAACCTCCTCGTCGAGGAGCTTGGGCAGAACGTGGACGCCCAGGGGGTAGGCGGAGTTGTCGGTCCACAGGGCGATCTGGGCGAGCACCTGGTTGGAGAACGAGTTGGACATGACGAAGCTGGGGTGGCCAGTGGCGCAGGCCAGGTTGACCAGACGACCCTCGGCGAGCAGAATCACGTGGCGGCCGTTGGGCATCAGGTAGCGGTCAACACCAGTCTTGATGTTGACGTGCTGGACGGCGTTGGCCTTGAGCCAGCTGACCTCGATCTCAATATCGAAGTGACCGATGTTGCACACGATGGCGTCCTCCTTCATGTTGGACATATGGGCGCCGGTGATGATGTCGCGGTTACCGGTGGTGGTAACGAAGATGTTGCCCTCAAGGACAGCCTCCTCCATGGTGGTGACCTCGTAGCCCTCCATGGCAGCCTGCAGGGCGTTAATGGGGTCAATCTCAGTAATGAGGACGCGGGCACCCATACCGCGCAGAGCGGCGGCGCAGCCCTTGCCGACGTCACCGTAGCCGGCAACAACCGAGACCTTACCGGCGATCATGACGTCGGTGGCGCGCTTGATGCCGTCAATGAGGGACTCGCGGCAACCGTACAGGTTGTCGAACTTGCTCTTTGTGACGGAGTCGTTGACGTTGATGGCGGGGACCTTCAGCTTGCCGTCAGCGAACATCTTGTAAAGATGGTGGACACCGGTGGTGGTCTCTTCGGAGATACCCTTGATGTCGGCCAGATACTGGGGGTACTTCTCGTGGACAAGGGTGGTCAGGTCACCTCCGTCGTCAAGGATCATGTTCAGGGGCTTGCCGTCCTTGAAGCAGGACAAGGTCTGGTCAATGCACCACAGGTACTCCTCGTCGGTCTCACCCTTCCAGGCAAAGACAGGGACGCCAGTGGCAGCGATGGCGGCGGCGGCGTGGTCCTGGGTCGAGAAGATGTTGCAGGAGCTCCAGGTCACCTCGGCACCAAGAGCGGTAAGGGTCTCGATAAGGACAGCGGTCTGGATGGTCATGTGCAGGCAACCGGCAATGCGGGCGCCCTTGAGGGGCTGGGAAGGACCGTACTTCTCGCGGAGGTACATGAGACCAGGCATCTCGTTCTCAGAGAGCTCGATATCCTTGCGGCCCCAGGCGGCGAGGGAGATGTCAGCGACCTTGTAGTTGGACATGATGTGTATTTTTTAGAACGAGGTGTTTGTGAGGAAGGAGGAAAAACTAAAAAATGAGTACAAGAGAAAAGAAAAGAGAAAAAATTTGCTTTGGGATGCGAACAAGTTTGGGAAAAACCGCAAACATTTATATGCGTCTGAGGAAAAAAAAGCTAAGCCCAACCCTAGAGACATCTAACAGGCAACTGTTTTTTTTTTGCAGACAAGGATTATCACACTGGGACGAAATGTTAGTCCCAAATGCGCACTACCCACGCCTACACCAATCAGTGAGCGTAGTGGCCATTTTTTATTGGGGGAGCAAGCACGAATAGGGGTTGATTATTTATTCGCTCCCACCATCACAACGCCGCTCCCAAGCCCAGTATGTAATCTCTGTTGGGCTTGGCGGATAACAATGTGTAAAAAATTTTAATACCTCCCCAAAGCAGCGTACCCGCATGGCTTACTTTGATTAACTGTAAGTGGGAGTAACAGGGGGAGTGCGTGAGCAAGCATGTGAATGTGAACGCATCTGTAAATGTGAGTGTGATGTGCAACAAGAGGCAGTTCTAGACACTGCTACTACCAGTGAGAGAGTAGCAGACAATATGAGCGCGGATTGGGGGGCAGGCAGGATTGGCCGTGTGATGAATTGTGCAATGCAGTAGATGTGCGCAGCAGGATGGGGGAGCACTTGTGAATGTAACGCAAGCGGCGTGGTAGTAACACTATATGTTCACAATGTTATGCAGCTCTAGGCCTTTGGTCTTATAGCGTCAAGGTAGTTTTCCTTAAGCAAACAAAATACATAGTTCAATATAAGGCTCTATAAAACGCCGCAGTTGCATCGCAGCAAAGTCTTGCATTGGGACATTTTCAGCTAATTTGATCAGCGGTTTGCGATTGGGATCCCTTTGGATTAAATCGTCAAAGTGAAGCAAAGAAAAGAAAAAAGCAATACTAAAAACAAAGCGTCGTCACTCCTTTTTTCACAATTGAATTTTTTTCAACCCTCTTTTACAAACTAATTCTGACAATTTCCAACTTTGTAATTCTAGAAAACATAAAACAGCAAGATGAACAGCGGACTTGCAATCAGCCATGACGAAAAACAGCAGTTTCAGCAGCATTTCCTCAATGCGAATCCAGTAGATGGCAGGCTGCCGGGAGCCGTGGCCCGTCAGAGCCTCATGCAGTCAGGTCTGCCGACACAGCAGCTGGGGCAAATTTGGGAGCTCGCGGACATTGATAAGGATGGTGCCCTGGATTTTGACGAGTACTGTATTGCACTGAAGCTGGTATTTTCATTACTCAACAAAGTCATTCCCAGCATTCCCCCATCTTTGCCGCCAACACTCATTCCGCAGAGCAAGTACGCGTACTTTGCTGGAAGCATGGCCAATGCACAGCCGCAGCAGCCCCAATGGCAGCAGCAACAAACGCAGCAGCAGCAGCAGCCGCAGTTGTTACAGCAAGAAAGTGCCAAGTTGGAGTGGTATGTGCCAGGAGAGGACCGGGCTCGGTACCAGGGATTGTTCGCACAGCACTCGCGGGGCTCTGCGCAAGTGCGTCTCCTGGACATTGACGAGTTTCTCAACTCCCTCGGCACCCCGCGCTCCGGGATCACGCAGGCCTGGAGCCTCCTGGACGTGCGCAAGTACCAGCAGCTCAACCAGGAGCAATTCATCTACCTTCTGCACGTACTCAACGCGCATATGCGCGGTGCGCCTATCCCAGCCACGCTGCCGCCGGCCGTCAAGGACAACCTTTACAAGTCGCTTAACCTCGATTCCTCGGGGGCTGCCGGCAGCCCGGAGCAGTCGTATGGATACCGGCACAACAAGTCTTCGGCGCCAGTAGCTGATTCGCGCAAGCCAGGGCTGTATGGCGAAAAGTCAGGGAACGTGGCCTTGGCCGACAGCTACTTGTCCAAGCTCAAGACGTCGTCGACATTTAAGAACGAAGCCGGGTCGCGGTACGCCTCGTCGAGCAAGAATGCTGAGGAGGAGAAGAAGCTGCGCGCGGAGCTGAAGGGGCTAGAGGAGGAGTTTGAGCGGATTAAGACCCAGGTCGGACACGATGATCAGGGGTCACGCGATGGAGACCTTATTGAGGCCACAGTGAAGGAGCTGCAGGAGTTCAAGGAGTATAAGCTCCAGGAGAAGCGGCGGCTCGAGACACAGTCAGTGGGGTCCAGTGGCTCCAACGAGTCACTGCAAGCGATCAAGGAGTCGTTATATAGCCTTGAGGGCCATCTGTCGTTCTTGATGTCGGAGAAGCGCGCCATAGACGAGTTTATCAGCGCGGGCAAGCAGGAGCTGTTGGAGTTGCAAGTGGAGCAGATCAAGCTCAAGTGAGTGCAAGCACGATTGTTTTGAAAATGTTTTTGTTCATGTGTTTACACAATTCCTTCTTTTCTCTTTTTCTTTTTATTTGCCACAACAACAACGACGATAATAACAATAACAACAGCCGACTGATTTCGATAAATGGTGCGAGAAAATGACGCATGTGTGCCAAATGAAAAACAAGGACATGGAGACGACAGAGATAAGGTAATGTGTAATGTGACAATTTGTGAAAGAAAGGAAACAATGTAAAAGAATATAATGTCAAAAAAATGCCGCGGAAGATGCTCTCGCGCAGGTACGCTCGTGTTCCGATTACTTTTCTACTTTTAGAGTTTGGGCACCGCATCATCGGGGATTGGGGGTTCCAGGTACGAGTTCTCAGAGCTCTGCATGATCTCCACCATGCGCTCCTTGGACATATTGTTGACCCTGGCAAAGCGCGTCTGGCAGGCGCTGCGGTACGTGTACGCCTTGTCCGGGTTGCAGATGCACTTTGAGAGCATGGCCTTGTCGCGCGGGCAGTGCATGTTTCCGGGGTGCTTGTAGCCAATGTCCTCAAACCAGTGGATCTCGCCCTTCTGCAACAGAAGCGAGGCGGCAATCGAGTGGATGGGCGCGTCTCCCCAGCGCTCGTAGAAGAAACCCTGGGCGTTGTCGAGGTGCTTAAAGTATGACTCGTATGCCTCGCCGCGGTACAGCGACAGATCGACAATTTCAAAGTTGGACCAGAAATGGCACAGGTTGTAGTGCCCGTCGGTGCCCATCACCCAATTGACCAGGGAGCGTTCGGGCAGCAGGTGCGTATTGTTCTTGATCCAGTTCCGCGTATGGTACCACAGGGACTCGACTGTGCGGCGGCCCTCACGCGGCGCAATGGTGAAGCCGTACTTTATGCCGCGATCGCGCATATAGACAAAGGGGTCGTAGTCAATGTCGCAGTAGTACTCAACATCGGGCTCCAGACGCCAGTACCAGTCGAGGTCGCGCACCAGCGGGTGATGGTAGAACATGCCCGACTGGAAGCGACACATAAAGCGGTAGCTCAGGCTACCGCCGTACAGGTAGCGATTCTTATTGTACTCGAGCTTCTTCTCGGTTTCCTCCGGAGTCACCGAGTCCGAGTAGCCCCACTGTTCGCTGTCCAGCGTGCCGAACCGCAATTCGTTCTTGGTGATGGCCGAAATACCGTCGCGGAACTCTTGCGTAAAGTTCTGGTCGTTCAGCAGAACGTACGGGTACTTGTATTTCCGGTTGAACCGGTCCTCGAACATCCGCATGCTCTTGCGCAGGCCATCCAATTCGCTGTTGCGCACGAGCACGACAATGGCGCCGTTGACACGTTCTCCCTCCGCCGGAGGGTCGTAGGAGATCCGCGCCGCGGGGATGGTTCCAGCATTGAGGTCACTGCCTACGGGAGCGACACTCGGGCTGCTCCCTGCGTTGCCGCTATTGTCAAGTGCGTGGGGCAGAGACAGTCCTGAGCTGAGCGATGACAAGCCATTGTCGCCGAGCAGCGCGCCGGAGGCCATCCACATTGTGAAGCAGATTGTTGCTGTGGCCACCAGCAAAAGCCCAACCTTGTATATGCGGGCGGTGGGTTTCCAGCCTAGTATTTGAGGCAGGCCCATTTGTTTTATTTATCTGGCTCTGGTTTCTTTCCGCGCTCCTGGTATCTAATGTAATTTGGTATAATGAAAATGAATACTCCAAAAACGCGCCCGAGGAATTAAAAATGGCGAGAAATAAGGACAAGATACGCCAAGCAGTGTCTGGCTCGAGAACCTCTTGCGACTTTTGCCTATTATTTGGAATAATAATATAATAGTAAGAAAATGCGACAGTAAAAAGTAAAAAAATAGAAAATAAGATAAAGGAAAGTAAAAGAGGCAAATAAAGAGGAAAGAGTGCAGTGGCAGAAAACAAAAACAGACAAGGCAGGTCAGAGGTCAAGTAAGAAGCAAAAATTGAAGAATTTTTTTACCTGGTCTGGTTGCCCAAAAAAGCACAAAGGCGAGGGAAAACCAGTAGCATCTCGCGTATTTTTTATGGTGTGCTTGCTCTGCTCTTAAAGGGGAATAATAAGGCAAATCCGTATGCAATTAAACGCATTGATGGAAGCGCGATAGATAGAAAGAGGAACACAATGTTTATTTTTTTGTTGGCACTTTACAGACACTCGAATGGCCGCAGAGCATACGTTCAACAACCCTTTGGTTTTTGTGTCCATTTGATGTGGTCGAGTTGAGCAGTGTGGTTACGTGAGGTAGTGGAGGCAGTGTGCTTATATACACTTATTAAGCTTGACTTGAGAAAAATACCTTCGATCGTGAGTGGTCACCCACATTTGCGCTTTTGTTGAAGCATTTTTCTGCTTGCTGTTGGCTGGTTCGCATTTTTCGCGACATGTACAACATATGCAAGTGGACCATTTTCAATGGTCTCGCCTTGCTTTCTGTTTCCCCAAAGCTTCTTGATTGTGCAGCTGGAGCCAATCGGCACACACATCGATATCCCCGGGTACATTTTAAACCAGTTTCCCCTAACACACAACGTGGGCAGAAGACCAACCACAGTCTAAAAAACAAATAAAGGCGAGATTGTAGATTTTCCCACAGCTTTCTTTTAAACCTGCTTTCCGACGCACTTATTCATTCTGGCTATTTGGAAAAACTGCTTAAAACCCCAGTAAATTGTGAGTGAAGATTGTCATCATGATCGCCAAGTGGCTCAGTTCGACTCGTGTTGATTGTGATTAAATACTTGGCTTCGGATAATTATTTAATCACAGGCAATTGGTCGTGCACAAAATGTTAGACGCAAGATATGTTTTTTCTTCGTCGAGCAACAGCAAGTGCCAAAAGCAAAAGAAAAATGCGCTGCAGGGCGCGCGTAAGGGGGGTGGCAGCTTGTCTGCCACAAATTTGTAAATTTTTTCAACTTTTACATTCCATTTTTGTGTGACTAACAAAATACCAATTAATATTTCGTTTCTCTAATTTTTCAACGCTCCTTTTTATAATTTTATATTATCAGAATTACTTGAGCAGTCCGTTCGCGCTCAACACCTTGATTTTTCTTTTGTTTATACGCGCATTCTAGTACAACAACTGGCCCTGGTCGCGGTGTGTCTGTCTGGCTTTAGCAAACAATACCATTTTTAGCACAGGAATCGTAAAACAAATAGTAAGTGTATGCCTTATTTCTCAAAGTGCGACTGCGCAGAGACCCAAACGTTACATTCCAGACTGAAAAGTCAACAGAATGACGCATACTTCGACATTTGCGCTAATTATTGACTATACACCTACAACTCGTAAATTTTATTCGTCGCGACATTAGTGGAGGAGCTCTCGAGCACGGATTCGGACAGTGAGTGCTACAAGTACTGGGTTGAGTGGTACACGTGCAGTGAAGGAAATGAGTACTTTTGCGATGTCGACGAGGACTACATTATGGACAGATTCAATCTGACCAATCTTGCGCAGGAGGTGCCCTCGCAATACTACAACAAGGCGCTCGAGCTAATAACCGACCGCCTGCCCGAAAAGCCCATGAGCGAAGAGGTGCGCGAGAACGTTGAGCGGTCAGCAAAGCACCTATACGGGCTCATTCACGCGCGCTACATCATCACAGCGCGCGGCTTGGTGAAAATGCTGGACAAGTATAAGCGCGGAGACTTTGGGCGGTGCCCCCGCGTGTTTTGCTACCAGAATCCGTTGCTGCCTGTTGGGATTACAGACTTGCCGAACCAAAAGGCTGTGAAGCTGTACTGCAGCCGTTGCGAGGACATTTACAACCCAAAGTCGAGGAGGCATAATATGATTGATGGCGCGTACTTTGGAACGAGCTTCCCGCATATGCTGTTCCAGGTCTATCCGTCGCTGAAGCCGGCGCCGACCGACCAGCGTTACGTGCCGCGTATCTTTGGGTTTAAGCTGCATTCGACTGCCGAGCTGCACAGGTGGCAGGACGAGCAGCGGGAGAAGCAGAAGGAGCGCCTGGGAATTACAAACAACAACTGAAGACACGGCTGTATTTGCCATTTTATATTAACAATATTGAAATATACTTTTTGCGTTAGACATGCTGATGAATGCGTGTGCAAGTCAACACAAGGCCCTTTGTTGCACATCGATCGATGTTGATCCAAGAGTCGACAAAAGGGGGCTCGCTTACTGCTTTTTAATTGGAGCCCTCATCTCCTCCCCGCACAAGAACAACAACAAAAGTGCAAGAACACTGGTGGTAACCGCATGTGGACAAAAGGAGCGAGCGTGACTGAGCGTTTCTCCATCTCTTTCCCTTCCATTACTTTTGGTTTTATACTCATTTATTTATTCCTTCAACTTGTTTCATTTTTCACTACTTTATGTGCAAGATGATCCCAGATGAGAAGAAAGCCATGCCATGGGGCCTTCCGCCCCTGCGCTCCGAAGCCATCCTTAAGCAGCGGCAGCAGCAGCAGCAGCAGAAGTTGATGCTGCTGCTGCAAGAAGGGACAGCATGTGCGCTGATATCGAGCACAGAAAAGCAGTCACAGCCCTCCGACTACTATCTGTATGAGCAAGAGAAGAGAAGCCAGTCGCCTGTACCTGAATCCTACTCTGTCAATTACCTTGACGATCACACCCACGCGCACACCAAGGGCTACACGTCGCTTCTCCCCCAGCAGCGCCACACCTCGGATATCATGAGTATGCGTAAGCGCATGGCCATTTTTGGCCTAGGCATGTCCATGATGGCGGCTGCCGTCCTGTACATTCGTTTTGTCATGTATGACCCTCGGGTCATTGATCCGGGAACTTTCTCGCCAACGACTCTGGGCACCAACCCTGATACTCTGGAAGCTGTCACTTGGCTTCTCGATGCCGGATTCGATGAGGGAAACACTGTGGCGTGGGACCGGCTGGCCGAGATGACTGACATGTATGGCAACCGCATGACAGCCAGCAAAGGTTATGATCTGAGCGCGCAGTGGGTTGTGCGTACAATCCAGGAGCAGGACAAGAACCTGACCGCGTACACCGAGCCCGTGTGGGTCAACGATTGGCAGAGAGGCCACGAGTCCCTAGTGCTCTATGTCCCCACCAGGCCCGGCGGTCAGGTCGATATCCCGCTTCTCGGACTAGGCAACTCTGTGGGCACCCCTTCGGGCGGCATAGAGGCCAATGTCGTGCCTGTGCACTCCTTTGAAGAGCTGCGCAAGCTGGGCAACGAGAGCATAGCTGGACACGTTGTTCTCTACAACTACTACTATACAGACTACGGGACTGCAGTGAAATTCCGGAGTCGCGGAGCTGTGGAGGCCGAAAAGTTTGGTGCCGTGGGTGTGCTCGTTCGCACGGTGGCTCCAGATACGTCCTTTGATTCCATCCACACGGGGAGTTCTGCGCGGGCAAGCATCCCGGCGGCATCCATTTCCGCCGCAGACGCCAATCTCATTGAGCGGCTTTACCGCAGATCGCAGTCCCCACAGGCATCCTCTGACCACCTTGCCCCACGGATCCGCTTGAGCATGGAGGCACAGCTGCGCAAGGATGCCAAGCAGTCAGACAATATTATTGTTGATTTTCCTGGAACGGAGAAGAGCGAGGAGGTGGTTTTGCTCAGCGGACACTTCGACTCGTGGGATGTCGGTGTCGGTGCAATGGATGATGGCGCCGGGGCTTTTGTCTCATGGGAGGCAGCACGCTTGATTGCGCTTAATGGCCGGCGGCCGCGGCGTACTATCCGCGTGGTTATGTGGAACAACGAGGAGACGCTGCAGAGAGGCGCTCGCGCGTACTTTGAGAAGCACCGCGAGGAGATCCACCTGCACAAGTTTGCCATCGAGAGCGATATCGGCGTGTTTGAGCCCTGGGGTTTGACCGTTCAAGCTGACAAGGCGATGACGACGAACCTGAGAAACTATGGCGTGGATTTGATCAAGATCCTGGGCGCTGGCAATGTGACGACCCCTGAGGTTGAGGGGCCCGGCGAGGATATCCGGGTGCTGTGTGATCACGGCGTGCCCTGCGCCGGGCTTCTTTCGCTGAACCCGGAGAATGGCGCTGTGCCAGGAGACGACAAATGGACGGAGCATTACTTCCGCTACCATCACGCTTCCAGCGACCGGATGGAGGTCATTGACAAACACCAGCTCCGGCGCAGTGCGGCTGCGCTGGCTGCTTGGGCATACCTCATTGCCGACCTGCCCTGAGCTGTGGCTTTTCTTCTTTTTGTATTGGGTTTAAATATAGATATGATCCATTCTGTTGACTAGATCTACAGCACCCTCGTTATCCCTGTCTGTGGCTTTGGCTCCCGAGTTGGTGTGAAAGTCCTTGGCCTTTTGCTTTTTCAGCTTGGCCAGCTCCTTTTGTTTCTTTTTGGATTCTGCCTTTTTCTGTCTGGCCGCGCCCTTTTGGTGCTTGGGTTTTGTTTCTGCTGGTTCCTTGACAGGTTCCTGCTCTTGCTCTGGTTGTGGTTCTGAATCTTGAATGGCATCTGTTTTTGGTCCTTGCTCTTGCCCTTGCTCTTGCCCTTGCTCTTGCTTTTGCTCTTGCTCTTGCTCTGGCTCTGGTTCTGGCTTTGATTCAACTTCTTTTGAGGCTTCTTCTTTTTCGTCGCCGCAGTAGTCTGGGGGACCATCAGCGAGGAACCACGAGTCGTCGGCAGAGTCATCGGCCATCCACTGGACTAGTAGCTCGATGACTTGGCCGGTGTTTTGACGGTGCTCGTGCAGCAAGCGCCGTACCAACCTGTGGTTTGAAACGGCAGTCGACGACATGACGATTTTCTCGGACTCTGTCGGTATGCTGTCGCCATTGTCGTCACCATCGGTGTCGTTAGCATTAGTGCTGCCGTTGTTCTTGGCAGAGCAATTACGCGGAGCGGCGGCATTGGTGGGCGTAGGCTACAGTGACAAAATACAAAAACATGTGCAAAATTTTAATGCAAGAAAAAACATGTACAAATTAGTACTAGTACTAGTATTAGTATTAGGGTTTACGTAGACCGGGTGTTTTCCTCCCATTGCTCGTTTAAAAGTACAAAATTACATTTAGGTTATAATACAGCTGCCACCACCACCACCACAGCGGGAGGATGATGGTTGGATAGTTCCCTTGTGGTTGGCGGATAGATTGACAGCGACAGCCTCGGGCATAACAGCATTAGGCATGACCATGAAGGTGGCATCGACACGTCCGATCTTCCTATGCTTCAACGCCCGAGGATCATGTTCCAACAAGGGAACAAATGACAAAAACTCGTTATCACGTTCCTTGACCTCCGGCAACCCAGTATGCGGGCCCCTACTATTACGCACAGACGAGTAATGCTCGTACGAATGATAAGCTATATGCACCGTCGGCATACTCCTCTTTGAATCCAAAGGATCCCCGGCGGGCGCCCCGCTAATGACAAACACTGTGCCGCCCATCTGGTAAACCTTAATATCCACTCTATAGTTTCTCGCAAACGCTACTAGCTCTAGATTCCCGCCGTAGACAGATAGTTGGCGCATATTGCGCAGGTACGATGGAAAGTCCTGCGACTCATCCATGAAGGGTGCAAATTCATCTGGGTGTCTCTCCATGTAGTCGCAGACAGCGGAGCGGTGGCGCTGGTGGGTGTCTGGTGTGCCGTCTACTTGGTCGGCGAGTGAGCGGAAGAGGCAGTTGCCGTCGCCAGCTATGTCCTTGCAGTAAAGCCCGTTTTGCTTGAGTTGACGGTTGAGTGAGGAAAAATCGTCTGTGTCATATGTGTGGTTGTGGTTGTGGTTGTGGTTGTGGTTGTGATTGATGCGGACGAGGCGTTTGCCTTTGCGGTCGTTGCTTTCCGAATTGTCCTTGCGGTTTCGGTGGCTGGAGGCTGCTCCTTTTCGGCCCATTGTGTGCAAAATTGTGACTGAATTCTATTATATTCTATTGGAATTGACTAAATAAGAAAATAGAGAGAGGAAGAGAGATAGAGTGAAAGAAAAAAGGGACATAGACGTTCTTGTGCTCACTGAACAATACCTCAACTAGCCTCAAAGGGGCCGTGCTTGTATTTTTTTTATATACTGTGTACTCCAACAGTATTCGTTTTAATTGGCTATGCAGCAGCGATAAATCAGTTGTAAAAAATAAATTTTTGCGCAACCTTTCTTTAATGACAATCCCCTCCCACTTTCTCATACGGCATATATGCGATAATATAGACTAATTATACCACCACCACCACAGCAGAGAGACCAGCTTAATCACTGCCAGCATTGCCATGTACCCAGTAATTAATATGCCGCTGTATACAATAATTGCCAGGCTTTTGAGAATTGGAAATCCCTTGAAAACTGCTACGCCGATAACTAAATATATAGTAGCCTTTACGTAGGTAAACATTACACTTTGTTCCACCCTGTCTGTGTGCTTTTGCGCCGACAGCGTTGAACCATCTGCAGAATCGTCCGGGGAAGCAAGAATAACGCCAAGAAGAAAATAAATAAGGAGGATAGAGGCTTGGACGTAGTGATTTGTGGATTCCATTTTTTAGATGTATAAAGATACGTCGAGATAAATAAATGCAAATGCAAGTAATAAAACAATTAATTAAATAAATAAAAATAGAAGGTAAACTAAACACCTTTTTTCTCATTTATTTCTCGTGTGTGCACACGACACATGTTAAATATTAATTAATGCTTTGTATAATTTGCTCCTTTTTTGTGAAAAGTGCTGTTGGATTAAAATAAAGAATAATTCAAAGGCATGTTTTAATTATACAAAGATTTTACTTTTCACACTAGTGCGCGCCACCACCACATTTGCTGACTGCTTCGCGACAGAACAGGAAGAAAAAACACTTCCACTGTTATAACCAATATGTATAAATAATTTAATGTATTCTGAATGCCACACCAATTAGCTTGAAAACATAATGAAAAATCTACCGCATGTGTGCTAGATCGTCCAGCGCTCCTCCACTAACAGTGAGCGCCAATCCGCGGGTAATACCAGTAGGCAAATTCGCAAGCACTCTGGTAGCATCTGTCTTTGAAACACGCGCCTCAGGTTTTGTTTTTGGGAACACATTCCAAAAGCGAATAGTCTCATCCCCAGACGCCGTAGCAATAGTTTGGCCATTTGGGCTTTGTGCCAAATACACAGCACGCTTACTATGACCAGATAGCACAGCCAAGGGCGCCATCTGCGGGTACCTCCAAACAACAACGTGGTTGTTCACATACCCATGGGTGCTGATGAGCTCTGATCCATCGGGTGCCCAGCATAAATTGCACACCTGTGAGTCTGTCTTGTGCGAAGACACGGGGGTGCCCGTTGTGGTGTTCCACATGCGGATGCAGCAGTCGCTGGTACCGCCACCGCTGGCCAGCAGGCCGGGCTGCGTTGGTGACCATGCCAGGGCCTTGACTGCCGCTGTGTGCGCGTCCAGGCGGAACAACGGCTGACGGAACACCTCCGCGACAGGTGCTATCTCAGGATGCCTCGCGTGCACGCGCACGTCCAAGGGCGTATACCTGGTATCCCACAAAAGCACCAAATTGTCATTTCCGCCGCTCGCCAACTGCCTGCTGCAATGGGGGCTCCAGCGCAGCCCGCAGACCTCCGCCGTGTGGCCGTGGTACGTGGACACAAGGGCGCCCTGGCGCATGCGTGAATCATGGTTGTGTATGCGTCGGTCGCGGCTGCCGGAGCTCACCACGGGGCCGTTCCAGTCAAGGGTGCCAACGCGGCGCGAGTGGGTAGTAAAGGTGCGGAGAAGCTGGGCGCTTGTCGGGTCCCAGAGCTGGACAATGCCGGAGTGCAGTCCAATGGCCAGTTGCCGGCCATTGTCGCCCCAGCGTACAGAGGTCACGGTGTCAATTCCAGTGTCGCAGAGGTGCTTGGTATTGCTGGTGCGCGCGTCCCAAATGACCACGGCGCTGCCTAGGGCCACGGCCAAGTAATCGGATGCCGACCAGTCGATTAGATTAAGGTAAAAGTCGTCGCTGATCCCCGACGCATCTAGGACCTTGATTGGATCCGGACTGATTATGCGCGGCTTCGGCTGCTGCTTGAGGATGCGCTGCGCCGCAGAGCTCACGCTGCTCAATCGGTAGACGTCGTGGGCGGACGACGCGTGTGCGAAAATACGCCCTGTTGTTGGCGTGCCGGTGGATGCCAATGCGGTCTTGCGCGGCGACCGAAATGCAAAAATAGGCGGGCTGCTGGGCGGCGTCCCCGGCCGACTGCTGCTTCCACCCGATGTGCCGCCGCTCCACGGCACCAATGAGGGCAATAGTCTTGGCGACAACCCAATGAGATCACGTCTTGACGTCGGGCGTCTCGATGGTGGCGGGCTGCTGGCGCGCATTCGTTGTGCAGCGTTGAAGTCTGAGTGCGATGAGCGGTCGTTTAGCAGCTCGGAGCGCAAAAGCGCGTCGTATGTGCGGTTGGCCTCGTTGATTTGGGCAGAGTTTGGGTGGGCTGTTATGGGCGCGCGGGAGAAAGCAGGAGACGCGGTGGGCAGCTTATGCTCAAACGGGCGCAGATCCGATGTGTGTGTTGGAATGAACCGGTCGTAGTTGAACTGCGATGACCGCCGCATGTAACTCGCCAGTGATCTGGGCATGTCCTCTTCTGGATCGTGGGATTCTGGCTGCTGCAAAGTCGGTTCTTCTGGCGGCTGCTGAGGCTTAGTCGCCGCGCTAGTTTCTTGCTGTTCGAGCTTGCGCGCCATTGACCGTGTCACTGCGCCTTTGATTTCTGTGGGAATCGAGTCCAGAGACTGTGTTTTCTTGGTTGGTAAAAGAATTGTTGCCCGACTGCGGCTGCGGCTGTGGCTGCTGCTGCTGCTTCTGCTTCTCCGCGGTCTGCTTTGCAAAGGTGCTATGGTTCTGGATGATACTCTTGTGCGGCGCTTACTGCTTTGCTGGCCTAGCGCCTGTGCTTGTGTTTGTGTTTGTGGAACATGTGTTTCTTTTACTGCTGTGTCTTCCGCATGCTGCAATGCTGTCTCGCTTAAAGATGTGCTGTGGAGCGGCGCCGAGCGCAGTCTTCTACCAAAGTCCTCGTTCCACATAAAAGAATGAAAATGAAAATGAAAATAATAAGAAAGGCTCAAAGCGCAAAAAATAAAAATGAAACGAAGAACGAAGAACAAAAAACGAAGGTATACGGGACTCGGTTGACCGCTTGTCTGTCTGTATGTCTGTACTTTATATGTATGAAAACTAGTGAAGATGATGGGGGATGGAAATTATGCTTTGATATATATCATAAATATTTTTTCTCTCCCACTCTGCCCCAGTAGGAAAACTAAAACAATAAATTACAAAAAAAAGTATATATGAATAAGTATTAAAAATACACGTTAAAATACAATTGTTTTTTAAAATAAACAATGCAGCAAAGGCGCGAAGAAGAGAGAAAAATCGCATACAGCAAAAATGGTGTTTCTGTGCGCCTTGCATTGGTCATATGCGCATTTTAACCGATGGTTCTTTTGATTTACATGCTGTAAGTAAAAATAATAATAAAAAGTTGTCTGCATACAAAGCAAAACCTTTTTTAATTATGTTTCTCCCACGCACGTTTCGCTTTTCCCTATGGGCAGCAGTAATAGGGAATAGTGAAATATAATAAAATCCCGTCTAAACGACAATAATATGGATAATATCAATAACGTTCACAGCATAAAAAAGGATGAGTGAAATGTTTTTATCTAAACATTGCGTTTGAGCTGTGCTGCGCATATTCACATCTCATTTCTCACGTGTACATTATTGCTTAATCTGATTTCCGCGCGCTTAGATTCAAATCCGCATGACAATGCGGAAAAAAATAAAAAGCACATGCTTTTTTTCTTTTGCATTTGCAGTATTGTGTCAAGAACTACCACCACCACCACTACTAGTAGCAGCGTCATCTGGCTCTGTGTTTGTGCTTCAGCTCTCCACATGGGGAATATGAAACGATTTTTATTTTATTTTTTCGTTTAACAAGTGCGGGGTTTGTGTGTGAGCTTTTTTTTAACTTTACACTTTTTTTATTTATATTCTGTACTTTTTTCTCCCTCTATTTTTATTATTCTATTACATTTGAAATGGCCTCGTCTGCTAACAGTAATAGCTCTCCCTCAGATAACACGAGCAATGACAATTCTCACAGTACAGCTCGAAACGCTCCGGCAGTCTCGTATTGGTGTCACCAATGCCTCAGGGAAATTGCGCCAATGATGGTGCCCAATCCAATTTGCCCCACTTGCCACGGCGATTTTGTCGAGGAGGTAAGAAACAGAGGGGAGAAAGCTTAATGCTACTGCGCTCAATAGCCAAAAACAACGACAATAATTATGAGTCAGCTCTGCACACATAATAATATCACACGTGGCTTGATTTGTTATTTGATACGTGTAGATTGAGGCGGAAAACGACCCACGCGATTTCATAGCCTCTGCAGAGGAGGAGGAGGATGAGATGGAGAACGAGTTTGGCGGGGCTGGAAATTACAACCAGGATTTGCAGTCGATGCTGACCGACATGTTAACTAATATCATGGGCGGGCGGCAGCCAACCAACGCCGCTGCGGCTGCGGCTGCGGGCAGGTCAGCCGGGGAGTCTGGCAGCATTGACGGGTATGATTTCCAAATGCTTGGGTCACAGCCGGGTGACAACATATTCAGTGCGGCGGCGGCAGAGGATGGCCAGGGTGAGCGGCGAATCCCAGGGGTGCGCACGTGGACGTCCAACATGGGCAACGGGCAGATGTCCTTTTCCGTGGCCAACATTGGACTCGATGATGTCAACCGCCGGTGGCCTGGTGCTTCCGAGTCCGGCGAGCAGTCGCAGACGCAGTCGGCGGAGAACCATCAGCAGCCGCAGACACAGTCGGCGGAGAACCATCAGCAGTCGCGGACACAATCAGCGGAGAACCAGCAGCAGCAGCAACAGCGGCGGCGTCCGATGTTCATTGATCCGGAGGAGAACGCACCGCTGACTCTGGGCAATCTGGTTTCGTCTCTTTTGGGGGCGCTCGGCGGGGCGGGGCGTGGCGACGAGGCTGGCGGGACCGGGGTTAACCCGCTGTTTGGGATGCCTGTGGGCAACCTGGGCGACTACGCCTGGGGGCAGAACTCCCTGGACGATATCATTACACGGATTATGGAGCAGAACCAAGGCGTGAATGCGCCGCCGCCAGCCACTGAGGCGCAGATGGCCAAGCTGGTGTGCAGGGTGATTTTGGAGGACGAGGTGGCCAGGAATGTGGAGTGCGGCATCTGCATGGAGGAGTACAAGGTTGAGGAGCAGGTGATGGGGCTGCCGTGCAAGCATTTTTACCACAAGGAGTGCATCGACCATTGGCTCCGGATGAACGGGACCTGTCCGATTTGCCGCAAGGGGATCGAGGAGGAGGGGGGCGCAGAGGTGCCGCCGGCAGTGGTTCCCAGGCCGCACTCGGAGCTGCCGGGCTCATTCCCGTCATCACCGTCACACCCACAGCAACATCAGACAGCCGCCAATGCTGCTGCTGGGCCAGAGCCTGGCGAGCCAGAGAGCGAGCCCTTAGACTAGGAGCAGCATGATATACTTTTTCGAGCCGATTTTTTTTCCCACCTTCGATCTGTCTGTTGTACCAATAACCACGCGCTTCAATATTCGCTTATATATGGACACTGGAAGAATGTGTGCAAGCATTTCTTTAGTAATTGCTATTGTTATTGCTGCTACTGCTGGTTTTCTAGCTTAGAAATAATATGCTGGTGTATAATGCTTGCAGCTGCTCCCCAGTCGTCTAGGCGGTGCAGGGCCTTGCCAGGATCGTCTGCGCGCGGCATGCCAAAGGGGATTCCCAAGCGACTACACCAGTCCAAAACATCGGCGTTCTGGCCAACAAGCAGACCAACATCAGCGACCAAAAGCAGCGGAAGATCCGTCAACGAGTCCCCCGCATAAACCACCACGATCTCAGAAGTATCCGTCCCAACTTGCTCCTTAATCCTCATCAAAGCCTCGACCTTATCCCCAGCAACCACCATCACAGGCTCCACCCACCCTGTACTGACTCCCGTTTGGGGATCAAACTCTGGATCATTGCAGAGAATCTCCACATTCTCCGGACCGCCAAGAACACCATTGGCGTGCAGTATGCCGTGGATAAAGTCCCCTGACCAATTGACTGAAATGACCACGACTTTGAATCCGTTTTCAATAAACCCATTGATGGCGGATGCTGCGCCTGGCCGCAGTACTACCGCGTTGGTCTTGCTGCCGATGGTGTGTAGGTCATTGCGTGTGACGCCTGAAAGAATTCCTGCGCGGCTTATGCGATTTAAGGAGGCATTTTCAATGCACCGGTGGCTGTTTAAGTAGGTGGAGAGGAGATCGCTGGTGGGTTGTTCTCCGGTGATGGGTGTTATGTGGGGGAGCCAGGTGGATTCATGGTGGGAGAGGTCTTGGAGATATTGGGTAACGAGAGGTGCGAAGGGCGGGAGCGACCCCTGCGGGTGGTAGTGCGATATGGAGGATGTTAGGGTGGCGAGGGTGTCGGTTTGCGTTAGGGTTTGGTCAAAGTCTAACGCCACAATGACCTGTGGCCTTGATGGATTTGGTGGATTCATGGACACAAAGTAAATGGTGTTGAGGAGGTAAAGAAATGGTTTGAATTTTTTTCATTTTTTTCCTTGGTATCTCCTCGAAATTTTAAACAGAACCGGTTTTTGTCTCCATCTTTATTTTATTTTTTTTACCCCTCATCCCTCCACCCAAACACACACCCCACTTCTCATTTGCCTTTTTGGCTGCATCAGCTCTATTTTCTTTTTGGATCGAGAAATTACTGCATCCTTTTTTGATGCTGTTTGTCATCAGCTAACTCGGTTTAGTTTAACGCAGGATTTTTTATATTTCAATTTACTATCAAAGCACATACATATTTGAATTACAACAAAAAAAGAAAGAAATAATGTCTGAACACAAACACTCGCATGCATGCAGCCACAGTCACAGCCACAACCACAGTGCCATTACGCTAACTCCCACCTGCACCCACCAGCATCATCACCATCATGATGATCACCACAGCAGCAGCAGCAGCACCACCGCCCACCATGCACCAAGCTGGCGGCGTCTCTGGACGGTTCTTATAAAAGAGCATCAATACCTCGGTCTTCCCCTCTACACTTCCCAACTTCAGCTACTCCTCGGACTACTACTTTGCGCAAGCGCTCTCACTGCACCCAGCCTCTCACTCCAAAGCTACGGCTTCCTAGTAATCTTCAACTCACTCACATTGTTTATCACCTTGGTGCCGCAGCTTGCAGAGTACTCGCACAATAACGGTGTATCTGTGGATTTGCCTTGGGGGCTCGGGGCGCTACCAGGTTTGCTGCAATTTACCAATGGGCTTGTGGTAGTTTACCGCGCGGTGCAGGCATTGAGGGAGGGAGTGGAGCATTTGGTCATGAGAAATGCTCACGGTGTCAGTGCGGGTGGTGCGGGTGGTGGAATGGGCGTGCCTTGTGTGGTTATGGCGACAATGTGTGTAGCGGTGTACTCGGCGCTGGGGCATCGGAGGCAGCCGTATGTGGGCCTGTTGGTTGCTGGCACTTGGATGCTGGGCTCAGCGATTCTGGCTGGGGAGAGGGGCGAGTTGGTGGAGCCCCTGGGGTGTATTTTGATGGCTGTGGTGATGGCGCTCGTGGGCATACCAACGTGTGTGCAGGAAGGCAGGATTCTGCTTTTGGCCTCATCTTCCTCCTCATCTGATGTTGCTGCTGCTGGAGACAGGACAGAGGCAGAGAGGGTGGGGGCGGTTGCCCGCGTACCTGGTGTCGTTGGATTTGAAGGGCGAACGTGGGTAGTTGCTAGGGAGACCTACACTGCGGTGCGCGTGGAGGTCGAGAATAACAGCTTGGTTGCAGATGTACTTGAGAAGACTGCGGATGTGCTGAAAAGTTCAGGGCTTGGCGCTTGGACTGTGGAGTTACGCCTCGGTAAATCCAAGCTTTAATCCATATTTTTTATTTTTTACTTACGGATAATCAATAATCTCTTTTCCCCACACACACTCACAGACTTTTCTTTTTTCATCTTGATTCTCTCTCGTTCATATATATATTTTTTCAATTCTTTAGAAAAAAGCTATTTTTTAACTAATTCCAAAATGGGTGGACCCGGTCTCGAGGTGATAAAGTTTACGTTCTACGTGTTTATGCCAATGGGCTTCATGGTGTATTTTGGTGGACCTGGGTTCTACGAGCGCTATGTCGCCGACGAAACCTACAAATTCAACGCACCGCCAAAAGTCAAGGTCCCCACTGAGCCTAAAGATGTAATGGCAGCTCTCGAGCAGCTCCGCCAAGCCCGTGAGGATCGCAAGGCTATCCGTGATAAGTACATGAGTGAAATGGAAGATGCACAGAAAATACCTGGTATTGCCCAATCCTCCTCTTCTTCGTCATAAATAAATATAAAAAATATATATTCGTTAGAAATAAAAATAAATTAAATTGTCAACAGGAGACAAAATGTATTTATTGAGATAAAAAACAAATAGTTTTTGTCATTGCTCGTAGCCTGGCGGTGCGTCCGATGGATAGCCGGGCAGACCACCTGTGGGCTGAGAGGACAAAGAACCAGCTGGCGGAGGCGCATCATACCCGGGCAACTCCTCTTCATGCGGCGGGACCTCCCCACTTTCTCCAAATCTCTCAGCCAACTTTCGCGCAATAGCCGCAAAATCAAACCCACCACCCTCCTTAAACGCCAACACAATCATCCCACTACCACCAAACAACCCGTCCAAGTTCACAACCTGTGCCTCAAACTTATTTGCGCCAAAAATAGGCTGTACAAATTTTATATTCTGTAAACTCGTATGCTGCGCCGTAAACGAGTTCAATGTCCCAGGGGTGCTCGCCGGCTGCATGCTGGTTTCGTGCGTGGTGGTTGCTGGGAGATAAACTATGCGTTGGTTGGAGATGAACGCTGTTCCGCTGGCACTTTTCGGTGTTATGCCGGAGCCCGGGTAGTCACCTGATGGGGTGGCTGTGGATTTGAGCTCGAATTTCACCCCGCTGCAATGGTAGAGGAAATTCTCATTCGGTAGTGGTACTGGGTGCCGGGTACCACGCTCGAGCATCACTGCGTTTAGCGCCATGGTTTGTTATGTATGTGTTTTTTATAGATGTTGCTGATATAAAATACAAGTGAAAGTGAAAGTAAAAGAGTACAATAATTGATATTTAATTGTTGAAAAATAATGTAAAATAAAAAATAAGAGAAAGAAAAATCAACGAGGGTGACATGCGGGGACGAAGGGATTATCAATTTGCTCACCTGCTCCCCCCCTCCCCTTGTTCATAAAGGGGCTTTATCAACTAGAAGCAAAAGGCTTGCCCGTTTTGTTCTTTTTGTCAAGCAAAAAAACAAAAAACAAAATCATGCGCGTATAATATCGCCAAGCTTTTGAAAGCCGCCAAAATTTTAATATATTAAGCAAAATAAGAATAAAAGCTACTTTGATTTTTTAAACATAAACGCCGCAGCAATACCGAGCAACGCAACAGCACCTCCCGACATGGCCAGCCCAATCAACCCATCTCTTGCCACCTTTTCATCTACAAGCTGTCTCAAGCTCTCCGCCTGTTTATTGCCTGGCTCTAAAGCCAACAATCTCTCTGTATACACTCTGGCATTCGCATACTCGCCCATCTTGTAATACCCTATGCCCAAATAATACAGGCACTCGCGCTTGCGCTCCTCATTCTCCTCATATATATTGTGCATTAGGGCAACGCCTCTTGTTTGGTCATGCTTTTGGGCGCTTTTTATCAGTCCCCAGGCGTAGTTGAACTTTGTTTGGATGCGAACTTGTGTGCCTTCGCGCTCGAATTGACGTTGGAGAACTTGAAGTTCGGATGGTGAAAGTGACTGTTCAGCTTCGGCAGCATATGGAAGATAACCGTCACTCATTTTTTTGTTGGTGCTATTCTAAGAAAATTCGTGTAAAAAAAACTAGAGAAAATTTTTGTAGCAAAAAGTAAAGAATAAAGAGAAAGAAAAATATGTGCGCTTGCTTCTTTTTGCTTTTCGTCATCACCCACTACGCCCAGCTTTTTTTTTTATTCAAAAATTTTTTTATACAATTGTGATCGTCAGCTGACAAAATCTTTTAGGTTCGGCTTTCGTTTTTTATTTCTCTTTATTTGTTATTTTTTATCTACTATTAATACACAAACATAAACGTCAGCACCAAAATCTAAAACAGTAGCAATGGGCAGGTACGCCTAAACAAAAAACAGATTTTGTTTTTCAACTATAATATTCTGCAACTCTAACCTTTTTGCACATTTGCAAAAAATAAATAAAAAAAACTAATTGCCATCTCAACGCATTTCCAAACACGCGAAAAATCCCCCACCTGTTCCTAAATTTAGGTTACAGATAGCTCCCCAAGCACTCGTATGTAAAAACACAATAATCGAAGGCGACGTGCAAATCGGCAACGGCACAGTAGTCCATGTAGGTGCTTCCATTCTGGCCAAAAACGGGCCCATCATCATTGGCTCCAACAACATAATAAGCGAGCGCGCAACCATCATAAACAACCACGCCCACCCACTAACCATCGGCGACGACAATCTAATTGAGACCGATTCCCGTGTGGAGGGACGCGGAATGGGTCATCGCAATACAGTGGGGGCTCGCGGAATCATCGCGGGCACGAGCACACTGGGGAATAATTGTGTCGTGGGCGCGGCTTGTACGACGGATTTGGCGGAGAATGTTCCGGATAATACTGTATTGTTCGGGTGCCCTCAGGCGAGGAGAGTGAGGGCGGATGGGAACTCGGATCATTTGTTTATGCATAAGAAGCATTTAGAGTATATCCATGAGATGTTGCCACGGTATAACCATATTATTGAGGCGGAATAATAAAATAAATATAATGTTATTTTTCAACTAATATCAAATTTTAACATGAAATGAAAGAATACAATTCCCCTAGTCTTTGAGCTGGCGGCGAATCTCGACCAAAAAGTCCTTTTGGTTGGCCATTGTCGAAGCTACAATTTACATTAATTGTTTTTTATAAAAAAGTCAATACAATGTTAAATTTCAGAAATGTATGTCAAACTTCAAGGGTTTATTGATTCCACTTTCATACCGAGTTTACTTACCTTTGTTGAGATCCCATTTGCTAGCCGAGTTGCTCTTGCTGTTGGCGTTGGGCTGATTGCACTTATACACCTGGGGCTTCTCTACAAAAACACAAAATAATAAGAGACGTGTGCAATATTAGAATATCATAAGCAAAAAACATTGAATAAAAATTACATTTCAAATGAATGCAGTTTAAAACTAACCCTTTTCGCTCAACGTCGCGTTTTTGAGCTTCTCTTGAGCATCCAGCCATCCTAACAAATAGATAAGCAATGGTGCATAATAATAATGTTGTTTAGTATAAAATTATATTGCAAGCTAACCAATTCTAGATGCAAATATTCGACTTAATGCGTCACTTATTCGTTACCTCGTGAAATGAAGCCCTGAATCTCCTCTGTGTTGAATGCTGCTGCGCTCATATCGACTGTCTTGATTGTTAGAATTGTAAAAATATGATTCAATAAACAAAAGCTTGCTGATTTTGGATTTCAAATGTAAAATCCCACACATTTGCAGCACCTTTTGTATCTTTGGCATTCATAACAGCATGTATGGGAAAATTGCTATACCTTTTATGGCCAAGATTTTTGCGTGTATGACAAAATATAAAAAATATCAGCGTTTTAAATGTTATCTTTTTGCATGTTTTTTATTTTTCCACCAAAAAAAGTTTCAAAATGTCTACTCGTTGTTGTGATGACTCCGGTGTGGATTGTAGTTGCTGTTGTTGCTGTTGCCACCGCGACCGCGTCCACGAGCATTGACATTCCCGCCGCGGTTCCCGCCCCTTCCCCGGCCGCCACGACCACCGCGGTTACCCATGTTCCGGTTTTTCAGCATGTCTTCCTTTACTTTGTCAAGCACCTATAAGCAACAACAAAAATACATATTAATTAGTAATAAGCTTTCATTACACAAAATAAAATGCATATAAAAAACATGCATGCTTAATTCCAAACTTACTGCGTCGGGAACTCTGAGATATTTGATTGTGTTTCCACGGATGTAGGCCTCGAGCAGGCGCCAAAAGCGGTCACCGTCCTACAAAATTATACCAAAGAAAAAACATTCGCTCAAGAACAATAATTTAGCGCATCTGTCCGCTCAGATAACATCCCAATACATTACAAGCATCATTAAGTGTTTGAAATGTCTTGCTTAAAGCAACAAATTGTCTTTTTAAAGTGTATATATACGTACGCTGGCTGTCTGGATGACTTCCCGCAGTGTGATATTCATAAAATTGTCGCATTTTTCCAAGTGTCCGTTATATGTCTCGCCGTTCTTCAACTCTACAAGCTACACCAATAAAAAAGACTCAAGAATGTGCAAAGTTAGCAAGGCAAGCCACTGTGTGGAGATAAAAATATTTCACCGTAGCCAGTCCATAACCCAAAAAAATAGAACTTACAATTGGAAAGCCGACGGCGGCATTGAGTAGTGAAAGTGGCAGCTACAGTAATAAGAAAAACGTAAGTGTTCTGTCGCGAGTAGCATTTAGTAAACGCATTGTATAAGAATGCATTGCCTCTAGTATGTTCTGCTGCTGCTGCTGCCTCCCCCAGGTTGGCATATTCTAGGGCTGCGTTGTGTCGCTGCTGAATGCACGGCTGCCGGTTGTGCCAGCAGCATAATAGCCCTCTCATCGTTTACCATTTTCAAAAAATAAAGGATTTGAAAGGAGCAATGCCAGAATTTAAATAAAAGAAAAAACGAGTATATGAAAATTGAGAAAGAGACCAAAAACTGTTGTCGGACAGTTGCGCAACCGCCTTCTCTTCACTTCTTCAAACGGTTGTTGTTTTTTGCCCACGCCTTTTTATACCATTTCTCGTCAGCGCAATTTCTGTCCACAAAATTGAATTTGCAGCAAATGTGCGCGTCAATTTTATTAGCTTTCATACACACACCAAATTAAACCGCGTGATCATGATCCGCATTTGTCTCGAGATCACAGAATTGCGAGCGACAAAAAAAAGTGCAAAAAAAATAAATTTGATCCTTTTTCATCTCATTCATTTTGGAGAGGCCTTTAGTTGTAGCTGTTTGCTTTTTATTAATACGGTCCTCCTTTTCTGTAGCTTTTTTTATATACACATATATTGACTTGAATTCAACTTTTTTATTGTCGAGAAACAAAAGAAAGAACAAAATATGTCGCTGAACCACGAACTTGTAAGTGCTGGATATATCATTTGCAGACAGCAAATTAACACGCAACTTTACTCGTAGGGCGTGCGGGCGCGTTTGCTTGCTTCGAGGGTCCACATTTTTATGCAAAGCAACAGTTTATTTGGCACTAATATACACCCCAGCTATTATATACTCAACCAATTTTTTGTTATTACAATCGCTAGGTACTCAAAGCCTCTACGGCACTGCTGAAGCACATCGAGAAGAAGAAGGAGAGCGACGAAGTGACCAACCTGCTGGCGGACGAGACCGAGCAGGTGCATCTGATTATGAGCGTGAAGAAGCTGTCCACGAAGGAGCGTCACAAGCCCTACCGGATTTCCCTGCGCACCCCGATGTATGAGGAGACAGCCTCCGTGTGCCTGATCGTGAAGCCGACCCAGACAGAGTACGTCGAGAAGCTGCTGGCCTTTGGCATTCCCCAGATTAAAGAGATTGTCACTATGGATCAGCTGAAGAAGAAATACAAGTCGTATGAGTCCAAGCGCCAGCTCCTGGCCATGCATGATCTGTTCTTGGCCGACGACCGGGTGCTCGCCAGCCTGCCGGAGCTTTTGGGTGTAAAGTTTTTCAATGCGAAGAAGCTCCCTGCTCCCGTTAATCTGATGGCTAAGGACCAGAAGAAGGAGCTTACCAGGGCGCTTTCGTGCACATTCTACAGACAGACGAAGGGCACTTGCAATGCGATCAAGGTCGGTTTGACCTCCATGGCGGCTACCCAGCTGGCTGACAACATTGAAGATGTCGTCGCCGCTGTCTCGCAACTCGTCCCGAAGAAGTGGGAGAACATCCAGTCAATTGGAATCAAGACGGGCACCTCCCTGACCCTCCCCATTTACAACGCCCTCCCCATGCCCCCTACTGTTATCACGGACTCGTCTGCCACTAGAATGGTCGTCGATCAGGCCAAGACCGCTTCAGGAAAGAAGACCAAAAAGAGCCCCATGTCTCGCACTGCCGCTGACAAGGCCATTGTCGCTGCTGCTACCGTTACCAAGAAGAACGCACGGTCCAAGGGGCGTGGGCGTGCCGCTGCCTCGACCAAGGCATAATAAAGAGAGACTTTTATATAATTGAAAAATACACATGACTTTGCTTTCACTCGATTCTCTTTTATTAAAAAATATTTAAATCAAGCAACACCACAAAGATACTTTGCTGCGTTTCTCCGTTTACTCGGACTTTTGCTTTCCCAACTGCGCTTTTTCCTTGGACGAGCGCGACAGCAATGTGAACTGCCGATAGTTGAAGTATACCAAGAACATGACAAACATCATGCAGCTAAAGATGACATTCAGCACGATGTAAATATCGGGCAGCGCCTTTGGTGGCAATACGAATGCGTGCGCTGCGTGCAGCGCAACCATCGCCAGCGTGGTGAGCCACTGCAGAACAAATACAATGCGTGGCGTCTGCCTGTCAGCCGGACACACGGGGCAGCTGCGTAGCACTGACCAGCCGACCGCCAGCACGGCATATGGGACATTCAGGCCGTCTTTGAACAACAGGGGATACATGCTAAACAGCGCCACCTGCACAAACCAGTTGACGGCCCAGCTCTCGTCGTTAATCAGCAACAGCGCCGGGGCCAGCGGCAGCAATATGGATTTTTCGTGAACCTGGAACGAAAAGAGGAAAAAGGCGAGCGAAGAGTTGACCAGGCTGTAGTTCAAAAGCCTGAGCACATTGGCCCGCGTCTCCGCTGGCTGCTTTCCGGCGTAGCGCCTCACAACAATGAACAAGTGAATGCAGGACGGCGCAAATGCCAGACTCGTGGCTGCTGTCGCCAGACGCAAAAGGTATTTGGTCTCGAATATGCTGCGTAGCTTGACAGCTACATTGACCGCACACCACACGTTGGCCACCTTGTCCTCGTACAAACCGCGCGCTACAGGGAATACACGAACGAGGATTTGTTCGAGCTGGGAACGAGACTGGATCCACGGCAAAAGCATGACGCTGAATGTTGCGATGACCGCCAGGCCAAGCTTGACAAACAGCACAAAGCCATGGCGGCGCTGGAAGCACTTGGCAAGTAGAAAGAAGAATATTGTCGGTGCATAGTACAATGCCATCTGCTTGAACATGAGGGCGCAGCAGAAGGCAATTGCCATTGCCACATAGTGCTCACGCGCGGCAAAGTACACGGCCCACATGAGGAACCCCAGCATAACTGAGTTGTACTGAAAATGGCCGTGGTCGATGAGCAGCAGGCAGGGCTGGAGCAGCACAGTAAATATGGACGCTTGCCTGGCAGCCCAGGACACCGAAACCAGCTTCAGCCTGAAGAACAGCACGACTGCCGGCACGTATATCGCCAGGTCCAGCGCAAGCACCGTAGCCCGCATAAACAGCTTGCTAGCGTGCGTCTCGATGCCACGCGACCTACCCAGAGCGACCCAGGCGGGATTGATGAGGCTAGCAATGTACCCACATGCCCAGCTCTGGAACGCTGTCAATGGCGGATAGTCGAGCCCCCAGTACTTCAGGTCATAGGAATACCATTTTGATGGCGGCAGATGTGTCGTAATCTCCATCCAGTGCCGCTGCGCCTCGTAGTCGCCGAACATGGGCGGGTTCCCCATCCCAGAGTAGCCATGGAGGGATATGCACCACCGCACAAGTATGGCAAACAGCAGTGATACCGGCAGCGCTATCTCCTGTGCACTCTGGTTCTCTAGGAACTGGAACCAGCTGTCTACCGGCACAGTGAATGCTGTTGATGCGGTTGCTTTGGTCTCTGCTTTTAAGCGTGTTTGGGCGCGCGTCTTCGGAGCCATGATGCAAGAAAATTAAAGATTATGGCCCAAGAGACCCAAGTGTATAATGACAGAATACAAATACGTTTTGCCTCGAATTTTAAGTGAACAAAAATGAATTCAAAGCAAAAAAAGCAAAAAAAAACTGAAAACTGAAAACCGAAAACAACGCATTCAGCTAGCCTATTGCATGTTGCCAGTTGCTATTTCGCATTTTCTAGCTCAATCCTGATCCCTGATCTCCCTTGGTCTTATTTTGCATTTTATAAAGTAAATATTTTTATTTTATTTTTTGTACCTACATTCACACCAAAACTCGCATATAACCCATTCACCTGTCACAACACGCCTATTACCGAGTAATGGGTGATAACGGCGATAACGGCGATGACATTGGCAGTACACGGCGCAGAGCGCACCCTTCCCGCAGTCGCGTCGACATGGGCCTCACATTGGTAGTGACAAAAAGGGGTCGTAAAACCCTGCTCACCGATGCTGCGCACGCCACATCAACAAGCGCGTCTGCGGATATCAACGAGATCATCAGGCTCAGCGCAGCGGTAGACTTGGAAGACAAGGAGAACAATTGTGAAGAAGCGATTGGTCCTGTTGGCGCAGCTGGGCAGAGCGTATACGGGTTCCAGAAGAGATCCCAGCGCGGGCGCGGTGGCAGCAGCATCAGTGTTAGTGCCGACGCCAGAGGCACGAGGGGAAGAGGAAGGGGAAGGGGAGGCGCCAAGGGCGGTAGAGGGCGTGGTGCTGGTAGCAGCGCGACAAAAGCCAGACATAGAGAACGTGTCACGGTCGAGGATATCGACGAAGATGAAAACGATGAGGATGAGGATGAAGATGATGGTTACGACGAAGATGTCAATGAGGACTCTGTTGCCGATAGTCAGGACGACGGTGAAAACATTGGCGACGGCGATGATATAATGGAGGTTGAGGAAGACGAATTCGGGCGAAATGGCCCAGCGTACGAGCGCTATTTCCAGGATCTCCACACAACCAAGGGCAGCAAGACCTCTAACAACACGCTTTCAAAGCTCCCGCCACTGTCGCAAGCAGAGTGCCGCACCATTCTGGCCAAGGTACGTCCCAAGCATGAGAGAGAGCTGGAGACGTTAGAGCAGCTCCACCGCCGGGAATTTAAACAGTGGTACTTTGAGCTCATGTGTGGATTCAACATCATATTCTACGGCTACGGCTCGAAGCGCCGCATAATGAATATGTTGGCGACCCACTTAGCAACCGACGCGCCCGCCGTAATCGTCAACGGATACTTCCCGACGCTCAACTTTAAGCAAACTCTGGAGAAGATCATATCCGAAGTCATAGGCTTTAGCGACACGACAGGGACCATTGCCGACTTGGCCTCGCTGATACACGGCTACTTTGAGTCTGACAGCCGCAAGGTTAACAAGATGTACATTGTCGTTCACAATATCGATGGCCCGTGTCTTAGAAAGCACCAGGGTGCGCTGGCAGTGCTTGCCAGCTGCAAGCGCATTCACATGCTGGCGTCCATCGACCATATCGAGGCGCCGCTCATTTGGGACTCGAGTATGATTACGCGGTTCAACTGGGCCTGGCACGATTTGACGACATTTGAGCCATACATCGTAGAAATGAGCTACGAGAACTATGGATCGGAGTCGACAGAGATCGGCCCGCGCGGCGTCCTCCACGTTTTGGCCAGTCTGACAGAAAACGTGAAAAGCATATTCCGCATTCTCGCCGAATACCAGATCGCAGAGTCTGTCATGGATGATGCTGTCTCTGGCGCCCAGAAAAGGCCTGGCGCAAAGGCCCCCGAGATGCCCTACAACGGTTACTTTGCCGCCTGCCGAGATCAGTTTTTGGTCAGCAGCGAGATGACGTTCCGCTCGCAGCTGACCGAGTTCCGCGACCACAAGGTGATACGGTCACGCCATGCGACAGACGGAACCGAATTCGTGCATATCCCCCTAGACGCAGCAATTCTCGAAACCATCCTCGAGAGTATGGACTAGCTGGCAATCGATATTTAACACAAAAAGCAATATACAAAACACAATCACTACAATTGACAATTATCGCCTTATCAGCCACGCCATGCGCAATTCAAGGTTTGGAGAACAAGCTAGTTTTATTCGGCACGAGGGGAATATAAAAGCTACATACTGAGCCAGAGCGCTTAGAACACAAGGGCAGCGTTCTTCTTTCTCTTGTCACCACCGAGCTCGAAGCTCTTGCAACGCTTGATAGCGAGCTGCTGCTTGTACTTGCAGATGGTGCACTCAAGACGGAGGACAACCTTCTTGGTGGTCTTGGCCTTCTTGTGGAAGACGGGCTTGGTCTGTCCACCGAAACCGGACTGCTTCCGATCGTAACGACGCTTACCCTGAGCGAAGACCGAAGCCTTACCGGTCTTGTACTGCGAGACCTTGTGAGGGGTGTGCTTGCGGCACTTCAAGCTCTTGCAGAAGGTGTTGCGGGTCTTGGGAATGTTAACCTAGAAAATTGAGTGATATGCGCATGAGTACAAGACGAGTTTAGTATTTGGCCATTATTAATATGGTTTCGCGTGAGCAGACGTTGCACTGGGTGTTCTGGGGGTTGCCAAGAAGAAAAAGAATCATTGATAGTAACCATCCCATCAGTTATCCAAAATGAGCGACGCAATAATACACTAACACCACCACCGCCATCGCAACCACACCAACTATGCCATTCCTTGTCCTTTAAAAAACAAAAAACTGCTGTTGCTGTCTCCTGCTGGCAATGCTTCAAGCAAAAAACATGACCCAACCCAAAGCACACGCGCACGCATGTAGTTAAGCAATAACCACACAGGCATATTTTTGTTCTCAGAGCAACCACATGCCCGGTAGGGCGCCTGTCCAAAACAAGCGCGCTTGCACTCCAACCAAAGAGTAGCCATAGTGCATAAATGGACCGTCTCACTCTATGAGTAAACAGCGCCATAAACACTAGCAATCTCCCATTCTGGTTGATCTGGCTCTCTCTCTGTAGAAATTCAAGTTTGTGCATGCTTTCCTGCGTGTTGTGTTATGCGCGCTCAGTATACCCGTTCCAAAAGTTGCTGTTCATCTGTTCCCCACCTTCAGAGAGTAGCCTGCATTCAAAAATAGTATGTCCAAGGCCAGCTGGCCTTAATTCAAACTCCTAATCAATACTCTAGCTACAGTTCTAGCGCCGCTGTTGCTCTAACAAAAAATGTATAGTGGCCCCACACACTTTCTGGTTTTGCGTACAGCAGCGAGATGCTCGAGATCAAATGTTCTGAATTCGATTTTAGTCAAATTCAAATTTTATGAATGCTGCCCCTCTCTGTTTGTGTTCGCCCAAGACTATAACGCGTCCCTGCGTCGATGTATTCTCTCTGTGTAAATTCCACAATGGATATCGTCCATGCTGTATTGCTGATGTGGTGTTAGATGCTGGATGCGGCTGTTCGACATGGATGCAACCCCCCATTTCGACTGTAATCCACAATGGATTCGCGATATTTACCATGGTGACGGGTTTTCAACAATAATTTGGACACGCCTGCAAATACAAAATATTTGATTGGAGAGAGGAGGGCATATTAGCGCAGGCGGGCTACACGCCTTGTTCTCTATCAAAGCGGCAAGCAGCAGCCAAGCTGGTTTAGTTGTTGATGCATTTCAAGCGTGCACTCCTTTTTAGCAGTGCCAAAAATAGGACAGAGCATAAGCGATTGGGGAAATCGTATTTGTGATCAAAAGATTTGGAAATCTTAAATCTTTTGATTTTAATTTTGAAATTTTTCTTTTATTTTTCACTCTTTTTTCTTGGTACTTTTTCTCTCTGACAAACAGATCAAATACACATATGCGCACTGGCACTCACAGTCCATTGTGTTTTGTATGTTCATCACTCTCCTTGTGTAATTATACCACCCCTTAAATTTAAAGAAGAATACTTTGCTGCAGTCATTCCGTTCCTCTTCTTGACTTTTATTCTTTATATTTTCGCATACATACACACACACATCTGACAAGCCATGTCCGAACTAGACACGCTGTTCGATACGTTCGATCAGGAAGAGACTAAGGTGCAGGCACCCGTGGCGACCGCAGTGGCACCCCCGACCACAAAGCAGCCCGAGGAGAAATACGCCAAGTCCATGATCTTTGTGCGCGGAATCCCCAAGGACGCGTCCAACCAAGAGCTCGAGGAGTTCTTCAGCAACATCGGTCCCGTCAGATCGTGCTTTGTTGTCGGCGAGAAGGTTGATGCGCCCGAGGGCGAGGAGACCACTGAGGCTGATGCTGAGAAGAAGACCGACGAGGACAAAAAGGAGGCAAAACCCGCCAAGCCTGTGTCTGTTACCAACCGCGGTTTTGGATTCGTGCAGTATGTGCTTGCCGAGGATGCCGCGCGCGCCATCGAGGAGCTCTCCGAGACCAAGTTCCGGAACAAGAAGAGGCTGATGCTTGACTTTGCCATGAAGAAGCACGCCAGAGACGCGGAGGATGGAGATAACAAGCCGTCGGGCAAGCGGCCGAGACCTGAGCCTAAAAAGGTTGAGGAGCAGAAACAGAAGCTGAAGGAGAAGAAGGAGACTTTGGCTACAGCAGCGTCAGAGGACGGTCAGCCCAAAAAGCCAAAGTTCAACAGCGGCACAAAGGTTGTCTCGCGTTCTATCATAATCAAGGGCATCCCGGCGGGAGTCACCAAGCAGCAACTGATCAAGAAGGTCAAAAAGTCTGGCAACCCGCACTCGGTCGTCTACCCGGTGGCATTCTCTGGTGCGACTGCTGACCAGCTCAAGGACGGTGCCGGTGGAATTGCGCACGTCACGTATGACGACCACGCCATGGCGCAGAAGGCCGCCCGGTCGCTGCACGACCATATCTTTAAGGGTGTCAAGCTTGACGCCAAGCTCAAGACCGAGTACATCGACAAGAACGCCCGCCTGATCGTGCGCAACCTGCCCTTTAAGGTGCGCGAGCGCGAGCTGGAGCACATGTTCTCCGAGTGCGGCACGGTTCTCGAAGTCGACTTGCCCCGCAAGTTCACTGGTGGTCCCCTGCGCGGTTTTGCGTTTATCCAGATGGGCGATTATGAGTCTGGAGAGCGCGCTGTGGCCAAGTGGAACAACAACGACTACCAGGGCCGTTCCATTTCGGTTGCATTTGCCTTGGCCAAGGACAGATTCAAGGAGCTCGAGGAGAAGGGCGAGGTCGAGAAGCAAGCGTTCGAGATTGCTGCCGAGGCCGATGAGGATGTTGCGATGGAGTCCGATGCTGCCGAGGAGGATGATGATGTTGAGATGGAGTCTGGCGTCGAGGTCATGAGCGACGATGGCGCTTCCGACAAGGAGGATATGGATAGCGACGAGAACGAGTCTGGGTTTGAGGACGATGATGATGAGGACGACGATGTGATCGACGAGTCTCTGCAGGAGGGCTGCACACTTTTTATTCGTAACCTGTCTTTTGACTCTGACGAGGATGGCTTGTTTGAAATGTTCCGCTCTTTCGGCAAGCTACGCTACACCCGCATTGTCAACGACAACCAGACTGGAAAGTCGCGTGGCACTGCATTTGTGTGCTTCTGGAACTCTGCCGACGCCATCAAGTGCCTGGAGGCCGCGACCAAGGCCCAGGAGTTGTCGGAGAAGCTCGGCAGCGTGCCTGTGTCGAAGGTGTCTGACAAACGCAACAAGTCCATCCTGCTGCAGGAGACGTCAGGCGCAGTCGACTTGACCTCGCAGTTTGTGCTTGACGGCCGCATGCTGTCGGTCACCAAGGCTGTAGACCGCAACACCGCGCATGGCCTGGCTACCGAGGGTCTCGAGAAGCGCAACGGCAAGGACAAGCGCAACGCGTATTTGCTCAAGGAGGGAGTCGTGTTCCCCGAGACGCCAGCCGCAGCTCTTATGGCGCCGACTGACCTCGAGCACCACATGAAGGAGTACTCTGTGCGCAAGAACCAGATTTACAAGAATCCTAACCTGTACATGTCCATGACCCGTCTGACTGTACACAACATCCCCCGCACCATTGACGAGGCCGGGCTCCGCAGTGCCGCGGTTTCCGCCATCTCCAGGTTCAAGCAGGAGATCAAGGACAACAAGCGCAAGCCATTGTCTGCTGAGGAGATGGCCAACGGCTGGGACAAGAGGCCCCATCTGTCGCAAGTCAAGATTGTGCGGTCCTCAGACCGTGTCGATGCTAACACTGGAAAGTCCCGCAGTTTGGGATACGGATTTATCGAGTTTACCACCCACGCCCACGCGCTGGCCTGCCTGCGCTACCTCAACTTCCTCAACACCAGGCAAGCGTTCTCCAAAACTTCCCTTGGCGAAGAGGAGCCTGAGAACGACAAGAACAAGTCTGCCCATGAGATCTCTCGGAGATCGCTGCGCGTGATGTTTGCCATTGAGAACGCTCAGATCATCAAGAAGAGAGAGCTGAGGTCAACGATCGCCACCAAGCACCGCTCCATGAAGGCTGACGCTGCTGCTGCCGGCGATGATGATGATGAAAGATCGGATAGCCGTGGTGGAAGAGGTGGCCGTGGGGGCTTCAGTGACAGCCGCGGCGGTAGCCGCGGTGGTCGCGGTGGGTTTGGCGATAGCCGTGGTGGAAGAGGTGGCCGTGGAGGCTTCGGCGACAGCCGCGGCGGTAGCCGTGGTGGTCGTGGCGGGTTTGGCGATAGCCGTGGCGGTAGCCGTGGTGGCCGTGGTGGGTTTGGCGATAGCCGCGGCGGAAGAGGCGGCCGTGGCGGTAGCCGTGGTGGCTTCGGTGACAGCCGTGGTGGTAGCCGTGGTGGTCGCGGCGGCTCTTCAAGAGGCCGTGGCAATAACAGGCCATTTGGCGCTGGTCGGCAGGATACCAAAGGCAAACAGACCAACCGTAGCAAGGAGACCCAGGGCAACTTCAGCAAGAGACACTGATTGACACGAGGGGCATCTATATTTTTTCAACTTAAATTTTCAATATTTTCTAACTTTGGCTATCCTTTTTGGCGAAACACAAGCAAAAATTTTGATTTTGCGATCACGCTGGATTATCTGTGAAATTTCACTTTCGCCGACTTTTTTTTCTCATATTTTTGCCCCTTATTTGTGCCTTCCTGCACCTTTGTTCTTACCTTTTTCTATTGCTGTCTGTTTACCGCCAACATTCTGTTCATACTTACAATTACACTCTCATTCGCACACACCAAGCGACCCACACTTTAACAATGTCTTCTCGTATTATTGTCAAAAACCTCCCCAAGCATATGACCGAAGATCGGTTCCGTGAGCACTTTGGCAGCAAGGGCGAGGTCACGGACTCGAAACTCATTTACACTGACGAAGGACGCTTCAGGCGATTTGGTTATATTGGATTCCGCTCTGAGGACGAGGCCCAGGCGGCGCAGAGCTACTATGACGGAACCTTTGTCGACACTTCTCGGATTGCCGTAGAAATCGCAAAGCCCTTCGGAGACGCTGCCCTTCCTCGGGCCTGGTCAGCATACACCAAGGGAACGACACTTTACAACAAAATGCATGGTGTCGTCGACAAGGCAGCCCAGGAGAAGGAGGACGCTAACAACAAGGTGAAGCAGAAGAGCCAGCGGGCCATCAAAAGCCTGTACGACGAGCTTGTTGCCGACAACCAGGATGACCCGCGGTTCAAAGAGTTTTTGCAGGTCATGGCCCCGCGTGCGAGCAACAAGACCTGGACTAACGACGATTATGCAAACTGGCAGACCGACGAGCTGGCGGCGATCAAGGACGCAGTTACTGCTCGGCGAGAGAAGGTAACCGCAAAGGGGGTTGCGTCCGACAAGAAGAGCAAGAAGAGCGAGCCCACCAAGAGCGATGATAAGCCCGTGGATGTGGATGGCGCTGATGCGTCGCCCGACAATGTCGAGAAGCCAGTGTCGGCCACGACCGGTCTTTCGGACATGGAGTGGCTGCGCATGCACATGAGCTCCAACTCCGATCAGGGGGATCTGGAAAACGTCGAGGACTCTGAATCGCAGGATGCTAGCAAGCAGGATGCCGACGGCCAAAAGCAGGATGCACCAGACGCGAGCGCTGGTGACAAGAAGGAAGAGAAGGACAGGCACGCTGATCCGACCGAAAACGTGGCCAGCGCGATTGGACAGATTCTCGAGACTGGTCGGCTCTTTGTGCGTAACCTTCCGTACCTCGCCACCGAGGAGGAGCTGCGCAAGGCCTTTGAGTCGTTCGGCCCCCTGTCAGAGGTGCACATGCCCATTTCAAAGGACACCAAGCGCCCCAAGGGGTTTGCCTACATTCTTTACTTGCTGCCCGAGCATGCTGTCAAGGCGTTTAAGACCATGGACAACAAGGTGTTCCTCGGCCGTCTCCTGCACGTCTTGCCGGGTAAGGAGAAGCCGCAGCCGCGCGAGGCCGATGACGCGCAACTGGGTTTCAAGTCGACTGTAAAGAAGGAGCGCGATGCCAAGAGGAAGGCGCTTGCAGGAAGCGACTTTAACTGGAACTCTCTGTACATGAGTGCCGACGCAGTGGCCGACTCGATCTCTGAGCGCCTCAGCATATCGAAGGCGGACCTGCTTTCAGCCGACTCGAGCGGCAACCCCGCTGTTCGCTTGGCCCTGGCTGAGACCCACATCATCAACGACACCAAGCGTTTCTTCGAGGAGCACGGCGTGTCGCTGGACCACTTCGAGACCCGCGAGCGCAGCGACACGGTCATCTTGGTCAAGAACATTCCGTTCAGCGTCGATGAGGAAGAGCTGCGCTCGCTTTTTGGAAAGTATGGCGGTCTGGGCCGCGTGCTTGTGCCACCCACGCGCACCATCGCCATTGTCGAGTTCTTTGAGCCCAGTGAGGCCCGTGCCGCATTCAGACACCTGGCGTACAAGCGCCTCAAGGACGCGCCAATCTACCTGGAGCGTGCGCCAAAGGACACGTTTGACACCGCCTTTGACCCGGAGGCGGATGCATTGCGCCGCGAAAAGACCAAGACCTCGGAGCAGTCCAAGGTCGATCTGGAAAATATGCACGAGCCACTCAACGACCCCGCGACCTCGCATGTGTCTGCCCAGGGATCCGGCAGCGGAAAGGGCGAGACTGGATGCGTGCTGTTTGTCAAGAACCTTGACTTTGACACAACCGAGGATACGCTGCGCGGCGTGTTTGACGGTGTAGATGGTCTCGCGAGCGTGACCATCCGCCGCAAGAAGGACCCCAAGCGTGCAGGCAAGTGGTTGTCGATGGGCTTTGGCTTTGTCGAATACAAGTCAGCCAAGGCCGCGCGCCAGGCCATGGAGGCGTTCCAGGGCATCGAGGTCGACGACCACGCGCTGGAGATCAAGATGTCAGACCGTGTATCCAAGGGTGGATCCGATGGTGATGCCGAGACCATTGCCTCTGACAGCAAGAAACCAAAGGGCACCAAGCTGGTGGTCAAAAACGTGCCGTTCGAGGCTACACGCAAGGATATTCGCGACCTTGTCTCTGCGTTTGGCCAGACAAAGTCCGTGCGCCTGCCCAAAAAATTTTCTGGCGGCCATCGCGGTTTTGCCTTTGTCGAGTTCCTCACGCCACAGGAGGCTCAGCATGTTTTGGACACGATGAAGGACACGCATTTGTACGGTCGCCATCTGGTGCTTGGCTGGGCTGAGGAGGAGAACAGCTTGCAGGCTATTCGCGAAAAGGTCGGCCGTCAGTTTGCCAAGGACACTGGCGAGAGCGTTACCACTGGCAAGCGCCGCAAGATCGAGGAGGATCTGGAGCAAGGTGCAGCCGGTGGTTCCGACTATGACATGAGTTCGGATGAGGATTAATTTGCCCAACCACAATCGTGATTTCAGGGCGGCCCAAGTCACGATTTTTGTTTTTAACTGTCCAACGTCTGGTTTCTTCCACATTTCTGTTTTCTTTTTTACTTGTTTCCCCAATTATACAATTCAAATTCTTCATTATTTATTCGACAAAAGGAAAATGGACGCACGACCAGAGCCGCTGCTCAAGTACGCCGAGGAGCTGCTGCAAAGCTACTCCCGGCTCATTGTGCACTCTGGAGACATTCTGCGCTCGCTTCCTGAACCACGCGAAGGGCTGAGTGTGGCAAACATCAAGCCCAAGAAGGACGAGAGCACAGCCTTTCTGCGCGAATGGCAGCACCTAGAGTCTGTTTTCGATGAGTATCTCATTCGACTGAATGACGTCCGGGCGCGTGCACACGAAGAGCTGGAAGCGGCACGCATAAAGTGCCTGGCAGGTGAGGACATTGACCTGACGCTGCCGGAAGCACAGGTTAGACTCGGCGTTCGGCTGGAGAAATACAAGCGACAATACGACACTTTGCAACAAATCATCAGCGGCGTCCCTATTACCGAGGAATTGAACGAGTCTTCTGGCGAGCAACCGTTCGGGAATATGGAGGTGGACGCAAGTGACATAGGTAATGCGGCAGTGGAAGCGCGGATTGAAGACACCACTTTAGAAGCACAAACAAGTTATGACATAGTGGCCGACACACCTCCTACATTGTCCCTGACGTCCCATATGCAAAGCACGCACCAGGATAACTCTCTTGACGTCGATGCACAAGATGCCGTGTCATTAATCGACAGCAACATGGACGACGATGTCAACACGCCAATGTCAGTGCAGGACGCGTATGAAATAGCTGAAACTGACGGCAATGACGATGACATTGATAATATCGATGCGGCCTATGATATGGATACATCGGCATCAGCGCCGACAACAGAAGCAGCGCCGATAGTAGCGGGCATGGCAGCAGACACTCTCGATGCCGAAACCATCGACTTGGATGCTGAGTTTGGCTCGGACTACAATGAGTACAGCCAGGCCATTGAGCTTGACTCGGGCTCTGAAGTGGACGACGAGGATATGGAGGATATATTTCAATAAATGTTACAAGCTACGTGTTGCCTCAAACGCTATCGAACGCGTGCAGTTGGCCGATGATGTCTGTACAAATGCCAGCGGCCGAATCCAAGCTTGCAAGCCCGCATGCAACATCGTCAAGGGGAGCCCGCAATACGATTTCGCGCTTGACCTCGGCCAACCGGCCGTTGTGGATCAACATATGGCCCGTATTTTGGTCCTTTTTGAATGCGTCGAGAATGCTAGCGCCCTTGATACCCCTTCTGAAGTTGAGCCAGTATACGCGGACAACAAAATCCGAGCCTTCAATGCTACATTCGACAACAAGGTTTTCGGGTAAAACCGGAACAAACTTCTACATGACATAGTAAAAAGTGCTATAGATTTTAATACATGCCCATTCATGCCAAATCGTTTGACCATCTTATGTGTATAAGTTACCTCCGTGTTCTCGGACTGTAAAGGCATCAGTCCCTGTTGTCTCTCGGACGCAAGTACGCTCTTAACATGCTGGATGTCCCGCAGCAACGCATCCACGTAATTGTGGGCCTCGTCGTGCAACTCAAAGGCGGGCGGGTTCTGCGCCTTGCGCAGTGCCGATCGTGCGTAGCTTTGTGCATCTTGGGCTTGGCGCAATGAAATGAACTCGCCCTTTTTGAGATAAAACTGCACTGGCTTCCCCTGCCCTAGCTGGCCAAATGCAATTGTTGTGAATGAGAGCTGAGTGACCAATGCTCCAGAAATGGTTGCCGAACCGCTGACCTCTGCAGAAACGTCCTCGCGCAACTCAACTTGCGATTCGCGTTTCGCCGATGCGACCCCATTAGCCTTTGGTGTCGGTGCCAATAGTGACAGCTGAGCGATATGCTTGTGTACGTAACTGACTGACTCGGGAATGCTTTGTGCAAGCAGCCATCCCAGCTCGCGCTCTGTGGCCGCTTGGTCTTCGGACATAATGTATTTGTAAAAAAAATATAACAAAAAGCAAAAGATTTCAAAAAAATCAAAACGCTGCAAAAAAAGCGCAATATGTGAAACAGCGCCACCCGAAGCCTCAGCTTGAACATGTAGCCGCCATCGAGTGGCAAAAAGTATATGGGCGCAGTCAAGTGAAAGGGTATTGTTTACTCGCAGGTAAAAATTAAAGCAAAATTATGCATCCGCCGGGAATCGAACCCGGGTCTACCGCGTGGCAGGCGGCAATCATACCTCTGGACCACAGATGCTTTGAATCAATTGTTACTCAGCTATTCAGCTGCTCTCTGACTAACTTATTTTTGGGACATAAATAAACAAAATAATTTTAAAATTGAGAATAACTATTGGCACTATTGGGCATACTACTTATGTTTGGTACATTTTAATAAAAACTTTGTGCATGAGTTAAACTGAAAATAAAAAGCAATGTGCCAGGCTATGTTATTCTGCTATATCATTATAATTATTTGTTGAACGAAACATTTATACCTATCCTAACAACTAATTTGTTAGTCTCGTATATATGATTATTCCGGGTTTATTATCAAGAAAAATGAATATCTTCTATTTTAGAATCATTGAAACCACAATATGTTTTTATGCTTGACTCAATTTATTAATACTGTTACACAGACTGAAGATATGGATGTGGATATTGAGGTTGAGAATCGCGAAACAGGTTTCCACCTGCGTGCCGATTGATAGAACATTAATTGGACCATGCAGGCGTAAATTAGGGAGGCATTACATTGATGCCCAAACATGCTCCTCATTTTGCAATGCACACGCATGAGCGCACACACGCGAAAACCACAGCATTAACTTGCCAAGATACCGGTCTGCTTGCAGAGGATCCAGTTCTTACCAGCAAAGCGCACAATTCGCAATGTGCACAACAAAGGCGACGAGGCACATATATAAGATGAGGCCAGCCCTAGTAGTGTTTTAGAAATATCAGTAATAAAATATTTTATAAAATCACACCTACATTTCTAACACTAGATAACTAGTGCTCCTCACACCCCTCTTATTATAACAGTACAAACGTGTGTTGCATTTCATTTAAATTTCATTGCTTTATAAAAGGTTTACTGTGATGCCTTTACCACATTCCGGAGTTCTATTACCATCTTCAAATGACAAGACCTTTACAGCGTCATCCATACAACTGTTGCTTCTTCAGTTCCACATCAGACAATTTTATCTGAAATCCTCCTTAATTTTTATAACATTTATTAGTTCGATTTATTCAGTACACCCACACCCAGGTTCTACAAGTAGACAAATGATTTAGTAGTAATAAAATAAAGCAGTTATGTTGCAAAGACATTGGTGTTTCTTAGAAGTCTCAGGATTTTATTAAACAAAGTAGTTAAAAAATAGCTAAATAAAGCCCTCCCTAAATTTTTTTGGGCAACTTGGTTGTGAGAGAAAATAGATACATTGTGCAAAATATAAAACAAGTCAAAAATAAGAACCAAATGATTAAGACTGATTGTCTACTACGCTATCTTGGCCATCATGGGCTTTATTTCAGACCTGGCTATATGTGCTTATAAAAAACAGCATCAACCGACATTATTGTTTTCTTCTCGGTCAACTGTACAAACATAATTACTACAGTATTGGGTATTCCATTAGTATTTTCGTCGAAAATAAAATCAGACCCACTGATTGGAGCGTTTTGGCTCCACGTTCTACTGTTACGCTAAATTCATTAACCCAAATTATGCGGCAACCACCTTAATCAAAGCTTGAGCAGTCGGTTCACCCATGGAGTATGCTTTATGGAGTTGTATTTTGCCTTTTACTATATAAAATACATGAAATATTGTATTTGTGCAATCTAATTTCGTGTCTTCTTTCATCCATTTTCCTTTGGTGTCTGACACATTATTAGATGCACTGGCTAATGAAAATAATATATATTTATATTAATATAAATATAAAATAAATGCGAGTAAAGATAGAAATGCAATATTGTATGGAATCTGCAAGCAGCAGTGATATACCATGTTCTATCGATGATTTGTGTTGCAAAAAATGGACGCTTTTTAGTTTGCATGTCAATAGCGGGAAAATATGTGTATTCACTCCTTTTTTCTTCATTTCTTTTTCTTTTCTTGCTAAAAGTCTGCCAACTGTTTGCTTTTTGAAAAACACAGGCTTTTTACACTTTTTGCAGTCCAAATTTGTCCGAAAATGCAATTAAACCCAGCATAAATCATTACCCAAATTTATAATAATAATTTACATTTGCGTGAAATATCTTTGCGATTTGCGCACTGAACTACTGCACTGCAGTTAAAACGAGGTGCAAAGTGATGTACAATTTAACTATTTGCATATATTAATATTTAATATTTAAAACCGCAATACTCCCTTTAATGCATTGGTGTAAATATGTTATGCGCCCAAGAAGAGTGCAAAGCAAGCCAAGGAGGCTGCTTTGTACACTCATTATTCTACTTTGTACATTATTTTGTACAAAGTAGAATAAAAACAAGGAGTTTGTAAATTGCTAGCTTTAATGCGCATTTGTTGGGTGCAAAAAGAAAAGCGGAAAAGGCGGGAAAACGGTCAGTCCATGCGGGCTCATTTGGATCCACATAAGCTCACTTATATTGATTGTGTAAAAACCAATGTGAGCTGCACTATTTGCGGTGACGCTCACAGAAGGCAGCGATACGCGCTGTGGCGATGCGCAACTTGTCCTGCGGAGGAGTGATAACCAGTCGAATGGTACCCGGGTAGGCAAAACACTCTCCAGGGAGAACCTCGACGCTCTCCTCCCACTTAAGCTTGTGATAGAAATCGGCATCGCTCGAAATGTCGGCAAAGGTTTCAAGGTTGAGTTTGACCATTATGTACATGGCGCCCTGCGGCGTGATCACATCTAGACCAGCAACCTTGTTAAGCTCGGATTCGACAATGCGCGCATTGGTCTCAAGCTGCTTGTTCACAGTGAGCAGATAGGTGTCGGGCACCTCGGCAAATATCTTGGGAATTGCTGCCTGTAGGGGAGCGCACGGGCCATTAATCAGGGTTGAGAGCGCAAAGAGCCCATGGCGGACGTTCTCAAATACATTGTTGCGGTCGTTGATCAGAATCCAGCCGATGCGCCAGCCGGGGACAAGCCATTGCTTCGCGAGGCCGCTCAGCGTGAGAATCGGCACTGTAGACGTCAGTGTTGCCGTCGACGTAAAGACTTGGCCGCTGAACACCATATCGGCGTAAATTTCGTCAGAGATGAGTGGGATCTTGTGGCGCTCGCAGAGGTCTAGGATGGCCTTGAGGTGCGTCTTGGTAAAGTTGGATCCGCAGGGATTGGACGGGTTATTGATCAGGATGGCCGCGGTGTTCTGGTCAATCAATGACTCCATGTGGTCAATGTCGGCCTCCCAGTTTTTCTCTGCCAGCAAGTTGTACAGTCGCGTCTCGACATTGCGCGATCCAGCGACAGTGTTGTACAAGCAGAATCCAGGGCGTGGGAGCAGAATGTTCTGCCCCTCATTGCATAGTACGCTGATTGCCATCTCCACGGCACCTGAGCAACCGCTGGCCATTACAACATCCTACAAAGCAAATGTGCGCGGGTGTTGGCAGAATGAATATATGCACAACATAATTTAGTGCGTGTATATATCGGAAAATTTCGAATAAAGCAAGGGAGTGCCCCCGTGCATTGGCAGCTGTGGTCACGATGTGCGTGGGAGAAAGCGCAATATGACTAATTGTGTTGTGGTGGTGTGTGCGTGGGAAAATACAGCTGCAAAGCTCTGGGCATCAATCGGAGAAATTGGGTTTATCCAATGTGGTCATAAGGGGGCTTGATGGACAAATGCATAAATGAACAAATATATATACATATTCCCAGTATATGCATGATCTTTAGTGCATAAAAAGAAGCACATGTGCTAAAAATAACGGGGAAGGTAAACTTACATCAGCGGTCAATGGTGCCTGAGGGTGGGAGTATTTCTTTGCAATGGCTTCGCGGGCCTGAGGGACTCCTAAGACACAAGACAACAGTTATAAGCAAGAAAAAACAATAAGATTAATATATAATTCAAAATCTTAAAAGCGATTCAACAGAGCAAGAGAAAAGTGCATGACTAACATTATGTCCAAGCCGCAAAATGAACGCACAGCTGAAATCAAAACATTTTTTGCATTCAATTTATTCGTCTGTGCGCACTAAAAAAATACACTTTTACTCGAGACTTACCGACTGAGGGCGGGTAGCCGTTGAAGGCGTAGCTTCTAATGGCCTCCTCGACGGCCTCGACCACAACGGGGTGGGTCTTGAAGTTTCCGAACACCGTGGGGTCGCCTATAAATTCCACAAACATAAATTAAATAAAGAATTAAGCATGCTACTTTGAGTATATCCGGAAAAAGTATGTGACACCTCAAGTTCACTCATCTGTATGCGACTACTTGATTAGCAATTGAATCGCTGTAAACCTGCGAGTATAGCGAGCAGACAAACACATCGTTAGGCTCTGAATGCGTACCAATCGAAAGGCTGATGATTTCCTCGGTGCTCTTTGGCGTTGAAAGCGGCTGCACGGGCCGGCTGAGTACATCACGGATGGGATTGAATGTGCGGCGGGACACCTCGCTGGCGGGCACTGTGTCCCATCCCCCAGGTTGAGAAACGCTTGGTGTTGCAATGGCAGAGGGTGACATGTTTTACAATTGATACAGAAGTATGATAAGCAAAAAGGTGGTGGAATTATAATATTCAAAAAAGAACGAGTGAGAAAAGAAAGAGCAAAACATACCAATGCACCGAAGAGGGCAGCGGAAAGTGCCATTTATATGCATTTATCCCTGAGGGAACAGAGAGTGAGCAAAGCCAGCCAATCTCCGCAAGATTACCAGATAATAACGGACCTTTGTAACAGCCTGCCAGCACAGATTGGGGGATATTCAGTGTGATTGAGCGATGCATTTGTAAAGTGTATTTGTGCGCGTTCCCCTCTTTTTTTTTGCCCCGCGTCTTCATGCCAAAAGATGAGTCAAGTTGGCCAAGCCTGATCCGATCACAATGGCCGTGCCACTTTAATGGCTTGCTCTTATGCAGCAGCAGAGTAGCAGCCAAGAACAGAAAAAAAGCTGGGGGAGTAGCGACCTAAGGGCCCATCCGCCACGAAATTTTCATAATTCTTTTTTATTGACAAGCAAGTTGGGAAAAGTTACGAATCTCACAATATCCTCAACCCAAGTTTAACGACTCATCAAGAAAGGGCGTATAATTAACAGTTTCTCATTTGACAACAGAACGAGTTCCGAAATCTGCCGAAATCCGCCGAAATCCAGCTTGCTTTCCCGCTTGGTTGGTTGGTCAGGCAAAGACAATGGAGTCTTGATATTCAGCACCCTTCAGATGGGGTGTGCAAACTGCCTGTCTAGTCTAACAAAAAAGATAGCGTTAGGCGCGCTTCTTGAACGCCACAGTGGCAACGGTTTGTCCGACAACCCCGCCAAACTGGAACGACTTGTTTTTGACGCGGCCGATGCATTCCAGGTATGGCTCAAATCGCGATACCAGCTCATCCTCGGTCCAATTGCAAGAGGTGATCAGAAAGACGCCAGTGTCCTTGAGGCTGCCGACTACCGACATCGGATATACGTTAATAGCGCTCTGGTCGACACACACATCATCAGAGTCCTTTGGCTTTAGACAAATAGCATCATAAGTGCCCTTGTCCAGAACCACGTCAAACTTTTCGTCCCCGGCTACACGCGCAACTTCCTGCAGGTCAAGAAAATTCTGTTCCATGTATGTTATGCTGGCCTCGCGGCTGAGTGCTATACTCCGCGCGAGCTCCACGGCTTGTGCAGAGTAGTCGGTGCCCACAAGGTTAGTGTAATTTTCTTCGGCTAGCTCTAGCAAAAGATGGCCGTTGCCGCAGCCAACATCAAGAATTCGCGCATCTTCGTCCTCAATGTTGGCGCACACCCAGCTCACCATTTTTGTCGCTGCGGCTTCGCCGAACCACACCTCACCAATATCACCGTTGTCATTAAAGTTGTTTATTTCGCGTCCGTAAACATTATCCCAGTGATCCTTGCTTCCAAGCTTGGATGCCACGAAGGGCTCGGTCTCCGTCTTCAGTGCGTCTACCTGATTTGTGTCGTCGGCGCTCATGGCTATTGGAGGGTTGTCAATTATGTGTGGATCGATCTTGAGTGTCCGGTCTATTTTTTTGCGCAGCCTGTCGGCACCCCAAGCATCATCTCACTGGCTCATTTAGTCTTTATGGGGGGGAAATCGTGTGTGGCAGATTCTTTATATCTCACTCAATGTATCCGTTTTCTCTTAAATGGTAGCAGATTCTCGGGCAGCACTCGCCAATACGGCAGCCTCATAATGCATTGCACGTACATAAAAAAGGTCAATGTTGATACACGGTTGGACAAAATGTAAATCTAGTTGTCAGACTCTGGCAGGGCGCGAAAGATAAACGCACGGATGTCTTCCAAAATCTCTGCCTTTATGTCCTCAGGCACCGATGAGCGGGCAAAGGGCGTGACCTCCTCTGCGATGTCGTCGACAGTCAGCTTTTCAATTCTATCGGCGTTCTCGTGGACAATCTTTTGGCACTTGTCCTTAACTCTGTCTTGCCACCCGCTGGTATGCAGTTTGGTGCGCATGATCTCCTGGAGCCGCTCGCGCTCGCCAGACTCAATGAACCGCTTCAAGAGCTCTTCCCGGATACCACCAGTCTCTGAAAGCATGTGTGTATCTTGTTAATGTATCTTGTAGTATGAGCAGCAGCCAACTTATGCCGGAAAACCAATAAAATAAAAGGAAAGGGTTTTTCGAAAGGCGATGGGTGTCAAAAACAAAAAATTATATAACATCGGCCAGCGCGCAACAAGCGCGACTAGCAACGGCGACACGCAAAACACACTAGCGATAATGCTGCTTACGGGGGCATAATCACGTGTAAACACTAGAAATAATTATGTATATATTGCGACGAAGAACTAAAAAAATTAGAAGAGAACGCGGGTAATAATGTTCTCAGTGATGCCAGTGATATGCTCGTAGATGGTGTTGATCTCGTTGGGGTTGTTGACAGTAACGTCGGCCATAAAGTAGGCGACGTCGCCCTTAGAGTCGGAGATCTGCTTGTTGACGTTGTAGTCGGCAAGGATGTTGTTGATCTGTCTGAGCACACCGGGAACGTTCTGGTGAACATTTACAATGCGGACCGTGGCAAGATCGGTCGAGGGGATAGCGCGCAGGTCGCACTCCGCAAAGTTGACAGCGTTGACGGAGGCACCCGAGTTGATGTACTTGACAATGGCCTGGGCCACCTCAATACCGATCATGCGCTGGGCCTCTTCGGTCGAGCCACCAATGTGTGGGGTCAACAGGGTGTTGGGGCAGTTGCGCAGGGGGCTCTCGAATCCGGGGCCGTTGGCCAGGGGCTCCGAGGGATACACGTCGACGGCGGATCCTGCAAGGTGGCCCGACTTGAGGGCGGCAGCAAGAGCATCAATGTCAACGACGGTTCCGCGCGACGCATTGATCAGATACGAGCCCTTCTTCATCAGGGCAAGTTCGCGCTCGCCGATCATCTCTGTAGTCTCAGGGGTCTCAGGAACGTGGAGGGAGACAAAGTCAGCCTCTGCAAGTAGCTCGTCCAAGGTCTCGGCCGTGCGGCTCATGCCAATAGGCATAGCCGGGAGGATATCATACCACACAACGTTCATGCCGAGGGATTCAGCCAGCACGCCGAGCTGGGTACCGATGTGGCCATATCCGATAATGCCCAGCGTCTTGCCACGGATCTCATAGCACGCCTTGGACACCTTGTTCCACACGCCTTCGTGCATCTCGCGGGAGCGGTCGCCTAGCTGCCTGGACAGCAGGATAATCTCGGCGATGACCAGCTCGGCCACACTGCGGCTGTTGCTGAACGGCGAGTTGAACACGCAAATCTACAATATATAGGTAAAAAGGCATGTTTTGGATGACAAATGACTTTAATGTTAGTGATAATAGCATACAAAAAAGTGGGCATTGAGCGGCGCAGCGGTATCATGGCAGAAAGTGTGATACTTTCATGTGTCAGTTGGCAAGACGGGCATATGGATGGTCCTTAATACTGCAAACAAGTTGGATTGCCAAGTCCAAATTCAACAGCAGGAACAGCAGAGAATCCCTTACTCCCAGGCCAGCAAACGCTATCGGAATTTACAAAGGAATTGCGCCAGAGACAGTACCACAACCAAGACTGGTGTGGCAATGTTGAGAGATACAAGCATGCATTGATGCCTGCTGTCTGCAGCATGCGATTTGTGTCCGAACAAAACAAAATGCGTGCGCGCAAACGCATCGGGGATATGTCCACCAATCACCAATAAGCAGACACAATCTTATCATATCTGTGTGCGCAGCAAAACACAAATCAATCAAAAAAACAAGGTGCAGTTGATACTTACCCCGCGGGACGCAGCGTAGCTCAAATCGACCTGATTTGTGCCAATGCAGAAGCAGCCAATGGTGAGCAGCTTGTTTGCGTGCGAAAGCACCTCTTCTGTGAGCTTCGTCTTGCTTCTACATAAAAAAGTTAACAAGCAGAGCGATAAGCATGCGTGTGTATGTGTGTTGATTAGCGCCCGTTGATAAATATTCTGCTTGACTTTTAGCTGCACAGGTATCGTAAAAAAGCAGTTTCAGCGTGTCTTACCTGATGCCGACGGCGTGCACGTCCTTGATCTTCTCAATGAGAGTCTCTTTGTCAAGCGCCTTTGTGTGGAACTCGACCTGGTAGCCGGCCTTCTTCAGAATATCGATAGCCTTGGCGCTGACATTCTCGAGCAGCAGGATCTTGATGTCGCCGCTGTTAAAGGGCTTGAGGTTTCTGGTGCGTGTGTCACGGGTGTTGAAGCTGTCGCGGCGGGAGATGGGGACAGACTCGATCTTGAACTGGTCAGACATGTTTTGTTATTTTTGTTTGTTGCTGTCGATTGGAGGCTGTGTAAGTGTAAGTGTGTATTAAAATCCCTACTTGGAAAAAACAGAAGAGGTGCAGGCGTTGTTTGTTTGGCATAATAGTTAGTAGAACAGCATCTCGGCCTCCTCGACTTTATTTTTTGGGTGCTCTCCTGAAATAGGGGCAGTCTGGAACGCGTATATTAAAACTACAAAATAGTCCATCATGTCAGGGCAATACATAAAACGGACAAACATTGTTGATACATACTGCTGGTTGTCTGCTAATAAGACTAATGCGATAGAAGCGAGCTGAGAAAACAAAAAAGAGAAGTGTAAAAGAGCTAAGGATATGTGGATAATGAAAAAGAAAAGAAAGGGGGCGCTGGTCCTGACAAGTGCTCCTTTTAAGCATTTTCGCCTTCCCACTACCATCCTCATTTTCACAGTGACTTTGTCAGCGCTCCCACCATTCACAAGCGGGAATTGCACACGGAGCTGCAAGCGCGCTGTTATCGATTAGACGCTGTGCTGTCATTGGATGCGAAGGCGATAACAGTGTCCAAGTTGCAAATTATAATTGCCACATTGCGATTGTTAGCGAGTCATAAAACGCAGCCATTGGCTGCCGTGCCGCTGTGAGTCAGACAACATCACAGAAAGTACCACTAATTTTTTTTACAAACTCACACGGCCTGCGCAAAATAAGCCAGGAACATCACTGTCAGCTCACTTTCTTGAGGGGCAGCATCTATTTTTGCCAATGGAAAGCGCAAGCCCAAACTGGCAGATTAGCAGAGTGGGCGCAAAATAGAAGCGCTGGAACGCCCATTTAGGCAGTTCGTATATTTCTTTCAGTGTTGTTGCTGAAAGTGTGAAGAAGGAGTTCCGTTCACATCGTATTTCTTTGCGTAATCAATTTGGATGGACTGTAGTTCGAGCCGGTTCGAGCTGTGCCTTTGTAGTTTTAATTGCTGTAGTGGAAAATACTTTTTTATGTTGATCTGATCTGAGTTGCCAATTCTGCGGTGTTGGAGATTTCCAATTGCTGCTTTTTGAAGAAAAAAGCCAGGTGACCAAAGCCAAAGCCAAAACAAAACAATTGCAGACGTAAAACGCCAGAATCGCACTCGGCTTTTTTGTCTAGGCTTAACACACAATACAAAAAACGCGTTTTTCGCCTATCCTTTGTTTACTTTTTTAACTCTACATCAAAGCAACGTTTTATTTATCGGTAAGTGCATATATAATGCGCCGTTATCGCTGACCCTACTGATTGCTCTAAACTTTGCGTAGCAAAAAAGGGCCCGTTGCTCTTTCAGGTTGTTTATATTTATGTATGCGTTTGTGCTTGATTTGATCAACCATCTCTCGCCCGTTTTGTCCCCTTTTTTCGTTCCCCACGTTTAATTTTTTTTTTGCGTTCCTCGCGCAGAGTCGAATTTTTTTTCGTGCCGACGCACTTTCCCCGCGTTTGGTTTTTTCTTCCTCATCGCGCGTGTGCTTCCCTTTTTTCTCTCTTCTGCTTTTACACTTGTTTTTTTTGTCACCAAAAAAATCAATAGCTATATTTCACATCTTGCTAATCAGACAATTTAAAAAAGTATCCGTTTATTTTCACACTATTAGTAAGCTCCAAGCCTTCAGCAGCGTCTCCCATTGTCAACCATATCTAACATCTTTTAGCCATGGGAAACACACAGAGCAACCTTCCCACATACTACAACGCGGACCCCACGAATGATGCCTATGCGCACTCGCTCACCGGCTACGTCGATCTGGCCTCAGAGGCACTTGGGGCCAAGGTTGTCAGGGCCAGCAATGAGCGGTTCGGGGCAGCCAGCAACCTGATTAAGGCGCAGGAGCCTCAGTTGGCACAGAACACCAAGTGCAGCGCTGCAAAGGGTGAGTTTGATGCCTGGGTGACGCGGCGGCACAACCCCGAGACTGACTGGGCAGTGATCCGGTTGGGCAGCATTGGCTCCGTTGCGGGCTTCAACATTGACACGCGCGGTCTCGACGGCGAGCACGCATCGCAGGTGTCCATCCAGGGCTGCCTGGCGCCCGAGAACTCAGCTGTCGATAACCGCGGTGATATCGAGGATGTGAACTGGGAGGAGCTTCTGCCAGCTATTGAGATTGCGCCCAACTCGAAGCATACTTTGGCGCTGTGGACCCCCACGGCCGCAGTAAACTTTGTGCGCATCACTTTGCATCCCGACGGCGGCGTCGCGCGGCTACGCATCCTGGGCACTGTTGCGGTTAACCCGGAGGCCGTGGGAGAGACTGATTTGGCCTCGGTCAATGCCGGCGCTCGTGTCATTATGGCGAGCGATGAGAAGTTGGGAGCCAAGGAGAACCTTATTCTGCCCGGCCGTGCTACCGCGGATTCGCCCGAGACCTTGGGCTGGAAGACACGCCGTAGCCGCTCGGATGACCACACCGACTGGGCCATTGTGCAGCTGGGCGAGCCCGGCTTCCTCACCCGCATTGAGCTCGACACTGGTCTCTATGACGGCGACCAACCAGCAGCTGCATCCGTCCAGGCCTGCTACACCGAGATGGCCAACCCTGAGCGCGACCCGCAGTGCTTCTGGTACCAGATCGTGGCCCGCACCGAACTCAACGGAAGCAAGGTCCACAAGATTGATGTCTCGCTGAACGACGTTCCATTCTCCCACATTAAGCTGGTTGTTCACCCCGATGGTGGTGTGAGCAGGCTGCGCGCTTACGGTCAGCGCGTCAAGGAGATCGAGGAGGAGGCTGCACGGGAGGAGGCTGAGGCTGCTGCCGAGGCTGCACTTGCTGCCGAGATTGGGCTTGACTCCGAGACGCCCTCTGCAGCATCTGAAAACGAAGAGGCTACTGACGAGGCTGCTGAGGAGGCTACTGACGAGGCTGCTGAGGAGGCTACTGACGAGGCTGCTGAGGAGGCTACTGACGAGGCTGCTGAGCAGGCTGCTGAGGACCAGAAACAGGCGAAGGTTGTCGCTGAAGAAGTCATCGTCGTGGAGATTACTGAGTCTGAGACGGCTGCTGATGAGACTGCCGCCGATATTGTTACTGCCGCTTTCATTGAGGCTGAGGCCATCTCCAGTGCTGCAGAAAGCACTACCAAGTCACTCATTGATGTCACTGTGACTGAGGTCCCCGTCGTTGCCGAGACCAGTGGTAACAACCAGGAGACGGTCATAAGGTCCAAAAAGGCTGACAGGGTTGACAAGGCTGACAAGCAGGATGTGCCATCGACCCCGCCACGCAAAAAGCAGAACAAGTCCAGGAAGAACTCTGGGTCCGAGTCTGAAGTCCCGGCCAAAGATCAGTTCTCTTCGCGTGCCGGTGAGCTGATTCAGAGCCTGACCTCCCCCATGCCCATTAGAAAACGCGCCAACACTAGGTCGCGTGTCGAGGAGGATACCGATGAGGGATCCACCAATACTGTTGATTCTCAGCCCAAGCGCCCACGCCGGAAGCCCAAGTCTCGCAACCAAACTGCCGCAAACTAAAATAGGGAAGTTGTAGGCTTTTTATCTCTTCCTCCCCCCCCTATTTTTTCTCTATAATATTTCATTTTTTATTTTTATCCATTTTTCATTTCACTGATATATCTCGCACATTAGTGTCTAAAAGATGTGATATTCAATGATAACAAAATACATGTATTTGGGGTTTAAAATGTCAAAGTACATCATTTGCAGAAAACCCACAAGCTGGTTATTTGGTCACAAGCACGCTGTTGGTCAGACCGGTTTTTTTTCAAGTAAAATTTTTTTTCCTTCCACTTTCGTTTCTCTGTTTTTCCTCCTTGTCTTACAACCACCTCTTTTTTATTTACTTGATTCCTTTTTCTCTTTCTAGTCGTTAATCATCGAGGCAAAATAAAAAGGGAATAAAAACGCAATGTCAGGCGAAGGAAACACCACTACAATCAAGGCAGACAGCCAACAAGGACCAAAGCTCCCTCAGAAGCGGTTCTTCAGACAACGCGCACATGTCAACATCTTCAATGACATGCCCTTGGACTACCCAGTGCGTCCCTGCGAGGAGGACTGGTCCAAGCTATATCCCGCGTACTTCCGCCCCACCACCACAGCGGATCAAGCAACAGAGTCCGGCGATAAAGTGGATATTGATTCGAAGCGCCCCATGAGCCCCACCGATACCCAGGATATTCCCCAGGCAAAGCGCGGTCCTGGTGTCAACCCCCACGTCTCCTGCGGGCTGACTGAGGACCAAATGGCCAAGGTGGAGTTTGCCGATATTGGATGTGGATACGGGGGTCTCCTTGTTGCCCTGGCGCCTCTGTATCCGAACAAACTGATGGTCGGTATGGAGATCCGCACCAAGGTGGTCAACTACTTGCAGCAGCGTATCGAGGCACTGCGCGGTTTCCAGAACGATCTCCTGAAGCGCAAAGAAGCCGGTGAGGATATCGAATGGGTGGATGTGCGCACTAAGCTGAGCCAGGAAATCGCCGATTTGTCCAAGCCCCTTGATCCGCAGGCGGAGGAACTGCATGATAATGGTGAGACCGATCGCCTGGTGCCCGGCCACTACGAGAATATTGCATCGATGCGGATTAATTGCCAGAAATACTTGCCAAACTTTTTCACAAAGGGACAGCTGTCGAAGATGTTTATTTTGTTTGCTGATCCACACTTTAAGCGCCGCAAGCATAAGGCGCGTATTATTTCGGCCACTATGCTTGCCGAGTACGCGTATGCTTTGCGCGTTGGTGGCATTGTCTATATGATCACCGATGTCAAGGATCTTTACGACTGGAGCGTCAAGCATTTAGATGCGTTCCCCCTGTTCGAGCGCATCTCCGAGGAGGAGCTCGAGAACGATCCCGCCATTCCATGCGTTGTCAACAGCACCGAGGAAGGAAAGAAGGTCGCGCGCAACAAGGGCAGCAAGTACCTTGCGTGCTACCGCCGCATTGAAGACCCCGCCGAGCAGCAGTGAGAGCATAGTGCAGGCCAAGCCCTGCTTATACGTGCGCGGTCAATTAGACGTTTTCTCTTTTGCCGAAATAAATGCACCCTTTTTCGATTAATATCCTTTTATTTTCAAATCGAGCAAAACAATTTTTTATTTTACACATAATAATTGTTTCACCAAAGGCACAATGTAGTGGGTATTAGATGAATATTTTTTATTGTACATGGATTTTTTAAAGAGGTTTTTAGAAGAAAAAAGAAATGTTAAAAGTTACAAAACGAGAGCCTGTGCGCGACGCACAGAGCTTCAGCGTCGATATGGGTGAGAAGCAAATGTGGCAAGAGATAAAAAAAGGCCCTAGCAGTATGCACTTGTAAAGAAAAAGAGACGCAAGCTTGGACAGATAAGCAGAGGAAGGAGCTCTTCCCCAGCGATCGATCGACTGGCCTCTTGATATTAAAAGTGGTATGAGGTTGGGGGAGTGTTTGATGGTGTGGCAGGCAGAAAAAAATAATAGAGTAGCAAGTTATATCGCACTGTGTCAAGAGACACAGAAAGCATGCCTGCACAGCAAGCACACTCGCACGACAAAAACAAAACAAAAACGGGTATGGTTCCCCCCTTCGTTGCTCTTGCCGTGTTGAATGGATGCGTGCGTGGTTGCAGTGCAAGCGGGCCAGCATATGAAGAAGATATTGTCTTTGGAGAAAGGCAACGAAAGACGTGCGCAGGCAGGGAGGATGGGGAGAAGAAGTAGGGATGGTATAGCATAAGCAAAGGCAAAACCGTTTCAACAAACAGTAGACCAGTGAGCGTCACAATGGACTGGCAGTTAAGACAGTGATGCGCGCCGCCAGCGTTCTTGTTGTCGCTCAGCCGAATAGTACCGACTGGCTGTCCCTCCAACTTGTCCCTGCTCTCCTCTGCCTGCACAGGCGGGCCAGAAGCCCGCATTTTTGGGGGTTGTTTTATTAGTGGTATGTAGCAGTTTCGTCCTCCGAGTCTCGCCAGTCCAATTGCTCTCCCCTGAACTGCCGTGTTGGCCCGCAAATGTACGATATGTTGTATTGTACTCTAAGCAGTCGCAGTGGCAGCCTGCTTCTCAGCAGTTGTGACAACCGTCAACGAAGCCTCAACAGAGTTCTTTGCGATGGGCACAGCGGCAGTGTCACCCTGAGGCACGGAACGAGAGCGCTTGCGTGGCGAGAGAGGTAGCAGCTTTTTGCGCGGAAGCTGCGTCTGGCGGCCGCTTGCAGCGTTTTGCTCAGCCTCTTCCAGCTCCTCAGAGTTCTTGCAGCGCTTGCGCTTGCATGGCAAAAGGGCGTCCTCTTTGTTGTTGTCATTGTTGTTGTCGAGGGCGCACAGCGGGCTCTGGACAAGCTCCCAGCCACCGTTAACAGCATATCCCTTGACAAAAACGTCAACAGCGTCGGTAACCGGCAGATAGTCTAGAGGCTCCTCGGGAGAGCACGGCGATTCGGGTGATTCAAGAGAATCTGACGAGTCAGAGGTGTTATCCAAGTCAGAAATTTGAGCATCGCTATTGTCGTCATCTCCGTCGTCGTTGCTAGAGTCAACGGCGGCGGCAGTAGTATCGGCATCGGCAAAAGTCGTGAACGTATTGCTCAGGTCCTGGTTGTTGGTGTTGGCCAGGAAGCGGCGGAGCGCCTCCTCGATGCTCGGTGGCAGAACCACAGCGTCATCGGCACCAAGGGCAATATTGTTTTCAGAGTACTCGACGGTGGCGGCCAAGTCGCAGGCATCGAGGTATGAGCCAGTGCCGACGGCGCTCGTGGGCGACGGGGATGGCGAGAGAAGGCCGGTAGCCATGTCACCTTCAGCTTCCTCAGAGTCCTTAGCGTAGGACACATGCGCTGCCAGTGGCTCTATGATAGACAGGGGGGCAATGGTCAGATAGTTGTCGCCACCCAGCGGCCACTCGGCCTCGGCCTCACTGCTGTCCTCCGAATCGTAGAAGGCCTGGGCAGAGACAAGATTGAGAAGCTTGGACTTAAAGCTGTTGAGGACGGCCTCAGCAAAGGGCGGGTTGACCTTGCGGCTGTCGGCGAGATGTTCGTACTTGTTCGAGAGGGTCTGCAACGTGGTCATGCACCAGTCGGCTGGAGGCATATCGTTGATACTGGTGTAACTGTTCATCGGGAATCCGCTGAAAAACATGGGCTTGAAATAAATGTGTGAATAGTGCAAAATATGAAATGTGTGGTTTGCAAAAGTAAATGGCCAGATACAGACTGCTGCACTGCAGAGACGAGAATATGGTCAAATAAGCTTGCAAAGATGCTGCCACAAGTAATAGGCTTTGGCTAGACGACGGCGGTAGCGGTGTCCTGCAAGTGTCACTACTACAAAGTTTAAAGAGCAAAATAATAAGGAGTTTAACGAATTAATAAAACATCCCGCAAAAACTTTTAAACATACAATAAAGTTGAAGGAAACGGCGGACCATCATCATCATAATAGTTAATAGCAGCATCATCATCATAGGCAGGTAAAACATTCTTTGAGGATTAGAAAAATCAAACTCGAGGCATCATTCTCGACTTTTGAAAAGTAAACAAAGTGAGCAGATGAATATGAACACTGGGATTGAAGAAAATAAGACCGGGTGGGTCAGACCGGCATCACCCTTGAAAACCGGGACAGACGGTCACCAGAAATGGACAAAGAGAGTTCGTGTGCAGGATACACATGTACATGAAAAAGACAATAATAAAGAACGGGAGGGTGCGCGGCGCAGGACTCACTGGACATCAGTCACAAGCCACAAAATAAAACGCGTTTAGTTTTGTAGCAAGTGCTGAAAAAGAAAGTGGAAAAAAGGATGCGAGAGCAAGTGCTCAAAAAATAATGAGACTGGATTACCAAATGGGCCCAAAAAAGATCTGGTCCCACTATCCCCCACTATCCTGCGCGCGCACTAAGCCACACGAATATGCTCAATCAATTATTATGCATTTTTCTCTGGGCCGATAAAGCCAACAAAAAAGTAGCAAGGACAAAAAAGGAACTATGGACACTCACGTTTTTAAATAAATAAAAAACTAGAGAAAAAAGCTAGTACGGGTGATTGAAAAAGAGGTGAAATTTTTTTGAGGGAGGTTGAAAATGAAAAAGCGGATTTTTTTAGTCACGTCCTCCTTTTTCAGCTCTATTAGTGCAAATAAAAATAAAAGGCGCGTAAGAGTGGAAAAAAAGAAAATAGCAGAGGAGAAAAAGGTGGGCAGCCTCCATTACAAATTCCCCCCCTCCTATACTTTTTCTTTTTTTTGCTTCCCTTTTCCACATTTTTTGGGGGGGCAGTGATTGGGGACATTGAACGACAAAGAATAAAAAAAGACAGCAGCCAGAAAGCAAGTTTCCGCCGCATTCTATTTCTGAAGAACTGACACAAGCAAGTTTCTCATTGGCCGAGCCCCTATACACGTGAAAACAATTTTTGTCGCGGCTGCATCTGATTGGCTTGTGACACTGTCAACAGACACTCACGCAGGACATATGGCCAATTGTGAGCGAGAGGGCAAAGGGCACAGGTGGCAAAGGACAAAGCTTTTTTTAGCGCGGCACCGAGCAGTCATGCATTTTCCCGCATATTTTGCGCAAAATTTTTCTTTTTTTTCGTCTGCCAAACGTTGCAAGGAAGCTTGGCTGTCAACGAGACGTGACGTAATTTATTGCACGTGAATTTACTATGATAGGCCATGCGTTGCAATCTCATGTGTCACATGGCTATGGTTCGGCACCGCAGTGCAGCAAAGGATTGAGGATATTTTATTGTTGCATCTTTGAGACACACGTGCGAGTGCGGGGAACAAGCTTTTTTGGGGTGCAGGGCACGCGGGTTGCAGTCCGCTTAATTTTAGATGAGGGCCAAAGTCACACCGCCAAGTGGATAGAATTGCTGCGCACTCTGGTTAGAGGTGTCGTGTCCAATTCCTTGGCTCAAAATAGCGCGCAGCATCATCTGCCAAGGACCGCGACGACAGCAATACTGCCTGGTGACACACCCTTATTATTGCTACATCGTAGATGTGCCAGCTGGGGTAGCACAGTCTCGCGGTTTGATTGTATTTTATTTGGACTGCGCATTGTTTGCAGGGGGATATTCACAAGTCATAAGTCATAAGGCGATTTGGTGACATCGGCGGCAATTTTTGGCTGCGCGAAATAGACTATTGCGCTCCAGGCTTAAGCCACCCATGTAAAAAATGATGGCCATGCATTGATACCATCAGCGGCGATGTGCGATGCGCGATGTGTGATGTGCGATTCGCAGTGTGAGCAAAACTGCTTTTTGTATCTCCTCAACTTATTTTTAGAGTCTTTACCGCATGTCGTGTGGAAAGTCAAATCACTCCATTATTTAGTTCTCAGAAACCAGATACAAGACAAGGCAAGAGGGGTTTGGGGTGTGGATTTTTTTATTAAAGTGATTCATGTACTCCACTTTTTCTTCTCCCCCAAATAGCACCCCCACCTCCCGCATACCGAACTTTGTAAGGGGGTTTGACCCGCAGCATCATTTTTCGCCGACACGGACATGCAATTTGGAAGTTGGTCGGATTTGGATAGGAGCGATGGCTTTCCGATAAACAAATCCAGCTCAAATTGGACCGCGGGAATAAAAAAACCAAAATTCGCCGCTATCTTTACAATCTCTCCCAAGCCATATTGGGTTTTGGTGTTTTTTTTGACTTGATTCAGCGAGTGTGTGAATAAAAAAAGATATGACCAATACCCGCTTGTTTTTCTTACTTTTGCGCATTTATTGCTGCTGACTTGGCTGCTGATGACCGCACGTTTGCTTTAATTGCTCGTGGAAAAAAGTACATTATCTCAAGAACTTCATTACTTTTAACTTCTTTTCCCCTCAATCCTCCTAGCTTCATATCGTATACATTCCTGTCGCCACAAAACACCGCACCCAGCACCAATGTCAAGTATCACAGTTGAGCCGCTGACAATTGAGTCCTTTCAGCCCTACGGCGATGTCATCCAGCTAGAGGGCCACAAAAACATAGTCATAGCCAACCAGGGCACAGCCAAGCGCGTCAACCATGTTGCTAAGCTCGGTAACTTGCGCCGATGCACCGGCCCCGCACTACAAAGCGCGCAGCCAAACATGTGTATATTCAGCTCAGCCCCGCGCCCGACATCTGGTGGCCGTCTCAAAATCAACTTGCTCGAGCGTCATCCTTACAGCACGCAGGTTTTCATGCCAATTCACCAGCAGGGCGTGAAGGTGGATCCCGACTCACCCTGCTATTTGGTTATTGTCGCTGAAAATGGCCCTGATGATAGGCCGGATTTGAAGAGTATACGGGCATTTGCTGCCAACTCTACACAGGGGATTAACTATAAGGCTAATTCGTGGCATAGCCCGATGGTGACTATTGGAAAACAAGTCAATTTTATTGTTCTTGTTTGGGAGAACGGCGTTGCTCTGCAGGATTGCGAGGAGGCGTTGATTAGTCCTGTTGCCATTGATCTGGTGCCATCGTTCAAGAGCTTGTTTGAACCAAAGCTCTAATTTCCCAATATTTTGTCACAAAAAATATTGGATACGTGTTTGAGCTTTGTTCAGTTTTGTTCAGTTTTGGATACGAGCTTGACTGGAAGTAAAATTTATCTAATTATGATTACGATGTTGTTGTTGATGCTGCACAAATGCTTGGATACCAATAAAATATTTTCCAATGTAATTATATACCAAAGCCTAAATATAAAATACACTCGCAAATTTTAGCTCGCATCGCAACCCAGTCGCTGAGACTGAGATTGGGACGATGTGTCGGCCGATTATCCGGGATCTGGCAGTGCCCAGAATCAAGTCGCCTGCCAATTAACCAGAGCCAACTCGAGCTTGTCCCAGGGATACATAAGAACGCCATCGGCTTGCAAAAGTCACTTATCCAAACTTTTGGCATCAAACAAAACAAAATGTAAAAATCACACCAAACAATTATTAACCCATGCGACACACCTTATATTCATCGTCCCAAGAACTGGGGCGTAATTCAATTTCCATTCTTGAAAACATCAGTTCCAGCGGTCGTCCTATATCCAAACGCCAAATCACAACTCTGGCCCAATATTGGAAGGTCAACCCAGCCGTGCTGTTCGACTGGTTCAGCGCCCAAAATTTGCTCGAAAACTCCAAAAGTGCCGCTGATAAATCCGCAGACCATGTTGGTTCGAATAGCAAGCCGAACAATTGGATCTGTGAGCTAAGATCCCCGTCCCAGCGCAGACGCAGGCCGCGGCCTACACATATGCCTTTGTACGGCAATTTTGTTGCTCGTGGTTTCGGCCCAAAAAAAAGACAGATGCCAGAGGAATTGGATAAAATGAGTATTGCGTATTTACTCAACTAAACTGATGGTGGGGAGAAGGCTGGGGAGAGGCGATTAAAAGTCGCCCATATTCAGCCGATTGATGTCCATGTGTTAAATTGCGCAGACCACGCGTGGTGGCAAACCGCAAAAAAAACCCCTTTTTCTTTTTCTTTTTCTTTTTTCTTGCCGCACACAAGCCCATCATTCTCCTTCTCTGTTTTTTCTCTCCTTCCTCATTCTCTCTATATTTTGTTTTCATATTAAATAAAAAACATTATAAATGACCGAATACAGCGGCACTTCGAACGACGCGTTGGTATTCAAAGCCAACGAGCGCATTCTCTGCTTCCACGGACCACTACTCTACGAGGCCAAAGTGGTCAAGGCCGAGATGTGGGATGGCAGCGACCCTGAGGCACCTGATCCCGGACCACACTACTTTGTGCACTATAAAGGGTGGAAGCAGACCTGGGACGAATGGGTGGATGAATCGCGGGCTCTAAAGTTCAACGAAGAAAACCTGGCCAAACAAAAGGCCCTGCGCCAGGCAGCCCTCCAGGCATCTAAGAAAAAGACCATTATTTTGGCGTCCAAGCACACAGTAAAGACCGAAAGCGAAGGCGAGTCGCACCAGCCGCACCACCAGAACCAGAACCAATATCAACATCAACACCAACAGCAGCAGCAGCAGCAGCAACAGCAGCAGCAGCAACAACTGCATCGTAGCAGAAAGCGCACATGGGAGTCCTCAGCTGAGAAAACAAATGAGCGCGAGGATGGTGGGTTGAAAGGACCCGATGTCAAAATGCCCATTCCCAACGCGCTCAAATCACAGCTCGTTGACGACTGGGAGCGCATCACCAAGGACCGGCTACTCGTCCCATTGCCGCGCACACCCACAGTAGCCGAGCTCCTAGCCGGGTACCAGGAATACAAGCGCGGGGCAAAGGACAGACGCAAAAGCGTCCGGCGCGAAGACGAGGTTGTCGACGAAATCATCGATGGGCTTAAAGTTTATTTCGACAAGGCATTGGGAAATATTTTGCTTTATCGTTTTGAGCGGATTCAGTATAAAAATGTTTGCGAGCGGTTTCCGGATAAGTCGCCGTCGGAGATTTATGGCGCGGAGCATTTGCTGAGGCTGTTTGTGCAGTTGCCCGGGCTGATCGCACATACGAATATGGATGAGGATGCGGTGCAATTGCTGAGAGAGCATTTGAGCGATATACTCAAGTACATGCATCGGTCGATCAAGACGCTGTTTGCTGAGGAGTACGATAACGCCAGCCCGGCGTATATGGCACTTGCCAAGGGAACGTGAAATATGTTTATTTCTAGTTTGCTTATAAAATAATTATATATTGTCATTGTTGAGTAAGGTGCTTTTATTTTGTTGTTAAATTACGTGTGTTTAGTACGATTGGCGCGGGTAAGAACCCAGCACGACCAAGTCCAAGCAGTACGCCTTGATCTCGTCGAGCGCGCTGGCAACATTTTCGTCCATCTCGTGGCCGATAATCTCGACAAAGAACATATAATGCCATTGGCGCTGCCTCGACGGGCGCGAGTTAATCGCCGTCTGGTTAATCTTATGCTTTGCAAAGACATTCAGCGCACTGCATAGAGCTCCAGGCTCTCTATGATCAACAGTGAACATCACCAGTGATTTGTCATCGCCCGTGGGTCCGTCCGAGGACTGTCCGAGGACAAGGAATCTCGTTGTATTGTCCTTTGTCGACGTGATATCCTTGGCCACCACATCCAGGCGGTACATCTCGGCGCAGACCTCGCTGGAGATCGACGCGGTGTAGTTTTCGGCCGCTGCCAGTTCAGCGGCCTTTGCGGTAGAGGACACGTCGACACGCGCGGCATTCGGCAAATGCTGGTCCAACCACTTGCGGCTCTGGCCAAAGGCCTGCGGGTGCGAGTACACTTTGCGGATCGCCGACAATTGATACCTGGACAGGAGCGACTGTGTCACAGGGAGATACACCTCTGCGCGAATCCGCACTGAGGGCTGATCAATAAAGCTATCCAAGGTCTGCACGACAGCGCCAAAGGTCGAATTCTCAATAGGGACCAGCCCATAGGTGATCTCCTCCTTTGCCACAGCAACCACAACGTCTTCAATCTTCGCAAACGGAACGTACCCGAGACTATCCCCGAAGCGGTTCATAGCCGCCTGGTGCGAAAAGGTCCCTGGCGGGCCAAGGTATCCGACGGAGACGTCGGATTGTAGGGAGATCGAGGCGGACATTATTTCGCGGTAGATCGCGCACACGGAGTCTCCGGAGAGTGGGCCATGGTTGAGCCCGCGGACCTTTTCGAATACTCGCTTTTCTTGGCCAGGCACATAGACTTCAGGCTCACCCTCGGCGCCTTGCTCCTTGAGCCACTGTCGCTTGGCTGAGCCGACGTTTAGTGAGAGGCGTGCGCGCTCGTTGAGCATGTCTACAAGCTTGCGGTCCACTTCGGCGATCTTGCTGCGCGCTGTATCGAGATCCATGATTTAATAGGGGGATTAGAGGTGGTTTTTTTGGAATGGGGAGGCTAGGGATGCAGAGAGAGAAGAAAAGATAAAACAAAGAGGAAGCTCGCTTAGGTTGCTGTGCTTTAACTGTTTTTGAATGCACGAGTGCCCGTTCAAAGACTGTGGTGTACTATATGAATGAAAATTGGGTATTATTTTGGAACGAATTAAATGAAAAAATCAGAAAGCGCCGAACGCGTTTCAAAAGCTGTACTGTGACTCATTGACCAAGATTTACGGGCGTTTTCTGATTGGGAGTAAATGGCATTTAGGTTCTAAATGAGTGCTTTCGTCATCGTTCCAATATAAACTGCAAAAATTAATTTGAACATTTTTTTTTGCTTTTTAACTTTTTCTCCACACACGCAAACCTCCTCTTCGCTTTCTTCGCTTTCCTTTCTTTTCCTTTCTTATCTTTTGGGTGAAGGGATAAAACATTTTTTTAATAGATTTATTCGAACATTATGATCGGAATACTCATTCTGGGCCAAGGATTCATCGGCACGTATCTCGCAGACCTCCTGCGCAGCCGCGACTTCTCCTTTGCAGCAACAACCACTGACGGACGCAACAACACGATCAAATGGCGGCTGCCCTCAAGCAGCTCCGACGTGAATGACTATGCGCTCCCCTCAGCAAACACCATCATAGTTACATTCCCGCTCCAGGGCTCCGCAGCCGCCACGCAGCTGATCGAGGGGTACCTAGGGTACCACGATAATAAGATCCGGCCCCAGTGGATCTACCTGGGCAGCACCCGGCCGTTCAAGGAGATCCCCAGCACGCGGTTCACCAAGCCGGACATTATTGCCGGCGGCCCTCGCGTCGAAGCCGAGGAGCTTATTATCAGCAAGTATAAGGGCAAGGTACTTAACTTGGCGGGGCTTTGGGGTGGTGAGCGCGTGCCGGAGAAGTGGTCAAGGTTCTACACGGAGAAAGAAAAGTTGCGGCAGAAGCTGAGCACCAGGGGGCTGCATCTGGTGCATGGGGCAGATGTCGCTAGGGCGATTTTGGCGGTGATTACGGTGCCAGAGTCCGGAAGGTGGCTGGTTTCAGATGGGAGCACCTACGATATGCTGCAGATTCTTCTGCGCGACGAGCGTGTGCGCGGGCTCCTTGAGGAGCTGATGCACGAGGCGGAGGTTAGGAGGATGCTGGGCGCGGATAAGGTGGAGGACGTCAGGCTGGGCGAGTCTGAGGTCACGCTGCGCATTGATCCGTCGCATTTCTGGGCCGCCGTCGCGATTCAGCCAGAGTACCCCTATGTTATTGGCGAGCCCGACCCATTTACGGGCTTTTAACTTTTTTTTTCGAAGTGTAGTATTTTTTGTTGTTGCCAAAAGTATAACAGTAGACGCTTACTGGGAAGTTTCCAAGCCAAAGCCTCTCAGGGCTCCAGAGATCGTCTGGTTCACCCACTCCCCGCTCTTCGTGTCCTTGACAGCCTTGGCGTAGGTCTGTGCAAATGCCTCGTCGCCCAGCACCCGCTCCCTCACGACCTGCTCGCGCCTCCACAGAGCCACTGCCCTATCCCTCAGCTTCCCCGACGTCATCACGGCTGTCTCCACCACAGTCCCATTCTTCGCAGCTCCCAGGCACTTCTTCTGCAGAGCAACACACTGCTTCAGCAGCTGAACATCAGTCTGCCTCGGGCTCATCCAGTAATCCAAGAGCATAAACAGCACAAGCCCGAGCGCCACTGACAGCTTCCTGGTGTACGCCGCCGAGTCGGCGAAAAACACCACTGGGTCGCTGCCATCTGCGCTGAAAAGATACAAGGACATGCGGCCCACGCGCAGCTGTGTTTCGGGCGGCACGGTGAACAGCCAGTAGAGATCGGCGGCGAGCAGCGTGCCGACGATGATCACGCCCCAGGACCGCGCAGCCATACGCGACGGCGCATACTCTGTGGCAAAAAAGGGCGTCGTCAGAAGCCCCACCAGGGCAAACGCCGGAAGGTACGTGAAGAACCGCAGGGCAGCAGAATGCATCTGCATGTGCAGATCTGGGAACCCCGAGATCCCATCCGCCATCACGCGTTTCTTCGTCTTGCGCTCCCCAAACTCGCTCGATATTGATCCCAAAAACACCTCCTCGCCGAACTTCAAGTACACATCGCGGTCCTCGTCGAACATGCAGAATCGATCGACCAAAAAGTCCAATTGCCCGTAGCTGCTCTCAGCGTAGTACTGGGCGCGGTCAAAGTCACGGTTGGACTTTTCGGCTTGCGTCGGGATCCCAGATCCCGGGATGGTGTGCGGGTGGAGGTTGGCATAGAATGCAAGCTTGTGCCGCAGGATACTGCAGGTGGAGTCAGCGCTGGTGTTGAGGGCTTTGAACAGGTTTGGCGGCTGCGCGTATATTGCTGAGTATATGTAGAGTGTTGCGAGCACCGCTAAGCTGCCGTAGACTAGGTGGTCTCCGCGGGTAAGTCGTTTTTTGCCTGCCATGCTGCTGTCTGTGCGAGTGCGAATGCGCCCCCGCATAAGGGCGATGAAAATAACTGGAACCAAAAGGTACATGAGGTACTCTATCAACCCTGAAGAAAGCATTTCAAGTCAATACAAAAAATAAGAAGGGGGGGGGGTTTCTAAGAGAGCTAATAAAGTTAAAGTTAATGGCAGACCGACAAACAATGGATGCAAATAAGAGAGAGGAGAGGAAAAAGGGTACAATGTTTTTTCTTTTCTTTGTGGCTTCTTTTGTTTGCACACAGTTTCCATTGATGCATGCACGTGTATTATCCCAAAGCACCCGGATTCCCGCAGCACAAATACTTGGTAGAAAAAAATCGCCACGCCTCTCTGCGCCGTAACAAAAAAAGAAAAAAAGCATGCAAACTAATAGCTCATACACACACACAGACACACAAAAAAAACCGCTCTGGATTATTTTATTTTTCAACTTATCTCCACACTTCATATACAAAATAAAAAAGCTCACCCCATGTCAGTGCCACTAAAGGCTGGGCAACAGCTCGTGCCGATAGCCAAATTCCGGCCGTTCATGCGCGGGTTTGACTGCGAGGTGATTGTGCTGGAGACCGCAGTGCCGACAAACATAAGGGACGGCCACACAATCCACACTTTTCTCGTGGCCGACCGCACAGGCAGCATTATGATGACCATCTGGGACGCCGAAGGCATGTCCATCCGCAACGGCGACATTATCCGCATCGAGGGCGCCGATGCTAAGCTGTTTAGGGGATTCCTGCAGCTGACCACCACCCGCTTCGGCAAAATCAAGCGTGTGGGCGAGGACACTATGCTGTTCAAGGAGCACCCCAATTTTAGCGAGATGATGTGGGTCACCGAGGAGGAGGCCAGGAGTGCAGAAGCAGCAGCAGCAGCAGCAACGGCAAGTTGATTTTTGAAAGAAAAATAGTGGGGTTTTAAATGTAATAATAATAAAATGCTAGTTGTACAGTATATTCATGCCTTCATATGCATCCTGGCCCTGGCACGCAGCCGCGATTCGAGGTGTGAGATGTAGAAGAGAAGTGTGGACTGCTGGCACCCAGCCACAAGCGCACAGCGCGCAGTCACCAGGCCCATCACTGGCACTGTGTACCCGGGGAGATTGCCGAACTTGTCCTTCCTCTGGATGGCCGCGTACATCTCGCCGCGCCGCAGCCGGATCTCCGGATGGTTGTCGAACGGCTCGACGATGCTCTCATACGCCTCGTCCACGCCCCCAGCCGGCTCCAGCACAGGCATCCGGATATGCCCGATGCCGTCCACGGCCGCGGCCTTGGCGCCGCCACCGCTTTTCTCCGCCACATACTCTGGCGGGAGCAGCCTCCGCGCGGCCTCAGGATCGCCGCCGATTTGCTCCGCCAGTTCCTCCACGATCTGCCGGTACCTGGTCGCAACCTCCCTGTATGCGACCCGGCGGGTAGGGATTCCGCGCCTCACCAACCTGCGCCTACAGTACGCGGCGAACTCCCGCTCCCACCGCTCGCCAAGAGCTGTCAGATCAGGGATGAAGCTTACGGAGAGCTCGCGCTCCCAGTCGCTCCGCCACTTGCGCAGAAAGTCGCCCAGCGGGGGCAGCCCGCCGCCAAGCTCTTCGCCATTCTCCGGATCGTGCACTCGCTCGATCTCGTCCAACCCGTAGTGCAGCTTCAGCACAACAACAATGGCCGACATAAGAATGACATCGACCTGCCGCCGGTACGCGCCCGAGCCATCCGGCTGCACTTCGAGGTACTCCAACAGCCGCAGGACCATGGCATGCACATCCATGGCGATGCCCAGCCTGCAGACAAGGTACCTGAGCAGAACACAATTGTCTATCGGCGTAAAGCTGATTTCGCAGTGTTTGTCAAAGAACGTCTGAAAAGCCCTGGTCAACGCCCGCATGCGCACGGGTGTGACTGCAAAGGGAACGATAAAGATGTTGATGATGTTCTTGCCCATCCGCGACGTCATGGATTCGGGCAGCCACTGGTGCCCCGACACGTAGGGGACATGCTCGTCGGCCATCAGCCAGTACATGTCAGTGTGCGTCAGCGGCAGCTTCAGCCAGGCAAAGGAAAGCCAGAGCAGCGCTGGCAGGTACTCCATGTGCATAAACTCCTCAATGTGTGCCACCAGCGCCCAGTCGATCCGCTTACGCTCGTTCTCAGTCGCGCTGAGCGCTGCCTGTTCAGATGCCTCTGCTGCGCCCGTCGCTTCCTCCGCGTCGCTGGCGTCAGAGCCTGGAGACTGGCTCCGCGGCAAGCCGTGGTCGGCAATTTTGGCCCGCCTGCGCTCCCACTCGATCATCTCTTGCTCCTCTCTGGTGATGTCGTCGACTCTTTTAAGCAATGCATCCAGCGAGTCTTCAATGTACTCCATGTCGTGGTCAGAGCCGCTCTCTGCGGTTTGGGTCTGAGACTGGCCCTTCGCCTGCGAGTACTGCTGGCTATACAGCGTGTCCGCTACACTGCCCGAATGCTGCTCTGCTTTATTCACGCGAGCCTTCTCATACTCTTCTTCGCCCTTCTGCCAAAATTCCTCGCTGGCATCTCTGGACACATAAATGTTCTTCACCTTGGACACATACAGCAGCCACAGGTGCCTGGCCACACCCAGGAGGGCCTCGGGCGCGCCCAAATTCTCCACCAGTGCCGTGACTTGTTTCTTCAATATAAACTGCATGGATTCAAGGATAAGGAACCGGGCGTTATTTCCGTACAGTCGTCTGCTTTTTTGCATCTCCTTTCTGCCTATGCGTTTGATTGTTTTGAACCTTCGTCTGGTTATTCCGTCGATCATGGCCTCGGTTACTTCCTCGAACATGCCTTCTTGTTGGTGTCCGTTGCGGCACATTACTCGTCCGTCTCTGCGTGCTCGCAGTTTGCTTGTGCCGCATTGTGGACACCGCTGTTTGTCCGCCATAATCGGCCCGCTGTACGTAGTCCCGCCACTGCTGAACAGAGAGTTGAACATTTTTATTTTTATTTTGGTTGTGAAATTTTGTGCAATTTTTGTTTGGAGAAAAAAAGAGAGAGTGTGTGTATGTATGTGTGTGAGGGGGAAAAATGGTTTAAAAATAAAAAGGGGAGCGTGATACAATTTTTACAAAATCATTTTTGCCTTGATCAGTTAAACATTGCCTCGCAGACCACCACCAACAGATTACAGCCCAACTGGATGATTTCAAAATGCGACTCTCTACCTTCACAACGCGTAACTAACTCCCTTTCTTTTTTTTTTACTCACCAAATTCAAATTTTAACGTTGAACTTTTTTGTACTTTAAAAAATCTTTAATTTCACTTTCACATCTCACTCAGAAAATCATGCCCGAATACATTGTATCGTCACAAGCCTACTCCAAGGCCATCCTGCACAGTGCCAAATACCCCTGGGCCACGGTCCAAGGTTTCTTCCTAGCAGAAAAGAAAGACACCAAGTACCGTCTCATAGACGCCATCGCGCTCTCGCACACCTGGACGCAGCTCACTCCCATGTTCGACGTTGCACTGCAGCAGGTCCAGAACTACGCGCAGTCCCTCGGTCTCGTAATCGCCGGATACTACGTTGCCAACGAGACTCCCGAGGTAATACAGCTCTCGGCATCCAGCGCACAGTTGGCGAAAACCCTGCTGGGGATTAATCCTGATGCTGTTTCATTTGTTATTGACGTTAGAAAGTTTAAAACTGGGGAGGTGCCTGCGTTGGTTCCGTTTGTGTTTGTGGATGCCCAGTGGAAGGAGAAGGAGGGTGCCTTTTCGGCGAAGACCGCGGGATTCTCGTTGGAGAATAACCAGGCCCTGACTACTGCGAGGATATTGGTCGAGGAGAGGGCGGAAGTAGGCGTTTATGATTTTGATGAGCATCTGGATAATGTCTCGCTTGATTGGTTGCAGAACATCGCCCTCAATGAGCGTATCAGAACCGCTTGAGATTTTTTATTGTATTAAATAAATTTCATACAGCAACCTTTATTAATAGTATATCAAAAATATATATTTATACTAATATGCTAGACGCAACCTAGAATGATAGTAAAATTAAAAGCAAAAGCAAAAAAATAAACCACCAAGATTCTGCGTACAGTCTGATTGGTGGAGTCTTGGACAAATTTTATAAATGCGCCCAATTCTAGTATTATATCATACCCTTATTTGCCTGAGATGCAAATATATTGACTGCGCGTCTGAGGTTGACAAAGCCGACCTCGTATCTCCCGCGTTCCTTCACGATAGAGTCCTTACTAGCGGTGTTGATCCAGGCTTGAAGGCCCTCGCCAGCCAACTTGTAATCCTTCTTATCAAAAAACGTTGTGATTCTGTTGTTGTGAGTTTCCTTAGAAAAACGGATTAGCATGTTTTTTAATTGGTTGATATTTGTTTCATTAATATTGCAGTTTTGTTCAAAGGTTTCGAGCATGTACTTATCGTCGGGTGTTAAAGCCATGGCAGCAGAGGCAGCGATAGCGACAAATGCGAGGATAGAAAGTAGCTTCATTTTAAAATAATGAAATGAAATTGAAAATTACAAGCAGCTAATAAATATTTTCTTTATTGATACAATTTTTTTTTTTTCAAAATCGAGGACAATTGGACAGTATATATGTATATACGAGTAGCTATATTTCCTTCACTTTTTTTGCTCTTTCTCTCCTCAATTCAACTGCTTGCCTGGCTCTCCCTAACAGGGAATTACAAACAACAAATAAATAATTTAGCAAATTAGTGGTGTAGTATGAGAATACCTAGGCCAATGTTCTTACACTATTGAATTTGTCGATAATATTGATATCATTGTTGTATAGCAATGCTGTTCAACAATTGCTAATATATGAATAATATTCTTCATTATTGTTTGCTGAGCCCCAACAGCATTGACATTGTCATTTGGTATACAATTATCTATAAGTGCCGCCACTGGCTACAAAGTAATCATATTGTTAAAATTTTGCATTGCATTGAATTTTTCATTAGAACTTTTCAAATATACAAGCCAGCAGCGTTTACAAAATGTTTTACTAAAGCCAATATAAATTTATAAAATTAAAAATATTCAGCTAAAATGGTTAGTCCAAAACTTTAACCTGGTCATTGCGTTTTTATCACACTCTCCCAAGCAGATTTGGTTTAATGTTTAAACCAATTATCAGTTCAGATATGCCTCTGCAAAGCTCTCGACACAGCGTCTAAGCTTTACAAAGCCAACCTCATATCTCTGATCTTTCTGGACTTGTGCATCCTTTTTAAGTGTAGAGATGCGCTCATTAAGGATCTGCGCGGCTTCCTTATAATTTTTAGCGTCTAAAAGCTCTGTGACCTTGGGATAATTGGCTTCCTTTGCAAACTTGGAAAGTACTATGATCAGAGCTTTGGTGTTGCTTTCGCTATATTTGCAATTTTTGGCAATAGTTTCCAGGCCATGGGCTTGGTTGCTGTTTAGAGCTGCAACGGCAGAGGCAGTAACAGCGCAAACAAAAAGGGAAATAAACTTCATCGGTTTAAGAATCCAAAACTAGTTAATTTAGCTGAGTAGATAACAGATAGATAATCAAGTTATTAACAGAAAAATATTTTTAGTTTGATCGAGGTCCCATTTGTTGGGTTTTATACTGATAAAGTACATAAAACATTGCCTCCAATGCGCCTTTTTCCTACTCCTGCTAAGCATGTGGCAGTAGTAAATATGGTCAATTGCTTAGATGTTTTGGAAACTTATTTTTTGAATAATGGTGACGTGGTGTGAAATATGGACAGAACATTGTTTGGGCACTATTGTATCTGTTTTAAACAATGGACACAGTTTGTTTTGGTTTACTATTATACCTATATTGCTAGTTTTTTATTATCAGTCTCTCTCCCCCAATTGCGCTATATTTTATCAACTATGCTGGCCAACTACCGCCACTGAATAAACCTATTATTAAATTTCTCGGTTGGATTAGTTGGGCAAAAGCACATACATAATCAAATTAAAATAACAAAGTGTAAAAAAATAAAAGGAGATATATGCCTAGATGGTTGGCCACATGTGTCCCAATGACAATGATAATGACAATGACAATGGCACTAATGTCACATTAAAGTATGCTGTCTGGATGCGTAATATTCTATAATCCCCAGTGCTGACCTGTATTTGCATAATCAACACAGCATCGGCTCAGGGCTTTTACCAACCATCAATATTAGATCAACTGCATGCACATATTATCCTCTGCTGATATATTGATTTTCCATTCTGTTCATTGGACGTAATTTCAGGCTAATCTTTTTGATTATAATTGACTGTTAGCGAGCCATTGTCCGATTTATGTATATTTGCACATCTACAGCTCAACAAACACTTCACTAAGAAATTAAACACGTATTTCGAGCCAGTGTCAACTTGTTTCTGCAAAGACTGATGGGAAGATCTAAAGATGATGTGTGGATCCAACAGAAACACCAAAACAAAAAATTTGATTTTGCCACAACCTAGACATGCCTTTGTAATGTAAATCCTGCGATTGCTCGACACATAACATCAGCATCTTGCTTTTTTTGTTCTCATCAGTTTGGCAAGCGCAAAATGCAAAGAAAACATTAAAAAATTAATGCATGCACGCAGACAGCCAGAAAAATACACGAATTTGCCTAATTTGTGAGCAAAATTATCCCCATGATATATACACACAAAGTATTCGTCCGTCTGAATGTACAAAACAGTTGCTGGTTTTTTTTACATGTTGGGCCTTTTTCAACCTTAATGCTGTGCTTTTTTGAATATATTTTTAGATAATTTACACATTTGATTTACTCACTCTATGCCAGCCAACCTTTGCTTGGGCGCATTCTGGAGTAGCAGCTTTATAGGTAGAAGACTCAGAGAACACATGCCCAACCCAAACTGAAAATGTAGAAAGATAAAGCAAAAATCAAAAAGTATTTGCAATGCGAATAGTCACAAACATGTAAAGGAAATAAATATTTGGACTGGGTCATACGTCCAGTGCAGGCTGTTAAATCTTTTTTTGCTTTTTCATTTATTTCTCTTCTGCTAGTTTTCAGATCTTACATATTTTGCTACCACTTGTTATTCCATTTTCATACCCCCGTTGCATTACGCATTTGTTTTTAATATTTCCACTTATATCCAATCGCCCTTTGCTTTAATTGTAAAGCCCGGCGCGCGCTGCATTTGTTGTCCGCACTCATAGAATACGCTCAGTACATATAATTGTTTCTGTTTAATGATCATCAACTACAAGCGAATATCCGCTCTGTTACACCCAGAGCCCGAGTTTATGCGGCAGGTTTTAAAGGAGATGCTGCACACTGGGATAGCACTTATGACTGTATCAATAGTCATTATATGGTTAACAATGTGCCAGGGCTGGTCTGACATGCGATGGGCGCGCTGGCGAAAACACGGTGAGAGGAGAACAGTGCCGCTGAATGATATGGTTCTGGGCCGCCTGTCATACATGGATGGTCGCAATACGTGGGTTTCTGATGCACTGGTTAACTCGGCCGGCATAATATGTCTACTTGGCAACATATTAATGGCGCGCGGGTGGCGGGCACGGTTAATTGTGTTTCGGCGGATCGCATGGTTTTTGTCTATTATTTACTTCTTGCGGTCTATCACTATGTCAGTAACCACTATACCACCGCCAATCACAAACTGCGTGCCAATAGTCATTCAAGATGCAAATGATATGCTGAGAGTGATCTCTGATGTGCTTTCTGGCAGAACCAAGGGGTGCACAGATATGGTGTTTTCCGGACATACAGCTGTTTGTGTTGTTTCGTTTCTGTTCTGGGTCAAGTACGCACGTCATTGGTCGTTCATTGTATACAGCGCCATACACACAGTGGTGGGTATTTCTAGCGTGCTGCTGGTGCGCTATCACTACACGCTGGACGTGCTCTTAGCCATAATGATGACTTTCTTTGTTGACTTTGTCTACTACCGCTCCCTGGACTCTGCTGTGCGTCAGCGCTTAGCCGCCGACCGCTGCACTCGCTACATCGCTGTTTTTGGCAAGGACGCGTTTGCCACTTCGGCCAAAAACCGCGGGACTGGCTTTGTGTACAGCCGCGTCGCATCCGAGGACAATAAAGAGTTTACCCACAGCAACACTGGCCCTGATGCTATCAACAACTCACCGGCACGTGCTGGCCAGGATGCAAAAATTGTTGAACTTGAACGAGCTTACAGCTCCGCATTTACATTGAACACGCCAGTGCAAGAACCAAAGACAGCATTCCCTGAGACGCTCATCGGTCCCGATGATATTGAAAAGGCGCTTGGTACATCATTGGCACAGGAGCAGTTCTACACGACAGGCCTGGTCCACGATGAGGACAGTAATACTTACCACCAGGACATGCTGCTTATCAACAGACCACTGAGCAAGTGCCTCTCTACCGTCGTCGCATGGATGGACGGCCTGCACTTGCGCTGATATTAAATAAATGATATAATTTGCACTTTTAATTTTATAATAATAATTTTTATATGCACTGTTTGCTGCGACAATTCGATATTTATAGAAAAACAGTTGAGTGTATACATGGTTTTTAATTATTTAAATGTAACATTTTTAGTATAAATATGTTATGTTTTATTTAAGCCATGGATCCATAGCTGGCTGCTGAATCCGATAATGGCGGCATTGTCAAATTCGCCGTGTTAAGTTTCTTTGGTTGCGGCACCATTACGCGGCTCAGGCACGCCTTGACCTCATGCCTCCAATCGACGTAGAAAAGAATAAAGAGCTGCTGCAACAGTGAATATGAAACCACGCCCAAGATTAAGCCTAGCCAAAAACCAACAACCCCAAGCTTTGGTGGACCTATCCCGAGATAAAAGCCCAAAGGAATTCCCATGATCCAGAACGATGGGAAAGCCAGAGCCGCACCAAGACTCTGTCTACCCAACGCGCGCATAATACCGCCAACCAAACCATTCATGCCATCGTGCATCTGCACAACAACAAAATATGGCATCAGTTTGGCGCACAATACAACAACGTCATCATCGCCGGTAAATAAATATCCCCAAGTGCGGCGATGAGTGAAGAGTATAGTCGAGCACACAACGCCAACAACGTATCCCGTAAATATGGATACGTAGGATGTGTAGCGAGCACGGCGGTGCTTACCTTGACCCAGCATGTTGCCAATACGTGTGGCAGTTGCCGACCCAATTGCCGCCGGTATCTGGTACGTCAGCGACATTGCCGTGAACATGCACGCTTGGGCTGCCAGAGAAATGGGTCCAAATAAGGATGAGCCAAATGTGACAAGCTCAAACGCCGCCCAACTGCAAGCCATCATTGCGGCACTGGGAATGGCCAAGCGATAGTATTGACCAATTCCATCAATGAAGTCCAATGAGAAAGTGCCCCAGGCGTGCCGCGCCTTGCTAAATACAATATATCCAGTAATACCCAGGAACAACAACCAGTTGCTTATTGCCATGGCCAATGGCGCACCAATGAATCCCATACCCATGCTTGGAGACCACACAAGCGCGTAGCTAGCATATGTATGCACCGGTGCGACCAAGACCATCACCCATGTGCTTGCCTTCATAATACCCTGCGCCTGCATAAAACGCTTTAGACACTCATAGGCCAACAGGGGCCAGCTGCCCACCAACCAGACATGCAAAAACTGCCCACACAGTTTTGACACCTCGGGCGTCTGGCCCAGCAGCAAAAGGAGCTGGTCCATAAACAGGAACAAAACAGTTGTCGGGATCAACTGCAAAGTGACAGCGAATAGCCCGCGTCGTGTATGGAATCCCACCCGCGTCTTGTCGCTAGATGCTGTGAATGCCGAGTTACAGAACGACTCGAGTGCACTTGCAAGGCCAATTCCAGGCATGCGCACTAGAAAGTTTATCATCATTAGACTCAATGATGTCGCCGCGAGCTCGTTGACGCCAAGCTTGCCGACGCTAAGCATGCTGATAAAGTTGAACGAGCTTTGGAGAAAAAACGACATTGACAGTGGGATTGAGGATGTGAACAGCCACCAGGATTCTTGCTTGATGAGCGACACGCGGGAGACATTAAGCTCCTCGTCAAGAGGAACGACTTCGGGTTCGTTGTGGATTGAGGTGTATGCCAATGTTGTCTCGGAGGGGTGGGAGTTCAGCAACGGCGCCGACTCTCTTGGATATTCGACAATGCTGTTGGATGACATGACTCAAACAAGTGCTGATATTAACTGCTTGGCTGCAAGAAGCACGGAAATTTGAATTAAGAATAAATGATGTGGTTTTTTAATATAGGGAGAAGTAAGAATAGCGAGCTGAGGTATAAGGAGAACGAAGAGAACATGTTGTTTTTGCTGTGGGCAGGACAGCGAGAACCAAGGATGTCATTTTAAATGTAAATTCAGTTTCACGCTCGACTTGCTTTTTGTTAGTACGGTTAACCATACGAATATAATGTGTATCAATTAATTTTATGTTAAAAATCCGGTTCAGATTTCGCCACCGCAATCGTGTTGAGACGATAACAATGTTGTATTAATTCCCATTGGATTTGAGGGACAAGGACACAAATTCGTATTTTAATTGTTACCAAGATATAATGGATTGTTGTACAGGTTTAATGATGTTTCCATATTGTTACAAATACATTTACAAATTAAATTTGCATAGATATATTGTACAAGCCACTGTTACACAGCCCGAGGATATGGCGGTAGGCGCTGAGGGCAATAATTACAAGACAGATTCCTGCCAGCTTACTGATGGATCTGATATTGACCAAATCACAGGGGATTAAATCAGACGCCACTGTTGAAATCCAGACATACTCTCTGTCTTGAAATAGATGCGCTGAGCGCACGAATACAGATACGCCAATACTTCCATATCAGAGACCCGGGTTACTTTCATAAGGACTAGTTCTCGCGAACAGAGCACGCAACTGCCAGTGTGTGCCACAAAGACATTGAGACACATATAAGATGAGGTCGACGATAATAGCACTTTAAAATTATTAGTAACAAAACTTTATAATTTAACACCTATCCTTCTAACACTATTATAATAGTGTTCCCCACACCCCCCTTTTACATAACACCGCCATCACCCGCTTGGTTCGCTCGTTGATGACTTAGATTGGTAATTGAAAATGCATTTAAACCTGTTGAGAATATGTGAGGCGTTAACACCACCGGGATATAAAAAATATGTGGGAAATAATAATTGGCCACCGAGCTATATCCTCAATTCTGCGCTGCTTGGGCTCTTGCTCGTTTGATAACAGACAACAGACATAGGCCAAATTCCGAGCATATTTGTCCCAATTGTCTTTTGTCGCTGATCGCATGAATCAAGCAGGAATCACCAATTCCTCACTGAAGCAGTTGATGATGATGTGCATTTTTAGACTTGCTGCAATATCTATGTTTCAAAAGCACCATCTGATCTCAGACACTGTTTCTTCCGCTGGGTGGGCTTCATCATCCACAAAGAAGTACAGCCTTGACAGCTATTGGTTCGAGAGTGCATGACCAACCAGAGAGGAGGTGAGAGAACTGCAGCAAGGCAGAAATGGCGGCTCCGCCCAGTTAAAAACGCTAAATGTTGGGTGATCAATTGATCAACCCTCTTGATCTAGATTTTGATTGCACAGTTAAAATTTTTGAAAGAAAAAAAGCTCTCAAGCATACATACACACACATGCCCAACAAAAAAATTTGTTCAACCTTTTTTTTTCTCCGGCTCTTTGCTAAATTCAATTCAATTCAACTAAATTCATTTTCCTTTAAATATACACATATTATTATCTTTTTTAAAAATAGCCATGGCTGAACATACTGTCGATTCCGATATAGACGCCGGTTACATTGATTTGTCTAAAATAGACAAGAAGAAGATTATGCGCGCCGACGAGCGGCGGAGACGTGCCAACGACGAGCTCGGCGATATTGAAGACTATCTCTCCGAAGAAGAAAACAACCAAGGGCCATTTTCCGATGAGAGCTCTGACGAGTCCGACGTAGCCGAAGACGAGCACGGCGAGCTCATCACACCCGAAGTCGATGCACAAATTATGCGGGCCCTGGGCGCCCTGCGATCCAAAGACAAGAGCATCTACGATTCCAATGTGAGCTTTTTCTCTACCGACGCGATCCAAAAGTCGCAGGAGGCGTGGAAGGCCAAGCAGGATGCAGCAAGGGCGAAGAGTGAGGGTATGAATATCAGGGAGTTCCAGCATAAGGTTATGGTGGAGCACGGCGGCGTGGTGGATGAGGAGGCGGAGGTGCGGCGCGCTGTCGGTGGGTTGACGCATGTGCAGGAGCAGGAGGCGCTGAAGAATGAGTTCAAGGCAGCGTTTGGCGACAATGACGAGGGTGAGGATGAGGAGGGCGAGGATGGCGGGTTTTTAGTCAAGAAGGTGAAGAGCAAGGAGGAGGTGGCCAAGGAGGAGGTCGACTACCGCCGCTTCCTCTTGGAAAACATGGGAACAGAAGTGGCCAACACCCAGGCATTCAGCAGCTGGGCCGCCATTGCGCCCAGCACCAAGCCCGCCGAGGACGCAGCCAAGCCTGACCCGGAGCAGACATTCCTTATGAACTACATTCTTAACCGCGGCTGGATTGACAAGGACGCGGGCGGTATCTCCGCCGAACAAGAGGCCAAGGAGATTGTCGACAAGGAGGAGGACGAGAAGATTGTCGAGCTGACAGACAACTTTGAGAGCAAGTATAATTTCCGCTTCGAGGAGCAGGGTGGCACCCAGATCAAATCGTACCCGCGTGAGATTGAGGGCTCATTGCGGCGCAAGGACGATCGCAGGAAACTGGCCAGGGAGCGCTCCAAGGCGCGCAAGTTGGATAGGAAGCGCGAGAAGGCCGAGGAGCTCAAGCGGCTGAAGAACCAGAAGAAGAAGGAGATTCTGGAAAAGCTCAAGGAGATCCAGGGGATTACCGGCAACAAGGTTGTTGGGTTCGACTCGCTTGACTTGGATGGCGACTTTGATCCGGTCAAGTTTGACTCGCAGATGAGCAAGATTTTTGACGACGAGTACTATAACCAGGTTGATGACTTGGAGAAGCCCACGTGGGATGACGACATTGATATTGGCGATATTGTGCCGGATTTCGACGATCAGCAGTTCAAGGGCAAGCGCGGGAAGAAGGACAAGAAGGCAGTCAATACCAATGGCGACGACGACTTTATGATGGATGCGGACTACATGGAGGGTGCCAACGAAGGCCGGCCCAGCGGGTCCGTTGATTCCCATGCCCTGGACTCGACCAAGGCCGCACTCAAGGACACGGTGTCGGACTACCTGGACAACTACTACCAGCTGGACTTTGAGGACATTGTTGGCGACGGTCTGGCGACCCGCTTCAAGTATGCCAAGGTCAAGCCGGTGGACTACGGCCTGAGCGCGTCGGAGATTCTGTTGGCTGACGACAAGTTCCTCAACGAGTACGTGTCGGTTAAGCGGATTGCCACACATCGGCCAGACTGGAAGATCGACGAGGACATGCAGAAGTATGCCAACAAGAAGCGCATGCTTTATGTCAAGAAGAAGGCCGCGGCCAAGCGCGATGAGTGGGAGGGCCAGATGAAGAAGGCTGCGCAGGTGTCGATTGGTGGAAAGAAGAAGCGCGAGAGAGGCGAGGAGAAGGCCGAGAAGGCGAGCAAGAAGTCAAAGACCGAGAAGGCAGCGAAGTCGGACAAGGTTGAGAAGGTTGAGAATGTTGAGAAGTCTGACAAGAAATCCAAGGCTGAGAAGACCAAGAAGTCCGAGAAGAAGGACAAGGCTGACAAGGACAAGGCTGACAAGAAGGGTAAGGAGAAGGCCGCCAAGGAGGATGATGGCTCAAAGACAAATAGCTTGAACAGACGTCAGCGGCAAAAGGCCAAGAAGATGGGCGACTCCTCTGCTGCTGCCACTGCCGTTTCCGCTTGAATAAAATTATAAAATTGTTTTTTTTTTATTTATTCATGTGTGATAATCAATATTTTTAAATATCAAATCTGATCAAGAAAAAGTGGTGGTATGCTTTTATTTTTTTATCTGCAGGCATGAATAAAATGAAAATCAAACTATTTATTTTTTATTCTTGGTCATTTCCTTTTTATAAAAAATAATAATTCCTTTTTCCTTTTTTTTCAAATTCACACTTTATTCTAATAATCAACCTTCCTCTAGAATCATAACGGGGAGGTTTTTTTTATTATTACAATAATGGCGACGTTCCGGCTTCCAAATGTGTTAAATGACGTGATTCGTGCGCACCAAGATCAGTTTGTCCGCACAGTCAAGCCGAAAAACGGCGTCGGTGCATTTGTTTTCCCCTGCCGCAAACTAGTGTTCAACTACTGCGAGCGCAGCGGAAGCAGCAAGACAATGATGGAGTATCTTCAGAAACAAGCAGTGAAATTTTCGCAGGAGAACCCGCAGATCGAGGTGATTGTCCAGCCTAGGCCCTCTAGACACCCGATCATCAGGGCGTTTTACACTAATGGGCAGCAGAAGACCAAGTGTGTTCGAAAGTGTTCGGTGGAGGAGATCCCGGAGGTCGTCAAGTCTTTGAGAGATCATTCGGGTAATAAGCTGCGCAAGTGGAATCGGTATGTTATTTCGGATACGCCGAGTGTTCGTGGTATTTACTCGCCGTTCCATGTTTCCGAGGTGCACAAGATTAGTGATTTGAAGAAATAATAAAAAGAAACCAATTTTTTTTATCTTGTTAAAAGGTGTTATCTTATATATATATATATTTTTTTTTGGTCTATTGTTTCAGAGATGCTGGTGGAAAATCGAGAGAGACGTTTTCAACGTCTAGTTCGATAATATCGGCGGTGATGTTGCCTGCAAGGGAAGACAGGGACGGGGTGGTGCGGCCGATATCCCCGTGGACAAACTCTTTAATGTACGTGCCGGCCTCAGACTCAATCCTCACGCGGTAAAAGTGACCCTCAATATGGGCGACCTGCAGCCCCACAAGGGTCTTCTCCCTGGTCAGCGGTGCCCTCCGATGTAGCACCCTCAGGGGGGTCTTCTGCTGCAGAACCAAAGGCGCCTCTCCCAAGCGATTAATCTCACACAAGGTAGTTTCGTCCAGCGGGCGGGCGAACCATACCAGGGCACAGTAATGTTTAGTCTTCTGTTCCTCGCCCTCCTTTATGATGCTCGTAGCTGCGGCCTGGATGACCTGCAGGCGGCGGACTTGCACAGGACATTTGGTTTCGCGCAGCTGGTTCTCGATCTCAGAAACAGCCTCTGGGGCTATGCTCTTGATGCGCGGGTTGATGCACTCGAGGTAAAATGGCCGGCCATCCCCGAGCATCCGCACATCGGCGTCCTCGCGCCCGGACCCGACCAAGTTGTACGCATCACAGCGAACGAGCTTCTGAATGGGCTCCCCGATAACCTCAGAAACCGAAAGCTCAGTGACCCTACGGCCATCAATAACAAAGGGAGTTTGGCTGATATTGCGCTCGAGCTTCAAGTACCGTCCGCCGATAAACAAGGATGGGCGCTTGAAGTTTAAAAAATCCAACTCCACAGGTAGCTTAATGGCGGGTGGTGGCGAGGCGAATTTCTCCCGGATCACAGCGTCGCCACAATTGTCCAGTTCGTCGAGAATGGCGGTTTTGGAGTCGCCAGTGGTATGGTAGACACCCTTTTTCCTGAATGTCTTGGTTTTGATCCCGGACCCCTCACGGTCAACAAGGAACTGATGCTCCATGGCGGTTTCCTCATGTTTGAATCCCACCTCGACGCGCACTTCGCCGGTCTCATTCTCAATGCGCACCCGGTTGTCTGTCTGCTGATAGAGCCTATTGCCGAGGACGTACTTTACAGTATCCTTGATATCCACCGGGGCGCGGCCCGTGTGGATTGCTAGGGAGCGTTGCCGGATATAGATGCTTTTGGGGAACTCTATGGTGATGCACAGGGTGGGACTGTCGAAGCACTCGGCAATATAGGCGGTGGTTATTTGGCTGTGGATTGCGGCGGAGAGCGTGTCGAGGCAGATCGGGCAGGGCACAGGGGTGGATAGGGACGGCAGTGATGGCGGTGGGAGGTGGAGCGCTTGGTGGATCGAGTCGGTGGTGCCAAAGTAGGCTGGCCCAAGGGGCACTTGGGCGCTGCGCAGGATACAGGTAGCACAGACTCCGAGCGCATGGAGGGCTGGCGCTTGGGCCCTGATCTGGTCAATGTTATCGAGTGATCCGGTAGCGCAAGTATTCGACATTTACGTTAAAATAAGAGATGTATGAATGGGAAGGGTTTCTTTGTAAAAAATAAAAATGCAAACTTTTTGGTTTGGTTTGGTTTGGTTTGGTTTGGTTTTCTGCCTGCCTCTTGGCAGTGGAGCAGCTGGGGGGGGAAGGTTTCGTAGAAAGTATGGCATTCAATTAATTACAAAGACACAGGGGGAGACCTGAGTTTTTAGGCTTGTAGAAAAGAGAAAATTTTTCGCCTGTATATTATTTTAAAAGAGAAAAAGACAAAAAAAAAATAATATATATATCTTTTTTAGATCACAGGGTCTCTCTGGATCACGACATCCTCGACCAAACCGTCGCCCAGGCGGATGATTTCCTCGATCACCGCCGGCATATTAAACCTGACAAGTGGCTTCTTGCTGCCCGCCGATGGGCCCATCTCCTCCTTGGGCACTGGAGCCATATTGGCATTCAGGTTGCAAGCAAAGGCAGCAGGCTTCGCAACCACCGCGGGGTTCCACAGCCCAGCAATAACACTGCCTCCATAAACGTCGTTGAAAAGCATCAGCGAGTCGCCGTAGACGGCGTGCAGGTCGTGGACGAACAGCGCAACGGGGTCGAAGCCAACCATCCCAGGCTGGCCAAACGGATTCGCGCGCGTCTTGAAGCTGTGCGCGCCACCGATCTGGCAGCTGGCAGCGGCGGTGGCGGGCAGGAGGTTCTTGAACACCTCCTTCTCGGCGGGCTTCTTCCCCGCAGCCACCAGCTCCTCCGCGTCCTCGGGCTGCGAAGCGCCGGTGGCAAAGGCAGACTTTGGCGGCTGCTCGTAGCGGCGGCTCACCGCGTCCAGGTCCAGCTTAATGATAAAGTCGTAGTCGGCCATCGGCGCAGTGAACATCTCCGACAGGCGGCCGTCGCAGCCGTCCTCGACACACAGGTCAATGCACGCCAGCGACGCGCGCGCCAGCACAGCCAGACGGCGCGTGGCGACCGCAGACACCGGCGGCCACCACTGCGCCTCGGGGTCGTCCTCGGTGGCCACGCGCAGGCCGCCCTTCAGCGCGCCGCGCGCGGCCGCGGCGTCGAACGCCAGCTGCAGCGGCTTGCGCGCCTCGCCGCCCATGCCATGCACATTGGCCCACACGCCCGTGACGGCCGGGTCGCTGCTCGCGCGCGCCGCGCCCTCGTCGTCGTCGCCCTCGTGCTCGGGCGCCGAAAAGTCGGCCACGCACAGGTCGTCCTTCCACCGCCACTCGGCCAGCACGCGCAGGCAGCGCGCAAGCCCCGCGCACGCCGACGCCGGCGCCGCCTCGGACGCCGAAAACACGTGGGCGACCAGGAGCTCGGCGACCTCCTCCGGCACGGCGCCCGGCGTGGCCAGCAGCATGTGGCTGGCCAGCCAGCGCTTGAGCAGCCGCATGGTCAGCGAAGCCGCCGGGTGGTGGCGCTGGCACAGGCCGAGAACCAGCCGGTGGTGGCGCGGCCGCCACACGCAGGCGAGCAGCCAGCGGCGGTGCGCGTCCTCGTAGGCGCTCGCCTGCGCGTGCAGCGCCGGCACCAGCCGCAGGTCGCGCGCGCGCCGCTCCAGCAGCGCGCCCTCGCGGTCGCACAGCACCCACAGGCGGAACGTCAGGCCGCTGGCGGCATGGCCGATGTCCACGAAGCAGTCGTCGGCGCGCGGCACCACGCCGTCGCGCGCCCCGCGGCCCAGCAGCCGGTCGCCGGCGGCCACGGCCGCGCCGGGGTGCGCGGCCGCGTAGCAGGCGCCCAGCCGCAGCAGGAACGCGGCCTTGACCTTGTGCAGCGCCACGAGGTCGTCGGGCCACCGCGTCGACCCGACAAACTCGACGGCCACCGGCAGCGGCGCGACAAACGCATCGTCGGCGCCGCCCCGCAGCGGCTTGGGCGGCGCCAGCGACGCGTAGCGCAGCGCGGGCGCCGCCGCGTGCAGCGCCAGCACGCGCAGCGGCAGCTGGTGCTCCAGCGCGGCCAGCTCGCGGTGCAGCTCGTCCAGCGCGGCCAGCGCCGGCTCGAAGGCCGCGCCGCCGGCGCCCTGCGTCTGCGCAAAGCCGTCGAGCCGCGGCGCCAGGCTGAGCGCGCGCGGCTGCGTGCCGGCAAACGGCAGCGCGGCGCGCGGCGGGTCGCGGTCGGCGGCCTCGCGGTCCTCGCGCGTCAGCACGTCGGCGGCGCCCGCGTGCGCGGCGAAGTGGCGGCGCACGAGGAACGCGGCCATGCGCGGCAGCACCAGCGCGCGCTGCTCGGGCGCCGCGTCGGCGCCGCCCCACACGGTGGCCAGGCGGATGGCGCCGTCGCGGAAGCGCCGCAGCTCGGCGCGCGCGCCCCACAGCGCGCGGAACCGCGCGGCCGCCGCCGCGTCGCCAGCCGGGCTCGGGCCCAGCCCCACCACGCGCTGCGCCGCGTCGCCGCGCGCCACCAGCCCGACGACGAACACGTGGCGCCGCTGCGCGCGCACCAGGTCGCCCAGCGCGCACGGCGCCGCGCGCACAACCACGGCGCGCGCCTGCGCGTCCAGCGCCGCGCCCAGCAGCGCCTCAATGCGCGCGCGCACGGCCGCCACCGGGCTGCCGTGGTCCAGCTCGGCCAGCCGCCGCGCGGCCGCCCCGCCGCGCGGCGCAAGGAACGGCGCCAGCGCGACGTCCAGCCGCAGCACGTGGTCGAAGCGCTGCACGGCCGGCGCCGGCGCCGCCAGGAAGATGCGCGCAAAGCGGTCGTCGGCGGCGTTGGCGTCCAGCGCGGCGGCGCGCGCGGCCAGCCGCAGCTCGGCCAGCTCGCCGTCGCCGACGCCGGCCAGCACGTTGGTCGTCGCCGTCGGGTCGGCCAGCACGGCGCCGCCGAACCCGGCCAGCGCGGCGCCGAACGCCACCGGCTGCGCCTCGAAGTCGCGCGCCGCCAGGAACTCGACGCAGGCCTTGAACAGCGCGTGCGCGCCCAGCCCGCTGCCCACCCGGCCCTGCCGCACCAGCCACGCGAGCACCAGGCTCAGCGCAAAGCCCGTGACGCGCGCCTGCGCGCCCAGCCCGACGCGCTGCCGCAGCCACACGCGCAGCAGCGCGGCGCCGCGCGCAAACGCCGGGCACATGCCGGCCGTCTCGTGCAGGAAGCGCATGTGCGCGACCATCAGCGCGTCGCCGGCCAGTGCGGCGTTGTACTGCGGCGTCGGCGGCGCGTCCTCGTCGGCCGCGCCGGCCGCGATGAAGCTGGGCCGCAGGCTGTTGCGCGCGCCGCCCAGCCGCGCCAACGCCAGCGTGTCTCCGGCGATGCACGGCAGCAGCCGCACGCTGCCGCCCACGCGCCGCGTGCGCGGCCGCAGCACCACGGCCGGCAGCCGCGCGTCGTCGCGCACGGCCTCGACGCCGATGTCGAACGCGTCGTTAAGCGCCGACCGCCGCAGCCCGGCCACCAGCATGGCCACGTAGAACGCGCGCTTGTAGAAGTAGCGGCAGTTGAGGTGGTCGCGGTCCTGGAACAGCGCCGCCGGCATTTGCGCCGCCACGTCGACGGTGATGCCGCTGCGCGTGCGCACGGCCATGCCCAGCGCGTAGCTGCCGACGACCGTGACGGCCGCGGGCGCGCTGAACGCCAGCTGCAGCGCCATTCCGGCCGGCGGCGCCGGGTCCGGGAACGGGATGCTGACGCCCAGCTTGCGCGCCAGGTTGCTGGCCGCGTCAACGTCCACTGCCGGCACCTCCTCCAGCGCAACGAGCACCTCGCGGATCTGCCGCAGCGCCGCATCCAGCCCGCGCGTCTCCTTGGTCCCGGCCACCACCAGCGCCTCGCCGAGCAGCTCGTCGGCCTGCAGCTTGAACAGGTTGGACTTGAACAGCAGCGCGGCCTCGTTCAGCGCCATAATCTCGCTGTTGGTCGCTGCCTTCCCGCCTCTGTGCTGCTTTCCTGCCGCTGCGTTGTCGTCGCCGTCGCCAGTGTTCTCGCCAGCCAGCTTTGTCTCGCCGTCGCCCATCTCGGTGTCGCTGCCAGAGCTGTCTGCGTCACAGTCTTCGCTGGCACTTAGGCTGTCCTCCATCTCCTCGCTGGCGCACGCTATCGGCTCGGCCTGCCTCCTCTTGGCCTGCTGTGCTCCATCTGCCTGTGCCTGTGCCTCTGCCTCTGCCTTTGCGCCCGCTGTGTTTTTGCGTTTAGCTCCTGCTGCTGCCATTTGTTGTATAATTTGTATTGAAGAGTGTCGATTCTAGACAGCTGGACAATAACTAGATAGTAAGCGTGGCCTGTACAAAGTGTCTTGGTGTGCAAAAAAAAGCAAAAAAAAAATATACGAACAACTGAAGACGTAAAAAAATAAAACCAACAAAAAAACTTGAAAAAAAAAGAAGCCGATTGATTGATCCGCCTCTACAATATTTTTGCTTTTTTTTTTTTTTTTTTTCTTCTCCATCGCTCAAAAAAAGTTGGCATCTGTGATCTAATCAACTAATCTCACGGCCATTGGTTGGCTTTGTCCCTCTTTCTTTCACCGCCTTTTCAAAAGTAAAATAAAAAATAAAGCGGTGTGGTGTTATTAAAAATATAATGAATGAATAAAGGAAGGCAAGAAAGATATATAATAAAAAAAGGCCCCTTGCAGCCTAGGCCCAGATCTTCAGCAGACTGTCCCATGACCCAGTCGCCAGCGCCATACCATCGCTCGACACCCCGAGGCAGCTCACTCTATTGTCATGGCTCGACAGCGTCGCCACCCTAGACCCCTTCAGCACATCCCACACATTGCAGTTAAAGTCATCATACCCAGCAAAAAGCAGCCTGCCAGAATGCGAAAAAGCCACAGATGTAATCCCGCACAAAATATTATCATGCGTGTACTGGTTGAGCTCCCTATCCGCACGCAAGTCAAACAACCGACACGACGCGTCATCCGACCCCGTTCCGAACGCGTCCCCATTGGGGAAAAACTGCACCGCATTGATGTCCGACTCATGCCCTACAAACGTCTGCACGCACCGCCCCGACCGGATATCCCACACCTTGGCCGTTGCGTCGCACGCCCCAGACACAAATATGTTCTTGTTGGGCGACAATGAAAGCGACATGACGTCGCCCGTGTGGTCGTTGAACTCCATAACCTTTACTCCAGCATCGATATCCCACAGCATGCAGGACATATCGCCCGAAGATGTCAAAATCTGCCTGTCTGAGATAAACCGGCAGCAGCTCAAATACCCCGTGTGCGCAGACAGCTCCCTCGCTACCTTCACCGACCCCTCCTTGGTCTTTAAATTATAGATAGAGCACAGGTTATCGAGCCCACCGCACGCCACATAGTTCCCCGAGGGCGCATACGCACACGTCATCACCCATGAGGACCTCAGCGGAATAGCATGCATCTTGTTGGTGCTGAACGCATCCCACACTATCAGCTTGCCATCCTGAGACGCTGACACAAGGTGCCGCTCGTCTTCGGCCCACTGCATCGCGTAGATTTTCGCCAGATGCCCTTTCAGTGTCCGACGCACTTTCATCGATATCTTTGGTAATGGCGCTACCTTTTCTGATGCCCGACGGAGTGTCGTGTCTGCGAGCTTCTCACGCGTCGACTTTATTTTGTCCTTTAGCTGCTCGGCCTCGCGCTTGGCCGCCTGTATTCTCTCGGGGAGGTCGCTCATTATGTTTATTATTATATGCGTTGAAAAAAAAAGAATGAAAATGAAAAAGGATAAAGGTAAAAAAAAAAAAATTGAACACACCCAAAAAAAGATGGAGGGGAGGAGAGGAGAGGATGTGAATAGTTCCTAAAAACAACAACAAAAAAAGAATAGAACGGAAAGAGTAAAAAAAATATGAATAAACGACAAGTGGGCGGGGAGAGAAAAAGAAGAGAGGAGAAAGTGTGCAGAAAAAAAGAAAAAGAAAAAGAAAACTGGAGGGGAAGAGCAAAAAAGAGGGAGAGGGGGAAGGGGAGAGAGGGGAAAATGACCAAAATTGCTGGACAAATATCTCATTTCTGTTTTTGAAACACAGCAATAGCAACAGCAACAGCATCCAGCATTGAGCATTCAGATTACAGCACACAGCACATAACACATAGTACATAGCAGCATGATGCATGCTTTTTTTGTCTTTTATTTTCTCTCTCCCCCCTCCAAATAAATTACCTTGCAAATAAAAGCCAACATATCGCCTCTATTTTTCTCTTTCTTTCTTTTTTCTCTTTCTCTTTCTCTCTCTCTCTCTCTCTCTCTCTTTTTCTTTTTCTTTGCCTTTATTTTGGTCAATAAGTGGAAGAGGAAGAGGATGATGATGAAAAAGGAGGGACAATGCAAATTTAATCGTTTTTAGAAGAAAAAAGACTGCATTTGTCTTTTATTTTCATTTTCTCACTTTCCACCGCCCCCCCTCTCCCCCCCAGTTCCCTTGTATTTGTTGGTCTATTTTTTCTCAATTTGCATACAACAAATGAAAAAAGCCACTGCATGCCTATAATACAAACCTCTGACTTTTTTTTATCTCTTCCCAAGCCTCACCAATACATGTATAATCAATTTCTGACAAATTCAACTATTGAATATCAGAACAGAACAGAATAATAAACATAAAATCATCGTGTGTAAACTTTTTTGAGTCTTTGCACCATTTTAAAAATGGGGTGTTTTTTATTATCATTTTCATGCAGGAAGATCATCCCGAAAGAAAGAAGAAAAAAAAGAAAAGAAAGAACATCTAAACACCCATTTACATTTATTTGCATTGCTTCGGCTTGAATAAACAAGGATAAGTAAAGGTGGTTTTCGACCGTAATAGGCAACTATGCCTTGCGCACGCAACGAGCGCATGGTCGTTTTTAAATTTGCTTCTTATTGCTTTGTTCCTGGGAATTTCCCTTTAAAACAATCGGCCAAACCGCGGTTTTCCAATAACACAGAATTATCGCTCCTTGACATGTGTTACCTCGTCCAGCAACCTGATAACTTTACATAAAGAGAATAAAAGACAATACATTGATATATAAATTTTGAATCTTAAAGCCTGGCTTTAATTCCTGCATTTCTGTTTCTTCTGGCGCTTGTCCTCTCGTTCTGCTCGGCAATCTCCAGCTGCGCAATCTGTCTGCTATGGACCTCATCAGGTCCATCGGCAATCCTCAGCGTCCTCATTCCAGCCCAAAACTCTGCCAACGGCGTATCCTGGCCCACCCCACCAGCACCAAACATCTGTATAGCGCGATCCAACACGTCCAAAACACATTTAGGAACAACAACCTTGGCCATTGCAATCTCCTTCTTAGCATTCTTAGCTCCAGCCTTGTCAATCATATCGGCCGCTCTCAACACCAGCATCCGGGCAGACTCCAGCCCCATGCGTGACTGGGCAATATTTTCAAGAACCACGCCGTGCTCGATCAATTTGCGACCAAAAGTTGACCGCTGCTGGACACGCTCAATCATCAATTCAAGCGCGCGCTCACCCATTCCCAGGGAGCGCATGCAGTGGTGGATGCGTCCGGGACCGAGTCTGCCCTGGATAACCTCGAAGCCGCGACCTTGTCCCAGGATAATGTTCTCCTTGGGCACCCAGACATTCTCAAAAACCACCTCGCAGTGACCATGCGGCGCGTCGTCGTAGCCAAAGACAGTGAGCGGGCGCACGACGCGCACGCCGGGCGCATTGGCAGGAACAATAACAATGCTCTGCTGGCTGTACTTGGACGCCTCCAGGTCACTCTTGCCCATGACCAGGAACACGGCACAGTTCGGGTGACCGGCGCCCGAAATCCACCACTTGCGCCCATTCACAACATACCCGTTACCACCATGGCCGCGACCAGGCACAATGCGAGTGCTAATATTCGTCGCATCAGAAGAAGCCACCTCGGGCTCGGTCATTGCAAACGCCGACCGGATCTTGCCATCCAAAAGTGGGTCCAGCCATTTGCGTTTCTGTTCCTCCGTGCCGTATTTAGCAAATACCTCCATATTGCCTGTATCCGGCGCACTGCAGTTGCAGGCCTCCGGGGCGAGCATCGGTGAGCGACCCATGATTTCGCACAGGATGGCGTACTCGTAGTTGCTTAGTCCGGCCCCCTCCTTGTACTCTTTGGTCAGGAAAAGGTTCCATAGTCCGAGTTCCCGTGCGCGCGATTTGAGCTTGCCCATTGTTGGCGGCACTGCCTTCCATCGGTCGGATCCCTGATTGAGCTCCTTTTGGTACTCGGATTCGGCCGGGATGCATTCGTTTTCGACAAAATCTGTTAAGCGACGCTGCAGCTCTTGGACTCTGGGTGATAATTGCACGACTGACATGGTTGGGGTGGGTGTTGTTTTGTGCTGCTTTGTATTTGCTAGAATATATGAAAGAATTGATAAAATATGTATAGGATAATTCCAAGTTGAAACAATGAGGCGAGCAGAGAAGAGCAGAGAAGAGGGATTGCGTTTGGCAAGACAGTCTCGTTGCACTGCAATTTACTTTTTTATAAAAGGCTAGTTTTCAAAATACAAAACCCCCTCGTCTGAAAAACAAAAAAACAAAATACACCCCGTTGAAAATCAATTTACAATAAAAAGCATGTGAGACAAAGCTTCTGTTGCTGATGCTGCTGTTGCTGCTGCAGTGCGTGCGTTTCATGGCAGTTCAGTTTTACATTATCTCTTTCTGCAAGAAGAAAAAAAAAAGAGGAGGCGCAAAACCGGGCGTCCGTGCAGCCCCGTTGCTTGTGAAAATGTCCAATAAGCACGTGGACAAACCGGGATTTCAAATCAATCATTTGTGCCCAAAGATGCTCCCAGCGAGGAGGGTGTTGTTTGGTATGTGTTTGATGTTTTCTAATTTTTCATTTAAGTCGTTCCAAAAATAATATTCAATTTCCATACAAAATGCTCCCAGCGAATTGAACGACAAATACACACACAAGACCATACCCAGGAACAGATCAATTCTGATCTAATCTTTTATGCTCCTTGCTGCCGTAAAAATAAAAAAAAACCCTTGGACCGCAGTCACCAACATCAAAAAAACAACTTTCAACATGGGATACTCCAAAAGACAGACAACGTTCGAATTAAAACGCGAAAATTGCTAAATATAAAAAATTTAGACCTCGGCCTGGATCTCGGGCTCCTTGAAGTCACCCTTGATCTTGCTACCGGTGTCCTCGAGGCTGCCGTGGCTCTCGTACAGCTTCTGGGTATCAACCTTGGGGAACTTGATAACCTTGCACTTGCTGATGAACACGTTCTGCAGGGGGTAGATGGTCTGGCAAGCCTTCTCAATCTCGCGGCCAATGGACTCGGGAATGAACTTCTGGATAAGCTCCTTCATGGTGCCGGCGGTGGCCTCGCGGGTCATGATCTCGAACATCTTCTTGCGGATGTCACGGATCTGGGAGGTCTGGGCGTAGGTGGTCTTCTTGACCTGGCTGGAACGACGCTTGGTAAAACCAACAGCGAACAGGCGGATGACGTAGCCGTCGGTGGTCTTGACGTCAACGTGGGCCTCAATGAGCGACTGCCACTTCTTGACGAGCGAGCGCAGCTTGTCGGTGGTAATGCTCATGCTGTGGAAGCTGGTCAGGCAGTTCTTGCCAACAACGTCATCGACGCGCAGCTTGAACTTGCGGTAGGACTGCTCCTCGTCCTTGTTGAGGTCACCGAGGGAGGCCTCGACAACGCGGCTCTTAAGGTAGTCAACAGCGTTCTTGGTACCCTGGCTGCGGTTAACAAGGGTCTTACCGATGACGCGGGTCTCGAAGATGGTAGGGGCACGGAGATCATACCACTCCTTACGGGAGTAGGGGTCAATGCTACAGTAAATAATGACAGAATGTCCAGCGTTGTTAGTAAACGGATAGCGTGGTTTACACTGCACTCACAAAGCGCAATATAAAATAAATAGCCGACACAACGCGGACACCCAGAGTGAATGGCTGGCTGGCTGAGTTGTAGCTACTGACGCTTGCCGTCGGGTCTGTAAAGTCAAATCTCCAGACAATTCAATTCGGCAGGATTCAAAATAGGTTCGGTGTTTAGCAACTGCTTAAAGACGAATAACAAAGTGTGCTCGTGAAAAGCAAGCACACTTATCAATCGATTCAGCAGAAGCACCCACGATATTAACGCCGAGATTCCAAGTTGAGTTGCAAATAGTAGCTGCGCAGCTGTCTCGGTCTGCCTGCAGTGTATTCTAAAGTCAAAGCGCATGGCAGCGGCAACAGCACCCAGCTTACTCTTTTACAAAGAAAAAAGTAAAAAAGCAGCCTGCCGCTTGGAATTGAACAACTTTCTACAAATGCAGTTGTTTCAATCCTCTACTAACTGACCGCAATTGGAATCTCTGGCGCACCTCTCGCTCAAGGGCCAAACATAATAGTACTGCCCACACCTCCCTTACAGAGCTATGCTGCCCTTCTGCTGTCTACTGCGTACGTATACCCAACCAACCGTGTCCACTAACTCCAAAAAGCGCATGCGCAAGCGTATATAGCCCCTCCATAACCCCTCACTAAAACTAGCCAATTTCAAATTCCAAATTCGAATCTCGCAAATGTCGAATTTCACTCTGCTGTTTGTGTCCGCCGCGCCATAATGGATACGTATAAACTGTACTTACATCTTCTTCTTAAGACCCTTCTTTCCCTTGGACAGACGCCTACAGAAACAAAAATAATGGATTCAAAATGTAACGTTGTTAGCTGTATGGATTCGTTCTGGTTTCAATTCTGCCGTGTTTCTGCTCAATGGATTCGCCCAGATATGTCGCCTAAATGTGCTCTGATGGATGCGTACTTATTCTTGCCAATGGCCATTTTGATGATAAATAGTTGAAAAATAAAACGATTTTTCAAGCAAGCGTGTAAAAGGAAGAAATCACTTCTCGCTCATGACACTCAGCATCCAATATGAGCAGGCTTTCTTGCTCTGGCAGCCAAATATCTTGCCATCAGCCAATTATTTGATTTGTTGCGTATAGCGAAATAACAGCATACGCGCTTAAAGCCTATGCATGCATGCTGTTGCTGCAAAACAACTGTTTGGGTTGGGCCACTTAAATTAGGCTGGGGGAAAGGTGCCAAATCACCAATGGCTAGAGGCACTGATTTTGTGATCGCCTACAGATCTGCCAATCAGCTTCACACAGGCACTCACACTTTTTGCTCACACTTTTCACTTGTGCTTTTGAGTAGATATCAGGTCTGATTTACGCGGCTGCTTGTGTGCGTGTGCATGCACTCTGTGGAAACAAAATGTTCAAGCACAGTATTCTGACTTAGAATTGCACGTCCGCTTCGCATCGAGGTGTTTATTTTTGAACTTGTGTTCATCTCGCCCACAAGCTGCAATTGTGATGACAAACGTATCTTTCAATTGCAGTACATGTGCACCAAGACAAAACACGCCCAGCGATGGGAACAAGTGAGCTATGCTGGTCTTTTTAAAAATAAAAAAGCGGCTGTGGAAACAAAGCCGGTGGTAGATGCACATTAATTGGGCGCCAAGCTTTATTCGAAACATATTATATTAGTTTAATCACCAACCAAAATGGCTTTTTAATGCTCTGAAACAATTGTCACAATCGGTCTGTTTGTTGCGCGTGCATCGTCACCCATTGAAATACACTGAATCAATCAATCGATTAACCATGCGTACCTATTTACATCAGAAAGCCACTCGCCGTCAGTGTGGGTTGTATTTTTGTAAGGCACTATGACTTTCTTTTTTAAGCTCGCTATTTTTTTGAGACCTTTGGATTTCGCTGCTCATTTCTGTTTTTGGTTATCTCTCTTTCGACAGTTCAGTCTCCTTTCAACTTATTTCACAAATCTACACTTGTGCTGATACTACTATCAAAAAGCCGGTCTTTTTAAAAAAAATTGCCCTTAACGTTTTGGCGAGCCACTGATACGCCAAGTTATAGGGCTGCCACCACTTTGTATTTCATCGCTGCCAAGTTTAGCTAATTTTTCTTTCTCTCTTTTAAAAACCGTGCCCAAAAAACATTTACCACTGGGTGCTCAGCTATTACACGCTCCTGTTTTAAGTGCACGTTAAACTGGTTTTTCGGTTGTGTTCCGTAAAAGCTTGTCCCTGTTTTTTTGCGTTTTGAGTAAACTCTGCTAAGGCTGGGTGAACGCGACACAGAAAGGCGGAAAATAAGATATTATCAGAAATCAGGCAGCTTTCTTTTCAAGCTTCCCTCCTTTCTACATTCGGCTCTTTCTGTCTTTTTGCAATTACAAAGTGTCGATAATTCTTATTGCGACTACCCTTCCCTTCTTTCCCTTCTCTTTTCTTCCTTTTTCTACTCTTCCTCACACCATCCTCGCATTGCTCAGATTTTTGTTTGGATTTTTCATTAGGATTTTTATTTTAATTTTGGCCAAAAAACATATATATTGACACTTCTTCTCATCTTCAAGTACATTATTTTACTATCATTTTATTTTTAAATTATCATCGTCTCACATTGTTACTTTTTCCTTATACTTGTTCCGATTATTTTATCCTTGGTTGCTATTGCTACTTCTCGCGCCGGAATTTTACTTCCACTTCTTATTACCCTCATTGTCTTGTTCCATCGGATCCACCCTATCCGGAACAAGCTTGTCACATACTTTTCTTATTTTTCTTTCTCACTCGCTTTTTTATTTTATTATCATCAAAACAGTCTGGCACCAATTCTTTGAGCTACACTTTCCCTTTTACTTTCTCCTTCACATAATTTTACACGGCACGCATCTTTAAGCCTTTACTATTGCGTCTACGCCCCATCGCTTCTACACATATTAACACAAACACACCCCCCACCTATGACGTTTAAACTACAGCGGGTTATTAGCAACCCGATGTTTGTTGGCACACTGGGGCTCATGCTTGCCGGCATTTTAGCCAGTATTGTGTGCGCAGTCATGAAGACAGAGTACATTGTGGCCACGACATGGTTCATGATTGTGTACCTACTGCTGCTCGCACTCAGCCTGGTCTGGGCTGTCGCGGACTCCGCGCTCAACAGGTACCGACTGGCATTGCTGACCATGATTGGTGTCGGCCTATCTCTCAACATCGGACATATCGGATACTACATCAACGCGAGCGTCGGCACCTTACAGGCAATGTCGGCCAGCCTGATATTTGTCGAGATTCCGCTTTTCTTCTGGGTGCTTCTCCTCGGCAGCGGGCCCGGAACATACTTGGCCGATGTGTGCGACATAGAGAAGAAGGGCGTCAACGGTCTCCCGATGGCCGACGTTTCAATGTCGCATGGAAATTACAGGCATACAGTCAACTCGTCGACGGGCGCTGGCAACCGCAGCACCATCGCCGACTACTACACTTCTGAACTTAGCCAGTCAGCCATCTCAAGCAAGCGGCCAGACTCGTCAGCTGTGGTGTACAAAGCGCGGGCGCTGTACCCCTACGACGCCAACCCTGACGACCCCAACGAGGTCTCCATCGCCAAAGAGGAGATTATGCTTGTCATTGACGATAGCGGCAAGTGGTGGCAGGTCAAGAAGGAGGATGGAACTGTGGGTATTGCACCCAGCAACTACCTCGCGCGTATCACAAATTGAAGAACTCGGAGCCCGTTTTAGACTGGATGTATCCTCCCTCCTCACAAGCATACACATTGCCATAACAGCCTACGGTCGGTGTGTGCGCGTGTGAGCGCAGGATATGTAAAGCGGCTGGCTGCACCCCTCTCCTCACAAGCACACATCGCCATAATAGCCTACGGTTGATGTGTGCGCGTGAATCCAGGAAATACACAACAGCTGGCTACATCATTTCTCCTCACAAATACACATCGCCATAACAGCCTACGGTCGGTGTGTGCATGCGTGAGTGCAGAAAATGTAAAACAGCCAGCTACACCCTTCCTCCTCACGCACGCACACATCGCCATAACAGCCTACGGTCGATGCGTGCGCGCGTAAGCCCAGGAAATGTAAAGCATATTTTAACCCTTGTCCATTCAACATTTTTTCCCACATATTTACTAAAATTTCAATTCAATTTTCTTTCCAAATTTTTCCTCAAAAAATCAAGCATTAGCCTGGTGCTAACAACTTCGTTTTTTCATTGATGTTGTCGACTGTGAAGCGCGTGCATGCCTGCCGCTTTGTGCATATGCAAGCGCATAGTGATGGAGATCGCCCAGCCTAAATCCGTTTATTTGTTTACATTTTTGTATCGTGGAATATTATAAAAATATTGGATTTTCGTTGCATACATCCACTCCGCATGTCGCTCCCAATAAAAACATGATTCTAGAAAATCTGAAATATGCGAGCATCGAACTTTAATGGACCCAGAACTGTTTACCAGTTTGGTACTGAATTGAGGCGCATGGATCTATAAAAAGGTAGGTCACGCACTGTAATATGTGGCTGCTGACAAATATCGCAAAATAAAAAATGGGCCTTATCAATTCCAAGCGACTCCACTAGCTCTGTAGACCCAAGCCGGCTTGAGACCCTTGTGCACGTCCGTGGTGTACAGGCTGTACGTGACGCGAGGGATAAACGGGTCGCTTTCAGTGTCGACATCCAGGATGCCATACTTGACGTGGCCCGGTCTCCGATAGTGCAAGGTTTTCTCGCCATCAATATTCCGCTTGAAATTACCTACAAGCGGAAACGTGAATTGGCTGATGGGTGACGTGGAAAACTCAATGTTCCCTGAGGGAAGTTCAACGGCAGCCATTTCATGTCGGTCGCCCGAGAGGAAAAATAGGTTGGGTACATCCTTTGTGAGCGCCAAAATTTCTGCACGTTCGGTCGGATACCCGCGCCAGGTGTCCTGGCTAGCATCCGTGCTGGACCATCCCGAGGTCAGAGGTACAGACGAAACGACAAACTTGACGGCAGCCGTGTGGTTGACCTCATTGAGCCATTGGAAGAAATGGTGCTTCTGATCGTGGCCCAGCATCGTCGCGCTGCCGTCGCTGTCACTGCCATCTTCCCATTGCGTGCGGTAGCGCCGGGTGTCCCAGGCATAGAAGGCAATATTGCCGTATGTGAAGTTGTAGTACGAGTGGGCGGGGAGCTCTGGCGGCGGATTCGGCAGACCGTTGTATTCGTTGTATGCAATCATTGCATTACCCATGGGCATGTCGTCCTGGTTATGCCAGTTATTCTTGATTTCGTGGTCGTCGTAAACGTGGAGCATGGGCACCTTTCGCAACAGTTGGCGCGACGATTGTGCCATATACACCTGCCGGTAGAGCCGGCGATAATCTTCAGCACTAGTTCCAAAGTACATTGGCAGATCAGCGTAGATGAAGTCACCCATGAACATGATAATGTCCAGATCGTCGCTGTGATCCAACATACTGGCAAATCCAAACACGTCTGGCGAGCTCGTAAGGGTGTATGGAAAATTGGGCTTGATGCACGACCCTGTTCCAAAACGCAGTCGGGTTGGGGAGTGCGGAGGGGGTGCAGTTTTGAATTCGACGGATCCCAGCAGAACAGACTCTGCGTGGAGCGTGGGCTGGCGGCTGTGCAATTCGACTAGGTACTTTGTCGACGGGCGCAGATTAATCAGTGCGGTCGTCGTGGTAAAGTCTGTGGCATTGGTCGGCGGATCAAACTCCCCGGCGCTCTCCCAGGGCGTGTTTGTCATAAATTCTTGGCTATCAGGCTCGGTGATTTGCACGCCCTCGCCAATTCTCTGGTTGAAACCGAGCACCTTGAAGCGAAGCTCGAGTTTCCCTTGCTCGGGGTACCGGATGTGCAGTCTGGCCGAGTCATGGGAGACGTATCCCGGACGGAATATGGTTAGATCATCTCCTGGAACTAGTAATGGACGATACACAAAGTCAAGGACCATAGCGAAAAGAGCAAGCTCTAACAACAGCATGACGATCTTGGCCCACGACAGCCGGTGAATGTCGGCTTTGCTTTTGATAGCGTTATCCAAAAACTCGACATTTTTGTTTGCATGCTTTCTAGGAGACGACGCGTTGACGCTGGCATCAACCGGTGGATCGCGCTGCTGGTTGCGCCGTGTGATTTGACCACTGGCCGTGGTGTCCTTGTTGCGAGCCGAGCTCTCGGCGATACGCGGGTCTGCAAAATCATTTTTCTGATCTGTTGCCACAAGTGAAGGCTGAATGATGCACGGGTGCCGCTGACGTAGTGCTCTGGCGGCAGATACCACGTACCATCTGGAAACTATGTCGCGCAGCGTAAAAAAAAGTGATACAAGAAAGACCACCAAATCGACGTGAAACATAAACTGGACCGGAACTACCCACAAAAGAAAAGACCCAAATAGCAGGTGCAAAGCGCCTGCAGCGTAGCCGATGTCCATTGTCCTTGTAGATAGAAAATAGACAAGTGTAATATAATTGTATTTTAGGTTAGCGTTAATAGAGAATAAATAAAAAAAACTTTGCAATGTTCAGAAAGAGTTGAATGGGCACTGTCAATGGCTTATGAAGCTGCAAACAAAAAACACAATACGGGTGCTGTAAGCCGTCAGATTTTTAAGGAATAATGGATAAAAAAAACTTTTGGCATGAAGGCTGGGCTTTGGCAGGCTATTTTATGCACCCTCATCTTATCATTCCCCCTCACCTGCCCAGTCAAACCCCAACTACACGCACAGGCGCATCGCTGTTGAAAACCAGGGTCAACACCCTGATCTCTCTGTCACTTACCCGAGTAACAATAACATTTAGTGATGACGACGACTAGACCACCTGTGATGTCACAATGACGATGGAAACAACAAACCAACAGCCAAGATTTTTTATTATCGGGGATCAAGATGGGTGCACAAAAAATTACCGCTCGCGGATCAATCGACCCGCACTACTCCACTACTCCACTCTTCGCACAAGTAAAAATAAACAAAAAATTGTTAAACAAATACCATTTTTCATTACAACTCGTGCTTTTATTTTCTAATTATTCTTCACTCTTATTTTTCGCGTTCGCGCTCGCATTTGGAAATTAAACCACTCACGCATTCACCGATTTATATACATAAATTTCGCCAGCCATGGTTGTGCTTCGAAAACAGCGCGGCACATTCTGGGGCTCTATTCGTGAAGCGCCGCGCGACTGGCTGATGCACTTGGCAGAGGACTACGAGCTGATGGACTGGAACAAAATTTCTGAGGCCACGAGCTGGCCAATTGCACTAGCGCTCAACGGCATCTTTGTTCTTGTCAGCACGGCACGGCGCCTAAGCTCCCAGAGTGGCGACATGGATGACATTATTTCGACCGACCGCAACTACCGGCGGCAAAAGGTGCCTGCCAATGTGGGCACTGGGAGCACCTGGGCGGGGTTCTTGGTATTTGTCCAACTGTTTTTTTTTACGCTGAGTATGGCCAATGCGTGGCAGTTCTTTTACACGCGGCGCACGTATCAGATGCGAATGAAGGAGGAAGACACCAGCCTGTTGACTTCAAACTGCCGCAGGGTGGCGGTTGGCACACGGCGACCGCAGTGGGCAAAGACAATGTGGGGCTGGGGACCCTGGATGCTGTGGAAGTGGATAGCTCGCGTCGATGACCGTGTCCAGGGCGAAATCTGGGAGCTCTCAATGTGGACGCCGTCTATTTTTTCGCGAAACCTATTCTGCTGGTATTCGCCCGTGCAGCTCTTAATTCTGGCGTTCATGAATGGGTCCAATTGGTTCTACATCTTGCCCCTGGCCGCGGCGGTTGCTGGCCAGTGCACGTTTTTGGTCGTTTCGTACACGACAATGGTTAAGGACAAGCAGATTCTGTTCAGCGAGGTGTACAATGAGTACAATCAAAAATTTGTTCATCCGCGGGTGTTTGCACCCAGGAGGGATGTTTCGACCAGCACCATGGAAGATTGGGCGATGGCCAGGAGGTATGGCGAGTATCTCACTGGGATGCCAATGGGGCGTTCTCAAAGGGTCTCCGGCAACCGGAGGAGCGCAATGTCAGCATCAGCAGACGAGTACGACTCGTTTGGATACAATCCCGACGTCACTCCATACGAAAGGCCGCCTCACCGGCGGTCTATCAAGTCAGCGCGGTCGACGCGGTCGACCAGAGACAGCGGGACTTCGACCATCCCCGAGCCTTATACTGGCCAGGGTGTTTCTTCTGTCTCCAGAAGACATCGCGGAACCGCGGGAAGTTCAAATGAGTCGATTGGATACCCTCATTCTGATGACTCATACAGCATACAGCGGCATCAGCATCAGCAAGAGCAGCAGCAATTAAACCGGAACATTACTCCTGGAGGCACGTTCAGAATCAGAGACCGCACAGAGAGACGAAGGCAGCAACTAAAACAGGCACAGAGCTCGAAGACCTTATATCATTGAGGCTATTTTTTACTTGTAATTTCCAAAAAATAACATTGGAAATAGAAACGTATTGTGCTGTGCTATAGTTTTACTAAAAGTCCAATGGATAAAAATGAAAAATGAGGTGTGTTGATGGCAGGGTTATACAGAGACTGGGTGAAGATTGGAGGGCAAATAATGGTACTGCTGCAATCTTTCATGGGATAGGCGTGCAATCATTCTAGAATACATTACAAGAAAAGAATAAGGCCGCAAGTATCCTGCAAATCGACATCCTTCCCACAGATTGCATAGCAACCTGGCAGGTGTTTAGAAACTAGTGGCAATAGACCACTATGGCTGACAATATTAATCAGTTCGCTGCTTCTTTTGAAGAGAAGAACCATGGGAAGATGGATTCTTGCGCACACGCTTGGTCTTGGACTTTGACTTGAGCGTTGCTGTAGACTCGGCTTCAGCCGGCCCTGACGATGCTTTTTTGCGCGAGAAACAGGGAGGATGCTCACTTATAAGCAGGGGATTATGAATGATGCGGAAGTTCAACACCACAGCCATGTCACGATTATTCCACTTCTGTCTGCTTGGTGGAACTTTTTCGCCATCCTTGATCTTGGTCTTGTCAGCCCTAAAGGTTTGCAAGCAATTTTCCATTGTGCACTGGAGCAAGCCATGTCATAAAATTTGGCGAGGTTTTTCTGCTGTCGGAATTATATTTATGCCTGTTGCGGCTACCTGCCCCTGCTGCTGCAGACCATTCTGCCGCTTTTGCTGCTGCTGCGCGGCCAACTCGTCGCGTATACTCTGTCTGATTTTCCGTTTGATCTTGCCGCGCAACTAACTGCTCAGCCTGATAATGTGCTTGAAATTATCGGCGGGCTAGATATGGATGTACTACTCCCGATTTCGCTCAGCCAGCTCATCCCGCAGCTGCTGTGACATAATCAGCAGTGGCGTTGGTTGTGACTGCGACAGAGTTGGATGAATATAATTACATCGTTAAACGTCACGTTTAGTCCACAGTCAAAGCACCAGTCAGAGACAAACACTAACTATTTTCTTGTATCTTTAAAAATCTGGACTTAGCGCAGCAGTAGGGTGATGACCTCAGACTTCAGACCGGTGGCACTTGCCACCGTGGCTCTGGAGCTTAAGGGTTATTACCAGTGACTATCTTAAATCTCGCCCACCTCTGGTATTTTAACTTTGTTGTTAGGGGCAGGGTGAGTGGACGAGAAAAGAGCAGCTGCAAGGCAGTACTGGACCAGCCATTCACATTACTGGGGCGAGATAATCTTTAAATAACTCGTCCAGGCTCATAGGTGCATAATTGGTCCTCACAAGGGGTGTTGTTTGGTACGCGTTCGGTGTTTTCTAATTTTTCCTACTAAATTCATTCCAAAATAATATTTAATTCATTTATTCAAAAATTGGACTTTCTAGTTTTTAGGCTAAAAACCTGGGAAAATCGATTTTTAAAAATTCCCCGCTTAAAAATCCGAACTTTCACTATAAATGTCTAGAAATTCCAAATTCCAAAATCCATTTACACCAGAATATTGCATATTTGGATATGATTCCACAGCTCGGTGGCACTGTCGCATACTTGTCCGCACATTGAGCAGGTCCCGTCGGCACTGCTAGTCTCGGATTGTGTCTGAGTTTGGTTGAGCATTCGTGGGATAATAATATTTACGTCTCTACTGTAAAAAATAGGGAAAATATAATGTATGTATGCGTATTTTTAAAAAAAGGTAGTGAGTGGAGAGGTCCAGATAAAGAAGAAAGTCGAAGAGGTGATGTCAGGATGGTCCGTGCGCTCATATTTATACTTCTGTCGCCGCCATGTTTATCCCCGTGCCAAAATAAGCAAAAAATTTAAAAAAATTGCCGTATTTGCGAAATTAAAAACCGGCTCGTGGAGATTGAAGATGATGATTAAATGAGAAACCAAGGTGCTAAAGCCGTGTTGTTATTTAATTCACGAAATCAGAACAGCAAACAAAAAATGAAATATTATCCCAAAGGGCCATACTCAGTCATGCATTTGTTTGTTGGACAATTGAAAGCACTGGCATTTCGCTGTCCTTTTCGCTTTTGCCTTTGCCTTTGCTATTGTGCCCTATGAAATCAAATATTGAATATGTGGTGCAGCGAGAGCAAAGTTAAATGTAGCTTAAGAAAAACAAAATTGGCGAGAAAGCGGAGCGTCACAAAATGGTCCTTACTTGGCAATTTACCGCCTTCCATAGAGCATCCGGGTATGAATAGCGTGGTTTTGCCTGTTCGTCTGTCTGTCTTCTATTTGTCTGCTTGCCAATTTATATTTTAATTTTGCGCAGGTGTCTAATATTCGCGCACAACATCAAAAGTAGAGTGGATGTGCGCTATCTCTCTATTGCTGGCGACATTGAGCAAACAGCGAGATGTAGTGTGGCAGAGGTTCCTCGCGTATTGTTTGTTATTTTTGTGCATACAAAGTTCAGGGAGCGCAAGACGGACAATACTGTTTGTAATGGTCAGTGCTTTTCTTATTCACCATATCGCGCAGTATGCATGCATACATGCGAACACAAACCATGTATGTTGGTCATTTTAAATTGTAAATATTTTTAGTTATTGTGGTATCATAATTTTATCGAAAAAAACTGTTTTTGATCAGCAGCGATGAGGTGCCTGAGAAGTAACCAATATTAAATTTATTTGCACATGGTTTGGGTAATAGGGCAATTGGTAATGCGTAAAAGTAGGATTGTATGGTGACAAGGCAATAACCGGGACGCCAGATTTACAACCATATCTCGGTATCATATTGTTCGGCCATTTATTGCAAAACAACAAAAAGAAAAATAAATCAGCATTTGTTCAGGTCGACCAGATACAGCGAGCTGCTGCACAGAACGACTAGCGTTTTGCCAGTATTTTGTATGCCCAGGAGCTCAGAGTCGCCAAAGTCCACAATATTCTGGACTGCATTGGTGGCGTTTTCACTTTTAGCCTGGTGGTAGATATAGACTCGGCGCCGGGTCTCAGCCAGCACGGCCACAGACATGTTAGCATCAACAAACATAAATCGCTTCTCACGCTTGCTACCTTGAATGTACGATAGCGCGGCAAACGTCCCTATGTGCTGGGCTTCTACAGATGCTCTTGCCTCGTCGGGTTTAAAGGCAAACACTACACCGTCGACATCAAATTTAAGGCATACCGGGGGCAGCGCGCATCCTTGACCAGCATTTCGACTGCTCGCTGGGGCGCGTGGAAACGACGGGCAAAGCCAGTCAGGTGATTCGGCAGCACTGCTTGCATCTGCCTGCCCTGTGGTCCAATTCCGAACCGAAAAAACAACTGACGAATCCTCGCCCTCAAGGTCATCATCATCCTGGTCCATTGCACCAGCCGCCGACTGGATGGGTAGCCCGCCACCAAGCTTGCGCATATCGATGTTTTCCGATGTGTACTTTTCCAGCCGCTCGCGAATCACAGCAAACTCGCTAGAGTCCATGGTCTCCAAAACGCCGTCGTCCGTGCTAAACACCGTCGTCCACCGCACGCCCTTGCGTGCCTTCTGCAAATACAGCGTCAGCAGCCGCCCGTTTTCAAGCGTCCACACCGACTCGTCAGCCATGATATGGCTATGGAATGCTGTGTTGTTGAATGAATACTTGGTCTCGCAATCAGGCGCGTTATTAAACTCGAGAGTAAGCGAGACTCGCGTCAGTGAGCATGCTATCTGATCAGCGCTAATGCTCGACGGCAGCTGGATGCATACTGTCACATCGCTGTCTGTTTGTGTCCAGTAGTACGGCTCTGGAACTCCAGCAACAGCCATAGTATCTTGTGGTGGCGCTTCGGTGCCATCCAGCGCAACCCCATCCCTGACGCCCAGGACAAAGTGATCGCTACCGAGATACTCGCAGTACACGGGGATCGCATGACTGTGCAGTGAGTGAACGTCGAGAGCAAACAGCTGCGGGATTGCATCTCCATCGTCATCCAAGCTGCCTACAAGTGTTCGAAGATCCACTTTGACGGCTCTGATGCAGAATACAGGCTGCAGTATTTTTGTAGATGTTGTCGTGGCTGGCGGCCCCTTGCGCCTAATATCGCGGTCTATGCGGTAACAAAAATGTAGGTGAATCGCAGGCTGGTTAGATTCGCCCACCAAAGCGGCTCCCAGAATGTAATTCATGTTCCTCCGGTCAGCACTATCTGACGGCCCGGCAACTACTGATCCGAATCCAATTTCAAAGGCGCCCAAAGCAGCCCAGAGTCCATTTTGCCGCTGAAGCACATATGCGCTAGACAAACCATCAAATATAAGTATGGTTTCCTCGTCCAAGGAGTAGGCTCCCGGATAACCGTCGAGAGCATATTGGCTCTTCTTTTGTGGAATGTCAAAGATAGCTAATGTGCGTACGCTCTGACCGCTGATGTCCACAAGGTTGACCCTGTTCTCCGAGTCTATGTATATAAACGAACCGTCCGTTGGTCCGACAAACAAATGGTTGTAGTGGATGCGAGAGTGCATCTCATCAAATGATAAGTGCGCGCCTGTTGCAAGCTTGCGCGGGTCTGCGTCGGCTGAGGCCAACGGATATGACTGAACCGCAGCACCCTTGTCGCTGTCGTCGCTATCCACGAGCCACAGTTTGTACCCATCAAAGTGCGGGTTCAGCAGCGAGGTATTAGGTTTGAGATTGAGCAATGAGTATTCCATGATGTAGAAAGTTGTTAAAAGAAGGTTGTGAAAATATAAATAAGACAAAAGGCGCAGCAGAAACAAAGTCAAGCATCTGCTTCTTTCTCAACACTCGACAAAGTAACAGATCCAAAAACTCGAATTTTTGTCACCCGAACCCCAGTCGCTGATCGAGGATCACCGATATTAGGGATTAAATTCAAAATGTTTAAACCAAAAAAAGTGTGCAGTCAACATAGCAAAAAAAATTTAAAAAAATTGTATGTACGCAGTGCTTCAACCTAAGCAAAAAAAGCTTTCCCGACTTTTTTTCACACTTGCGTAAACGCAATTCAATTCAATTATTTTTGTTAGCTCAATTATCTTGTTATTATAATGGTCGTCAAGGAGTATATGAAGCTCCAGAAATCCCGCAGCGTGGCACCCATCGCTCGCTATGTTCCGAGACTTCATTCCAAGGCAGCGAGAATGGCCAAAAAACACGAAACCGCACAGCAGCTTAGGGTCAGCAAAAATGATAATATGGAGACTGAACGCGAGAAAGGAGAAGGTCAGTTTGGCGCCGAACGGAACCACAGCTCGACGGCCAATGATTCGGCAGAGACAGGGCAGATGGCTCAGGATCAACTTGACAAGCTAGATTCCGAGGTTACTCCGGAGAAGATCGAAAAGTTCAACAAAAAGTTTCACACGGCGAAGGTCCAAATGCACACCGTCGTGCGGAAGGCGCTGGCACTTGAGAAGCTGAGGGTTTCGACGCGCATCAAGAGGGCCCAACTTGAGCGGGAGGACCCGAAGCTGTTGGAGATTGATCAGTCCTTGCCAGCCAAGAAGCAGCAGGAGCTGTTGAAAAAACAGCAGAAACTGCTTTCTGTCGAGGAGGCCGAGGCGCTCCTGGAGAAAATAAAAGCAATGGACACGGCGCACCTTGCGAACATCATGTACTACAAACTAGCCAAGCGCAGCTCAATCATCAGGGACCAGACAATGGAGTCTGTTGCCACCCCCGAGGTTGTCGCTGCCTTGAACGACTCGTATATTAATCACTTTTTCAGCATGCAGAGCATCTTGAACACCCTCAAGTACCACATTCTCGAACTTGAGTCTGTACTTACCATTGACAAGCGGAGTAAGGAGGATAAGGTGATTTTGGCCGAAAAGCTTGCGGAGAAGAGAAGTAGAAAGGCCGCTGCCAAGGAGGCCGCAAGAATCGCTGCAAACGCAAAGGAGAGGCGTGTTGAAAACGGCATTTCCGACTCTGAGGTTGATCCCGTCATTGTTCCTGCCGCCAGGCATGTTGTCAAGTTCAACGCCAAACCGTCCCACAAGTCTGGCTCTGGCTCTGGATACGGTTCTGGCTCCGGCTCTGATTTTGCGTCTGAGAGTGGTAATGAAAATGAAGGTGGCGATGACCATGGATATGAGTCCGTATCCGATCTGGACGCCGAGCTAGCAAAGAAGCACCAAAAGCCCACCAAGCGCAATGACGATTCCATAAAATCAACATTTGTTGGAAGCCTCGACGACTTTGTTAGCGATGACAACATCAGTGACAGCGATAGTGATGATGAGGTTGCTGAGCCCAAACGCAAGCGCAAGGAAGAGCCCAAAGCCAAGAGCTCCAAGAAGTACAAGGGTGGCAAGGATGCTTATGACGAGGTGGCGGACAAGGACTTCAAAAACATCTACGGCACTGCAGATGCAGAGCGCAAGAATCGTCCCGGACAGCGTGCGCGCCGCCAAAAGTTTGAAAAGATGTACGGCAAGGATGCCAACCATGTCAAGCTGATGGAGAAGGACAAGAAGGAGAAGCCCCGCCAGCCTGCTCCTCAATTCCAGAAAAAGTCGGACAATAAGCCGATCGCACCTGCTGCCAAGTCCGAGGCCATGCATCCGTCATGGGAGGCCAAGATCCGCCAGAAGAAGATCATGGAGCAAGCCAAGTCCATTCAGGGAACCAAGATTGTATTCGACTAACTTTGGGTCAAAATTAATGTTTTAGATCAACTTTTGTGGCTGTGCTAAAATAAAAAATATTTTGCTCATACCGAATTTTCATGCACTCTCGACGCATTAGTGTTTCGTGTTTTTTTGTCTTTGAATTCTCTATTCTGCATATTTTACGTTTTTGTATCTTTTTTAGTCCAATTCGACCGTCTTTTGTTATTTCCTTTTATTTTTGTTCATATATTATTTTTGTTTGAAATTTGGCCGCGAAGACCAGTGCTGTTGTTCTGTAGGCACGCTTTCAACGCCATTTTTATTTCTGCTTGATTTTTGACTACTATTGACGCATGCCATTTAGACGCAGAGGAGCACGGTATCGCCATCATCGCAGCCCAGCTCAGCGCAGCACAGACACAGACACAAACATGACCGGAATTACCGAAATAAATACAGGAACAGTCCCACCACCGAATGTACGCTTGTGACCTTTAATTGCCGCAGCGGCCAATGGCCAACATAGGCAAACCACAGCCTTCGAATTTTGTATTTTTAATCGACTGCACAACTAACTGACAACCTCGCTCTTTGATTTGTACTTGTAGAACTTCCATAATCAGCTATGCAGCCAGCTGCGGGTGGTTGAGCTTAAGCACATTCTCTTGTATGGCATGACGCTGACACAAAACCGCTTTCCAACATCCGGGCTGAAGAAGAGTCTTCTCGTGGAGTCACTGGCGGGGCAGTTCAAGTTCTTGTATGACGCCAAGCAGCGAGAAAATTACCAGAATTTATTAGGATGCACGGCCGACTACTCAAGGTACGCTTTTGCAACCATAAAGGTCAAATGTTGCTGCCATGTTGGGTCTATTTTTATGTGCTAATACCTCATACTGCTCATTTTGCTGATATTGTCTTGACAACTGCTTTTTAGGTTTCTCTTTGCGCACCAAAAGTACCAATGGTACAACACGGCCATCAAGTTTCCAAATACCAATAGGCCATGGACCGCGTTCAACCAATCCAGCCGGCCGCCTCCAATCATCGATAATACACGTGTATCAGCAACCACTTCAAGTACTGGTGTGCCTATACAAGCGGCCGTGGCTGCGCCTGTGGCTGCGCCTACGGCTACGGCTGCAAATGCAGCTGCAGCCGCAATTTGCTCGACCTTTGACCGTGTCGAATTCTGCGAATCACCGTTTACCGTGCCCATTAAAAACGTTTGTTCACCGATTATATTCATGGAGACGCGGGGAAGAACGCACACTAAAAAGATTCAGTTGAAGCTAACGGCAGACTTAGTCGACACTCTGACTGAAAGCGCCCGCACTCCCGGCGCTGCAGAATACGGAATTTACTGGTACATGTGCGACTACGCGGACGCCTGCCAGGCTGCCAACCGCACGCCCAAGCGGCCAGTCCGCGTTGCATTCCCGCAAACGTTGACAATGTTGGTAAACTCTAAGGCGATTTTGCAGCAGCACTTTCAGGCTTTGAAAGCAAATTTTCCGGCCAATGTCAATGAACACATTATCAAGTCCACCGATCTGACAAACTCGGTGCACGTCAACTACAATTCCAATTCGAGGTGGGTGGGTGTGCTGGCACTAACAAAATTACACTCAGTGCAGTCAATGTCCAGAGACATTCGCAAAAACAGTTATGTGGCTGCGGAAGATGTGCGCAAGCTCTTTTTTAAAGGATCCGGGATGGACGACGACGATCTGATTTCCACTGGGGCGCTGGTTAGCCTAAAGTGTCCACTTGGCTTGAGCCGGATCAGAACACCTAGCCGCTCAAAGTTTTGCCAGCACACACAGTGCTTTGATTGTGAGACGTTCCTCCAGATGAACAGGCAGGTCCCGACATTCAAGTGCCCTGTATGCTCGTCCGCGATTAAGTCGTGGCGCGAGCTGATTGTGGACGGCTACTTTGACGCGATTCTGCAATCAACCTCGACCAACGACGACCAGGTGTACATTGAGGCCGATGGGACATGGAAATCCAAGCGGCAAATGGAGACTGTACAGGTGGAGTCACACTCAGCCAAACGGCAGGCATTGGAGGTTGTCGTCGACGAGTTTGTTGATCTGAGCGACTCGATTTCATTGCACGGTCGGCCACCTGCGAAGGACAAGCGTCCACGGGTTGATTATATCGACCTCACCCTTGACTCGGATGACGACCATGAGTCGACGCTTCCGCCAATAACCGATGAGGATATTGAGTTGATCGAGGCCATGCTTTCATCATCAAACAATTCTAGCAGGAGCAACAGCGAGTCGGAGGCAGATGGGTTGGCGGAAAAAAACGGCACAGCTTCTCCTATCGCTCTGGCGTCTTCGGAATCAGGGGAAATTCAGCCGGCAGCTCAGGCATCAACGGCCCAACCGGAGGCAGCTCAGGCGTCAACAGCTCAACCCGAAGCAGCTCAGGCGTCAACAGCTCAACCCGAAGCAGCTCAGGTGTCAACAGCTCTGGAGGTGACCACTGCCACAGGTCTGTCGAGAATTGTTCCATGGACAACAACCACAGCCGATTATATTGCTTCACGACACCATGACATGTCGTTCATGCCACTCATGCGCCGGGCTGCTCCGCAATTGCCAGAATTGCCAGGATTTCCAGCAATGCCGCCGAGTTCCGTTGTCGCCGCTGCCACTGCCACTGCCGCTGCTGATACCGATGCTGATGCCGATGCCGCTGCTCTTACTCTTGAACACAGACACACATCTGAGTTTGAAAGGATGACAATGCCAGTACCAAGACCACTGCCGAAAGCGAGAAGGGGGCGGAGGCCTAATGCACTAGCTTTCTCAGCAGCAGACATACCATCCATGGTTGGACTAGCTTCGCTATCGACAGCCCAACAGGGGCCAGTTAGTCCATATCGGGCTCCAATTTTGCCTTCATCAGCTTTGGTTACGCCGGGGCGCCAAAGTGCACATATCTCATCGCACTCCAGCAGTCGTATGACAACATCGCCGCTTGCAAGGAGCATTACGGGCTCAGGGACAGTTCCCAGACCCAGGGTCAGGATGACGGTTGATACAACTACCACCACTACTCCCATCACCCCCACGGCACATTCTCGCCAGCCGGTGATTGGAATGTCGCCTGCATACAAGTCGCTCTTCATGAACGCCCAGATGGTAAGCGATAGCGCTTCAAGTGACACTGGTGTTCCTCCGACTGCTTCTGTTGCTGGCAGAAATATAGCACCGACACCCGGTGGCTCGTACCCCTCTGCATAATTGTATGTTGAGTCATACGTTGCACTGGAGCCGATCCCTTTGTCCGGCCACTTTGCATATGCGTCAATTGATTTTTTTCATATTCAAACCAATCTAAAATTGAAGTTGCCATAGGTTCAACCTTGGCGCACGTGCATGAGCCCCAAAAAAGAGCGGCTGTCGTATGAAGCTGTCCGGTCGGCCTGCTGTGCCACGCGTAGGCGTAATCTGGGCTTTTCTTTGATCATTCATCTTGTTTGCCTCTTATATTTTTGCTTTTGTTGTCAATAAAGAGACGAGATAGATTTTTAAGATTAACTACACAATGATCCGCATCGGGACCAATGCTCTCACATCTGGGCGCAGCATTACACGCGCATCAATGCTCTGCCGGAATTTTTCCAAAATAGAGACCGACGGCAATACACGGCTAGCCAAGCCCTGGAGCGGAGACATTCCACGGCCCAAGGCACCAATTCACCTTGAGTCGCCTGCAAGCGCGCAGGCTTTTGTCGAATACTCGGCAGAATATTTGAGTTCAGGGCTGGACAAGCAGGACATATTCGTGTATCCTGATTTTGTAACCACCTCTGAGCACGACCTGCTGGTGAAGAGCTGCGAGAATAAGCTCAAGCGGCTGGCTAGCACATACGAAATGGGACATTTTGACAAGAGAATCCGCAATTACCGCGAGTGCTCGGTCAGCGCTTGGCTGCCGCAGAAGAGGGGCATTGGCGCCCGCGTAGCCGATGCCATGGGCAAGTCGATTGACCCTGATCCCGTTGATCTGCCTGACAGGGATGCAAAGGGCGGATCCAGCGGATGGACGACAGTCGGCAAGTATGATGGCCAGATACGGCATATTCTGGACCGCGTCTGGGACCTGTTCCCTGCGAGCTACGCCTGGCTGCCGCCGCATATCCTGGACCTTCACCAGGACGGGGAAATTCTGCCGCACGTAGATAACCCGGACTACTCAGGGTTCGCCGTCGGCGGGCTGTGCCTGCTGGGCCCGGCTGTCAGCACATTTAAGCATGTTGATGACCCGAGAATTCGCGTGGACGTCCTGCTGACCCCAAAGATGCTGTACTTTATGACCAACAGAATCAGGTACCAGTTTACTCACGAGATCACTGTGAATCCTGAGCAGAGAACGTGGCAGGGCAAAACTGTGCCCAAGGCCAGGCGCATCTCGCTCATGTTCAGAGACGCCAAGGAGCCGGATGCCGGCTGGAAAAGCCTCGCCAGTTAGGCCTGTGGCACTTATTTTAAATGGAAAATATAAACTTTCAAAAAATTCGTAGTGAAAACCATTTATTTATATATAGCGACAGACAACCCAGTTCACAAAATGAATGGCGCAAATCAGCCCCAAAAAGTTAGCGCAAGCGTACCGGACTCCAATTTACTGGTTGCCATTTTCGCCCCTGGGGGCATCCTTGAAGGAGATGGCGGCCTCAATGCCCATCGATCTGAGAACGGTGACAAGGATCTCAGCACCCTCGTTAAACCTAGCCTCCAAGGTCTCGCCGAGCTCGCCCTCAGGAAGCACAACATCCTCCTTCATCTCACCGTCATCGGCCATAAGGGAAAGGAAACCGTCATCGATGTTGATGAGGGTCCACTCGCTACGGTGAACGTGGGGAACGTCAATGTTGTGGGTCGAGGGCGACAGATCCTCGTACTTCTTTGCGTTGAAGAGATCGACACCAGAGTAGTTGACCTTGGCGTGTCCGTGCTTGCCGGTCTTGGAGGTCGACATATCAATAATCTTGCAGGGGCGGCCCTTCATGACAACAAACCCGCCTTTGCGCAGAGCAGAGCACTGCATGGGGTAGGTGAGGGCGGCTCCGGAGTCAGTCTCCTCAAAAACGTGCTCGTGCTGGGAATCGTCGGCCATTTTGTTTATCGCTACGTATTAATTAAACTATAAGTAAAATTAAAAAAGAAAGAGTTAGCAATTGTGCGGCAGATTCAAAGCTTGGAATGAAAGGACACACGGTTCGGGCCAGTAAACGGTTTATGTGTATATAAATAAAATAACTGGATAATAAAAGAGCAACAACAATGAACGCGGCAGTAGTAGCAGCAGTTTCTGTAAGAGTGGGTCGGTTTAAAAGCCCTTCGCGCATCTACTCATCTGCACGAATTCAAGTCAAAGTCCCGGCTGGTATACACAATAAGAAAATAGGCCAAAGCAGACAAACTGCCTGCTCATGCTTTGTACAAAAAAAAAGACTAGTGACACTCAAAAAATATTTTTTTCTTGAATCTCCCAATCTTCCAAGTACGAAGAAAAGCCACGGGCTCACAAAATGTAATGTGGAAGTGCGATAAGATGAAAGCATACTTTTCTCGGACTGGAAAAAGGAGGTTAATTTCCTTGCTTCTTAGACACAATAAAAAAATATAAAAGCACGGAAATACATACCTTGTTAAAAGTGTTAAAAAAGAGGGGTAGAAGGATGTTGGGAAAGAAAGAAGAAAAAAAAACTTGCGCTTGAATATGCCGGGTGTGAATAATTTTTCGTCTTTCTCTCCAGTATGTGGCTCCTCTCGTATACTTTGCTGATGCCTCATCAAATTGGCACTGTTTTTGACGAAATGGCCAGGGTAAAATTTTTTTTCCAAATTGCTTTGGTATAGATCTAGCGGTTCGAGCCGAGCTGCACTGAACCTGTTTTCGTTAATTTTTTGGGTTGGGTTCGGTTGGGCAGGCATTGTTTTCACCGACCTTCACCCCCCTCATCCTACTCATTTAGCTCGACAAGCAGGAGTGCGCACAGATATTTTCCGCACAGATATTCCCACTCTGTAAGCGGAGTCTCTTCGACCAAAACCAGAACCAGTACTGGGCTCTCACGCAAAGAGCTTGACACCCATGTCATCATCGGACGTCCCGACAAAGAGCTGTGCCTTGCCCTGGCTCTGCAACACATCCAGCGCTCGACGAAGCGTCACCGAATCCAGATTATGAAACTCCTGTCCGGCAGTGTCGTCACCATTGGCCAGTTCAAAGACGGTCAGGACAGTGTTGAACAACCCGCGCTCGTTGGCCCATTGATAAATCATGGAGGCCCACACTTCGGGCTTGCGCCAAAGAACCAAGCACGAGTCCTTAGCGTTTTTGGCGCCTGTCCATGATGCATTGCCTACTTAGCATGTAAAAAATCGATGTCAGTGCTGGTGCTAGTGCTGGTGTTGGTACTGGTAAAGGTTGGACGAGTGGAAATTAAAGCCATAGCCTGGAGCCGTAAGTGTATTTCAGAAAACAAAAGCTTACCCTGCTTCACCAAGTCGTCGACCAGTTCGCGCAAGACATCGACGCGCAACGAGCGGTGGATCTGCCTGTTCGTAAATGGCGGTTCTGTGATTGCCTCCGCCAGCGTCAGCGAGTAGAGGCGGTTATGCCTGTAGTACGCAAGTATCAGATCGCACCACTGTCGCCTCTGCTCCTGCCATGTAGACTCGTTTGGCTGTCGTCTACATTGATTGTTTTGGTCACGCAGAGGAAGAGAAAGAAAATAAGGCGGAATGTGCTTGTGCCATGTTAGTTTCTGCGTCTGCACCTCCTCACATTTGGCTTTAAATGTGCACGCTGCTCGAGCGAAATGCGCCCGCTGGGCTTGCTTATGCAGGGAAGAGGCAACTTACGTGAAGAACGGCGGAAAGTTGTATATTTCGGGGAATTGGAACGCTCCGGGCGTTGGTACTGCTGTTGTGTTTGACATTGTCGCACGCCGCGTTTTTATTTGCAATACTTGTGGTAGTATAGAGAAGTATAAATGAGTGAGTAACGAGGGGGATTCAATGCGGTAAATACCTGCGCCAGCTTTCTCATTTGCATGTTGACATGCAAAAGGGCTTAACTGCTGTCAAACTGCCAAATTAAAACTGCCTTGCTGGCGGCACTTAATTTCTGATCACGTGTACATTTGTGTTACTGCTGTTTAAATTCAGTGGCTGTCATTGGCTCTCAAGGATTGTATTTTTTTATCTCAGGCTACATTATTTCCTTGCGATCCCGCCGGCACACGCCGGGCAACTTTCGACCCCACTCTACCGCTTGATGTTCCTATCCCGTTCGTTGCTTACTTCTGCTCCTTTCTTGTATTTGCGATTGATACAATAATTATTTCTAATAGAGGCCCCAAAAAATATTTTTGCTCTCTTTAAACCTTTACAAAAATGGCAAAGGGCAAAGGAATCAGCGTCGTCGAAGCGTACCTGGTGGCATACAACGCAGCCTCGTTCGTCGGATGGGCCTACGTTTTGGTAAAAACGCTCTTATATCTCTCGGTCCACGGGACAAACCTTGACGGTCTGTTTGACAGCATTGGCAACGCGCTCATCATTGTGCAGACTGGCGCAGCCCTGGAGATTGTCCACTCGCTGGTCGGCTTTGTGCGCTCCAGCGCCATGACAGCCACGTTGCAGGTGTACTCGCGCTTGAACCTGGTATGGGGAATCCTGTACATGTTTGACTACCCTGAGGTTCGCGCATCTTACGGCCTGGTTCTGATGGTCCTAGCCTGGTGCATCACCGAGTGCGTCCGGTACAGCCATTATGCGCTTTCTCTGTTCGACATCGAGGTATACACCCTGCTTTATCTGCGCTACACCATGTTCTACGTGCTGTATCCGGCCGGAGTCACCGGCGAGCTGCTCGAGATTTGGGCGGCGCTTCCACATGCTGCGGCCATTAGCTCATGGTTCTGGGTGTTCCTTGTTGTCAACATTGTCAACTATCCGCCGGTGCTATACAAGTTGTATACGCATATGATTCGCCAGCGCAGAAAGATCCTCGGTGGCGGCGCAGACAGCAACAAGATTAAGGCAGCCAAATCCGTCGACCCGGTCGTTTCCAAGAAGAAGAGGCTTTAATGCCTGTGACTTTTTAATTTATCTTATTACCGACATTGCTCTCTTTTGTGTAAAAAGTTTACAAAATAGACAAAACTTCATTATTCACCAGACGCAACCCCCAAAAAGGGGGAGGGGAGATCACTTAGGCGCATTGTTCATAAATGCGCCTAAAATTGTATTTATTATTCTTTGGACCAGCGTTGAATAAGGAATGAACAGTTTTAGTTTCTCTCGTTTCCTCGTCTTTATATTTCATGATTTTTTAATTTGCATTTCTCATTTCTCATTTTATTTTGTATTCCTATGTTCCAAGCAGCCCAGTTTTACTCGCCCGAAGACCAGCTCAGGGAGGAGCAAGCCCGGCTGATGCGGCCAAGTAACACAGACGCCGAAGCCGCAGCCGCAGCCGCAGCCGCAGCCACAGCCACAGCTGACACCGAGCCAGGCTCGCGAAAACGCCCACGGCTGGCCTACGAGGGCGAGCCAGATATTACCAAATGGGCGGTCCCGCCGGCACCAGACATCTTCACACTCGAGACAGACCACACCAACAACCTCACGCCAGACCCTGCCATTGCCTTTGCCACAATGACTGTTACTGACGAGCCGACAGACCCATACCAAGGTATCGGACCCACACTCCCAGCCATGCACTTGAGCAGCGAAGTCCTGCACCAGATATGCAACCTGTGCACGGCACAGAATGACTTTGAGCGGCGTCTGTTCGAGCACCGGAAGCGCATCCAGCATGAGTATGACCGAGCTATGAAGCAAATTGATGCGCGGGAGATTATTGGGCCTGTGCCAAAGCAGGAGAAGGATGAGGCCTTGAGGCAGCATAGGGTCGAGCTTGATCGCGCCGACAAGAGAGCGATTGAAAAGATGGATGAGCTTCGGTACCAGCAGCAGATCCAGTTGCAGAGCTTGGGCGTTCCCGGATTTTACCCGTCGTCTGATGTCAAGACCATGCAAACGCAGCAGGCGGCGCTTTTGCAGGCCATGGCCCAGCTCAAGCCATAGCAGCAGTGAAAGTACGAAAGATGCAAACATCATGTTGCGAATAGTTTTTTCTTCCGAATGTAAATAAATAAATAATGCAATGTTTATTATAGTTAACCTCACAGTCAGTGCTCGTTCCCCGGGTGGTGCGTATTTGTGCCTGGTTTCTGGTCAGGATCAAATGTGACGGGAATGTCCTGCCACACCTTGTAGTAGTCGCTATCGCGATGGCTGTGCTCGGCCGCCCACTTGGTTGCCCGCAGCTGAAACATTGTCTCAAACATGAACGTCTGCGAGTTATCGGCGATCCGCCCGGGCCTGAGCTCGCGCGTAGTCGCACTCTGCACGGTGGCGGCATCCGGCCCATGCGGCGTCATCGTCGAGTGGATGCTGCAGCCTCCGGGCAAAAACTTGCCCTGCTTTGCCTCGTAGTTGCCAAACAAAAGGCCAATAAATTCGCTCATGCAGTTGCGATGGAAGTACGGCGGGCGGAACGTATCCATCTGTACCTCGAATCTCGGCGGGAAAATGACAAAATCAGCGACGGCTGTGCCTGGATGCGCAGACTTGCACGTCAGGACGGTGAAGATGGACGGGTCGATGTGATCAAAGCTCACCGAATTGACAACGTTAAAGTTGGCCAGGTTGTACTTGAACGGTGCATAGTTGCCGTGCCACGCGACCACGTCAAATGGAGAGTGGCCCTGCTTGGCGGCAAACAGCGTGCCCTGGCTCTTGCTAATGATGGTCCAGCCATCAGTAGTGTTTTCAAATTGAGCTGTGGGCGTCTGGAAGTCGCGCGGGTTGGCCAGTCCGTTGGCACCAATGGGCCCAAGGTCCGGTAGCTCAAAGTGCCCATCGTATACCTCAAGGACAAACCCACGGCTGGGCCCGTCGGGCAGCGCCACGGAGAACCGCATGCCGCGCTGGATAACCGCAATTTCATTTGGCGCCACCATTATTGGCCCAAACTCCGTTGTAATGTCCAAGCGCCCCTGCTGTGGCACAATGAGCATGTCACCGTCGGAGCTGGTAAATGCCCGGCAATTCATTGACTGCGACGCCGCGTACACGTGAATGGCAATTCCGTTTTTCACCGTCGGATCGCCTGCGCCACTGACTGTGCGCAGACCGTCAACAAAGTCGCTGTCCTCAGGGATGGGAAATGGCATCCATCGGTTTTGCGTCGGTGTTGGATCGGTTGTTTGCGAGTCGAATATGCCAATGATGTGGCTGTTTTTTGTGTAGGGCTCGAATGGCAGATGCATGACGGATGGCCGGATGCGGTAGAGCCAGGTGCGCTGGTTGCCACTGCGCCCGACTGTAAATGCGGTTCCCGATAGTTGCTCTGCGTAGAGGCCGTAGGGACAGATTTGGGGTGTGTTCTGGCCGACTGGCAGCGCGCCGTCAAGGGCCTCCGATGAGAAGTGGTTGCCAAATCCCGACTGGTATGTGTACGAGTTGGGTTGCTTGTCTTCTGTGAACATGGTTTAATGTTTCTTAATAATAAAAGGAATATTTTATACTTTTGTTTCGAAAATTTTAGAATAGCTCGTTGTATTATAGCACGAAAAACTTTTGAGAATCTATGGAAAAGCAATGCGCACATATATACTTATTTGTGCTTTTGCTCGTAACACAAGTTGAATCCATTTTCAAATACCACCAATTGTACACGCCATCACTGACTTTCCCACGCTGCGTACAAAAGAAAACAAAATATCAAAGTGATGTTTATTGAATCACGCGCCAATGTTTTTCTGCATAAACAGCCAAGCAAAAAACAAAGATAATATTCTCACGCTAGTCACGCCCAAAAAGCTTGGTTATTTTCTGTGTCCTCGGAGTGACGCTGGCAATTGGCTCACTTTTCGGTTGTGAGAAGTGAAATAAAGTTTAATTAGATCCACAACGAAATATGCAGTTTTAATCAGCCCCTAGCAGGGTGACCAGACAAGTTCCAAACGCAGGGTTAATAAGATAAACACTCCAATCTCCCAACTCAAATCTAGAGCTTCTCGGTCAGCTCAGGAATGATGGTGAACAGGTCGCCGACCAGACCGTAATCGGCAATCTGGAAGATAGGCGCATCGGCATCCTTGTTGATGGCGACGATGACCTTGCTGTCCTTCATGCCGGCCAAGTGCTGGATGGCGCCAGAGATACCAATGGCGATGTACAGATCGGGAGCAATGATGCGACCGGTCTGGCCGACCTGGAGGCTGTTGTCGCAGTAGCCAGCATCGACAGCCGCGCGGGAAGCACCGACGCCCGCGCCAATCTTGTCAGCCAGATCATAGATAATCTTGAAACCCTCGGTGCTCTTGACGGCACGGCCGCCAGAAACCACGCGCTTGGCCGAGGCCAGATCCGGGCGGTCGTTCTTGGCGACATCTTCCTTGAGCCACTTGCTCAGAGGAGCGGCATCCACTGCGGGAGCAGCCTCCTCAGCAGCAGAAACCGCGTCGGAAGACACAGCAGCGGCGAACGCTGTCGTGCGAACAGTCAGGATCTTGATGACATCGCTGGTCTTGACGGTGGCAATAGCGTTACCGGCGTACACCGGACGAACAAAGGTGTCCTCGCCCTCGATGGCAATAATGTCCGAGATTTGCTGCGAGTCCAGGAGCGCGGCAAGGCGAGGCATAACATTCTTTCCGGCAGCCGAATGCGGGGCAAAAATATGTGTGGCACCCTCCTTCTCCTGCAGAGCCTTGAGCAGGTTGGCCGTGGTCTCGGGCAGAGCGTGGTCGAAAATTGCGTCCTTGGCGACAATAACCTTATCGACGCCCTCGATCTTTGCAATGGCCTTGGCAATGACATCAGCCTCAGATCCAGCAACGACGGCTGTGACTGGCCCAGAGATCTTGCGGGCGGCCGTAATCGCATTCAAGGCACCCTCCTCAAAGCCGCTGCCCTTCGTCTCGACAAACACCAGAGACGACAAACCTGACCTCTGCACAGCGTAGAAGCGACCGAGTGTGCTGTGCTACAGATAGATAAAATGACAAACAATCAGTTGGTGTTTTGCAAGGAAAAAAGAAGCCAAATAAGCGCATGTTAGCCGGGTATGAGCATATGCCCGTTAATGAGGGATGGTGGTGATACGCACCTGTTTAAGGATGGAGTTGCGAGCCAGAGCGCAGCGAATGGAACCAAGCATTGTACAAGTGTTAATTCTAAAATATGAAAAAGTAGGGTTGACGACGAAAAAAATAAAAAGGACGAAATTGAAAAAAGTAATACAGTGAGCGAGCTGATAACGAAAGAAAGCCTTAACCTGACCAACCGCTTTTTTACTTGGACTTTAAACATGCTCTGCCATTATAGGCAAAACTGGCATTGGCCTGGGTGCGTGTGAATATTCACGTGCTCACTCCAGCGATAAGCGGCCAGAAGCACGTGAATTAGCCTTCTTAAATTGAACCATCGCCTCCACCCGTTCAGCGGGCAGCTCGCGGCTTGGCTTGGCTTGGCTTGAGCCACAGGCCTGCGCTTTGTCGAGTGACGTTGCAATTTCACTTCGAATTCAAATTACACAATTGCGCATGTGCACTCGCGTTTTTTTTGCTTTTTTTCCCGTGCACACATTTTTCCCCTCAAATATTACAAATAGCATAATTCACATTTAATGGCAAACTTTCAATTACGGCAGTTCCACTTTTTCAAGCGCGAGCCTTTGGAAGATTTGCCCGAGGCATTCAAGCGGCCTGAGCTGCTGATGGCGTCGGGCGGCGGCGAGCTCATCTTCATTGCCGATTCGGATGGCTCAATTCATATTGTCAACCGCGCGTTCATAGTGCGGTCGTTTGTGGCAATCAGCGAGGCGCCAGACACACGCATCACGCAAATGCTTCACATACACCAGGCGCGTACTCTGGTGACCATCGAGGAAAACGTCTCATCGGCAAGCAGCAGGCCGGTGATAAAGCTGTGGCCCGTCGACAAGCTTATGCGGCAAACTGATGTTCAGCCGGTGACTGTCAAGTATCAGCAACCCACTACAACGCCCTACCCACTGACTGCAGTTGCGGTCACGCCGAGTCTCAGCCAGATTGCGCTGGGATTTGCCGGTGGCCACATTGTGTTGATCCGCGGCAACATTGCCAAGAGCAAGTCGACAAAGCAGCGCACGTTGCACGTGGCGCCGGAGCCCATCACAAATCTGCATTTTGTGACTGACGATATTGGCACTAGCGTGACGCTTTTCGCGACAACAACAGCCCAGACACTGGTGTTCGACACTTCGGCTACCAGCAACAAAAACGATGCCAATATGCTCGAAGAGCGGGGTTGTAGTATTGGCTGCTCGCTGGTCAACGAGGAGAGGGAGCTCATTGTTGCGCGCGACGAGGCCATTTATTTTTACACGGTGGAGGGACGTGGTCCGTGCTTTGCGTTCGACGCGCCCAAAGTGATGCTCCGGCGGTTCAAACACTATCTGCTGCTGGCGACGGCGCAGCCGTCGCCAATGGTAGCGGCGCCCACTTTGGCAAATGTATCTGATGACAGCAGCTCTTTACTCCAGGATACCGACAGCCGCATCTACTCGTACAACGACGCGACCACATTCACTATCCTTGACACTAAAAACAAGCTGGTCGCATACACAGGCGTGGTTGCCGGCGGCGTGCGCGGCGTGGCTACAGAGTGGGGCAGCGTTTTTGTTTTGGGCGGGCACGGCACGCTCGATTACTTTTCTGAGAAGGATCTGCTCGAGAAGCTGGACATTCTCTACCGCCAAAACCTCTACCCACTAGCAGTCAAGATGGCGCAAAATGGAAACTACGACCTGGCCAGCGTGGCTGGTATTTACAAGAAATACGGAGACTGGCTCTACAGCAAGGACGAGTTTGACTCGGCGATGTCCCAGTACGTCCAGACCATCGGGTACGTCGAGCCGTCGTACATCATTCGCAAGTATCTCGACGCGCAACGCCTGGTGAATCTGGCCAGCTATCTCCAAGAGCTGCACACGGCGGGTATGGCGACATCGGACCACACAACTTTGCTGCTGAACTGCTATACAAAGCTGCGAGACGAGGAGAAGCTTAACCAGTTTATCCATACGCAGGAGGACTACCAATTTGACGTTGACACCGCCATATACGTTTGCAGGCAGGCCGGCTTTTACGACCAGGCGCTATACCTCGCTGACAAGTTCTCCAAGACGGGAATGTACCTAAAGCTCAAGGTCGAGGACCAGGAAGACATTAAGGCCGCGCTGGAGTACATGCGCAAGCTGGGCGATACGGATTTGTCGGCATACATGGCCGAGTTTGGACGCCGGTGTCTGAGCAGTCTGCCTCGCGAGACCACAGAGTTGCTGGTCGACGTATGCATTCGCGGGATGGACGCACGTCTGGCGGGCACTGCAGAAGGTTCTTCTGCTGCTATTGCCAGTCAAACAGACACTGACACAGATCCACTGGCTACGCGGGCGGTCTCAGCGCCTGTTGCTTCTTCGCTGTCAATGAGGCGGATCCAACACTTGTTTGCTGACCAGCCGGCATGGCTTGCCGCTTTTCTTGAGCGCGTCATCAGCCTCCGTTGCCAACAGCAGCGGGTCACTGCAAATGGTGAGCTTGCTGAGGGCGAGGACAACGACATAAAATCAGCATGGAATACCCTACTAGAGCTCTACCTATGCGGCGTGGAATCGCCTTTGCATGAGCTGACGCTGTCCTCTGCCACCAAGCAAACACCCAAGGAGCGTGCGCTTGAGCTGTTGAGAAATCCGCGCGCCACTATTGATTGGGAAAGGGCGTATATTCTGTGCGCGTCAAACAACTTTACCGACGGGATAGCTGCGCTTTACGAACAGAAGGGCGATGTGGCCGCCCTTCTTGACTTGTTTATTGAGAGTGACGATGTGCAAAGCATGCGCAAGCTGCTGCACACCCATGGCGAAAAGCAGCCGGATTTGTACATCAGGGCGCTGCACTATTTCGCTCGGAACCCGCAGCACTCTGACAACGAACAGTCGCTTGCGGAATGCCTGGCAACCATCGAGAGGCACAATCTGATGTCGCCACTGCGTGTGCTGCAGGCACTGGGCGGCTCTGGCAAGTCCGGAGTCACTCTGGGCATGGTCAGGGACTACATAATGCGGCAGATTGAGACGACAACAACGCGTATTAGTGAAAATAAGAGAGCCATTGCATCGTACACCGACGAGTACAAGCTGCACCAGGAGCAGATGGAGGCGCTTAAGACGCAGCCCGTAGTGTTTCAGAGCACAAAGTGCACGTCCTGCATGGCACCGCTTGATCTGCCAAGCATCCACTTTTTGTGCAAGCATTCGTACCACCAGCGGTGCCTGGGAGATGTCGGCGAGAGCTGTCCCAAGTGCCTGGTTGAGACGCAGGCCCTTGAAGACCAGAGGCGTCGCCAGGAGATTAGCGCTCGGAGGCACGATGCTTTCTTCAACAAGCTTCATAAGGCTGAGGACGGGTTTGACGTCATTGCCGAATGCTATTCTAAGAGCCCGTTTGCATTCACCAAGCTTGTCGATCAGTGAGCGCGAATATTACAAGCCATTGTGGGCTTTGAATTTATATGTATTTAAATTGATATCGTATATGTTTGTTTACCAGTTATTTGGGCTTAGTCGCCCTGCCGAAGGACAGAGGCATGACCCGCGACTGGATATCAATGGCTGGGCGCACGTACTTGTAGTCGATGTCGTTCCAGCAGCCCATCTTGGAAATTATTTCGCCAGTGCGACGGTTTACGTTGCAGCCATGGCCAACTAATTTCCAAATAGGGTTGATACAGTCCTGTACTTTGCCCCAGAACCAAGCGTTTACGCCGTTGTCCTCGATGACCAGCGGGTCGTTGGCCTTGGGCTGACGAACGTGTTCGATAAAGTAGTAAGTGCCACCAGGCCGCAAGAGCTTGAAAATGTTTTTGAGTGCAGCCTTGGGATTTCTTGCAGTGCACAGCGAAAAAGAAGTCAGGATGGAATCATAAGGCGCTCCGTCGAGGACTGCCTTTGGTATATTGTTGAACTCATCTAGTGTGCCCTTGACAATCACGAACGGAATGCTATCGTCATTGGCTGCCATTGTGGCGACTGCCGCACCCTCAGGATAGCTGAGGGTATCGTATTTTACGCGGAACCCGTTGTCTTCAGCGTTTTTTTGCAAGCCGCCGTACATAAAGGAGTTTGGCTCGATCACTGTGTATGCCTGAATGAACGCTGGGTCAACCGACTCTGAGCCGTCTTTCATTGTTGTGTGCCGCAAGAGCTTAAGAGACTGTGCGTAGCCAGGGCCGAGCTCCAACACATTGCCGGAGATATCGGGCCAGATCATATTGCGATAAACGTTGACCTTATCGTCGTTACGCTTGCTTTCGATGATCCAAAAAGTGCTAAATAGCCAGTCGTACGCATATGCGAGCCCCATAGAGAGTTTGCTGTAGACTACACAAATAGGTATTACGCGCTGTTTGTCTATTAGTTTGAGCTCACGAGTAACAAACATTGGCAAAATTGTCAATATGTGTTTGGTTAATTTTATACTTACACGACATAATTGGTGGTTAGTATGTGTTACCTAGTTGTATAAATTAGTTCAAAAATGGATATTATACATATTCAAAGAAAAATCAGCACAAGAAAAAAGGAGACGCACTGTGAGGAGATGCAGGGGTGGTGTTAATATATTGACTTTTACAGGAGAAGCAGTAATGTTTATTTAATAACAATAGCCAGGAAAAGTCGACATGTTGAGGCAGTCCAAGTTATGTACATTCTTAAGAACATTTGCAGAGCCAAATTAATTTACAAGTAAACGTGGAACAAAGTCATTAAAACAACTCCAAAAAGCCAATTTCCTTGTTTTCGCAGTAAACCAAATTCGCATGCACGCAATGATGCAAGCTAATTTTAAATACGCGCAAGCTCAGCTGCAATTACCCGACATTGGTCTGCATACAAAGGGTGGATGTTTCCTCAGTCACTGCAATTGTTACTGTATTTCTAAAATAAACCCTACTGTCATATTTGGAATAATACACCAACAGCCAAGTTTTCTTATCTGGAAACGCACCTAGCACATTAGCATTAATGTTTTTGGTGACGTGTCATTTCTAGCTCGCCAGAGTTATAGCCAAAACTTGTAATTGTTATTAATAAACTTCGCGTCTATTTATAAACAAGCAAAATTTAAGAATACATGCACAACTAATCTAATGAGTGCCGTCTGGGGGATAGGGAATGTCCTCTGCCAGCTCCAGCAGCTCTTTGACCAGCAGCTTCTGCAGCTGACGCCCGCTGCCTGGCTTGCCCGGGAGGTCTGGAATAAAGCGGACAGCCGTGATTTTGCGGTTCCAAATGTTCAACGGCTGCGGAGTCCTCTCGCTCTCAGGCACATTTGATCCCCACCAGCCAGTGCCGTCAAACACGGCACCGCCAGCTTCAGTGACGATAACAACGCCTGCTGCAAAGTCCCAGACATGCGGGCCACATTCCCAGTACATCTCGGCGGATCCCTTAGCCACGAGTGTCAGATCAGGACAGGCTCCGCCAGTGATACGGAGGTTTTGAAGGCAGCCACCACCATGCTGCTTATCTGTGAGCAGACGCGTGAATGACGCCAGGCGGGACGTCATTGTTTTCTCCGACCTGTCCGACCCATGCTCGCTGACCAGGGCGCACTGTGAGAGCGAGGTTGGCGAAGTGAGCACAGGCGGGCGGATCAAAGGCAAAGCCTGGCCGTTGAGGAATGCGCCCGATCCACGAGCCGCAGTGTAGAGCTCTTCCAAAATTGGCAGATAAATAACGCCAACCACAGGCTCCTTGTTGATGGCCAGGCCAATGCTGATGCCGGTATAGGGGAAGTGGTGGACAAAGTTGTTGGTGCCGTCGACTGGATCAACAATCCACGTGGGATCATCTGTGACAACGTATCCGTTTCCGCTCTCGGCAGTGGACTCCTCGCCTACAAGCTTGTGAGTCGGGTAAATCTTGCGCAAACGGGAAAATATTGTCTTTTCGATGTAGCAATCGACAGCAGTGACGCAGTCGGCTTCATTGCCGAGCTTGTCCTCAGCTGCAAAGTCGCTGGTCTTTGAGAACTGGCCTGTGCGCCAGAACCCGTCCTTGAATGCAGGTCCAACCTCCTTGGCCAGCGCGATAGCGGTGGCAAGATACTGCTTCAGTTCTTCGGCGCCTAGAACCAACGTCGTTTGCGGACGGATGCACGTTTGAATATTGGCAAGAGGCAAGTGCACTTTTAGTACGAGTTCTATGGATGAAAGGTTGCAGCTTAGTCAGCAGAATAAATGATTGAGCCGCACTTACTCATTGCTGTTTCTTTTTGGCTTTTATAAGAAAAATTAATCGAGCTGAAAAATTATATGTTTAACAAAGAGGGAGAAGAGAAGACAAACATAAGTTTAGGCAGTGTGAGTCAGAATTTAAACACAGTCTGAGCGCTGGTGATCACTAAAAAATGAGAATGTTTTTGAAACGAGTTTTTTAATGCCTTGTTGATGGTCCAGCCCGTATATTATCAATGACCCAGATGTGGTCTGAGAAGCGAACGCTACAAAGCACGACCACGTGCTTACGGATCAGCGAGATGCCCGATTTCGATTAAATAATTTATGTGGCGGCCCACACGTCACAAACAGTATGATCCAAAAAGTGGTAGCCAAAGCATGTTTGGTTCTGCAACGTGTAATAATTGAAATATTATATTTTTATTTTTAAAAGACACTTTCAATTCAAAATTCGTCTTCATTACCAACATGCGTATACTCGGGGCGCTAGCGATATCTGTTTGGGCAGTGGCAGCGGCAAGCTCTTCTCAGGTCAAGCTGAATCAGGCACAGATCAAACTGGACACTGAGCTCCAGTGGGGCACTTACCGGCCTAACTTGTACTTTGGCACGCGGCCGCGGCTGCCCGACTCTTTGCTCAGCGGGCTCATGTGGTTTGGTCTAGACGACCAGCGCAACTGGCAGAGTATCCGGCACTCTTGCGAGCTGGGGGACAACCTGGGCGAGTACGGCTACTCACGACACAACGGGCGGGACTTTGGCGAGCAAACCATGCGTGACGGCGACCAGGGCGTTGAGATAAAGTCCGAGTTTGTTAAGAAGGTGGGGGAGAATGGTGGCAGTTGGGCCGTGCGCTTCACTGGGAGAACGCTGAACGAGTACACACAGGGTGTCGCCCTGATGTACTACTTTGGGCTGGAGGGCAATGGCACCATGTCCATGAAGATCGACGAGGGTGTGGCCAAAATGACGGGCAAGACTGACGATTTGGGCCGCTTTAACATTCGCATAGTGCCTTCGGCCGACAACGAGCACCCGCCAGTACCCAGCTCATTGCGGAATATCCCAGGAATCTTGACCGGCCAAAGAATCAGCGGCATTGCCATCAAGGCGCCGAAGTCTGATATCTGGCGTGCCAAGGATTTATTCCAAAAGGAGCTCCTCACATCAGCACGAGCTAAGGCCAGTGCCATCATCAAGCACACAGGCAGCAACAACCTGTCGGCAGGAAGCCTGCTATTTGGACTAGATAATGCAGGTCTAGACAAGCGCGGCAAGAACCTCTTTTTCACACAAATGATGGTTCATGGCGAGTTTTCGTTTGACGTCATATACGAATGCACCGACAAGAGCGCGCAAATTGACGGCAATGACATTGCGGATATCGCTAGCGAGCGGCGCGAGGCATTTGATCGCCGGTTTGAGGCCACTTTCGGGCTGCGCGAAAAAGGATTTGACGAGGACCACATTGAAATGGCGCGCAATGCACTGAGCAGCCTTGTGGGTGGCATTGGCTTCTTCCACGGCAGCAGCCTCGTGTCCAATGAGTCCAAGCCCGAGTATGGCGAAGGCGATAGCATGGACAAGCCGCAGCTCAGCAAACCTTATTCGCTGTTTACAGCTACTCCGTCGCGGCCATTCTTTCCGCGTGGTTTTCTTTGGGACGAGGGATTCCACCAGCTGGTACTTGGGCAGTGGGACAGCGGTATCAGTATGGAGATCATTCGCAGCTGGTTCAACACCATGGACTCGAACGGCTGGATTGCACGCGAGCAGATTTTAGGAGAAGAGGCACGTAGCAAGGTTCCTGAGGAGTTCCAGGTCCAGTACCCAAACTTTGCCAACCCGCCGACGCTGCTATTTGCCATCGAAAAAATAGCCGATTTGTACAGATTCAAGGGAGCGGCAAATGTCGGAAACTATTTCGACTATCTTGAGGGCAGCGACGATAATGAGACGACGATAAGCAACAGTATTGATGGTCCGGATACTATGCGCCAGAGCTTGCCTGAGCTTGCGCAGTACTCATCGCGGCTGCTCAATTATTTCCAGACTACGCAGGCTGGCAGCAGGCCTATGCCAGAAAACGAGGAGGACGCATCCCCGGCCGTGCGTGGCTACAGATGGCAGGGACGCACGATGGACCACACGCTGACTTCGGGCATTGACGACTACCCGCGCGCTCGCCCGCCGAGCACCAACGAGCTGCATGTCGATCTGTTTGCTTGGATCACTTACATGGTGTCGATCAATGCTAAGCTGGAGTCCATTGTAGATGGCAGGACCTCTGTGAGTGCCAGCCAGCCATCTGAGATAGACGCTCAGCTGGAGAGCCATATCCGTATTCTGGACGAGATTCACTGGAATGAGAATAAGAAGATGTACTGCGACGTGACTGCAAAAGTTCGCGAGGACTATGATGAGCTCGAGGATGACGAGGAGACCGCACATGTGCGCGTGTTTGTTTGCCACAAGGGCTACATCAGCCTGTTCCCCATGCTTCTTGGGCTTGTTCCGCCAGAGTCCGAGAAGCTGGGGCATATCCTCGACATGATTGAGAACCCGAAAGAGTTGTGGACGGATTACGGCTTGCGCTCGTTGTCCAAGAGCGACAAGTCTTACGGCAAGGGCGAGAACTACTGGCGTGGCCCAATCTGGCTCAACATCAACTACCTCGTACTTTCATCCTTGAATCGGAACTACGTGTCAGTTAGCGGCCCGCACCAGCAGCAGGCCCAGCGCATCTACTCGAGCCTTAGGAGCAATCTGATTACCAACGTGTTTTCCCAGTATCAGAGCACGCGCTTCTTCTGGGAGCAGTACAATCCTAAGGACGGCAGCGGGCAGGGTACCCACCCGTTCACTGGCTGGACAACGCTGATTCTGCCGATTATGGCGGAGAGCTACTAAACAAACACATCTTTTCGATATCTTTGTTGGTTGCAACAACTTGCATATGGGTTTTCATGTGCCAGTGAGAGTTTTTCTGCCCCTTGAGATTAATTGGGTTCACATATAAAACTTTTAATGGAAAAATTGAAATATTAGTTGGTTTTATTACAAATTAAATAGATTATTTCTCCTCCTCACCCTCCTCGACAGGCAGAGTGGCAAAGCGCAAGTAAGGAAGTGCCTCCCTGACCTCTGGGAAGATTTGCTTGGCCTTCTCTGTGGAGACGCTGACATGAACGATGACTTCTCCTCCGGGCTGCCAGTTAGCCGGGGTTGCGATTGGCTGTCTGTCCGAAAGCTGGAGCGAGTCAATCGCGCGCAGGATCTCGTCAAAGTTGCGGCCACAGCTGGCAGGGTACGTGAGAATCAAGCGGATCTTCTTGGCTGGGTCAATGACAAAAACAGAGCGCACAGTGAAGGGGATGCCATTCACAACGTTGGAGGCGTCGTGCTCAACGCTGTCGAGCATGTCATAAAGAGTGGCGACGTCGCGATCCTTGTCAGCAATAATGGGGAAGGCGAGGTTGACGTTGTTGACCTCGTTGATGTCGTCGACCCATCTGTCGTGATCGGCCAGATCGTTGGTACTTAGGCCGATGACCTTGACACCGCGCTTGGCAAATTGGGGTGCAAGCTTGGCAACCTCACCGAGCTCGGTCGTGCAAACAGGGGTGAAGTCAGCGGGATGCGAGAACAGCACGGCCCACGAGTCGCCGATGAAATCGTGGAACTTGATGGGGCCGGTTGTGGTTTCGGCGCTAAAGTCGGGTGCGACGGATCCGAGACGAAGAGGTGCCATATTTGAAAGATTAATTTGGGTTGGGTAAAATGCTAAAAGTGCTTAATAAATGTTAAAAACGAGTCAATATATTTTGTGCAGATAAACAAAAGAGATGTGAGAGGCACTCAAGCAGCTGGCAGAGTAGCTCATTTTATATGTCGTGTGTCTGACAATGGTGCAATTTCAATGACCCTGGCTGTAAGAGCAGGACAAGGACGGGGATGAGGATGAGGGCAGACAAGAAAATTAAAATTTTCAAGCTAACATTTGATATCAGCAACGTTTAATTTTTTTGTCCTTTGTTCAATGCACAAAAGAGATAAGTGGCATCACATGTCTTTTCTTGCGATGCTGCCATCTCATGCATGTCTCGCGCCATTGCAAACAAATAGCGCGAGAACGCTTTTTTGTAAATTGAAAATCTGCAATGTATTGATATCTAATCTTTCGAAAATTCAAGAATTAATTGCTACAGTTTTACAGCCCAACTTACAATCTGTCCGCAACATGAGATGCCGACGTCTACATCGATACGGCAAAGAGGATACAGGGCAATCAGTCTTCGTCTTGGTTCGGCCCAAGCGAAAGCACGGAGAACTCCTGCGACTCGCTGCCATAGAACTCGATGCGCTGCTTGATGACGCGCGCCGCATCCTACACGCACAAAAAATATTGTTTAAAATATAATGTTTAATTAGCAATGCATCTTGAAGCATACACACACATACATATATATAGAGGGCTACGTTCCACATCTAAGTAGTCTTACCTTAAGCAGATTGGTCGACGGCCCAAGGTTGATGGGTGTGGTCTGCCGGCCGTCAAGCTCGTACAGGTCGCCATCGACGCTTACAAATGCGACATAGTGGAGGTCTGTGCGCGAGTCGGCCGATGGTGCCTCTGTCTGGCCATCAGCGGCACTCTCTTTATGCGAATTTGCCACGATTTCGTCGGTCTCCAGAGCAGCAGCGCGTTCATCTGGTGACATGTCCTTTACCTTGGCAAAGAACTCGGCGAGATGACCGCCAATCGGGACTGACTGCTGGTTGTTTCCCAGAGCGTGGAAAACAGCCATTGTGCCGCACGCATTTCCAATGGTCTGACGCATGAACCAGACATTGGGCGACACTTTGTTGTCGCTGCTAGCGATCTCCTTCTTCCGCTCCTCGTCATACTTGTCTGTCAGTGGAAAAAGAAAAACGAGCGAAAGTACTGGCTGTGCAACCATAGCGAGCAGCTCCTCGTCCAGTCCCCAGACATCGCTGAATGCAACTGAAGTGTCGGCGCCCAGATGATGCATGACTTTGCTCAGGGCCTCGGGCGATGACTCGAGCGGGACCCAGCGGATCTTCTTGGATCCAGCGGACGAAGCAGTTTGGACAGTAGACATGAACAGAACGTGTAAGCAATATAGGAGCGTTTAAAATGCAAAAGTAAAAAATAAAATACAATTTGCGAAAAGCGGGGTTGAAAGAAGAAAAGAACAAGAACAACCATGACGCGGGGCACTTGCCTATTTTATTTTTGTATCGGCGGACTTCTCTTTTCCCCCACTTTCATACACATTTTCTTTGTATTCTCATTTACTTTTTGCATTTTACTATTTGTACAGATTTCTTTAAATAAAGCGCATTCCGAATGGCGGCAATGTCAGGGTGGCAAGATTTAAATGATACACATGTGTGGGAAGAGCAAAAAGGACAGCCCGCCAACAGCTTCGACAATAATAGCATTTTAGAATTTGGCGAGTCTGACGAATTCGCTAACGATGGGGATGACTTTGGCGGCTTCGGTGATAACGACAATAACTCTGCTGCTGACTTTGACGACTTTGGCGATTTCAACGAGTTTGGTATCAGTGATGCTCCCGAGCTGCTGACTGTGCCGGTTGCTAACAAGCATATAGAAGAATCGGTGCCTGTGTCTGATGTCGATCATGTGCTGGCCAAGGCAAAGTCACTGATTGACAGCTCGACTGATTCATATGACGATCGGGCGGCCATTCTGGACGAGTGCTTGGACCAGGCACTGGGGAGTGCACAGCAGCAATTACACGGCGAACATATAGAGTTAAACGCGCACTTAAATATTGGAGGAGCAGAAGAGGCGGAGGATATGTTAGAAAGGCTTATTGGTAGCAGTTTGCCTCTCAACATAATAAATATCCCTGCGAGCGAGCCACGGTTACTGCGGAACCTGATTCTCATAGCAGCGGCAACAAAGCTGCCTGAAGAATTGCACAGCCAGTTACTCATGCCCGTGGCACAGACTGAGTCAGCGACAAATCAAACACGAAGACAGGCTCCAGCAGCGATCCCAATGCTGGACATTGACCGGATACGTCAGCTGGAATTACAGAGCACGAGCAGCGAGGAGTCGCTAAGACACGCACTCAAATCCATTAACGCACTCATCTCTGCCAAGGAGAAGGAGATTGCCAAGCGCAAGGACTCCATAGAAGCCTACAACCAAGTTATCCAGACGCTGGTGGCCCAAGCTACAAAATTACATTAATTTCATTTACACAACTTGCTACAAATGTGTTTTAGATTCCTCATGCCACACATGCCAAACCTTAGCATTTTTGAGTTGCAGCCCAAAAAACAAGCTTTAGCTGTCACGTGCTATCAGCCATAGCCCACGATAGTTACATTTTGTCTACAAATATTTAAATGTAAAACTTTTTATTGTGGCCATGCATAATAAAGGTTTATTTATCGTATTGTTTCCATTTATTCTCAGTCAGTTTCTTAAAAAAATACATTTTTTATAATATATAAATGGACTTTCAGAATCGAGCGGGCTCCAAGCCAGGCGCCGGTGCGCTCATGTCACACTCAGAGTCGAACGTGGCTCGCCGCGACCGGCTGCGCAAACTCGCATTAGAAACCATCGACATTGAGAGCGATCCGTACTTTATGCGCAACCACCTGGGGTCGTACGAGTGCAAGCTATGTTTGACGCTGCACAATAATGAGGGCTCGTATCTGGCGCATACACAAGGCAAGAAGCACCAGGCCAACCTGGCACGGCGCGCGGCACTCGATGCCAGGGAGAGCGAGAACGCAGCGCCAGCGCGCGCGACAACAGCACCCAAGGTGAAAAAGAATGTTGTTAAGATTGGTAGACCCGGGTACAAGGTCACTAAAATACGGGACCCGAACACGAAGCAGTTTGGTTTGTTGTTTGAGATCACATACCCGGAGGTCACAGACGACACTAAGCCCAGGCACAGGTTCATGTCTGCGTACGAACAGCGCATCGAGGCGCCGAATAAGCAGTTTCAGTACTTGATTTTTGCTGCCGAGCCCTATGAGACCATTGCATTCAAGGTGCAGAGCAGAGAAGTCGATATGCGGCCTGGGAAATTCTGGTCGCATTGGGACAAGGACACGAGAAAGTTCACGCTGCAGTTTTTCTTCCGCAATCCCACACGCGCACCATATGGCGGCGGCTACCACCAAAGGGCTACTGGTGCCAATGCGGTTGCTGCATCCGGCGCTGTCAACCCACTCAATCCGTACCTGACGCAGCAGTCTTCATGAGTGTTGTTGATACAAAATATATTTAATGTAAAAAGTGAAATAGAAGAAAAGATGAGAGAAGGGGCGCAATGTGTATTAAAAAGGAAAATATAGAGAAGTAAATATGGTGGAGTGCAAGAAGAAACGAAAAAAGGAGTGTGTGAAAGGAGGCAAAATTCTGGTAACATACGGTTTTGGGCGGGATAGGTGGTCTAGTAACTATTAGTGTGGTTTTCAGCGCTTCCTCCATACGCGCTGTCATTGGCGTTGTAGTAATCCCATTCTGCACCAGTCTCAGTGCTCTGAAGCGGATCCTCGGCCATCTTTCCCCTAGCTTTACTCGACATGCGCTCTATCGCAGGCAATGTCCGCGATGGAGCCACTTTGTTCGGCAAACTCTCGGCCAAAACTACACTACTGCTGCTGTTACTCTTGCTAAAGCTAGGTGCTGAAACTGTGCCTGCCGGTGCAGAGGAATCGCTAAAGGCGGCGGCGATCAGCTTGGCCCTTGTCTTCGACGACCCTGGCTGGCAATCGCCCGAATAGTTCAAGAACGAATTGACCGACCCCGCACTGCGTACTGTCCCTTCTAAGACACGCTGTTGTGTCTCCTCGACTACCGGTGCATTGTGTTTCTCCTGGACGGTCGTCTTCCACACGCTGTGCGCATTGACTGACTTGTCGTACAACCACAGACAGCGGTCGGTATTGGCCACTGTGTTTTTGAGCTTGGCTAGCATCATGTCTTTGTCTGGTGTCAGGATGTCCATGAAGTTGAATAGCGATGTTTTGCGCTGCTTGATTTCGGCGATCATATCCTGAACTACGCTGTTTGTGCCCGGATCCTCTGCAACATCGAGCGAGATCAGGGTTTCGGTAAGCATGTCGCAGATGGACTTAAACTCATTGGCAGACGCGTTCATATGGGCGACAAACTCGGGTGCCAAATTTTTACTCTCAGCGGTGTCAGTTGGGGTCAATGGCAGTGGCAATTTCGGGACGGACAGGGGCGACCTGCAATAGTTGGGGGCGTGATGTGAGCTGAATGATTGCGATTTTGAAATCTCATTCTGTTGTGAAGCAAACACGGGATCAATTTCAACATGCCGACCAAAGCTGTTGGCGTACTGCGGATTTAGATTCAGTTGTTGCTGTTGGCGTGGTGGCATAACAGGTGTACTCGCGAATAATTGCTGATGCTGCGGCTGTTGGTATTGCTGCTCGTTTATCCGTGCTAATTGGTTACCCGTTGTCGGGTACGGCCAATTCGGCTGCCCACGCGTGTATGGTGGGTCCGGCAGCATCGTTCCATTAGGCCGTATACCATACTTGGCTTTCACTGAATCCACAACACTCTCAAGGTTCCTGCGCGTGCCCAAGTGCTCGTTATACAAGATACACCAATTAGAAACCATGCACAGCAAAGTCTCCCGAATGACCAACGGAAGGTAAATCGACGAAATAACCCGCATAATCCGAATGTTGGTCTCTGGATCCTGCAGCACAGTGGCCATATCGCGGGGGAACGTCCAAACAATACCATGCAAAGTGGACAGGTACCCCAATGTCTTCACGATGTCGGCGTCTCTGTTATCTTCCACGCCAAGCGTGTTGTTGCTGCGGGAAATCAGCCGATCGCGAAGTTTGGTCTGCTCCTTTGGTGGCTTGTTCATGACAACGTGCATAACAAACTCGAACACTTCGGAGGCCCTAGCATGTTCAAGTTATCAAGATGAGAAAAGTAAAAGTTGTTTTAGTCGCTGCTTGCTCCTCATAATTGCGACAAGTAAAAGCGACGAAAAAGAGGGTCAGGCGAGAGGGGTCCAAAGTCTCTTATCCTCCAGAAAACAGTCAAACAAAAGCAGACACAATTGATACTTACGCGTCAGGCTGCTTCAAAAAGATATCATACATCTTTCCATACGCTCTCTCATCAACTACAGCATCGCCTACAGATACAGCAATGGAAAAAGTAAACAAGCCAGAGAGTGCAAACAAGGAGTTGAAAGTTAGAGCCATTTGAGTAAATAGTAACTGCAACTGCGTGGGCACGTCGTATCTTATTCCCATGTCCGTGTGCAAGAGCACACAGAGTAGGGAGCCAGATAACAAGGCAGATAAACGTACTTATAGCGGTCTGGAGTTTTGGTTTTCGCTTTCCAAATATTGCCATTGATGAATTCAAATTATAAAGTATAAAAAATAAAAATAATTTTGAAAAGTTGAATTTACAAAAGAGAAAAATAAAAATAAACAGTGCTGTTTTGTGGTTGAGCTCAGCTTCACGCCTATATTTTTTGTATTGGGCGAGTATTATATAATGCGTGTGCAGCAAACAGTAATTTTTAAATAAATGGCAGCGTGTGAGTTGGTAGTGTTACAATGCGATGCGGTAGACATAAAATAATTTTATCTTTGTGCGCGAATATCCGGATTTTTTCATTTTCAAGGCAACAACAGACTATTTTAAAAAGGTCTAAATATATAACAAAAATCGTATTTTCACGATTTTCCTTTGGCAAAATATTTCTTGCGTTGAAGAGTGCACATTTTTCGCAAAGAATATTGCTCACAAAAAAGCCCGACTAAATACGTTACAACAAAGCCAAGGCACCCAATTTTTTATTACAAGAAACTCAGGATAAGCGTGTAAATTACCTATCAAGCTATAAGAGAAATATAATATTCCTCTATTTTAAACATTGTTTTTTGGTGAGTGAAAAATATATATTTATAAATATGTGCTAATTTCAGAAATATTTTTTCGGTGTTTTATACTTGCCATCTGCTCGCGCTTTCCGACACCGCCTGATATACAAACGTACTTTCTTGGCTTGGCATTTCTTGGCAACGACACAAGCTTGAAAGAAAGCCAAAATGGATTGTCATATTTGACGCGACAAAACAACAAAAACACGGTTGGATAAAGACAAATGTTTTGACCCTTTCATCGTTGACCAGTTAGAAACCATGTCTGTTGTGCCTCTTTTACCCAACAAAAAAATTGTAGAAGGAATAGTTATCGGAATGATATTTGTATCCAGGTACACACAAGAAATGTTACGGGCAACAAATGATATTTCTAAAGTGTAAACAAAAAGGTTTAGAAATAAAACATAATTCCTGCTCATTCGTACCCCTCGCAAACATCCAAGTGCCGCAGATGGCCGGCCTTTGCCGAAACCAACCTTGAGTCCAAGATCCTCGCCAGCGAGCTACGCATAGCCGATACACTAACTCTACCCTTAAAGCGGGCCAGCGTCGGAATACTAGCCAGCAACCCAGTGACCATAGCAGCGCGCAGAGAAATGCGGCCATCGGGCATACAAAACTCCTCATAATGCCAGACCCGCAAAACCTGCAGCAATGAATTTAGTGGGTTAATGTTTTCCAGTACCCGGCTTTCCATCTCCGCCAGCGTCAGCGCACCCTCTGTGCGCTGATCCCGCGCCAACATGACCTTCAAGAATACCAGGCGCGGCAACTGCGTGATTATCAGGCGTACTTGGTCAAAGGGAATAAGGATGCCAAGATTCAGATTGTAAATGTTGGGCATGTCCAGGAAGTCAGACATGTGGCCGGACAGTCGCATGTGCGTGTAGATGTATATTGTGTGCAGAAACTCCGCGCGCTTGACAAACACTGAATCGAGGATAGGCTGGACCGCCTCGATTTGTGGCAGGTACAACCGCAGATTTCGCAAATGCCTCATCTTGTCGAGCTCCAGCTGCGTGACATGGCGAATGCCCAGATAAACATACAAATTCTTGACTGGAGCACGTGCCAGGGCCGGGAAGAGTCCCACGGGCACACGGTCTTGGAATCCAAAAACATGCGCCGATTCGAGCTTTTCAAACACAACGGGCAATCCACCCACGCCGACACCGGCAAGCCTTATACTCGAATCGGGATCGCTGGCCCCGAAAGAGTGCGTGCGCAGACTCAGTTTTAGAGACTTGAGCTCAGCAAACCTGACCACGCCTGCGTTGGCCTCAAACATGGTCAAAAGAAGGTCTGGCTCAACATTATAGAGCTCCATTTTTTGCAATGAGCCGGCTGCCCCGCACGGCAATCGGCGGCTAGCAGCCGATCCAGGCTCAATAGACAATGTTAGCGAAGTGAGGATGGGCAGCTCCAGCGGAATATCACTGCAGTTAATATCGAAATGCACCTCGAGTCGCTGAAGCTGCCGCATACAATTGGGGAACGCATCCAGCAAGGATATCTTGGCCATTGTTTGTGACTTTTGCGGCCGGACCATGTAAAACAGTGACAAGTTGGGCGCATGCTTTGTCACCTTTTGTACGGTCGATTCGTGCGATTGTAGCTCTGCATCGTAGATTGGCATATCCGGCTCATCATCCAGCTGCAAGCACAGGGTTCGCGCGCTCACCCACTCCTGCTCATGAAACTTCATCTTCTGTAGTGCAAAGTTTATCTGATTCTGGCACAAAAGACCGTCAATTGACACCACAATGGTGTGCACTTGGTCTGGGGATACAGTAGGGATATTGCTGCAGAAATGGAGAATGGTCCCGTTAGACTGTTTCACCCTGGTCACCGAAACTACACTGTGCCTTCTCGGCATCGCCTTGCCCTTGCCAATTGGTTGTAGCCGCGAGGCCAGTGTTTGTAGGTGCTTCCGTGCCAGCGCAAATCTTTCATGGAGAGTGGGCCTCGGGAATCGGGATATGCGAACAATCAGGCAACTGTCTAGGATCGGCTGCAGCGCCGTTCGCCATGCCCGGCATACTAGGGAGCGGTGGAAAATGTACTGGAGATACGCCAGGCGGTGGTATCTGTCCTCGACTCCGCTTTCTATCCAGAATGACTCGCGCAAAATCCGCAGGACCAGGTAGCTGTTGTCAAACAAGGGGTGGTGGCGGCGGCGGCGTTCTGTGTTGGTCATCGGCGTGCGAGCTGCGTGTGTAAATAACCAAAATAATATAAAAGTGTAATGTATAGTCTATATGTGTATATGTGCGAGAGTGGCTACAAATGAGCAATGCAGAGCTATAAAAAAATTGAGAAGAGAAACAAGAATAAAACAAAACAAGAGAAGCTGCGGTGCCATGGGCTACGGGTGATGGATATATGGATATATGGATGCTATCAGTTTGTGTGTAATTTTTCATTTTGTTCATTATGCACTCAACACAATGCATAGATCCTAAAAATAAGATATAAAAATTGCGTGTTTTTTGTGCTGCTTCCCTGCATGCGCATTGCATTCCTATAATTGCCAACTTCATATCCTTCGTGCCCCCTACTTTGCTGCATTGTTAGAATATGTGTGCATGTGTCAACAATGATTTTGTAAATTTTGTCTAGTCATTGCAAAGCGAACACGGAAAGTGAGAAAGGGGGGAAAACGTAAACATTGATCTACAATACAAAACAATGTGGAGGGGAAGAGATAAGGAGACGCCACACATCAACGTCGGACTGTTTCTTAGACAGAGTTGCGGCGAGTCAGTCTGACAGCCACCACGGGCGCAGTCGAACCATTCGCGGCCGACTGATTCCGCGGAGCAGCAGGTTTTCCCGAAGGTGTGCGCCATTGGTCAAGCACATCGGTATGCTGCTGCCAAGCGGCAGTCCACTGGCGCGCATACTCGTACCCGCGGCGATAAACCTCATCAAACCGGCCAAAATCAAGCACACCAACGTCGCGCGGCGGCACGCGCAAATACACACAACTGTCGGCAATCTTTGCACTCTCGAGCTCGCGGTCCGACGATGCGTACGTCAACCGCGATTGCACTTCAGAAAGCGTCGGTATCCAGTATGAGCGCAGCGGGTTGAGGTGGTTAAGCAGCACCCAGAATCCAGAGACAGATGCGCCGTAGCGCACAGGACTGGTGTCGTTCTCGCCGGCAATGTCAATAGCAAAGATCATGTCGGCGCCGAGCTCCGTCTTCATTACACTCACAGGCAGATTGTCAAGGTACCCACCATCGACTAGCAGGTCGCCGCGTTCGTCGCAAAGCGGGGGCACAAAGCCTCCCAGCGACATACTTGCACGAACGACGCGCCACAACAGCCCGGTGGTGTGCACCTCGGGGCGCGACTGCGTAATGTTTGCCGTCAGGCAGTAGAAAGGCAGCCACAGGTCCTCGATCTCGGACTCGCGGAATACCTTCCAAATCGCACGGTTGAACTCGCGGCCTGTTGTGTATGCCAATATGGGATACGTGATATCAAGCAGGAAGCGCCACAACGAGCTCATGCGCCGCGAAAAGGCCCGCAGCGGTCCGTGGATGGCCACTGAGTCGGGTGTCTGCGCATAAAGTCCTGCCATCAGCGCGCCAATACTAGTGCCACCGACCATATCGACCGGGATCCCGGCCTCCTCAAAAGCCTGCAGCACGCCCAGCAACGCAATTCCGCGAGCACCACCGCCACTGAGCACAACGCCCACCGATGTGCCGCACAAATAACGGGACAGGCGGGCCAGATCAGAGCGGTGGCCCTGCGAGGTGGCCGGCGTAAACTGAGGCTCATGTACAACGCGGCGGTAATAGCGCTCCAGGCTGATGCGAATGCGGCCTAGGCCCAACGGCCCCTGCGCTTGCTTTGTAAGCGGGGGAACTGACAGTGTATCGGCCAAATCCGATCGGTTGCGCCGGCGGCCCTGCGACGACACTGACATCATCGTCTTTGACGGCATCTGCACGTGATGGTGGGCGTGCACCCACGGCCGACGCCGCAGCCACTCGCGCGTTGTGCCCTGCCGGCAGCTGCGGTTCTCGTGCAGTAAAACCAGCTCCTTGCGCGCAGTAGTCTTCAGACCCAGCAACAGCCGCTCAAAGTCGCTGACAGCCGGGTCGCCTTCGCCAAGACCCACGAGCAAAATAAAGTCAGAGTGCCGCACACAATGCCGCGTCCATTGCGAGCTGATTCCGCCGTCAGCCACGTGCAGCAGCAGGCGGCAGCGCTGTTCGAGCTCAGCAATCCAGCTGACAATCTTGAGCCCGGCAATGCGGCTGAACGCATGGCGGCCCAGCACACGGCTCACTGCCGTATGGTCCAGAAGCGCCACTTGCCCGGCAATATCGGCCAGCGTTTGCTCGAGTTGCTCGGCAAAGGCGTGCACGGGCACATCGGCATTAATGGGAATAATGGCAATACTCTTGAGGTTGCGGTTGTGGCAGCGCACACCGCTGGTGAGAACTGTAGACTGACTTTGCGCCTGAATGTCTTGGCTCTGCAAGGACTGTGCTGCGCGCACTGCCAGGGTCCGCGACAGATGAAAAGTCAGGCGTGGTGCTGTCTGCATCAGCGCCTTGAACAGCGCTGTTGGGATGCGTACCAGCTCAGAATCGCGGATGGCGTGCAGGTTAAACCGACTGGGTGTGTCAAGCAGCAGATTGGGCTCGCCGACAGACTGGCCCTGGCCGTACTCCGCCAGGATACTGGCTGCACCACCCTGCTCGGAAAACGCCCGCAGCCGCCCACTGAGCACTACATACACAGCATCGCTGACCTCGCCCTGGCGGTAGACCATCTGGCTGGCTTTTACTTGGACCCACTCCAGCGCGTAATCAATGTTCAGCACTGAGGCCGGCAGCCGAGCTGTCAGTCGCCGCGCCAGCGTCATCAGAATTATAGGAAACCGCTCGCTGATGCGGTCCAGCGCCCACCGCGACACAAAGCCGACCACAACATTTCCACGGCTGCGCGCAGTGTACAGCGACGCCATGTCTGTCAGCGCTGGCAGGTATCCGACAATGTCGCCAGGGCGCAGCAAATATGGCTGATGCGCGCGGTCATTGCCTGTGCCCTTTCTGCTGGCGCCAGCCAAGTTCAGTGGCGGGGAAATCCGCGGTACACGTGGCCTGGTCGTAGTGAGGCCCGATTTCATGGCCTGAGCCTTTGGATCCAGGCTTTCAATGCGCACATTAGCCTCACGTGCAAGCTCTGTCATGCGGTGAGTAGCCTCGCTCAGTTTGGACGTGCTGACAGCGTCGTCGCGAGCGTCGATAGCGCCGGTAAAGTCAACGACCGAATCGCGATGGGTGACCTCAACACGCCCATCGAGAATGATATACAGGCCCTGTGGCCGCTTCCCTTGCTCAACCAGTGCAAAGCCGTCGGGCAGATGATAAAGCTCAAGCTCATTGGCCAGCGACGGAATCTCAAGCAGCGGCATCGGGTGTGTTTGTGACATGATGCGCTTCTTCTCGGACATTGAAATGGTTTGCAGCAGTGGAAGCAAATGCTCGGTGCGCGGGAGTTGCCGCCTGTTAGTGCTCGGGTGCCGGGTGTCCGAGGTAGTTGACGCTGCTGACGAGGTTACATTTTCGCCGGGTGACGAGCTGCTCCGGCCGTCGGAGGTGTGAGGATCGAGTCCAATCGATACACAAAGCTGCAGCAGCACCTGTGTGCGCAGGGCGTCTATATCCTCCGCCAATGGCACCTTGCTGGCTATGTCTGCGTCACTGCCAGATCGCCGGTGCCGGGTACCGCTGTTACTCTGTTCTGAGCTCTCGCTGACAGACACGGGCGCAAGAGTCAGGGTTGGCTGCACATTCTGGCGTGCAAGAGCAACCATGGTGTGGTGGTCAACCCTCCACGCAGGGTGCAGCACACCCGGGTCAGACATGTCGGCTGCCGATGTGACCGCCGGAGAAGTGCGCGACGAGAGCACCGACTGGCGTCTCGTTCTAAGCATAGGTGACGCCAGCGGTGGCGGCAACGGCATTGTGGGCTGCAAAACCTCACCCTGGGCAAACACACTGCTGATCTGACGCAGTACGCTGCTGTGCTGGATCTCTGCAGGCAAATAAACTTTGGCCAGCTCGCTTAGTGCACGCTCGACGTTGACCAGCTCGTGCGGCAGATCTAAATAGTCGTAAAGCGTGGCAAAGGTGACGCGCTGCAGGCGAGTCAGAATCACCTGCAATATGTGCGTGGCGGCCTTGGGATAGAGCCGCGTCACCCGCTGGAATGCGCTGCCCGGGATCATTGCCAGCGTCGTGTCTGTGGTCGCACGTGCAATTACATTTGGCCGCGGTGCCCTGGCCTCCTTGCTGTCGTGGGAATTCTGCATAGCCAGGCGATTGTGGAAGTACGCACTGCTAGGTGGCCGCGATGCGTGGTCATGCTGCTGTACGTAGTGGACGCCTCCGCCTGCCGCCGCCTGAATGGGGCTGCCGCCAGAGGCAGCTGCGCCGGCCAAAAAATCTTGGCTGTCTGATGAGCCTGGCAGAACACTAAAATGAGCGTGTGGCTGAATGTCAGAGTGCGTCTGCTGATTGGCACTGTGCTGCATAGTCCCCCCAAGCGAAAAATCGGCCAGCGCCTGCTGCTGCTCCTTGTGACTGCGCCCAACATGCGCAACTGACGAGCGTTTGGGGACAATTCCGCTACTCGGCTTTAACGGCACGTCCTTAGTGAACAGAGACAGAATTGAAAACAAGCTGGAGAGGACATCGCCAGGCCCAACAACATTCAGCAAAACTGCTGACGATTCTTGGACACTCTCCGCTGACCGCTGGCCATCCTCGTTGTCCTCGTCCATATCCACACCTACATTGTTAAAGTACCCTGCATCGGTGCCACTACTATCCCTGTGCCCAGTCGCGGCGCTCGATCCAGAGTCAAAATCTGGCGAGTATGCTATGCCAATACCATCGTACACATCATGCCAGCTGGTTCTGGGAGCTACGCCTGAAAAAGCCCCAGCTGCATTATCGGAGCCATGCAGTCCTCCAGCGCCAGAACCGGCAGGAGCATTGCGTGCTGCCGTTGCAGCTGCCGCCAAATCCGCTTGAGAATTGTCGCTGTCAACCAGATACACTTGCACCTGCCCGTCGATGACCACGTAGAAGTTCTGATCATCTCGGTCGCCATCAGTGTCAAACATGCACTCTCCAGCCAAGAGCCTGCGCGTCTGGAGCTGCCGGGAAAACTCGCGGAACACTGGCTCCTCGATGTACCCAAAGATGCTGATGCTCTTCAAAAACATACTGAGAAAATCTGCCGGAAACCCAATGCCTGTGGGCATGCCCTGCTTGACAGTGTTTCCGCGCGCCTCCAATGATGCCATGTAGTTGGTGCCATCGACATCATCACTGCGAGTTATGTCAGGGTGCAAATCGAACCCTGAGCCCGAGCCATCAGCGGCCTTTATGTCGTCCTTGAGTCTGGGGCTCAATCTCTTTGGCGCTATATAGTAGTAGCGGAAGTAGTAAAGCCCCGCCACTCCGCCTGCAGCCACCAGCACGACGATGGCCAGGGTAGATGAGGTGGCGTGGACCAAGAAGTGGATGGTATGGGTAAATGTCGGCACTAGAACATCGAACACCAAGAACCCAGTTATAACTGCCGTCCAAACCACAGCCATACCAGCAGCCGCAGCCAAGCTATAAACTACTCGAATGAATATGTTTTGTTCCTTTGGCAGCGAAAGAGAAACAGAGGTCCGCTGGAGCTGGCTGCCAATCGTGCTGACGTCAGACAATGACATTGGCGACGATGCCGATGACGATGTGGACAGCCCAGCAATGACTGAGGCGGCCAGCACAAGCATGCAGAACAGCACGGCAGCCATGCGCGGATATATGTGTCGGCGCCAGGTGAGCTGGCTTTGTCGAGACATTGTTAAAGTAATCTGAGAGGTCACGTGTTTGTGTGCCAAGGCAAGCCGAATACGTGTAGTTTCGAGATAACAAAAAAATAGTCCCTGTGCGGAGAAAAAATACAAACAATGTTGAAAAAAACTAAAATTTAAGAAAAGAGAAAGAAGGAGCCCATGCTGTGTTTCACTATGGATTTCAATCGATCTAAAAGTTTTTTATTTAGAGCACATGTCAGTGTGCATGGCTGCATGCGCCAAAAAAACAAAATAGGGTTTGCTTATTTTTTAAAATCCGCATCAATTAAAAAACAAGGGTGAGTCAAACCTGGAACGACTCCGCGGGCAGGGCAAATTTGCTGAGCCTGGCCGCAAGCCCCTGCAGCTGGACAAGCGTTTGCAGCCCATCGACAATGCGCATATGCGTGATTCCAATCTCCCGGATAAATTTGAGCTTCTTGTCCTCATCCAAGTCGTCATAAATCTTGACCACGCGGAAAACTGATGTGATTATATCAACAGCCGAGTAACCTTGCGTCCACAGCAAGCTGATGCACGCAACAGCCTCATCTACGTCACCCTTTGCGCAGCTGCCCAGCATCTTGCGGATAACCACCGGGTGCGGCTGATCGCACACGCGGTACACGTTGGCAGGCGTAACCAGCCCAAAGCCGCTGGCCGTCGACTGCAAGTTGTTTACAGCCTGGCGCATATCACCATCGGCCGAAAACGCAATGGCCTCGAGACCCTCTGGCGTGTACTCAACATTCTCAGCGCGGCAGATCTCCACCAGCCTATGCAACACCTGGTCGCTCTGCAGTTTGCCGTAGCGCAGGATGGCGCAGCGACTCTGGATCGGCTCAATAATCTTCCCTGACAAGTTGCACGCCAGCGCAAACCTCGTTGTGTTCGAGTAGATCTCCATCGTGCGCCGCAGCGCCTGCTGTGCGCCAGGCGTCATGCTATCGGCTTCGTCAAGGATGATGATTTTGTGCCGGCCGGCTGGCAGATTGACTTTCTTTTGTGCAAACATTTTTATTTTGTTTCTCACCACTTCAATTCCGCGGTCGTCCGATGCGTTCAGCTCCAGCACGGCCTCCTTGTACGCTGAGCCGAGCAACGAGTGCGCCAAGCAAAGAATGCTGGTTGTTTTTCCGATACCAGGGGCTCCAGCTAGAATAAGATTGGGCATGTTTCCGCTCAGTGAAATCACGTTGAGTCGGTCGACTGTTTCATGGTTTCCAACGACGTCCTTGAGCTCCGATGGTCTATATTTCTCGACCCTACATTGAAAGTTTGGAATAAAAAAGTAATTGGGTAATTATAAAACGCGAAATTGGCGGGTCGCACTACAACTAAAGTATTTGTGTGTTTGAATGACGACTCTCTGACACCTACCACGGCAGTGTGTTGTCGCTGGACGCGGGCTTGGTAATGGAATTCGACGTTGGAGTGGACATGATTGTGCCGAATTGAAAGTGTAATGTGTAAATGAAGGTTTTTTTAAAATAAAGAAACTGAAAAAAGAATGGAAAAAGAGTAACCACACATCTAATGATGTTTATATCCAACGCGTAATTTTTTGTTTGGTTTTTTTTTGCGCAGTTCAAAATTTCTTTTTCAAATATTATGAAGAAAAAAACTTAATTTATCAGTGCGCTGGCTGATTTTTATTCACCTCAGTTTCTGGCACTCACGGAGAGCCTTGGCGCACACCGAAATGGCACTGCTAATGTGGCTGATGTCCTTGTGTCTGGTGGCCGCTGCCAGCATGGCAGAGAGCTCGACAAGCTTTGTGTTCAGCGCCCCAATGGCTATCTCGGGCGCTCCAGCAGACGAGCTGTAGACAGGCTTTGGCGGACAAACTGCCAAAATAGGGGCTTCAAAAGAACAACTGGCTACAGGCGTGCTGATAGTTTCAGTAACAGGCTCAGGAGAAGGTTCGCGAGAGTGCTTGGCGGCGACTTGGCTGATAGGATCAGCCATTTCAATATCTGTGGGTAACGCCCCGTACTTCTTCACATATGCGTCTTCGTCCATGGACCTTTGGCCGCAGCTAACGCACATCTGCACTCCATCGTGGTCCCTGACCAGCGGCACGCCGAGACAATGGCTGTTCGGGCATGATTCACCGAGCATTGTCCACCCCTTTAGCATCAGCTGCCCGATTTTATCACTCACACTGTCTCTCTGCTCACGCCGCTCATTGCGCTCTTTGGCCTCGGATGATTCGTCCGTTGTCACGTCGGGCTCAAGCTCATATTCGGGCTCGTCGAGATCTTCTCCAGAGAACGATGCCTTAGCGTCGAGCTTTTCATCTTCTCTCTCATATTCCTCTTCCTCATGTTCTACCTCGTCTGGGAATAACTCGTAGGCGTCGTGCCATACGCACTTCGAGATATTTGTTTCCGGGTTGCGCATTAGCGGGGCACAGCAGTTGTCAATTTCACAGCGCTCGGCGAGCATAGTCCACCGTCTTAGCATTAGCTTGGACATACGTCCAGTCACTGTATCGAGTCTCGATGGCATATGTTTTGGCAATTAAATAAGAAACAACGAAGTGAACAGTTGTGCAATTAAAGGTGGGATTTATATCCAGAGATTCAGGTTTATTTGGTAAATAGAATAAAGATAATTTGTAAAAAAAACACTCTCGGGGATCCAGATGAGAATGCATGCCACCACTATGGTTCAATATGCAGCTCAATCATGTGCAATTCATTTTTTTCATTACTCATAGAAATATGCAAAGCCATCCAATTGGCCTTATATATCAGAGGCAGCCGGCGGTCTTTTGGTCCGGTTGTCAATAATTCTGCTGTGCAACCAGTCCATGGCAGTTTGCACTCTGGTTCCCTCGACTCCTGATGCCTCCATCACCCTCACGTCCCTCGAGTCCAATAGGTCTGCCATTCCATTAACCATCTCTTTGATCTTAACCAGCGACCCAGCATCTGATAAATCGCACTTGTTTGCCAAAATGAGCACAGGCAACCCCTCCAACTCCTCCGACTTGATCAGCTTTATCAAGACATCGCCTGCCTCGTCTATGCGCTCGCCATTCGCCGAGTCTATAACAAAAAGTATGGCGTGGCAGTCCTCAAAGTATGCTTCCCAGATTCCTCGCAAATCCGCCTGGCCGCCGAGATCCATAAACTTTATCAAGTCGCGGTTCATTGTTACCTTGCTGATGTTCACGCCCACAGTGGGCAAAATATTTTCCACTGGCATGCCAGGGACTCCCGTGTGAATGTGTTTAATTTTCTCAAGTAGCGTTGTTTTTCCAGAGCTGTCAAGGCCAAGCATTAAGACGTTGTACTCGTCCTGCCGAGTAAAGTATCTGTATGCGCCCGATACCAGTGAAAACATGTTTGAAACTGGCAAAAAGGAATGTAAAATTAAAATGAATTAGAAGAGTTGGTTCATGTTTCCAAGCGTAGCAGGTATTAAGAATATGACTGAAAAGGTAATATTTGCACTGTCTGTGGAAACCCCCAGTCGAGCATTTGCGCCAAGTACAAGTGTGAAAGTGACTGTGTTTTGGGTTGGCATTTATGAGCTAAACATATTATATTATCACGTGATTGGAAAGTTGTTATTTTGAAATTTTGTTAAACCCGTTACAAAGGGGTATAAATCAAAGGATATTTATTTATTCCAAGGAGAACAATTTTTGGCTGCCCGACAGCCATTCCTTATATGCTCTCCCTAGCATATAAATAAACTATAATAAAAACTTATCATTACTTAATTGCCTCGCACGTAATCAATTAATCCCAGTAAGGCAACATGCAAACCCATGTGCCTTAACTGTGACAAACCCAATCAACTTAATAATAAAGGCCTTTAGCTGCAAACATAATACAGGCATAACAGGGAAAATGAGTTTTAAACTTTTTATAAGCTGCATTATATTTTAATCTACATCATGAAAACTGGTGTAATTAAATAATAATATAACCTGAAAAACAACCACATTAAAAAACGCTTTAACAAATAATAAAATTGATGAATAAAACCAATTTCCAACCGCGCCACCTTGTCCGTCAGGGGCTCTATTAAATATCTGGCTATATACCTCTATAACAAAATTATTATAGAGACAGCGTGGTGAGGGTTTATTCAAATCTGGGCCTAATTGCCGTCCTCATTTATGTTTGTCCGCGGCCACTTCGACAAGACTCCGTCCTTGTTTTGTTGCTGATTAGATCAGCCAAATTGTAATAATTGGTAATTATAATATGTGCGCGTATGGATCATCCCCAGAATAACGCTCCTTGATGAGATTATCTACAAAATCTAAAAAATAGTTGGTTTTATCCTAAATACCTTGGCTAACTTTTAATAAAATATATTACGGTAGATTTTTGTTTTGAAATTTTATGCTCGACCAACCTTTATACTCCTTTTCTGAATGGCCGAGTATTTCCGAAAAATGATAATTAAAACTAAATATACTTTTGTTTTTTAACGCATCAGTTGGGTGTTCCTAAATTATGCTTTCAATCGTATACCCCTTATGTTTTACATTTTTGCTTAAGTTGTTGCATACAATATTTGCGTAAACATGTTTAGTAATTTTTGTTACCTTTACCTTAGTATTCAATAAGGTTTTTTACAGACTTTACTGGATCCGGTCGTTCCTATTTTACAAATACTTTATTTTTGTCGTATACTTAATCTTTTAGTCATAAAATAAGTAATGTGGAAAAAATAAATCTCAAATGAATGTAGGTAAAAGCGGATTGCACAGTTGTTCTGAATTTGTTTTTATATACAATCTAGCTATACATTGGATTTTTTACTAGTACAAATATAACCATTCAACAACTAGCAAGTGTACGCTGTGGACTGAGTGAAATTATTATTATTATAATTATGACAATAATTGGGCGGAAAACTGTATATTGGCTACTGGTTACCCTGTATTTGTCTACTAGAGAATAAATGGTCGGTTCTTGGCGTCGATTTTTTTTTGCTACCTCTAGTGTATTTTATTTTTTACTACAAGCTTAAATAAAGCGGGGAATGACTTACACGTTGTCAAATACTTGATGTAGACAGACATTTGCTGTAAAAAATGCCAACAAATACCCAATAAATTTTGCATGTTATTGAATGCTGCTTGCATTGTTCACTTTTTTGCTCTTAAAAATAATTTGGCAAGAAATATACAAAGCAGGCAAAAAGTGGACATAAAACAAAGCAGCAAACAAAGCAACGGGCAAAACAGTAAACAAAACAGCAAACAAATATTGTACAAATAAAAGCGTGTGTTGACAGTTACCTGCAATTTCATACAACACAATGAGCTTGCATGTAATAAATGACCTTGGTGTTTCGATTTTTTAATGTTACAGCTGAAGACTAGCATATGGCTGGCAAAAAGTTTAATAGCCGAATTAAAGCAATAAATTGTTTATGTTTCCAATAAGATACATCTGAAACTTTTACTGCCAAATCTACTACAAGTGCTTATTTACTGGATACTCCAGATTATTGTCCTTACTGTGTATTTTTTATTTCAATGTTTTCTAGAAAAAAGGAACTAGTCATTTTAAAAATAAAAATACGTATTTGGAGCAACATGTAAATTTTATGATATTGGCTTACATTAAAAACATAATAGTCCATGCGGTATAAAATAGCCTTGCGTATGTTTAGCTTTGCAAGTTTAGAAATTAATGTCAATATGGTAAGATTTCCTTTTAAAAAACTTATCTGCTGCGCTAACCTCACCGTCACAAAGCTTTACACGTTTTTCCTTAGATTATTCATTAGATATTCTGTAGGAAACTTCAAAGGATGCAGTTCCATTATAAACAATTTTTATAAAACCATTTGCATTCTAACTAGTAATACCGCTCAAGTCTTTATTGAATGGAGCAAAATCGTCTCTAATACCAGGTGCGTTTTTAATTCAATAGTTTTTATATCTATATAGTTATTACGTATATATTTACTATTACACTCTATTGCCAAAGATATTACTTCATTATATATCTCCTCACATGTTGCATTTTTTGCCATCCATAAACCGTGAATTCCAAAATCCTTTTTTCACATGTCAAATTTGTCAAATTTGTCAAATGTATTATGCTTAGGTTGTTTTGGTTCCTTATTTAACGCTGGCAACGATTCCTTTTTTCCAAGACCCTATTGCTGCTGCTTATTGGATACCTTGGAAATGCTGAACATTTTTTGCTCAAACTTGAAGTATCCTATGTATTTGATTCGTCACGACGTCTATCCATTTTGGATACCTGTTACAACGAGACAGCTTGTAATGTAAAACAATATTTATAAACAATTGTCACTTTATAAAAATAAAATAAAAATAAGAGAAGAGAAGCAAATACAAGTGCGTTTGCTTGAAAAATTACTGAGGAATTGGAAAAAAATTGCCCATTTGACTACAAGGAATGGCTGCCTTTATATTTTTGTAAATAATAATATAAACTTTTAAGGGAACGGCAGATGACTTGAATTTTGTTGAATTTTGCATTATATGTTACAAAATGCGCATGCCAATATATATAATTATGCATGAAAATCGGTTTCTTGCGCTGATTGCCACACTTGCTTAATTATACATGCAAATGAGCGGACAATAAACAGTTTATGATACTAGATGGCTGCAATGCTTGTGATGCTATTAGCTAGTTGAATAAAAATGGCTTAACTTTTCACATTACTAACTGCAAGCAATGGCCACTTTCGTAGTAGTTTTTATTAAATTATTTTTATGAAAGACACCCTTCACAAGTCACACAAAAATTCTGCAAATGCAAATGCAAATGCAAATAGCAGGAATGCGCCATACGGTTTTTTACGGTTGGCACTCGGTTGCACGGCATGGCACAGCACGGCACAATTGGATTTTAACTTGATTGAGCCTATTTGAATTAACAGTTGATTAATTTGGCCCGTTATGGTGGTCTTATTGAATTGTCATGTTTTTACCATTATATGATAGAAATGGGTGTGGCTTAGCTATTAGTATTATATTTTAATATTGCTGGTCAGCACAGCACAGCACAGCAAATGCAAACGCAAACATTGTGATGAACAACTCATAAAAAATCGGATTGTTGAAACTGCTCAAAAAAGACGCCACTAACACATATAATAAGAACACCACACAGGGATACTAGGATTTTTTCCTGTCAACTTTGTCACATGCTTGCTATTTCTTTTTACCAGCCTGAATATATTTTTTACATATCTATCAGTTTTACTACATTAAATTACAACTGGCATGAGTGCTCCTGGTCCCAACAACAGTAGTGCGCCGCAAATAGTTCCTGAAAGCAGCCTGCACTGCTATAGCAACAAAAATAGCAGCACCAGTGTCCGAGGCCTGGACAAAATAAGTACCTCCAAAGTCGGAGGTGCCCAGCTCCCCGAAACAGCTCTGCAATCCGAGCCACGAATGTTCAACAGTGGCATCAGGCCGGTTCGGTCGCTAAGCTCGTCAGAGAAATGTGCCCCGGCATTAGACGACATCCAGCCAAGGGCGCAGCGCGGATTGCGCAGGTTCAGCATGGCCGGGCCCACGGGCAGCGGAGGCGGCAACGGGGGCCCAAATCAATCGCACACACTCTTGTCACTTCACACATGGGCTGAGGAAGAAGACGAGATGGCGGTAGAGGCAAGTCCAAGAATATATGGACATCCGTCGTTGGTGAGTATCAGTGACACAATGAGCTGCGGATTGTCGACTGCTTCACATGGCCCCCAGATACTCGCATCCCAGATGCAGTATCGTGGTCAGCTGCAGCCCCAACCGCAACAGCAGCCACATCCGACGACAGTCCACCCGGGCCACATGAGCAACTTGAGCAGTGGGAACTACCAGCCACAGCGGATTGCCAATCATGGCAGCATCAGCAGTGGCAGCAGCAATAGTGTTGCCGCGGCAAACGGTGGCGGGGCCGTTATAAACCGGTTTATTCCCGAAACAACGTTTGGTTTTCAAGACATGGGATCTTCTAGCAGTTCCAGTGGGCCGTTTTCAGCACAGCAAACGGCAGGAAATGGGGGGGGGAATGGCAGGCGGCTGCGCACCCCGTATTCTATTTCTATTCCTTCCATGATCGGATCGCCGCTATCATTTACTCAGCCGTTTCTGGCTTCGCGCACATCAATTTATGGAGGCCAGCCACCTTCTAGTCAGATTCGTGCGGCCCACATTGACTGGGACAGCCTGTCCATGGTGGAGGAGGTGCATGCTTTGGGCGGTGGAAATCGTGGGGATCTTCCAGTTTGGCAGCATGGATTACTGTTGTCGATCGATATGCCTAATGGGGCAAACTCCAGCGGCAATGATATCACACCAAAGGGCATTAGGGGCCAGCCGCACTCCGCGTTTCCGCGGCCCGTTAATTCCGCACACAGCATGCCATTCCAGCAGCAGCAGCGGTTTTACCAACAGCAGCAACAGCAACACATTTACCAACAGCTTCAACTCCAGCAGCAGTACATGTGGCAACAGCAGCAAAATAAACAGCATCACAATCAGCTGCAACAAAGCCAGCGGCAGCATCAACTGCATAATCAACTGCAGCCTGGCCAATCCCACAAACAAGCCCAATCACAAACAAGGACAATGGGCTTTTCCGAATTTTTTCCGCATCCCTCCTGCATGCAGGGGGCACCCATCAGCAGTTACATCAGCAACAGCGGACCATCAGCTGTTGCCCTTGGTAATATATGCGCAAGCGCAGCGCATAGGACCTTTCTGGAAAAGTGGGAAAAGCAGATGGCATGGGACTATGCATGCTATCACCACCCGTTGCTGACGAGCTTCAGTATTGCATCGCCGCTTAAGCTATCGGCTGCCTGGCGTTGGGTGCTTCTATGTGTCATTGCTTTTGCAACGGCGTACGTCCTTGTTGGTACCCTGCTTACCCTGATGTTACTGTTGGCTCACTAATAACCTGTTTTTATTTTTAAGTTCAAATATAGAATTATCGATCTACATGAAATACGCTTTTGAAAATGGATTTTTGAATTTCCAGATATTTATAGCGAAAGTCCAGATTTTAAAGCGGGGGATTTTCAAAACCCATTTTCTACACAAAAAGGCATCGTCAGAGTCGGCTGAACCCGAGTCTACAGCGACACCCGAGAATTTGCTCAAGACAAAGTCCAGGCCCAAGCGTGTGCACAATAAACCATCTGCTCCTGCTTCTTCTCTTCAAAAGAAACAGCGAACTGACCAATATCGTCAACCATAGTGGTCTATTGCCACTAATTTCTAAACACTTTAGGTTGTTAGTCAATCTATCTGGGGGGAAGAATGCCTATTTACAGGATACGTATAGCCTCATTCTTTTCTTATAGTGTACAGGAAAACATGATTATTATAAAAATAGATAAATTAACTTTTTTAGATTTGCAATGTAAAAAGTAAATACCAATTTAATATCTTAAAATCCCCAACAAATACATTTGTGAGGTAATGTTATCAAAACAAATATTTTTATATTAAGTCTTGCTATGATGTACATTAATTTAGCATATCAATTTTACGACTTGAAATGAATTGGTTGAGTAGAAAAACAATTAATAAAACAAAATGTAAATACTGGTTTTCATAAGCGCATATTTGCTAAAATGGTTCATTAACGATTACCAACTCGACAAGTTTAATAAAATTAATAATTTGCAAACTTGTGATGAGAAATTAATAGTTGAGCTGTAGGTATTAGTGTTCTCGAATTAATAAAACAAACAATTTGACCCGAATTATGATAATTACAAAGTGTTTTTTGGGGGTTTACCTTTGTTTACTGGAAATTGTCTTGCTGTTTGGACGTGTATTGTCGAAAAAGGATACATGAAAATGTACGTCGCCAATTAAAATATATTTAAATTAACTGTGAATACTATTTTTGTCGTCTGACTAGCCCTCCGCTTCACTCAAGATTTGCTGTGCTGCCAGCTTGACCGCACACCAAAACATGCTTTTTGTTATTTTTCTTTGTAATCTAGTGAAAATACAATGTTTTTAATATCTGCAGGAAGCTAATATAACAGAATGCAGGTGCAATTGCATTAGAGCCCTTTGGAAATAAACTAAAAACAATAACTTTACCATAACAAAAACAAAAATCAAATGCGAATAATAATAAATACCAAAATACAAATGCAAAAATAGCAATAATAGATCCATTCTCAACAAAGCGCCGGTCGTGTTTTTTCTTAACCACAATTGGGCACACCCCGGCTTGGTATAAAAATGGACTTGCGTTTTCATTTCTGCTTGTTGACGCGATTTGCAACAAGAAAAAAGACGACAAAGACAAAAATAAAAAACTGATCTGGTTTTTCTGGTGCGACAATATTGCATGAACCTGTTCTATTGTGCATTTCGAAAATTAAGCACGCAGCCACAAGATAAAATGGGCAGACAGTTAGAAGGAGAAAAATCGATGTTGATGTTGATCGCAAAAGAAAGCGTCTTTTCATGGTTATTTGCTGTCTTTGCCTCTCAAAACAACAACACTAGCGGCCAAAAGGGGAATGAAAATCATGCACTCACGCGCCCATGCGTGTAAAGAACCTCCCCCTTTGGCCCGCCTTTCCTGGTGCGTGAGGGCTTGAATATTTTGCATTGTATATTTTCTTTTCTGTCATTGATTCGAAAGACTGACAAACAAAATATTCAACTTGCGCAATAGCACATACCACTACCTCCCCTCCACTCCCTAATCATATTCTTGTCCTTTCTTCGGTCTTGTTTCTTTTTCCCCACCCGGAAGCAACTGCTGGCGCTTGTGATTGGTGGATTGGATAATGATTATTTTTTACTTTTCTTGTTGGCGATGAGCCGCATATACAGGGTTCCTCTGCCAAAGGGAAGGGATTGTCTGAAAAAGAACAAGGGGGCAGTTGCTGCAAACTTTTTTGTGTGCCTTTTTGGTAATTCGTTGGAACGCATAACAAAATGTCCCCGCTTTTCCGCCACACTTGTGCAAGACCTGACAAATAAAAGGAGCTGGTCCTGGCGACAGTCTCATCTTTTTCCTTTCGTTTATCACTCACCTTTGAAAGCACTCACATACCCATTCAATTACATTTACATTTACATTTCCTGTACCTGCTCCAACGCAACCCGTATTTTGGGAAATAATAATAATAATAATTGACTTTTTAATATATTCCTTGGTCTCCATCTATTTTTGGTCTTTATTATTCCATTGCGCCAGAGTTATCTTACTGCACTCTCCCCCCACTTTTTACATCCTCTCTTTCACATACACATTACCTTTTTAATATTACAATGTCGTTTGACTCCAAATCTAGCTCCTCAAAAACCGTTTGCGCAGCCTTAACGCTCGGCAAGCTCGGGAATATCACACACAAGGGCTGGCTCTACCGCTACAGCAGCAGCTCTTTCCTGAAGGGCTGGAAGCGCCGGTTCTTTGCAATCTCCGACGAGCGTATGTACGTGTTCAAGGAGAACTATCACGACAGCCTCCACTACGATGTTATTGATCTGACAACGTTCCGCCAAGTGCAGCAAATCAGTACACCGCGCAAGACAAAGTACGGCTTCCTTCTGCGGTCACTCCGGAGACCCTCGGTTTTTGACGAGCCCACGGAGGAGATGCCTGAAAGCTTTGAGGTGGAGCTATATGCCGATACAGAGTATGCCTTGAACGAGTGGATGAGCGCTATTTCCAAGGTCTTTGTGACTATGGATTTGCGCACTATCCAGTCGACCCCCCTGTCGAGCTTTGATGCTCTTGTACATCGCGCTGGTCTTCTTCAGCCGCGGGTTGGCGGCTCTATTTTAAAACGCATGGACAAGCACCGGGCCACCACTGCCATGGATCACCTGCAGTCTTCGTCGACGCTAGTTTCTGGCTCACCGGATGGCGTTGTCTTGACACATTTAAGTGGGCTCGACGCCTAAAGTGCTCCCTTTGTAAGAAGATAGGCGTATCGGATATTTTTCCTTTGCCAGAAAAGTGCGTCTTGGCCTCATTCTCTTTCTTTCTTTCTCCAACCCCCATGTCCATACATTGGTCTTTTTTACGTTTCCTTTTTGGAGAGATGACAGAGTGCGCATGGAAAGTATATTTCAAAAAAAACTGATCGGCAGGAGCCTTGTCTCCTGATGATTTTCAATTATCAACATGTTTTATTTTTTATTCTCCATGTCATTTTTTATTTTTATTTTATTTTGTTTTGTTTTGTTTTGTTTTGTTAGTTTTCGTTTTTTAGTTTTTTATTTTTTAGCTCCGTTATTATTCTTTTCATTTTTCGCGACCTTTTTTAACGTTCCCCCACACACCTTTCTATACATAATTTGTTTCGATCCAATCGCATTTGAAATATTATTTTTCAATATATCTATTGTTGACATGTTGAATTTTATCATTTTTTGATGTATTCTTTTCTGGAAAGACAATGAATTGATAACAATTGAAAACCCAATTGTCATATGCTGCATTCTATTTGTTGTTCCAAGAAAAATAAATTCATCCCTTATGCTGTCATGCTTGTACATGTAAAGAATTTAGCAATGTGGGAAAAAAGAATAAAAAGAGGCACAAGTACATGAATGCCGCAGCATGTTTGAGCTTTTTCATGCACGATATACTGCCAAGCCTTGATTCGCGTGGCGAAGGCAAAGGAAATTATGGCCTTTGTGAATTAATTTATCGGACGTGTATACGCTGGATTTCTTTTCTTTTCTTCTCTTTGTTTTGTCTTCATAATCGAAATATATTTGTATTTTTCTTATGCAAATACCATCGCCATTCGATCTGCTCAAAGGAACAGTTTACGAGCACTACACAGTCTCGGCAATCAAGCTCACTGGTGGCCTGGTAAATCATGTTTGGCGGGTGAGCGACAAGGACGGGTGCACAGTGATTGTCAAATACGCAGGCAGCACAATGTCGGCGTTTCCAGAAAATGCATTCTCCACCGAGCGCACTGAGTTTGAGGTCCGCGGACTTGCTCTGCTGAATGGAAAACGGCAGCTGGCCACCGGAATCGCACATGTCCCGGAGCTGTGCGTGCTCAGTGAGCTCGGACAAGCAATGGAAAATACCCCCGGAGTACATATTCCGCAACTGCTGCATTACAATAGCTTGGTGCCGTTTATGGTGCTCGAGGATATTGGAAACTTGAAGCCCTACAATGCCTGGTACGCGCCGAATCATTCCCAGCCGCCCATGGTCGACCTGCTTCTTGTGAGCCAAGGCGTCGGCGAGTGGCTCGCGCGGCTGCACGCGTTTGGATTTGAAAACTACGACAAGCTGGAAGAGTATTTCGTAAACTTGCCGGCTCGACAATTCATGGGGACAGTGTTTTACGATATGCTTTGTAGGAGGCTGGCCGAACACAAGGAGTTTGCCAATGATGGAGACAAGCTTATAACGCGCGTTCGAGACTTTTGCCAAGAAATAAACGAGCCCAAATCCGCTGGGAAAACACTTTTGTTTGGCGACCTGTGGTCTGCCTCCGTTTTATTTAACCCAAAGTCGCGCACAGTCAATCTGCTGGATCTCGAGTTTTTTGACGTTGGTTTTATTTACAACGACGTTGGCCATTTTGTCGCACACCTGCTGCCCCTATACTACCTTTGTAATCCAGAGTACAACCCAAACACGGACCCGTGTCCAGAGTCAGTGACTGCGTTTTTGAATGCGTACAAGGAAACGCTGAAGGGTGAGTGTCCCAGAGCATACACTGCGCTTGTTTCTCCTGGTGCAGTTAAGCAGTCGACAATATTTTTTGGCATGGAAATTTCGCGCGATGTGCTCACTGGGTACTGGTGCAGGTGCAGCAAGGGCGGTGATGCCAAAGATGAGATGCCACTGACTTGCGTTTGCGCGGATGAGCTGCTCCCATTTGCAAGAAAGTACATAATGAACACCTCCGAATCGATTTTCAACGTACTCATTTGAATACAAAATAAATAATGATATATCTGCCATTTACAGCATATATGCAGGCTATTTCGGGTTTGAATATTCATACTGCGTCGGCCTATATGTTGTGATCACAGCCACTGCCAAAACAACTGATTATATATTTTTTTGCATTATCAGATCAAGACATGCACAACCTCGGAAAAGTGCAAGCAAAATGGAGGCTTCTCAATTTTCAGCACTATGCTTTTTCATTTTTCATCTTTTATTCTACATATACATAAATTATTTCGCACATTGGAAGAAAAGTGCCGATGCACATTCCATTAATACACAGAAATTCGGTGTCCAGAGCTTTCGGCGGCCTAGCGCTTTTGTGCTCGCTGCTCTGTGACTGTACCGTGGTGGCAGCGGGAAGCACTCACATGCCTTCCACGTCAACTTCACAAAACTCACAGTCATTGCAGCATAATTCGGCGCGGTCCGGTGGAACGTCACAGTCGTCACCAACTACTTCACAGCAAAATTCGATGCTTTCTCCGTCTGCCGCCAATAAAGTGTCCGCAACAGAATTGGTGTCTGAAGCGCATTCGTTAGGCAGTGTCAGTGCACAGCCTGTGTATATTTCTTTGGGTGTGGATGACGACACACTTTTAAGGTCAACAAGTCTGACCAAATCCTACATAAATGCAGACATAAAAACACCTGAAATTGGCATGGCGCTCGTTATTGGCGCCTGGACAGCCAGCTCATCGCTTGCAGATACACGTCCCACCATAGTCAATGTGGCAAAACTTGTTGCACCATCTCGCACTACATTTGACGCGACGGATATTGAAGATTATCAGGACAGCAGCCGCAGCGTCAATGCATATAGGGAGTCAGAGGAGTCTGCATCTGCCACCCAGACTGTCTCCGAGCCCGTGGACCAGAAACAAAAGCGCAATACCACAGCAGAGCCATCCTTCACCTCCGCACTCGATATACACCAGCGGGACCCCAAGTCCCTTAAAGGGCGGTTCAACTACGCGGCGACCGACTGCGCAGCCGTGGTGCTAAAGGCCAATCGTGAGGCCCGCGGTCTAACAGCTATTCTTAATTCCAAAAAGGACCAGTACATGCTGAACGAATGCTCAGCACAAAACAAGTTTGTTATTGTCGAGCTCTGCGACGACATTTTAATCGACACCCTGGTGATGGGCAACTACGAATTCTTTTCGAGCACGTTCAAGGATACTATGGTGTATGTCAGCGACCGGTATCCGCCAAAGAACAATACATGGACGTTGCTGGGTCATTTTCAAGCGCGCAATACACGGGATGCACAGGTGTTTCCAGTGATTGATCCGAAAATCTGGGCGCGGTATATTAAGGTCAATTTTGTCAACCACTATGGCAGAGAATTTTACTGCCCGCTAACTGTTTTCAAGGTGTACGGAACTACGCAGATGGAGCAGTTCAGGAAAGAAGAGGACGAGGAAGACGAGGATACGGCTACATTGACCGTGGGGATTCTGGCTGGGTCGCCGGAAAATGACTACCAGCTGAGATTCCCGTACCGCAGCATCCAAAACCCACATCAGCAAACGGTGTTGAGAATTGGCGATGCAGGGTCGCCGGTGAAGGGATATTTGCGGGATATGCAGGGAATTGTTAATGAGTACGACGCGCGCGACAAGGACGAGTCAAAGCCAGCATCAATGGCTGTGCCTATGCCCAAGGTTCCCAACCTTCCCTGGGGTAAAGAGGCCCAATCTCATAACAGGGACGATGATGATGGGGATGGAGCCGAGTATGAAGATGCCGTCGAAGACCATGACGAGCTTGAAGGCGATGAAGACACCGAAGAAGATGATGAGGGTGGCGAGTATGAAGAAGACGAGGATAACGAGCAGGTTAGCCGCGTGGCTAGCGATAATGGAACCACACCGAGCAATTCCAAACCGATTGGCAGTGGTGCTTCGCAACCGCAGCCGCAGCGCAAGTCACAACAAGCAGCCGTTACCCAGCTGGGAGGCGACAACGCGCCGGTTGCCAAACAGGTCATTAATGATGGCAGTATAAAAGGCAACTCTGGAATTGCTGACAAAAACACGGGCGGCGGCACGTTCTCTGGGCCAATAGGCCCAGGCCAGCGCGGGCAAGAAAGCATTTTCAAGACCATCATGCGGCGGCTCATCCGAGTCGAGCGCAATATCACCCTTGCATACCACTATCTGGAAGAGCAGCACCTGGTATTTAACCTGGTTCTCCAACAGGTCGAGATGAACAACCTTGAGAGCATGCAGATGGCAATCAGGCAACTCAACCATTCGACCGCCAGGCAGATGCAATCGTTAACCGCGCTAAGCGAGGAAGTGTGGCGAGCTATTCTGTATGACCTCGAGGAGTACCAACAAAAGACGCAGACGGAGATGGGAGCTATGTCGCAAAAGCTCGAGTTTCTGGCCGGGGAGGTGCTGTTCGAGAAGCGCATGAATGTTGCTCAGCTGGTACTTCTGCTCACAATCATAGTTATGATTGCAGTCAACAAGGTGGTGACCAAGCTGGCGCTGATTCCAGAGTCCAAAAAGGAGAAGTAGCCGATTGACATGATATAATGAATAATACTATAATACTATAAATATCTAAAAAAAATTAAATATCCTACAAATCGACTTTTTCTTTACTATTATGATTGAATAACAACCTGGCGCGTGCTTAAAAACTAGTGGTAATAGCCCACTATGGTTGAAAATATTAATCATCGCGCTGTTTCTTACGAGGAGAAGCAGGGACAGACAGATTCTAGCGCGCGCGCTTGCGCTTTGACTTTGGCTTGGACAAAGTTTCGGGCAAGATTTCGGGCGTCGCTGTAGACCCACTCGGGTTCAGCCGACTCTGACAATGTCTTTTTGCATGAAAAATGGAGAGGCCACTCGGCTGTAAGCAGGGCATTGAGGGTGATGCGAAAGCTTACCATGGTCATGTCACGATTATTTCACTTCCGTCTGCCTGATGGCACTTTTTTCGCCATCCTTAATCTGCCACCAAATGCTTAAGAGTATCTAACTTGTATGCTATTGTTTTGATGTACAGTTAGATATTTAACAAATTAAACCTTTTTTGTTTGTGCACATACGAGCTTTGAGGGAAGCAAATTAACTACACTCATAGTGGGCGTCCTTGGGCAGAGCGTACGCTTGCATGTCGTCGTTAACGGTTGAGTCCGTATTTAGCTTTTTCATGGACTTGAAAATGGCATTGGTGCGTGACCACCTCCAGCGTTCCTCATCGTTTCGAATAACCAGCAGGACCATTCCAGACAGCATGGCACTGACGTCGACAAAAACAAAGCAAAACATGCAGGTGTAAACATATGTCAGATAGTTGTGGGCGTAGTTATCCACGGCTGTCATGCATCCATATGCGTCCTGTATGTTCTCGCAAGTGGCCGAGTTCAGAACAGGGCTGTCTAACGGGCTTAAATATCCACAGCATTTGCCCTCGTTTTGAAAGATAAGCTTGATGTCGTCGCTCCACAGATTGCGCCAGTTGTAGCCGTGGAGATCGTCGATGTTGAGGGTGCGCGACCACAGCCATATTCCCATGCCAGTCTCGACCAGAATGGCAATGGCAGCGAGCCAAACGTAGGCGGAGAGCCATCGCTTGCGGGTCAGCGGCGACAATGACCCGATGATTCCAACCACCACATTAACTCCCACGTAGATGCCTGCCGCCATAACCGAATGTAGCACATTGTCGGTGATGATGATTGTTCGCCGCGAGTTGTTTTTATTACTGAGAAAGTATCCGCTGACAGCCAGGGCTGCGATTCCCGTTGCAGTGTAGAGCGCGAGAAGAAAGCCAAATACAGCCTTTACGCTGGTTTTGATTCGCATTGGCGAGTTGATGCCGGAATCGATGGCTCGAATGATGGCCATTGCTTGTTTGCTTGTTTTATTTGTTTGTGGAGACAAGAATAATGAAAAATGTGTGTTGTACAATAGGTTCCTCAGACCGGCTGAAAGATAACGATGAGTAAAATTTACGAAAAAAAAGGTTTGACAAGATAAGAGTGGTGGTGGTGCACTTTAAAAACAAGTAACAAAAAGCTCAGGCGCAACAAAAAACATTGAAATAAACTAGAAATATAAATAGAATCAAGCAAGCAAGGGAAAGAGGAACCGCGCACAAACAATAAACAATAAAATATTGCATATGCTTATTTTTCAAGTTAGGAATAGCAAAATTGGTGGAAAAATAGGCAGACCTAATGTGGAAAGTAAAAAGACACAAAGCATTACTGTTATTAGCGTGGCAAAACAAGGTGCAGATCCGAATACATACAATACGCATTGTTGTTGTCCTTATGACCGCATGGTTCCCTAAAATTCATGTGGTATGGTTCGACTTTAGCAAAAAAGGAATTACTAAAAAAAATCCAAATAACACATAGTCTGGGATACGGAAACCTGTGATGTACAAAGAGTGGATTTGTAATAAAAAAGCAAACAGACTGAAAAGGATATATCACTATTTCAAAGTGCACTCGGATTAAGATTCAACCAGGAGTGACGACACATATCAGCATTCACAACCAAATATTCAGGGTTATTAGCAACATACATTATGGCGATGACGTTGGAGAGCAGGACTTATTACAATGCTAAAAAAGGCTGCTACAGCGATATCTGTATTATCAGTGATGCCGAAAATACATATTTCTATTTAAAGAATTCGTACCAAAAAAAGAAATAATTTGGATCATAAACAATTTCGGCAAGGCAGCCAAACAAGAAGGCTGGCTCTTAAAGTATGTAAAGAAAAGCACCTTTTCCAATTTTAGAAATACAAATAGTGCATTTGAAAAATAAATGCAAAGGTCAAAAGAAACACGCTTCTTTCCAGAATCAATTTTGCAGCAAGAAAAAAATGATGTTTGTTGTGTGTGAGATGCAAATTTTCTTTGCATCGCTATCCTGTATTATTGTATGCTTGACATAACGACTATCGAATGAATCCCATGGTTCTGTTCTGTTCCGGCTTGCTGTCTTTTTATTTTTACTTTTATTTATTTCTATTTCTATTTCTATTTCTATTAACTCAATTCTGCCAAATAAAAGATTGTAAATTCCCTAAACTTTTCTTTTTTATTTTAATTACAGAAAATTGAAAATTCAAACTAAATTACTGCTTTCTCGCATACTCGTTTACAAATTCATGGCAGGCTTTTCAGGGCTATTTCGCCTAAACCGGCGCTGGACATGGTCTTCCAAAAAAGGGGACGCTGTGCGCCCGTCAGCAGCGCAGTACCTTCCATCCCGCATAATCCAGCGCATTGCACACTATATGGCCATAGCCGAGAACAGCTACACGGGCGAGGACAGAAACAAATACAACCAGGTGTCGCGGTCATCCAGAGCTCTGGTCGGCGTGAGCAGAAGCTGGCGAGTGGCTGCAATAAGCCTGTTCTACCGGCACTTTGTATTGGACATCAACTGCAGCGCCATGTGGATATCACCATCTCGCAGAATGGTTCACAAGGACTGCAGCGGAATCAGCGACAGTGTCAAGCACCTGGCCAAGAGCGTTTACTTGACGGCCCCATTTGATGGCGTGTTTAATGGCCGAGTGTTGCAGGTGCTCAATGGAAACAGCTACGCGGATGCGGTGTTTCCTGAGGTATCTGTACTGCGCCTGAATTTTTACAGCGGCACAACAGTGCCTGTTCAGGAGACGGCGGGCTTTCACCTTCACATTGAAGCATTCTGCGCGTACATTCGGAGGCTGTTTCCCAGGGCCACCGAGTACAGGTTCCAGGTGACCTCGTTCACAGATACTGACGACAGCCAAATGGTCGGCTGGCTACTCGGTGGGCTCATCCAGAACAGTGGGTGCAGCGTTGCCGAGTACATTCATTCGTCCATGGGCGTGCAGGTGAGCGGGCTTATTGGTGTTGTTGGGCTGACGCACATCAGCATCCAGGACCGGGCGTGCATGGAGGATTGCATAGAGCTTGTGCGCCGGAACGCCACAACTCTGGTGTCGGTCGACTTGGGCATTTTTGACACGCTTGACTTTTTGCCGCGGCTGATTACCGACGATGATGGGGAAACGATTGTTTACCCCAAGCTGCTCAAACTGTTTATACATGTCAATTTGCTCCCAAAGAGTCTGGACGCGAGCTTCCCGGCACTCAAGGATTTGAGTTACACTACTGGAGGCCTACACATTGCCAATGTGCTTTCTTCGCCGTCTTAAAATTTTTTTAACAGCATGCACATCAAAGACTTTGTATTGTATTGTATTGTATTGTATTGATTATTATTTTTAACTTGCTTAATATACGTGAATAACAAAAATTAAAATCAAGATGTTCTACACGTGATTACGCCCACACTCAAAAGTTCAAATTAGACGCCCAGTTTAAAAAATATAATAAAATGGCGCACTTTGCGCTTTGAATGCCATTCCCGCTGCGCACTTGATTATTTATTTATTTCTTCACGTCTACCTACATTACCAATACTTTTCATACACTTTTGCATTATCGCCATCTAAACAAAGGACAATGTCGCTGACTGGGTTTCTGTTTGGCAACATCGACGAGGAGGGCAACCTTTCAGACAATGAGTTTGCCGACGAGCTTCGCGACACTCTGGGCGGCGATGATTCCGGCGGCGGCTACCTGTCAAGTTTCCTTGGAGCCAGTTTGTTTTCAGATGCCCCGGACAAGGCTGGCTCTGCCAACCATGACAGAGAGGGCTCACCGTCAACTCCAGCTCGCGGATCACCCACGATTAAGCCCGCCAAGGACGCGATTGACTTTTCGGACTTTAACGAGCTGGCCGATGACGCTGCAGTGCCAATCAAATGGGATCAGCAGCTGCCCACAGTCACGAGCTTTAACTATAGCACGACAGTAGCGCGGGCGCAGGTCGATGACAACTATGACGATGAGGAGGACGAGGAAGAAGAGCCCAGGCCCGAAGCTATACAGGAGCCTGGTTTGGCCACACCTGTGGTCGTTCACGAGGTCGCGGAACAGGAGTATATGGAGAGTGACGAGGAGGATCTAGAGGATCTGTTTGACTCACCCGAGAGGCCAAAAACCACGGCTGCCATGATTAGCGAAACTGAAGGCAAGATAAACATCACAAAAATCGACCTTACCGCTGCCATATCCAACACAGAGCCGGCCGTTGAGGCTCCCGAAGTTCCAGCAGTAAGCACGGCCGACGCAGCTATAGTTCCTCAGGCGCCGTGCACGGTCAAGCGCATTCGCCCGGGAATACTCAAGTTCACTGACTATTTCGGTTGCCAGGTCATTCGCCACGCCAAGAAGCCCCGGCGAGTGCCGCCCGCCGACGCTGACGCCGAGGACGAACTTCAGATTGAGCCGCGGTTGCCGATGCTGCAGCAAACCGCACTGGACACACGCAAGCTGCTTGTGGCACCAGGCAACGTGTACACGGATGAGCATCCAGAGCGGTTTTTGCGCTCAGTGCTGGCGCGGTCAATGGCATCGGACGACAAGTCCGACGTCTACATTACCATTGATGCCAGGACCGGAGCCGTGGCCTCGCAGGTAGTAGAGCCCAAGCGCAAGAAGGAGTCGGCAGCAGAGCTGTTCAAGAAAATGCCGTACCCGCTAGACATTGACGACTGGGAGCGCGACGTCATCTGGCAAGACCCCGACACGGCCGATGCAGCCGGGCAGACAAGCGAGGCAATCGCAAAGAGCTTGATTGCTCAGCCCAAAAACTTGCTGCTGGAGGACTTTGAATCGCACATCATCTGGGACTGCGATGTTCCGTTCCAGCCATACTCGCAGCTGCAAATCAACATGAACGACACGCATATGCTGTTCGAAGACGCCAACAGTATTAAGGAGTCCAACGCGCGCGAGGCCGAGCGGCAGCGGCTCCTCGAGGGTGTCGATCGATTCAACCTGTCGAATGATCACTTTTACGCCGCGCTGCAGGGCGGGCAGACACATCGTGTGCGGCAGACATTTGGGCAGCTCATTATCGCGCACTCGTTGCCGTCGCTGCGCTTACAGCCGCCGTTCTTTAAGATGCGACAGACGCGTGCCGATCTACGCGGGTGGCACCGGCCGTGCCTGCAGGCTCCTGTGGGCTCAACGATTCGGTTCTCGCGTATGCGGTCAGCCAAGAAGCGCAAGCAAAAGTACTCCATGGAGAATCCGTGGCTGGCCAAGGACGTGACGCTGAAGGACACGGCCGATTGCGTCTTGATCGAATACTCAGAGGAGTATCCCCTGGTGATGTCGAATGTGGGAATGGGCAGCGTGTTTGTCAACTACTACCGCAAGCGGGGCCCCCAGGACCAGGCATTCCCCAAAGTTGATCTTGGCGAGCTATTTATTTTGGATGTCGCCGACATATCTCCGTTTCTCAACTTTGGCAATATTGAGCCCGGGCAGGTGGTCCCAGCGCTGTACAACAACATGTTTCGGGCGCCGCTGTTTCCGCAAAAGGCGCGACAGACAGACTTTTTGGTCGTCAAGCACGTTGCTAAGGGTGAGAGCACCTGGTATGTGCGCAACATTAGGTACCAGTATGTGGTTGGCCAGACGTATCCGCTGCAAGAGGTTCCAGCACCCCATTCGCGCAAAGTAACAACAACAGTCAAGCATCGTCTGCAAGTGGCCGCGTACCGCATTATGAACCGCAACCAGTTCAATCTGCTGCAGATGGCCAAGCTCTCGCGGCTGTTTCCCGAGTACAGCGAGTTGCAGATTCGCCAGCGGCTGAAGGAGTTTTGCGAGTACATGCGCAAAGGACTGGGCGCCGGCTACTGGCGACCAAAGAGCTCAATCCCGATTCCAAACGAGGACAACTTGCGCAAAATGCTGACGCCCGAAATGCTGTGCTTGTACGAGAGCATGCGCGTTTGCCAGCAGCAGCTTCACGACGCCGGTAAGCTCAATGAGAGTACCGAGGATGACGGCGACGATATGGGCGACTCAAAGCTGTCCATAGAGGAGTTGCTGGCCACATGGAATCTAACACGCAACTTTATCAACGCCACCCAGGGAAAGGCCATGCTCAAGCTATACGGCGAAGGCGATCCAACGGGGTGCGGCGAAGGGTTTAGCTTTGTGCGGGTGTCGATGAAGGATATTTTTTTGCGTGCCGGTGAGAGCGTCGAGGAGAAGCTGGCCGAGATCGAGGCGCGGCCAAAGAGTGCCCATCGGTACAATGTAGCCGAGCAACAGCAGATTTACAAGGAGGAGATCACCTGTATTTGGAACAAACAGTTCAAGACCCTTATGAACCCAGCGCCGGAGCCAAAGCCGGTGACTGATGCGTATTTGGACGAGAACATCATTGTGCCCGAGATCAACGATGTCTTTGGCGACTCGGCCACAGGCCAAGGTGTGTCAGCTTGCAATCCTAAGCGCATAGTCGCTGATAGCGCCATGGATGTTAGTCAGAAAATGGCTCGTGGGGTGGCAACCTTGCAACAGCAGCAAATGACCACTGCACACGCTAACTTTATTCAGCCGAATCGCAAGGGCCTAGTGATTCGGCGGGCGGTCAAGTCACCGTACACGGGCGAGCTCATGTGGCGCACAGAGGTAGTTCGCGACCAAGCAGTGGTACAGGCATATTTGCGGCAGAGGCGAATTATTGAAAACAAGGCGCACAGTAATGGGGATTTATTTGACAATGAGGATGGCAATGGCGGCAGTGGCGGGTTGCTGGCGGATATAGCAGGCGAGACGCAGGAGCACTTAGCGAGACTGAGGTGGGCAAAGGAGAGAAGAGAGACGGATGCTCAGGATCACAGAAAGAGCCACATGACAACGTTCTCGCTTCCTCAACCAAACAAACCCAAAAAGAAGGTTGTTCGTCGTTGCGGTAACTGTCAGCAGTGGGGCCATATGAAGACGAATAAAAAGTGCCCTCGCTATTACGAATTTAATCCAGTTTAGATGTTGATTTTTTTCTTTTAAAATGTATTGATTATTAATATATATATATATATATATATTTTTTTTTTTTTAAAAAAGCGTTCCATCAGAAACAATATTAATAGGAGGATCCTTAGACAGGGGTCTTTTTTCCGCGGCGACTTCTCTGCCAGCCTTCCAGGTTCCGCCCTCCAAAATCCTGCCCAAAAACATCTCCGGCACTTCTCCCCCAGCGCAACACTCTTTCTTGATAATCTCAGCAACGCGGTCCAGCAAGCAAACAGTCAATGCACGCCACTCGACGATTACTGGGTCCGAGCCATCAAACAGGGGTACTCCTCCTGTAGCCAGCGGATGCTCCAGCCCACGCTTGCGGTCAGAATCGTTCAGGGTGAGGACACCCAGGTCGACGAAAAGCCCACCGTTGCGGTACTCCGGCAAGCCAGTCAGTAGCTCGGTGCGGGTGACAGTGAAGCCGCCGAGACGCACGATGACTTCAAGCAGTGACCAGGTGAGCCACTGGGAGAGCTTATGGAACGGGACCAGGATGGAGGGATCTACGCTGAGAGTGGGAGAGTCCACGATAGTGGCAGTGGGCTGGAGGGTTGGGCAGGGCCAGACGTCGCCGAGGGACTCGCCGCCGAGCTGCGTGCGGCTGGACGGCCACACGGGGGCAAAGCCCTCAATAATAACCTCCCAGATTTCCTCAATGTCCACCTCACGCCGGTCCTCTTGGTTATCTGCCGCAGATGGGTGCAGGCTCGCCAGGTAATCCAGCATAAAGCCAGGTCTCGCCGGGGCATCAACACCACCCTCTTGGGGGTTCTTAAAATACTTGCCTTGCTCCAGGGCCATCCCAAGCCTGCGCAAAAGCTCCGCACGATTACTCACGCCCAACAGCGGGTTGCTTTCAGAAACCTGGAACCCTTGCAGAACATCCTCATTGGCCAGCGCCTTCAGCGCCTCAGCATCGGCCTGAAACACGTTTCCCTCACGCGAGGAGCTAAAACACCCCGTTTCGAACATTCTCAGCGCGGCCATTCCCAGCCCCTCCGTCCTCGTCAGCGCGCCGATTTCCGCATCCTGATACTCCCAGGCACTCCCTGCCCCGGCATCGATCAAAACAGACACGACGAAGAGGTCGATAACTCGGCGCGCGCACTCCCACGAATCAACGCCCGCGGCTTGCCATTTGGCAATATGCTCGGAGATTAAATCACGAGAAGTACCGGGGCCGGGGCTATGGGTAATGTAGGAGCGCCAACGGCCGTGCGTGGGCACTTGGGATACGGTGCCGTGGTCGCGCTGGATTAGCTGGAGAACTAGGGCGGCGATGGTGGGGATTTTCGAGGCATCGAGCGTGAAGTGGCGGAGCTGGGCTTGCTCGGCGAGCGCGTAGACGGATTGCGAGCGGTGGCGGACCGCTGGGAGCGATTTGAGGTAGCGGACAGTTGACAGCAGACTCATTCTTGGGTGAAAGCTAGATGAAATTCAGAATAAAAAATAGACACTTGGACGAAGGGAAGACAGACGGGAACACGACGAGGTGCTGGCCGGCGTGGTCCATCCATCCACCTTTGCTCGTTTGTATAGCAGCGATTTTCGCACAGGCAAGAAGGAAGGGGGGAAAAGCCGCTCGCACGACACAACAGCAAGAGCGCCACCCACGGGAAAAGCTGACACATTAGCCTTATTATTTCCAAGGTGCGTGGGAACGCAAAAGAGAAGGGGAAAACCACACATGGCCAGCACAAAGGCAAAGAAACCAACAACAAGTGATCCAAGTAATTATATTTCGATTTAGGTGATACATCGCCGCTGCCATCGCCGCTGCCGTCGCCGCTGCCGCCGCCGCTGCCGCCGCCGCTGCCATCGCCACCGCCATCGCCACCGCCATCACTTGAAAAAAGAAGCCCCACACAGATACATACACACACGATACACAGACCAACAATGGCCCAGCCCCCAAAAAAACACTAAGCAGCCGCAGGCTCCGTGCGCTCGGACAGAGCAGCGGCCAGCCAGGAAAAGAACTCCGCGATCAGCAGCGGGCGCGCCTCCACCAGCTTCTCCGACGGCACAGCAAACCGCACCTCGCTGCGCGGCGAGCTGCTCCTGGCCAGGTGCTCCGCATACTCGATCACACACGGGTCCCAGAAAAACCCAGCCACGGTGGAGTCGATCTCCGCCCGCTCAAAGGCCAGCACGACCACGGGCAAGCACGCCTCCAGCGCAACCATCTGCAGGACCACGGCGGCGGCGCCGGCCATGCGCAGGTCGCGCAGGTTCTGCGCCAGCCGGGGCAGCCGCCGCTGCACCCACGGCTCGGCAATGCGCGCGCACAGCCGCACCGGGTCGAGCGCCGTCAGCTGGCTGAGCGCCGACACCAGCAGTGCCGCCGCGGGCAACGGCCGCGGGCTGACCGACGCCAGGAGAAACTCGGCGCTCGGCACTGCGCCGCAGTGGTGGTGCGCGCGCGCTAGCGCCGTGTGCGCGGCGTCCTGCAGGTGGCGCGCCGTGCGCCGCGCCTGGTCGACGCCGGTGCCCGGCAGCTGCTGCGGCTGCGGCTGCGGCGGCTGTGGCTGCACCACTGCGCGCGCCAGGCGGCTGAGCGCCCAGGGCGCCACGGGCAGCTGCGCGTCGGCGGCGTGCTCGGCCAGCATGGCGCCGAGCAGCGCCAGCTGCGGCGCATCGCCCCACAGGCGGCAGAACCGCGCGAGCTCGCCCTCGGCGCCCGGCTGCGGCGCGGCCGCCGCCGGCGCCGGCACCGGCACCTTGGCCAGCAGCGCGGCGATCTCGGCCACGGCCGCGCGCAGCCGCGCCACAGCGCCGCCGTCCAGCGCGGCCGCGTCCAGATGCAGCCCCACCAGCAGCGCGCGCGCGTCGAGCCGCAGCTCGGCCAGCGCATCGCGCATAACCACCAGCAGCGACGCCACCTGCAGCAGCGCCAGGTGCACGTCGGGCAGCTGCTGGTACAGCTTGTGGCCGGTGCCCAGCGCCGCCACCAGCCGCATGAACAGCGCGCGGCTGTCCTGGCGCAAGCACGCCAGCACGATGCGCTCGAGAAACTCAAAGCGCACGGCCACGTGCGCGCCCAGCACGGCGTCGACCAGCGGCGCCACGGCGTCGGGGCTGGCGCCGCCCGCCAGCCGCTCCAGCGCGCGCGCCACGTCGCCGTGCACGGCCAGCTGCGCCTGCAGCGCCGCCCGCAGCGCGCGGTCCTTCTCGGCGCTCTGCACCATGGCCGGCCCGCCCGGCGCCGGCGCCGGCGCTGCGCCGGGCTCGGCCAGGATGCGCTGCCCGTGCACAAACCACGCCAGGGCGCCCGCTGGCCGGTCGCGCTCCAGCAGCCGCAGCCCGCCCAGGTACGCGTGCGCCGCGCGCACCAGCGCCAGCGCCTGCGCCTGCATCTGCGCCTGCGCCTGCGCCTGCCGCCCGCCCATGCCCAGCGCGTCGCGCGCGCACAGAGCGGCCTCGGCCATGGTGCAGCCGGGAACGCGCCGGAGTGCCTGCGCGGACCGGTCGTCTCGGCCCGCGTGGCTGCGCGGCGCGGCGTATATGTCGAGTAGCGCGTCGAAGTGCCCGGCCATCTCGCCGCCGCCGGAGAGCCGCTCACTACTGGCAAGTTGCTCTTTGTCGCCAACGATCCGCTCGCACGCGGCCGCGTACTCGTCAATGCTCGGGCGGCGGCTGCCCCCGCTGAGCGCAAATCGGTCAGCAGAGCACCGCTTGGCGTCCGTCCGCTGGCACTCGCGGAACAGCGCCAGCGCATCCGCGTACCGCGCCTGCGCCAGCGCCACGCGCGCCAAATCATACACAATATTGAACCGTACTGGAGCAGGGGCAGGGGCAGGGGCAGGGGCAGGGGCAGGGGCAGGGGCAGAGGCAGAGGCAGAGGCAGAGGCAGAGGCAGAGGCAGAGGCAGAGGCAGAGGCAGAGGCAGAGGCAGAGGCAGAGGCAGAGGCAGAGGCAGAGGCAGAGGCAGAGGCAGAGGCAGAGGCAGAGGCAGAGGCAGAGGCAGAGGCAGAGGCAGAGGCAGAGGCAGAGGCAGATCCAGATCCAGATCCAGACCCAGACCCAGACCCAGACCCAGACCCAGACCCAGACCCGGGCCCAAAGGCGGCGTACTCCTGCAGCGCACGCAGGTGCGCGTCCATCCGCGCTGAGCGCTCAACTTCGAGCGCCAGCCCGGCCTCTTCCTCGCGATACGCCGCGCGCACCCACCACCGGCGGAAGCCCAGCTCGGCTCTGCGCTGGGCCTCTTTCCCCTCGGCGGTGTTCTCCAGCACGTGCATGTAGTAGACAAACCGTAGTGTGGCGTGCACCGCGCGCTCAACCTCCTCGGCGGAGAAAAACCCGACGGCCAGGCTCAGCCTGTGCGCGACCATCAGCAGCCGCTCCTGCCGCTGGCTCAATGCCGCCATCCCGGCCCTCTGCAGCGCCGCACCCAGGGACTCCGCCGGCATCCCCGCATCATCAGTCACCACTGCTGAGCACTGCCCGTGTCTCCGCAAGCTTCTGCCCCCCTCCCCTGCTGCCGCTGCCTGCGTGGTGTCGAGAAAACTGTCACTGGTGGGTGTTGATGGTGGTGTTGGGCCCAGGTATTTGCCTGGTGTTGTGCCTGGCCCGTCGCGTAGCCCTGGGTATGCGCTGATGATGTATTCGCGGAAATTGCTGCTGCTGAAGAGCCCCTGCAGAATATCCACTGCCGCTAGCCGCTGCTCGCCAGAGAGCGTGTGTGCCTGGCCTGTGGGAAAGTCCTGCTGTATGCGCTCCGGGTGCATAAAGTATGGAAACCAGTCGACCGCCATTTTGCGAAAATAAAATTGAAGAGTCGACTAAATGCAAATAAAAAAGGTGTTTTGTTCTGGCTGTGTCGCAGCTAAAGGCTGAGGAGGGCGGTAATAAATATATATTAATGGAATTGAAGAAAGAGCCACTGCTAGGGCTTGCCGATGCTGATGCTGATGCTGATGCCGATGCCTCGCGTCGAAAATACTGTTCCCGGCCGAACTCGCCACTAGCCGCCAGCCGCTCGTGATCCGTTAATCCACACCCATCTCTGATCAGGCAGGGGATGCGGCTGTATCAGTCGGCTATAATTACAAAATAAAATAAACAAAATAAAAATTGCTGTTTCACACCGATATTTCGCCTGCAGACTCGATCTCCGGCTCCTCGCTGGCCTCTGCCGCCGCCTCGCTGATCTCGCCGCCACCCACGGCTTTCAAGCCTGTTTTCAGCCCAGCTTTAAAGCCCATCCTCGTGTTCGTCGTCAGGTACGGCGCCCACATGAGCTTCTTCGGATCCACCCTCTTTGGGTTCTTCACCCTGGCTCTGCGCAAGTACTCGTCGATCTTCTCTCCATCCACCACCACACGATACCCACTGCCGCCATGCACTCGCTGCAGCATCCCATCCGTCTGCAGCGTACTAACCACGTCATCCACCGTCAATCCTGTTTCCGCACTAATATCCTCAACCGAAACCCACCGCCTCCCATCCACCAGAACCTCATAAATCGCCCGCCTCCAATAACTCAGATAACTCAACAGTCCGAAATCAGACAACGGCTTCTCCGGCGACCCTGCCACGCCCTCCTTCTTGGACAGCAAATAGCTAAACTCAATAAGCAATTTACCATATCCTTCGCGCTGCCGCGACGGTAAAATCATAATACACGAGAGATTGTATCCTTGCGCTGACCGCTTTTCCTTGGAATAATACCCGGCAAAATGATACCCGGTGCCGGCATCGTACTCGCACAATATGTAAAATAGAAACGGCTCCACGTCGTAATACAATGTTTTCGTGTCTAAAAACATTTTGCCGATGAGACATAGGTTTTGGCAGTATATTTTGTTCTTGCGTCCGTCCACTTCGAACACTGATATTCCGCCGTCGCGGTAGATTTCGTCTCCAGGTGGATGCCGCAATTGGCACTTCATACAGTGCCTTTGGTAGGTGTACTCGCTCTTCATGTACTTGAGACAAAACTCGCAAATATACAACAATGGGTGGCGGCTATACTCATCAGGATAGGGTGAAATATACCAGGAGTCTATCACGTACGATCCCAGCCGAATCTTCTTCACCTGGTATCCGACCCCCACTGCCAACCCACTAGGCGTCGATGGTGTGCTCGTATCCTGCTTTTCGCCCCTCCTCCCGTCTGTTGCTGCTGCTGCTGCTGCTGTTGTTGTTGTTGTTGTTGTATTCCCAGCCATGGTCACTGTGTCCTCAGGATTAATCGCCTCCCGGGCCTTATCAAACATAGTCTGGTCCTGAGCCTGCGGAACAAACCTCTTCGTATCTGCCTCTTTCGCGCACAACCGTTTATTGAAAAACACACGCGCTGTTGGGTCTAGCTTTAAGTTATTAGTGGTGGTCTTGCGAGTGTACGTGCGTTTTTTACGTGCTGGTTGGTTGACCTCTGTGCCTATATCAGCGTCTGCCACTGTGGTGTCTTCTGTGCCTGCGGCTGCTGGGCTGGAGTCTGGTTGGGGTTTGGTGCGCCCGCGCCCGCGTCCGCGTTTATTCAACGTTGGTTCGGGTTGTGGTGACCGCGCGATTCGCCTTTTGCCTATGATTTCGGCCGGCTTGCCCTGCGCATCTTTTCTTGTCATTTGCGAAACTGTAAATAAAAAAATAAAAAAAGAAGGAAAATAAATTATAGTAATCGAATTAATGAGAGGAAAAATAGAATAATCAGAATAATAATAATATACGCGTAATATATTAAACAAAATAAAATAAAACCCCCGTTTTACGTTGTTTTTATTTTTTATTTCCATTTTTTTCTGTGGCTAAATCTAGACAATTCCATTCAAAGAAAAACAACAATAAAAAACTAAACCTCACACACAACTTTATTCTTTTATGATGAACGTGACGGTGGCGATACCAGAATAACGCCATCTCCACGAACAAACAGCATCGGAACCTTCCTATTAACCGTATGCACCGACTGCGTGTTCAGCTCCTCATTAACATCCACAATAGTTATAGTCTCCTCGACCTCCCCCAAAACCATATTCAAATGCTGGTCATACGCATGCAACCGCCCGCGCAGTTCACGATCTCCGCGTAGTTTCACGTAAATCCGCTCATCCAGGCTTAACCGAACCAAGTCCAGCGGCTCTTCAACCATTGATGCTCCTGTGGTGGACCCGCTAGGGTTTGAAATGGTACTGGTAGCGCCGCTTATTACTGCTGTGTCGGTCATTTTTGAATATTAATGTTCTTAATTAAATAATGTGAAAGAGAGGTGACTTTTTGAACGAGAGAATTGAGGGCTAGAAATAAATATTTGGATATTCTAGGTTTCGTGGGGATGAAGGGAGGGGGGCAAATTTAATTCGTTGGTGGATTGTTTTATCACTGATTCAAAACAGTATGGGATGCAGATCACGCGTACTAGTTTGGAATGAGCCAAGGTGAATATGGTAGTGGATAGAAAAGCCAGTCGGCATCACAAGAACGCCTGGCGCATCACCAATACAATTAACTCCATTCGTCGCTCCTTTGTATTAAAACTGCTCTTCTGCTCACTGCCTGCAACAAACAGACAGCGAGAATGGTACCCCCGACGCATACCCTGAACCAGAGATGCGTCTATGCTCCAGTGCCTAGCCGCCAGACCAATTGAGACACAGAGCCACATGTTTCATGCGTCCACGACGGGAGCATAAAATTATAAATGCGAGAGAACTTTCACTGTGATCTTTAAGATCCAGCCGCGAGATCTCGTGGCTGAGACAGTCAACAGACTCCAGGTGTATCCAGGACCGACAAATGACATATTGGAAGAAAAAAACACAAGAAGCATGTGAACGCCTACTATCTGGACAAGGAGCTGGACCTGGATATGAGGCGTGGCTGGCAGGAGCTGACAGAGGTTAGTTACACAACTCTGGTCAAGAAAGGTCAAGGGGAGCATGCAAAACAAGCAACAGTGGTTGTAAATGAACTCATAGACAAACAGCACGACCAGTACAAGGGATGGTATAACCTCCAGATCAAACGGGAAATGGGGATCCTTGACGCCTAAGAAATGCCGATTGTTGATGAGGCTTCAATCAACAAACATCCCGAATACCAAATCTGCGACAAGATAAAGACGATGGCATGCCAAAGTGGCCGCAGACAAACAGCAATGAGGACGGCAGATATGCACAGCAGCTATTTGGCCACGATTGATGCTCTAGTTCGCAGATCGAGTGCTTGGGTTTAATTGCACTAACACCCTGGCGGACACTTCTACCGCCAGACAATTAGATACAAGTCTGAACAAATCCCAACCTCACCACCTCTAGAATAAGTTTTGTTATAGGGGGATGTAGCCAAGTGCTGCAATAGAGTCCATGTTGGGCAAGGTGGCACGGTAGGCAATCGATCTTAATCATTAATTTTAGTTTGTGTTTTTTACTTATTTCATATTTCGCACAATGCATCTATTTTCTCTTGAACTGTAGGATGTCCAGCTAGCTTGGCAAATGCAGTAAACAAAGAAGGCGTGAATTGTTCCAGTGCAGGTGTGCCAGGTGCAGTTGTGTTGGATTTAGGCAAGTTGTAGAATCGGAGCGTAAAAATAAATAATAATAATAATAATAAAGAAATTTGCCATAGGCAAAGAATACTAGCCAAAAGCAAATGTAGTGTTAATAGGGGGTATAAGGAGAATTACGGTAGTAGTGTTAAAAATTTGGGGATATGGATTTATAAGAGGTTTTATTACTAATGTTTGTAAATTACTACTAGCGCTGGCCTTGTCTTATATATGTGCCTCGTCGCCTTTGTTGTGCACATTTCCAATTGTGCACTTCATTGGCGAGAACTAGTTTTTCTTTAGGCAGGCTGGTTTTTCGGCGTGTCAAGGCTATGATCTTCGTATGTGCGCATTCAAGAATATGCATTATGGAATGGAGGGGTATATCAGGGTGTCATTATTGTGTCCCCTGATTTGATCCTGCATAGTACCATCTATGCCCTGTTAATTGGAATGTTGAAGTTAAGAATCGTGAAACGGGTCTTCATCAACATCAACTTCCATGTCATCAGGCTGCTCAACAAGTTGTCAATTCATTTTAATGTCCGCTGTTTTTTATTTAACAAAGGTAGAGAAACGCAAAAGTTTGTCAATTTGTGGTGCAGGTAGTTTATATAATTAATTATGTGTCTACACATACAAACAATAATTGACTTGTGAAATAAGTCCAACTTCATATAAATATGGGGGCAAAAAACATTGAAACCATAGCCACTGCATTTTAAATTTAAATTTAAAATTTTAATTCTCAGCAATTACTCTTTAATATACTTACATGGTGTTCATAAAATCTATGCAGTACGAGTATAGCCAGCGCTGTATCATTGATATTGACGTGAACAAAAATGACAAGATAACAACCCTATTGAAGAACTTTGCTCAACAATGGGGCTGTTGTCTGAGTTCTATTGTATTGTATGAGGGAGTCTCGCCAATAAATCGCCCACAATATTGGATAATACTAAATCTATCGGGTCGTATTTTAATAATCCCAAAAATGAGATTTTACTATTTATGTTTGTCGTTAACAACAACCAGCTAGAAAATGGTGTTCTAAATAAGGCCGCATATCTATAAATTATCCATCAAGTACAACGCCCTTATGACTGTTGCACATACTGAAGATATGGAAGTGGATGTTGAGGTTGAGAATCGCGAAACAGGTTTCTACCTGCATGCTGATTGATAGGGCACTAATTGGATCACGCAGGCATAAATTAGGGAGGCATTACATTGATGCTCAAACATGCTCTCCATTTTGCAATGCACACACATGAGCGTACACGCACGAAAACCACAACATTGACTTGCCAAAATACCGGTCTGCTCGCAGAAGATCCAGTTCTCACCAATGGAGCGCACAATTGGCAATGTGCACAACAAAGGCGACGAAGCACATATATAAGATAAGGCCGGCGCTAGTAGTATTTTAGAAACATTAGTAATAAAACCTTTTATAAATCCAACCCCATATTTTAACACTAGGGAACTAGTGCTCATCACACCCCCCTCTTATTATAACATGACGAGTATAATATGGAGAAATACTTGCAAATAATATATCCCGCACACTTTGCTGTGGATCTATATATTGAAGCCATTGCAGAAGTCATAAATTATCAGTACAAGGTTCTGATGGAACAAAGAATAACATAATAACACTAATAATGCTGCTCATTGCAAAATTCCGCTCATCGCAAGGAAATCATGATTTTATTTCGCCTTGTGTGACTGGTGATTAAATCTGGTCCAGTTGTTTATTTGATTTTTATGCAAACAAGACAAAACCGAAACCAAAACAAAACAAAACCAAAACCAAAACAAAACAAAACACCTAATGACAAAAAGCAATTGCCATTGGTATTGCCCTTTCAAGTACACTGTAACAAAACTCCATCTCGCGGGGTAACCTTGGTGATTATGTTTACGCGCTTACTCTTACATTTAGTTAAAAGGTAAGCATGTTAACAATGCGCTAACACCTTTCAACAGAGATAGAAAATTAAATGCGTCCATTTGGCAGAGACTCAGAGGCAGCAGTAGCCGAATGCAAAGCCAAAGAGAGCACCATCTTCTGCAGCTACCCATCCAACCAGGCAGCGCACAGATTGATTTATCCACATATCATGGCGATTATAGCCGCCAGTTGTTTAACACAGAACAAGGCTTCGCCCAGAGAAAACAGATCCATAGATCCACTTGCTCATTTGACAAAGTGCGAACTTTTTATCCAGCGTATCAAATTCTAGCTGCTCTCTCATCAAGTGTTTTTTGTTCTCAGATTTTTGTTAGTGTGAAATGTTTACGCTCTTCTTTTTTGCTAATTCATTTTCAATTCTCATTAAATTACATTTTCTAATTTACAGTTTAAAATGACCGAAAATTGGCAAGTTGCAATTATAACAGTGTTTACAGTGCTCGGCGGAATCACAATCGCCGCTGTGGTCAGCGAGGTGTACATGTGGCTGACATCCTCAGGGTTCTCAGTCAGAGACAAACACTGCTACGTAGCTGGAGGCAGCCAGGGTCTAGGCAAGGCCATCGCCCAGGATCTAGCTCGTCGCGGGGCCCACGTGACAATAGTCGCCCGCCGCGAATCAGTCCTCAAGGAGGCACTCGAAGAGATCAAGGCCTGCGCTCAATTGCCCGAGGAGCAAAAGTTCTACTATGTTGCGGCTGATTTGACCAACTATGAGGAAGCTGTCAAAGCCGTGTCCCAGGCTGTCGAGAAGCAAGGGCAGAGCGTTGAGATTTTGTTTTCGGTTGCCGGCATGGCTTGTCCTGGTCTTTTCATCGAGCAGGATGTGCCGACCTTGACCAAGATTATGAATCTGAATTATTTTGGTACCTTGCACACAGTCCACGAGGTGACTAAGCGTATGGTGGCGGAGAATATCAAGGGCGCGCGTATTGTTTTGGTTAGCTCGACGTTGGGATTCTTTGGGCTCATTGGTTATTCAGGATACTGCGCGTCAAAGTTTGCTATTCGCGGCCTGGCAGAGGCTCTGCGTATTGAGCTGCGGATGTACTCGATTGGCGTGCACTGTTACTTCCCGGGAACCATTTTTACCCCTGGGTACGAGTCGGAGAACTTGACCAAGCCGCAGATCACCAAGGATATTGAAGGGGCCGATGAGGGTATGACGCCTGAGCAGTGCTCCAAGGGTATGTTTAAGGGATTGGTTCGCGGAGAATTTGCCATTACTACCGATCCCATTTCGATGCTGTTCCGGTGCGGCACGCGCGGTGCTACTCCCAACAACAACTTTGTATTGGATACTATTATCTCTGGCATTTCTTGGATTGCGTTTATTCCGTGGCGCATGTTTGTCGATTACACGGTCACGAAGCACGCGGCCACTGTTTCCAAGAGCAAGAGCAAGATGAAGAACAGAAAGTCGGAGTGAGAAATACTATAATAAAGAAAAAAGCGTGACATTTCGCCCTTTATTTGAAATAAATGAGTTTAAACCTGTGTTATCGTGGTCATGGCGCGAATTTTGTTCATCACTACACGGTCAATGATGCAGTTGATCATCGGTACCAGGCACGATGCCGATGCGGCAGCCAGTCCGAGGGCAAACGCATCGATAGCAGGAGCTCCGTCAAGCAGGCAGTTGAGCGTCACCGAGCTGCATGTATCACCAGCGCCGATCGGATTCAGCACCCTCTTTTCCTCATCCTCGAGTTTTACCTCTGCCAAGTTGCCGACAAATAATTCCTTGTCTGCAAGCAAATCGGGAATGACAAACATATGGCAGGTGCCCTGACCAATATCCGCCAGATACGCCATGAATGGCCCATCGGTGACAGCGACAATGCTAACGCGTATTTTCTTGCCCAGCTCCAAAATCGCCGGCGGAATACCCTGGGTGGCATTGAACTGCAGGCCAACAGCGGAAGCAATTATCTTCAGCTCGCTCAAATTGACCTTTAAGATGTCAACCTTTCCGGTATCCAAAAGGGGCAAGATATCTATGGCAGCATCAACAAAGACAAGGGTCTTATCTGTTTTGCTCGAAATAATCTCGGCGATACGCTCAGAATTGAATCCCGGAGGAATAGTTCCGCAGAGGGTCAGTGCCCTGGGAGGAGCACCTGAGTGCAGCAGACGGGTTGCAATATCCACATACTCCGCGACGACCTCTTCCTCGACCCGGTTGGAAATACCAATAAGCTCGGTCATCTGGTTTGTCGAAACATCAAGACACGTTGTGCATGTTCTTGTTGGCAGAGGAGTGTGAACTATACAATATATTTAGGTTGGTTATTTTAACCACTTTTACCAACGAATAAATAAATGCATTTAATGAATGTGTGATTTTTTCTTTTGATCTTACCAGTGATACAGTCGATTCCTTGCTCTAAAAGCATATTCTCTATTTGAGTGCCAGTATGACCACCAAGGATTTGGAGTAGCGTCACCCGATTTGTGTGACCATAAAATTGCTTTGTAGCGATGGAAAAGTTTTGGCCTAATTTTAAACAAACAAAAAATAAAACGATAAATAGGTGGTTGGCAATTATTATTCTAAACGACGGGTCCTTTTTTCAATTTGACTTGTCAACTGACATGGCATTGGGCCATTTTTACCTTTACCGCCGATGGCTTGGCTCTGCTTTGATGCGCGGTTGACATTGCCCGCAATAATTTTGTCAAACAGCATAGTCACCTGGTAGGAAGCATTGGGAGCTACACACATAAATACAATTAAATGGTAAAAACTTTAAAAGATATTTTTAAATGTACAATTAAACAGCTCGATACTTATTTTATATTTATATTTTGTTGTAATTTTTTATTCACATGCGACATGTATAAATGCGTGCCAAATACTGACCTAGACAAAGAATGTCATTGCATGATGTGCGGTCATGCACCTGCTGTGTAGCAGTTTCAGCTGTCGGGGACATGAATTGGGTGTTCATTGTATAGAAACAGTAATGTCCTGGGAAAAAAACCAAATTAAAGATGAGAAAATAAAGAGAAATAATTGCAATGTTGCTGCTTGAAATATTCCTCATTATATTTCCGTTTTCTAATTTTTGATAAACAAAAAAGTTTTGTGTTCAAAACTCATCCTTCCACACGTCACAGATAAAAGGAGTGGTTCAATTGAGAATACAAATAAAAATCGTGTTTTTTATTTTTTACAATTGAGCTTGGAGGCACAATCAAACAAAATATTTTTTTTTGACTGATCAAAATAGAAAAAACTGTTCCTTGGGTTTAGGGGGTTTGATGGGTTTTTTGTTTTGGTTTCGTAGATTACTTCCAGGTGTTCAATAACAAAAAGTAGAAAAAAAATGAATAGAAAACCAAAACCAAAAAAACATATATTCCTCTTTATCTCTTTTCCTTTTTTTACCATTAAATTTTTTCTACATATTCTTCACCACTATTTTTTATACAAAATAACCAATACCTAATAACAATAACAAAACCATGTCCGTGATCACCAACACCAACCTCCAGGCAATCGTCGATAACACCGAGACCAAGCGTGAGATCGTCGACTTTATCAAAGCCAATGTTGGTTCTGAGGGAGAGCAGGAGCAGCTGGTCCAGTTTATCAATGCATCCAATGATGTGACCAAGCTGTCGGCGCCACCCTCAAACGACGACAAACTTGAGCTCTACGGCTTGTACAAGCGCGGTCTGGGCGCCAAGCTCGATAAGCCCGGTATGTTTGATTTCATCGCTAAGAAGAAGTACGCCGCTTGGGAGTCCCACGGCGACCTTACCGCTACTGAGGCACAGGCAAAGTACGTTGCGCACGTCAAGAACCTCCTGGCGCTGGATAAGCCCGAGAACTAAGCCAAATACATAGAGCTCTAGGTTTTTTTTTAAAAAAAATTGAAACTTGTTATAAAAAAGTATTATATTCGCCATTTCTTATATTAGAACTCGCTGTTGTATTTCGCATACACAGCGTCGCTCATGATCTTGATGGGAGCAGTTGTGTGAGCCCATTTCTCCAGCTGGTGTACGCCCTGCTCAATAAGCACAGCGACGCCATGGACAATGTTCCACTGGCGCTTGCGCGCAGCCTCCAGAAGAGGGGTCCAACGAGGCTTATACGCCATATCCAAAGCCACACCAGCAGGCTGAGCAAACAGGGCCTCAGGAATAAGAAGGTCGCTGCCAGGAATAGTGCCGACAATAAAAGTCAGCTGCGCCTCCTTCGCTGCATCCTGGAGCTGCTCAATGGCCTCCAGCGAATCAAAAAGCTCGGCAAACTCGCCAGCCAGAGCTTCTGCGCGCGCCATCGTGCGGTTAAAGATGACTACACGGCGGATACCCAGCGCGTACAGGGCGTAGAGCGCAGCACGCGCCGTGCCACCAGCACCAATGACCAGTGCGGAGGCCTCGGAGAAGGCGGGCACGTTGCCGTCGATCTGCGCCTGGCGCAGACAGCCGACAATACCCAGGTAGTCGGTGTTGTCGCCGAGCAACGTGCGCTTGCCGTCGGTGCCCTTAACCGGAATGACAGTGTTAACGGCGCCAATACGCAGGGCCGCGGGCGTCAGGGACTGCAGCAGCGGGATGATGCTCTGCTTGTGCGGGATGGTCACCGAGGCACCGCCAAAGTCAGGGCTACTCACGACCGAAGCAAGCTCATCGACAGTGGCAGTCTCCTTGAGCGCGTAGGTGTGCGGCAGGCCGAGCGCGGCAAAGGCCGCATTGTGCATGGCAGGGCTGGGCGACTGGGCGATGGGCGTGCCAAACAGGAAGAAGCGCTGGGGCGGGAGCAAGCCAGCGAGCGAGCGTGCCTGATTGATCTGCGCGACGCTGATCTGGCCCGGCGCGGCAACAGCGGTTAGCAGCGGATGGGTGACGGGGGTCAGGCACGGGCACAGGACGCGCGACATCTGGCCAAGGTAGCCCATGTTCAGTGCAATCAGCGGCTTCTCGAGCGAGTGGTTGCGCTGAACAAAGCTGCGGCAGTCGAGGTTGTCCTCCCAGCGAGTGGCCACTGAAATCAGCTTAGCAATGTCGCCGACCGCACGCGCGCGTGCAAGAATCTCGTTGGCAAACTCGCAGTCGGCCCAGCGCAGGACCTTGCCGGTGGTGTCGTGGTAGGAGGCAACGATGAGCGAGTTCTGGCGCGCGGAATAGACGGCTGGTGCGGCCTCATCAACCTCGACGTCGACATACTCGGATCCCCACTGCACGGCGCTCAGCAACAGGCGCTTGCGCAGCGCCGTCGCGTCAGCCGGGAAAACGCCGCCCTGCGGCACGGTGCGCACAGTGAAGACCACAGGCAAGGACGACGTGTGACGGAGCAGCGTGAACTGGCGATGCACATAGTGCACAAAGGCGTCGGCAGTGCCCTGGTCGGCCAGGTCAGACTCGGCAAACTGCTCGCTGCGCAGCAGCAGATCGGCGCGCAGCTCGATGGCCTGCGAGCCGGCGGTCAGCTGCGGCAGCGCGGCCGGCAAGTACTCGCGCACGTCAGGAGCAGTCAACGAGACAAACGCTGAGGGGCGAGAGAGGTCGATGCGGTTGAGGTTGCGGCCTGTGGCGAAGCGCAGCAGGCGCACAAAGTCGCGCTCAATGACGGCCCAGGCACCCGGATGCTCTTCGTCATAGTCGCTGGTCGCGGCAAGCAGCGCCTTGTCGACCAGGAACTCATAGTTGCAGCTCTCGGCGTACAGTGGCAGACGGCGCGCATACACGTCGTTGATATCAGACGTGATGGCGTACGACGGGCGCGAGGTGTCGCGGCTGAGATACGCAGCCACGTGCTGCATGTTGGGCTTCAGGCACACGACGGCAGCGCCAGAGCTGGCCATGTACTGCTGCAGCACGCGGCGGTTGGCCTCCTCGTCGACGACGCCGCCGCCGCAGACAACCAGTGTGCCAGTCGGGTGCGTCGACGTCAGCACCTGCGCCAGCAGCCGGCTCTCATGCTGGCGGAAGGTGGCCCAGCCCGACCCGTTGACAATCTTGGGAATCGTGCTGCCGACCTCAGCCTCGAGGTGCGCGTCCATATCGAGGAACTGCAGGCCCAGGGCGCGCGCTGCGGCCTGGCCCAGCGTGGTTTTGCCGACGCCGCGCATGCCGATGACAACGGTGCTGGGGTTGGACGTTGGCGCCGCGTGCGCTGTGGCTGCGGGCTCGTGCGCCTCAGGCTCGGGGTCGGCGCCAGCGGTCGGTGCGCCCAGGTCGCGCGCAAGCACGTCCCACCACTGCGGCCAGGTCTTTCCGACGCAGCGGCGCTCGCGGATCTCGGCACCGCCGGGCGCAACGCACGCCAGGACCGAGAAGCTCATGGCTACGCGGTGGTCGTCGTAGCAGTGGACAGACGGCGTGGCAGTGCCCAGCTCGGCGATCGGCTTGCCATACACGTCTATGCCATCGGCATGGTTTTCGGTGCGCACACCAAACTTGGCTAATTCGTCGCACATGGCGGCAATGCGGTCGCACTCCTTGACGTGCTGGTTGGCGATTCCGCGGATACGCGAGACGCCCTCGCCGCCAGGCGCGACAGCCGCCAGCACCGAGGCCGTCAGGAACGCATCGGTCATCGGCTCCATGTCAATGTCGCTCAACGCGCGCAGCGTACCGCGTGGCGGGCCGCGCACCGTCGTCGACGTTGCTGTCTGCTCGACCTCACAGCCCATGGGCCGCAGAACGTCAACGGCAAAGCGCGCGTCGCCCTGCAGCGACGCCGAGCCAATGTTGGGTACGGTGCACGTGGTGCCTGTGATCGCGGCAAAGGCCAGCGGGTACGTTGCCGAGCTAGCGTCGCTCTCGACGACGTACTCGGCGGGGCTGGCGTAGGTGCAGCAGGGAATAATGTACTCATTCTCGGAAATGCGCTCAACGCGGCAGCCGAACTGCGCCATCATTGCGATCGTCATGTCGATGTATGGCTGCGAGATAACCTTGCCGCCCACCAACTCCAGGTGCACGGGCTGCTGTGCATACGGTGCGCATAGCAGGATCGATGACACGTATTGCGAGCTGACCGACGCAGCCAGCTGGATGCGACCACCGGGCAGACCCTTGCCCGAGTGCGCAACGCGCAGCGGCAACGATCCCTCGCGCTCACAGTAGTCGATCGAGCAGCCGTTGGTGCGCAGTGCATCGACCAGAGGCCCAGTAGGGCGCTGCTTCATGCGCGCGTTGCCGGTCAGCACTGTGCTGCCGCTCTGCGCGTCGATAAGGTTGGCGGTCGTTGCCAGGAAGCGAGCGGCTGTGCCGGCGTTGCCCAGGAACAGCTCGGTGGGCGGCATGCTCAGGCGGCCGCCGCCGCCGCAGACGACCAATGTGTCTCCGTTGTCCTCCCACGAGAAAGTGCAGCCGCCCATGGCCTGCAGTGCCGCCAGCATCACCTGCGTGTCGTCCGAATGCAGCAGGTTGCGCACGCGGCACTCGCCGGTGGCCAGCGCCGCTAGCAGCAGTGCGCGGTTCGAGATCGACTTGCTGCCTGGCGGCGTGACAACCACAGCGGACGCGGCCGTCTCGGCGACTGGGCTCACGCGCACGCCGACCGAAATGACCTCCTCGATCAGCGCGTCAGGTACGTTCGTCGGCTTCATCTCCAGTGTCTGGCCGAGCCGGCTCAGCACCACAATGCGCTTCTGTGCGCCGACGTTCTTCTTATCCAGGCTCATCACGTCCATCAGCCGCTTGGGCCGCACCTCAGCCAGACGCTGGTCGCCCACAAGCTTGCGGATCAGCGGGTCGTCAATGGCCGTAGGCAGCCCGTACGCGCGCAGGCATCGTGTCAGACGCGCCACGCTGACCTCACCCAGGTGGCCTAGGCGCCGTGCAACCTCGGCCTCCAGCACGCAGCCCACAGCCACGCACTCACCGTGCAGCACCTGCGGCGACAGAATAGCCTCGATGCCGTGGCCGATGGTGTGGCCAAAGTTGAGCAGCCCACGCATGCCCGACTCGCGCTCGTCGTGCGTTACCACGTACGCCTTGACACGTGCAGAAGCAGCAATAACACGCAGCAGCATTTGCTGCGCCGGCGACCGCGACGCCACGGTCAGCCCGTCATCGACGCCCTGGTGGCGCTGGCCCTCAAGCACGGCCAAACGCACTTCGTCGGCGCTGGCCTCCAGCACCTCAAACTCCTCGGGCGACCAGATAGCCGCGGTCTTGACGACCTCGGCCATGCCGTTGGAGAACTCGCGCGCAGGTAGCGTGCTCAGCACAGACATGTCCATGAATATCCGCTTTGGCTGCCAGAACGCCCCCACCAGGTTCTTGCCCGCCGGCGTGTCGACTGCGGTCTTTCCGCCAATGGACGAGTCCACCATGGCCAGCAACGACGTCGGGATCTGCACAAACGACACACCGCGCATAAACGTCGCCGCCACGTACCCGACAAGGTCGCCGATCACTCCACCGCCCAGCGCCAGCACCATGGTGTCGCGCGTGCACTTGGCGGCCAGCATCCAGTCCTCGATCGCGCTCTTGGTCGCCCGCGACTTGCTCGTCTCGCCAGGCGGCAGCACATGCACCAGAAGCCGCGGCGCTGGCTTATTCGGCCGCAAGTGCGCCCAGGCAACAGCGAAGCTCTCCTGGTGCGTGCTGAGGTACAGCTTTGCTAGGTTCGTGTCGGTGATCAGCACATACGTCGATGCTGGCGCCAGGTTGCTGAATATGTCCGTCCACATATAGTCGGACAGGTGGAATCCGCACACGACGCTGTCTGATCCCAGCACAGGGATGCACTCTACCTCGGCAAGCTTCAATGGGCGAAGGATCGTGTCTCTCTTGTTTGCAGCCATGCTTTGCTCTCTTTTAATTTGTTTTGAATTGAGTTGAATTGGTTCGAGTGGGGGAATCGGGATATGTGTGAAAGGCTAGCACCAGATTATATTTTTGACTGGGCTATGGATTAAAATAAATAGCAGTTACGAAATAAGGTAAAAATGGACGACAGTAGGAGAAAGGGAAATGGAAAATGGGAGCCTAGAAGTGGGGGCGTACAAGTCAGGCAAGCGCCCCTCCCCTATTTAAGGGTGTGAGGTGACTGATACCCCTTTTTTGTTTGATTGCTGCAACTGGCCGAGCCTTTTTTTCTTTCCCCCCCCCCACCCAACGGCGAATGCGCGTACATGCCCATTTGCGTTATGTAACGTTATTAGACCTGACTAGCAGTAGTATCTTTAAAATCGCGTTTGCTAACATCTGAGTCACTTAATCTTTTTTTAGTTGCACGGACATTTTAAGCGCAGCCCCAGCCAATCACAGCACCCACACGCCCTCTTGGATTTCACTGCTTGCTGCAAATGGTCCAAGGAAAGCCAGTCAGTCTTATTTGCGCTGGCCCTCAAAGAGGAAAATGTCCTCACTCTGCATCACCGGGTGCTGGTCCTGTGGCTTGATATCGTGGAATCGGAACTTTTGGCTCCACAGTGCAACAAACATAGCCTCTTCCTCGAAATTCCTCGACTCAAACGCCAAAATCACCCTCGTATGCTCCCCGGCCAGCCTCCCGAGCGTCTCGGCCAACGGTGTATGCAGCTCGCTCGCCCAAACACCATCCGAGACCAAAATCATATCCACCGGGCCCACATCGCTCCCAGACTCCGGATCGCACCAATCAAGACACACCGCCGTGGTATTCGGCTGAGCGCAGTTCAAAGATATGTTGCGCTCGAGCAGTGGCACAAGCTCGCTCTTGTCTGATAAAATCACGGTGCAGGCGGGCTGCAGTTTGGCAAGGGCGAGGCCCACAAGTCCAGTGCCAGAGCCCAGTTCTAGGACAGTTTTACCTGATAGTGAGAGTGTGCCGTCTTGTGTCTGCTTGTCAAGGTACTTGGCTAGGACAAGGCCGGCGTCCCAGACGGTGGATCCGACGCCGCATCGCCCGACGCCTGTGGGGTCCTGGAGCACGCGGACTGGCGACTTGTTGGCGCGCGAAATGTCCAGTTCGTACTCAATGTAGTTTTCGAATTCAGTCATGCTCTATTTTATGTTGTGTGTGCGTGCGTGCAATTGATGATGGTGCTGATAAAGAATAAATATCGGCTGGCTGACTTAAAAAAGGCGGTTTTCCATCATATGGTATGGCGTTATTGGAAGCAAGTGGTATATGGGAAAGCGAAAGTGCGAGTTTGCGCGCTGTTTAATCCGAATGGATCCATTTTCTCTCTCCGCGCGCTGTTTAATCGTTGCTTTCTTTGAAATCCGCTTCTACTCACACGGCGTACGGGAACTTGAAAATTTGGCGTGGTCACCCGAGCATTCAAAAGGTGACTTTAAGTGCGTCCATCCAATCAAATGTCACCAACCTTGCAAACAAAACAAGCACTTCTTTTGCATGTGTGAAATCGATTGGTACCAAGATGTGCATTATAAACCCATGTGATGTGAGTATTTAGCGCGGCGCCAGAATAAACAAAAAATAATATAAATACGAAGAGATAAGTGTGACGCTCTCCGCACATGAAAAAATTGTTCTTTTTCAAAAATTGGAAGCTGACACGGCGCCTCGGAAATTTTTAAAAGCTGGCTCGGCGTTATTTTCCATATTCTGGCCTACCCCCCTCCCCCTCTTATTTTATCTTGCCATGTCTAAAAAATTTACCACTACCCCCGCCCACCTCTCTTTCTCTCTCTTTTGTTTCTTTCCTTTTGTACCTTTACCACACCACTTTATTATTGTAGACTGAATTTCGCAACAATTTTTATCTCTTTTTGGGCGTATGACTGAATTCAAAAAATGAAGTTTTCTAGCGCCCTCCAGTTCAATGCCGTGCCCGACTGGGCGCCGTATTACTTAGAGTAAGCTACACTTGGGTGATTTCCACCTATATTTTCTCAGGGGAGAGAGCAAGACAGATGTTTGTATGCCGAGTTGTTGGCTCTGGCTGTGATACGGCCACATTTATGTCTCGCTCAAAAGCCAAACCGTTGCCTGCGTTTTTGTTTGTTTGCTATTGTGTTTGCTAAAACTAAAAACAATCGATACTTATTAATGTTTGTTTGTCGAAATGACGCACTCGAGTAGTTATTCCGGTTTGAAAAAGCGCCTTTATGTCATCGAGCGCGACGTGATTGCCAATAACCCGGCGCCGCCGCCTCAATCGCAGCAGCACAATGCATCTCGGATGCCAGGGTCAGACGAGAGCAGTAATCTGCTCGGCCCACAAACACAGGCCTACGCCACATTTGCACCCCTGCTCAACAGCGAGCTGGCAAAGATCGAGCGCTTCTACCAGCGCAAGGAGGCGGAGCTTTTCGCCGAGGCCGACGAGATTGAAAGGGATGTTGCCATCCTGGACATCCACCCGACGCTGGAACGCCGGAGCTCGCTCAATTTATTTCGCAAGCTCTCAACTATCAACGTCAGCAACGCTACCCAGCCCCTGCGCAGCGCGTCGCCACAGGCTGGGCCGTCGCGGCCACAACAACCGGTAGAACGGGACAACGACGAAAATGTTAGCGATCACCTGCTTACCAACCACCACCGTGCAAGCTCGCTGGATCTCGAGTCGATGTCGCCAGAGAATGTTACTAACGCGTACATCCCGCTGGACCACGACGACCATACGCGCGCGCCCAGCGAGGCCGCTGCCATGGAGTTCCGCGAACGGCCTTCTTCGATGCATGGCCCCCGCACCAGTACGCCCCACCACCGGCGCACGATGAGTTTCAATGGCACGGACTTTACGCGCAAGGACATCCGGCGCAAGGCGCGCAACCTCTTTATTCTACTACACGACCTGCGGTCCTACGCGCAACTGAACTACACAGGGTTCAACAAGATTACTAAAAAGTATGACAAGGTGACTGGCTCTGAGCTGCGCGAGGAGTACATGGCCGAGACTGTCAGGAACGCATACCCGTTCACTGCTGAGGCGCAGAACCGGTTGCACGAGCACCTGGAGGCAATGGCCTACTCATTTGGGCTGGTCTCGGGTCTGGGCAGCATCGATGAGGCCCTGCATGAGCTCAAGAAGTGTTTGCGCGAGGAGGTCGTGTGGGAGCGCAACACAGTGTGGCGTGATATGATTGCCAACGAGCGCATGGTCAATGCCGTAGGGGTGCAGTCGCCGGACCTGGAGCGAGCCGGCGGAGACACTATCCCGACGTTGAAGCCGCGCAGAATAACCAACACACAGAAACAGATTCTGCGCCTGCTCGCTTGCACCGCCTTGTTCTTTGTTGTCTGGGCTGTGCCCGTGTTTGATGGTGTCGAGCAACAGCGGTGCTGGGCCATGCTTATCTACGTGTCGCTATTGTGGGCTACCGAGTCACTGCCGCTGCACGTCACTGCCCTGCTTGTGCCCTTTTTGACCGTCATGCTGGGCGTCATGCGGTCGCCGGAAAAGGCGCACGCGCAGCTATCTGCTGGAGATGCGTCCAAGGCTGTATTTTCGGCCATGTTCTCGTCCGTCATTATGCTCCTACTTGGTGGTTTTACGTTGGCCGCGGCTCTGAGCAAGCATGATGTCGCGCGAATCATTGCCTCGTGGATTCTCAGCAAGGCCGGCACTAGCCCAAAAACAGTGCTCTTGGCCAACATGCTCGTCGCTACTTTTGCAAGCATGTGGATATCCAACGTCGCCGCGCCTGTCCTGTGCTTCTCGCTGATCCGTCCGATCCTGCGCACCCTGCCCAATGGCAGCACTTTTGCGCCCTGCCTGATCATGGGTATTGCGCTGGCGTCGAATGTCGGCGGCATGGCGTCGCCCATCTCGTCACCTCAGAACATCATAGCAATCAATACTATGCACCCGCCACCCTCATGGTTCCAGTGGTTTGCCGTGTCCATCCCTGTGTGCATCCTGTGCGACCTGGGCATTTGGGCGCTTCTGCTTGCTGTCTACCGCCCGCACAAGACCACACCGTCCATACATCAGACGCGCTTTACCAGCGAGCGGCTCAATAGGCGCCAGGTCTACGTATGTGCAGTCACTCTCTTGACCATACTCCTGTGGTGTTTCGAGTCTAAATTGGCCTTTTTGGTCGGCGACATGGGCATTGTGGCCATTGTCCCGTTGGTGCTGTTGTTCGGGTTCCCGAAGATTTTGGGCAAGGAGGATTTCAACAACTTTTTGTGGACCGTCGTTATCCTAGCCATGGGCGGCATAGCGCTGGGCCGTGCTGTGGACTCTAGCGGTCTGTTGCACGAGCTGGCTGCCCGCATTGAACTCTTCGTTGATGGGTTCCCCTTATTCGCTGTTATGTGTGTGTTCTGCGGTCTGATCCTGGTCTGCTGCACGTTTATTTCTCACACCGTGGGGTCTTTGATTATATTGCCCATTGTGGCTGAGGTCGGTGCTAGATTGCCCGAGCCTCATAGTCGGCTGCTGGTCATGGGATCGGCCTTGATGGCCTCAGGTGCTATGGGCTTGCCGGTCTCAGGATTCCCCAATATGAACGCCATTATGCTCGAGGATACTCTGGGCAATCCGTACTTGTCCACTATGGATTTCTTCAAGGCCGGCATTCCCTCCAGTGTTGTCGCTTACTTTGTCATTATCTCAGTCGGTTACATTATCATGTCCATGCTGGGCTTTTAAATAAAAAAGTTTTATTCTAGTATTTTTTTACTTGATTCAATTGATCATTTAACCAAATGAGTGTAAAAACACAACCAGTCGGCAATTATGCATTCTATTTAATATTTAACATCATTTATTTTTAAAATGAGAAACAGAGTAAACATGAATTTTTGACACAGTATCTTAGTGCGAATTATATTATAAAAGCTCAATAAAGCAAAAAAAAACTACATGACGAGTTCACAATAATTCCCTTGCATTGGGTGGCGGTGCTGCTTGTATAGCCATTAAAGGGACATTGGCGCTGATATTCAAATGCGGGGGAATTGCGTTGTGCGTGGTAATTGAGGACGGCTGTCCTAGGCTAGAGTGTTGGAGAACGTAGGTGTGCCGGTAAGCTCTTCTTCACCCGGATCAAACTGGAACCACTGGCACAGCACCCGTTGTCCAGCGGTCCTTAAATGTGCAAATAACCTTGAGATGTGAAATGGAGTGGTGAAAGTCCTGTACGATACGGCCCATTACTAAGAATTTCCAGCGACTAAACATGGCATCTGATGTGAAGTTGATGTCATCCATTGAAAGCTCGGCATGCGCGCAGTATATCTCTCATACGGCCAGTCTGTGGAGTGCGTCTGTGTTTGGGAAATACTTCCTCAACCCTCCAAAGCTGTTGACCACCATAATCCTGTCGACATGGAATGCCAGCCCTATCTGATCACTATGGTTGTATTGCAAGAAGCGAGATACAAGAGGCCAGGAAAAGAGAGAAAATAGATGCATTATGCAAAATATAAAATAAGTAAAAAACACAAACTAAAATTAATGATTAATATCGATTGCCTACCGTGCCACCTTGCCCAACATGGACTCTATTGCAGCACTTGGCTACATCCCCCTATAACAAAACTTATTCTAGAGGTGGTGAGGTTGGGATTTGTCCAGACTTGTATCTAATTGTCTGGCGGTAGAAGTGTCCGCCAGGGTGTTAGTGCAATTAAACCCAAGCACTCGATCTGCGAACTAGAGCATCAATCGTGGCCAAATAGCTGCTGTGCATATCTGCCGTCCTCATTGCTGTTTGTCTGCGGCCACTTTGGCATGCCATCGTCTTTATCTTGTCGCAGATTTGGTATTCGGGATGTTTGTTGATTGAAGCCTCATCAACAATCGGCATTTCTTAGGCGTCAAGGATCCCCATTTCCCGTTTGATCTGGAGGTTATACCATCCCTTGTACTGGTCGTGCTGTTTGTCTATGAGTTCATTTACAACCACTGTTGCTTGTTTTGCATGCTCCCCTTGACCTTTCTTGACCAGAGTTGTGTAACTAACCTCTGTCAGCTCCTGCCAGCCACGCCTCATATCCAGGTAAAGGTCACCGGGATCACGAAGGCCAAAGGCGAACATGTCGATATTTTCCGCAATAGCGAAGATGTGCTAAAGGACTTGAAATCCGAAGCTCTTTTGGTCGGTTATCTAAGAAAGCTTATTCTTGGAATGAAGGCTGCGGTTGGTGTCGCAAATGGACGTATTACGCCAGGTAGAACCCCAATCCCAGACTGGAGGCTTATTACGATAGACCATCAGAGTGATGCTATACGAAGTACTCCGCATAAGCCAGACATTGCGTTTTACCACTTGGGCTACGAAACGGATGGTATTTCTGGCGTTCATGCTATACTCGAGGCCAAGATAGATGTATGTCCCGACGAAGCACCAGAGGATACTCGCGGTCATCTCGCAGATTACGGCCATTTGCTCAATGATAAGCAGGCAAGCCGCACGTTTGCGCCTGTCTTCTACCTCCATGGGCACATCCTGACGCTTCACGCATATTATCATGACAATCTGTACATAATCGAGCTTGGCCAGCTATGCTTTAATACGGATAGTTGGATGTCTGAAATAGCTGAAAAAATTCAGACATGCCTCATGCGGTTCTGGTTCCTGCTGACGCTTGAGTCTGACATTTTCGGGCATTTCTGCAATGTCTCGGAGGAATCCAACTCTTTCATTTTTTCGAAGGAAGTCGATGTGGAGAGCAAAGGCGATCCGAATATCGAAGTATTATACTCGGTTTCCAAGGATGTCAAGGATGCCAGGGATGGCGCTGCTCTGTTTTGTATCAAGGAGACAATAGCGCGTTATTCATACATGGTTGGGCACCATGTCCATTTATTCAGGGGGAAATTCAATAGACTGCATGATGCTGTGCTGAAGCTTTCCTGGACCCCAGTCAATTGTTTGCCTGAGGGTGCCGCATATGCCATTCTCAACATGAGACGAGTCGAAGGTATTCCTGAGATCTTTTCGAGTGGCCTGCTCATCAGCAACCTCAATGGATACCGGCTGGAGTTCGTGCTCATGGAGGACTGTGGCCAGCCAATAGCCAAGTATCTGAAAGACAAGACTGACAATCAGAAGGCCGAGCTGGTTCCTGGCTTTGTAAAGCAGCTGACCCTGTGCCTTGCCCAGGCAAATGCCACTGGTGTTCTGCACAGGGACATCTCGGCAGGGAATGTGTGCATCAAAAACAACAAGGTGTATGTCATTGACTGGGGCTGTGCCAAGGTCATTGGCTGGGGCACTGCTGAGGATGCTGCCAGGGACACTGGCCCAACTTAACTCAAACACATTGAGGTTGCCGAGCAGTGGGGGTTCAATGCAACAACAGTGGGACAAGTGGAGGTGGCCAAGGACCCATTTACAGGGACACCGCTTTTCATGGGAATTCCCGTGCTCAGAAGCAGCCCCATCCGGGGAATCCTTGACGACATGGAGAGTGTTCTCTATGTCGTTATGGATGCAGTGCGCCCAGCTGGTACTAAGAGGGATGACGTTCAGGGCTTCAAATTCTTGGACTCTCCATCCCTTGCCATCACAAGGTGGGGCTTGATCCAAGAGGATGCTGTCTTGCTGAAAGGGTTCAGTGTTGATGGTGTTAGCGCTAGGCTCAAAAAGCTCATTTGTACAATGCGCCGGTTTCTGTTTGAACCAGAAAACAAGGTTATAAGCCACCGGCTCTGGTCAGACAGCACATTTGTTCGACAGATTAACTGGGACGCTGCTCCCGAGTATATGGATCCCAAGGCGATTGAGCTCCTCCAGGAAGATAATGGCCAACTTAAGCGACCAGCCGAGGACGAGATCAATTCTGGGTCGTTCAAGAAGCTAGCACTTTAGGTTTTTTTGTTTTTTTTGTTTTTAATAAATCTTTTTACAACCCAAAAAATCAACTGCAAAAAATAAAATATTTACATTTTACTCATATTTTCTTCAAGTTTAATAAAGTTTTAAACTCTTGTCTGTACCTCTTGTTTACCAATCTACTGATCACCTTTCACCGATCACTTTAGCTGTAAACAACAGATACTTTTAAACTCGCACATTGACCAATTTTATTGAAGATTGATTGCATCCATAATTTTCGATTTTTGCTATTTTGCCAAATTATTGGTTGATGGCGATCAACTGATTAACCAGTCTTGGCTGTTTAGCCACACAAACAATAAGTCACACAGTAACCAGAGCAATATACTCTCTTCTCTTTACCTCACACAGTGCATAGCACTTGTTATTAAATATACTTTATATTATTATACTTTATCTACACGTTCATAGAACGTTCCTATATTCCAACACAAATGATTTCAATTTAACGTTATTCTTTCTTATTTCTTAATTTGCTTTATTTTTCCTTTCCTTTCCTTTCCTTTCCAATTCACAATTCACATTTTACATTTTATTATTTCTTTTTATACACTTTCAATATTGTATTTCATTGCCATAGACGATAGCCGGTACTACCTCGCAATTAGCGTCGGAGCAGCACTCGGCACATACTGGGTACTTTCACATCTTTTGGACCAATTGCAGTACGAGTTAGATTTCCGCTACGCACATCAACAAAAGAAGCGACGACAACACGCCTAGTACACTGGGACTGATACTTCCAAAAGGGAGTGCGGACAATGAGGCAGCGCTGGACATTCAGACAGCCGAAATGGTTAATTCCTTGGCACAATTGGCGCTGCATTTGGACAACTTTAAGCTGCAGGATATTGCATCTGAGCTGGTGCTCAATATGGCCATGCGGCGAGAGATGCTGCAGCTGATAGTCGCACAGGATCAGGGCAGGGCAGTTCAGGAACAGAGGAGGAGGGCCGGTTGCGGGCAGTTGTATTACTCCAGGTGCTGGTGATGATGCCGCAGCGGGTCGGCAGGGTGGTTCAGGCCAGCGGCACATGCGGCGGGCAGCCGGCTGCAGGCTTCTTGAGGTGCTCAGCGAGGCACTTTTGCAGTCAGCCAATGGCTCGGCTCGAGGCAGCAGCAAGCAGAGGCAGTGGTCAGACGCCATGCTTGTGTCAGTATGTGTGGCCATGGCAAAGCAGTTTGCGCTGCGCACTGAGTACCACCGGTGAGTGGTCGATCTGGCGTCTCTGCCTGCATTGCTCGGTGTCGCACGCCAGTCAGTGGCTGAGCTTGAGCTTTTTCGCATGCTGGTGGAGAGCCTCACGTGGCTGTGCACTTTTCTCACAGCGTATCCGCCGCCAGCAGCAGAAGAAAACGCAACGGAGGTGGCGAATCTGCAGATGGTGCAGCTGCTGGAGTTGGGCGTCGTTAACGCCATCCTCGCGTGCGTCCGCCAGGATGACCAGGGCGTGTCCTTATGGGGCATTGGGTTTCTGCATGAGTTCGTGTCGCAAAGTGTCGGCAAGGCGCATCTGGCAGTGAGCCCAGGGTTGGTGCACTGGCTGTGTTGCAGGCTGGCGGCGGGCAAGTATGGATACACTAACCAGCCGATTATGTGCTCACTCTGGTGCCTGTGCACGACGCAGGAGACAGATGTGGCGCCGGCTGCACTGGCGGAGGTCATGCAGCCAGAGAATCTGTGGCATGTGTTGGCCATGTTTGTCTCTGACGACGACGCTGACGCGCGCTACTGGAGTATAGCGCTGATCAGCCATGTGTCAATGCCAGTATTGCCACACCGGTAGATTATTCGCAGTCCACTGCCCCAGGCCATGGCCAGTGTGGCCAAGGCGCTGATGCCAGACTCCCGTCTGACGCTGATGCCTGAGATGGCCAGCGTTATTTTGCCCCTGTGTCATTCGATTGATGTGGCGCCAATGATGGCCAAGTGTCCGACGATTGCAACCATTTGTGTCAGGCTACTTATGGCTGACGCCGAGTCGGTGCATGTATCTTGGTCATAATGGCCGTCATCAATGCTACAGTGATGTCGCGCGGCTTTCTGCAGCTGCTGATGGCTGACGACGGAATTAAAGTACAGCGGGTCAAACTGGCATTGGCCAATGGCACTAGCAGCAGTCCAACGCAGAGTTACGCGGCAAAAGGCCTGGTTGCGCTGATGTACGCCGGGCAGGTGGAGGCCAGGGACGTTGTATGCAATGTGCTGGCCCTGCTTCTGTGGCAGATGGAGTGCATGTATTTGAATATTTTGGAGCTGGCGTTCTATCCCGTCGGTGACAGCGACAAAGCATTGGGTGAGATCGTGCCAAAGAGAACTAGGTTGGGTCAGCAGATGAACGCTGCCTTGGTGCTGTTCTCTGCAATGCAGGTTGTTGCTGCGCAGCAGGGAATGTGGATGGGTGCCGGCGTGCTTGTTGTGTTTGACGTACTCGGATACTTCCAGATGGGGTTGCTTGGCCAGCTGGCTGCCTACATTCAGTACTCGTGTGGGGTGGACACAGATCCCATGAAGAGCCTGAGCATCTGGAGCAGTGCTGTGAATATGGGCGTTGATGTGGTGGTTGCGTCGTACTACGTGGTTGTTGGTGAGGAAGACGACACGCACTGTCACGCGTGCAGAAGACCTGTGAAGGTGTCGCAGAAGCATAAAACTCACATGGAGGACATCAGCAGCGAGCACCTGTGCTTCAGCACAGTGAGGAAAGGTTGAAGGCTGGACATGATGTATATCAATAACTTGAGAGCAGCCAGCATCGGTGGGGATTCTCCTTGGGGCTGCGCAACACGCGGCTGCGCAGTCTGCTGCCAATGCTCTAGATGCTGATGGGTGTGCTGGCAGACTCACTGATGGTGGCCGGGCTTGGGATGCAGTCGCCGGAGACCATCCAGTGCCTGCTCTATCTAATGTGCATCCTTGGCTGCGAGCTGGCGCTGGTGCTGCATGGCATGTATTTGCATGCCTTGGCTGCTATCAACGTGTGTACACTGTGCCGCAGGGATGCGTATGTGGGCTAAGTACCTACGCTGAGAGCCAATGTCGGTTGCTGACTTGGCGGGTGATGTGGAAGAGCAATAGAAGTGCTTTATGGATGAGCTGGGGTGAGACAGCAGCAGTTGCTGGAGGGGTCGGGCGTGTGCTTTGATGACTGCGGAGTATCTGCAGCCAAGTATTTTGATAAGTTCCTTGAGGTTGAGCTGCTGACTGTTGCGCAGTTTGGCGAATTTTACGCACAGCCCACGCTTGATCGGTGTGCAGCTGGGTGGCAGACAGGCACTGATATGTTTGCCTCGGCTGGTAATGATCAGGGCGTCAATAGCTTTGGTAATGTCGGGCTAGTCGTGAACCACTCAGGGCTGCGCGGTACTGCCATTGACTGCAAGGTCACAGAGGTGCCGAAGCCGGTGCCTGCCGCGGATATCTTGTTTTCCCACCTCAGGATCAAGCCATCCTCTGCTGCTGCTGCAATTGCTGATAGTGTTGCTGCCTTGGCAGATGAGCCCCACTTGTTGTACTTGCCATAGTGCCCATCGTTTACTGTGCTTCTCAGCGGCAAAACAGTATGGAACTCAAGCTGGAATTTTGAGTCCGTCGTGGTCACGACTTATATCTGGGAGAATGCTAGTGGCAAGCACAGTTTTCATGTGCGCCTGTTTACTGGCCAGCTGATGCAGGTCGGATGGTGCTTGGACCAGTGTAGGGTTTTCCCTGAGGGTGGTGAGAGTGTCAGGTATGATCTCCAGAGTATCTCCTATGACGGCATGCAGATATGCAAATGGTATGTATGGTACAGCGACAGTGACTGCAATATCGCTGGCCCTAGGCAAGCACAGCAATCAGCATAATGAAAAGTGGAAGGCCGGGGATGTTATTGGCACATTAATTAATTTGGACTGTGGCAGTGTTGTGTTTTATAGCAACAGACAGTCGACGGCTAAGGAATTTGAAAGGGGCGTGAGTGAGTTTGACGCTGTGGACAAATGCAGGTGGTGGTTCCTTGCTGTCTCGCTTGCATCAGAACAAGGGCTGGTTTTTTTGAAGCCTGATGTCAAAGAGAAAGTTTTGCTGTTGGCCACAGTTTTCCAATTGGCATTCTGAGTGGGAAATGACTGTTGATTGAGCTAACATTCTTGCTGCAATGCTGTGTCCATTACTAGAGACATTATTGGCAATGTTGAAACGCTTGCCAAGGATTGTGTATATTGAAAATAAGCATGTGCAAAATGTGAACTAAGATTGTCTGACTAAATTTTTTGTTGAAAGCCTGCTGAAAAAAAACAAATTCTCAAAGTATTGTAAAGGATGCTACTAAACTGGCAAAGGTACTTAAAAATGCCAAACTCAAAATGACACTTGTCTTAAAAATAGAAACTACCATGCATCTATTAAAATAGTATTTTACCATGTAAATTTTGAACACATATTTAGACTGTTTTAAACTAATTATTTGCAATGCCATTGAAATGTGCGCTGTAGCAACCATTGTTGCTTTAATATTTTAAACCGAGTAGTTCTGCAAACTTGCAATTGTATTTTATTAGCTGGTCGTGATCAACTGGTTAGCTAGTCTTGGTTGTTTAGCCAGACAAACACTCAATTTATAGTCACATAGTGACACATATCACATAGGTGTACTGCCCCATCTCATCAGTGCATAGCGCCTTTACAAGACACAATTATATATACATAGTGTTTATCTCTTCACGTTCACCGAACATTCATAGAACTTGGATTTCAAGATGAAAATTGAATATTATTTTGAAACGAATTAAATGAAAAATTAGAAAGCACTGAGCGCGTACCAAACAACGCCTCTTGTGGGGGGGGGCAATTATACTAGAGGTTTTAGATTCTACTGCTTGATAAAATGACAAATGTCTTCTTTCAGCTCCTGCCAGCCATGTCTGATATATAGGTTCCAGTTTCTTTATCCTGATAGTGGGCGTCCATACACATTTTAAGTTTCTCCAATATGTAACCTAGTGGTGCTGGATACACCTGGAGGCTGTTGAGTATTTCAGCCAAGTGATCTGCGGCTGGGCCCCAAAAACCCCATTGAAAGCCCTCTCTCACATTCAGAATTTCGCGCTCCCATTATGGACACATGAACAAATGGACCTGTGTCTCAATTGGTCTGACAGCCAGGCGATGGAGCATAGACGTATCTCTGGTTTAGGGTATGCGTCGGGGGTACCATTCTCGCTGTCTGTTTGTTGCAGGCAGTGAGCGGAGGAGCAGCCTTAATGCAAAGAAGCGACGGATGGGGTTCCTCGTATTGGTGATGCGCCAGGCATTCTTATGATACCGATTGCCTTTTCTATCCATCACCATATACATCGCCCGGAGGATGGTGGTGACTGTCGTGGATGAGGACTTTGGTAGCTGTTCAGGGGCCAGAGGCAGTGGTGATAGTACTGTTGCCATTGTCACTGCAGGTACTGTATTTGGCGTCAGTACTGTTGCTATTGCTCCTTATGATGCCTCTGCCGGTGCTGCTGCCAATCTCTCTGCGTGAAGAATTACCTGCAAAATGTTTTTCTAATAACTTGCCGAGGGTTATAGGTCCACAATTCGTCCCCACAAGGGGTGTTGTTTGGTACGCGTTTGGGGTTTTCTTATTTTTCCCACTTAATTCATCCCACAATAATATTTATTATTCATTACATTTTTTCATTTAATCCGTTCTGCAATAATATTTAATTATCATTACATTCTTATTTTATTCGCTTAATTCGTTCGACAATAGTATTCAATCATCCTCATTTACATTATTTGATCAATTTTTTATGTACTTTTAATACTATCTATTTATATTCAAAAAAACATATTCACATGGCTTCCGCAGGTAGTTCAGTGAACGCTGAAGCAGCATCCCAATTCTGGACATACTTCCAATCGCAAAAACAAACAATCCTCGGTGAATCCGCCAAATCCCACGATATATCCCATCTTATACGCGAATTAGACAGCAAACTGCGCGAAGCCTTTATATATCTTCCACCGTACGACCAAAAACAATTTACAAAAGACATTGATGTACTACGCGCACTCTTACATAAAAAACACACGACATTGGGAAATAATAATGTTGGAAATGGGGGAGGTGGTGGTAAAAGTGGGTTCAAGTTTAAATCGGCTTCTGCTGTTAGCCGATCGACCATAGTGCGTCCGCCTGCGGTTATAAAGAGTGAGCGTTTAGTTACGCCTGATAGAGGCAACGGCACCGACAGCGGCGGCAGTGGTGGAGGTGGTAGTGGGGAGGAGGGATCATTTGTGTTTAGTGGAATTGACAGCAAATGGATTGTGGCCAGTCCTTGTAGCAACAATAGCGTGCAAACAGATTGCGAACTACAGGATATATCCAACAGTATCGTGGACTTACGCCCGATCAGCAATACCCTGCGAGCGCTGAATTGCCACCGGATAACAAACACTCTTATAATCTGCCATGCCTTAGCGGGCTCCGCCACCATTCGAGACTCCCACCGATGCACAGTAGTCCTAGGAGTGAGGCAGTTTCGATTGGAGAACTCTGAGCTTGTCCATGTGCTTTTGCATTGCGTGAGTCATCCGATTATTGAACGGTCAAAGGGTGTGCGGTTTGCGGAGTTTCCTAGCGTGTTACAGTCGGAGTCTATGATTCATGGGATGGATGTGGCTGGGTTGCGTGGGTTGGAGAATATGTTTGATAGGGTGGATGATTTCAATTGGCTTAGGAGGCAGGCGTCGCCGAACTGGCGCGTCCATGCGGGGATGGCCGACGACGGGATGTGGTCGCTGGTCGATGACGAAAGCAAGCCGCGCGAACGCGTGCTCGATGGACTGCTTCCTCAAGTTGAATCCTCGGCAAACTGATGCATGCATTGCTCTAGTATATCAATTGGATTGAATTGATATTTGTTATTAAAAATAGAAATGTTATCTAAAGTCTCCAGTGTCTATATATATTTTTTTCAAGCACAAGCATTGAGTGGTTTTTTGTCACTAGCAGCGTCAAATATTCTTGCCACCATCCACCGCGTCGTCATCCTCATTGTCCCCATCCTCATCGTCAGTTCCATCAGAGTCCTCGTCCTTCAGGAAAAAGTCCATATTATCCTCTCCCGCAGCAGCACCATCAGTCTCCTCAAGAATATTGTCAACTAGCATCTCATCATCATCAAACGACGTGTGCGTCTTGACAGTATCCGAAGTGTTAGGTGTGACAGCCAGCTGCGAGCGACTGCCATTAGAAGATATGCTAGCCCGGTTGCCTGCACTAGCAGGAGCAGCAGCAGCGGTTGCTGCCAACTTGTCGTTAGGGGCATTGGCAGATCTAGCAGAGGCAGACGACAAGCGATTGAACGCACTGGTTGGGGTGTCCAAAGACGCCCTGGGAGACACTACGGATGCCGCCGCCGCCACAGCCGCCAATGCAGCTGTCGCAGAAGACGGTGCCACAGCAGTGGCATTAGCCGACGCACCGCTGGTCAAGTGGGCCTGATCCATATCATGCGCCAATTGACTGTCCTCATAAGCAATATCCCCCTTGTTCGGCCTAACGCTAAGCTTAACTGGCCGTTGCACATCAATCCCGCCCAAGAGCTCGTCATAGTGCTCAATCAAGTCCGTGGCAAAAATCTGCGGCACCCTGCTGACGCTGACGCCGACAATCTCCCTGCCGCGCAGAATAACAGGGCCGAGTCTCATACTGATATCCCGGATAAAGGCCTTGCGGGCCTCCGCATCCGTATCGTCCTTGACCTGCTCGCTAAGCGTAAAGAACAGGGTCTGCAGGGTCTTCAAGTGCGCGTAACTGACGCCCTTGAGCAAACCCCTAATGGTATCCAGGGTATCCTCTGTGCTCTTCTCGCTGGCGGAACTGTACAGGGCCCTCAGCGGGCCGTGCAGCTCCTCGGGGCAAAGAGGCATAGGCAATTCGAGAAAGTACAAGACAAGCACGTTGGCGACCACGGGCAGCTCGAACTGCCGCAGCTGCTTCAGAGTTACCTTGGATCCGCGGTTTACCGAGTTGCGCATCTCGTGGATATTACGCAGCAGCGCGCGCGTAGTCCACACCTTGTATCTGTCCTCGGGCGCCATATCGAGCGTGGCCTTCCTGATGGCACTGAGGGCCTTGGCCGGGAACAGCGGGATATCCTTGTGTGAGACCAAGAGCTGTTCATCTAGCGACACGCCGAAGATCTGGTACTCTGCGGGGCTCAAGCCAAAGGGCCGGAAGATAATCGGCCGCGGGGTGAAACGACCAGTGCCGTAGTGCTCGATGGTCCACTGGATGTCCTGCTGCGGCTTAAGGCTCTCCTCGTAAACTTCCAGGCGGTCACCGATGGCCAGCTCGGCCTGCACAGGCATCTTGTGGATGCGCGCGTACTCGGCCAACATCGTCTTAACGTTGATCAGGCGGTTGAGCTCCCACACCTCCATGGTGTCCAGGTAGTTGATCAGCTGCTCCTCCAGATCAGTGCGCACGAGTTCGGCGCGCACCACCGAGTCGCGGTACACCTGGCTAGCCTCGTCAGCCTCCCTCTGCGCGCGCTCATAGGACATGGCGGCGCGGCCAAGGTTAGTGCTGGTGCGGTTGCTCAGCGGCTGGTCGTCGTCGCTGTCGTAATCATCGTCACTCTGGAAGTCCAGCGCCGGCTTCTTCCATTGGTAGTAGCCGTTAGCTCGCGACTGGAACTGCGACCCACGGCCCATGAAGCGCAGGTAGCCCTGGTCCATCATGCTCTGGCCGACCGACACAGCGTCGGCCTCGTTGCGCACCACCGTCGGGTAGTTCGTGCACCACCAGCCAGCCAGGCTCTCGCCGCTGATCAGACCGCGGAACGTCCCGAGGATGCCAAACTTGACGTCGTGCTGCGGCACCTCCTTCTGCATGCGCTGAAGCATCACGTGGAACTCATGCCTGGTCAGCGCAATGTTGCCCAGCAGGATGCTCGCCACGTCCAGCGCGCCGCCGTGCGCCGGCGGCAGCGGCGACGTAATGCTGCTGCGCGTCAGCAGAAAGCGCTGCGCAGCCTCATTGTCGACTGGCGGCTGAGTGGCGGACACAGCGGCGGCGGCGGCGGCAGCGTCGGCCTCGGCCGCGAGCACGCCCATGGACAGCCGCGACTTGACCTCGAACTCCGCCGGCGGCTCCTCGCCAGGCGACTGCATGCGCGGGTTCTCCCGCATACGCATCTCCTCGGCCGCCGCAGCCTTCTGCTTGTACACCCGATGGTTGCGGTCAACCTGGCTGAGCTCGCCCGATGCACGCCTTACGGTGTCATCGATGAGTTTCCAAGAGGCGCGTACGCGCGCACGGTGCTCGTTCGAGAAGCTACGCAGGGGGGCGATACACGTGGTTTGCAGCTCCAGCGCCAGATCGGCATGTGCCCCGGCCATTGCCACACACTCGCTTATGAGCCCGCGGAATGCCGTCTTGAGCGTTGCGCCCTCGTCGCGGTCGAAGCCGGCCAATGTTAGTTGTCGCTCGGAGAGTTGCCGAAGGTTCGTCGCGTAGGTCTCTTCTATGGCTGCGCGGTCGCGAAAAAATGAAAGCAGCTCGTCACATTCGGCGGAACCTTGCTCGAGCTTTTCGTACAGGCTTTGGGGGCCTCGCTCGTACCGCGGCTGGTGGCCGGCGCCGGGGTTGTCCCAGAAGGAGTTTTCAAACTTTAGCATTTGCATGTGGAAAAGGCAGGCTAGTAATTAGCAAAAAGCAAAAAATAAAGCAGGAAATTGAAAAATAGAAGGTTAGAATTGAATAGAGTGCTGGGAAAAAAAGAGGAAAAAGGGAAGAGAAAGAGAGGCAAGGGAAGGGTCCAAACTACGCTTTTCTGCTAATGCTAATGTTAATGCTACTGTTGGTGTTGTGATGATGGTGATGGTGGTGATGATGATGATGGCTTTTCTTTTTCTAAGCGTGCCAATCCGCCCTGCCCCATTTTACTTTCTTTGCTTCAGCTATTACGACAACAAACAAACACAAAAAAGAAATAAGCAACAAGAAATTATAAGCAAGGGATACAGATAAAGCAAGAATTCAAAAAAAAATATGCGCCATTCCTTTCAAAAAAACAAGCAAACAAGCCAGAATAAAAAAAAGTCTATTATCATAAAAACCTCTATTTAAAGTCATTTATTTCAGTCATGGCGGCGTCTCTTTGCGCGCGCTAGCCGCTCCGATCTCTTCATAGTGTGTTTCTTGCTGGTCTGAATAAGATAAGGGTTAATTCCAAGTCTGAACTTATTAGCCCACATCAAAATCCACTTGCGGTGCTTGGGTCCGATTCCCAAATCATGCTTCATCGTGCTGGAATTGGCCCTGAACAGGTGGTCCCAGTCCTTGAATTTGTCTGTGAACTTTTCGCAACCGCGGCCGATCGCCTTGAGGAACGGCTCCGGGCTGTCAAACTGGCCTACAGATTAAAAAAATAATGATAGTGGTGTGTAGGCTTTTTTTTGAGCATGTGTACAAAGGCTATAAAGAACTAAAGCGTAATTGTTGATGAATATGAGGATGGTTGGTTTTATTCTTTACCTCGCGGCCGGGGAATTGCCACTTTTTGTGTGATTGCCGTTGCTGTTGCTGCTGCCACGGGTGCTGCCTCGGTGCTCATACCGCGCACAAGCGACATGCGCAGTGCAGTTGTGCAAGTCAAACGCGCCAAAAAAGACATTATTTTTTCTTTGTGAATCGCAAATACAATAAAAAAATAAAAGTGTATATAGAAATTCAATAAAGAAATGAAAAAAACGAAAATTATCGTGTTTGAATATTTTTTTGTAGCTTGATTCAAGGTTTGAGCCGATATGATTGATAATAGAAAAGAAGGGGGAGAAATCGAACTGAGTTTTTGGAGCCGCCAAATCGAGTCGATCACAAAATTAAAAATTAAAGAGTGATGAAGCGCAGCCACAAATTATTGACATTTAAAAAGGAATCAATTTTTTTTATTCCTTTACTTCTTTTTACACCATTGTGGCAAAAAACGTTTCAATATTTTCTTAAAAGCCATGTTTTTTATATAAAAAAGGAGCACAAGTTGCTTTGTGCAAAATAGACAAAAATAAAAAAGAGAAAACAATAGTAAAATGAGCCTTTATATGCTTCCTTAATCCAATTTTTGTTCTTTTTGAAAACCCGTTTTCATTTGTAAAAAAATGGACTCCGCAATGATGATGCATTTGATCAACTATAGTGCTGATATCAACAGGCGTTATAATGCGCAATTTTCTTCAAACCTCTCCGCCACCTTTTCCATTTACTTTAGTCATTCACTTTCCTATATATTTTCCAAATTATCTCATAAAAACATTTATTTACATACACAAACATACACATAGACAATCAACCACACAGAAATGGGATTTCTCGACATCTTCTATCCCAGCACTTTGCGTTCTCGGCAGCCTCATTACCGCAAAAGCTGCAACTGCAGCGACTGCATCCAGCGCGCACACAGCTACGGCGAACTCTGGCGGCACAAAACCCCACTGTGCACCTGCTGCGACTGCATGGCCAAAGCCGGCCAAAACATCCCACACAACCACAGTACCTACGCACACACCCACGCCAACACCCACACGTGCACGGCCCAGGCAGGGCATTATTACCCAGGCACCACTGGAAGCACCAATCATGTGCAGTCAATGCCGCCGCCAAGATACTCGTTGATGCCGGAGACTACGCATAAGGTGGATGTGTTTTGCCCGGCTAAGGCCTATGCTACACCGCTGGCATTGGCTGCCCCGCATGTGCCGCACCTGTGCTGTCCCAGCGGCGGAGTATCTGCCAATGGCCAGCATGTGTGCACACGGGGGCCGCCGCCGCCGGTTGCGCATGGGTACAACGAGCAGATGTACGTGAGTATGCCTGGTAGCTACCGGCCGTGTAACCGATAACTAACCAAAAAGTTACAAATTAACTATTTTTTTCTGTCTGGACAAATATGGAATATATATGTATATAAAAAACCCCCCCCACGCCCACTTCATACACAAGTTTTATACGAGGTTGACGTTGCCTTTTCCTTTCTTCTTGTTCTTGGCTGGTTTCTTGGACACCTTCTGTGCCGGAGGCTTCGCCACCAGCGGCAGCTCCTCCTCCGGCTCCTCTCCGCCAGGCCCCATCCCGGGCAGCACCGGCATCGCTCCTGAATCAATCAGCTCCTGCAAGCTCGGCTCCCTATCCCTGGGCACCACCACCAGCTTCATTTTCTCCGCTACCACCTCCATCAGCCTCTTCCTCGACGCCACATCCGGCCTTGCAAGCCTCCCCTGGTCATCAAACAGCTGCACCCGCGCTCTCCCAGGATTGAAAAAATCCCTCGGATGCGTCTTCCCAGGCTCATAGCAGACATTAAACCCAGCCTGCTTCACAGCCACAGAAAGCTGCCGCCCGTGCGGCGCAAATATCGCTTGCGAAAGTGGCACTCGCCGACCCTTGGGAATTGACCGGGATTTGTCAAAGTAGAGGGGGTAGAGGCAGATCCATTTTTTAAACTGCGACGCGTCTTCGACTATACGGGCACCATCGGCGGTGGTTTGCCCGATGCGCACGGCGTTTGGTGGCAGGGCCCGGGGAGGGGGTGTGGGCAGCTGTGGGGGGTGCGCGAGGATGGCCGGGTAGGGCGTGGGCGCTTCGGGAAGTGGGAAGTCCATGTCGTCGACGTCCAAGTCCTCGACTGTCGCTGCAAACCGAGTTGAAGAGCTCATCTTCCAAAATAGAAATGAAATGAAATTGAAGAAATTGAAGAAAAAGCGTCGTAGATTTAAAGCAATAAAAACAGAAAAGGAAACCAGAAGAAAGAGAGGAGAAGGAGAAAGCCCAAGCGAGCGGGAAAGCGTGAAAGTGTGAGAGTGTAAAATCAAGGCGGATCACGATCAACTCATCTCACTACAAAATGAACAGGCCACGCATGCACCCAAACCTCAAGCCGCAAACCTAAATCAAAGGCACCCTTTGTCAAATCGTGGCCAGCATGTTCTCGGCCAGCCGAGCGATGCTCTGGAGCTCTCTGCGCGCCTTCTCTGCATCCGGCGTGGCACACCCAGGCAGGCCAGGTGGCATCCCAAGGCTGGCGTGCTTGAGCGCCGCGTGCGCGTCTCTGAGCCCAGCCAGCAGCGCAGCCAAATCCGCTGGATTCGCTGCACCAGCCGCTGCATCAACAGACACCGCAGCAGCAGCAGCAGGAATGCCCTGGACGCCCAGCCCAGAAACCTCATCTGCGGCTGCCACCGGCTGCGTGGCCATACTCATATGCAACCCCCCCTCCGCCTCCGCCTCCGCCTCGGCCACTGCCGCCCGGATATCACTGTAGTTCTCAACAAACGTGCGGAACGCAGCAACGTCCCGAATGCGGCTGTCCCCGGCGCCCTCCAGCACAACCACCGGATCCCCAGCCGCAACCACCGACCTTGCAGCGTTGTAATCCCTCTGCACCGCCTCCTCCCACCGCACCAGCAGCGCAGAGACCTCCGGCGCACCGCCCCCGCGGTGCTGCTGCCCCAGCAGCGCCAGCCTGCAGAGCATGTCGTGCGCCGCCAGCTTCGCATACAGCCGGACGCGGCGGTCGATTCCGCGGCAGACGCAATTGCGGATAACCTCGAGCAGCGCCAAGCTGGCAACCAGCAAATCCCCAGCATGCACGCCCGTCTGTAACTTAATCTCGCTGATCTCCAGATCAAGCGCACCCATCCATTCGTCGAATGGCAGCTGCTGCTGCTGCTGGCTGCCAGGCCCCTTTAGGTCGCCGGCGGGGGGGTCTCGGCGGCGGAAAAGCGCGGCAAACACTGCGTCGGACTCAGGCACCAGCCTGGCAATAATGCGCAGCGCTGTGGTGGCGCATGGCGGCCACGCAGTGGCAACCGAGTTCAGCACGGGCCTCAGCTGGCTGCAGCCGCTGTCCACAAGCCACCGAGCGCCCGAGTCCACTTTGGCGGCGCCCCAAATGCACCTGAGAATCTCATGCTCCTTTGCATACTCGTCCGCCCTCCGTGCCGCCCTAGAGCGCTCGTTCAACTGTGCCAAGTGCGCCAGCAGCAGGCGCAAGCCCCCGTCGGCCACAAAGGCGTTGATCTGCTGGACGCTTTGGTACAGAATATCCCGCCGCAACCGCTCCACCCTCGCAAGCGGCAACGACTGCGTTGTGCAGCGGGCTAGCGCCGCAAGATGGTCGGAAAGAGCTGCCGCCCCGGCGGCCGGCGTGTTTTGCTTGATGCGGTGTGTGTGCAGGATCTGGAGCTTGCTTTCGCGTGGTAGCTGCTGCATTGCTTGGCGCTGGTCGCCGTGGACCCCGAGATCGTCCATGATCATGCCCAGGTCCTCGTCCAGCTGCCCCGGGTACAGTGCGTAGAGCGGCGAGCCTGGTTGCGATAAGAGCGCTGAGTGCGGCCGCTGTGCTTGCGAGTGCCGCTGCGTTGCTGCTATACTAGGGTGTGCGGCTGCTGAGTGGTTGCGGGGCCGCGACTGAGGCGGCGGCGGCGGTGTAGAGAGCGGCGATCTGGTTCTGGGCGTTGTTGCAGAGAGCGTGTCGGTGCTGGTGCTGGCTGAAGCGGATGAAGTGCCTGAGTCGAGCTGGTCAAAGTTGTCGCTGGACTTTGTGCTTCTTTTGAGCGAAAATGGAAGACGCATTATTCAAAAACAAAATTGTATTTTTAGAGGGGAAATAAATTTGTAGGAAAATTGAAAAAGGAATAAATGGCGGCTTGTCCGCAGGCTTTGAGATATATACTCACTGCGCTGCTATGAGCTCATTTATACCTCCTTTCTCAAAATAAAACCAAGCAGCACATAAACAGACATAAACAACCATGCGTGCATGCACCACGACACGAGAATACAACTATCAGGGAGGAACAGAATGACGCAACTAGTCAATTAAGGGAAATCGATAACATTCCAAATACAACAAAACATAAGCACTAACGAGCTCAAAATGGCTTTTAAATCGGACTTGTCAAAAAAAGGTTGGTGCGAATCGGAAGGGCAATCATTTCCTTTCCCCAAATAAAAAACAACAAGGCCATTTCCTTCTTTTCAAAGACTCGGCTGCTGCTGAGCTTGGATGGTCTGCAACAGCCGAATGCAATGAAACCCGCCGGACTCGGCCTTCCGCATAACAAGCCTATGCAGCGGGCCAGCCCCAGCCTCACAAAAAAGATCCCCGTCACCACCACCCATTCGCTGCTCATACGCCTTGTCGCCAGGCAGCAGCGCAACGGTCATCCCATCACTACGCCCGCAAAGCACCGGCTCCACCGCGCGTCTATTGTCGCCCACCTGCGCGGCCAAAGCCTGCCACCTGCGCACCCTTCCCAGCTCACTCAGCATGTAGAATTGGGGAGGAAACAGGGGCAATTTCCCCTGCATATTCGCCTGCAGCGCCTCATCCGGCTGCACCCATGCGACCTGCACCACCTCGGATTCCTGCACCCTCACTCGGCGCAGCTGATCCACCACACGCCTGCTTTGCTCGTTGTTGCCAATGTTGACTATGAAAAAACTTGTGTCAAATCTTTTTTTCTGCGCCCTCGGCGTCACCCATCGCCCGACACCCTGCGGATCCAAAAACCGCACACCCGAGGTGCACATTTCATGGAAGCTTTTCCCGCGAGTAATGATGGAGTCTGGCGGCAATGTGTCAGTAAGCAGGAGCCCGGTTTCTTCGAATGTCTCTCGCAGTGCGCAGATTTGCAATGCGCTCAGAGATGAGGTATTTTGGCAGGTGTCCTGTGGTTCTTCGAGGCCGCCGGGAAATACGTGAGCGCCTTCAAAACTGCCTGTGCTGACGCGCTTCACCATTAGGACGCCGTAGTTGTGCAAGGATTTGCTGCTCAGGGATGAGATCATGCTGCTTGGAATGGCAGAGAGGGGCGCTGTGACAATAAGCGATGCTGAGGCGCGTGGAAACATAATGTAAAGGTGAATATGGAGCAAAGTAAATTAATAAAAAGTGGTTTATAATTTATCAATTAGAGAAAAGTGAAAGAAAAATTGGGGGTCTTTGGTATATGCATGCTGATGTTTACTTTTACTTGGACAGCCAGTCAGGTAAAAAAAAGTTACATTCAAGTACCTCGCACGTGATATGATATATCGTGGTAACCAATAAGCTAAAAATGATATTATATACAATTACGGCTCGGTTCAAGCCGGAAAATATCACGCGACACTGCTCCAAGAGAGTCGCAGAACTTGAAACAATAATGGTGAGAGAATAGGGGGGTGTAGAGCTTCAGCCAATAATACACCCCCACCCCCCCTTCCCCTCCTCCAAAATGATATGCAGAGGAGGAAAAAAACGAAGCATCACGTGGACCTCCCCAATCACAATTTTTACTTTACTGAGCAAGAAAGAAGAAAGAACGCGTTTTCAGTGTTTTTTATTTTAGGAACCCAGTACTTCCACCCACCCCCCCTGTTATTTTTTTCCATTTTTTTCCTCAACTTTTTTTAAATTTTATTTTCTATACTCTTAGATTCTATCGGCTAGAAACCCCCCGAAACCAACCCCCCCCCTTTCTTTTCATTTTGTCGTTTCCTTTTAGCCATTTTTCTTTTATTTCATCTTCTGTTGCTTTGGTAGCGGTCCCCTCCCCATTGGTATTTTGGTTATCGGTCCTCTCAAAGAACCGAATAGGAGGAAGAGGACCCTTGCATTTTTATTTTAATAGTCATTTTTATTTTAGCTAGATAATAAGTCTTTTGCTTTTTTTGGTCAAATTCAAAAACCAACAGCAGCTTTCTCCCCCCTTTTAACCCTCTTCGAGTCAAGGAAATAGGAAATAAAAAAGCGGGGACGCGTTCGTCACAAGCTCTGAATAAAAAAATATAAATGTAAGCCACCCATCAAATCACAATTAATTTGCTATATCACACGCACACACACTATCTCGTCCTCTTAATTGCCTTCTTTTCTTTCTATCTGCAAGATATGCTTTCTCATCTAGCCTGCAGAAAGATAGAGAGAGAGAATGACACAAAAATAAATAAACAAAAACCTGCGTTATTTGTTTATTTTATACACCCTGGCACTTCCGCGTTCAAACAAATAAATGACCACTAATATTTTGTTTTGTTTTCCTACACTTTGTCGATTTATTATTGTTTGCACTGTTACGTAGTAACCACCTCTCCCAACCCAAACACACACACACAGCAGCCGCCGCAGCCGCAAAAACCATACAATAAAGGAGGAAGAATCGGAGGACACATCAGATCAGAAAGATAGACAACACATCTTGGCACAATGTCAACCGACAAGTGCACGCTCATCCCAGAGCAACTCTTCGAGTCGCAAGAGGCCTTCATAATGCACGTCAAGCGATACGCGATGGAAAACGGATTCAACGTGCGGCTGGACGACGTCGAGCGGGACAAAGGCGGGCTGATCCGCAAGCGCGACATCGTATGCTCTTCAGAGGGCGCGCCGCGCAGCAAAGACTCGCTGAAGCGCGAGGGCAGCCCTGACAGATTTTCGGACGTCGAGGGCAGCGAGCTAATGACGCCGTCGAGACCCGGGATCGCACACTCAGGCGTCCACCGACGCAAAAGCATGAAGACCGGGTGCCGGTGGCTGGCGCGCGCCTCGCGGCAGTCCTCGGGCATGTGGAAGATCATTATGCTGCGGCTCGAGCACAACCACGAGCTGGTCACCCGGTACGAGCTGGCAATGGTCGCGAACTCAACTGTGCGGTCCGGCGACATCGACAGTGTATCGGCGGCTGCCCTGGCTGCGCGTGGCGCCCTGGAGGGTGGCTCGTACTGCGGCCCGTCGGTAGAATTCAAGAACTTGTTTTTGCAGATGAGCGCTGCCTGTGCTGACCTTTGCTGGGCCGCTGCCAGGCACCCTGAGACCATCGCTGAGGTTATGAGCGAGATCCGCCGCCTGCACGCGCACCTGGAGAAGCACCAGAGCTCGGCGGACGGGTACGATGCAGCGGCAGACGCCCCCCTGGGAACCCGGGCGCACTCGACTCTGCCAGCGATTTCAGAAAACGGCGATGTCGATGCTGACTCAGAGAGCGCCCGGATGGACGACGGGTCGCTGGTCATGATGGGTGGCCAGCCCAACGGGCCAATGCCCGGCCATATCATCAACCATTCGCCGCCGCAGCCGTCACATTTCCTGGGCGTGCCGCATTTGATCTCCCAGATCGATGCCACTATAGCCGAGTCACCGGTGCAGATCCTTGCCAGGTCGCAGAACCGACATGTGCAGGACCACTCGCCGGAACTGAATACCGCTCCTGGCAGCTTTTCTGCTGCTTCTGCGGCTGCCGCTGCCACGGCTGCTGCCACGGCGGCTGCTGCGGCTGCAGCTACTTCCACAATGAATGTGGAATCGGAGGCTGCAAATTCCCCCGTACTGGCCTCTATGCAGGTACCGGTTGTGCCTGCAGGCACTGCCGGTGGCGCGGTCAAGAGGTCCCGAGGTCGACCGCGAAAAAACCCAATGGTCGCCGATGGAAAATCATCCTCGAAAACCAAGGCGCAGCAAAGACGCGACCAACAACAGCAACAACAGCAGCAGCAACAGCGGGATATATTGCAACAACGTGAACAGCATCAGCAGCAGCAGCAACACCAGCAGCAGCAACACCAGCAGCAACCGCAGCATGCTCAACTCAAGCCCACGCCTACACCTGCCGACCTGGCATCCTTGTCTCACAAGATAATTTCGCAGAACGCTGCTTCTTCGCCAGCCAATATGCAACGCCCCTTGAACTCAGCCCTTGCCCTGCCACCGCAGTCCTCCTTGCAGGTGCATTCACATCAGACTATTCGTGCCCAAATGCTTGGAAGTGGGGGTGGAGGTGGAGGCTCTGGTGTGCCCTCCCTGTTGGATCCTCGACCGCATGGTGCCGGCAGCAGTGTCCAGCGTCAGCCGCAGGCACCGCAGCCGCAACCGCAGCAGTCACCGACATTTTTTCTCGGCGCCGCCGAGGGAACCGGCTATTCAGAACACTCAGCAGCTGCAGAACCACCAGCAACAACAACAAATGTGGAACATTCAACAACAGCAGCAGCAGCAGCAACGGACGCCTATGCAAATGTCGCAGAGGGTCTGGGAAAATCCTCATACCACCAGTTTGCTCAAAAACCCACCGGCTACTCAACCACCAACAGGGCAGCAACTACCTCCACCTCAGCAGCAGCAACAGCAGGCCTTCATCAACATGCAGCAGCAACAGCAGCAAAATCAGCAACAACAGCATACGCAACAAATGCACATGCAATTACAAACTTACGACGCAGCGGCATACCATCACCAACAACAACAACCTCAGCAACAATTCCATCAACAGCAGCAGCAACAGCAGTCTCAGTATCACGCTCAGCAGCAATATCAGCAATATCCGACTCTGCCGCGACTACGTCCTCCGCAACCGCAGTAGATGCTGCTACCACAGCTGCCGTTGCTGCTTCCGCTGATGTGGATTCTGCGTTTGTCAGTAGACAGAGGCCCTTGGCTACTGCAGGCAGAGATCATGGTCAGACCACTTCATTCCCGAGTGTCCCTTATAACTCATATCATCATTACTCGCAGCAACAACAGCACCAGAAGCAGCAGCAGCAGAGGCAGGAATCAATATCCCATAGGCAGCAGCACCCTCAGCAACACCAACAGCACCCTCAGCAACAGCTTTTCCAGCAGCAGCATCACCAAATGTTTCATCTGAATCCTGCTATGCAAACTGCTCATATGGGAAGAGAGGCTGCTTCTACAGCGCAGTTTAATTCGTATTTGCTCATGACCCGCAACCAACCACAGCAGCAAACACAGACGCAACAGCAGCAGCAGCAGCAGACGCAGGATAATTTGGCCAGTGGTGTCTCTCATCAGTCTCCACCCATGGGTGCAATGTCTGTCTTGCCGCCTATGGCTCATGGCAATGGGGTGCTTAATGGTACTGCGAAACGCTTTGATGAGCTTCAGCTGAACCAGTATCACAATATGAGTAACTGGCAGATATGATAGTCCGGGGAATTGTCTGTTGAGTTTTGAGTTGAGATTCATTTTCTCTTTTTTTTATTGTTTATTTTTCTTTTAACATATTTTGTTCACCTAATTGAAGTTTTATATTTACACATACATATAGTCTATATTTTTCATATTGTTGAATAATGATAATTGTAAGTATTTAAAAATAAAAAGATGAAAATTGAGTGTAAAATAAGTGTAGAAAGAAATCAATATATCTAAATACTATGTGGTTCAAGAAAAGATGAGGCTCGCCGCGATATCCAAATTACCACCAGCAGCTTCGAGGTTGCGAATGGCTTCCTGGCGGCTGACACCCAGATCCATCAGGGCCTTTATAGACGACTCTGAAAACTGAGTCTGCTGCTGCTGTTGCTGAGCCTGCCGCGGGCTCTGGGCTTGAATCTGCTGCTGAATCTGCTGCTGCTTCTGCTGGTACTCCTGCCTCTGGGCAATATCCGACACTGCAGCGCCACCCATCAGCGCACCCACACCCGACGTCGACGGGCGCGGAGGCGTAGCAGCCGCCACCCCCGCAGCCTCCGCCCCCGCAGCCGTCGGTGGAACCACCGGTGCAACACCATCTGCTGGATCATCATCATCCAAGCTCTTCGGGATCAAATGCTCCGGCAAAAACTCAATAACATTCTCGTCAATAACCAGGGCATTACGCTTCAAATCAATGCAAGCCAAATGCCTCTTGAGCATATCCAAGCCAAACAAAAGCCCGAGGTGTGCACCCTCCATGACTGTGAATGAGCATAGGAGCTCAAGGCCACCAACGTCCATTCGGGCGTTATGCACGCGGCCGAGAATCTTCGCTCTGCCTACGCCACGGGCCTCGCCAGCAAACCTCGTGTCAATCAGGCGCATAATGCCGCAGCGCTCCGCGCACGAATGACTCATGATTGTCGCTTGGGCGCCCGAGTCCACCAGAGCCTTAATCGGCGTCCCATTGACAATAACACTGATATACAGCATACTGACGGAGGCAAAGGACTCGGGGTTGAGCTCCAGTGCTGTCTCCATGTTCTTCATAACGTTCTCCTGTCTGATCATCTCCTCGATACGCCGCTGGGACTCTACGTCGAAGGGGTCAGCTTCAAGGTTGGCCAGCTCCCGCTGTCTCTCATTCTGTATTGCCTGCTGCTGTTGTTGGAGCACCCCCATGAGACGTGCAAATTCTGAGGGGTTGTTTTGCACCGCTTGCGCTATCTCCGGGTGTGTCTGCCTGAGCTGCTCCATGAGCTGTGGGTTTTGCAAAACTTGTTGGCGGTGGGCTTCCATCTGTGGAGAAAGACCCGAAGAGCCGGTCGCCACCTGCTGCTGTTGATACTGGCCGTTATCTGAAATATAAATCATGCTGTGGTCATCAATCGCGTGTTCTTGTAAGGTCTTTGAATTCCCGTCCAAAGGCCTGCCGTTGTAGTGCAGTCTCTGCCTGTCTGCAGGAATATCAAACTACACTTTTGTCGGAAAAAATGCAAGCATACGGTGTTGTCGCCGTTTAGAGAAAAGGAAGCACATTTTAAAAATAAAAAGAACAGGGGTTCTCGGTATGATGAATATAAGAATGCATAAACAATAAATTGTGACCATTATTTTTTTGTGTGCATTTCGTGTAACAGTGACGTACATTGAGCTCGAGCAGTGCACGGAGGTCGCCGAGCTCGAGAGAGTCGCTGACCTCAAACTCTTCTATCTTGTCGGGCAGCTGAGTAATTGTCAGGCGCATTTTTTAAAAAGTGTCGGATTGTTTTGTTTTTGTTGTTGGAATTTATAATTTAAAAATGCTATTAAAGACAAAAAAGTAGCAAGGAATAAAAAAATTGACAAGAAGCATCTTCCGTCAGAGCAAATAACGACTTTTGAATAGTCACGTGTTATTTTGGTTATTTATGTATCTTTGTTGGGCCAATGACATTCAATCCAAACTTTTCAAAAATTTCAAACTGGTTTTTTTTCACCTCTTTTATTCCTCCTTTTTTCTAGCGGACAGGGGGAGATGCAAAAAAAATTGCTAGCCTTTGCTTTTTCTTTGCCAGCATATAAAACGCGCGCAAAAAGTCGGGGGCGATTCAATTTTTTTGTATTTTGTACATTTATATTTTTTCTCTATTGCTGCAGCTATTTTAATTCTCCTTACAAAAATTTTTCTTGATCACATCTCACCCTTAACTTTATCGTCTACACATATTATCCTTTTGTCACTACATATTATCCTGCGCCGACACGCACGCGTCCAATTCCCAATTCCCAATTTATTTTATTTTATTTTTCATATCTTGCTTATTTCTTTTCAAAGAGTCTGTGTCCATATATCTTCCGTCCTCCAAGGTAACATACATCACGCCGCGCCAGTTCAGCTCCGTCGCCTCCGCCCTAGATTCCAACTCCGTCTTGTCTCTCGCTTTTTTATCTCTTTTCATTTGCATTGGCACTCCGCAATTTGTATTTCCGCCTGTGAACAAATCCCCTCTCATAACATCCCCCCTTATTTCTAACTAAACCCCGTTCTTTTCTCTTATAATATTATTATGCTATAGTCGTCCTCCTCCCCCTCCGCCCACTTTACACCCATACAAGTGAAACCCCTCTCCTGTTCAGACACACATTATAACAAAAATGGAGGCTGCACACTGGCTTCAGGTTCCACGGCGACACGCACCCGCCAAGGTAGTCGACATCCTAGTCAACACTGGCGACCAAATCCAAAGAGACACACCGATTCTGACGTACGAGTACAGAGAAAAATACATGTCGCACAAGCCCGAAGCCCACGACCCGGAGCTAATGAAGGCCCTGCGCAAGAGTGTGGACGCTGAAGGGTTTATCAAAAAGCGCGAGTATCTGCGGTCGCCGTTCGAGGGCAAAGTGACTCAGATAAAGTGCGTTATCGGCGACGTGGCCGAGCCCAACCTTGCGCTTGTGCAGATCACTGTGCCGTGTAGCCATGCGGCGGTTTTCAATGGGCTGTGCGGGATGTGCGGCAAGGACGTCAGCGGTATTGATACCAGCGGTATGCCCGAGTCGCGTGCCAACATTGATATGTTCCACGACGCGAACGGGCTCAAGGTCAGCTACGAGATGGCAGCGTCTATCGAGGCAGATGTGCGTGACGCTCTGTGGGACCAGAAAAAGCTGTCGCTGATTATTGATCTGGATCAGACCATCATCCACGCCGACGCCACCGCCGATCCCAAATTCCAAGAGCGCCTGCTTGAAAACTACAAGGGCCCACCGGGCGAACCCGCCCCTAGCGGCGACGGGCCGCGCGGCCTCCCCTCAGACATTGGCGCGTTCTATCTCCCCGAGGATCCCCGACAGTACTACGTCAAAATGCGACCCGGCCTGCGTGACTTCCTCGAGCGCGTCTCCAAACTATATGAGATGCACATATACACGATGGGCACACGGTCGTATGCCAACGCCGTAGCTCACCTAATCGACCCTGAGCAGCGCTACTTCAACGGCCGCATTCTGTCGCGTGACGAGAGCGGGTCAATGACTAAGAAGACGCTTAAGCGCCTGTTCCCCGTGGACACCAGCATGGTGGTGATTCTCGATGATCGGGGGGATGTCTGGGAGTGGTCGCCCAACCTCATCTGCGTCTACGCGTACGAGTTCTTTGGCGGCGTTGGCGATATTAACGCTGGGCTTTTGGCGCCAAAGCAAGTTGTCGGCCCACAGCCAACGGCAGATGCGGATGCGGATGGCGATGCCGAGAAACTTTCAGCAAATTCTGCCGAGGCGTTGTTGGCTAGCTTGCCGGATAGCACGGGGAACCACCCGGCCGAGTCAGGCACAGCAGTGGTAAAAGCCACCGCAACGGGAATTAATAAACAGTCTGCTGGCTTGCCGACCGCAAAGTACCCGAAGATGGCAGACAAGGACCGCGAGCTCTTCACGCTGCAGAACGTGTTGACCCACTTGCACAAAAGCTACTATGATGTGCTCGACCCGTCCCACCAGCCACCCTTGCCCGATATTGCTGAGATCCTGTCCAGCAAGAAGCGCCGTGTCTTTGAAGGCCTCACTATTCTGTTTACGGCGGCGATTCCGATAAACCACGGCGGCAAACCCCCTCAGAAGAGCGACCTGTGGCTATGGGCGCAGAGCTTCGGCGCTCGCTGTGAGCTGGAGCTCAGCTCGCGGACCACCCATGTTGTTGCCGGAAAGCCTGGCACAGAGAAGGTGCATTTGGCGCGGAGGATGCAGAAGAAGCATGGGCCCGGAACGGCGTGCCCGCCCATTGTGGTTATGACCAACTGGCTCTTGGACTCGATCTTCCGCTGGGAGCGGCTAGACGAAACCACCTATCTGTGGTACCCGGAGGACGAGGAGGTCGTGAAGCTCGCGCGCAAGCAGGCATCGCAGGACTCAGGACAGTCTCTGCGCCAAGGGACGGCCATGCAGCGATTAAAGCAGCAAGCTGATCGGGATGCCAATGCTGCTGGGTACGAAAGCGCCAACACGACAGATGTCGAGGCCGAGCTGGAAATCGAAGAGGCAGAGCTGCAGGAACACGAGGCTGAGGTTGAGACCTTTGTGCAGACCATTGACTGGGACGACTTGGAGCGTGAGCTCATGGAGGACAGCGAGTCTGATGATGGCTCTGTCACTGGTCGCAGCCGCCCACAGACCCCTGGTGCATCCGGTGGATCCAGTGGATCCAAACCTGTGCAGTCGCGCACTGCCAGTGCGGTAGATCTCAGACATGTGGCCATCAAGCAGGCGGCCAAACAACGGGCAAATGGTGGGGATACCGGGGACATATCTGATATGGCCACGCCCTCTGGAGACAACAGCGTGACTGATAGTAGCGATGTATATGGCGACGGCAGTAGCGGCGGCGATGGCAGCGGCAACAGCAGTGCCGACAATAATGACGACGAGGTCAAGCATGAGTCATCAGGTATGCATCGCATGAAGCGTCGCAAGACATCCGTAGACGACACCCACGTGCATCACGCGCCAAACAAGAACATGTCAAAGCTGGCGGCCAGCGATGGAAATTTGGACATCAACACCAATACTGATGATTCCGAATCCGACAGCAATACGTCTGGTGCCAGTAAACCCCAGAGCGTGCGTAGTCGCCTGGCCAATAAACTGGGCATCTCTCTCAACACCAAATCCATCCTCGACGACAACGGCAATACGACTGGGCAGCGGCGAAAGCGTTCCGAGAGTATTCCTGGGGACAGCAGTGGGGATGATTACTTTGCCAAGGATGATCAGATTGATGCGCCCTTATTCAAGAGCATCGAAAGTGACCGTGGCGATTACGAGGCACCTGAGCACGAGAGCGATTTTGAGAATGCTGAGGTTAAAAATAAGGATGCTGGCGCTAATAAGGAGGCTGAAAGCGATGGTGGGTACGCCAGCGACAGCGAGGCTGGCGAGCAGTGGGGCGAGGACGGCGATTCTGATGACGAGAATTTTGACGATCTGATTAATGACTTGGAAGAAAATATTTCGTCGCCATGAGGCCGTTAGGTTTATAATTTTTACATAAAACAATCTGAATATAGAATATTAGTTTAGATAACCATGAGAAGCTAGAATAGATGTAATTGTACGGATATTTCTAGTAATTAGAAGCCTGTCCAATAGAAAAACATTTTTATCTGTGCTGATTCCTTATTTTGATTAGTCTTTTTAATATCTGAGATTTACACACCAATCTTATTTAAATATACCGATTAATTATGTATTTGGCAATTCATACATTAAAAAACTGGTATTAGTAGAAGGTGACAATGAAAAAATTAGCCAGAAAGACATGTTCGGCTATTTGACAATTTTAAAGCAAACGATTAAAAAATAATGAGTTCAAATAAAACTCCCAGATTTTACCTTCTCATTCTTTTCCTCTTCGCTTTGTCTTAAAATTATTAAAGAAAAATATGAAAACACGAAAATTAAATGGTAATAACTAATTTAAAGTTTTTACTACTATGCAGCTAAAGTCTGTTATTCTCCAGGCCCTTCTTGTTGGCTCAACTGTTTTTTCCTTTGCCAGTGCTGCTGCTAGTGTCGATTGGAAAAGTGAATGCACTCGCGACGCAATAACGGAAAATTGGTGGAATGTCAAACTCACTCTGGAACCTAGTTTAGCAGCCTTACAACCGATAGATCTGGACACCTACAACAATAGCCGTAGGGGCGCTTGGGGGCCGTCTTTTTATCCTTAATACTCCATACTTGCCCATCATCGATACCCTAGTCGAAATAATTGGAGCAGACTTTATGGAAACAAATCTTTCTGTTTTTATTGATGACTATTCAGAATCTCATAAATGCAATCCTTAACTTCCAGTAACAGGGTTTTTTTAAAGCTGATGGCTCCACTGAGACTGATGATTCTGCCGAGACTGAATTCACTAAGTCCAGCAACACTGAATCTGTGCACAAGTGCTCAGAGTTCACTATCAATTATGTTAGACCGCGTGTTCATACTACTTTCTCTTAAGCATAGCATGGCATATTTAGGAAATTTACCAAATGTTGATATATTTTAATACAATTCATTATTACCAATTTAAATTTGCAAAACATGACAAGTGACGATAAAATATTTATATTTCTGACAATAAAATGAAATAATATACATTGCAAATATTAATAAATAACTATTTAAAAATGTATACTTCCCTTTGCCACCATTAAATTTATATGTACATAAAGAGGGCCCACTCATAATGCTTAATTCAACGTAATAAGTATAGTCTACATTCTTACTTAGTTTAATTGGTGGAGGTAGGCAATCTATTCGTTTATAAATGACCCTGAATTAGCAAACAAAAGTTGTACAGTTATTTTAAACAAAACCCCATGTCAAATAAAAAATACTTAGTTGCGCTGATTTCTACTTTTGGGTGGTCCGCTTTATGTCCAAGATTTAGTCACTGGTCCTATTTGGGGGGTTTGATACATTTACATATTGATAATTTTATTCATTTAATGGCAGGTTTATGCACAGGTATGTGGATCATTTCCTTTTCCATTTGAATTCGGCTATTTTTGTTTTGGTCATTTGCATTATGTTCAAACAATTCTGTGTTTAACTGCAATGAAAACACATTTCTTTGATTGGGGTTTATCTTTGTATTTAAGTGCTGATGCGTCTCATTTTTTCAGCTCTGCACTTTTATTTCGATATTCTATTTGTCTCGTTTTAATTACTTATTTTTATTTTTAATTACCATGCAGCTAAAGTCCGTCCTCCTCCAAGCCCTACTCATCGGCTCGGCTGTCTTTTCCGTTGCCGGGGATGAAGTTCTCCCTCTTGATTTGTATGGCGAGTGCCTACAGGGTGTTATTCCGCGTTATTGGTTTTCGATCCGCGCTACTTTTGCGACAAGAATTGATGAAATCAGAGATTATAGTGGTGAAGATGCCTACAACAATGCGTTAGAACTACTTGGGGGCGGTGTATACTTGCCCACCATTTCCGATATTCCTCTTTTTAATAAGCTTATTAGGATTACGGGTGATGCTTTTATGAATAATTTCTTCCAGGTTTTCAATCTTTCCTTCCAGGCTATTGGATGCGACCCCTATTTACACGAGACTGCTTTATCGGAGTCTATGGAGTCTACCCAGTCCACCGAGATTGAGTCCACCGAGACTACTAGCACCGAGTCTGTGCACAAGTGTTCAGAAGTTACTATCACTTACGTCAGACCGCGCGTTCACATCTCCACTATTTAAGTACAACACGGCTTATTTAGGCATATTTAAATTTATATTTTATGTTTACCAATATAATTCATTCATTTTGCTAAAATAAAAGCATTCAAAGGTTGATGTTCAATGTCATGTTGAAATTCCACATTGTTTTTATTCATAATAATTTGTTATTAAGCTGGTATTAATTTATTAAAACCGGCCAATTAATCAACTATTGGCATTTAATCACAGTTGAAGTGGCAGGGGTGGTAATGGTATAGATGGGAGTGACGTAAACATTCGACGTGGGCGTGGTAGTGGCGTAAGTGTCAGTGTTGGTTGCGGTTACCGAAGGAGCATTAATGGCGCTAGACTCAGAAGGGGTCAGCCCATCAACAATGATGTTGTCCTCACGGTTGCTTTGGTTGATTCCGAAAATAGAAATCAGCTTGAGAACCTCGGCAGTGTCAATGACAGTGTTGGGGTCGCGCGTGAGCGCGGCCGCAACAATACCCCACAAGTAGTGCATGCGGCTGGCAGGGTGGATGCTGTCATAGAAGAAGTACTCGTCGGGATTTGTGCACACACTGACAGCACCAGAGGCATCCTGGGAATAGCAGGCATCTGTGGGGTTGTTGATACCCAGCGAAGCGAGAACATTATCTTGCAAAGCAACGGTCATGAGGCTGCCAATGTCAAAAACATGAACGCCCTTTGCATTGCTGATGGCAGCTACACCCTCGATAGCGGTCTTGATGGCAGTGTTCAGGGTAGTGACCAGGGTCGCAACCTGGGAGCCAGCGCCCAAGGAAGCAATGCTTGGCGTCTTGTTGAGAGCTGGCAAATTCCACAGGTTGATGTTCTTGTATCCTGCATCAATGAGGGTTTTGATATCAGTCGCGATGGATGTGGTCAGCTCATGAGCAAACGTTGTCGGGTCAATGGTGCCGGCCAGAAGACCCTTGGCGCGATGCAGGACATCGTTACCGCCAATTTCAATCTCAATAACGTCGTTTTCTAAGTTATACTTGCTCGGATTGGCGTTCTGCTGCAGCCACATTGTCACCTGGTCATGGAGACTGGGTATGACAACGTCGCCAAAGGCCGCCGGCGAGAATTCATTGTTAGATGTTGCTCCTCCGTAGGCTTTGTTGATCAGGTTCATCCCCAGAAGCTTGGCCGTGTACTCGTTCCACACGTAGCTGTTGCTGTAGCGACCCTCCCAGTATGTCGGGGTTCTGGTCAGCGCGGCAGAGTTTCCGGTGTCCGAGAGCGAGTTTCCAAAGATAATGAGGTTGGGGGTTACGGAGATGGGTGCGGCAGTAGCAACCGAGGCCAACAGCGCAGCGCTGGCGTAGGCAAATACAGAGTTGAGTTTAAAATGCATGAGTGTGAGTATGACAGTCGAATAAGCAGAGATAGACAAGCAAAGGAAGGGCGAGGTGTAAAAATAAACAAGAGAGAGGTCAGCACAATACTTTTTTTTCGTAATTGGCGCAGGATTCCAGGGCCTTTTAAGTGAAAATAGTTTTGCATTTTCGTGCTGTTTTGACACAGCATCATACTCTTTTTTATATTTATTTTTGCTTTTTAGGATTCCCACACAAAGAAGAACTTGGGCTACGAGATTTGTTTTGGAAAGTGACCAAATCAAGCAAAGGTGGGTGCATTTCGCATCTTTCCACCAATATGCATCCGTCTGCGCGCAGTGATTTTTTCCTGATGCTTGAAAATCCTTTCTATTTGTATTCTATTATCCTGATTTGGCTAGAGCAAGGAGAGACGGTCCAAAGGTAAATCTACCTTTGCAGGACAATATATCTGAATAAAAAGGGGCTTATTGACATCTGGTTGCAACATGCAACCGTGTATTGTATTTGGAAAAACCAGTCGCCCTAGTCTACCAAAAATAAAATGTTTCCAGACAATAGACAAAGTGACACAAACCGATTAAGATCTTTTTGTTTTTTTAGACTGTCACCGGCCTTGTTGCATGCTCGCGGATGTTATGCTCTAGGAAATGTGGGTCTAAACTAATGTATTTTAAGTATCAAGAATTACTTAAGGAACTACAAAAGGGGGAGGCGCTGTGTGGGCAGTGCTGTGAATATAATGTTGTTCCTTGATGTCGGCCAGCAATAACAGAAATTTGTATAGCAGCCATGAGGGTGATCTTGATGCTTGGAAAGGAAGATAATGGCTTGGAATGTGTGTTGGACACCCCAATGGATTGCTCACCACTTATAATAATTAAAAAATTATTCTATATTTTTTATGTGATAGGTTTAGTTTATTTTTTAATGGCAATGTAAAGAGTTTTCCATTGTATTTCAGAGGCGAAACAAGAGCTCGTTGCATAGATTATTCAACCAGGCATTGATATCGGTTGCCAAATATTTATAGCAGTTTTTGTTAGAAACCTGCTACCGATCAGCGGATTCGTCGATCTGCAATCAGAAGACTGCAAATTATGGAGGGATAATAATTTTGTGGTACAAATCAAAACATTTTCATATGTTTACACTTTATCCAGCGCATTCAAAAACATTTTGTCTACTCTATATAAGAAGCGAACTTAATGGCTTGGTCCCCATACTCTTGTTTGTATTGGGGGCTTCTCATTGCATTTGGTGCTTTACTTAAGAGCAGTAAATTATTTTGTCAGTTAGCACCAATTAATTAGGTTTACTGCTTACGACCCAGTTCACAGCTTTCCAAAAAATCTATTGAAAAATTGAGGTATTCGCTAGAAATTTCGAACCGGGACAATGCTGATCGAATCATGGTTCCGTTGATTATGCTTATTTGGCACAGTGGGTAAAAACATCATAATTGTCTCGCGCTTTCCCCATTATACAATTCCCAGATCACGTGTGTAATTGTTGGCTGATTTGGCGCCAAGCAATTGGCCTTGCATCCATTTTTGCTTTGGGAGACGAGTAGTATGTTTCTTTACCTTTTTTCCTTTTACAATCTACATCTTTAAAATTCAGCACGTTCAATATAATTTTCTACTAAAAATTTGCACACGCACGCATCCAATTGACCACAATAACTTATAAATGGGCTCAGAAAGCGTCACAATAGAGCTGCCAGGAGCTGGCGTGCGGCCATGGGAACAACTCTTGCGCGATGTGCGAGAGTTGGAGATGCGTTTTGACATGCAAATTGCCGAATACATGAAGTTTGTGCAGCCAACGAGCCCCCGGGCGACAATTTCAAGTGGCTCGGCAAGAAACGCAGCCAGCAGACAGAGCTGCTTGCGGCTAGAAAGCGAGCTAAATACGGTACTCGGCGACCTCAACGCGGTTATCGGAGAAATGGGCGAAACAGTGCAGCAGCAGCGTGGGTCGGCGCGGGTGTTGGAACGCCACCAGGGCATGTACGCCGACTATGTACGAGAGTTCCAGAGGTACAGGACAAACGTGCAGGCGTCGCTTGCGCGGGCAGAACTTATGGATGGCAGTCAGGGCACCGGTGTGTCTGGCAATATTGGTGATAGGGATCGGCTGGTGATGGAGCGCAGTAGGATAGACCAGGCGCACACTGATATTGATATGGTTTTGGACCAGGCATTCAGCGTGCGGCAGGATTTGGCCGAGCAGAGATCGATGCTTGGTGGGGTCACGTCACGCATGGTCGATGTCACCGAGAGGATACCAGGCGTCAATCTGCTGCTCGGCCGCATTCGCTCACGGAAACGCAAGGAGAAAGTCGTTCTGGCCATCACCATGGCCATTTGCATATCCATTTTGTTATTTGTATGGTCCGGCTAAAAAAAACCTTGGTCCACAATATAATTTTATTTTTGTAATTGAATTTGTAAGCTCACTGGAGGATCTTGCCCAGCTTCCATTTGACCCCGCAGGCATTGCACAAGGTGCCTGTACCAGCAGGCCCGCGCCTCCAGATTGGCGTCTCATTGCACCCACAGTACTTGCATGTGCGGCCACGCTCAACTGGCAACAATACTGTCTGCCGCGCCTTTACGCTGAGATTCTGCCCGTCTGATATTGAGCGCTTGATCGGTAGCCTGACGGGCGTCGCTGTGGTCGCAGGAGTGTGCGTTGCTGCAAGCTCTTCCGAATCACTCTCGCTCTCGCTCTCGCTCTCACTTTTAGAGTTGCTCTCAGCTTTGTTTCGCCAACTGGCTGCTGCCATTGCCATGTTGTAGCCGCCCTTGCCTCCTCGCGGGTATCCCATGTGTGCAGCCGCAATCTGTGGTGTGCTCTGTGCGCGAACTAGGTCTACTTTTGCAATCCCGGTCTGCGGTTGCGACTGGTATTGTAACTGTGACTGCGACTGAGAGGTTATTTGTGACTGAGGGGCTATTTGTAACTGAGAGGTTGGCTGTGACTGAGAGGTCGGTTGTGACTGTGGTTTCAATATCGACGGGATTCGCACTTGCTCAGGCTGCTGGCTGTTTGATCCACTGGATTCTGAGAAATATTCGTCGCAGTACTTTGCAGTTGGATGTGGCTGGCACAGCGCCCGTCGGTACTCCCGGCACACAGCTGTCCGCTGCGCATCTGAGTACTCGAGCAGCACATCAACCAAGCACTGCTTTGCCTCTCTGAGCACAAAATTAACGCGAACAAGATTCCTCTCTGCCAAAAAATAATGTGGCCACTCCTGCTTAATAATCGATGGTACACGCTCAATCGGCTGCGTCGGGCTGGCGTAAAAGTAAGTCAAAACTCTGTTGTCTCCTGTATACTTACGATCCACGCTAAAGTCTTTGGGCAAATAAAACAAGTCTCCTGGATTGTCTCCAAACTCAAACACTAATGGTGGCGGTAAGGGAATTGCAGAACTGTTTTTGGTTGGCTGTTCGGATTTGGGCTGCGGTTGTGTGATACGGTAGAATTGTGTGTTGGTGAATATGTGCGGCCCTATTTGGACCTCGGCTGCGCTGATGAGTGCGCGGGGTTGATCGTAATCAGTGTCACTTAGGGCTTCAAAGGCGCGGGTCAGCCATATTTGTCGGGAGCGCAACAAAGAGTGCGCCAGGCTCATTTTTCCCAGGGCTTCGGAGCCGTTGGCAATTTTCATGTCCATTATCATAATTGCTTGTTCGTGCTCAATAAATAAATTAATAAAACTAACTAGGGAGTTATACAATAAACGAAATAATTAAGTAAATGCGTATGTTTTTGTTTATTTTCTTAACAATTTATTTTATGTAAAATCAATTTATCTACTGATGTGAATGCAGTAAAAAATGGGAACACCCCGAAAAAACACGGATTGTGTTTGTTTACGTTTTGACTCTCCGCTGCCGGCCAATTTAAAAGTAATACAAGTCAAGGTGTCAAGGTGATAATCCTAATTATATATTATATATTTATTTTAGCTGAAATCAAGTACATTAAACGAAAATGATTTCAAAGATGTCTAGGCCATATTTCATTATGTGAATTTTTAAGCTACCATTGCTGTGACTGACCCTAAAACGACTATAATTTTAATTTATCTGCCGACGCTTTTACCTTTTTTATGTTGTTGGACCAGCCCAGCCTCCAATGTTATTCACCAAATAAATAAGCAAATGTACGCTCTCTCCGCACAAGGCTCTCTCCGCAGTTTTAAAATAATTCGGATGATCCAAGACATGGCAAGCCAAACACTGACGATATGAATTATCCCTCCGCATCCGTTTACTCCACAATTTTTATTTTTTATTTCCAAAGTTTTTATTTTAAAGTGAATACTCAGCGTCTCTCGCGTTTCTTGCTCATTGCTTGCTCCCATTGTCTGGAGGAACGCTCGATATATTCATCTTCATCCCAATCGTGGCTGTTTTCTTTTGGCCCGCTGCTGCTCACACTCCATTATCTACTTTTTTGTGAACAAAGCATTCGATTCATTTATCACAATTACAGCTGAAAGTTGAATAATGAGTATTAAAAAACAATTGACTTTATATTTTTTTACTCTTCGTTTTCATTTTTTTTCTTTCATCCCTCAAATTATTTACATTAGCTTTGTTATTTTGTGATTCGTAAAGGCTCTGTTTACTCGACCTTTTTATTTCTTTTATTTTCGCATGCTTGCTTGGATATGTATGTAATATTTTTACTGCTCACTTAACTCATTTTTTCATAAGCAAAAAGTCTGTCAATCAAAATCGTGCTTGGTGTTATAAACATTCTGTTCTGCATCTAGCTTTAGAAGAAATAAAAACAATTTTTCTTGTTGGATTTTAAAAGTTTATGCAAGCCCACTCTTTCTCCTATATTTTTTATTTATTTATTTTTTATTCTTACACTACACCAGACAAATTTGCATTTGACAAAAAGTAATTTTTTTTGTCTATTTTCTCTTTTCTTCCGTCTTAACATACATACATTTATATTATTTTTAACACTTTTTAAAAAGTGCCTGCATTTCTTTTATTTTTTGTGTACCCCGGCAATTTCTTTTTCCTGCTCAGTTTGTTGTGAATTCGCGATAATAACACGGCAACATCGAGCGGTGTGTGAGAAAAGCTATATATACACACGGGGAGGTCGTATCATTGCTGACCGACCACCACCAAGTTCTCTTCAACACCCATCCATATTTCCTTTCTTCCTTTATAAACTTCATTCTACCATACTTGACACACTTATAAACACACAACTATTGCATCTACTGCCAAAACAATGGCATCTTCCACAGTCAGGTACAGTATCAAACATACATACCACGTTATTCCATGCCTTATTTGGGTTGCCCAGCCAATAAACATCTAATGGATTTTGTTTCTGTTTCCTTTTTATTGTAGAGTGGCTCTGCGGATTCGACCACTATCATCACAGGAGCACTTGAATGGCGACACAGAGTGCGTCACGCAGCTTCCTGGAGTGCCACAGGTCGTTATTGGAGCTGATCGGGCGTTTACCTTTGACTACGTATTTTCGCCAGAGGTACCGCAGGAGCAGGTCTATGATGAGTCAGTCAAGCCGCTGGTGTCGCAGTTTATTCAAGGGTAAGCAGCAGTTTTCTTTTTCTTTGTGAATGTATAACGCATGCACGCTGAAGACACACGCACACACATGAATACTCAACGCAGCATACCTTTTCTACCCAATCTTTTGTCTCTTTCTCACTTGTTATAGGTACAATGCCACTGTACTGGCATACGGGTAAGTATTGTTTTTTCATTGGCCAATCCATCGTGGTCATTCTCTCTCATACACAGTGCGTTCTGCCTATGCGCGTGAATAATCTGTTGGCATATGTCGAGTTGGCGACATGCATGCGCGCACGTGCATTAACACGAAATACTCGCATGTATTTATTTATAAAAGTTCTGGCGACTTCTGGTTATGACGTGAGCAAAACCATACAGATACACATCACGCAGCACAATCGCTGACGCTGTCGTCATCGCCATCATCCATCAGTGTCCGTATTTACGCATGAGATTCTAACTTGAATACTAACTCTAAATTGTCTTATTTGTATTCGAATTTGTGCGTACTATTCATCTCATTACGATTCGGGGATTCATTTGTATTTATGTAGTCAGGTAAGAAAAAGCATATGCCATTAACAAATTTCAGTCATAAATGCACCCTTTTTTTATCAATTTCAAACTTCATGTACTAACCACATAAGCATTTGCCTGCTGTGCACACTGTAGACTGGAAGTGGAAAGACATTCAGCATGGGCACGGAGCTGTCACTAATGACAACAAGTTCGGACATGCAGGGTACGTTGAACACAGAACACAAAATACAACTAAAACATTGTAATGCTACCAATATTATTGCAATATGCATTACTCAATATCATTTGCCTTCGCGCACCATTTAAATTTATTATAGGCGTGGTCCCGCGTGCAATCAACGAGATCTGGAACCACCTCGAAAACCGATCCAACACTAAGGCGGGGTTCACCTACTCCGTCGACATTTCATTCCTAGAGCTGCACAACGAGGACCTCGTTGACCTGCTCAACCCGCGTTCAGCCGCCGGCAGTCGCGGACCGACAATTCGCGAGGACAGCCGCGGCAACATGGTACTCGTGGGCGTCGAGCGCAAGCCAGCCAGCCACGCCAGCGACATCCTCGGGTTTTTGCACCAAGGCGCACTGTCCCGCACCACAGCGTCAACCGATATGAACCATACGTCGTCGCGGTCGCACGCTATTTTCACAATTTTCTTGCGCCAGCAGGACCGCCGGTCATCGGCCATGCTTGTAGGCGGGTGTGCGTCACCGACGATGAATGATCCTGCGGACCTTGATGGCGGGCCATCAATCGTATCCAAAATTCATTTTGTCGATTTGGCCGGATCCGAGCGCATTAAGCGCACAGGTGCAGCCGGAGATCGGGCCAAGGAAGGCATATCGATCAATGCCGGTTTGCTTGCACTAGGCAATGTCATCTCGGCGCTCGGCAGTAGCAGCAGCAGTCCCAGCAACCAGCAGCAATCGAAGCGCCCCATGCATGTTCCGTACCGCGACAGCAAGCTCACTCGACTTTTGCAGGACTCGCTCGGCGGCAACTCGCAGACTGTAATGCTCGCATGTATCTCGCCCTCAGACCGAAACAACGCCGAGAGCCTTAACACCATTCGCTATGCCAACCGTGCACGCAATATCCGCAATAAGGTGGCGGTGAATTTCGACAAGAACAGCTCAGTGGAGCTCAGCATGCTGAAGACTGAGGTCGCCCGGTTGCGCGGCGAACTTTCAAAGCTCAAGCTCATGCGCAGGCAATCCACGCTCTTGCTCACCGAGACTGGTGGAGATTCCAGCTCTATAAGGGCACTTGAGGCTGAGGTCGGTCGCTTGCAGCGCAAGAACGCCGAGATCACGCAGAAGCTTGAGCACGCGGTCCGGCGCGTGGCTGTGTTGAATAACGAGTGCGAGGGTTTGCGCTCCGAGGTGATCAACCTCGGCGGCACCGTGCCGTCAACAGCACTTGCAGAAGACCCAATGATGGTTGACGACTACGGCAACATGATGTCACAAAATAACGTGCTCAATACGCTCAACCATGAGCTATCAGAGCAGGCCGAGCGCCACGAGCAGCAGATTGACAGCGTGCGCCGCCACTACGAGTCAAAGCTTGAGCTCATGCAGGAAGCATTGTCGATTGTAAACAAGGAGCGCGACGTTGCACTCCAGCGGCTGGCTAATGCCGGCGGGACAGAAAAGGACTCGGCATCGGTTGCTGTGGGAACACCCAATCGCAGCGGGGCTAGCTCTCAAGCGAGCCGTCGGAACCTGGGGCTTGACAATACATCGAGTTCGACGATAGCTGCTCCAACCAAGCTGCGCATTCCCAGCCGCATGGCCAAGGGCGCACGCCCGGATGGCTCAACTATGAGCACGCCAGTGTCGCGCAAGTCGTCCAGCGCTGAGCTGCGTCTCTCCCGCCAGCCGCAGTTGTCGCGCCTGGGATCCAGCCTAGGCATCATCACCACGCCGGCACTGCGGGACGACTCCATGCAACTGCAACAGTTGCAGGACGAAGTTGTGCAGCTGAGGCTTAATAACAAGCAGTCCAGCGAGGGCGCCAGCGCCGAAAGCGAGAAGCTGACGCTGCAAATCCAGGAGCAGGCTAAGGAGATTTCACGACTGCGCAGACAGCATACCGGCCGGCGCGAAAGCAAGCGGTACTCTTTGCTGTCATTCAAGGAGAACAGCAGCTGGGCTGTGGCCAAGAACACGCTCAATTCCCCCGCATGCAACGATAAAGACGGGCCCAACCTTTTGCGCGCGGCATTCATTAAGGCTGTCTTGGAGAACGAGCTCAACCGGTGCGTGAGGGCGCGCCAACTTTTGAGGGAGCGCGACTCTTTTGTCAACAAGCAGGACGAGCTGATGACCGAGCAGACTGACTTGATGCTCCAGATCCAATGCATCGAGCTCGAAGCCGATGACGGGTACAGACAGGCTCAAGTGCAGCGGCTGAACGAGCGCATTGAGATTATCGACGCCGAACTGAGATACCTGGATCTCAAGGTGCGCGATGCCGAGGCCGATGTTGCGCAGCTCGCTGAGGCCGACGCCAGCGACAGCACCACAGACTTGAGCGCCAGCGGGCTGCTGACTACGCCGACGATCATTAACATGAGTGGCCTGGCCATGCGCATGGTCGAAGATGTTGTGCGCATCGATTACCGCGCGTTCGCCGATCTTTTCGAGCATCTGTCGCAGAGAGACTCAACTGGCTTGGCGTATCTCTTTATGCAGGACATCATCGAGCACCGATTGGTTGCACTGCGCGACGAGCAAGAGCGCACAACCCTTGAGGAGCAAAGCATGGACCTGCGGCGCACTCTGCTCGCAATGCAAAAGACAGCGTTAAACGCCGCATTGACCTACGAGCGCGAGCTGGGCGACGCCGAGCGCAGGCTGAACACGCTGCAGTCACCTTCTGCGTCAATGTACAGGCTGGCTGAGAACGGGGGCATGCAAGTGCCAAATTATCTGGGCACACTCAATGGTAATGCACATGCACTTGATGGCTCTGTCTACGGGAGAAGAGAAATAACAGGCGACGCGAATAATTTTGGCACGCTCGAGCCTTTGCCCGAGCGCTTGGTCTACGAGGGCGTGCGTGATCGCGGAATTTTGTTGCGCTCGGCTCTGATGAGCTCCATGGAACCCGAGCCCCTGTCTCTACAGGCTGACAATGAGTACCCTTTGTCTGACGCGGAAAGCAATGATGACGGCGATGACAATGAGGGTGAGAGCGTGAATGGCCACGAAACAGATATATTCTCCCCTGCTGTGCAAGCAGCAGTATACAGCGGGCAGAACGTTTCGTCGATGGAGGACATCCGCGGGGCAAAGGCTGCTATCAATGACTTGGCAGATGACACGCCCGACTTTTCAAACGAGTCGCTGTTCCGCGAGGGCACGCTGCGCGGTAGGAGGGCACGCGGCTGGGTTGAAGACTCCCTCGTGGATTCTTTTGCGCTGAGGTCGGCGGATTCGCTAGGGCCATCAGTAGTTAGTGGAGACGAGACGCCCGACAGCATGGGCATGGATGCTAACGTGTTTGAAGAGGACACTTGTAGTGGCATTGGCCGAGGCGGAGGAAGTGCTTTCCGGGCGCAGTTGGCCGATATGGTGTTGCATGATGACTCCCAACAGTCGTCTCCTGCATCACTGTCCCCCCCCTGTGTTGAAGCGCCGACGGGCACCAACTCTTCTGCGCAAAGTGACATTGCACAAAATGACACAAGCAGTACTTTGCACGACAATCAGCACAGGCACCAGGACAGCCCAGATCAAGCGAGCTTTGCTGCCAGTGGCGCCAGCTTGTCGATCGAGCCTAGATCCGGATTTGACGCTAACGAAGACGATCAAGACGACAATGCAGATTTCCAATCCAGAGTGCTCTACTCCGATACGGCATCTGGCAACGACAGCGACTCCGAGGGCGAGGTACCGGAGCTATATAACTCGAGCTCGGGTGAGTTTTTTCGGCTGCCCAACTTAGCACGTAACCAATCAATTCGGAGCCGCGGGAGGCGGCACCGGCATCTGGTTCGCCGCTCTTCTGCGCGCAAGCAGATTACACGCATACTGGCTATCACGCCTCGGATAGCCAAAAAGACCAGCGTCCGTCGGCCTGTCGCCCTGCGCAAGTCGCGCATCAGCCTGCCGATCGTGCCGCCCGAGATGATCGAGTACATTGACAAGCGCAATCCCAGGGCGATCAGTGTCGGTCCAGGCTCGCCGATGGTGGCGTCGCCCGAACTCTTGCGCAACATGCATGTGCCGATAAATGGCGAGTACCAGAGCAATATTGCTGCGATCGCGTCGTTCTCAGTTAATAAATCCAGGTCCTCAACCGCGTTGTCCCCCACTAGAACTACGGCCCAGACATGCAATCCGCGAATTCCGGGCAGGATCACCGACCAGTCCAGCGCTAGCAGCTCCGGCGTAGTCGAAAAATTCGAGACCCTTAAAGATGCGCTGGATGCCACGCAGAGCAACAATATCGGCGGCGACAATACAATGTCGCCTGCTCTGGCTTTTATGGATCCGGGCACTGCCTGCTTGCCAATCCATGCGCCAATGCCTGCCAACAACTCTTCCATTTCCATGGCTGCCATGTCATCTTTCAATATGCGCTCGCATTCGCCCTTGAGCACCCCGATCCCGCTCTACAACAAAAACAGCTTGCATCTCCACCAAGCGCCACTGTCTTATTCGTCGAATGTGGCCGACAGCAGCCTGGAGATGGGCGAAAATGTCTTTCGGCTGGCCGCGGCGGACATGCAGACTTTGCCGCACATGCGTCCATTCAGCGGAATGTCAGCCATGCCGAGGCCCCGGTCTGACCTATACATTGATCTGCCCAGCGCTCTGTCAATGCAACGCTCAATGTCAGCGCTTTCCAATCACAGCTCCTACGAGCAAGAGAGAATAGTCAGCCGCATTGGAACGCCACTGAGGTCGCCCCAGCCGCACCGGTATTTGTCGCCCACCGAACAGACCAATGCCTCGCTTTTCTCTATGATGGATGCGGCGAGACCCGATTATTCTCGGGTAACGTCCCCATACAGCGACGAGCACCAGGCGCGCATCCAGCAGAGTAGAACTGGCGCCGGGCAGCTGATATCCTTTGACAGCACTCAGGCCAACGGCAAAGATCAGTCTGAAGCAAAAGCAACGAGAATTCGTCGCCGCGCTCACACTGCCTTCGACAGCGGCCTTGACCTGGCAAAAGGCAGCCCGGGAAACCGCCAGAGCACCTTATCAGTCTCCGACAAAGCCTCGGTGAATGTGCTGGCTGCGGGCTCAAGCCGGCTATCAAAGTTGCTCAGCGGCATTGGACTTGGAGGAAAGCTCAAGCAGCAAGCTGTTGACGCAACCAGCCGCGAGAGAAGTAACTCGGATTCTACTGGCACGCGTTTGGTCCACGTGCGTGAAGACCGCAACGCTGTTGATGGCGGCAGTGGTGAGCACATCAGAACGTCACTGCTATCCAATAGCACAGACAGCAACTGCAGCCGGGGCAGATTTGGTCGCCAGCCTTCAGATACGGCACTTGGATGTGCCGAGATGGGCGTGTCGGCGGACAACAGCAACTCCATGGCAGCGCCGTTGGGCATGGTCACTGCTGTCTCCTACGAGTATTAGTGTTGTTTAGTATTCATTTTGTTTAGTTTTTATTGTTAATTGTCTAGTAAACACATGAATTTCTATAAAGGCGCTGTTTAAAGCTTGGCCTGCGCAGCGGCAGCAAATTGAACAGACTTGGCAGTTTCTGCTCTGCTGTTTATCTTTGGCGCAAACCCGTCAAAAAAGCCTATGATATTGTCAGCAGTGCGATCCGGATCCTCGTGCACAACCAGATGCCCGACACCATTCATCACCTCGTGGCGGCCATCTGGCATTTGCTGTGCAATGGCTCTAATGTACTCGGGCGGCCCAGGCAGCGACGTTTCACCGGTTAAAAATGCCGTCGGGCAGCGCACTCGCCACAGGTTTACCGTGGCATACGACGAGGAGTAAGTGGCACCCAAGAACACAGCAGCCTCATTTGTTGGACGGCATTTCAACACTAACTTGCCACCCGCCTCCTCCAACCCGTACTTTATGTACAAATCGAGGCAGCGCTTGTCCCATATTTTGAAAAAATGGTGACCCTCGAAATACGCTCGGGCAGCCTTCTCGTCATCCCACTGCCAGCGACGCTTCTTTGTCGTCTTAATAAACCCGTCTTCACTCTTCATCGTCTTATGCAGCACTGGGTCGGTGAGCACCAAGGCAGCAAATGTGAGTGGAGAGGCGATTTCAGCCAGCAGCAAGGAGCTGGCACCCCAGGAATGGCCAATCCCAATAATGCTCTGGGCCCCGCTGGCGCATTCCTTTTGCTCCTGCAGCTGCCGGATCACCGCCAGGATGTCACGGCTGTTCTCAAACCACGACGAAAGCTCCTCGTTGGAAATGTTTGACCGATTAATAACTGCGCTGTCGCCATGGTTGTACGCGTCCATGGCAACCGCCTTATCAATGTGCCATTTGTCGCTTTGGTGGGAGAATAGCCGCTTGAGTGTCGGCTCCCAGATTTCTTTGTGAAAGCCATTTGCGTGAGTTATGAGCAGCGTCAACCGCTTGGATCCGGCTTTTGCCACGCTCGAAGAAGCAGCCGGCGGGCTGTATATGTTTGTCACAATTTTCTGGCCTTTGCGCGAGGTATCAAAAATCTTTCTGACGACTTTCATGTTTAAAAATATAAGAAATAATAATTTGTTAATGTAAAAAGAAGAGGGAAAAGGCAGTTCGGACATAAATACTTTCGCGTGGCAATGAGGTACAAGATTGCAATTTTCGGGAGTGTGAGAACTGATAATCCAATTTTTTGTTTTCGTTGTCATAAAGATGTAGTTTAAAATAGCAGCTGAAAGTAAAAGAGCTTTCAAATGCAATGCAAAGAAAACAGCGAATCAGATGCTTGCAGAACCCGAGCGATGAGATTGTGTCCATTTCGAGACCACCCTACACTATTATAGATTGACATTCAAGCACCGATTCCTTTAAAACAACACTGCAACCAATTCCTAACTATTAATAAAACCTTTGAGATTGTTTACGTACTTTACATTTCGTTAAAAGATATAGTGCGTTAATACCTTTTGCCAGAGGTAGGAAATTAAGAGCGATCATTTGGCAGAGACTCAGCAACAGAAGCAGCTGGTTGCAAAGCCAAGAACACCACCTGCTACAGCTACTCATTCCCAAGCCAACGCACATATTGATTTGTCCACATATTGTGGCAGCTATAGCCATCAGCTGTTTAGCACGGGACAGGGCTTCGTCAAAGGAGCAAGTGAATCTATGGATCTATTTTCTCAGGGCCAAGTGTCAACTTTTTTTACCCAGCACATCAATTCTAGTTGCTTGCCTATAAGGCGTCTTTTTTGTACTCGTATTTTTGTTGCTGTGAGTGATAAAGTTTGAGTAATCAGCATATCTCAATCATCTAACAAAATACGAAATGATTGACCGGGAACTTACTAATATGTACTTCATTGTTGTTATATCCATTGCTCATACTAGACCTTGCAATAACTTTATCAGTTTTGTGGCCAATATTTTTAAAGTTTATATAGAATATCGTGCTTACATTGTCTTTTATGTCCTTAAATGGCACTCCATGATTAATTTGATCAGTTAAATCAATAACCCACCATGGTTGATGTGACAAATCTATAATCTGGCCTACCCTCAGTGATTGGTCGATAGATTATTCACCGGTTCATTTACCGCTCGGGTATCTAGGCATCAATACCGACAATATAAATAGCAGAGTAATACTAGTGATTGATGTCGTTACTCTTTTAGCTTTTTTTGGTTTAATAAAATACCTTTTAGTATATCAACAAGCATATTAAAATCATGTGCAGAATCATTTATGTCCAAGTATACAAGTACCCGCTACGTTTTTATTAGGCGTATTCGGAAATGTACTGATTAAAAATTTGATAGTAGTGTAGCATATGGATATAAAACAATACAGTGCATTGCATTGAAAAATGTCTCCAAATGGTTTATGCAAAAAAAGAATATGTCAACAAAAAATTATTGGTCAACCACATGCTCTAAAAGCTTGCCTGAATCTGTGCGTCGGAATTGCATAATACGTTCTATATTCAAACAAATAGCGTCACACCTTTTAAAACTTATGATTTAATTTAAGGCATACTTTGCATATTTAAGTTAAACATACATTGGGCAATATAGATCAAAAAATGTAAACAAAGCCATTGAAATGATTATCTATCTTCAAAAATCAAATGAAACATTCACTTGTACAATACAGTCAAATTGTTGCATATTTTAAAATTGTGAAAGCCAAGTAACCGCGTAATAATTACATTGTAACTAGTTTTCGATCAGTCACTGAAAATCAAAACAAATTAACAGCCCTAACCCTAAAAACAGGCAGAAGCAAATGTATTATTAGTTTGAAAAGTTTTACATTTGCAATTTTTCCGCTTGGTCGAAACAGCGCATTCGCATTGTTTGTTTTTTTGTAAGAGAAATACATTATTTACAGTTCTGACTGAATACAAAATGAATACAAACAAAAATGTATGGCGTCAAATTTTTTGTTTCTGGGTTCTTTTGCAACAAATGGGCAGCGTTGGAAAATACAAAATATATTTGTTTCTGTAAACAAATGCAACGTGTATTATACTCACTTACCCCTTATTTTTTCTGTCATGGAACAGTGCTTGTTTTTTGGGAGGCATCAATTGTCTGTTCAAATATCAATTGTTTGTGTTTCATGTTGGGTCTCTTACCCGGGTTCACTAAATGTACATGTTAATTTTTGGAACAAGCCTCGCTCATAAAAAACAAATAATTTTATTGTTCGGCTTGCAAAAATGGCCAACTGCATGCTTGTATTTTGCAAATGGCTTAGTTATTTTCACTTTATTTCCCGGCACAAACAATGCAATGTTGACAATATTTTATTTTCCAAGCACATGGGAATATTTTTGTAAATTTTCCTGGCGGTTTTGGGGGTTTTCATTACCCGAAATAAGCCTCTTGGTGCAAAAAAGAATGCAAAAAAATATTTCAGGCTGGCGGAACACAAAGAACCCACTGCATTTTTCATTTTTCCATCTCTTTTTTTCAACTGACAGGGCCTTTTTTGCTGCCTTTCTCCTCCATCCATTCGAGTATCTCATTTCATATATAAAGAGCCCCCGCTTCCCAAGAAAAATTATTGGTTCCCTATCTCCCTCCCAACAAACACAACTTCCTCTAAAATACTACCATCACCTTTTCTTCTACACACACGCACGCACACACTTTTCTAACATTACGACATCATTACTACGGTATACACACACAGTGGCATCGACTTTGGCTTCAACATGGGAGATCGGTCCACAATACGCAGCTTTTGTGGGAGGGGTTCACACACATACGCAGCAGTTCTCGCATAGCGTCATCTTTTGCACTATACTGGCCTTCGTCTTATAGCCACCATCTGCCACAGTTACGCTCGTCTGCGCATCACAAAAAAATAATGTGAGTGTGTCTAGTAAACACTCGGTAAGATATCTGCAACTGGTCTCATCAATGTCATGTCTGGGATGTCTGGGTATATAAGGGGACCTAAAGAACACCCTTATACTAACGATCGGGCTGGTTCCATTCTTTAAGACCCGGAATCGACAGTTATGTGGTATATACGGGGGCCCACAGAACATTTGTTCAATAGGTATCCGGCTGGTGACACGCCTAAGACCTGAAATCAGAGGCAGCGGAATAGAAGAAGGATGGGGTTTACCCGTATACCTTTTTGGATCACCAGCGTCTGGATGGGCTCCTCACAAAATCACAACACGGGCATGGCTAGAAAGAGTAGCGCATGTACCAAACCCACGACATGACAACCAGTTGCAAATATCTCCGAGCGTCCAACGACATTTTGCACTCGAAGGTCTATTAGCTATAAATAGCTATTATTTGCGCAGCAATGTTTTTTAGATGGCATTACTCTAAACGGCACTTTTCTCAGCGCACCTTTCTTTGTCTGCCAAATAACAAGGCAAAAATAAAATTACTGTACATACACTTATTTATTGCAGTTATTAAAGTATGATATGAGACTGAAACTTTAGAAATGAACCCTTTAGTATTGTACAATCATCTAAACTAAAATCACATTGGATCAGATTTGCAGCACACTTGGAATGCGCAGCCTAATTTTTTGTATGTATTTTGATGCAGGAACAATGCTTTGGTTTATTTTGCATACTCCTTTTTTAATTGTTTTTACTTCAACTCATTTGCAAATTTTTTATTTGTATTTAGTTCATTGCAATTGTTAACTTTTATACTTTCTTTTTTTTTAATCGTGGTCGATTTCGCTAATCTTCCCACTCTCATTTTAACGCAAATTATACATAACGCATTAGATACAGTTGATGTCTACGACAGCAACCTTGTAAAGCATTTGTTTTTGCTACATATCTGTTGCCAGTGGAGAGAAGTTTCAAATTTTGAGTTATCCGTGAACTCTATTTCTAGCTAAGGGTACAAAAAGAATATGGACATGCGTTATGATGACAGATTTTTTTAGTCTAAACCTGATACAAACTGTTTTTCAACAACATTGACAGCCTTGCTTTCCTCGGTGGCCAGCACCTTGTCACCAGGGTTCATTTGAAAATCAGTGATAGGACATTATCGACAGCAAGCTCATTTATGGTGTTGAAGCTGCTTTGGTTGGGTGCTCTGGATTGGACGCGTGTCAAAGCGCTGTCGTTGGTCTTCATATTTGAAGGCCCTGATTAAATTAGTGCTTCCAGCCAAGACAATGATTCTGACAAGTCTTTAGTTCTTACTAAACTTCCTGGTCCTATAGAGCCCCCAGAGGAAGCCGCCAAGCATATTGCCAGCGTACTTCCAAACATCAACAGCCTTAACTTGGGGATTATCCAGCCAGTAGGTCATTAACCAGAGCTGCCAGTATCAATGGCCAATTTGATCTGCAGCCTGTCACTTCCTTGTTCCTGAATTTCAAACACACCACAATTTTGAGTTACGTGAACGACTTCAAACTTCTGGACATTGTCTCGTATCCCTCATATGTGCACAACCTGCGATTTGCGGAACACTTGGATAAACACATTAAACGTTTCTTGTCCAAATTTGAGGGCTTTGATCACATCAGCCTGCATGCCATTTTGGAAATATCACTCATATGCCGATGTTTTTTTTACAAGATTTCAAACAAGCTATTTGGCCGCGCTTAAGTCGATTTTTCTGTATATTAGGACATTTACATTTAAAAATGCACCTGGATCTTAACAGAGTATATTTGCCGAACCCGGCACCCCTCTCACTTATCTCTGTTTTGATTGATGCATTACCTGCGCTGATAGCTCGGCTTCCAAGGATCCAAATAATTTCATTGTATTAACCGAGCATGACCAAACTGTCGACAACCAACCCACATCTTGCTTCCCTGAATCTCCTGACGACAAGCATAATTGCTCCACTCTCTAGCAGCCTTAAAAGGGTGTATATAAACAATTCCAGAATTCAAGCAGCACCACTAAATATCATTGAAAGCATCAACATACTGTTACTTAGGCTGTCATCCCTTGATTCACTTCATTTCCCAGATTATCCCAGCTGGTGGTTCCGAGGCGTTGTTGTCGCGTTTTGCAACAGGTACCCACATTTGCTCAATATTAAACAGAGCAAATCATTCTTCTCATATTAACAATATAATTGGTATTTTTATTAAATATTCAATTATTTTTACGCCTTGTAAATAATATATATTATCTATACATGTACATAATATTTTTCACAAAAGCATTATAATAAAAGACAATGTAAATAAAAATAGTGAATTGCAGGAATATGAAAAAAGCATCCAAAAGTAAAGAAAAGAAAAGGTTGAACAACTCGCAAAAAAAAATAGTAACTAATTTCAGACCGACATATTGTTGACAGCCATGGCCAGCTGGTCCATATCAGCCTGGGTGGCAGGCGACAGTGGCATCAGGGCAATTGAATCGCGCTGATTCGGAATGGAGATGTTGGGCGGTCTGGCCTTCTGGTCACCACCATCATGCACAACGGCGCTGTCTACAGCCCTGGCCACGCTCAAGTTATTACTCGCCCGCTTCTGAGGAATAGTAGCCTCCGATTCCTCAACAAGATCTGCCGCAACAGACGCCGCCTGCATTTCAGGCGTCGAATCAACAGTCATCTCACCGTCCTCGATGGGCTCGGCCTCCTCCTCAACATTAAATAGCCAGTGGTATTGCAAAATGAGGTTCTTGATGACACTCTGCGCATGGCCCAGGTTGGACATGGCTAGGGCAAAGCTTGACGAGCCAGGCGGCGGACGCAGGAGCGACGGGCCAAACACAAGGGCCAGGTTCGTGCCGTACATGTGATTGACCTCCTCATAATCAGTGACACGCTCCAGGTGCTCAACACACCGCTTGAGCACAGTATAATTGGTCGTCGGCAGTGCATGCACCAGATCCTTGATGGCCCACAGGCGCTCGTCGTAGTCGTCAATTGACGCTGCGTTGATAAAACCCTCGTACAGGTTGTATGTCATCAGGGGCTCGGGCAACTCGCGGAGGAATTGCTTAATCACGCCCGAAACTACGTTGATATCGTAAAACTCCTCCGAGCTCAGATCAACTGCCTCGGGGTCAGAGTTGAACAGCGAGCGCAGACGGCTGACATCGGCGGCCGCGCCAGAGACGCGGTAAATGCCGACTTCCTCAAGACCGCGCAGCTCAATCTCAGTCAGACACTTCTCAACGATGACCGGCACAACCTTGGGATCGGGCATCAGCTTGGCCAGGTCGATTCCGAATGACTTGGGGTCCGAATTGGCTGCAGCCTCCTTGCTGGCCTGCAGCTGCTGTTGCTGCTGCATATTAGTCAGCATGCTACGGTTTGGCATCGAGGGTGTCTGCGAGGACAGACCAAATCCGCCAAAGGCCGACGTACTGCTGCCGAGGAATGCAGTAAACCGGCTGCGCGTAGTATCGCTGGCGCCTATGGTGCGCTGCTGATTCTGCTGATTCTGCTGCTGTTGCCCTTGGCCCTGGCCCTGGTTGTACTGAGACTGAGACTCTGGATCGCCCATCCCCATGAACATGGACATGCCGGCACCAGGCGCATCAGAGTTGCTGCGTTTCTTGGCCTCCTCGACAAACAGAGTCAGTCGACGGGCGGCGGCCTCAGTGGCGGCGTCGCGCATAGCGGCAATCCAGTCCTCCATCTGCTCGCAGTCCGGGGCCTGCAGCAAATACTGCCCGCCCTCCTCAGTGACAATGCGGAAGACAAAGTCACGCTTTGTGTACCCTTGCTCGACAGTGATTGTCGAGTTGATAAGGTTGATTACGTTGGCCGGTTTGGCGTTGGGCAGGGCTGGGCCGCGCGGGCGCGTGCCACTGGTCACAGACGACTCTGACAAACGGCTGTCTCTAGAAGTGCCAACAACAGTATCGGCGCGGCTCACCTGCGTTGGCGCATTGTAAGAGCTTACACCCTTTGGCAAGCTGCCAACGCCGTCGATAGAACTTTCGCGCGCGCTGATGCCAACCTTGTTCATCAAATTGGCCATCTTAAGCAGGGGCTCGTTCTTGGCCCGGCGCTGCTGCTGCTCCTTCAGCTGCCGCTTGAGGATCTTTGTGCGCTCGTTCTTCTGCCGCTCAAACGCCTGCTCACGGTCACGCAGCTCGCGCTCTAGCCTTTCGCGCTCGCGAATCTCTTGACGCATCTTCTCAACCTCGTCAGTGACCAGCCGTGTGAACGGGCGCAAGTAAACAACGACGCCACCGTTCTGGGCGCCTGATCCAGATGTGCCAACTACAAGTGCCAATCCAGCACCGCCACTGCTGATGGGCCCGTCAGCAAAGACCAGAGATCGCGGAACTGGCGCTGGTGGCGACCCAAATGCCTGCGTGCCAGCAAATTCTGGCGTGGCATGAGGAGTGCTCACCGTCGATTTGCGTAAGTAGTAACTGTGTGTGTTACCAGCAGCATCCACGCCTGGAATGACGCCGGCTGCCGGACCGCCACTGCCGCCGCTAGCGCTGCGCAAGTTGGCAATGGAGCGCTTAGCGAACCCGCCCTGGCCGTTGCTGCGCATCGGCGGCATGATATCCACTGGCCGTGAGAAACCGCCAGAATGCGTCGGTGGCGAGGAGAAGGAAAACCCGCGATCGCCAGCGATAGACAACCCGGCCGGGTTGCCGCCCGCAGGCACAAGAGACACAGATGAAATAACGGCCCCAGATTGTGCTGCCCCACCAACAGGCATTGGCTCGTTGATGTCGACAATGGCAGACTCATTCTGGCTGGCAATGCGGATATCGGCGGTCTGGAGCGGCGTCTGCGCGACCCAGGCAGAGAGCTGGCTGAGGTCGATGCGGATCTTGGTCGGCAGAGCAAACGCCTCCTGGCAACGGCTAGCGAGCTGGTCGCACACGCAGAGCATGATAAACACGCGGTGGCGCTTGGCCAGGTTAATCAACCGCGAATCATCGACCAGTGTGTCGGGCGTGTCGTAGCACAGGCTGACCATGTTTTCGAGTAGCCACCCAAGGCAAGGAACAAAGCAGTCGGCACGGGTCATCGTGTCCTCAGTGATATCAATGTCGTCAGTAATCGGATTGGACCGCGACCGCTGCACTGGCACACCCTTTGGCCTGGTTGTGTCTTCAGCCTCAGCAGAGGGAGACTTGCTAAAGCTGCTAAGACTTGACTCCAAGGGCATTGTCGGCGTGGTCGGTGCCGAGTCAAAAGCCGACCAGTCGCGGGCGCCGCGCAAAACAGCCTCGAGCGTCTCGAGCTTGGTGTTGTTCTCTGCAGCGACCTCATTCCACGCGCGCACGAACTGGCGCGACTCGGGACTCACCAGGGCGCTGGCCACAGCGCGCTCGACAAACGACGGCACGTACTTGATCTGCGACTGCCCGCCCTTGCGCCGGCCGCGGCGCCCAGCCTCTCCAGTCACACGACTGCCACCAGCAACGCTGCTGTAGCCCTTAATCGAGTTGGCGCGGTAGCTAGGCTGGCGGTCAGGAATCATACCGGCCTCGCGCATGTAGCTGTTGAGCAGCCCGCCGAATACTCGCGACGACGACAGCTGCGAGTCTTTGCGGCACAGCCGGATTACTGTCAGGAACTTCTGGATCCGAGCCACACGCTGTGTCAGTGAGCACGCCGGGTCGGCGATCTGCCGGATGACCCAGCCGCGCACAAACCGGTGGAGCTCAAGCATTGTCTGGATGCTCTGCGGCATGGTGCGCACCAGCGAGGTCTCAGCGGTCGTAGCAGCCACCCCGACACCCACACCAGCTCCAGCGCCTGTTCCAGCGCCAGGTAGATCAAGCGACTGCGCAGCTGCACGCGTTCTGTGCGTCTGCTCGAGCACCTGGTAGATGTCAGACACCACAAGGTCATCATCGGCTGGAACATGGCCGACCCGCTTCTTCGGGTACCACGGCAGCGGGGCGTATGTCTGCATCTCAAGCAGGCAGAATGCCACTAGCCAGTCATTGAACGAGCACATGGCAAAGTGTGTCTGCGCCAGGCGGTTCAGCGACACCAACAGAACGTCAGGGTCGGCTACGCTCAGCATGGACAGCGGCGACTGTAAGGTCAGTTCAAACGGCGAAGCCGTGCTCGAGCGACGCTCACGGTTGATAGCGTAGTTCAGGCGCTTGTCCAGCAGCTTTTCCAATGGCGTGTACCCGGACGGGGTCAGCAGCTGCGCGACAAGATCCGGAAGCAGCATCCCCGCACGCGCGTGCAGCTCAGGCCAGCCAGCGTGTGGCTCGTCCTCGGGCTTGGCCCTGCCAATGGCACCAACCAGAGACTGCAAAAAGTCAGCCATTGACTCGCGCAGCGCCGTGCTGTCAAAGAAGTCGCTGATGTGCTGCCCAAGCCAATTCTCGCAAACGTCGAGCAGAGCACTGAAAACTGACTCAGCGGCCGTCCACGAGCGCGCAGCATCGACGACTTCGAGAGCGCGCCGCATGCTGTCGACCACATCAAGCCCCACGCAGAAGTGCCGGAACGATGCCATCAGGGTGCGCTGGAAAACATCGCGGTTGAACAGCAGGACCGGCGCAGTGCCGCCAGGCAGCTGAATGCGCGCGCCCTTGTTGTTGGTAATGCCAGCACTATGATGCTCAATTCCGTTGATCAGCAGATCAAGCAGCAGCGGCAACGTGCCGCCCTGTACCTCGGCCACAAACCTCAGCGCCTGTGAAGCGCTAGTCGCCTGGGTATACTGGACGCGCAGAACGCGGAGCGCAAGGTCGCCGTTTCCAGCGTAGATTGTCGCGCCAGCATAGTTTGCCTCGCCATGCGCAGCGTCGCTGATTTGCTGATCCATGCGCCCCGTGCTGTTAATTGCAGACACGTCTTTGCCCCCTGGCTGGTCCGAGCCGCCAACACCGCCGCCTGCAGCGTGAAGGCCAGCGGGCACGTTGTTCGGAAACGACCGACTGCGCTTGTGCCTGAGACCAATGCTGTCGTCGCCCGACACTGCGGGCATATCGCCAAGCTCGCCAAAGACGCGCTGATTTTGCTGCTGCAATTGCAGCGGGTCAGTGGGTCTAGCCTCGTCTGCACCCATGGCGACATTAGTCTGGATGTTTGGCGCCGCGTGCGAGAACGTGCCCGCGCGCCCAGAGGCGTTTGATGCGCGGCCAACCATGTGCGCTGCTGACACTGGCGTGCGAGGTGCCGGGGTAATCCACTGCAGGATGTTGGTCGAAGGCACGGTCTCCGGGCACACCAGCGGCAGAATCGAGCCGGGTGCCTGGCGCAAAGCTGATGGCGCCGCGGCCATATCGTCTGCAGTGTCACTGGCATCGCTCAAAAGATGCTGTTGGTACTGGTCGGCTACAGACGGCTCGCACTGCAATGAAAGCGACAGCAAGAAACGCATGTCGTACTCGGCCACGTCGGACTCGACCAGCTCGTCTCCGATCTTGAGTGGATTTATGGCCAGCGTGCGCAGGTAGGCCTGCAGATACTGGTGACCCTGCAGCGCGGGATCCACGGGTGCAGATCCCTGAGCAATTCCTACTTGCACCGAGTCCCGACGCACATGCTCGGTGCTGTTACCCGATGCCGCACCCGCTTGCTGCTTTTGCTTATTTTGCTTCTGCTGTTGCTGCTGAAATTTTGAGGTCAGCGACACACTACTCGCGCGTGAGCGCATGATGCTCGTGCGAGCGCGCTCGACTACAATGTTCGGAATACTGTCGATGGCAGCCTGCACAGCGCCGTACATATAGCCCAAGTGCGCAAACAGGACCTTGTCTCCGATATCCCCGCCATTGACACCAGCGATGGTCGGCTCGTACATGCGCTTGACACGCCGACCCTGACGGTTGACGCACATACGAATGGTACCGTAGTACGGGATGGGCGTGTACGTGTAACCAACCGACGAGGACACTGCCGCATTGCTGCCACGCAACTGGGGCCGAATGACCAGCGGGCGCAGCTCAGCAGCCGCGCCAGAAGCGCCAATGTCCGCGTCGTAAATGCCGTGGCGGATCAGCAGGGGGACCCACTCGGAAACAATCAGATCCTTCCACATCAGAGCTACGCCATGCCACGTCTCGCGCAAACGGGCAATCG